AGACAGTACATCTCACATGTGCTAATGCAGATGCACATAGCCTGATGTCGGCAGCTCTATTGTAGCAGTCCAGTATAAGCATGTCTTTGACTAATCTTGTAAATATGAAGCAGTGCCATTTATATAGTATGATGGTGCTATGCTTGGTTGTTAGTCCCTCAGATGACTTTTGCCTGGAACATATCTAACCTCTGTATGCACTACCATCATCCTATTCTCATGCAATGGCCCTTGGTATGACTTCAGGAGTACTCTCATTTGCTGCAGCTGTTTCCTTTTACATGTGATTATAAAATATCAGCTACTCATGCTGGGTCCTTTCATGTTACATGGTAAGTGGAAAAATGAAACTTTAGACCAGGGTGTGAACATGTTTGATATATGAACAGCATTGGAAATATGAATATGTGGCAGTGTGCCTATTAGCACCCAATTTGGCAGTTGATCCTGGATGGTATCTGCCATGCCAGAGGAATGTCAGTATCAACATATGGTGTCTAATCCAAATATGGTACCATTGTATGTGCACACACAGTCCCCCAGAAAATGACACTGGTAATCAATTACCTTGGGAGTGTGTCTGAAGATAAAGAAATCCCTAGACTTATGACCAGAGAGCATGACCATTGATAATAGGCATTACTAGAATACCCAGGAGAGGCAACAATGACCCCATGTGCCAGTCTTAGTATGCAGGCTGTTGTTAGGGACAAGGCATTTTTACAAGGAATTCCACATATGTGATCTTTGAATAGGATAAGCAGCAGTTGTTATCATTCCTGCACTTTGTTATCATTATTTCATTTCCTTTTAATGTACTTCACTGTAGTATTCACAATGCCTTCTCACCACATTCAGGTGATCTTTTGCTCCTCACATTGTCATGCTTTGTAGCACTTGATTGTGTATGTACTGACTGGACTATTACCAGGCTCCTAGTACTTTCCTTAGGCCCCTTGTGACCAGATGATCTGAAAGCTGTTACTGGGTGACTATTAGCTCAGAATATTGATGATAATATTCCAGCTGGCAGGCAATTTATGAGTGGTTCATCAAGCTGTACACTGAATCTGAGTTTTCATAGGGCTACACTAGTGTTTCAGGTTGACATCCATGTGGTCCCTCATGTTTCACAGAGCACATGCTTGATGATCAGTGGCAATCATTAACACATATACCCTTGCCTTGCTTTTTTCCTACTTTTGAGCCTTATTGTGCATCTTGAATGGCCTGGGAAAGTGGTGTACTGAGTCTTCTACTATTTGGATTCTATGAAGTATTTTATGTAGCTAAGAGGTAGTGCACTTGGGAAATGCTCAAAAGGAGCATCCCTAAGAGCAAGTCCAACCATTTATCTCATCTACCACTTGCTGCTGTACTCCTCTATACCTTCAATAGTCCCTGACATCAGTGATCAATCCTTCCCATGACTCTATCAGTCTTGATATCATACATTAGCCCATTACTGTTGGCTGAGCTCCACTCTAGTAACATACCTTAGTATGGCTTTGTACTACTGGTCAGTGCCTGGTAATCATTTATTTCAGTGTACAAATGGTGAGAGCAAACTGGACAGTCTTTGGTTGTATTCCTTGTATAACATGACAAATCTGGAAGGGCCTTTTTTCAGAATTCCTTACTGGTATACTTCTCTGTCTACTGGTGATTGGTTTGTACTTGGGGAAGTACTGTTAACAATCTATTGAAAGACATCCTTCTGTATCAGAAGTTCTCTCTGATCAAGGGCTAATACTTGTACAACAGCAAGTCCCAGCTGAGTAGTTGTTACTGTAGTCAACCTCCCAGATTCCCCTTCCTTGAGTTCTAGTTGATCTAGAGGCATACTTCTTTGCAACATTTCCAAGATATTTTCTCTTTGTTGATATCAACACAAACCAGTAATACTATTCATTAGTATTCTGGTAATATTGGTAATTAACTTGGCAATTCACCAAGTAAGAAACAGATTCATAATGTCTGTGTTCTCAACAGTGAGTCTCATATGAACATGCAATAAGTTACTCAATTGGGATGTTACTCATGATTTCAAACTAAGATCCTCATATTAGAACAACCTAATAAATAAGCAGGCTACTCTGAATGTTTATGCCATGAGATTGTTGAGCTCGGAATTTATTCCGCATTTCTGCGAATTATTCTGAGCTCCATTGCCCTGTCCAAGTCGTGGAATGTGTCGTGGTGTGTTCTCCTTTATTCTACATGGACCACATCACTATACCGTGCCTACTGTATTTTTTCCGATGTCATTCCCTTCAGTCTACCATTTTCCATAATGTTTGCATCTTCAGGGATTTGAACCCCTGCACTCATCCGATTTTTCACTCCTTCGTTGATTTCGACTTTGTGGCTGTTTCTACTGTACAGTTATGGTCGCCTTACATAACGCACACCATAGACAGTCCGCCTCATCGAGCTCTAAGTCCCTAAGACTTTACAGAGCTTGACTTAGGTGTGTATCTTTGATTCCTGAATATAAAAGACTTTACAGAGCTCGACTTAGGCCTTTGGAATCACTCTGAGGTGCACTGCAGCCAACAGAGATGGCAACTGGATGGTGCAAAATGTGGAAGATATGTCAGTTATGCAGACAATATACTAGCAGTCTTGCTGAGCTTAACTTCTGATGTGGTCAAAATGTTTAACTCACAAACTGACATGTATCCAACAAAAGGGATCGTACTGCCAGCTATGGCCCTCTCCCCAGCAAGTCTCCAAGCCTCTTACGCTCCAGACAGATGATGGTGCTGCAGTAGATCTGGTGGGTTGAGCGGTTGCACAGGGCCGATTTGCGGAGGGCACTATCGAACATTGGCAGGACACGCAAGAGAAGGTGGAGGACGCGGGGATCGTAGACCAGCATTCTGACAGAGGAAACGAGCAATTGAGGGTCGAGTTGAGCATTGGAAGAGTTGTTGTAGTGAGCAAAAGCCACAGTGTGGCTGCATGAGAAGTTTAGTTGGTGCTTTAGCGCTCACAACTGCTCACACGGTGATGAGCCCTTAGCTCACCTACCCACCGAAAACGTGATTTACGGTCGATACGACAGTACATTAAGTCAGTCCGGTCGACACGCTATCTGTCCTTTCGAGGGACCCGCCCGATGTCCCGTCTGTTCGAGGGAACCGCCCGATGTTCGAAGCTCAAGCGTCAATGTTCGGAACCCTTAGTGGCAGAGGCAAGCGGTTTAGAAGTGTCGCTACATTGGTAGGACTCCGGAGCAAGTACATGGCTACGTCAACCTAGCTAGTGACGACCCCGGCAACTCTCGTATCTATGTCCTCGACCACCACACCCGTGACCACCACCCCTACCCCTACGAACAGACGGACCGGTGTCGGAGCCACGGTCGGTGTTGACGCGCTCGAGCAGGCTTTCGAGCAACCCGACGAGGGTGCCGTGCGTGCGGCGCTGGTCGACTGCGATGTTGTGAATCGTTCGACCCATGGACTCGAGGTTGTCGGGCAGCTGGCGAAAGTCGGACAGGATCAACGACTCGCGCTGATACTGCGGGTTCGCGAGAGGACGACGCTCGGCCTGGTTGACTTGTTCGAGCAGTACCAAGGTCTCGGACCACGCGATCGTAGGGTAGGGCGAACCTAGGATGTCTCCCTGGTTGCCATCGCGGTGAAAGACCTCATCGAGGTAACGCATCAACTCGTCGATCTCGGGGAACGACCTAGGAGCAGGAAGCGTATCGTTCGCTAGCAGGATGGCCCGGCTGCGGGACTCGAACAAGAATCGCTGTTCGAAGGTCGGTTTGATGGTTCGAACGATAGTCTAAGTTCGGAGGCACGTACGATCATCCAACGGACTCCGTGGGCCCAAGCCAGCCACTCTCCGGGACTGTTGGCATCGTATCGCGGCTCGACAAGTCCCTCGGTCTTGAGGACCTCTAGGAGGCGGTAGTAGCGGGCAGCATACGCTTCGGAAGTTGGGTCGAGGTGCGGCATGTTTGTGTAAGTCAGGCGAACCCCTGCAGCTGTCTCATATCTTCGAGGACTGTCACCGGCTCCGGTTATGACCTTCGCCGTTCGGGGACGGTCGCCCGTTATGCGGAACCTGCGGAAGGCCGAGTTGGATTCTCTCATGTGTTAGTAGGTCCGGGTCGAGCGTTGTGACATTCGCTGATTGGCTGCTTTCCTTATCACTTTCATTCATCATTTCTTGTATTTCTCTTGGCTCTCTTGGTCTTCGGACCGTATTTTCCTGTATATACTCTGGGACTTGTTCCCCTCAAATCTCAGAGACCCCCTTACCCTCTCAATCTCACCTCGCACCGGCGAGGTTCGTCAGTCAGCCAGTACGTTCGAAGTCAGCAAGTTTGCCAGTCAGTCAGTACGTTCGAAGTCAGTCAGTCAGTTCGCCAGTACGTTCGCCAGCTCGTAGTTGCCCCGAGAGGCTCTACACTTCTCCTCCTGCCGTCGCTCGCCTTCCTTGTCACCGTTCGTTCGACACGTCTGTCGAAACCCTCCCTCCTACCTTCGAGGCTTAGCCCTCGTCTTCGAACAGTCTTCGACATCTTCAAAGCTCTCCCACGTCGTTCGGAGTCTTGTCCGTCCTCCTCCTTCTCACCTAGACCACTGTACAGTCCCCCGTACATCTCATAGACGCAGAGGCCTCGCATACCACTGCTCGACCTCACGGTTGGGTTTTTGTGTGGCTTTTGTGTTCTTTTCGGTCGCGTCAACGGCTCTCTGAACACTTTGAGAGCTCTTGAAGTGCTCAGTATCTTGCAACACACTGCTTGTGTGCTTGCCCCGTTTGAATATAAAATTCATTTACTGTTGCCCTACCATACTGTCTGGTACGCATACATACTGCCCCAATTATTAAGGTGAAAGCTATTGGCCTTGTCCAATACATTGTCAGAGGTCCAGTCTCCCGGAACAATACTTTGGGACCCAATGGGAAACGTAGGGATGAGCTGACAGGACTGATGACTTTGAGATAAAGGGATGATTTTCCCTTGAGGCATACCATCAGTTCTTGGAGGTGGCTTGCTCACGGAGTACATGAGGTGCCACGTAGGATCCGGGGCCCGGGAAAATCGAGCATACCATTCCACGTATGCAAGGGGCTCTTGCGGCCACCATGCGGGCGTGCCGCCACCTCCGTGCAATACTGGTAGAGTCTGGGGTAATTTGAAGACCACCTTGACTCTGGCTGCCCTCGTGCCTGCATTTGTAGTGAGCTGGTTGTTCACCTTGGTAAAACATTCAAAATTCCACATACCTCTGACACCAGTTGATTCCGCCTCGTCATTGTCAAGCAGAATGACGGTGTTGAACCGACTCTTTCTCCCCTTCGCGGAGGACCCAGGAATCACCTTCACCACGTTGACCTCAACCTTCCCATCCGACAACTCACAAGGTGTGAACTGAAACTTGTGATAAATGTCCACCCAGTCGATGGGCAGCCATGTTCGAGAGAGCTTGCGGCATGTGAGACGAAGTTCTGGCAGTTGAAGATCATTCAGGTAATGGGCCAAGGCCGTCATGAATCCGGGAGTGTTGTGTTGCTCTTGGACCCGGCCAGGTGTTACGGATAGATAACCCATTATCTGTCCATTAGATTAGATTATGAACTGATAGTGTACATCTCATCTTATCTCAATGTACCTAGCCACCTGACTTCCATTTTGGGAAGTAATCTACTCTTTTAACCTGAACTACCACCTCGTCCGTGTGTGAACCCTTTGCACTGTCCAAGTAAGTTCTCTGAGTCCTCGGCTAGGCTTGTTGCCCTGCCTAGGAACCATCCTCGGCTTAGGCTTGTCGCCTTCACTCAGGAATTCTCCTTGACTAGGCCCTACAGCCCAGTCTAGGACTCCCTGCTTGGCCCAGCTCATCGCTGGCAACCAATGACTTCTCCGTGCTCCCTATAGTAAGGCTCGTTGCCCTGCTAACGACTCTAGCAGGCGCTCCTCGCCCTGCTCACGACTCCAAGATCCCCATTTCCCCACTGGTTGTGTCGTGACCACCAACCATTAGGTTCACGAGGCAGCCCGGCCCCTGAATCTAGGGTTCTGAGCCCACGAGCCCTAACAGTTTGGTCCAGGTCACAAAAACGTGACCCATACCCGTACCCAGGCATACCCGTACCCACTACCCGCGCGGGTTCCCACGACCCGTGCTCTGCACTAGTTCGACACTTGCATGTTCGATCTCACTGGTTATGGGATGTGATTTGATTGAAGAACTTGGACATTGTACATATACCTGGTGCAAAACACCTACTGTACATGAGTGTTGTGGTCCAGGGGGAGTGTTGACCCAGGACCATGACACGTGCACATGACTTGGTGGCAGACTCAAACAGATGTGTTAGATGTAGAAACACCTCAGTCAAGTACTACCAGGACTCTGACTGAGGGGATTAGATTCCAGACTCACGTGGACTTTTGTATGCATGCTGATAGTGTCTGTAGCATAACTCTGTAACATTATCAGGTGTTGTAGCAATACAGTCGAGTACTACCAGGGCTCGACTGAGCATAACTCTGTAATATTAACAGCATCACTGAACAGATGTCTTATGTGGCCTGCTCAAACACCCCCACCCTTGATCGCACGCAGTAGACTGTGAGTACAACGCTGGCATACATGTATCAATTCAACCTCATCTACAGCGAACCCCTCCCTATTTGGCAATGAGCATTTCCCTGGTTTGGTGTCATAGAGGCCTACCTAGTCCCCACAACTGTTTGCAAACTGCGGCAAGTTGAGTGAAGGGCACTGCGATGTCGGGGTCGAGTAACCGTGCATGTCCTCTAGTAATGGCCTGACTCCACTGCGTGATGTTAACAAACTGTCCCAGATTGGCAACCCAGACGTGGCTCGGGACAGCAGAGAATGAGTCGTTTTGTCGAAGAGGAAGTCGAAATGGATGGGTGTAATGATGGCTGGGGACCTGAATGTCGGAGCGGCCCCAATCAACTGCTCGCCAGGCAGTTGCATCACACTGCCCGCGGTTCTAAACAATGTTGGAAACAGTTCGGAAAATGACGCACTGATCTTAGATTCAGGCTGCTTGTCAATGGAGCAATTCAAAACCCCGCAATACCTCCCGAATCTAATGTGTCGATTTTGCTGACCACTGCAGGTCACCATTTGCGTGTGTTGGCTCCATTGTACGCAGCTGAACACTTTGAGTGAGTCGGCTGTATCCAAACCAGGCAGTGCGGTATGCAGGCTGACATGAAAGTGAATGGGGTTTTGTCTAGGGATGGAGGAATGAGACACGTCCTATGGCCAAAGACGGGCAGCAATTACAGTAGTGTATAAACACTGAACAGAGGTTTGCGATGGAACAGTTGACAGGTGTGAGAGGTATGTGATACTGAATGAATTTTGTGAAGATAGCGCAATGACTCGCTGTTGTCGTGGTTTGATCCAACCCTCCACTTTGTTGAATTATATGTACGTACAGTCAGTGGTACTGAAAAGTGGTAAATGGTATGCAGTAACATTGTCAATTCCCTTCAGTGGTTATCCATACCCATGCAATGCACTACCCTTCACCCACACAGCGATAAAAAGGGCTCCGTGTTGGTTGTGTAGCAGTAACGTCCGAGAATGAATGTTGCAGGCAACTTCTGACATGTACAGCTTCTACCCCCGCAAATGCCTTTTGCATTGCCAGAAAGTATCAAACACTCTGAAGTGCTTGCGGGATTTGCATGAGCACACTAAGCTGAACCCATAACTGGCCAATATTTTGATTTTGGGTACCTATGACTGGGGGCAAGAGGTGTTGGTCAGAGCACGTGTTAAGCTAGTTAGCGGAGACCTCAGTCAACGTGAATAAACGAGACTATATTGATGTACCTAGATAGCGGAGATGACAGGTGCATTTCAGTAATGTAGAGAACTATGCAATGAGTGAACAGCTTACCCTCAGTTGACGTGAATGAATGACAGAGGGCATGCAAATACACGGAAGGAGTGGTGTCCCATACATGTGTGAGTGCCTATCTACCAGATATGGAAGGTACTGATGTACCACAACGAACATCATGTATATTGTATGGTCATCTTTATTGAAATGCTCTAACATTACGATCCCTGAGGTACAAAGGAATTGTTCTTATGACTGGAGAGAATGTAACACTTAGCATGGAGCCCAATGTGGCAGGTTTTTCCCACAGTGCATGTGACTATTTGAGCACCAGATAACCTAGAATAAGTAACACTTACTATGGTCACATTAGCTGAGTTTCAAATTTCAGACTCCCAGACGACGCGACTTGCACCAACACACCCAAACAAATGCTGTGGCTGACAATGCCCTATGGACTCCTGTAATGTCTAGCTGGAGCCCAATATGGAAAGTGGTGAACATGGCATGTGACCTCACCAGCAGCACTGGGCTCCAATATAATCAATTGCTTTTTGCAACAATAAGCACCCACAAATGGGTATGGCAAGCATATAGTCAACTTGTAGCCCTTGTTTCATAGAGTCTACAGTAAATTTATTGGGCCTCAATAGTGGGTGGTTAGGCCACAAAATGCAAAATACAGAAAAACACAAGTGACTTTGCAGAATTCAAACTGCTCATTTTCACCCTAGATATGTAGCACATGACCCATACAGTATAGCCATGTGTGTCAAACATCATGAAAATGCTTTATGCCATAACAGAGCTCAGAATGGGCAAGGACTGCTAATTTCAAGCTTGTACATGGTATTATTGCCAACCTTCCATATATGGTAATCCGTTGTAAACATCACAGGCCTCATCGACATCCCATAGTACTCTATGAATATTTCCTGATTTATCCACAAATTATAAAGCACCAGACATTCACTTTATTGAGAGTTACTGGATTTGGAAGGTTACTCACCATTTAGGGCAATGTGAGCTTTTGTGATGCTTCTTGTGCAATACTATATTGGTCCGAGATCTCGGCCAGGACAGGGAACTCGGTCAGTCGAGCCTAGGCAGTGAAGTTTCCATCTGTTTCGTGTAGTAAGCATACCAGTCAATAGCTGTAGTTGAAACAAACACAGCAATGTACCTTTTGTCTGAAATAACCCAGCCGTTCTTGAGCAATGCATGACTGACCGAGTTCCCTGTCCTGGCCAAGATCCCGGACCGATATAGTAGCCCTCCTACAACTTGCCTGAAATGCATATGTCATTGGTGAACACTAGTTACACTTCACTATATTTGTATACATGTCCCTGTTGTACCAGAACAGGCACAATAGCCACTGGGTCTAGCCAGTCACATGACCAATGACGTGGGGTCGCAACACTTGCAGCGGTGTTTTCGCTGCGACTGCTGCGACCCCACGTCATTGGTCATGTGACTTCGAAAAAGCGGTCAAAAATGCGCAGAATATTCATTCTGAGGACAAAACCTACTGATTTGGGCCCAGAAAAATCGCATAAATCCCCAATAAATCGGGGGACCTCTCTGTAGCTATCTTGAAGTACTTTGAGGTGGTATGATACCAATATGTCTACAATCACAGGTGCCACCCAATCAGCTTTCATGACACAATAGTAACAGTACCACATTGGGTGTTACCTGTGGCCACTCTATGATATCTTGGAGTGAATGCTCAAGATGAGAGCACAATGTTTAATGTTTGAGGACTCAGACAGTATGCCATTGAGGTATCCAATACATATGTAGCCTGACAAGTGAGAGTATGCACATCTAACAATATCACTAGACACAGCCATGTGTGTGCTCCCAATATGTCTGATTTACTCACCATCACACCAGAGTGGGTCTACTATTTTCCCCAGAAATTGCATTACATAGCACCCTGTGCCAATGAGTGTAGGAATGCATACTATGCTAATTGTCATTGATACAGACAGAGAGCACAGTTGAGAAGTTTTCAAATGCCTACAACTATGGAAAGATGCAAAATGGGTCACATAAAGCACTGAGATCCATGAGAAGGAGCATCAGCAACTTTTAATGTCTCACAATAGCATTTCAAGAACAGGACACAGTACACGTATAATGCATGTATGCTGACTAGGCCCACAAAGCATTGCCCAGTGTGAGATTGCCAATTGGGAGGGCACCTGCCCTATGTAGTAGTAATCATGATTGTGTGATAGCTTCTTCACAGACCTCCTCATAATTTCCATAGCCTTCATATGGAACAAAGCCTGAACATGTGCAGGATATTCATTTTGAGGCCACTTAACCTCCTTGTGTAGGCTCAGAAAAAAATCCCAAACTCCAGAAAATCAATGAAGTACTAATGAATGACATATGTGGTCATTTTGCTCACCCAAAGCTCTGGACTACAACTGGTCCATCTGAAGGAGTGAAAGACTTATGCAGACTGCCTGCTATTGTGCAAGAAAAAAACAGTGATGTTGATGATAGAATTCTTATATACAGGTTCTTGCTCTCCATTGAATATTTGTAACAATGTCTGAGACAGATCCCTCAGGTCATGAATTAGGGACTTTTGGCAGTAACATAGCTTTGATACTATGGAGGCTGTCATTTGTTAGCAATGTGAACTCCTCAGTGTAAATTGTGAGGCACAAACATGATGTGCCCACCTAATCCATTTAGCAGATTGTTGCTAGTAACTTGTTACATATGTCTGTAGTGACAGTGACATGCTATGGAATGATGTTGGGACAAGTGATGAGGAGGAATACAGATGAGAATTCCAGTATACTGTATCTTGACCATGTGACTTACTGTTTTTCCACAGCATGAGCTAAAATTCAGCAACAAGGATCATGAATGTACCAAACTTAACCTGAACAGACTTTGACATTGGGAAGGTCTAGGCCAGTATAGTAACAATTTGTAGGGAAGTATATGACTCCCTACCCAGCTCAAATGGTACAATGAACTCTAATAATTATTATTATTCATTCATTAGCATGCTCTACACAGATTATGTAATAGAAAAGACTGCCAGTTTGAGGTGGTATCATTGTTCAGTGTTTGAGACAGTACATTATATCCCAGACATGGTATAACAGGACAGCTTAGCTACAGTTAGGCAAGAACAACTGTGCAACCGCACATATCATTGGGTAATGGCTGTATAGCAATATTGGCATAGCTACCTAGAATCAATAAAGTTTTTGGAAAGGTTATGGATTGTCTAGGACACTTAGGACTCAGGATTTGTGTTACCACATTGAGGATGATGAGCTGAGCCATATGAACATTACTACTATGATACTCCCTGATGAATAAAATTTGGCTTGTGCAAGGTTAGTATTATTGTTAAGGCTTGACAAATGCTTGGTCTAGTCAAGCACAGAAGTTAGTCTCACAGACTAGTATGTATCAATACATAATACATATAATCATTGATAAGTGAGATTGAAGTGATAATTTGATGAACCAGAAAACAAAAGACACAGACAACACAACTGGGATCGTATTGCCATACATGGCCCACTCCCCAGCAAGTCATGCAATGGTGTGAATTGGAGCAGGAGGCTACAAAAATGTTTGGAGTGAGTGCATGACTGATTGATTTTGAATCTAGCTAACTATCTATGTTGTACACCCCATGCTTGACTTGCACTGGACAATGGGCCTCATCAGCTTGAAGCAAGAGTTCCTGCTGTCAGATGACAAAGTCACACAAGTGTGCATGTAGTGGGACAACTTCATATGAGCACACTTTGCAAAGGAGAGCAAGAAGATCTACAGTGTGGACAGCCAAGAGAGTGTGTCAACTGATACGATCAAAGAGTATGCCACGATTGAGCGGATTTGGTCAGCAAGCCCCATTAACCATGTAATGTCTGTTGTGTGTAATCAATTGATCAGGTATGGAGCCCCCCAGTCTATGACTAGTATGGCTTGCCCATATATTCAAAATCAAAATCAAAAACAGAGAAACACCTCTACCTCTGTAGACAAACATGATCATTTGACTGGGATACACTGACTGAGCTTCAACCAACTGTTATAGATATAGTAAGCTCACCTCATAGCCCTTCATTCAGAGTGCTTTTCATAAAGTTGAGCCCCGATTGAAGTGGCTGAATGGATAGCACAACTTGCTGGGGAGTGGGCCATGCCTGGCAATATGATCTCAGTTGTGGTGTCTTAGTCTTTGTCTTCATAAAGGCTCATTGATACAGTGCTTGGACACCATTGAATACATTTATGTATACTAGTCTGATGGACTAACTTCCATTCTTTATCAGGCCATGCAATCATGAAAAATGTGCACAAGACAACTTGGAAAGATTAGGATGTGCCAAAGTAGTAGCAGAGATGTACACAGTTATGGAGCCCAGTTCATCATCCTCATTGTGGCAATACCAGAGGACTGAATCATGAAAACTAAGTATACAATGTGCATATTTCTTTGACAAAAACATCTTTGACCCTATAGAGATATGACAATATTGCCATATGGCCAATAGCCAACAATATGTCAAATGACACAGTTGCACACTAGTTCTTTCACATTTGTAGCTTTCCTGTCTTGTTTCACTATGTCTGACACTTTTACTGGCTTCAATAAGTGAATAATAAAGTATACCACTTGCATGGTGGAAGACTTTCATATCAGGGAATTTGTGTAGGTAGTGCTTATCTAACTAAAAAATGACAGTAATCAGCATCAATTGCCTTCATTGAACATTCTCAATTTAGTAGGTCAACACTTCCCTATGTTAGAGTTTGTAAGTCAACCTGGAATTTATGCTGAGGCTGGTGCACTCATATGAGCTCTTGATTAACTGAATTTACTGTTTTACCAGAATCAATTGCAAGTATGACTTCTATACAACTCATATTTAGGGTACTTAAGAGCCATTATATGTATGGACTTATGACTGGATTAAAACACAACAATTGTTAAACAAAATGTTTGGATAGTTGAATAAGTAGTCTATACTCACTATGTGGTCTATGTGTTGTTACCTGGACCAAAATATCCTGCTGGATACATTGGCAAGCATGATCACTTATTGAGAGCCAGCCTGAAGCTTTGGTATATGACCATTGTGCAAATATAACTTTTTGGGTAAATTCCTGAACGAAGGGCTGCATAATAAGTGTACTATGTGAAAGCATGGCAGAGCAACTGAACCTCAATGGGTAGTGAGGCAACCTATTGCCCATGGGGTGTATGTGACAGTAGGTATCAGCAATACTAAAGCCATGAAAATAAGTCACAAGGCTTAGCAGTCCTGGGATGCTCATCCATGGACCTTACTCTCCTCCTCTCTTTGTTTGTGATTCCTTCATAGCATGTTGCTGTCAACACAAATATATGTAGAAATCCATGTAGCCTGCTAAATCAGTTCAGTGGGTATAGATGTTTGTAGCTCAGGATTTATACTGGGTAGACATTGCCAATAAATGAGGGCATGCATAGACTTCACAGGTTGTGTTACAGCTAACATTGCCAAATGAGGACCTCAGGGATCTGGCACAGGCATGGTGATGATTATTTAATGAAGAGCAAGAACCTGGAAATGAGAATTTTGTGATCAACATCACAGTTGTTTCCTTTCATAACAGTATGCAGTCTGCATAATTCTTGTAACCAGCCTGAACTTGATCTAATGTGTGCACAACACTGCCAGAACACTATAACCACACATATGTAACTCATGACAAATAACAAGGCTGCTCACTTTTACTTGCCATACACCATCACAAGGTGTGGTCATTGTGTCTAGCAAGTCATTTGATCCATGATATAGGGTCCTTTGCTCTATGAACAAGCTTCTCCCAGGTCAAAATATTGCTGCATGTTTGTCACTGTTCATAGTCTTGCCCACTTAGGTAGGCAACTCCAGTCATTGGACTTACTCATGATGTGTACTCATCAATTCAGTGTCTCCCAACAAACAAGACAAAGCAAAATCTACTTATACACTGATGTCAACACAAAAATCTTCCATTAATGCACTAATAGGTTATTGTATGATGTGTCTGCACAGCCCTCACCAGTGCTTGTTTTCTGATGCCCCATGTGTTGTACACATCATGTTTAAACCACCATGCCCAACACTAAAGTGTGATTCATACCATCTTTTGTTGTACAATGCCCAGTAATGACAAGAGATTCATGTGTCTTAGGTTCACAGAGCCTAGAACAGTCAGATGTTATAAGTCCTACATCACAATGAGTCTTGATTGCTCATTCCAGAATTCATTATATCTTGTTGCAAGTCATGAAACTGCATTGTGCTTTGATCCACATGACTGTGTTTGATGATACTTCAGAAGAATGGTTCTATCACCTCCCCTTTTTCCTTCCACCTCTGTCCACACTACTAGTTGGTCCACTACCTATTTCTATAGATCCACCTGCTGCCTCTGCAACCAAGCCTTGTCCAGCCTCAATCTTGCTTCTTGTTTCCAGTGTGAACATGATGTCTTGAACTTGATCCTCCAGCTCTTGGATTCTCTGAGAATACCTGTGTTTCTCCTGATTGGCTTGATCCATTTCAATGCGAGCCCTCTGCAAGTTCTCCAACAACCCCTTGCTCACAGCACGCTCCTCCTTTAACTCTTTGGTTAGCCGTGTGGAGAGCTCTGCACTTCTCTCAGCTTTCTTGTGCGCCTTCACAACTTCGGCTTGCACCTCTGCACTCCTCGCTTCCTCCGCTTGTGTATGTGACCTGGTGACAGTTTGCGCCCTTTGCCTTTCTTCGTCTCGTTCACGGCTGAGCTGCTGGACCACTGCGCGTAGGTCACCCATCTCGACCCGTAGGTCCGCTATTTGTTCTTCATAGAATGCGCGCTGCGAGTCGAGCTGGGATGTCAGCAAATAAGAATACTCGATGCCTATTGCTTCGATCTTCTCCGCGCTCAGAGCGTCCTCGCGACTGGGTCCTCGACGATCACCGCCAGCGCCGCGGGGTGCTTGGGATCCGATGGCCGACGCCGCGGAAGGCAGTTCGACAAGCTTGCCATCCGCCTTATTTTGAATGAGGCGGTGGACATAGCCGTCTGCCGCATAGTCCCAGACCCGCTGCGTCTCTAACTCGAGGGCGTAAAGATGTGTTGTCCGCGAGTAGTGTGCGTACGCATGGGCGCGACCATACCGACCGCAGCCAATGTTACCACAGATGAGACAGATCCACAAGTTGGTGGTGCTCTCGCATTCAACACAGCGCGCTGCGGGCGATGCGCGTAAGAAGGGAATCGAGCGGCTGGTAGCGCTTCCCGCGGGAGGATGCGAGGACAGCAATGTCTGCGAATAGCGGCAGACAGGGCATCTGACGAAATCAGCATGACGGACGTAGCTGAGAGACACAGAATGCACACCTACTGTCGCCCCATTTGCTGAGGCAGGCGCAGTGGAAAGTATGTGAGCAGGGAACGGTGACGAGACCGGTGACCGCTGAGTCCATCCGCTCCAGACAGACAGGGCATGTAGGCAGCTCATACACTAGATCTGAGCCATGCTGCGCCTCGTCGCGCATGAGGCTCTCCGTGAGCGATTCGTCACGTTCGATGCTGACCGACGCGACGCGGACGACATGGCATGTTTCCGGCTGTGCAGCGAGCCTTGAGAACGTCTGTATCATGAACTGCGGCGGAAGATGTACTCACCTCCATGGAGTTGAATGGCTTCCCATTGTACGCTTCGGCGAACTCCGAAGCATTCGATGTCGTTCTGAATTTTAGGAGGACAAGAGACCGGTTCGGGGCCGAATCTCTAGCAATTGACTCGTCAGAATCTTCTTAGTATATAAGAGGAATCAATCATACCGTATCATCCTTAACAACGATATCCCGTCCGTGGCAGGAGCAACAAAAGCCAGGAAGTCGGAGGGCGTCATCCATGCTGGGACGGCCAGGACTGCGAGAATAAGCCCTTGACTATCAGACACGACATTGGAACGTGAGGTCTTCGTCTGATGAGCATGTACAAAGGTGCTTTCCGCCCGGTCGTCTGTCGAGGCTCCAGACTCCGTGCCCCCGCAACATCGCGAAAATATGCACGATGCCCTCGGGTAAGTTTGTCGAGCCAGAAGCCGTCGGCGTCGGTGCAGCAGCACTAAACGTGGCTACTACAGGCTCTGTTTGCAGCGTTAATGGTAATCGAGGACATGATGACAATACTATGTACTACTCACCTCTGCGTCGCGCATCCGTAGCTTTCTCCTTTCCAACTCCCGCCTTCTTGGAACCTGCCACGCTCATGGTTTCGGACGAGCAATCAACCCAGTCAACCCTGATAGAACCGAAACGATAGTCTGTTGGGGTGACGTCGTCGCCGCTGGCCGGTTCGGTGAGTGTATAGCGACGGCCAGTAGGGCCCGGTTTGTGAGACGGCAAAGGCTGGAAAATGGAGGACGGGACAAAGGAAGATGAGACTGACGATGGGGGCGAAAAAGAGGTTGATGGTGTCGGTATGTTCGACCGAGAACGGAGAGAAATGCGGATGTGATAATTCCGCATGAGCTACGAGGCGGAGGTTGGGCAGAACGAGGCGTCGCGGGAAGACGCCCTGGGAAGTGCTCGCGCCTTCAGTATGTAAGCGGCCACATCGTGAAAGCCAGCCTCCAAGAGACATGGCTCGTCTCCACTGCAATGCTTCGGACCCTCACGATTGCTGCGACTGCAAACCCCTCCCCTGCGCGGGTGTCGTTGACATCGCCATTCACCCGGCAGTCGCTTAACGCCATACGATCCTTACTTGCCAATACACTCGAAGGCTCAGACATCCCGGTCGCCGAAGAGTCGCATGCCGCGGTCCTCATTCCTCTTTGCAATGTGGACAACAAGCCCGGTCTACTTCTTGAAGTGCGGGGGAAATTGAGGACGCATTCAGGGGAAGTGAGGTGCGTACGTCGTCAAATTGGTATCGCCGGTATGAACGTATGCATCACAGCTTTCCTGGGGGCAAGGTAGACAAGGCTAGTACATACTGTATCTGTGAAGGTTACCAAGAATCATCATTGACTTCGTTTTCGTTCAGACCGACGCGTCCCCCTTGGCAGCAGCGCTGCGTGAAAGTCAAGAGGAACTGGGTATACATCCTCAGCAAGTAGAAATCCTGGGGCGCATAGGTCCCGCGGAGACTTCGCTGAGCGGACTGCGGGTGTGGCCGTACGTCGTGAGTGGATTCTCCACCTGGCATGCGCATCCAGTGTCCACCATGTCAATCACTGACATCGCTCGATGCAGGGCTTTGTCCACCCTGCACGGCAGGTGGACGCATATTCAGAGCAAGCTGACGCCCCGGAGGTCGATGTGCCCTTACCGTCCCTGGCTCTCTCCTCTCTTAGACTTTCGCCTGCCGAGGTTGCCCACGCATTTCACCTTCCGATGTCTGCTTTAGTCTCACCGCCACGCCTACATACGTACCTCTTCCGCGCTGAAAGGCCTTACTTCGCCGTCAGCGTTGCGGACCTCGTCGCGGGACCTCACGCGGTACACTCAGGACCTGACCCCACGCCTTCCTGGATCAATGACCCTCAGCAGCGCGACGAGATTGGTGGTGGCCGCGAAGGGCGTCTCGAGGTTTGGGGACTAACAGGATGGTATCTTTCGGAATTGATGCGCTGTCTTGGGGTATACAGTGATCAGCCGAGCATTCGATGAATACGTTGTGCCATCTTTGTTTGAGCCGGATTGTTTGACTTGGCCACGCATGGTAGCGCCTGCACCTCAAACTGCGTTCAACACGTTCGACAAGGTTGCACTCTGCACGTTGTTAAAGTGAGTCGACACAACGAATGATCCCTCATCAGTTCGTCGAAGATCCATGCAGATAAAACGTGTTGCTGGTGAAGGATGTGGCTGTCTCGTGCACTAACGGGTCTTGCAATCGTCAACGCTAAGTTACTACGTTGACGGTCCTGATCAGCCCACTTGTCGACAAGTCCAATGTCTTGAAATCGCATCTCCTTCGTGACTTGCGTCTCTGGGAAACGTATGTATATGGATTTCACGAACGTTGTCCCAAAGAGTTGTGCGGGCATATCAGTCATTACATGGCTAATCACCATTAATCATTGTGCACTGCTGTGCAGGAAAGACACTCAGAGGTCCAATTAGCATGAGCGACAACACATGAGCCCGGTAGACTGGCGGATGCAACAGCTGGTATACCCGGGAGTGCTACTATATCTATATGTGAGTACATTATGCTTCTCGGAAGAGAAGCCAACGCCCTGGACAATGACACTTACAGTAATACGTCGGGTTCCACCAGGGATACCCATTCCCGCCATGCTGAATGGCACTCGTACTTAGGTTGCACACGGGTTGCATACGTCGAATTTACGGTGCAATACTGAAGTACTGACATCCTGAGGCTCCCATCGATTGCCATTATCCTCTTGAGGTATGTAAGCCGTGGCGAAGACCATCGTTTTCAAATGGCACAATGACTGTCAGTACTATCCGTCTCACGGAAGATTTATGAGGACCAACGGCCGGCTCATGCTCTGTCGGCATCGCTGTGACGAACATTCGCTTTGAAGTTCTGGAAGCTTGAATACCGAGCCCGGCATAACTGACATAATGCACGTACTGTCGGTCTGCGATATCCAGGTTCAATGTGTTACCCGGGCATCCAAGCTCCAGCTCCTCCAGGCTACTCAGTGACATACGATAATCACGGAGAAGCTATAATCAGGTGGTGTTACATGGCTGAACAAACGGAACATCCGTTTGAGGCGTTCGTAGGGGGTTGTATACAGGCATTTCCTACAGCTCTGTGCATCGATCGGCAAAGTAGAGCGACGACTGACAAAGACACACGGATAAACAAAGTCAACCAGTCGCCGTTCCAAGAGGGGTGTCGGACATACAATGCCACGAGCTATGCGATTCGCCTCAAATGAGACGGTCGTCGCACTGCAGAGGGTTCGGTAACAATGTCCGTGGCGTCGGAGTCGCACTTCGTGTTACGAGGGATTGCTGTATTTTGGGCGTGAATACCGCTACGTCTGGGAGTGCAGTACAGCATGCGGTTGCCCCTGTGCGTGCACCGTCATGGGCTCATCGAAGGCGCGCTCGTCCTGGCCGAGGCTGCACACAGCTTGCAGACAATGTCGATAAGTTGAGGGGACGAATAGGACATGCATACGATATCTATGACTGTGACGAGCGTCTTCAGGAGCAGACGGACCGGACGACGATATGATAGTACGTACTTAGTAACTTGTGAGTACTTAGAGAGGGATGGCGGTGGCGGTGTACTGCGCTCAAGCGTGCTTCTGATCGAATCGGGCAAGGGTGCCACGATTCCGCCGACGCAACTTGCAGACGGACTCTACCAAGACTCTACTGTACATATCTCCCTACCATTGTCATGCCTTCCGAACATAAACCTCGCTTCATCGTGCGTACCTAGCTATACCACCACACAGTTGCCTTGCAGTGGCAGTCGGGTGAGGCTGGAGGGGAGGCTGCCTGAGATGTGGATGCACAGCGTGGTTTGCTGTGGCGGCGCTCGTTGACGTTCAGTGCTGTGCAGCCTGTGCACTTGAGCGGCCAGAAAAACACCATCCTCGGCTGCATTGGATAATATTATACTAACAATTCGCCGTAATGCACAGACTTTTCAATAGCGGTTAGAGCTGTCGTCTCGACGGCTCTTCCTTTGTGGACCGTGGGTGCTCACACCGCCGCGACCACTCTACCCACCATGGCTTGTTCCACTCTCATCCCAAATAGGCATGCGGACCTCCTTTCATTTGTCCTTCGTCCGTCGAAGTAACCTGCTTCTCGCTGGACCTTCTAGGACAGCCCCTTGTCGCCCAGACTTGCCCTGCCCACGCCCCACCACATCGGGACCGTCTGTCTGCGCCGACACCTCAAGGTATGCGCGGCTCCGATGGGCCACTGCCTCCACGTCGAGTCACCTTTCCGGCACGTCGCGAAGGCGCGGCATCTAGCCATATCTCCCCGCATGCGACGCCGCATTCGTTTTCATCCCCAACCATAGTCCATACCGAGAGCAATTGTTATCTCCCTGGTAACGTTTGAATCGTCCTCGCTCAACTGTCATAACTCGAAGACAGCTAGTGGCAGGCTCACGAGCAACTCCGCTACAAGCTTCAACGTCAGCGTACGTTAGTAACGGCTGTATTCCGTTCCAAAAACTCATCTCATTGGTTCTCCTGTGGCTGTAGCGCCCTGCCCGACTTATATATAAGCCTACCGTTGACACTGCCTTCCACCACCTTCAGCACCCATCGTCCATGTCTGGCCCTACTTGTGAGTACAGTTGTAGTCTGCTTGAGCATCATGCCTGTTGCTCACATTGCTCCTGATCTTAGCAGCAATGCACCTCACGGTCAGCACAGTCCATTCGACGGCATAGCCCAATCGCGTCCGGTGACTTCTCTGATCCCTTCGATCCCGCTGTTAGTTACATCCCCATGGAATTCTGAAAGGTCGCTCACTACTCGTCTTCGCAGCCTATGGAATTCTCTCCGATGTCCGACTTTGGGCACTCTGAGCCAAGCAGTTTTAGTGGCCATACGCTCGACAACATGGGTTTCTCTGACGCCCAATACGCTCCTCCATCCTTGCTCTTCAGGTCCCCGACCGACGACAATATGACATCGCCCGGGTCGTACATGTCACCCTTTCCTTCACTAGACGACCCTCTCGGCACTCCAATGCACCTACGGCATCCTCAGATACAAATTGACACAACCGGCTACACCTCCCACTCGTCATCCCAAACGACCCTTGATGGGATGGTTAGCCCTTATGAGCCGCTCGGCATGGGCTCGCGCCGTCCTAGTTTGGCGACGCCTTCGACGTCGAGCTCTCACCTCGCGACTCCCGAACACTCGCCGGGCGAGTCGAGTCAGGCACACGGATACTTGAAGCCCAACGCTTCGCCCATCTCCCCGTCCACGTCGTTGACAGACATGTTTGAGCAGCAGGTGGGTGCATCCTTGCTCGCTGTGGTTTCGCCTCTTCTAACGCACTTTCAGGCGATCTCTCTGCCGAGCGAATTTAATCCCCCGGGACGCCCCAGACAAGCTTCCCGAACGGTTACGGAGCTCGCAAGGGAACTATTGTTGCCCTCCGATGGAGAACTCGTGCCGCAGAAGACCTACCGTCCTCATACGCAGAGTGACCGGCGCCGCTACGTCGAGGAAGTCGAGCTGGAGGAGCCTATCATGTTCTTTCTGCAGAACTCTCAGCGATGCGGCATATCCCTCCAAGATGCCTTGAACGGCAGGTTCATGAACCTTGCCGGTAGAGATGACCACATGTTCGTCAACCGTGGGCCGTCCGTGTCAATTCGACTCATGGTATGTGGTGGACATGCGGTCTATGTAGCATCGGGGACCAAGTTCGAGCAATGAAGTCTAATTGTGGCATATAGTGGCCTGGTTATGCGCCTTGGAGCAGGCAGATTCCCACAAGAGACTTCCGCACCCCTCCTCAACCTATCACGAGGGCCAAACTGGCTAAGAATGTTGCGAAAACCATACAACGATTCATTCAGGTATGCCTCCCACTCAGTTGCATGTCTGTGCTGCGTGTAGCTGGGTTCTAACTGCGCTCTCAGGATATGGAGCAACGCCCGATGGAGGAGGATGCCCGTCCTGAGTGGCGCGTTGGCTCTGCGCACATACAGCTGCACCATCTGACATTGGTCGGACTGCAGCACGTCTCTATGGGCAGCTGGCAAGCCTACGTCGTCTGCCGGCGGGGCCTGTCCAGGCGATTTGATTGATACCCCACCGACCTCACTATACCAATGTACACTTTGATCTTTCTCCTTGCATCGCTCGCCGTTCTGCCCTTGTTTTTCTTGTGGCCTCCGTTATTCATGCGAAGGACGTGGAAGCTCGTCCCGAGGCTTGTCCAACCATACGTCACACCTGTCGTTCATGGACATGACTCTGGGAGGGGTTGCTGCGTCCCGGACATCATCTTTTTGCCACTGTTCTCTGCTGCTCTCTCATGTCTCCCCGATCTGCATGTCTGTATCCACGCTTCTTGCTTCGTCCTGTCCTATGATGCTTTCCTCACCTCGTCGACTCAATGGGTCTATGCCCTAGGTTGTGATGTTTCTTGTCGATACGGACACGCTCTGAACCCCGCTGTATCAAATGTGCATTGAATGACAATGCAAGTGAATTTTCAAAATTGCAGGCTCGATACCATCTCTACTATGTCACGCTGGTCGATGTTCCAACTTGAATAGTCTACACCACACATTCAGCGGTGGTGATCGAGTAACCTATGTGAACATCTGTTCTTCATTCAATGTACTCAAGGTATGCCTATGCATTACGGTAGACTTCTAGGCTTCCAAGCTAACTTGGTGTATTTCGCCTATGAGCGACTCTACGACCTGTACACGTGCGTTTCGGAGATCGATTAGTTGCCAGTGGCACTGGCAACATGTTCCAGTCAAACGTTCAACCCTACCTACCAGCTACCAGTGGCGTGCCCCCACTCAACAAGGTTGTGTTTTGGACCTGCCTACTAGTGAGTGGCGTTCCAGGCGGGCTACTTACTCAGTGAGCCACTGGACCCTGGTCGCCTAACACATAGCTAAGCACCGGAGGCAAGTTTCCACTCTCATTGCCCGTGTGACATAGTACTCAACGAGACAACGACGATTTCAGATCTTTCGCAATACGCTGGATCCTGCAGCTATCCCTCGTTATACCAAGTATTTCTTCGCCCCGTAGACCGAGGTCACCGACGTACCCTACCCCAGGCTCCTGACCACAGGAACGGAGATGTATACCCCTCGGTTACCTCTAGCGCTCACTGACGAAGTCATCGGCTACCTCCATGACGACGAACGTACGCTGGGAACCTGTGCTCTTGTCTGCCGAGGGTGGCTACCCGTGTCGCGCATGTACAAGTTCCGCGAATTCGAGGTTAACCACCGCCGCATGGCCCAATCATCATGTCCACTGTTGTGCGACTCGGCACCCACGATCCTGCCGTATGTGCGGTGTCTACGTCTTGAGTTATATGTTCACGAGATCGATCGCGTTGCACTGAAGTCGACCTGGCTTGACACGCTACCCCGCATGCGGCTCGATCAGTTCACTGCTCTTCAATGCCTGGAGCTATCCCGTCTTCGCTGGGAGGACCTATCTCGACAGTCGCGTGACTGCCTCTTCGCCGCCTGTCGTCGCATTCAAACTCTCATCCTACGGGGGCTCAAATCACTCGACGGTATAGAGCCGGCTCTGGAAATGCTATTTGCTGCTCCGCTTCTCAAGCACTTCGAATTGTCGGGCGTCGAACCTTCCAGTTTGAGAGGCAGAGAGGATGATCGAACAATTTTCGACCACAGTTCGCCTTTCTATGCTGACAAGAAGATGCCGGTAACTCTACGAAGTGTGGCCATCGGCGCTGGAGTCTCGTTCGTCCTCGTCGCTCTCGACCACTTCACGCCAGTGTTACAAGTGCACACATTATCTGCGATCTGTCTCAGATTGGGGGAAGCAAGCGATTTGGCGATGTTCGTGCAATCGTGCGGAGCAAGCCTAGAGTGTGTCACGTATCCTTCGGCTACTCGCAGGGTACGTCTGCAGCAGGTAAGCACTTCCAATCCCGTAGCTGGGATACAAATATGCTGATAATCTCACAATAGCCATATTTTGTGAGACCGGTGGTTTCTCGCATAATACCTCACTTCGTACGCTGGAATTCACCTTGGATCCCTGCGAAAGCGCCCCGCCAATGCTGTCAATTCTACAGCAGATATCATCGAGTGTAATGGAGAAAGTGCGCATGGTATCCACGCCGCAGCATCTCCGGACGATGGATTTCGACGGACTGGCATCGATTCTTCAAAATGGTCCCTTGTCTGGTGCCAGACTAGATATCGATGCGGTCAATCGTGCTATTGTCCCTTCGATGGAGGCCAACAATCTTTTGCCTGAGCATCTCGGTTGGCTTGTGGCAGAGGACCGACTGATATTCACTCACACCGATATTGCCTCAAAGGATCTGCCCACTCCGAGTACCCCTCAATATGAATGGGCCGATATGGTTTCTTTCGATTCGCCACCATCTTGAACATGACAAGACGGCCTCGGCCTGGTGGTTTCCGCTGATGTGTCAAGTATACTTTCACCGGAATGTCCAATATGCATTGCAGACTTACTTGCGGCATTGTTGGATGCATGTACGCCTCGGGTTAACCGACAATGTCTAGTACTGTGATAGGAATGGGCGATGAATCCTGATTTTTGCACATTGTGCGCCTGTCGGTGATCAAAAGTAATACACACGCCTGCAAAGGATCCGAAGCAGCGTCGCGGCCAGTTCAATTCATTCAGGAAATGACGCAGCTCTTATTGCGTCACTTCTTGAGATTCGCGACGCAGGTGTTTACGACATGCCTCTGGATTGTGATCATATACGGATGATCGCTTGTCCTGTAAACAGTGCACCCGAGGGTGCTTTCTCATGCTTTTGTTCATTGTTGTACTTTTGTTCGTCCTTGGGCAGCCTCGGCCCGTAGAAGTTGAACCGCTTGCCCCAGAGTGGAAGGTCTTGTATTCACGGAGATCCACGTCGAGATGGTTCCTCGCCTTCAGACCTGAACACGAAGAGAGAACCCATGCTTTCCCTTAGTATACTAGCGTCCGTCCTTCGGTCAGCATTGGGGGCCCGGCATATAAAAGCAATCGCCACGGTCTCTTGATGTCCAAATCAGCTATCGTCTCCCATCGAAGCTGGCCGCTCAAGCGGCCGCAATGTTGACGCAAGGTGACGTTGCTGTTGCCTTGGTGCAGAAACAGGTCATGGTCGTGCAAGGTATGTAGTTAATGCGGCATCGTACGGTCTGTTCATTGAATGCTTCCTAGGCGCGCGCACGCACAACATGCGAGAACGCTGGCTCGACGTCCACATATTCAGCCCCTTCGGCGATCGCCTGTTTCTAGCATCCAACGTCACTTCTGCTCGCATCATGTCAACCGATATCCTCACCATCTTCCCTTCCGACGACGCTATCCATCTACCAGCGGATGGCACCCTCGAATTACATCCCAAGGCCTTCTCGGAGTTTCTGGAGCTCAGGGATCGAATGCAGAAGAAGTATGAGCAACTGCTCAGGGAATGGTTCAAACGCTAGTCGCATCAGCTTATTGGTCATGCTGTTTCGTCTTCGTTAGCCTGACTGACCGCTGCACTGTATCCGTAGACATCACCTTGTTGTATTTGCATCTGAGCTATGGCGGATATTACCGCACGCTGAGTCCGATCTGTGAGCGTGGAGACAATGTGTCCTACCCAACGTCATGAAGTAGAGACAACACTAATCAGGGAAGTAGCCAGTAATAAGATATCATCATAAAGACCGAAGCGATAGCACTTATACGCAAGAGATACATCGAAGATACGCGAACAGAGAAAACAAGAAAGACGGGTTATGCCTCTGGATCCCTGTATACCTGCAATGAATTGCCCTAGTCAGCTTTGTGCCGGATTCGACAGACGGCGCACATCACCTTCAAATCCCATATCCTGCCAACTTTCCGCTCTTCTTCCTCGACAACTGCCCCTTCGTCAGCTTCGTCGGATCGAATCTTAAGACCACGCTCGTTCGCGAGATGCAGCAGACAAATGAAACAGAAACTGGTACTGATTTCCTCTAGTTTGTCTTTGGGATATGTCTTCTGCAATCCAGAGATGACCGAAGTGAACTCGCGAGGTTCATCAGGATCGGTCGCGGGTCGGTCGTCAACGTCCTGGTGTAATGTGTCAGCATAACATTTCTTGTCGCGAAGATCAAGCTTCAATACCATAGCATCGTCTTCCTCAGCAAAGTCATCAGCTTTCGGGACAACGATGTCCAAGCCCTTCCATATATTCTCCTTTAACTTGCGGACATCGACTCGTTTCGCACGCTTCGCGTAGTTCACGAACTCTGGACGGACGCGCCGCGTTAGACCCTGAGTTGCAGCAAGGAGATCTTGCTCTCCAGGTTCGATAATTGTGCCATTCGCGCCGTCGGCGCCATCAAAGACGTCGTCAAAACCACCTGCCTCGTCGAAATCATCGTGGAAGAACTGTGTGTTGAACGGAATCCCGCCGTCATTCGCGGCTAAGCAGGCAAAAGTCAGACTCCTGAGTTAAATTCGGTCGGAAGTTCCACGCACACTCATCACCATCCTCTCCTGCTCGTCCGGCCGCTTGCTCAGCAGCCGCTTGGGCCCAGAAGTTCTCATCGATCTCTCCGTCGCCCCGTGCTTGTACACGGCGTCCACGCATCTTCAACTGCATCGAAGAGATAAACGATCAACATAACGTAACAGTTGAATGTAAGCGGCACGTACAGAGAATTCCGGCTTGAGGAATAATGTCACGAGCTGGCGACTCGAGAAGTGCATATCGTCGGGGAGGGTCTGATCGGTGCGCCGTTCCCTCTCCTTGTCTTTCGCAGACTTCCTCTTGCTGCCTTTACGACTGGACCCCTTGGCTGAGGAAGAACCCGGTAATGTTATACCTGCGCCGCGCGTGACGGGTACAAAGAGCTCCTTCGCGATTGTCTTGGGGTCCTTCTCGGAAGGCGTTAGAAATCGACTTGAATGCCTCCTTCTTCTCGCGTTTAGCTTTGGGGCTGCTTCAGAAGCTTCCGCTGAGGTATATGAGTGAGGTACAATTGCGCTCGAAGTGCATCAACTACTCACGTCTTCTCACAACTCTACGCAGCTTCCAATGCTCAGGACCCGCCCAATTCTTCAGGAAATTCTGGTCGAAGTAATCCATCATGAGGCCGCCTTCACCCCCTTCAGTCATGGCCATGACAAGATCACGCTCGTTGGGTGCTCGGCGAGGATCAATGGTACGAATGCGCCAGTATGAACGCGCTCTCCTGAGGGAGCATCTGACCCATCTGGCTGAGAGTTCGGGTCCATATCGTCTCCAGGAGCGAAGTCACCGGGGACGTAATCGTCCGTAATTGCTTGATCGCCTACGAAGAAATCCTCAACCGGAGGCCCATTCTGGTCTCCGTCCATCTCCATGGGAGCTGCCAAGTCCTGCGGATCATCCCCACCAAAACCATCTGGCTCGTCATCGTCACCACCATCATCGAAGTTGGGAGACTGGTCGCGGAAAAGTGTCGTGTCGTCGAATGAAAAGTCTTTGGCGAATGAGAATCCCTCCAACGATTGACAGACTGCCATGCCGTCGAGGGCGTCCATATCAGGCAAGAACTGCTCTGGAGACCCGATGAGTGATTGTTAAGGTCATAAAATGCGAGACTCACTGCGAAGATAGCTGAGATCCACCAAGTCTTCAGGCTCCATCAGGGGTTCGTCTTCATCGCCAGCCGCGCCCATCGCATCGCTTGCGTCGAAGACAACGCGCAGAGAGCCTTGGGGGCCCTCACCCAGGCTGAGGTGATTCATCAATAGACCCTGAGCACCACCTTCGTCGAAATCTGCGCAAGTCTTTCGGAAGAGAGGATCGACAGTGAATTCAAGGTCCAATTTCTTGCTCCGCAGCTGAGTGAGGCTCTTTGCAAGCGTAGACTCCGGACGGTGAGTCTTGCGCTTGCGCTGGCTTTGTCCTGGCTCTTGACCGTCGGGGTTGTCTGACGCTGCACCGTCATCGTCGCCCGGTCGTCCTTCGTTGGCCAAATTGCTAAGAAGCTTCCCGGTCTCGGTCCCGACGCTGTCTACGCGACTCGTCCAGATCTTTACACATCCATCGAGTGTACACGACGCGCGTTGAAAGTTGATAGAATTGTCTGTGTTGTTACGCAGCAGGGACATGTCATGGAAATAGTCGATAAGAGCAAAGTTCCACGAATTGGCTGCATTGATTTTCTACAGATACATAAGAAACGAAGCGAGCGGTGTAAGCGACACTGATGCGTACATTGTCCGTAGCCATCTTCATCCACTCCTCAAAGTTGGAGCTCATCACGTCGAGGGGAACATTGATGATTGGGGCCTGAGCAACAGAGAGGAGTTGCTGTTTCTGCCTGGCTTGCGCAGTCGTACCTGTGGAAGCCTCTGCACCACCCTGCTCAGCAGCCGCGCTGCTGGAAGAGGGTCCTGCCTCGGCCGTGTCGGATATTGAAGCGGCCATCGCAACCTTGGCTGACTTGCGGCGCCTACGTTTCTCTGCCATATCGTCGTTGATGTTAACGGATTGCAGGGGTGCGCGACCTGAGTCGGAAGTGAAGCTGTCTTCGTGATCAGGGGCATAGACGTCGCTGAGGCGTTTCTTCGACATTGTTCGCTGCATCTGCCGCGGGGTGGGCGCGTCCTCCTCGGGCTCGGTGTCGCCTTCACCGTCGCGTGCGTGCGGGTTCTCGCGTATTGTGGATTGTCGGGCGATACGTGAAGGAGGCATGTTGGCTTCGAGGGCACTGCGCGACGCGGTCGATGGTGGTGGTTCACGTTCAACTCCGGTCACGCGTCTCCACGCGTCGACGACACGCACGTGATCGCCCTCGTACGCCACCGTCGCGGCCGATTTGAACTGGAACTGGAACTTGAATAGGCTACGTTTCCACTGCGCACCGCTGCAAAGTCGTCCGCAAAATCACAACATATGGCTTCTTCCCATGCACTTGACGACGAATCAGAAGCCGATGACCCTGGCTTTGCAACCTTGCCTGCCCATCTCAGACGTCGCATTGACAGTGCCTTCGATGAGGCGGTCAGCTCTGGTTTAGAACCCTCGAGGAAGCGACGTAGACTCGCCCCACATTCAGACTCAATCAACGTTGCACCGTCTTCTGAACCTGGAGGATTTGTTCTCGACGAGGCTGAGCCAGGAGGATTTCTTCCCGAGGGCGACGACCAACCAGGAGGTTATCTCCCGGATGGCAACGACCAGCCAGGAGGTTTCTTAGTCGACACCCCTATGCATGAAGACTCTGCGTCAAATCACGCCGCTTCTACCCAACACATCGGGACTACGGACAGCGAAGAAGACGCGAAAATTCCTCTGTCTCACATCCCTCACGCGCTACAGCTGCTTGATCTCCAGCCAGACGACGAGGACGTCCTCGCTGTCTTCAGACATGCAGCATCGGGCTGGGAGGACAAGACACACGCGCGTTCGCGCCAAGATATCTCCGACGAGCAATTCGTCAGCAGAAAGGACTGGCGAGCCGTCTGCGCTACTCTGCTCGGTGGCGACGAGGACGACGCAGACACCGGCACCACCCGTGACAGACGCCTACCTGCCGCAGACGCATATGACGAGGGTGGTGAGCTAACCCCGCTCGAGAGCTCAGGCTCTGAAGACGAGTATGAGGCCAGCGAGCCGGAGGTAGATTCATCCGACGCAGGCGACGATGCCTCCGACGACGAATATCAAGAGGGTGGGTTCATTGCCACCAGATCCAAGGGCAAGCAGCCTGTGTCTGCACGCACGTCGAAACGGGCGTCGCACTCAGCTCGCACTAGTTCACCTGTAACATCCGATGACGATACGAGCAAAACCCGTAACCGCCCTCTTACCACTCGGCAGCGCCTCGAATGCCGTCGCACGTTCGCCTTGTTCTTTCCTGACGTGCCGGACTCGCAACTCGACAAGCAAAGGATCATGATCAAGGACATAACTCGCGTCGCAAAGCTCCTCAAGGAGAAGATCACCGCGGAAGAGGTGTGTGCTCATGTGTACATTCCGGATCTGCTCACTGACGGACACTCCGCCATTCTACGCACCCCAGACGCTCGAGATGCTCGAGATGTTCGCCAGCTCTGCCGACAAGTCGATGAGCCTACAAGACTTCGAGCGCATGATGATGTCGGCCAAGCTGGCATAGCGTGTGCCTGAAGCACAACCGCACACGTTCCAATACATCGAGATGTCGTCTAGCCAGCATCCACCAACAAACCCGCTAGCATTGACAATGACATGGGCGTCGACGGCAGCCGCCTCCTCTAGACGTTGACATTATCTGACTATCACCGGCAGCGGATTGTCCGAGGCCGATACTCCCGGGGCAATGCGGCGTGGCTCTCGTACGCAACCGCCCGCACTAACACTCCTTGGCACGGCACCTCGAGTTCAACCCGTCTTCCTTCGATCGCTTAACACACCGGTACGCCCCTCGGCGGCCCCGAAGCACGATAGAGCGGGGAACGCGTGGGGAATCGAGGGTCACGGCCCACACGGAACTCGTACTGTTATCGCTTTAGCGAGCCTCGCACTGGCACTTGGCTAGCCTTCGAATCGCAATCACCACCGCGTTGACCCTCCAGCGTGTACATGATACATAACTTGCATACATATGTGAGGGTCCCTCCTACCGTTCCCGGAGGACCCGGCTGCGCGGAGTCACGACACTTATCGCGGGGCTCGCGCAATGGGGTCGAAGGTTTGACCGCATCGTCACCCAGTGCCACGGACGACTCGGACGGGCGCGTCTCCTCCGGCGGATTCATGAAAGCTCGGATCAAGTTCGGTGCCGGGGAATCCGTGCAATCGTAAGGTTGTTTGCTGTGAGCTTCGCTAGCAAGACGTGCCGTTGTCGTTCAGAGTCGAAGGAAATCCCACATTCCGCTTGAAATCCACCGACGGCATCGAAACTCGTCAGTAGAAATCGAGTTTTACCAACTTCAGCCATTCGCGACCCCAGTGCAATGAGCCGACAACACACAATGACCTCGACTCACCTTCAGGCATCTTCACGTCGAGTGCGTGGGCCACAATCACGCCGAGGAAGGATGAGGTGAACATGAGCAGTGGTGCCCCGACAGCATTGCGATTACAACCCGAAGGAGAGAAAACCGAAAACAAAGACAGCCTGCTAATCGTTACACATTACAAAGTCGTCAAGTTAGCGTATCCGGCGTAGAGGCCCATCGTCCTTAACATTGCGGCCTCCCCCACCTCATCAGAGCATCCAACCCAAACCGCCCCTCAAAGCGTGCGCACGGGGGCGCTCAGACCTTTTCGTCGACGACCTTCTCGTCGTGATGGCGCTCCGCGAGGTGGTCCGCGGCATGGACGTCGTTCGCGACGAGCTCGCGGCGGTACGCGACGCTCGTGAGCGGCGTCGAGTTCTGGTAGAGCAGGTCGATCTGCTCGAGCGACAGGCCCTTCGTCTCGGGGATGAAGAAGTACGTGAACACGAACGCGCCCGCGCACGTCGAGCCCCAGATGAAGAACACCTTCGCGCCGAGGCCCGCGTTCCCCGGCCCGTGTTCACCAGGTACGGCGTCGCGTACCCGATCCCGAAGTTCCACAGCCAGTTCGACGCGACGGACATGGACATCGCCTTCGCGCGGACGTTGAGCGGGTAGATCTCGCCCGTGATGATCCACGCTGCAGCGGCCCATCAGCATAGTTCCGATCATACGGAGCAAAGGCGGAACGTACCAATAGGACCCCACGTCGAGGCGAATGCGGCGATGTACAGACAGGTGAGGGCGATGAGCGCCTGCTGGCCGGCCTTGTTGTCGACGGAGATGGTGACGCCGACGATGGCGATGAGGAACTCGCACATCGTCATCCACGCAGCACCCCAGAGCAGGAGTGACCGACGGCCGAAGCGCTCGACACCCCACATGCCGGGGATGGTCATGAACACGTTGACGATGTTCGTTGCCACCGACACGAGGAAGGCGTTCTTGATGCCCGCCTGCGAGAAGAAGGTCGTGCCGTCTGCGCGCTGTCAGTCACACCGAACCGTCACAAACGCCGCGTCATGACTTACAGTAGAAGATGAAGTTGATGCCGGTGAGCTGCTGCCACGCCTGGATGAAGATACCGGACATGGTGCGGAGGAAGATCTTGTTGTGCGAGAAGCGGAAGCAGTCGAGGTACGAGCTCTCGCCGAGCGCACGCTCCTCCTCGAGGTTGGCGCTGATGTCCGCAAGCTCGACCTCAACCTCGGGGTCGGTGGGCGACAGGCCAGTGAGACGACCGAGGGCATTGGCAGCCTGTCATTCTTGCCATTCTTCACGAGCCAACGCGGTGACTACGAGCAAAACATGGGTTCAAATTTAGCGAAATGGCACGGAGATGCACGGAACGCGATGAACACACCTCAGGGAGGAAGAACATGCCGGTGAAGACGATGAACGCCCAGATGAACTGGATGGAGGTGGGTATGCGCCATGCGGCGTGGCTGTTGCGGTCCTTGTCGCGTTGTTGATGACAGACGCGAGGAGGAGACCGATGGTGACGGCCCACTGGTAGCCGGCGACGACGGCGCCGCGGATCCATTTGGGCGCGCACTCGGACTGGTACATGGGGATGAGTGTGGAGACGAGGCCGACACCGAGACCGGCGAAGACACGGCCGACGACGAAGGTCGCGATGTTGTGGGAGCCGACCTGGAGGGCGACACCGAGGACGAAGACCAAGCAGGCGAACTGGATACCGTGGCGACGACCGATGATATCGGCGACGGGTGCGCCGATGAGGGCACCTGGGGAGGGGAGTGGAATAAGTGTGGTTACATGATGCGAGGACGCGCCGATGCTCACCAAAAAGGTACCGGCGGAGAGGATGGAGACGACGAGGGACTGGCGGGAGGAGGGACATAATAGCCTTGATTACACGAGGTGGTGTTGAGTATGTCGGCGGGGCAGGGTGAGCCGAACAACTTGAGCCAGTCGAGCATGGCGATGATGCCGCTGATGGTTCCGGTGTCGTAGCCGAAGAGGATACCACCAAAGGCGGCAAAGGCGGTCATACCGATGCCGGCGAGCTTGTTCGTGGGGGCGTTGGCACCGATGCCGATGCCATTGCCTGTTGCGACGGGACCGGGCATGACTGCGTGAGGGGATGGGGTGGCGGTGGCGGGAGGGGGAGGGAGTGCGCGCACGGGCCGGGGGAGGGAGTCGAGGGAACAACGACGACGAGGGGGAGAGGGGGCGGCGCATGGCTTTTATATGCTTTGGATGGGGACGGGGAGGTGTGGACGGATTGGGATGGGCGCCCAACAAGGCCGCATGGATGGGAATGATGATCAAGGAGATGGATCGGGTGCCAGGCACGTCCGCGCGTCCCAGTCCCCGCCCCCAGACCAGACCAGATGTGGGGGTCCGGGGGTGGCGCGCACTTGGCCCGCCGCCGCCCGCCCCCGGCCTCGCCGGCTGGTACGCCTCGCTCCCCTGCCCTCCTCTACTTGGTATGCCCTCAACACTCCCACTGGTAGCACCAGCCCTGGTTTGATCCGACGCCTGTCTGCGTCACCCGTGTGGCTAGCACGGACGCCCACAGCATGATGGGCGACCCCGTTACCCCCGCACCGATCCCTGCATTCCGCACGTCGCGCACACACAGTATTTCCGCACGCGACGCGTCCAGGATCCGTGTCCCGTACCAATCCCGTACGCCGCAAGAACGGGGGCCGCGCGTGCACGTTGAGCCTCCGGCCAGCGACCGACGTCGCAGGAGAGGAAACGCGCTCTCGGGATGGGACGATCCACGTCCCGGCTCAGGCACGTCGCGAAAATTGCGCGCCAGTCGACAACCGCGTCCGCTCGCCACCATCTCTACGCAGGGCAGCGTGATTGCGCGGGCGAGATGCGCGCAGGGGCCGCGTCGGACGCGCGGGTCGACGCGTCGGACGCTGTTGACGCGTCGCGAAGCGTGCAGTAGATAAGTCGGCCTTCGCTTCGTCGAAGGCGAAGCGAGCTGAGCCGCCGGACCGATTGAAGCCCGCCCCGGGATCTTGGGTCCGTGTGCGCCCTCCCTCCATTGGCTCGCGGCACACCCAACCGTCCTGAGACTCGCCGCCGTTGAGAGCAGCTGACCGCCTCGCGACACGCCGACACCGGGGCTGTGTGGCCACCCTTCATGAAAGGGAGCGAACTGACGCATGCCCGCAGAATGTGGGTCGGATAGCTTCCGGGCCTTCCAATGCGCGCGCGTGAGTATGCGATCGTTCGATCGCAGCGTACCCGCCCTCGCGGCTGCGCGCGCTGTGCCTGTTCATGCACGCAAGTTCCTCCCGCCTGTCCGCCGTTTCGTCAGCTCGCGCGCAATGTTCTGGCAGCAGAAGATCCGGGGCAGCCCACGGGGTTCTCGGTGTGCTCTCGAGCACGGCGAGCGGGGGCTGAGTCACCGTACCGCCTGCATCGGAGAGTAGGAGGTGTCAATGGCAAGTCTCAGAAAATGAAAACTATGTTCGGTGGCGGATTCGCCGTAGGGAGGCACACGCATGTGATTGCTCCCCGCAACGGCGTCTGTGCGGGGAAACGAAGCCAAGGCGTTCGGCCTCCCCAGGTCTCCCCGCACAGCGTCCCCGCAGAAGCCCCACCTCCCCGCCAGACACAGGTCCCCGCCGCCCGTTCCAGTCGAACCTCCTAGCCCCTCCGCCGCCCGTATGCAACCCTCGCTATCGCTCCAGCCAAGGGAACACGCGCCTCCCACGCCGCTGTGCGCCTGCAGGAGAACCATGCGCACGTCTGATCCCACGTCGCTGCGTCGCTGTTTGCCTTCCTGCGTGACAGGCCCCTGCGAGATCTTGACGGCGTACGCCCTTCTTCGCACATCGATGGACGTCGCCCGTCGGATTCTGTCCAGCGCCTGCCGTGGGGCTCCCCGTTTTCCCCATGCAGCAGGCCCGGATCACGAAGATTTCAGGTTTGGGGCGCGTTCGAGGCGGGCTGATGGCTCCCACAGGACGTTGCGCGAGTGAGTGGGATGAAAGTCGACAGCGTGTGGGTACTCGGCTACAGCGCAGGAGGCTGTCTCCCCGCAGCAGACCCCGCGCCGCCCGCGACAAGTGGCTGAGGGCGTGTCCGCACGAAGCGGAGAAGGGCACGGGGCCGGGGAGCGGGGTCACCCGCCACGCCTGTTGACAGATCCAGATTCCCGCCCCTCTCGATCAGTCGAAACCTTCTTTGCTGCCGTGATCGCTCCACCCATGTACTCACCGCCGCCGAGCCCTCCGCGTACGGCTCGTCAATATATGGTATCTGATGTTATATTGCTGTCGAGCATTGCTGTGCGCACACAATACAATTTCATTCGCTACATATCATAGCCGGACACATCCATACGCTACACAACACCGCGCGCTGCCATTAGAAATACATGTCTCCCAGACCTTCAAATTCGCCCTGGCCTCGGGCCACTCGTCGCCGCGCTCACGCACTCGCGACAAAGCCCTCGAGAATCGTTTCACGCCCCACGCACCCGGGTCGGGCACCTGCTCCTTCTTCAGCCTGTCCCCCTCCACGTACGCGCTCCGCCCCGCCTTCGCCTCCAGGTCCCGCGTCTTCAGCGCGGCCGCCCCGCCTGCGCCACCGCGCCCTGCATGTCCGAGCCCTGCGACGCCTCCAGCGCGCGCACGAACGCCTCAAGCGGGTCTACCAGCGTGCGCGACGGCGGCCGCGCGCGCGTGTACGTGTACAGCTTCGTCAGCGCGGACGACAGCGCCGCCGCCCAGAGGGCGGGGCTCAGCGTGCTCGCGTTGTTGTGGTGCGTCTGCAGGCCCTGCGCGAGCGCAGAGAAGAAGATCCTGCTCCGGTCGTCAGCACACCTGTTCCGAACAGCACACAATCGCTGCGACGCACGAATACAGCGCTCCGCTCGTCCCGCCCATCTGCTCTTCCGCCACCTTCGACACCGCAATGACAGATCCGACGACGTCCGCGCCCGGATCTGGCCGCTCTCCAGTGCCTTCAGCACACCTGCAAGGTACACATCAGACACTCCCCCACCGCACCGCCGCACAAACCACGCACCGTTCGCGCCGTCCTTCAGCGTCAGCCCGCAGTCCCCGTCACCCGCGATACTGTCCATCCTCGTGATCTCCGGCTCCGCCTCCACGATCGCCTTGCACGCTCTCCTCACCGCCGCGTCGAACGCCTTCGCGTCCTCCGCCCGAAGCTTCACGCCCTGCGCGGCGCCCGCCGGGCGCGTCCCCGCCGTCTGCTTGATCTGCTCAGCGCGGCCGCGGGCGGCGCGGCGGAGGCCCACTTCCAGCCCGGCACATCGGGCTTCTCGTCGAGCAAAGAGAGGAGCAGGTCCGCCGAAGGCGCGGAGGAGTCTGACCCGTCGGGGAGGAGGAGCAGCGTGATCGAGAAGCCGGGCATGTTCAGACTCGTCTGCCCGAGCGAACGCAGCTCAGCACCAGTCCGCCTGCAGTATCACAGACGCACCATGAACGTCCCCGCGAGCACCCTCTCGATCACAAAGCCCTGCTTCTCCAGCGCCGCCCGCGTCTCCCGCACCACGCCCGGCAGCTCCAGCTCACTCGTCCCCCCAGGTTGTTCACCAGCAGCACGACGCGGTCCCCGCCCTTGAACGGCACGAACGCGCGCTCGGGGTCCGCCGTGCCCGTGAGGAGGTCGAGCAGCTGGGGGACGAGCGCGGCGAGGGGCGGGACGGGCGCGAGGCGGCGGTTGCCCGGCTCGTTGTGGATGCCCATGCCGATCTCGATCTCCGCCGCGCCGAGGTGCGACGCGCCCGCGGCGGTCCCGGGGACGTGGCAGTGCTCGAGTCCGACGCCGACCGTCCCGACGTGCGCGGCGACGTACGCCGCGGCGCCGTGCACCGCCGCGAGGCTCCCCCCGCGCTTCGCGAGCGCGCCCGCGACCTTGTAGACGAGGCACGTGCCGGCGAGGCCTCTGGGTGGGAAGCGGTGAGCGGGGCGGCGGGGCGAGAGGGGAGCGAGCGACTCGCCTGCGGCCGACGATCTTGCCTTGGGTCCTCCCGACGGCGACATCGTCCCCACGATCACGAACTTGACCTTGTCCGACTTTTCGGGGTGCTCGGCGGCATACTGCTCCCTCGCGAGACCGAAGTTGAGGATGTCACCGGTGTAGTTCCTGCATGACCGCACTGAGCATCGAGCGGTACCACGCGCGTCGGAAGGGCTCACTTGACTATGATCACGGTCCTGCCAAGGCGGGTAAGGTGTCAGTCAAGGCCGCTCAGACGAGACCGCCAGGGCGGACGCACCCCTGTTCGTTCTCCACGAGGTCGATAGCCCTGCGGACCTGGCTCGTGTTCGGCGACGCGAACACGGTCCCGCACGCAGCAGCTAAGCCAGAAGGGCGACACAGTGAGCACCGCGCGGGGGAGGGAGGCAGTCAGGCGGACGCACCGGTGAGCATCCCGTCGCCTGCACGCGCACCCGCCTCAGCATGACATCCTCGCGCGCGAGCAGCGCAGGCACTCACCGACAAAGCCCGCGTGGGCGGGCTCGTGCCCCGCCCCACCGCCGCAGATCAGCGCGACCTTCGAGCGGTCCTGCTTCGCGACATACACCACTGCGCGGGGAGGAGACGGGGGCCGCGGGTCAGTGAGGGGTGCAGGACGGCGCTTGGCGGAGCGCACCTTTATCGGCGACGTCGAGCGCGATCTGCGGGTTGAGGGTGCAGAGGCCCTGCAGCGACTCGACGACGAGGTTCTCGGGGGCGTTCAGGAAGTGTTTCGCTGAGGGATCGTACACCGCCGACTCATCATCAGTCTCCGCCAGGAGTGCACGCAGGGAGCAGCTACGCACATTGGACAGACATGATCGCCGTTTAGCGGGGGTCGTAGTAGTAGTGTGGTTATAGATGAGGCCCTGATACGGGCTGTGGGTATGCGGTTGTGGCGCATCCGCGCACTCCAACGGTCCGTCTTATACGAGCACAGTGACCAACGGCGCGCCCCGCCGCCGGGCCCTGGCCAGCCAGTTCGTGTGACGGGAAGGATTGGCTTGTGACCCCGACGCGGTGTCCCGAGGCACCAGACCCGCCGCGCCCCTCGCGATCTCTCCCCTGCCGCGAGGGCCAATAGGGACCCACTGCGCTCGGCCACTGAGTGCTGCTGTACGGTGCATGCGGAGGACCCAGTCGCAGAAGTTGTGGAGAGAGGGCTGGGCCGTCGGGCGGCCCTGCCGAGTCTCTGCGCTATTCTGAGTTCTTGCATGTATTGGTGCCATACGCTGCAGTCTGAGTGTGGCCAGGTCCATCCAGAGTGATAGTAGCGATTCGTTCAGTCTGGCCCGCCGCAAAGTCAATACAGAGGTGACGGTGAGACATGGGTTCGGTCGAGGTGGCAGGCCAGAACGTCAACACGTCTTGAACATCGGTGTCAGAGACAAATGCTATTCAGAGCGTTCGACGTTGCATCTTAGTACACTTATTCTATCATACATGCAATACTAGTGTAAGTGTGGTCGATCATGGTCACGGTCGTAAGTCATAGAGCGTCCTCCAGCCAATCTACCTCTGCGTGCCGCCCACAAGCACCGTAACACGACAGCTACCGACAGTCCAGCCTCAGTCCACGCCTACTCGTCAATATCCGACATCGCACTGCTCGCCTCCCCAGCAGCGACAGAAGAATCCGCCTCGTCGTCCGACCCAGGCACGTCGGCGCTAGGTGTCTTCCTCCCAACGCCAGTCGCTAACGGGAGTCCAAACGGGTTCGAGGCCATCCACGCCGGCACGATCTCGTCGAGCGACACGAAGCGGTCGCTCGCGGGCCACCCCTCGAGCGGATCCTTGTCGTCCAGATCCGGGTCAGGCTCCGCCTCGGCAGACGACGTCGGCGAGTTCCTCGACGACGACGACGGGTCGGGGAAGTCGAACTGATGCGCGGAGTGCGCAAGCGGGTCGCGCGACGTCTGCACGACGTCGTCGTGCTGCGAATCCTCGAACGACGGCGGCTCGCCGTCGTCCAGTGGGGGCGGGGAGGACGCGGGGGACGAGCGCGCATTCGACTGGGGTGTCGGCCAGCCGCCGTTGTCGCCGATGTAAGGCGCCATCGCCGTCAGTGACGCGAGCCATGGCAGTTTTGGCTCCTCCTGCGTGGGGAGCACATACTGTTCGTTGGCCTCGGATGGGGGAGTGGGTAGCTGTGTCGCGCCGTCCTCCTCAGGCTGAGACGGTGCTGCGGTTTTTTGTCGAGCTTCCTCGATCTTCTCATGGCTCTTACCGCCAATCGGTCGACTCGTCCGTCTTCGGTAGAAGAGCAGGTAGGCGTTGGCGTTCTGCAAGAACACAACAATGTCAGATCACTCAGCGCCGGTGTAATGGAAGGGAAGACACGAACCACAGAAGCTTCCGCGCTAGCAGAGGTGACATACGAATCGTCGAAGTGGTACCACTTGTCGGTGATGTGGTTGTACGCGTACGCACGATAATGACCGCCGCCCAAGCCACCCATGTGCTCGTCGACGGCATAGAGATCATACACGAGCGGTTCCTCGGTGTCGCCCAGGCCAAGCTCTGCTACGTCCACACCCTGCTCTTTGAGGCGCTCAGCCACCTGGCGCTCGCCGACCATGCTCGAGATGTCGAGACCTTCCACTGGGAAATCAACCAGAACATCAATCTTGTCCCGGAGCGTCCGGCTGTTGCTGAATCGTTTCAAATGCACGACAAGGACATCCGGCACCTTCCACAGATCGAACCGCTTCGTCGCCTGCTGGTGCTTCTTACACCGCGGGCAGTACCATAGGTCGTCCTCGCCCAGCTTCTCCTCCTTCGTGAACTCGTCCAAGCAGTCTTGCAGCGAGATTCCGCGGTTCCTCTTCGCGGCAGCCGCCTCCCGCCCCGCAGTATACTCGGGATGCACGAACTCCTTCCAAGAGCTCCACTTCGTGTTTTCGAACTTGTGGCGGCCGTCGCCGAAGTAGTAGTCCTTCATGTTCTCGTCGAACTCGCAGAAGAACGCGTCGCCCTCCTGCAGGAGCACGGGAGTGTCCTGGCCCGAAGCCTTCTTCGCAATCTCCGTGCGCTGCTCGAACCCCTCGAAGCGCTGACTAGAACCGTAGGTCGAGCCCACCCCAGTGCTGAACCTGTCGTTCCCCGTCTGAAGGTGCAGCTTGAAGATGTTGCGCTTGAACCCGATCTTGCGCGGCTCGCTGTCGAGCTCGACATCCATGTTCTCGTCCTCTCGCACGACTGCACCCTTCTCGTCGGTGATGTCGCCCTCCTCTGGCGCCGCCTCGTTGACGGTGATCACGTCGCCATTGGGAGTGATCTCCGTGAGCGAATCCGCAGCTGAGGGGCCCGAGATCGGGATCTGCACAGGCTCCATGGACGACGGCGAGCCCGCCTCCCAAGTGTAGAGGTCCCGGACGTTGTCTGTCCACCGCTGCAAGCGATCGGCTACCGCATCGTACATGGCGTCCGAGTCAGTCGCCTGCTCACGAGTGATAACAACGACGAAGGGATACCCGAAGAGGTTCTGGTTGCGGCCGTACGATCGCAGGGGGGTGATGATGTCGCACAGAACGACGGGAATGATGAAGGGGTCCTCAGGACTGGGCTTGTACGTCCGGCTCTGCTGAGAATGGCACGGTAGTTCATAGCAGACTATGACATCGTTGGTCCCCATGTCTCCTACAGCTACGGCGTCGTCCAGGTCTTTGTAGAAGCGATGACCGAATACTTCCAGAGTCAGGAGCTAGACTATTGTCAGTACGCCCGTATTCAACGCACAACAACACACATACATGGTCAGGGTCAGCTTCCATCCATCTTCCCAAAAGCTGGCGCAGCTCCTTGAAAGACGCATCTCTGTTGATCTCTACAGGGACCTACACGGGCATGAGGGACACAACAGGGAGGATAAAACAAGTAATCGCACCTTGACATGCGGTTTTGACACGTCCCAGGGTATGTAATAGATGTCGTGTCGCCATTTCTTCTGGATCGGGAGCGGAAGCGTGAGGTACATGAACGGGTCAAAGGTTATTGAGACCTGCGAACGGTTGTCTGAGTATTTTTGCGGGTTACATGTTGCGATGCAGACTGTACCTTGGAGCACTCCGGGCAGACGAGCGTACTCTGATACTGGCCTTGGAAAAGATCGACGATGACACTATCGTTCCGTTTCATGTAGCCTTGCCACGACTCATTTGCAAGCTCGACCAGCTCCTTGTCGCCTCCGCCCTCCCAATCCGGCTTCTCCACATATGGCTTCTTCAGCACACGGTTCAAATCCTCGTGGAGTCCGTCGAGTAGGAACGCCACCAATTCTTGCGAGTCGTGTTGCTGGTAGCCGCTGAACTGGGGGGCAAACCTTTGTAGCGCCTGCTTGAACTCTCGAGGAGAATATGACGTGCTACCGGAGCCTGTCGCCCAAATACGCTGCAGCAAAGAACCGAATGCTTGGGCAATGGCGCCACCCATTCCGAGTGGATTGTCGGGATTGAGTTCCTCCTCGAAAACACCAGCTGGGCAAATATAAGTACTAGCCTGGGGAAACCGCCACTGAAACGTACTGAGGAAATACTCCGCTAGCTCTTGGGTGTGCACTAAACATTGTAGCGCAGAGTTCATGAAGCACGTGTTACCCCTTCACAACTCGTGAGCAAAGTGGACTTTCAATATCTATGCGCTTACATGTTACCCAGCCCGAGTGTACCTGGTTCCGACCCTCCGCCTTTAGACCGTGTGACAACAGCAGAAGAGCCGATTCTGTTTGACGAATTCGATAGAACCGGCTTCGCAGGAGACGATGTGATGTTGCTCACGCTTGTCGAGGAAGTCTTCGCCTGGATCGCGCCCCAGAAGTCGTCCTGGCCAAACAATTTCGGCGTGCTTTGTGTAACAGTTGATTGTGAGTTCGATGCGGATACACCACCGGGTTGCGCAGGGATCTCATTCTCGTTAACAATCCACTTCCCGTCTTCCGAGAACTCTACGACGAAGGAATCTCCTGCCTCTATGAGCTCTTCGTCTACCGTTCGTTCACTCGGCATGAGAATCGTCCCGCCGCGCTGTTTCAGATGCTCGGGGGTGCAAGAGAGTTGATCCCAAGAGGAGTCACCCTCCGATAGCTTCCAGACCCTGCAAAGTCGTGGTTCATCACCGGCCACAGACGACGAGAACGTCTTGAGGAGTGTATCGGACGTGTCTTTGGACGAGACAGTCACAAAGCGCGGAGGCATACTGACGCCTGGGACGGCATTGCTGGTAAGGACATGTACCTTGAGCCGAGGCGGATGAAGCTCAATAGTTGCTTCTGCCTGGACACCCCGAACGATGACTTTACGGGGTAGCTCATGCTTGGCCTCGCCATACCTACGAAGAGTGAGCACTACAGCCCTCGACTTCGTCGAAACAATACTCACCATTGAGTGAGCCACACCCAAACTGACTGTGGGACGAGAACATAGTCGTCCGGACCTAATGCTTGGTTGATGTTGTCGCTCCCGGCGACCACAATATCGGTGTTGTCGATGGGACCGACGTCTTTTTCGTCCACCGGACCCTCCTTGTCGAGCTCGTTCGACACGGCCTTCCGCCATCGCCGATACCATGAACTTGAGACGACATACCACGTATCACCGACGTGCATTGGGTATTGAATGAATGATTCGACCAAGCTTAGTTTCATCTCCCGCGGAGGTGCGGGCATCACACTCGAGGGCGCAGATGTGATAGCGGGGACGTCTTCTCCTTGCCCGGCCATGTACGCATCAATGTCTGTGTCGCGGATGGAAAGAGACGAAACCCCCTGCGGTTGGGATGCGCGTACATTATCTTGCGACGGGTCTTCGGAGACAGCGCGCTTGGGTGAGGAAGAGGAAGGTTCAGACTGCATCGATTGGGAACGCTGTCTTTTGCGAGTGTTGACGGTGTCGTGAGGGCTTAGAGAGGGGGACGATGAAGGAGATGGGGGAGTGAGCATAGCACGTTAATGGACGCAGGCAGAACAGAACTCGAGTGAGGCCGGTCCCGTCAAGAGCACCGTAAGTAAAGCGTTTCAAAGTACGACGCGTGGCTCTACGCGAGTACATAACACAAAGCAGCATACAAAAGCCACTGATCGGGCATTCAATCGAACAATGCCCCTTGCGTCAGGTGACTATTAAGCATTACAATCCAGTCTATTGGTGGCTACCTTCGACCACCTCAGCCCGCTCACTCTCTCAAGGCTGACTTTCTGCTACAAGTCTTCTTGAATTGCGTAGAGAGACCGTGTCAATCCTTCTGACACTCATCATCCTCAAGTCCTTGCTTCAGTAGGGTCAACCGTGCCTTCGGCTGTGGTATGAGCAAAATCCCGCCTGGCTTGCTCTACCTCACAATATATAACCCAAGTCTTCGACCCACGTCGCTCACCTCGCCAGACGATGAGGATGCCGAAGAGCAAGCTCAGATTCTGTTCTACACTGCTCGGGAACGGGCCGTTTCCCGCGACCGAATGCTCAGACAAGTCGGGCTTGCAAAGGCCCTAGTCAATTTCTCAGAGTGAGCATCGAGCGTTGTGACGGTATCGCACACATCTGTAAGACTTGCACACAGCATGTTCAACGCGGAGATGTCATGCGAGAGTGTGCACTCGCAGACTCGACGCATGATCACGATTGAGCCTGAGCCTGACTATTGGATACATGCAGTGAGTATGGGCGTCATTCGACGATGTACAGCGATGTTTCGTTACAGATGCTGAACCTGCAGATCTCCGTCAGTGCATAGAACTTGCCAAAACTCCTCGGTCCGTACCATCTAAACGGAAAGGCAAGGAAAAAGGCAAATCGAAGAACGATGGGTCTCCTGCTCTAGAGCAAGTATATGAATGTCATGATTCCTCCGTGCATGACGTGTCGATCCGCTCCCATATCATGCGTGGCTACGAAGACTTCAAGGTATGCGTTTCTTCCTCGTCAATTCGCATAATGACACGTTGCTGCCTCATCGCTCAGTTGATCCATGGCTCCTTCACCTCCATCCTATCCAACATAGGTCAGCAGGCGTTAGAGCTACAACTCGAGCGATTCTTCACTATCTGGGCATGGAAATGGGACATCGAGCAGCATACCAGTTTCGCCGCCGACCTCGGTAGATCCTCCTCGGCGTCACGTCTGCGTATTTCTGACAAGTTGTCCAGGAACCCCTCTTCATCCTCTGGCGCCCTCCCTCGTACCTCTCGTCGATGATCTCGCAAATGCCCTCCCGGATGATACATTTGTGTTCGCACTTGAACCTCCGTATGTCGTACCTTCGACGGTCCTTACTTCGCACAGCCTCCTCTCCTCGTCCCTTGTCCGCCATGTTATCTCGCGCATACCTCCACCTGTGGCACCACAATTCGCAGCCCTGTCGGACCTTCCTCCTGAACAGAGCGGCACAAAAGAGGTAGTACCCGTGCCTGCGAGTGTCACCTCCCCCGGCCTTGACCCGAGTACTGTTGCCCAAGTCACGCAAAAGTCTGTCGAGTCAGCTGCGATGTCCAGCTTCGTGGCCATGGCGAATGTGACTCGCGCGATGGATCCGCGTCAGCTGAAATGGGGATGGCTGTCGTTCGGGAAAGGAGGAGGGGCAAGACCGACAGACATGCCCGATTCGCCAGCAGAGCGTCAGTCGCGCGAAACTGCAGTCGCAGAAGAGTCGGGTGCTGACGATTATGGCAAATGGAAAGCGGACACAGAACATCTGGACGTTCCGGGTCAGCGTACGCCCGTAGATGTAGATCGCGAATCACTGCAGGAGGCTCTCTCGATCCCACACCTATCACCAAATCTGTCCTCCACTTCCATTCCTGGGTCACCAGCAGACGAAGAGGGCAAACCTGAAGGAGACGCCCCCCAATCTCAGACAGAAGTTGAGGAGCCAGACTTGACGACTCTCGACGACCAGTCGAACGTACGGGGGGATCTGGTAGAATTTCCTCCACACCCTGTCCCGCAAGGCCCTGTCGAACTTGACCTACCCGAGTCGTCGACCCCTGATATGGCCTTGGAGTTTCCACCGGCATGTCCTTTGCCAAGCTTGCAGCCAGCTACTATCCATCTAGCCGACTCATCCGATCCCCTCGCTACATGCAGACGACGCATTTGGCAAACGACGGTAAGCGTGCTCATACAATGCGCCAGGGTTGACATTGACGATGTCTAGAGCAATGGACTGACTGTCGCCTTCATAACTGACTACGAGCGTCATGAACCATCAGATCTCGTGCCGCAAACCATGACCATGGTTGATTCTCTACGGAAAGAGTTGGGCATTCAGCAATCCAAAGCGTAAGTTCTCCGATGACCACGGTCGATACGTACGTTAAGCATTTTCTGCAGGGCTAGTGAGAAGCCGATGCCATCAGCAACGAATATCCTGCAGCCGCAAAGCACCCATGTCCTGGCCGTGAACGGATACACCGTGTCCTCAAGTCGTCCTGTGCCTAATAATCCCGAACAACTGTATCATGCGAAGCAGGTGTTCCAGTCGTACGTATTGTCGCTCTCGGTTTGTCGAGACATAATTTGACACGAATCACAGCGATAACGATGTGTCCGAGGTATTCTCGCGGGGACAGAACCCTCAACATTGGCACGTCGCGAAACGACGACTAGAGATTACCGATCAGCCTGACCAAGCCCAAGTCTATATGGAGATTGCACGGAAGGAGAACACTCTGACAGATGTCGACAACGAGGTAGCAGCGATTGTTCGCGAATTCGCTGAACAAGACGATGGGTGGAGTTTGTTGACAAAGTCTTAGTTTATTGAGTGCATTGTATGTATGTTGTAACAAGTAATTGTAAGATGTGTCCTATGCCCTTACAACCCCCACCTCTGGAGGAAAGTTGAAATCAGCGGCATATTCTATGATGCGACTTTGACAGATACGCGGCCCCGCGTATTTTGGCCGTTGTGTCAAAGCGCACCTACATAGCGCGGCCGAAGCAAGAAGTATTGGCGCTGGGAGGCCGATAGCTTATCACGTGGTCTCATAATTTGTGACGGGTGGAGAGGCGCCCGGTGCTGCAGACCTCCGTCTCTGCCACTGCCAGCGACCTCGTCGATCCGTCTCTCGTCCACGACCTCCCCTGCTGCCCCATGGATCCCTCGAGCAGCTCTAGTCAGGATCCGACCTCTGTGCTCAGGAATGCAAGCTTCTCCCGCACAGAAGGGACCACTCCGGCAGACAGCCCGGTCACCGCTGCTGACGTCCTCCTCGGTTCATACGACCCTACAAAACTGCACCCATTGGCTGCGATAGAGGACAAATTGGACTATTTGCTACTAGAGGATGACAAGACAAGCGATCTCCCGGGCTCGGGCACGGCAATCCCATCCAGGGGTTGGAGCGATGACCTATGTTATGGCACCGGGACTATGTATCTTTCCGGTGCGTGTCCTGCCATGCCGCGGCTTTCCCCATGTCTTCTTCAACACTCGTGGCCTCCCCGAATCCTCGGTTGCGTTCCATGCCATCTTTGACGACCTTTCTTATTGTCTTTGCGCCATCACATGCTTACCGCATTTTCTCTCAGGTCTCGCCTTGGGCGGGGTGTGGGGCTTGCGCGAAGGCGCTGGAAGACCCCTAGCAGTCTCAAACGCGAGGCTGCGTATAAACAGTGTTCTTAACTCCGTGACCCGGCGCGGGACATTCATTGGCAACTCGGCGGGAGTCCTTGGTCAGTCGCCTTCCCTAATCGGTCTTACTTTTTGTTCTAACTCGTGCTATTCTTTAGCCCTTGTCTACAACGGGATTAACTCGACAATCGACTATGCTCGAGGTCAGCATGACACAGCTGGCAGCATGGCGGCCGGCGCGCTGACAGGGGCCCTGTATAAGGCAACGGGTATGTACGGCGAGACTGTTGGTATTCACAAAGACTCACGAGTCCGTAGCTGGTGTCCGGCCTGCCCTAGCAGCTGCGACCCTTGTCTCATCATTTGCGGGCCTTTGGAGTTACATCAAGCGTAGCGTTTGATTTCTAGTACTTACACGTCTAATATACCTAATTCTCGCCCGTGAGTCCCACCGCTCAGATCTGATACCGCATCACTTGCGATTGTCCCGTTAGGCTCGAGCAGCACAGTTCATCCCTGACGTACGGTCGATCCGGCGCCGTTGGGTGCGATGTCGCCGCGTTTTCTGAGTCCTGGGGGCCGAGGGATGTGCGTCAAAGCCCAAAGGGGCACTCTGCGCTTCCCATCCTCTGGGTATTTAGGCCACGCGGTCTAGGTCGTTATTGTCTTGCCATCCATCCGTGCGACCACCGTACGGAACTAGGGGATCTGTCGAATCTCGCTGTTGTTTCCCCCAGCCCGCTCCTCGCACCTCTCGTTGCCGTCGCGACCAGGGGATGAAGTATGCTCCATATTCTGCCCATATGCCTGGCGTCATCTTCCAGACAAACAGCTATATTTTCAGGCTTACCCAACTCCTCGGCTGAGTTAACAGACGATTCCGTGAATTTTCAGCAAATATATCCTGCACCCACTACAGTGACGCAGTACGCTGCACTCCAGGAAGGTAGCGGACGGCATGACTGTATCCCTCTGCATCTTTCACTACGGAGGGTAGCTTTCGTCTCTCTGGGTCGTCAAGGTACGTGGTGACGAAGGCTTTACTATTAAGGCTCATCGGCCGACATACATGTGTAGACAGCCAGCCGGTGGAGATTATCATTGAGGAATCTGAACTGTCACAACGTAGCGTAGGTCACACCGATTCCAAACCTCGATGCTCCAACGGACACCGCAACACGCCTGCTGGCGACAAAAAGTCGGTTACAATCGCACAGGCTCATCTTCGAGCCTCCCACTCCAGCAATAACCCGATCCGGGTTCAAAAAGGTGCCAGTCAGCGAAGTACCCACCGTACGCACCCGTATTCTACTGCCCAAGCGGCCACGAAGACCACAGAACCGGATCCATGTAGTATCTCAAAGTACGTTGATTTTTCAGGTTACATGCGTTGACTGACGTCATCAGATCCTATTCTCTCGAGATAGTACAACACCCGGTAAAAACAGCTGAATTCGGAGATGCAACTCTTAGCCGTCTACCGTTGGCACCACCCCTGATAGCCCGACTTGTGGTGTCGGACAATCCAGAGGCGGAAATAGTCGAGTGAGTCCCTTGTGATGCTCCCAGGCGAACACATTGCTTAGTTGTATGCAGTGATCCGGACCTTCAATTCCTCGTGGCACAGGTTTCGATCCACCCTGGTCAAGGTATTCCACCAGTAGTGGCCCCGCCGGAGCAAACAAGCCAGGCAAATACTCCACGCTTACTTTACGGAAATCTCGTCTCCTCGCCGCACACACTGCTCAATCTCCAAGGGCGACAAGGGGTATATTTTCTGTTCCCAGATGTTAGTGTGCGCAGACGGGGTCAATACCAGCTTTGCGTTACCTTACTCAGACTGCCGAGGTGAATAACACGGTTCACTAGCACCTGCTCCTACCAACGTTTACGCCTATAGCAGGCTGGATCTGCCTGAGTTCATGAGCGGCCACAGCGCCGGCGCGGCTCTCGCTCAGGCCCGGTCTTTACCATTTGACGTACTCCCGCGGGAAGGCTACACTGCGCCTGGTAGGCGGCATGTCAATGTCTTCACAAGGCATACACTCATGCATGCTCCGGAAGTGTTCATTGTCACCAAGCTCAAACCCGTTGACACAATATTTTCTGCAACAGGGAGCCCGCATGTACGCCTTCTCGACACCCCCTCCGTCTTCCTCTTACAGGGGCTAGACATCCGTGGCAAACGGCTATCCAAATTTCATTCTTGCGGTACGTACGATCTGCAACGATTGCAACGGTATGCTCATGTAGTAGGTGCTCTCCTCCGGAACACTACAGCTGCTCAGCATATAGATGAGGATGCGGTCCATTCATTTCAACCCTTTCACGCGTTCGTTGACCATCCTGTGTACCATATTCAGATATTCGTTCTTCTCCGATTCTTGATCGCTGCGCACCCCACGGTCCATTATTTGTTCGTACCCAGTCGGTCTCGTCGCACATTGTCCAATAGTTGCCACACATTTCTTGAAGTTTACACAGCCCATGTACTAGATATACGTCTACATAGGTTGTCGACAAAGTATTGCCTTATTCTGTCCTCCTTTGCTCATTTGAGCTTAAAAGACCGTACCGTCACTTTCGATGTCGATGGGTGGACCACCGGTGGCGGGTCGTTTCTGCTTTGCTATCTCGCGACCGCCCTTCCACGTCGCGCTTTCCAGAACCTGAGCCAGCGTTAACTCAGCCGGGCTCAGACCGAGGTTCTGTCGAATAGCATCAGCTATCCGATCTCTGCAAGAATCATCAACAGCAAGTCCAATTGAAATCAGACGTTCCTCACAATTCAATGATGGTCATTGCCCGCCACTCGACGATAGCTGGGTGCGAAGGCGGGAGTTTGGGGATGCTTGAGTTGGCGTCGGGATAGAATGAGGAAGGCAGGGCGTCTGGCTTCAGCTGCAGTACACCGAGGTCGACGAGCAGACCACCTATCAAGTGTACATAGTTCCACATAGTTCAGCATGAACTGTGTCTAGGTGGCTGAAACAAACCGTTGCGATACTCAGGCAGTCCTGTCATGTACTCGATGCCTTCGATTTGCCAACCGAGAATCTTCTGGATCGGCTCGACAAGACTGTACGTGATCCAGCCAGTGAGTTTGTGGAAGGGACGAGCTCGTCTGCTTCCACCATTGCGTCGGCTTGAGTGCATCACAGGCCATACGTCGCCTAGCGAGACACCCCCAGCGAGGTCCGCGTCTTGGGCCAAATCGGCGCGAGGCCTTCAATGAGAGCGTCCACAGGGAGAAGATATGCACTTTGCGTGTCGGCCCTTCCGGTTTCGATTCAGACTCGAAGAAATCTGGCAACATGTCGTGTCAACACTTTCTCCCTCTTCTGTTAGCTCTCGCTCACCAAGGATGTCGCCTGGTCTTGAGCTACTCCCGAAGAACGTCGGGCTCGCCCGCAATGCATCGGCCAGGTTTAGGAGTAACGACGAACGCCCTTCCAGACCGACCATTGGGTTCGATGAGCTGACCTGCATGGCGGAAGCAGTCCGATCTGAAGTGATGCGCGACAGGCCCTCCGCTGAGATCAATATGGTCAGATGGATAGCAAGAATACAGTGGTGCGAATGAACGCACCGTCGACTTTATGCGGGTTCTGACTATCCGAGGAGAAGAAACCCTCCTCAAACATGTTGATACTGGCGACCCCAAGACCTTCGGATCTCGAGAACTTCAGACCAGACTCCGGTTCATGGTAAGTCCAGCTGTTTCCGGCACCTGCATCAAGAAGCACAGATACGAGGAAGAGGTCCAGAAGCCTCTTGGTGATCTCCTTGTCATCAGGAGGATTCGGGGACGCCTTCCACTTGTTGATTAGGGGCTCAACACGGGATCGCCCAGCGTCGAGATGCCGCCATCGACCGTGGGGTGGGATCTACATGGCAATGGCGAATTGAGGTGAACTGGAGATGGACAACTGATCACCCCGCTGCTCACTGAAGCGAAGTTGGTCCCGAAATCACGCTGTACAGCGCATGATTACATTCCGCATTGAACCGGAGATCACTCGAACTCATACGGTCATTACTGCGCACCTTTATGATGTCCACGCAGAATGCAGCTACATCTGCCTCCTTCTCTGGATGATAGGTGAAGTACTCCAGTTTGCCCTCCTGAGCGAGGGCATGTACACGGCCGCATCGCTCGCGTATAGCAGGGAGGGTGCGCAGGTACGCAGCAGTCTGCTCGGGGGTGAGTGGCTTTCCAAAGTTCATCGTGGTTGCGGAGGATGTGTGGGATATGATATCGAGGAGCGAAACGTCTCCGATAGCTCGGGCTGCTTGACCGCGAGTGGAGCGATCGTACCGAGGTCAGTCAAGGCCTTAATTGACTGATCGATCACGTAAATGAATATCGACTTTACTGAACAATCTAGAAGTACAACCCGAGTACAACAACATTAATCGTCCACACTCGTACAACAAACACGCAGGGTCACGCAGGCGGTCCGAGCTCGAGACCTCGCTTCTTCCAGAACGGATGCTCCCACCACTTCCCTTCGACTTTGCTTGGCCGGACCAATCTGCCTCCCACATTGGGACTCTCGGACCGCTCAAGCACCCACAACTCTTCTATCCCCAATCGCAGGACGTACTGTGCCATACGGTCATAATTCAGACCGACTGCATGCGGCCCGTGACTGTCATCTGACAAGGCAAAGCGGCCACCATGCTTCAGGATGAGCTATGATGGGAATCAGAAGTCTCAGATGCTATATACCACGTAATGTTGAGGGAGCCTCACCTGAGCCACGTCTTCACCTGGATAGGAAGCGTCCCAGCCTTTCCTCAGTGCGGCGGCGTTCAATTCGAACAGTGCGCCATAGCCAACAGCATATGCGACGTTCCTCTCCAGTTTTTCCCAAGCCGGCGCATAGTCACCAAACCGCAGCGTTGGGTTGTACAACCGACACAGATCGACATGCCCGACTAGCTCCGGATGAAAGCGCTTCAGGACGTCATATTGAGCATCGAAGTACGAACAGAGCAGAGCTTCTATGCGCCCGTGATCTCCATCTTCGCTCGCAGTCGAGGAAGGGGCGAAGCTATCCAGAGCCTTCCCAAACGTGGCGATATCGAAGTCGATGGGGATCGAGTTGGCATGATGGACAGACCCAACCAGATATTCTATGCGTCCAGGACATCTGCTGAGAAGCGTTTCCAGGTGTGCGAGGTCTTCTTCGGTGATGAACTCTGTCTCCAGGCCCACTAGTAGCGTTATGTGGTGCGCATATTGCTCCTTGAGCCGGTGGGCTTCATTCAGGAAGGCGTCAAACTGCGTCGCCAGTGCATCGAGTGACATCCCTTGCTTCCCATGTCAATTGGGAGCAGGCCGAACAGCAGCGGACAACAAAGCATTCGGCAATGTAATTGGCAGCAGCGGATGCGGATTTACCTCTTCGGGATACAAGTCTGCCAGGCGGTAGCGAGGTACGTGCTCCGTCAGGCCATAGATCTCGAAGCCCTGTCGAATTGCCTCGCGCACTACGTCCTCCAGCGTGCCCGCCGCATGTTTGCAGAACTGTCCGGAATGTGAGTGGTGGCTGTAGGGCATCGGCTCGGAGACTCGGATTTCTTCCCTGGTCAGCAACGAAGCGTCAGCCGGAGGCACAGCCCAGTGCCCGAGAACATACCAGTTTGCTGCAGAGCACGCAAGTAGGAATAGTGCGGGTAGGCTGTGTACGAACCCGCGGCAAGGGCTGTGTTCAGAGCAAAGTCAACGCCAGGTTCAGGCTGCGCCGCGGCACTGAGTTTGAGCGTCTGCACGTGTCGGCACAGTCTCTCACGCGCCGGCCGACTGACATAAAGCAACCACCCTGTCCTCGGCGTCCTCCCCTCTCTCCCGTACCTTCCATCCGCTCTCAGGCATGTCTAACAGGGACTACTACAACCAAGGCCAGGGCCAGGGCCAGTACTATCCTCCCCAAGGTCAGTCTTGCAGCTCGTTTGCTCGATGCGAGTCGGTGACCAGTGTTGCGACAACCAGGTCCTCCCCAGGGTCAGGGTGGTTACTATCCCCAACAACCACAGGCCGCTTACGGTGGTGGCTATAACCAGCCATACGGTGGTGGCGGGCAGTACCAACCTCAACCACCACCTCAGACGGTCTACGTGTACGTCGCCCGACACGAGCTATTTTGTGATATTCCTCCTGACGTGTCGGTGCTCGTTACAGACAACAGCCTCAGCAGAAAGGTGGTGGAGGAGGAGATGGCTGTTGCGCCTGCCTAGCCGGAATGTGTTTGTGTTGCTGCGCTGAAGGTGTGTATCACTGTCCCTCGTATGACCCAGTATTGAACCAGACCTGTCCACAGAGATTTGCTGCGACTGCCTATTCTAGATAGTCGATGACTTCACGATGATGAATGCTTCTTTCTGCGCTATTGATTGGCGAAGTTCATGACCGGCGATTTCTCTTTTCATACTCCTGACCTCGGCCGTGGCGCGGTTCATATTTGTATATCAGGACTTTCTCTCGGCTTTCTACGATCTACCGCTATGTATCCTTCTCGACTCTACAGCACATAATCCAGGGCTTCGGGCCAGATGTGGCTGCGTTCATTTTGAGTGACGAGACTGAGAACTTTGAGAAGAGATCCTTGCTCGCGGAGACGAGTGCATGCGGTCCAAGGATGGTGCCCACAGGCAAACCTGTAGGTGTCCAGCCGGAGACGGTCCAAGGCGACGACGCAAATTGCAGCCAGTTGATAGGTCGGAACGAGTCGGCAACGGAAGCGTGTTCCCCCGGATGTGACGGGTGTGACGAGTGACACCTATACGGTCACCTCCTGCTCGTCGTCGTCTCAAATCCCCGTCATTGACCTCCTCCGCCAAAATGCTGTCCAGGCTCCCTGCGGGTGTGCTGAGGAACGTCGGTTCCCTCGCAGGCCCTCGTCCTGCCACCTTCGCCTCAAATGCGCGTTTTGCAGTGGTGAGTACATCTGCAACACTACCGGTGCTCCCCGGCTCAACGTCACGTATCACCAGCGTACCCGCTTTGCGTCGACAAGTTCGGGCTCATCTGCTTCGTCTGCTTTTGAGGTATGTTCTACGTTAGGTCCTGCAATGTTCCGGAGTGACACTCATTGCGCGGCCAAAGTCCTTCATTAACTCGCGCGCAACCCTGGCTTCCGTGACACTTTTCACCGCCGGCTCGATCGCGTGGTACATAGTCTATATGGTACTCTGCCTTTCGTCGGCGAGGTGCATGCAAACTCGGCTGCGGACGACGGTCTCCACCCTCCTAACTATCCCTGGTCGCACTCTGGCTTGCTAGACTCCTTCGACCATGCCAGGTCAGTTCTCTAACTCCGCCCCCGGACCTGGGTAAACGCGCTCACGATCTGTTCCGTGCCCCAGCATCCGCCGAGGCTACAAGTGTACCGCGAGGTCTGCGCCGCTTGCCACTCGCTGGACCGCATTGCCTGGCGCAACATGGTCGGAGTCTCCCACAACGTGGATGAGGTGAAGGCCATGGCTGAGGAGATCGAGTACGAGGATGGCCCGGACGACGCGGGCGAGATGTTCCAGAGGCCAGGAAAGCTCTCCGACTACATGCCCCCTCCGTACCCTAATGAAGAGGCTGCTCGTGCCGGCAACGGTGGTGCCCTCCCCCCTGACTTGAGCTTGATTGTCAAGGCCCGTCACGGCGGTGCGGTGCGTGGCTCCTCATGGCATCGGATCTATTGAAAGAGACTCACATTATGGCGCAGGACTACATCTTCTCCCTCCTGACGGTTATAGGGATCCCCCGGCTGGTTTCGAGATTCGAGAGGGCATGAACTACAACCCGTACTTCCCTGGCAATGCCATCTCGATGGCGCGAGTCTTGTTCGACGGTCTCGTTGAGTATGATGATGGTGAGGCTTCGACATGCTCTTCTAGTGTGTCCGTGAATTAATAGCGACAATCAGGCACCCCTGCTACAACTTCGCAGATGGCCAAAGATGTCGTCACGTTCCTGAACTGGGCAGCAGAGCCGGAGCACGATGAACGGAAGAAGATCGGGCTGAAGCGGTCATCCTCTTCTCTGCTCTGACTGCTCTGAGCTTGTACGCCAAGCGCTTCAAGTGGTCGGTTATCAAGTCGCGGAAGATCAGTGAGTGAATTGTCTGTGAATGCGAGAGACAGTGCTCACCTGTTCCTGTGCACAGTTTACAACCCTCCTGCGGACAAGTCGACACACTAGCGGACTAGACATAGAGCTGTGATTTGGGAACATTATTCATGAAGTAAATAGTATTCTCAATCGAGATTAGTCTTTCCGTCCGGCCTGTTGGGCGTGTCCCTGTAATGAAACGAGAGAGGAGCGTGAAGGGATCATCTTCGACCTGCCGTCTATGTCTTATCGCCCCAAGGTGCCTTCTAAGTTCATCCGACGTCGGACAGACCATGTGAGGGCCCGGATTGCTGAACGGCGGCCGTGAGAAGCCCCGATTTGGCAACCACGTCTTCAGCTCGCCGAGCCCAGCTGCATCCACGCACCCGTCTCATCTCTCAACCACTCACACCACAGACGACAGGCATCTGCACCTCTTGACCTGATTGTGTCCCTAGAAGCTCGCTAGAACCGTCATCACCTCACGATGTCTTCGGAAAGTTGGCCACCACCGCTAAAGTGCGTCTCTTCTGCCATATGCGTGCGAAGCCTTATCCATCATTTCTGCAGAGAATGGGTGGCGAAATGTCTGGGCCAGATGACTGACGCAAATCGAACGAAGCTCAGGCTGAGCTGAGACAGGTAATTGCTGACGCATTCGTGAACAAGACCTTGTGGACCACAGACTGGGGAGGAGTGCAGCTGCAAAGGTGTGTCGCACTCCCGTACATCGTGGCCTCGGTCGACTGAGCTTCGAACATCTTGAGCCTGCTACCGAAGCCGCCTCCCTCCCTCAATGCCCTCAACAGTCTCAAGCGTAAATGTGAGTCTTCCTACGAAGTCTTGCTGTGCTCCACTGTTCATAGCTGTCTGAGCAGGAACGAAACAAGCCTGTCCACGAACAAGAAAGTCAAGAAAACGACATTCAATAAGACATCGTCGTCGAACACGTTTAATCCTAATGACGCGGCTGCACTTAACCGCAGAGCTGCTCGCTTCCAAAGAGAACACGACCTCGAGCGACAGAAAGGCCTTCATGGTCAGACAGGTCATGCACATTCTCCGTACTCTCATGTCTTTGCAAACCGATCCGCAACTCCTTCGTTTGACGGGGATGCCCCAGAAATGAACACTGTGCGTCATGGCTGTATCTCTGAAGACATCAGCGGTGCTCATGCCCGACGCATTGACAGAATGTACCGAACTGGGACAAGCACACCATCGTCGGCACATCACGAGAAATCTTCAAGGACTATCTTCGCCTGACTTCAGCGAGTGTGGCTGTTATGCTCACGGCGCGCCCCACATTGATTTCTCCCGTCATCTACAGGAACCCAAACCAGAACAGATCCGTCCCTACCCTATCCTTCAGGAGACTCTCGCCCAGCTCAAGAAACGGTGGCGCGAGAAGGCTAACTACAACTGGATCTGCAGCCAGTTCAAGAGTCTACGACAAGATCTCACCGTGAGTGGTGATGCCCCGCGTAACCCGGGCACCTGACTGCAGGTGTCGACTTACGTATCCCCACAGGTTCAACGAATTAAGAATGAGTTCACTGTGACGGTGTATGAGATTCATGCGCGCATGGCTCTAGAAGTGGTTCGTGTGATGGAGTATTTTGTGCAGGTTACGGTTAATGGTTCGTGACCAGGGCGACATGGTCGAATATAACCAATGTCAAGCCATGCTGCGCAACCTGTATGAACTCGGCATACCGGGGAAGGTGGAAGAGTTCACCGCATACCGCATTCTGATGCTGCTCCATGGGCGCAATCGAAGTGGTCAGCTCTCACTTTTATCTTACTATGTCTCATTGTTGTTCTAATGCTGCATATTCCTACATTCCGGCAGATATGAATCTATACGTAGGTCAGCTAACCGACAAACAGAAGGCCGATCCGGCCGTGCGGCATGCTTTGGATGTGCAGAGGGCTTTGGCGATGGGAAACTATCACAGGCTATTCGATCTCTATCTGAACGCACCCAACATGGGCGCATACATCATGGACCACTTCATTGATAGGGAGCGTGTACGTGCCCTCATAGTCATGACGAAAGCGTACGTCTTGCCGTGCATTTACCCTCTACCTCCGCTCACCACACATACACAGGTATCGCACATTGCCCTTGTCATTCGTCCAGAACGAGCTAGCGTTCGACGGTCTCGCACAGGCTCGCGAATTCCTTACGGAGCACAGAGCAGGCATATTCCAGAATCCGGATGCGCCGGACGCAGAGAAGATCCTAGATTGCAAACCGGCAGGTGCCCCGCTCGCGCAGGTGCTGGAGGAGAAATACCGAAAAGTACAGATCAAGGGCGCTGTATAAGCCGCGCTGCTCCTCTGTCGCGACCTATCGCCGGGTCCCGCCCCTTCTTCTCTGCCGGCCGCATCTCATAGCATCGACTCTGAACCTCCGCATTTATCCTTATAACGTATATCGACCGCTTCCTCTCCTCGTCAGGACTCTCCGCGTCAAGACCAGGTTCCCCTTGACTTTTGCAGCACCGTCGACTTCGCAGCCCGCCAGGTCGAGGTCGGTGAGGTGCTGGACGTGGTTGATGGTGTAGGTTTGGTTCCCTGTTTGTATATCTTCCCTGTCGTGTCGCTTGCAATACATCTCTCGCATTCTTAGCTGCTGTCTGAGCCTAATCGCGCATACGTGCTGGGATAAATCGCCGTAGGACCACCTCTGTGACAGTGTAGTGCGCGAGACATGCCGGGGATGATAGGAGCTCCTGGGAGACTCGCGACCGTGCAGGGATGCTCACGTAGGTCAATATAAGTGTCTTGCGACTGTCAGCGTTGCTGAGGTAGCACGAGGGCGGTGATGCTTACCTTCTGCACCTGGGAGTTAACACGGTTCACTGTGCTGAGCCACGTCCAGGAAAAAGGCTGAGAGTTCGCGAGGTCGAATGGCGACGTCTCTTGATCTACCGGGTCTTCGTAGACAGGAATAACGACGATGGCGAATCTGCGACGTGTTAGCATCCTCCTTCTCTTGGTCAACAATTCTATACGCACTCAGCATGGTGGAACACGGGGCCACGTTTGTACAGGAGCAGATCGACGCAAAACTTGATGCCACCCTTGATAACCCATCCAAGGGATCGGTAGTAGTGATATGCAGCGTAGTTCACCAAGGACGGGTTGTCGAAGCGGTTGGCGTATATCTCGGGCATCACACCAGGTATGTTTGGTATGCCATGTACTTGCTGGAATGACGTCCATATTCGCTTCAGGGTCATAGGCTCAGACTACAGACTCGATCTCAGCGAAGAAGATATATTCGTGACGACATGTAGCTACCGTTGTCGGGTCGATTATGGTGAGGCAGTCGAGGTTCCAGGCCAGGAAAAACGCCTCCTGTAGAGTGAGCTGGAGGTGTTCCAAGTCTGGTACAGACTCTTCATCGAATTCTACACTTCGCTCCTCACCAGGCGTTGCGGGCGGAGTTGCTGACTCGTCTGCGAATTGCTGAGGCTTCCAAGTTGCACCGGATGGGATGACGACGGACGATTTTGATTCACGGCCTTCGGCGAAGGCGGCCTCTGCCTCTGCCGCAGCTTGTGCGATTGCGGCGGCACGGTCGAGCTTGAACTGTTTGCGTTCTGCCCTACGCTTTTCTCGGATCTCCTCGGCGGTCATATCTGCAACACCATTAGTTCGTCTGTATGCACGGACAACTATGTGACGCACATTTCCCTGCCGCAGCCCTCTGTGCACTGATTTGCCTTGCTCTCCAGGAAGGCTCGCTCCGAGACAAATCTCCTTTGCCGAAAAAGCCTCGTCTCCAAAGTATCGTCGCATCCTTCGATTCGACTACCCAGACAGACCGAGTATCCGGGTCAAATATGCCTGTGAAATGGGGGTTGATAACCCTGGTACCAGAGACTCCGAAGAGGCCTAGGATGTGACCCGCCCATGAGTGGGATTTCTCGACAATGACTGGGAGGGGGTGAGCGTAGATGCGGTTGTTTTCCCCTCGACGAGCACCGCCCTTCCTGGCACCTCCCTGGCGGTTCTGTGTGGATCCGATGAGTGACATGGTGGTCCGCCTTGAGCGAGCGAGTGAGAGAGGCCGACGCAGATGGAGGTCGGGAGGTGATATGATCGAGCTGCCAAACAGCGCGTCAACAGCGCGTCGTCGTGCGCGTCTCCCAGTCTGCCAGTGCACAGCGCCGCCGCTCCTGCCAGTGGTCACTCGGTCGTAGCACCGTTCTATCGGTCATCCCACGTAGTAAGTAGCCATGTCGGACAAGCGAAGAGCAGAGATCGAGGCGAAGAGGGCGAAGCTGGCAGAGCTCCGCAAAGCGAGGGCGGACAGGCAGAAGGCAGACTCTGACCGTCGCACTTCCGAGGTTCGTCTACTTCGTCGTCGATGCACTACTTGAGTCTCAGAGCCATCTCTTTAAGATTGCAGGCCCGTCTGTCGTCCGCAGAGACGTCGACGACCTCGTCAGCTCGCTCATAGGCACCGATATCGGGCGGCGCGTGGACAGCAGAGCTGGCTCTCCACCAACCTCGGTCCCATCTACTCCGTTACTGGCACAGAGCAGATCGCTAGCGGGCCCATCCACACTCTCGCCCTCTGGTCGACTCAGCAGACAAAGCGATGCTGCGTCGGACCGGATCAGTGTGGGCACGACGTTCGTGCAATCGTCGACGAACGGCACAACAGACCATGTCGTAGACCGGTAAGTTACTCTGTCATGGCGGTTCGCATTGGCTCATGAGGTTAGTGTCATGACTCCACGCATAGTGCCAGACCTTATTGACGTTGAGGAAGAGCTCTTCGAGCTGCCACAGAAGGTATGTCAATGTTCAGTCTATGTATGTTGCCTCACCCGTGCCCCCACTCCCCTCAGGAGCGTGTTATATACAACAAAGAGGTGCAAACGATGGACATCGGGACATCCTCAGATGATGATGACGAAGACGCCCGAGACGCCGTCGCTCAGAAGGAGCGCGAAGCTGAGGAGGCCTTGGAGGCCGCGCGCGAACGCGAGTTAGAAGCGGAGAGCATCCTTCTCGACAAACAAATCGAAGAGGAGATCAGAGGTACTTTGTCACCAAACCTAGGAAGTCTACTGACATCCTGACAACATGCCTCTGCAGAGATGACAGAGGAAGAGAAGACCAGTATCTTCGCTGCACCGGAATTCCTCGACTTCGTTGAGCAGTCAACGAAGATTATTCAACGAGCACTTAACGACAATTATGACTATGTCCGCGACTACACTATTGGCGCCGAGACTGGCGGGTAAGATCAGAGCCACGACTACGAGACACATACCTCATCTTGCTTTGACAGGGATGACACGGAAGGTCGGCGTGTGAAGTGTGTTTGTGCATTCTCGAGCGAGCGATACGGGAAGAACCGATCAATCACGGACGTGGCCTGGTCACCAAAGGTGGGATGCTCCTTTGCGCTAGTATACCTCGCTCACAGCCATGCAGTTCCCAGAACTCAGCTGCGCGTCCTATAATAAGAATCCTGCCGCGCTAAACGAGCCGGACGGCATCGTCGCCGTCTGGAACCTTCACCTCCTGGAGCGGCCAGAATTTGTTTTCCATTCACAGGTATGTCGTCCTACCAGACTGCGCAGGGCTTCGATTGACGCATTACAGTCCGACGTCCTCTCAGTAACCTTCTCACCCTTCCATTCAAATCTCGTCTTCGGCGGAACGTACTCGGGGCAGATCCTCCTGTGGGACACACGCTCGAAGCACCTGCCGGTGCTGAAGACGCCGCTGTCTGCGGCGGGGCATACACATCCCGTGTATGCGATGCAGATGGTGGGAACACAGAATGCGCATAACCTGATCACGAGCAGTACCGATGGAACGGTGTGCAGTTGGCTCGTAGACATGTTGGCCCAGCCACAGGTAAGTACTCCGACATACTGCAGAACAACCTATTGATGCATTTTCTGTAGGAAACCTTGGAACTCATACATGCCGGACACAACAAGACTGGTGAGGTAGCAATCACCACATTGGACTTCCCGGACAACGAGACAACGACGTTTTGGGTCGGTACCGAAGAAGGCAACGTGTACCAAGCCAACCGATACGACCGGGCTGGCGCGAAGGCCGGTCTGAACCAGTACGATGTTTACAAGGGTCACTCCGGACCTGTCATGGGGCTGCACTTCCACCCACAGCACGGGCCGGTGGACTTCTCCGACATGTTTCTCACGTGTTCCGTCGACTGGACGGTCAAGCTATGGCGTGCCAAATCGCTCGCGAAGCCATCGACGGCGGCGAACGTCATCTCGCCAATATATTCGTTCGATGAGGCGGACGACTACGTGTACGACGTCAAGTGGCATCCCTCGCATCCGGCGCTATTTGGTGCTGTGGACGGCTCAGGCCGGTTCGATGTCTGGAATTTGAACTGGGACACGGAGGTAAATCGCAGTGTTTCTGACAGATGATCTTCGTTGGTGAGCGCTGACGTCGTGCCAGGTGTCTGCAGTGTCGACGATAGTTGGCTCTGGGCGCGCGCTGAACAAGATGCAGTGGGACAGGAAGGATGGCCGGCGGGCTGCCATGGGAGGGAGCGACGGGAAGCTGTACATCTACGACATCGGAGATATGGCGCTCCCCAGGGAGTCGGAGTGGACGGATTTGCAGCGGACGGTTGCTGGCGTGGTCGGAGGCGGAGCGCAGAACGGGATCGTCGAGGCTGGGCGGTAGCGGCTACTGCGCGTGCTCGTGTTATACATTTGTTATACATAGTTGCATGTGTTGCTCTCGCTGTTTCAATGGCTATAGTATACCCTGATTCCTGTACGTGGGCGGGGGGCCGTTCGGGGTTCCGAGGCAGGACAGGGCGGGCGTCCGTGCGAGTATAAACGCGGGCGCGCCTCGGCGGGGCAGCTGCACCTGGACTGTGGAAGTGTCGGACTGTCCACCGGATTTCCTGGCACCTGCTTGTGCGGAATTAGCGGCAGAGACGCAGCTCCTCGCGTTTGTGCGCTCGGATCCTCCGAGCTTGAAATAAGGCCAGCTGGCGGATCAATGCTCAGCCGTCGACTGGCATCCTCCCTCGCACCGGCTCTCTCTCGCCCGGACAAGCCAGCCCTCTCAGCCACCTGCAGGCGATCCTCCGTCCCGCCTTCCTTTTCTCAGCGACCACCATCTCGCAACATGTCCGCCTTCAAGCAGGTAACGTCGTCGCCGTCGCCCCCGTCGTCCCCTGCTCACTGCGACCCGACCCCGGCCGCGTGCAGGAACCACACAAGTGAGTCCACCACCGTCGTGCACGCTCCCCGTTATCTGACCACTTGGCGCTCCCCCAGGCTGCTAGTGTATGTTATGCGATGTCTCCGATTCTGATCATACTCTCACCACCATCCGGTTCAGCATCCCCGGGCCCATCGAGTGCGCCGATGAGGTACATCGACTGCTCTACGTTCACGTTTACGGGAGACTCACCACTCCATACAGGTCCTCTACGCCAATGCCCACCCCTCCGTCTCTCACATGTCCCCGAGTTTGTTCAAGTCATCGGCGACTGCATACGCATGACCCGCGAGGTCTTCTTCTCCACCACCGGCCAGCCATTCCTCATTGCTGGCTCCGGCACGCTAGGTTGGGACCAGGTCCGTTCGGTGCCGTATGATCTTGATCTTGATCTGGCTAAGACATGATCGTGCCCCAGGTTGCTGCTAACCTGACCGAACCCGGCGAGTCAGTTCTGTTGCTGAACAGTGGGTACTTTGGAGATAGCTTTACGGAATGGTACGGGAATGTCTCTCTACCAAGCTCCCACGACTGATGTCGTCGTCACAGTTTCCGAACATACGGGGCAGAAGTAGACGAAGTCCGTGCCGACTTTGGGACAGCAGCGAACCAGAGTGACATAGAGAAGGCATTGAAGGCGAAGAAGTACAAGATCGTCGCCTTCACCCATGTAGACACGTCTACAGGTGTGTGATGATTGTGTCGACTGTCTCGCCCTTCCACATGTCTACATCAGGTGTCCTCTCCGACGCGAAGGCAATCGCAGAAACTGTCAAGAGAGTATCGCCTGAGACCCTTGTACGCATCTCCGGTTGCCTACCATGCGCGGGCTAACATGGTCCAGGTCGCTGTAGATGGCGTGTGCTCCGTAGCGAGCGAAGAGATCCTCTTCGATCAGTGGGGACTCGACGTTGTGCTCACTGCCAGCCAGAAGGGACTTGCCACGCCGCCCGGTCTGAGCATTCTCATTGCGAGCCCAAAAGCTATCAATGTGCGTTGACCAATGACCATACCTCTGGCAACCCGTGACACAGACATACCACAGGTCTTCGAGGCGCGCACACGCCCACCGGCATCTTACTACGCAAGCTGGAAGAAGTGACTGTTCATAACCATCGTGCGCTACGCTCCCCTAATCGCAATCCTCCAGGTGGCTGCCAGTCATGAAGTCCTACGAGAGCGGTGCTGCGGCTTACTTCGCCACGCCGCCTGTGAACCTCATCTATGCGTACCACGCCTCGCTAACGCAGCTCACGAAGCAGAAGCCGACCCTCCAAGAGCGGTTTGCGCTCCACCGGAAGGCGAGCCAACGCATCAAGGACGAGTGCGCGGCGATCGGTCTCAAGCAGCTGCCGCTTGACCCGTACTACGCGGCAAATGGAATGACTGCAGTAAGCTGCCTTGCACTGGGTTACTTCGGCGTGTCTCATGATGGTTGACTCTGTTCTCAGGTGTACTTCCCCGATGGCCTGAAGGCACCGGATGTTATTCCGCGCTTGCTGAAGAAGGATGTTGTCGTCGCCGGCGGCCTGCACAAGTCGAACAAGGGTTTGTCTTCCCCGCATCGTCTCCACAGTCGATCACTGATCTCCTCTTCTCGGCGGCCTCCAGAGAAGTACTTCCGTATCGGGTGCGCACTTTCATGCCCTCTCCTTCTTCATTGATTGTGTACTGACAATACGCAGGCACATGGGTGTCACAGTCGTGAACGAGGAGCGCGGGGACGTCGACAAGATCATCACGGCAGTGAAGGAGAGCATCTCGGAGGCGTTGGCGGAAGCCGGCATCAAGAAAGCGTGAGAGAGCAGTAATACAGTTGTACGATGAGCGAATGAATGCTGAACCGAGACCACCCTTCGTGTCCGTGACGTGCTCCCCGCTGTCCGTTGCGATTCCTGCACAGTTCTTCGGAGGTTCCTCGGCCGCGCGCTCGTCTATAGGTTCGCGTCTCGACCTTAGGCCCCGTCTCGAAAAGCTTAAAGGGCGCACCCCGGTGAAACGGGCGCCGAAAATAAGTGCTGTCGGTGAAGAAAATGGTCAGCTTGAGTGCCACGCTGCTCCTGTGAAAAGTGAGTGGCCCCTCTCACGTAGAAGTGGGGGTTAAATGAGATGAAATCAAAACAGGTATCGACCACGTCTAATGTAATGGACCTCAATGTACATATGGGTTAATCTGCGCACTCGTACTTCATACGAACCAAACATAGCACACCTACTGCATGCAACGCCCGTGGCGTGTTTGTGGCCTGCCCCGAAGTGAATCACTCTAACCGATACTCAAACGACTCATGCGCGGTGAAGTATCGTGGGCCCCGCAACTCTTAGTTGCTCTTCATCGGTGATGCGCGCAAGATGTGTCCTACGCAGAAGGTACTGAACACGAGCAGCTTGATTTGATTCTTCCCAAGGCGTTGAACACCACGGGAGGTAACGTATGACGGTTCTCTTCATTATAGGACAGACTGCAACGGACTGATACCAAACACTGGCAAGATATACCACGATGTGAGCTTCCTGATGTGGAGTCGTCTTCGCCGTTAACAGGCTCTTGCATTCTAGATGTCACAGGTGTATACGCAATCATTCATGCAGGCGTGTCCGCAGCTCCTTGTCGGGTTACATACGCCGACAGACCGGACTAGGATAATCGGCAGCATCGGCGCGATCAACTAGTGAGTTGGGAAGTAAAAGGCAGGGGACAGTGCTGTGCCAGCGTTGAAACGTTGACAGAGTGCTGTACATCCGCCAGGCGAAAGCGTTATCTGTCTCTGATAAATGCATAAGTACTTTATCTCGTTCATCTAGGAGCTACCAGCTGATCGGAAGTGGATCAGCTGCGATGCAGGCACCGCGTTCGAGCTCCGTCTGCCGGACCTCTCGCAAATATAAATGGACGAGTACGTATGTCTTGCAGTCATATCCCAACATTCGCTTCCCAGACATGGCATTGGAAGGAGGTGCAGAAGCAGTTCGAGCGACGTTGCGCAACTCGAAGCTCGACGAGAGCTTGTACAGTCTCGACGAGGAGGAGAGCGCCTTCTTCAAGTCGCTGACTGGCATAGATGACGACGAGGCCCTCAAACAACATATTCTCAAAGTTCAGAACGACGCGTTCGAGGTCAGTTGTCTTTCGACTTTATCTGATGGGTAGTATGGCTGACCGGAGGGTGTAGGTCTGGCCGTTCCCGTGCATCCGGCGGTTCTCATTCACCAAGTGAGTGGACGCGATATGGAAGCTCTCAGAGTACTGAGTCGGGGGCTACGCAGGTTGAAAATATCCCGCCTTCCAGCATATCCGCAATTGTTGACGCTCGGAAAGCATCGTCAAGGGGCTATCCTGTTGGACCTCGGAACTTGCTGTGAGGGATTCCCTACGAGATTCAACCTCGATTCTCACAGTCTTCTAGTTGGGAATGATGTAAGGAAGGCTGTTATAGACGGCTTTCCAGTACGCAACACAATTGGATCGGATATCGAGCCAGGTAAGCCACCTGCATTCAGTACCTTCTAGGCTTGAAAGGCTGAGATGTATTTACCACTTATTTAGCATTCTGGCGGCTCGGCCATGAACTATTCAACTCGTCACCGGAGACCTTCCCATCCACGTTCATCGCGGGTGATGTCTTCGATCCGGTCTTCCTCGAGACGCATCCCTTGCCCAAAGCTACCCCAGATGACTCCGTGCCAAAGCTGGATACGCTTACCAGTCTGAACCCTCTCCAAGGGCGCGTCTCCGCAATTCATGCCTCTGCCTTCTTCCACCTCTTCGCGGAGTCCAAGCAACGCGAGCTCGCGCGCGCAGTCGCTGGATTGCTCTCACCTGACCCTGGCTCCCTCATCTTGGGTGTACACGCCGCAGCGCCGGAGAAGGGCATCCGCCGCGCCGCGGGTGGCGAAAAGCCCTTCGAGCTCTTCTGCGATTCCCCAGAGAGTTGGAAGGAGATGTGGGAGGGCATCTTCGAGCCGGGGACAGTGAAAATCGAGACGGAGCTCAAGGAGATGCCTAATTCCGCGCAATCGACGGGTATTGATATGCAGTTCTGGGAGATGTCGTGGTCGGTGACACGAGTATGAACGCAACAGTGAGCGTATTTGTATGAAGGAATGTCTGTCGACCCAGGTATGTCCCTACAGTGATTGTTGCATGTTTTCCCGTAGTACTGATGCTTGCTGTACAAGGTAAATAAGCGAGTACGATGAGATGGTCTCGAATCATTGGCCATACCCACTAGGCTGCGGTATAGTATCCCCATTCTAGTACTTAGCGCATTCCGAGTCCAAGCGTCTAGGTAATAGTATACGTGGCAATGCTGCGGTGCCCCAATCTATCATGACCGCACGCCAACGTGCTATCCCTTCGACTGCTTCCTTCGCCCTTCTGTGGTTTAGACCCCGTGGGCCGCGTTAGTGTATGTGGCTGCGGCCGAGTCAGGCCAGCGGGACCGTTCACGTCCACCCAGGTATATTTCAGGTTGAAGTTGAAGCCCTGCATGTGCTCAGCATCGTCTGCGATCGCCCTCGCTGAACCTTCCAATCGATTCTAGAGGATGTCTGAGCCGACTTCACCGCAAAACGCTACTACCGGCGCGGCACTACCAGGCGTAGGATCGGGAGTACCTGTACTACCGCCACTCGACTCGAGCCTGTACAGGCTCGATGAAGAGGAAGTCGCCTTCTTCAAGCAGAAGACTGGGATTAACAGCAGCGAAGACTTGAAGCAGCACATCCTGAAAGTCCAGGCGGAAGCATACGAGGTACTGTTGCGGATGTTTTAAAAGCTCACATACTACGGCAGAAATTATTTAGGGCTGACTCCCAATTGCACAGGTGCACCCTTACCCATGCATTCGTCTTTTCGGGTTCGCCCAGTACGTCCATTTTGTATCGCACCATGATATATGGACGCCGTACGCTCAGCCTCGAGTTGCTCAGGCTCAAGATATCGCGCCTCCCTGTGTATAATGACCTCCTTATCTTGGGCAAGGAACGTCGTGATGCTATTCTCCTTGACATCGGCTGTTGCTGTAAGTCGTCCTCTCTGTTGAGCAGTCCGAACATCCCACTCACTGTGCCGCGCACAGTTGGTAACGACGTCAGGAAGGCGGTCACCGACGGCTATCCATTGGAGAATGTGATCGCTTCAGATATCGAGCCAGGTAAGTACGAGACAGCCGACGTGTATCCGCGCAGAATTCACGATTGCTATATCCGTTGCAGCTTTCTGGCAGCTCGGCCATCGTCTGTTCAAGTCCTCTACAGACTCATTCCCAGTACCGTTCATTGGAGGAGACGCCTTCGACCCCGCCTTTCTCCAGACTGCCCCGCCGGTCTACGCAGCTCAGAGCACACCCGCGCCCACGTTATCTAAGGTCACCACGCTCACAATGCTCCAGGGCCACGTCTCCGCCATCCACGCTTCTTCGCTCTTCCACCTCTTCGACGAAGAGAAGCAGCTTGTGCTCGCGCGTGCCTTCGCAAGCCTCCTTTCCCCCATCCGGGTGCGATGATATTCGGCTCACACGGCGGTGCACTGAACAAGGGCGTCGTTGTGTGGTCGTTCGTCGGGTCTGACTCTGGATCCAGGCAGGTCTCCACGTTCTGCCACTCACCGGAGAGTTGGAAGGAGATGTGGGAGTCTGTCTTCGGGCCGGATCAAGTGAAGGTCGAGACTGAGCTACAGGAAGTCGACTCCGAGGCAAACATAGCCCCGGCGGCGACCAACCGCCGGTACCATATGCTCGTATGGTCGGTGAAGAGGCTGTGAGTGGGATTCCTGTGAAGGGCCTTCAACAGGTAAGATTGACATGGGCACATACATCGGGTGGTCAGCCTTCAACAGCGACTGTACATAGTTCTACCAGCTGATATCTGAGTGACAATGACATTATTGGTATTGGTATGAATACATTGCTTGTACGAAAATGACTCTAGAACCCAACAACACCTGCTGTGAACGGTACGATTATGAATACACATAAGTCTGTAGCTAAGTGGTATGCTATTGCTCTAACGTAAATGAGTAGATGCATGCATGAAGCTTTTATGCAGCGATGGCGCCCTCCCGGTGCTCGCCCTCGCCACCCATATGGTCATACCAGGCTTTGCCCTCCGTCGTGGGTGCAATGTAGCCCGCCCTGATGACGAAGTCACCGAAGTGCTCGCCTTCCTGGCGCTCGAGGGCGTAGTGTTTGATCATCGGTCTGAGAATGGCGAGGATCTCAAGTTCCGTGACCGTTTCTGCACAACAATGTCAGCGACAAAGCAGAGGGAAGAAAAGCCAGTTCACTGACCTCGATATATCTTATTAAGGCGTTGACCGTGGTACCCACCGCCAAGCAGCATGGAATATGTCCCAAGTGCCTTACCTACAAATGCGACCTCTGGGGAGACGACGACATATGAGCACTAAACCCTCCGAATGGCTCCCGCGCAACTCACCTGCAACGTATGGCCGTGCACACCCGTTGGGACACCCAGTCATACGCATGACAATAGAATCGTTCCGCAGACCGTTCTCCTCGCAGATCTTCTCGACCTTGTCGATGAGAATCGGAAGATACTAGGGGTTACGTGTCAGCATGATACGGCGTCAGCGACAAGGCATGACTTACTCGCTCCGATTCTGCCATCGCAAGACCTACAAGAGAATGTCAGATGGCGACAACTTGGTCTTGAAACACGCATATACATACCACAAGTCGGGAACGCAACACAAGCCGACGAAGACAACCTCAGACCCGTCTGCGACAACGTATCCAGCTTGTACTGCGCCAGCAACGCCTTGATCTGCGGCAAGTCCTCCGTCGCGATATCCGTGATGAGGAGGTGCTGGTTCGCGGTCATACGGAACGCGCCCTTGTGGACCTTCGCAATCTCCCGCAGACCAGTCTTGAAGTCCTTGCCAGGCTCGTCCTGGATGCGGCCGTTCTCGATGAAGCACGTGAAGTGGTGCTTGCCGTCCTCGCCCGTGTGCCAGCCGTAGTCGTCGACGTTGCGGTCGAACGTGAACGGCCGGGCGGGCGCGAGCTTGTACCCAAGACGGCGTTCGACCTCGGCCTTGAAGTGCTCGAGGCCCATGCGGTCGATGGTATACTTCAGCCGTGCGTTCTTACGGCTGTACGAGATACAGATGTGAGCGATCGTTCATACGATAAGCAAGGTAGACACTCACTCCTCACGGTTACCGTTGTCCCTCTGCACAAGCATGATTTTCTCCGCAACGTCAACGCCCTCCTCAACGGTGCAGAAGCCGAGGACGCTGCCCAATCGCGGGTAGGTCTTCTTGTTGCCGTGCGTGACGCCCATACCACCTCCGGCAGTGACGTTGAACCCGGCCAGATTGCCGTCCTTGCCGACAATGGCAATGAAGCCCAGGTCGTTGGCAAACAAATCAACATCGTTCGTGGGAGGGATTGCGACTGCTACTTTGAACTATCACTATGTCAGCGGACGGTTGTGAATTCGCGAGAGGAGTTACACACTTTACGGGGGAGGTAGAACTCGCCATACAGGGGTTCGGCGTCCTTCAAAGCATCACCAGCAACCAGCTTCTTGTCCAACCAGATCTCGTGGTACGCGGTCGTGCGAGGCAGTAGATGCTCGCTGACACGCTTAGCAAACTCGAATGCCTGATGGTGCAGCTTCGACAAAGAAGGGACAGCAGAGACGATAACATTCCTGCAGATAGCATGAGCCCGGATGTTCGACGCGGAATCATGATTGAACGTACCTGTTCACGTCACCGCAGGCGGCGAGCGTGTCCAACAACACCCTGTTGATGTCCTGAATCGCCGACTTCAAGTGTCGCTTGATCACACCATGGAACTGGAATGTCTGCCGCGTCGTGATCTTGAACGTCCCGCACCCATGCTCGTCCGCGATCTGGTCCATCTGCAGCCACTGCTCCGGGCGGCACACGCCACCAGGCATGCGCACACGGATCATGAAGCTGTACGCAGGCTCAACGCCCTGCGCGGTGCGTTCGTCGCGGATGTCCCGGTCGTCCTGCTGGTAGATGCCGTGGAACTTGGTCAGCTGCCCGTCGCTGGGCGCGAGCGCACCGGTCGTCGTGTCCACGAGGCCCTCCGAGATGGTGCCCCGGAGGTACTGCGAGGCGACCTTGATGTGCTCGTTCGTGATCGGCTCCGGCTCAGCCTCCTGCACCTCAACAGCGTCGACGCCGAGTGCCTTCCATACTAGAGGCTCCCAAGCCTTGTACCCCGTCTCGGGTCCATCCGCGTCCTGGTCGTCTCCAAGTCCGAGCGACGCAAAGCGCTGCGCACCGAGGGACCCCAGGCGCGCATCGAGGTCCTTGCCCGCCTTGTTGTAGTAATGCGCGTCCTCGGGGCGCGGCCAATAATGACTGTCACCCATACCGAACACTCCGACCTTCACGTCGCCCAGGGGCGACTCACCACGCGCGGCAGCGGCGTTCAGCGCCTTGATGAGGGCGCGGCCGTTCTGCGGGAACTCGCCCTGGCCGGCGACGGAGGTGACGAAGGCGACGTACTGCTCCTTCGCGATGTCCTGGAGGGAGACCGCGTCCATGGGCGCGACGCTCGCGACGAGGCCGCGCATCTTCGCGCGCGCGGCGAGCCGCTTCGCGACCTTCTCCGCCTTGCCTCCGTCACTAGCGTACAGGACGGCAAGCGGCGGCGCGTCGATGGCAGTGAGAAGCTCCGCGTACGCCTTCTGCGCACGCGTCTTGCGCGCCGCGCGCAGCTGCTCACCCAGGGAGCCTACGAGCTCGGCGGCGAGCTGCGGCTGCGCAGCGACGAGTTGCGAGAGGTGGTTCTGCCTGTCGAGGAACGTGCGGAGCTCGTTCTTAATCGCGTCGCTGTCGAGCGTGAACGCAGCGTCGCCCTCCTTGGCCGGGTTCCAGCGGTAGAGCGGCCAGTAGCCCGCGTCGACGGCGCGCTTCGTCTCCTTCAGGATCTCGAGCGCCGGCGACTCCTCCGTGGTGTAGGGCAGGTAGGCGAGCACGATCGAGGGCCCGGGGTAGCGGTCCGCCTCAACCAGAGCCTGGAGAACCTGTGCGTAGGACGAGTACAGCGCGATGCTGGCAACGTAGACATCGCCGTGGTTCATCGCGTAGAGGCCCACGTCCTGCTTGCGGCGCGACGCGGCGGTGCGCGTGCTGTACGGCGTCGTGTCGAGGAGGAGGATGTTCACGTTGAGACCAGATGCGATGGCATGGTGCAGGCCCGACGCGCCGAGGTCGTACGCCCACGCGTCGCTGCCGATGATCCAGCGCGACTTTGTGCGCGCGTCCGAGGTGAGCAGCGAGCGTGCAGCATAGACGCGGCGGGCGGCGGCGCTCTTGAGGGCGGGGGCGTGCTCCTCGAGCGCCTGCGCGAGGCGGGCGGGGGCGGCGTCGGTGGCGGGCGCGCCCTTGGCCTTCGCCGCCTGGAGCCACGTGCCGAAGAGCTGGTGGAGGTGGCCGGGGAGATCCGGCTGGCGCATGGCCTGCCTGACGTCGTCCTCGAGCTTCGCGAGCGCCTCGAGCTCGCCCCGGACGCGTCCGAGCGTGAACTCGGGCGACGTCGCGACCGCGCCGAGCTGCGCGACGCGCGCGGGGTCGTTCGCGATCTCGAGGCGCGCGCCGAACAGCGTGTCGAGCAGCTTCGTGTACGACCCCTCGTGCTTCGGGACGTGCGGCGGCGCGGCCCCGCCCGCAGACGCAGCCGCAGACGGCGAGGGACCGAGCGCCAGCCGGGCCGTGCCCTCCGCGGGCTGCTGGAGAAGCTGCTCGACGTCAGATGGCGTGACCTGGCTCGCGTCGCCCACAAGCACGCTCTGCACGGACGGCCGTGTCTCCCGCGCCGACCCGTCCTCGCCCTGCAGCGCACTCACGACCTCCAGGAACAGCGGCGTCCACTTCACGTTCCACCGGCGGAGGTGCTCGCAGACAAGGACGCGTTGCGCCGATGCGGGAATGGCATGGGCGATATTTGCTGGAGGAAACGGCTTGAGGAGGCTAACGTCCACAAACGAAACACCGTCCAATTCCAGCGAGCATGGCAGAGAAGCCAGGGTAACCAAGACCGTATGCGGTTCTTCGGCACCATGAACGGTCAGCGCACGAAGGGGCCGGCGCAGCAGAGACACGGCCGTCGCCGAGGCAGCATGGAAGGCTCTGAGCGACTGAGCAGAGTCATCCTTGACATCAGCTTTGGCGTCGCCATTAGCGTGGCCGTTTGCGTGCCCATTTGAGTGTCCGTTCGCGTGCCCGTTCGCAGAGAGGGGTGGGGCAGAGAGATAAGACTGAACCTGGTCGTCGGCAACCTCGCTGACGTCGTCCGACTCCGTTCCGATGTAGAATATGTGCAGCACCGCCTTGCCTTCGGTCGTTGCTAATCGACTTGCAAGGAGGGCATGGTCGTGCGCCTGCTGAGCGGTGCGGGAGTAGATGCAGAATGGTACAGATGCCCTCAACACGAGGACATCCGACAGGTCGTCGCCGGCCGGGACGGCGACATGGAGGACGGTGGACGTCCCCGAGAGCTCAGCCAGGTGGGGGATCAAGTGGTGCAGTACGCGAGCATGAGAGACGGTGGTGTACGACACCAGACCGGACTTTACACCATTGCTGGTGTTCTGTGCGTGCTGCTGGAGGAGCGCTGCGCCCGGGTCCGCTCCGAAAGGGATGTGGTGGACAGCGGAGGAGGGCTGGGAGGAGAGAGCCGCTGTGAAGGGGGAGATGGAGGGGCGCAGAGACGCAGAGTTGATGACCGCGTCCGAGGCGAGGGAGGCGATCCGAACCACAGCGTTGATGGAGGGTGTCATGGCGTGCAGCGAACTCTGTCAGCGCGGCGGTCAATAAATGTAACATTGCTATTCGGAATTGCGACCGCGTGGCGCCGGAAGATTACGATTGGTCTCATTGAATGTTCCGTCAGGCATCCCGCGGTAACGCAAGGAAGGCGCCTCGTTAGGCGATCGCCTCGGGGTCACGTTTCGCACGCATACTACTCGACCCCCGGAGCCACAGGGATGCTGGAAACTGAGAACTCACCAGGGTCGGGGAAGGAGAAGAAGGGGGGACGATGAGAAGGGCGGGCAGGCGGCGGGTGAGGGAGTGCGGAGGCGCTGGAGTGGAGGAAATAGAGCGGCAGGGACAGGCTGCAGGAAGCGCCCGGTTTGCAAACTTGTTCGCAAAGATGTCGCCCGAGATCGGCCAGCTGATCGGTGAGCCACCCGTGTGCCATCCTCGCGCGATCGCTTTGCCCTTGTTTGCACCGACCCTGCCCCTGGCCCAGGGTTAGGACGGGCTCTCCGGCAGCGGCAGCCCCCGACGGCCATCAAACCTTGCAGGGGAACTGTGCAGTTCCTCGCCACCGCGCCGTCCATCGACGGACGGCGCGGACGAGAGCAGCCAGCGCCCACCGACACCCGCCGCCACCGCCCCCCTCCTCGACCCCAGCAAGCACGCGCAATGGCCCCCACGAAAAAGTCCAAGGCGGCAAAGTCCACCGAGTCCATCGCCTCCCGTCTCGCCCTCGTCGTCAAGTCGGGCAAGTACTCCCTCGGCTACAAGTCTGCCCTCAAGCAGATGCGCAGCGGCAAGGGTGAGTCCCCCGCTGCCTTTATCTCCGGGGACTGGAGCCTGAGGCTGAGAAGGTCCCTTGTGCTGACGATGCCCCGTCTCTTTCGTGCCCCCCGCTCTGCAGCTAAGCTCGTCCTGATCGCCGGCAACTGCCCGCCCCTCCGCAAGTCGGAGCTCGAGTACTACGCCATGCTCTCCAAGACGTCCGTGCACCACTTCCAGGGCACGAACGTCGCACTCGGCACCGCCGCCGGCAAGCTCTTCCGGGTCGGGTACGTCGTTTGCTGTGTTGCAACTAGCGCGCTCGCTCACTCTATGTTTAGTGTCATGACCGTCAGCGACCCCGGAGACAGCGACCTCCTCGCCGTCGCTGAGGGCCAGGCCTCGTAAAATGCTAAACGGCTTAATGGCCAGGGTCACGAGTACATTATGACACGCTGTTGTATGCGCCTATACTTGCTTTCGATGCACTATGGATACAGCCATGCCGCATTGGTACGGACGGCAGATTCAGTCCGACAGGACGGCTTCTCATGTGCTCTATGAAGGCCTGCTCTCTGTCTAAGTATTACGGTAGATTCGTCATAAGTTTCCTTTAGAAAGTGACGCGACCGAACGCAGAAGCGTGCTTAGATCCTTTGACTGCAATAAGCTTGTGGATGGCTGGGAGTGTATATACATGGTTCGTTGACGACTGCGAATGCAGTACCTGACATTTGTCGGTCATTCTGGGTACTGAAATACTGAATACTGAGTACTGAGTACTGAATGTTGCAGACCATGACACTTGACCGGTACTGCAATAATGCAAACGTCCGATTCTCCTGTGGCACGTAAGATCGCTGCACACAGAAAAATTTGCATGGTATCCCAGATGCACTAAGAGCTACTTAGCTGACCTCTGCACCTGCCTATTCTTCGAAAGCAGTCGCTCGTTTGGTGGTGTACATACTATATATGTACTTACAGATCCAGCATGTTCCCGTTCTCCGTTTGGCCTTAAATGCGTACGGCCCTTTCGAGTGGATTCCTGTATATACCCTCTTGCACTCGACAGGCTGAGGCTCCGTTGCAGACTACTTATAAGCCCGGGGTTCCAATCCCCCGATCACTACGGGTACTCTGGGGTTGACTTGTCGACTGCCAGACCCAGCGCCCGAAGGCGCAACGCTCCACCAAAAAAAAAGATCGCAGCAGGTACTAACATACGCATGCTGCTCGCTTCAAGTCTACAGTGTACTCCATACATTGTAAATGTCTAATAGTAGTCCATTTGGCATTTGCCGATGGGAAACCACCGAGATGAGTCTTGCCATCCGTAAGGCGACGACACATCCGGTACAGAAACCATGTCGGCGAATCAATGCTGGCAGATGCTCAGACTCCCAGAGGAGGCAGATCCTTGCCAAAGCGATCGACTCGGCCTAGTACGAATCGGCCCTCCACCTCAAGCGTAGCAAAACACTGATGCAGTATACCTCTGGCCTCGACCAAAGAATCAGCGACGTCATTGACGATCACAATAATCTCTAGTCTAGCGGCAGATAATGGCCCAGCTCGGAAAACTGATGCCAGTCCTACAAGATCCACTGTCTTGAGAGATTGCGACGTGGCAACCACGCGCACAATCTCCATGACGCTCGATGGCACCTGCTGCAGGACAGACAGCATTGGCGCGGCATGAGGATACGTGCTTAAGGTCAGCGTACGGAGTGAGGTATTGAACGAGAAGCCACCGGCCTCACGGAACATATCTACCGAGAGACTGTCAGTATAATCATATCTCGCCTACAGGACTGGAGCTGCTTACCTGCCCCAGACGAGTGGTCCGAGTCTGAGGGCCCGAAGGTTACATGGACGTGCTCCAGACTTGGACCGCATGACTTCATGAAGGCTGCTACGTTCCTTGCCTCTTGCCATTCGACATAGGTCACGGACAACGTACGGATACGCAGCGCTGGTGTGAAACGGTCGAGAGCGACGAGGAAGAACGGGCACCTAATGCCGATGGTCACGCTCCGCAGAGTCCCCGGCATCCGCCAGTCAACGAACGAGGGGGAACTACTGTCGAGGATTGTCCGATCGTCCCCGATATGTACGCTGCGCGAGAGCTCGAAATGCTCAATGAGCGGGGCAGCCGATAGCATCTCCAGAGCCGGCGAGACAGTGGGGGAAACGAGCGTCTGGAGGGTGAGACTTCGGACGTAATTGCAGGCAGCGAGGATGCAAGCACGCGACTCCGGCGACAGGTACTCCCAGCGAAGGCACCGGAGCTCGAAGTGTTGAAGAGCAGTGAGCTCGCGGAGCCGCATGCGTGGCAGCATGCTGTTCAGCCAGGGCGATTCGAAAGCAAACGTAGATGCGGAATCCCTGGAACTACCGCCTAGGTCAAGACGTAGACGTCGCACATACGGAAGAACGGTGGATGTCGAGTCGCACAGCAGTTCACATGGTTGTTGGGAGATGCTGTAGCGGTGAATGCTGAGTTCGTGGAAGTTGTGCATGCGCGACGCGGGTAGCCATCCTCGGCAGACAAGAGCGCAGGTCGCCAGTGTGTGTCGGTCGTCGTGGAGGTGGTCGATGATAGCGTCAAAGAGCTCCGGAGGTAATCGAGGGGCGTGCATCTCGTTTCACTGAGTCAAGTGCTTGACACACTGGCAGGAAACGTCGGTATTTGTAGGAAGGGAGCACTTGATGCGATGAGGGTTCAAGCCCAAGTTCTGTGAGCTGCAGGATCACTGCAGGAACCCACTAGGAACAGTCGTTGAGTACCACACGGAGAAGTGAGTGAATGAACACTTACGTGTCGTAGACAGCCTCTGCGCGTTCAGGTTTGGGTGATGTTGAGCGACTGCGAGTTGACTGCGAGTCTGAAGCTCAGTCAGATACTTACTGCTCATTTTGCAGCAGTAAGTATAAAGCCGCTTGCGTTTATTTAACTCTTGTCGGCAACCACCGTGTCAATTATAAGCGCTCAGGAAGGCGCTGTTGGTGATTACCATTTTGGGTGAGGATCAAACAACGCCATGTACACTGTCACATACGCATCCTGACTAGTGACTAGTCGACTCCTAGCCCAACATTAATGCCCACCTTTCCTTGTCAGTTAACCCGGCAGCTGTGCGGAAGAAGCTGGAAATGAGTCATTCACCGCCCCTGCATCCTCCTCATGATCCCCGAAATGGTGAATCTGGGGTCTCGGTGCGGGAGATGATGATGATTGGCGAATCAATCTCCCAAAACGCGCATCACTGGCAAGCGTCGCGCCCAACCCATGTCGCCTGCGCCTGAATCCTCTGCGATCTACCCCAACGTTGATGCCAAAGTACTCATCATCATCATCATTTGTAGGGCAGCGACAGATCCGGGAAGCGGAGAGCAAACGAAGCGTAGAACCCGCGAGGAGCGGAAACCTCCATGCTGTACCCCCCAGCCCGAGTAAACTCGAGTCGACCCTCTGCCCTCAACGAGTCGAGGCGACGATACAACGTATCCCGGGCGTCGATGAGAGGTCGGATTTCGGCATCAAATGATTCAAATCCGATGATCTCTATCCTGGTTGATTCTAACGGTCCGGTGCGGAGTAGCGATGCCAGTCCGTCGAGGTCCAACATGCAGAGAGTCTGCGGCGTGATGCCAAAGAGGCCTTTCTTCATGGTAGTGGATGAGATGCTCCGAAGAATCGGCACTACCGACACAGCGTTCACATCTAGCTGCAACGTGCAGAGTGAGGTGTTTTTCGAGAAGCCACCAGAATTGCAAAATATGTCTACGAAGAGACGGTTGGCAGCGACCACTGATACCAGGTATGAATGGCCTGAGGTGGTCATCACCTGCTGCAGAGGGCGCCGAGTCCGGGTCAGGAGAGTCGGCAAAGGAGACGTTGACGTGCTCCATCGGACTTGATCCACACGACTGCACGAACGCCGCCACATTGCTTGCATGCTCCCTGTCGACAAACTTCACGGACAACGTGCGCACATGCAATTCGGGGGTGAAATGTCCGAGGGCGACAAAGAACCCCGAGAGCTCACTCTCGATGTCCAGACTACTTAGCGTGTCCGGCATCCGCCATTTATGAGACGGTAGTGAGCGGAGGCTGGCAATTGTCAGCCTGTCATCCTTCCTGGGGTACCCGGCGCTCAGCACTTCCAAGTGCTCCAGCAACGGCGCCGCCGATATGATATCAAAGACTGGCCGTAGCGCGTCGGTCAATTGCAGATCCCAGAGAATAAGACAACGGATGGGCTGGCAGGCAGCACGGAGGCAGGCGCGCGACTCCCTCGACAGGGCCTGCCACCACACATTGGATAGTTCGAGGCATCGAAGGGCAGTGAGGTCCTGGAACCGCATGCACGGCAGCGTGTTGTCGAGCCAGGGCGGCCGGGTGTGGAGGCGACCGCTCCGGCCTTCAAGCAAGTGGAAATGTCGCACATAGGGAAGGACTGTGGATGTCGGATCGCACAACAGCGCGCGCGTCTTGCGGAGGGCGACGTGTGAGTCGAGGCGGAGTGCGTGGAACAAGTGCATACGTGCACGGGGTAGCCACGCCCGGCAGTACGTTGAATGCAGCGACTCTTTCCGTCTTCTATGGTAGTACTTATCATGGTCTGCGCACACCGGGGACTCTAGTGCAGCGTGCTGGCAGTGTAGTGATCAAACAGCCTGAGATGATCATGTGGAATATGTACTGCAAGTTCTCATTGTCTTTTACAATAGCGCCCAATCGCGGTAGACAACCCAGTAAGAGACAGTGACACCCCGAAACCCCAAGAAGACGCACGATACTAACGACATTACACCACGACTAGTGAAGTCCACGTATTACTGTTGATATGAAGGTCCAAAGTCTTGGGTAACAAGTTCCTCCCGCTTACAGCGGTACAATGACCACCCGCTCACATCAGCGACCAGGCAAACAGCGCTCCGACGCTTGCAGCCAACGCCCAAGCCTTCGCCGCGCTTCCCAGAACCGTCGCACCCGCACCCGAGGTGTTCCCACTCGATCCCGTCGACTTGGCCGAGCTCCCGCTCTTGCTCGCCGTCCCACTCGCCGCGGCGCTGGTCGGGTTCACGCTGGTCGTCGCGCCCGAGCTCGAGAGGATCGTGCCGTTCGCGTTGAACGCCTTGATGTAGTTGATCTCGAAGTACGCGGTGGCGAGCGCAGTCTGGTTGCCGTTGTTGTACACGTTCTGCATGTAGCACGAGGTGGCGTTCGCCGTCGAGGCACCCGTGATCGGGCACATGGAACTGTAGATGGAGGGCACGCCGGCCCAGTCGCCGCACATGGTAATGTCGAGGACGATCTGCTGCGGCGCGAAATACTCGGAGATGTTGCAGTCAGATGAGCTGTAGTTGGCAGACGGTGTGCCCCAGTCGGAGATGTCCACGGTGTTGGCGGTGCTCGAGATGGACGACGGAACATTACTGCGCTGAAGGAAGTGTGAGGGCCCAAAGCGCGGAGCAACGACAATGGGGTGACTTACGCTCCAGAACCAGATGGCAATACCGGAAGCATCGAACAGAGTAGCGTACACACCACCTCCCGAAGCCGCAAATCCAGGGCCGTAGCTATTGTCCTTGGTCTCACCCTGAACAGTGTGAACATCTTCAGCCTCATTATTCACTACGACATGAGTAGCCGTACTTACGAACTGGCATCCTGCCGTCGCATTGCAATCTGTCACGCCGATGCTACCAGAGAAACTCGCGCTGCTGGAGGCACTGCAACCCTGGGCGCTGTGCAGAGCGTACTGGTTGGCGGTCATGGAGTTGATAGCCTCGACAATGTCGATCTCGCCGCCCTCGGGCCAGCTCTCGCCCTTTGTCCAGAAGCTCGGCCATATCTAGGGCAGACGACGGTAAGCACACATTCGGAGGCAGAGACTTTACTGGCATGCGCCGGCATGCTCTTTCCTGACATATCTCGACAAGGAACAGCGATACCGGATCAGGCAGTTGAATGTCTATATACGACGTCGGGGATGTTCGGCCCTGCCCAGACATGCGCGTGGGCCGCGATTGGCTGGACCAGGCGGTGGAGTGCCCGAGAAAGGTTATTTGGGCGCTCGGCAGGGCCCCGATCACGCCGGCTCGAACCTCGACCAGACGCCGCACGCGGGCCCGACTTGGACGAGAGTCCGGGACGCCACCGCCCGCCTGACTCGGTGCACGCCGTCGACACGGCATCCTCTCACGGCGGAGGCACCCCGCAGTGGGAGCCCAGCTGCCAGGCGTGTGAGGTCGTTACCTCGAGACAACGGCGTGCAGGCACTGTGCGCATGCTGCATGACGGAACAGGGGGAAAGTACTCACACCGCATCCATAGGGTATGTGCGTCGCGTCCATGATGAGCACGGAGCCCAGCGCGAAGTAGTCTTCCGTAGTAATGCGGACCTGAGCGGAGCGCACAAGACTAGGTCAGCAAAGACATGGGACGGACGGAGAGGTGGGAGCATGTGGACCGCAAGGCGCGCTGAGCGCGCCTCGACAGTGCCCCGGTCTCCTTTCCCCCAGTGACAGCGTACTCACCGAGTCTCGTTTCTGGTTCCAGGGCACGAACGTGGTGTTGTCGACCTTGATGATGGCGGCACCATTGTTGTCGACGTACGCAAGCTTCTCCGCGGTCGCGTTTGCCTGGCTCACGTAGTTGATGTCGCCTGCCCATATAGCGCCGTCACGTACCGTCCGAAATTGACAAAAGGGAATGCCGCACCATTGGTTGTGTTGTCATAGAAGTCGTAGAACACCCAGCTGTCGAAAAAGTTCGAGCCGGCATACTCCTTCACGAGGCTGTAGCTGGTGGCCGCGAAGGCGCTGCCAGAGTAGAGGGCCGCGGCGGTGAGCGCTGCCGCCTTCATTTTTTGCGAATGCGAGAAGAGGAGAGGAGGGTTGAGTTATTAGGCGGGAGGCGACAGAGAGAAAGGTGGAAGGACTGAAGCACTGACGAGGTGCGGGTTATATTTAAGACAGGGCGGAGGGCTGGACTTGGCAGACAGCGAGGGGGACGCCTGATTATTTAAATATGTCAGGAACCCGGACGAGGCGGGGATGTTTTCGGATCTGGTTGCATGACATTATTGACACGGCTATATACGGATGTGATCGAGTCTCGGAGCACACTGGGCGTCTACCACCTCCACTGAGTGCCCACTCTGCTGACACAAGTCCGTATACACGACGAAGACGCTTTGCGACGTCCGGAGAAAGCAAAACGTTGCGGAACAAGGCAAACAAAATCGTACAGAACGACTGTCTGCTCAATGCCTCGCCTTGCCGTTCTGATGGCCGTTCTGACGAGATTTAAGGTCAGCAAGGTAATGATGTGCACGGCCGAGCATCCAAATAGTGAAGGAGAACTTGAAATTCGGGTAGGCGATCGTCACGCTCTTGTTGAAGATCCCCTCCATGGCTTCCTGGGACCATGAGCCATCCTGCCACAGCAAACGCGGGCTTTGAGCGATTGTGCAAGCAAACAGACAGGTAAACGCACAGGGTTTTGGCGCGACATCACAAGACGGACAGCACGCTCGATTGGCTCCGCTTTTGGATAATGCGCGTAGATGAGCGCCATGGTTGCCCAACAGGTCTGTACGACCTGCGTCTGTTCGTGCTCCACCCAAGTGCTCGTTTCGCATGACTGACGACGGATCAGTGACGTGGTTTTGTTGAAGGCACTGCATCGTACCTTGTAGCTTTCCCCCCAGCCCCCATCTGCCCGCTGATGGCTGAGCAGGAACTCACAGGCTTTTCGCAGGTACGGGCTGCTATCGTATGTCTCCCCGACGAGCGCCAGCGACTCGCACGCGAATTGGGCGGCGTACGTGAAGCAGATGCCCCACGAACCTACCCAGCCACCCTCTGGCGTCTGGGCATTGTGCAGATACTTGACCGCTTTATGTATCACGTTTCTGCGCCATACAGTTAGCAACAGTAGCGACGACAGTAGCAGTGAGACCGCATACTCGATAACAGCGGACCGGTAGTGTGGGTAGTGCTTTCTGAAGATGGATAGCGCTGTGATCACGGAGGTTGTACACTCTGGATAGCTATGTTCGATCATGATCGCACCTGCATATGCGCTGAGTATGCCGCCACAACTAGAAGAAAGCGATGACGTACCGAACACTTCCGCGGGATTGAGCAACTCTAGCCACTCCGGCCCACGGATGAGCTCGTAGCTCGCAAAGCCGCCGTCCGGATTCTGCATACCCAATAATAGGTCTACTGAATCGCACATTCGCCGCTCTGACACCAGCTTCGGCGTGGACCTGTGTGCATCAGAATCTGTCACCGTAGACAACAAAGGATGCCGAGCCTCACTCGATGTGTTCCTGGATGTAGAGAACAGCTTTCAACCCTTCGCCCGTGCAGTCGCTGACGGTGTATCCCTGCGTCTTCGTACTGAATGGCCACGCGCCCTTCGTCGGGTGCCGATAAGAAGACTCGAAGTGCTTTGGGTTCTGCTGTATCTGGCACTGGTCGAGCCAGCGCAGCGCCCTCACCAAGTTCTCCCTGTTCTCGACCTCGTCTCCCAAGCCCGTCTCTGCGAGCGCCTGCGTGATGAAGGCGATGTCCCACAGCTGGCTGCCGTTCGTCCCGCACATTCGCATGCCCTCCTTGCCGATCCACAAGAAGTCGGCCCGCTTCTCCCTGTGTAGCTTGTATGCCTCGCTCTCCTTGCCGTCCACGATGCTGCGGATGATCAGGTTGATCATCTTGCTCACGGGCCCCAGCGTCTGGTAGCCCGTGTTCTCGTCCTCCTGCACGACGAGCCGGTAGCACTTCTCAATCGCCAGCTTGCGCAGCGGCGGGACCGCACATGGCTCGTAGATGTTGAGGATGGAGTAGAGGAAGTCGAAGAGTGCGGTGTGAGGGGCGTACAGGTCGACGTGGCATACATTGTTGCGCTGGGCGGGCCAGTCGATGCTGTAGTAATTTTGAGGGTAGAGTTCCTGGGCCATGCGTAAGCTCTGCCGCTGGTCAGAGCAACAGTATACACACCTCGCGGAGCGCGAGAATGAGGTCGTTCTCCTCCATCTTCCAGCGAAGAGAGTAGAGGTAAGACATGGGTATGTAGACGGTGCGGGTATGGATCCACCATTTGTGCGGGTGGAAAGGTGTCAAATCTGGGAAAACCCTGTGTGAATCGTAAGCACCGGCCAACGCAACGACAGTATAGATGCGACATTGTGCCAAGCGGAGAACCATGTAATACGCGCACTAATGCCAGTGTGATAGCAGCGATCTTCGCTCTACAGTGAAACATTGCGGACCATGACACTCACCAGAGCTCAGGTGGGATAGCGTTGTTACCTTCCCAATCATACACGTTCAGCACGGACAACCAGAACTTGCCCCACGACGGCACGCCGGTGGCGCCTCCCAACTTGTGCAGAGTAGCCCGTGCCTTCACGAGGGTAGGGTGCTCCGGCGACACGCCAAGAATGCGCATGACGCAGTAGTTCAGTGCTGTACCGAAGGCAGTAGACTGGCCTTCAATATGCCTGCGTGAGGCTCAGCTGTCATTGCCCGAAGAGCAGAGATACGGAGCACGCACAGGCCCCAGCCACCATCTACAGGGTGGGCAAGATTGATGAGGTACCGGATGATCTCCAACCTCTCCTCCTGCGTGAAGGTCATCCCCGAGACGTACGATCCAATGACGAGACCAGGAAGCAGGAACATCGGCCCTCCATACTCGCCCGCCCAGTGCCCGTCCGCGTCCTGGAGGTGCTTGTAGAACTTGAAGCCGTTCCGTGCGGCGTCGAGGGCATCCTTCGGCGGAGGCAGCGCAGGCAAGTCGACAGGAAGTCCGAGCCAGTACCTGTCAATTTCCGTCTGCGGCCACGCCTTGCACTCTTCGTCCGTCCTGAGGTAGTGCCATGTGTGCCGACCGTCCTCCGAGGAGCGGAGACGCCAGCGGGCGTAGTCGGTAAAGGGCTCCTTGCCCGAGGCGGGTATGTCGATGGGAGCGTAGCACGACATGGTGGTCAGCGTCGGAGTCAAGGACGACTGTGAGCGTCGGCTGCGCGAGGAGGACTGGAGCAGGACATATGATTCATGTGGCGGAGAGTGGTACGATATTGGGGAGCGTGGTTGACGGCCGCGCTGGGTCCGCGTACGTGATCGTGTTTGCGCGTCGCGAGCGCCTGCTCACGCGTCTCCTTCCTCCGCACCGTCCGTGCTCGACCTCGCTCCTGCTCTTCAGACTCACAACGCGTAAAACTCTGTGCTCAGCGTTTCACTGGAAACAAACATCATCCGAACTCTAGAGAGGCGCTATACAGCCTGACGTCTCCAACTGACACAGACCCAAAATGTCTATCCGGGACTCTTCCATCGTGGTTCTGGACACCAGTCGTACCTCCATCCGTGCTGGGCTTGGCCTCCACGACCTTTTACGCACACCTTCAGTTGTGAGTCACGCATTCTCAACTTCGCCAATGCCAACTGACCACTGGTTCATAGGAGGTATTAGCACGAGTGGGCTTGCCCAGAAGTATCCTCAACGGGGTCAACGGGGATGCGCAAGGCAATGCTTCGACATCGAAAGTACTGAATGGGCCATCGGTTCCCAATGCCAAACTGACCGACTACCTGGTTGGTACGCAGCTGGAGGAGGCGCTGGCCGCGGGTCAAGACATCGTTCAATATTGGCCCTTCGCAGAGGCCGGCATCGCAGACTGGACACAGGCTGAGGCTCTATGGTGCGTCTCAAAAGTAGCCCGCTACGTCTCACGGTGCTTATGCGCTCCAGGAAATACGTCCTCTTCAACCAACTCCACCTCCGCCGTACCCAGATGGAATCCGCAGTCCTCCTCTCCCTCCCTCCTGGCCTCTCTCGCGACGTCCACGAGCGCCTCTGCCAGACGTTTTTCGAACGCTTCAACGTGGCCGGCTTCGGCATCCTCGAGCGCCCCGTCGCCCAGTTCTACTCCGCCGTGAACGCGAACAGCGGGCTCTCCGGCGTCGTCGTCGACGTCGACCGCGAGTGGACGGATATCGCACCCATATACGACGGGTTCCTGGTGAGCAACGCGAGGATCAGCGTGAGGGCGGGAATGGAGGGATGCAAGAAATACTTGGCTGGGCTGCTCCGGGGGAACCAGAGTGTCATGGCGGCGCTGCTGGAGCCTGTGGAGGGGGAGAACCCGCTTGATGAAGCTGGCCAGCAAGCTGCATTGGAGGGTCTTACGCAACTGCTGTGGGCAGAAGGGCATATCAAGGTTCTCTCAGAGGGCGAGGCCGCGGCACAGGAGGTGGAGGACCTCAGCGCTGACGGCGATATCAATATTGCCGCCATCGTCGTGGCGGGCAAGGAAAAGGCGGTGATTGAGAAGGGCATGAAAAATAAGGCTGCGAGGGCGAACGCGGCGGAGCAGGCGCGTGCGAAGGAGATCGAAGCGCGGGACTTGATCGAGGTGCAGTGGAGGGGGAAGACGATCACCGTCGGCAAGGAGCGCCATCGGTTCTGCGAGCCGCTGTTTGACGTCAGTGTGCGGGAGAGTGTGAAGGGGAAGGAGCGGGAGAAGGACGATGCCCCGGCTTTGTCGGTTCAGGCGGCAGTCGCGGAGGCAGTTGGGAGGACGGAGTTCGACCAGAGACAGTATATCTGGCAGGGTCTCTTCGTCACCGGGGAGATTACAAATCATATCAAGAGTAGGTATTTCCTATTGTGCTTTGCTTGACGAGGGACTCATGGATACCGCCTAGGTCTCGGAGCGGCCCTGCAGACACGGCTTACGTCGCTGATTCCCCTCAACGTGGATCCACAGCACAATGAAGTGCAACCCAGGGTCATCCGGACCCTGAAGATACCCGAGTACTTTGCTGAATACCGGGACAAGGGCGATGGAGTTGCCTCTTTCTTGGGGACCAGTATAGTAGCCAAGGTATGTGTTTCCTGGCGCGCCATCTTTCTGGCAGATCACTGACAACCAGTAACGCTCAGATCACGTTTAACGAGTCCGCTGGCAAAAACTTTGTCTCGAAGGGAGACTACGCGAGTATGGGCCCGAGAGCTATCTTGGGCATGTCGCCGTCTTTGCTGTAGTTACTCTCAGGTGTTGTGACACTCCGCCAGCTCACCCTTACTGTATTTATGTTCCAACAGACCTGCACACAGGGCGAGAATGGTCCATGTTGTGATCGACTGACTCACCTTTGTTGACATCGGATGCTGGCCAGACCCTGTCCCGGTTTGAGGCTGCCATGACTCACGATACAGTCTCACAGCCGCTCTGATGCTGAGTCTGTCGAGCTTTTGAGATGCGGGTGTAGTTGCGACGTCGCGTTCTGTCCATCACGGTCCTGTAGTCGAACACGAGGAATATAGGTAGCTTAGTCTAGCCGGTACAGTTAATGAAACGTAGGCTACGATGGCGGTGATTGTAATCGACAGCAGAGCGAAAGCGACGAACAGGAATGATGTGACGAGGTGTCCTTATTGCGGGGGAAGTTATGTGGGTATCGGAGAACCGTTGTCGCTCTCGTCCGGCCACTCTCCTGTACCGTCGATGAGGCCCGCCTTCTCTAGCTCCCTGAATTTGTCATGGAATGCGCCGAAGCCCGAGCTAACAGGTGGTACTCGCTCGGGATGGGTGGGATAATGACGCACGGCGGGCGGGAAAGTTGAGGGACCGGCTCTGGCGGCTTGCGACGGACGATGTAGTCGGCGAAATCGAGGGCATCTGTGGCGTCTACAAGATGCAATGAGTGAAATGGTGTGGATTCGTTGTCGTCCTCTTCGCCACTGAACCCTTCGCCACGCATCTTGTTCCACTTCCGCCGTGTCTGCAAAGCGGTGGGCGCTTGGCTTGAGCCCTTCCGGCGAGAGCGGGGTATGAGCTGGGTGACGATGGAATATGAGGGGACAGGTCCGAGAGGCAGGTCTGAGGGCAATTCCACGAGTTGGCTGGGGTGGAGGTGTGTTGATGTCCACATTCTCTTCAGTTTCCCCGACTTTTGCAGGATACTGGTAGGTATGTTGAGTAAATCACCATGGGCTGCAGAGAAGTGGGGAAGGAGGGCATGATGTACAAATGACATCAGACAGCCTGACATCATTGTCAGAAGAGGTTCAATGTTTATATACTGTATACTGGATGGTATGACATACCTGCTGCAGGACATGAAATTGGAAGTCTAGCCAGATGCCCAGACTCAATGTGCTGCTTCAAATCATACAGGGTTGCATGATAGAAGCATGAACAACGTGGAAGGCGACAACGATAGCCACCGTCAGCCTACAGTAGGTCAAGTTGAGTGTTACATACATGTTGGCAAGAAGAAGAAAATGAAGAAAATTACCTCTTCTTTCAAATGCCTCAGATGAAGCTGTATGTGCTGGATCAAAGGAGGATCAGTGTATGCTCAAATCAAGGCAAAACAAAATGTGGATGCCACAAATATGCATGACAGCAAGTGTTAATGGATAAAATTCCTGACTTGTCCTACACTAGCAAGCACTAAGAAAATATCACTCTCACCTCTCTCAATGCAGTCCAGCTGTTAAGCTCTGCTTCACATATACCACTCCATTCGCATGGCAGTGGGATTTGTGACAACACATTTTGAGCGAACTCAGTGACATTGTCCACAGTGAGAACATTTACCATTGACCTCCCAGGGTCACTGATGTAAACAGAGAGAGGGAGGATGTCAGGGTGGTAGAGCTTGGCAATGTGCAATGATGGTGGTGAGTGGCCACAGTCTCAATTCCGCGCCACCTTCGTTGACCGTGAGAATTTCCAACAGCGGACTTTGAATCGGGGATGCTTAAGGCTCGCCGCCGATGCACCCGCGCCACTTGAACTGCATCCACAGGAAGGCCTCACTACATTGAACAGGGCATAGGCACAACATCAGGGCAGCACAATGTATACATGTTTCTCATTACAGTTGTTATGACACGAGAACATCACAGACACTGGCATCTATGCACCTTCATGGGAGCATCAGCTACCTATCTCATCCCAATTCACAGCCTCAGTGTACAGTGTTCAGTATGTCCCAGATGACAGTCTTGTCGGTGTATGACTTGTAACTTAACACCATCAAACTGTCTCCGTGATTACTACTAGGCCATACTGATTACTGGAAGTCCGGTAGGAAGATCTCCTTCAACATCCGGGCAGTATCCGGAGGACCTGAGACAGCATGGCCAATGGTTCGAGGGTCCGAATAGATCTCGTAATCATTGCCGCCCTACAGACGTGGTTCAGTATACTGCATCATCACGACTGCAGACAACAAATATGCCTTGTATGTCTTATCGCCGAAGAAATGGATCTCCTCGAATTGCTCATCTTCGACGTGTCGGAGGCAATATGTCTTGTCCCACCCATTGGGGAAGACATCAAATGATATTTGCCCGCCGATCGAGAATGTTAGGCCGTAATCAGCGAACTTCTCTCGTAGCACTTCGACAAAGGCGCGGCGGACTTCGTGTTGCTGCGCATAGCGATTAGTTGGCAAGTCGAGGGTGAGAAGGACATATCATACCTTATCGTAGGCGGCGAAGTCAAGCCGTTCTTGTAACCTGTGCAGCATAGGCGCGCCGTTAGACGAACGTAACTATGCCAGATGAGACTCACGTTGCATTGCGCCCGATAGGGCTGACGTTGATCATGCCATTGCGGAACTCGATGAACGTCCCCCTGCAGAGAAATAAAGACAATGGCATTCGCAGAATTGGCCTTATACTTACCGCTTGATGGGAATATCAAGATCCGCGATATAGTGCAGGATGAACTTCGCCAAAGTCTTGTAACGCTCCTCACCCACAAACTTGATGAATGACTGTGACGGCAATGGTACAGCCATCTTGTACGCCGTCAAACCATTCTCCGCAAAAGTGTAGTCAAACTCGTCAATTGCTACAAGGACATCAGCATATCTGGTTTGTCGGCCCTGCGCATGGCACTCACCTGCGGACCCCTGAACCGTGAGCTGCTCCGAGATCTTGACGAAGTCCGAGCCGCCGACCACGCCGATGACCATCTTCTTGCGCAATGCACGAAGCAGTCTGATCATCTCCGGAGAGACAGTCTGTTCCTCAGGGTGAGTCTGGTTGAGCTTGGCATGCTATTCACCTCATACCTGTCGCGGCCGGGTGAGAGTGTCATCGACATCGAAGAGGACCAGTTTCTTTTGCGGTCGATCAGCGAATACACTAGCGGCCATGGTAGACTTGCTGTTTATGGTTTCAAGGTAGGCAGATGGAGGAGGGTAGACTGGGCGAAAAGTGCAGACGTGGAGGATACGACGGCGAGTCGCGTCCGAGCCGCAGCCGCCTTAAGCATGTTCAGGTCAAGGTGCGATCGATCATCTCGGAGCGCCCGCTCAATGAACATCGCCTCCGCTCGTTTTCCACTGTACATAAGTACTCGACTAGCGTAGTGCAACCATTACGACTACTCACTATTTATCTTACAGTCGGTCTTATAGGCGATCTCGTATACGTAGTATTGAGTACAATCGTGCCCGAATCATGGCTACAGTTCTACTTCGAGTATTGTGATCTAGAAAGTTATCGACCACCACTCAGCGCCTTCAGTCGCGCTTCAGCAGCACGCGCTCTACGCTCCCGTTCAACCTTCGCCCGCATTTCAGGTGTCAGGCCAGCAATACCCTCGCCAGCACCTGCAGAGCCCCCCAATCTCCGAGGCCCGCTCACTGGCTCAGTAGCCTTCGGCCTTGCCCTCATCTCTGGCACCTCCACAGGAACCGGACTGGGCGTACGGGACACCCTCTCCTTCTCTCTCGCTTCCCGTTCCTTCACGCGATCTTTCAGTCCCTTCCGCCGCGTCTTCTTCTTCTCCTCGCGACCCTCCTCCATCTCTGCACTCAGCACGCTCGGCACACGTGCCCCATTCTCCGCGCCGAGCCAGTCCCACCAGTCTGGGTGGGTTGCCGCACTGCGCCGGAAGACGTCGCGCATTGCTCGCGTCCGCGCGAGGTCATATGCCGTGCGTCTAGAGCCTGCGGGTAGTGCGGGAGCATCTGAAGCATCGGAACGGTGCCCATCGTCCTCGGTAGCACTAGTCGGAACGTCTAGCGTAGGGTCCGCACGCATCTCCTCCAATAACCATCTGACCACGTCCGCTTGGCCCGCCTGAGCGGCTACCTGTAGAAGTGTACCGCACTTCTGCCCGGTCCACTCTGGGATGGATGCGTCGATGCCACCTAAGGCCGCGCCCTCGCGCTCCCAGAAAGCCTGCAGGGCGTCGAGACGACCCCTAGTCACCATGTCCAACAGGCGGTCCCATTTCTCGCGTAATAACTGCTCCTCTCGCGGTAACGGACGAGGCTTTTCCTTAGGTTTACCAGGCGGCGCTGGAGCCTCTGCTGGCGGCTTCGGCTTCGGCTTGGGAAGAGATGCGAGATAGGCTTCGTCCTGAGCTTGAAGGTCCTCTTCAGTCAAATGGGACACCTTGGCCCGCGTGAGTTCCATTAGACATCGAGTAAGCTCAGATTGGGTCTGAGAGGTAAATATGAGCCGGCCTGACATCGTCGACGTCACTTATGCACTTACGGGACGACGGGTCGGAAACGGGAATGTGCGCAGCCGTTCATCGCCTAAGAGATCAGTTGGTTATGTACACCATTACAGTGAATTGAAGGGGGCCAACCTTTGTTAAGGATTGCGCCTTCATAGTCAAGAAAAATTCGCCTATTCGAGACGCTTGCGCGTATGAAGATGCGTTCACAGTTTTCAAGCTCCTCGGACCAGTCTTGCAGCAAGTTGCGGATATCCTGAGAGCCACGATGAATCGACCAAAATCATACACAATCAGGGTGGGAACTTACATCACGCAACGCTTGCTCACCGTATCGACGCAGCATGGCTCCGGCACTGACGGCTTTGCTCTTCGCATTATCGTTGACAGACTGAGATCCACCCTGCTTCCGGCGCGCTGCAGGGAGGCTGACATCAGCATCACACTAAACAATACGCAACCTCTACGCACTTGTATAGCGATGGAATGTCTTGTGATGGAGCACCTCGATCTCTGGTTTGGGCTTCTTCTGTTTGCCTTTCTTCGTCAACCCCCCTGGCCCGTCAGCCTCTGAATCGGGCCCCTTCACGCGAACAACAGCACCAGCAAAGTGCCCGCCGGCTACCATGAACAACGCCCAAGTACGCCCTTCCTCGCCGCCTTTCTGCATCTCCTTCAGCTCGTCCAGGTACGACGTAGCCGGTGTCGAAAGTGGGAAGAGGACCTTGTATACGCCTATCTGAGTGGACGGAGGCGAATGAAACCATGCTAGTGGAGTACCCGGGCCAGCGGGTGTCGACTCTGTCGGTGAGGGTGAACGCGCTAGCTTGCGTGTCTTCTGTATGAGGGTCGCGACAGCATCCGAGTCATCCTCGGAGTCGCTTTCAGAAGACGATGCGGACCCAGAAAGCGAATCCTCCAATCCTGTAATCACTATTGTTACAAAGTGTCCTCCACGCTGGACGGAGCACGTTGGATAACTCACCGTCCACCAATTGGGCGAACTGGCTCTCCGAGACGGGCTTCCCCCCGTTCAACCTCGATTTGACATTGTATCTGTGCCAGTCCGACCGGAAGTGGGTACGCTGCTCGTCGACGTCCAAGAATGTTATACCCAAGCAGACGTTACATGTCCGAGCTCCCGTAGCAGGAGGCGCGACCGGCGCCGAGGTCGCATCACGAGAAGGGGGTGGTGCTTGATTGACGACGCTGCGGGGAACCAGCGTGTCCACCAGTTCTTTGGGTAGAGAGAACGCATGATATTGAGAAGGATGGGACATGATGTCGATCAAGAAAGGTTTCAATTTCAGTACTTGACAAGGCAGTATGGTTCGCGAGAGCACGATGGATTTTCTACAAGCGTATAGATACAGCCAGTGGATCCGGGCGTATGGCTACAAGTCTTGACAGAGATATATGGTTATTTGCGATTACAAGTTTGAAGTCAGAGGACAGGTCGGCAGCGACTCCGAGTCATTGGTCTCAGTGAGAGTCAGAATCTTGAGCTTGAGCTTGATCACTTCACCAGAGCTGAGTCAGCGCCACAGGTCAGACAAGAATATCCGGAGCGCGCGGCGGAGGTTGTAAGAAAAAAATGGTCGCTGTCCTCCTACTCCCACAAGCATCAGCGCTTCAGCCGTTTGTTTTTCATCGACGCTCGCTCATCGTCGTTTGTGTCAACGTCAACGTAACAGTGGTATGATAGTCCGAACTTGAACAAAGTTACTTCAAACGACTCAAATTGTCATGGTATGCAAACAGCTCTAGATATTTGGACGCGGTCTGGCTCATCTCACGTCCAACACACAGAAAGGATGCCTTAGCCATCGTAGAGCGTGCCCTAGTGTCCTGTTGGCGGATGACACAGGCTTCCAGCATCGGGTTTGACTTGAACTTTGCCGTAGCATGCGACAGACGGCCGAACCCGTGTGATGCAGGGCATCACGCAGGGCATCATGCAGGGCATCACGTAGGGCATCACACAGGACACCACGCTGCCCTGTGTGATGCCCTGCGTGATGCCCTGTGTGATGCCCTGTGTGATGCCCTGCGTGCCAGTGATGCTCTATGTAATCACGACATTTCACCAAGTACTTACATAGTCAACAGCAACTTCCTTGGTCACTCCCTATGAATCCAGAAGGGTGTCGCGAGCCTCGCAAATTGATGCAGCTTACCTACTTGAAGTTTCTGTTCAGTTTATAGTCACAAGTTCTATTGTCATTGATGTCAATGAAAATTTAAACACACCAATTCTCCTCGCACTCCACATTGAACATCCCGGAGAGTGCGAGCAAATCATCTCGGAAGTTCCTACGCATAGAGATGTAGATTTGTACACACAGACCACCAGTCGTCTTGCCCATCTTCCGACATTCAAGTTTAATGACTCCCTTACTATACATTTCTATTGCCAAGTACTGTGTCACATCGCGTGTCCAACATGTTGCAAGGCTGCAGTATCTGCTCATACTCGTATTACCGCACATGACCATGTTCATCGACGGAAAGCCAACTCGGAAGAAAGCTCTGAGCAAGTCACATCGGTTCTCGGACGCAAGTTGCGCGCGACGATGACCCCGTGACCGCGTCTGATCTGTGCCACAGGGCAAACAAGGCCAAGCGCGTCACCGCGTGTGTAACAAGGCGCTCGAGACGCGTCTCTCGTCACAGTCCCTACATCGTCGCGTCGCGTTCACCCTCGTTGCCCCTTACTGATTAAGGATCAACATGGCGACCATTTCTGGGACAGTATCTGTCTCAACCAAAGAAAACATTCCACTAACGCGGTGAGCGGCGAGCGACATTCACGTTCTTTACCATTCGGACCATGCTAATGGTCACTACTCCAGGACCGCTCAGAGACGTTCAGTGATTCTCATGGCGCGCATTCACAACCTTTAGCGAAGAGAAGAAAGTAGCAGGAGACTCCTTCCAAGGCTCACAGCCTACGAACCAGCCTTCCTTCGCGGATGTGCTTGAACGCCTCAAGGAAGATGCCGGTGAAGCTAAGGGTGTGTGGACCCCCGTCACGTCGGTCTCAACCTTATAATCTCCTCTCTAGACGTCGAAGGCGGTGCCGACTGCTGGCCTCGCCCCAAGATTGGTCATATCAATGAGCAAAGGGATGCTATTAGTACGTGTACCACGTCCCTTCGGTTCTACACTGAAACTTTGCGAAGTATTCCAACAAATCGATGTCGAGGACTGTTACGATGGAGGAGGGGTGGGATTCCGGATCTTTGGTGTCACAGAGGTTAGTTGATCTTTGACATAAGTCACGCATCCGCTGAAGTATATTCCCCAGGCGGGCCACAGTGTGATGGCGTACATCACCGACTTCTTCCCTTACTTCTACGTTGCGGCACCGCGTGGATTCACAGAAAGTGATACGTGGGCCTTTGCAGAGTACCTGAACGTAAGTTACTTGACTTTGCTTCCCAAGATGCCATGCTCAGTCTCTTCAGAATGCTGGCAACGGCGGAGTCAAGGGTTGTGAGCTCATCAAGAGGCGAAGCCTTTGGGGGTACAGGGGCGATGACTGGATCATATTTATCAAGATCACCTTTTTGAACCGCGCAGCTTGCCAAGAATTCGAGATGAGTTTCTTCATATAACACGACTTCTCCCAGGAACTGATATCTGCATCGGAATGTCCACGCATCTTCGAACGAGGCGAATGTAGCTTCCGCGACCTCTTCAAGGACCAAGTCGCCACGTTTGAGAGCAACATTCAATTCACCCTGAGGTTTATGATCGACGCCAAGGTATTTCATGGTGGGACTTTGAGCTGATCAATACTCACATTATTACAGTTGGTCGGCATGAATTGGATTGAGGTTCCTGCTGGTTCCTATAAATTGATGCCCGAGAACAAGAAGAAGTCACATTGTCAGATAGAACTCACTGTTCGGTGAGCTATTATAAGGCGGAGAATCAGTGAAGATTCGCATTGAATTTGAACACAGGTGGGACCGGTTCATATCGCATACGCCAGAGGGGCAGTGGTCGAAGATTGCACCACTGCGTATACTGAGCTTCGATATAGAGTGTGCCGGTCGGAAAGGTATTTTCCCTGAGGCGAACATCGATCCTGTCATCCAGATCGCGAGTATGGTCACTCGCCAAGGTACGCAACGCGCATCATCAAAATGTCCAATCGGTATTCAACCTGTTATAGGCGAGAGCAAGCCCTTCATTCGCAATGTGTTCACCCTCAACACTTGCGCGCACATCGTGGGCTCGCAGGTCCTCAGTTTCGATGACGAGGCCGAGCTTCTCAATGCATGGCAGCAATTTGTGGAGGAGGTCGACCCGGACGTTGTTATCGGGTACAACATCGCCAACTTCGATTTGCCGTACCTGCTTGACCGTGCCAAGACCATCAAGGCGGACAAGTTCGCTTACCTGGGCCGTATGAAAAGCGAGCAAACTCCTTCAGGAAATCCGTGTACATACTAATCTTTCTTACCAGATGCCAAGGCCCAGACGAAGGAGACGCATTTCTCGTCGAAGGCGTTCGGCCAGCGTGACTCGAAGGACACTGCGCTTGACGGCCGGCTCCAGGTCGATGTCCTGCAGTACATGCAACGTGAGCACAAGTTGCGTAGCTATACGCTGAATTCCGTCTGTGCGCAATTCCTGGGGGAACAGAAGGAGGATGTGCATCACTCAGTCATTACGGAATTGCAAAACGGGACCTCAGAGTCGAGGAGAAGGCTGGCGGTCTACTGTTTGAAAGTGAGTACAACTTTACACAAGACGGCGTGCACGATCTCATTGGCACAACAGGACGCGTATCTGCCCCAGCGACTGGTGGATAAGCTCATGTGCTTCATCAACTACACTGAGATGGCCCGTGTAACCGGCGTCCCGTTCAACTACTTGCTCTCCCGTGGACAATCGATCAAGGTGCTGTCCCAGCTTTACCGAAAGGCCAACGATGATGGTTATATCATCCCATCGTTGAAAGGAGAGGGTAGGTTGACACTGAGCTATTACTCGGTACTCCCGTTAACTGATCGGCTACAGGTTCGGATGAGCAATATGAGGGCGCCACCGTTATTGAGCCCAAGAAAGGTTACTACGATGTGCCTATCGCAACGCTAGATTTCAGTTCTCTGTACCCATCAATCATGATGGCGCACAATCTCTGCTACACGACACTCATTGACAAGAAGACCATCGACCGCCTTGATCTTGCCAAGGATGTAGACTACATCCAGACACCGAACAATGGTAACATTTCCCGTCGCTCTCAGCGCACACATGCACTGATTCAATGGAATAGATTTCTTCGTCACGTCCACTAAGCGGAAAGGCCTCCTTCCCACTATTCTGGAGGACCTCATCGGGGCACGTAAACGGGCCAAGGCCGATCTGAAGAAGGAGACGGATCCATTCAAGCGTGCTGTGCTGGACGGTCGTCAACTTGCCTTGAAGATCAGTGCCAACTCCGTGTATGGTTTCACGGGCGCAACTATCGGCAAATTGCCTTGTCTACCTATATCTTCTAGCGTCACTGCGTATGGCCGACAGATGATTGAGAAGACCAAGCAGGTTGGTCTAGCTTACACCTCGATTGTTACTCAGCTTATCATGACCCGTGATTTCAGGAAGTGGAGGCCGAATACTGCATTGCCAACGGCCACACGCACGATGCCGAGGTCATCTATGGTGATACTGATTCGGTCATGGTGAAATTCGGACCGACAGACCTACCCTCTGTCATGGCTCTAGGTGAGGCTCTCTCATCCTCCGCCGAACTGTGGTCTGACCAGAAGTCGTCTGATGCAGGAAGCCAGGCCGCGGACTATGTCACGGCGAAATTCATCAAGCCGATTAAGCTAGAGTTCGAGAAGGTCTACTTCCCGTATCTGCTCATCAGCAAGAAGCGCTATGCGGGTTTGTACTGGACAAGGCCGGAGAAGTACGACAAGATGGACACGAAGGGTATCGAGGTACGTCTTGAGGATGAAGGGCATCGGTAGCCTATTCACCACCCAGATCAGACTGTCAGACGAGACAACTGTCGACTCGTGTCTACCGTCATTGAGACGTGTCTTCACAAAATGCTCATCGACAGAGATGTCAAAGGGGCAGAAGAGTGAGTCCTAACGATGCAGATCGTAGTACCGTTCTGACCATTTTGTGTAGCTATACCAAACAGATCATCTCAGATCTCTTGCAGAACAAAGTCGACATGTCGCAGCTTGTGATCACGAAGGCCCTCGCAAAAGCTGGTAGGTTGAGTAGACTACGTATCCGCGAAAAGACACTGATGTAGTGCGCAGACTATGCCGGCAAGCAAGCGCACGTAGAATTGGCGGAGCGGATGAAACAGCGTGATGCAGGTTCCGCACCTGCTCTTGGTGACCGTGTAGCATATGTCATCATCAAAGGCGTGAAGGGTACGTCGCTGTGCGATTCAAGCCACATGTACTGTTCTTGAACATCTCGATTAGGCGCTGCCGCGTACGAGAAGTCCGAGGATCCTATCTACGTCCTCGAGAACAACATACCGATAGACACGAAGTACTATCTCGAGAACCAGCTCTCCAATCCTCTCATGAGGATTTTTGAGCCTATCCTCGGCGAGAAGGCTTCATCCCTATGTGAGTCGCATCTCGATCCAGTACTATACCGTCTGACTGTGAGCCGGATTTCGTTAAGTGTCTGGTGATCACACGAGGACAATCCAGATAGCCACGCCCAGCGTCGGCGGTTTGATGAAGTTCGCAGTGAAAACTGCGACCTGCATGGGCTGTAAGACACCTCTGCGGCCTAACAACAGTATGAAGAGTACGTCTTTGGACTGCCATCCATCGCTATCCAACTGACGCTTGCCCAGATGGTGCCGTGTGCAACAACTGCCGACCAAGATTGGGTGATCTCTTCCAGAAGCAGGTGCGGAATGCCGTTTGTGTCGTCGAGAGCCAGCACTGAGCAGGTTACCAGGTGACCGCAACTTCTGAGATGCAAGTACGCTTCTCCCGTCTGTGGACACAATGTCAACGGTGCCAGGGCTCCCTGCATATGGTCCGTGCACTCCGATCATCCCACGCGTACTCTGCTAACGACTGATATTTTCAGGATGTTCTGTGCAGTAGCAGGGATTGTCCCATCTTCTACATGAGGAAGAAGGCGCAGAAAGATGTCGAGGATGCTAATACCCAGCTCGAACGCTTTGACCAGGAACTCTGGTAGGCGGCGAGTCTGTATCCGGAATCATGCGTTGTATCTTTATTGTCGCGAGCATGGGACTTATGTTTACCTCAGCACTTGCATAATGTGTATTCTAGCGTATGTTGAATCCGCTGCTGTAGCTCACATGGACGTAGTGGGACAATCCAGTGCTCTGAAGTTGTGATCGAGACGCGAGGCCTAACGCAGCGAGTCACGCGAGCACACTACGTTGAACAGAGAAGAATGGGGAGAAGACGCCAGCCATACATGTCTACCCTGCCCCAAGCAAGCTACTGAATAGCCCATCTATCTGCTCTTCGTGCCAGCCACCATGAGTGACGGGTACGGGTACCATGAAGTTCTGCAGTTTTGCGTGTGCTTCATATCGCAGCTTCCTGCCCTTGCTCGCCTTCGTATCGACCTTGAGCTTTTTCTTCGCCTTTCTCTCGCGCTGCTGCGCCATCCAGTCTTGCTCCCCAACATCACCCGTGCGTGATTTGATGACATCGCGGAGAAGCTGCTGGTAGAAGTCCAGGTCGTCGAAGACTTCTGCGTCTTCCTTCTCTTCGTCATCGCCAGCATCTGCTCCACGAGGCTCATCTCGATGATCAGCAGATCCAAGGCGCTTCACGTTGCTCCTGCGCGTCTGCGTCCGTACGAGCAGCTTGTTCCCATCCGTGCGCAGGATGTCGTCGATCATGCCTACCACACCGAGCTTGCTCCTGTCGTCTTTGTTGAAGGCCGTCTTGTTCCCGAGGAGCACGCTGGGCGCAACCGCTTGCACCTTCGCCGACCACTTCGCGAGCGTGTGAATGAGGTGCGAGTGGTAGCTCGCCTCGAGCGCTGACGCAGCCGCGGACAGGTCACGGAGGTGGTCTGGGTAGTCATACGATGGGTCTTGTTCCAAGTCCACTCTTCGTCGCTTGCGCGGGGGAGGCTCAATTGATTCGTTGTCCCTGAGAAGACCCTGCACGAGGATTAGCGAGGTCTAGAGCACGACTTGCGATATCGCAGTACCTCCTGCAGTGAGAAGAGGTCTTCGGTAAGTGCGGCTGCTTCGCCGAACATGCCTTGCAATGCTTCACGAGCAGAGCCGTGCTCGGCGAGATGGCTGAGATATGTGCCCTGTCAAGTAAGCGTAATAAGGGCATGCATGCGCAGCAAGGCATATTATCGCAGACGTACTGTCGGCAATCGATTCGCTGCAGTCACCACCTTCTGCATCTGTATCCGTGCGTCAAGCAGGGCGTCCCACAGTGCCTGTGAATTGACCGCTCGCGATGAAGCTGACGCCTGCAGGATTTAATAGAATGACGTACGATCTGGCGGGACACGGCCTTGCCCTTTTGCCGGTCCTCTTCTCGAGTCTTGCGCAGGTTGGACGCAAGGTCCGCATTGAGTTCTGGGTCGTTCGCAGGCTCGCTACTGGCCTCAATGGCCCGTGTGACACCTGTGAGGTCAGAAGGTGAGCGACGGAGAGCGGGGGATGCTTCCTCGCCGCTCTCTTCACGAGCCGAATCCTCCTGCTCTTCGTCTTCGCTGTCTTCGTCTGCGGCGTGTTCGTCTGCAGCGTCGGAGTAATCGTCTTCCTCCGACGGACTGGGCACCGACCCACCCACTTCGTCGTCGTCGCTGTCCTCGTCTGACTCTTGCAATAATTGCTTGCGGGTCGTGCGCACGCCGTCATATTTTTGATCAGTGACGCTGTCGTGCAGTTTACGTATTGCAGACGGCCTTGTTAGTCGCACAATTGGGCAGATTTAGCACGAATCAACAGATAGACGCATGTATGCTCACGCGACATCGATGTAGTGTTCTCTGGCCGCAGAGCTATCAATGGCAGGCTGTTCCTCTGAGTCCACGCCTGCCTGCACGTCTTCCGGGTCGAGGTCTGATGATCAAATGCCGGTGAGCGATACCCACGTATAGGAGGTTCCGTACCTACCTGCGGGTGCGGGTTCCGAGAGCTGGGCAAGCTGCTGGGCGAGCGTGAGGCCTGCAGAGGGGCTGTGAGCGGAGCGGATACAAAAAGTCGGAAGACTGACGCGACATATTTCGACAGCGACTGGAGGGTGACCGCTGCAGCGTCGGGCTCTTGCCTCTTTGACGGAGAGCGAGGCGTCGAAATGGTCTAGAGGGAAGATGAGATTGATGCGATGGGGCGAGGCGGGTGCGAGGCAGGGGAGCGCGTGCGGGGCGGAAGGAAAGTTGAGACGGATCGTTGGCGGATCGAGTTTCGGTTGCGCAGGCGCCTCTCCCGCCGGAGCATTTTGCGCTTCACCCTCATCTCGCGTACCCGCCCCGGGCACCCCGCAGCCAACCTGGACGCCTTTCTGCAAACCAAATGCTTTGTACTGGCAGAAAATGGCAAAAAAGAACATTGTCTCCAGTACGTATCGTCCCCACCGCTCTTCACAGGCACCACATGTCCTTCTGGCCTCGTTGCACTCTTCCCCCTTCCCGCACGGCTCGCGCTGCTCTCGATCGCAAATGCACTGGGCCTACTTCCACGGCTCGTCCTGATTGCACCTGCAATCGATAGTTTGCCTTGCAGCTTCCTGTGACGGCTCGTGTGCACCCCTCTTCACCGCGCATGTACCGTCAGCCCTTCTATACTTATGCCCACAGCTGCGCATGAAGAGCGGGTGCTGATCCTGTTCCGTAGATCCTCCAAAACCGCAAGCTTTTCCAATGCCGGCTTCTCATTCCGTTATCGTAGGCGTCGCTACCGGGGCCAGCCCACTCTCGCTGGAGGACGACGAGGACGACATATGTCCCGTCTGCGAGAGCGAGTGCACATGCCAGAACAGGTCAAGACCTTCGCAGACAAGCAACAACAACGCAGTCGCAGTTTCAGCTCACTCTACCTCTACTTTCAACGGCTCTACGACGGCCTCGCCGGGGAATCCGAGCGGCTTGCAGTCCCTCAAGATCAAGCTCACACTCCCTCCGAACCTGAAGCACCGCCCTCATCATGCCCAGGGCCCCTCTGTCGCCGGTGTGAACCCGTCTCGAAACCACGTCGCGTCTTCATCATCCACAGCGACCGAACAGTTACCGCATCCTATTCCCACAGGCATCAGCGCCCACCATTTAGCGCGCGGCGTCGTCGACCCATCCGCTCCAAAGCGCAGAGGCCGCCCCCCAAAGGCCCTCGTTGCTGCACGGGAAGCAGCAAAAGCAGCGTTAGCCGTTCAGAATGCGTCCGGCGGTGCGTATTCGTACGACCCGCCGAGCGCGTCCGCCGGACGAAGCGCCTCGACGCAGGCTTATACTGGGAAGGGCAAGCATCCTGCCAAATATATGCCCGCCAAGAAGCCTTCTGCCGCTGTCAAGAAGGCGCCAAAACAGAGGGGCAAAACTACGACCGACCGCAGACTCGCATCCACCTTCGTCAAGGGCTTGCCGAGGCCGGTCTCGTCAGCCGAGTACAGCGACGGTCACTCGACCAGGTTCCCGACGTTCGTCTCCGCGGCGTCCAGCTCGTCGCCCAGTAGCTCGTCGGAGTCATCTGACTCGGAGTCTTCGCTGTCTTCTCTTGATTCTGACATTGAAGAAGAGACGCGTCTCATTGTACAAGGGGAGGCGAGTAGGACCCAGGCACGGAAGGCCTCCGGTTCTGACAGCGCTCACGCGCATAAGAGGTGGGAGATACGCCCTCGCCAAAGAAGCGTGGGTTTAGGCCATGATGACGCAGACGTAGAGAGCGATGACAGCAGCGAGGGAGGGAGTGAGGGGGAGGACACTGACGATGAAGGTGCCGAGGAGGATGCCGATGCCGATACGGAAGGAGGCGGACTCGAGGACGTGGACTTAGACGACGACGACGAAACGAGCAGCAGGATCGGCATAACATTCAGTGACGGAAGGGGCGCTGGCTGGAGTGACGACGAGGAGTCTTCCTTCGACGCCGACTTGTTCTTCACGAACCTGGATGGCTCGTCCGACTCAGATTCCTCGCCGGAACCCCCGAGCCACGATCCGTTCGCCGCGGCATCGGAATACGATTACTCGGGCTCGTTGACCGCCGACGAGGAGGATGCGCTACTGCTGATGGATCTTGACCCGTCGATGCAACTCCGGCGTGGTCATGGGGAATTCGAGTTCGGCTTAGAGCTGGGAGAACTGTCCTTCGGCTGGGACGGCCAGGTGTTCTTCACGAGTACCACGCCCCAGCACACACGCGACTTCGGCTTCCAGCTCCAAGACGACGTCGAGATGCGCGAAGAGACGGAGGACGAGACACAGGGCACCGTGTCAACTGATGACGAATCGTCGACCATGGACGAGGTGATGTTGGATGAAAGCGATGGTGAGACGACGGAAGACGAGCTTATCGGTCCTGATGGTCTGCCGAATTCGCGCGCTATGATGCTTTTCCGCTGGCCTACGACTGTCTCCACGGTTGACCCCCAGTCTACCGTCAGCTCGTCTGCGAGTCCAGCACCACAGGTGCCTCCAAATGCGTCGGAGAGTCTGCGCATCGCTCTGGCGTCATACGCTGGCCAGCAGGGATCTCCTGCCCCCACACCCGCCGACATACTCGCCGGCAGAGTAACTGTGGAGGAGATGGAAGAGATGGAGATGGAGAGATCCTACGCTGGGGCGCAGACTCCCGCCAAGAATCGAGCGGGTGGTGCTCCTACCATGGGGGAATTTTTGTCGACCGGCCCAAGCACCCAGGCGTCAGCGGTCATCGACGGCAAAGGCCCCTTCATCCCCAGTCCGTTCCCGAGATCGAAGATGACCCGCAAGCGCCGCCGTTCAGCGACGATGACCGACTCGAACGACGTCGCCTCTACTGTTGTACGTTCTCCCTCACAGAGCTTTCTGCACGTTTTGCTCAACAGTGTACAGGGCGAGACTCCTTCCGGGTCCATCCTATCGGCCAGTCAATCATCCGAGGAGGCTGTGCCAGACACCCAGCTCGAGACATCCGAAATGTCGTCCGCCGAAGTCATTGATCTCGACGACGTCCTTGATGCCTCGTTCCTCGACTCCGATCCCATTGGTCAAGAGCATGCGACGCAATCCTGCGGCGAGGCTACTTCGATGATGAGTCCTTCGACGGGTGCGCTCCTTAGTAGGTGGGACCGCATCCCTATGGCCACGTTCCGAAGGACTCGAGAGATAAACAAGGTGGATGGTTCCGCCTCCGACACTGGTCTGAGCGTTTTCGGTGGGATGGGCTCCATCAATGCTCTGCTCACCCCAACCAAGCCAACCGACAAGAAGTCCACGTCTGCCCGCAAACGCGGAAAAGCGAAGGGGCGAGCTCTCTCGGCTCGCCCTTCGACCCTGCAGTTCGCGACGGCGACCGAACGCCGACGTCTACGAGCCCGCAGCACGGCTTCAGGCCGCCAAAGAAAGAGTTGCGGAGAGAGAAGGCGATGATGAAGCGGAAGATGATGAGCAAGCCGCTCCCGCCTCGTCACCAAGCTCAATTCCGCCAACATCACCATCATCCGAACTCCAAGTCGCGCGCATCCGGTTCGATGCAGCGCATGAACAGTTTCGCTGGTTCTTCGTCACCCTCCTTCAACCTGTGAATTATCCCAGGCATCAAATTTGTATTAATCGGCGCGACAGGCCCCTTGCGGCCTATGCGTCCAATTGTCCATAGCTGTAATCTTGCACGGTCGTTCGTTTCTCATCGGTAGTGTTGTCGTTCGTTTCCGTCGTCTTTTCATCTTGTCCATCCAACGCATTCGCTCCCATCAATGCCCCCCTCTCTCATTCTATGTCTCGTATCCAAGACTCTTGGTTCCAATGCTGTATGTACCTGCACCGAAGTGTCCCGGCCAATGAATGAAATGCAATGTGATTTTCATGTGGAATTCATGGTGAGTGCGAGCGTATGGGCGCCTGCACGCTCCTCGGTTCGCGTGACGCACCAGCCACTGCGGCGGCCCAGTCGACGTTGTTCTCCCCGACATCTGCGCCCAAGCTCAGAACAGGTTTCTTCACCTTCTTGCATAGTTGGTCTCTTTCTGTCTCTGTATCTCGTTCTGACGACAACCACCACTCTTTCGGAGCTACAGTATGGACGGCTTTGAGGATGAGAACCCTTTCGAGACAGAGCCCGAGCGCAACCATTCCGACACGTCCTCGTCCTCCAGAGTGGCGGTATCGGAACCCCCTTCACCGCTTCCGAATCCGTCTCTGCCTCTGAGCTCCCCGCCACTGTCGCCGTCTTCGAGGCGACCGACATTCCCGTCGCAAGGCTCGCACCGACAACCGCAGACGTACAAGAGCGACTTCTGCTGTGCGCGGGACCAGTGGTTACACTCTGGCGAGGATGTGGAGATATTGGTCAGTGGCGTCCCTCTCTTCAAGACGCTATGGTCCCTCTATCGCGCTTGTGAAGCTGAAGTGCGGGTTGTCGTGTTGTAGGTCGTGGACGCAGTGAAGACATCCGTCAATTCAAACTCGCCGTACATCGCCTACGTCATTCGCGCGGGGTACGCGTATTCATATACACCACTAGTGGTCTAAACTCACGTTGAGAACAGGACGCCTCTGCCCATCACAGATACTCTGAGTTCGAGTCACTGAGGCTGAACCTCGTGAAGCTATACCCGACGCTCATCATACCTCCAATACCGTCAAAGCAGACTATAGGAGACTATGCAATCAAGCAAGCAAAGGCGAAGGAGGATGCCGCTATGATCGCTCGGCGGAAGCGTATGCTGCAGACCTTCCTCAACCGCATCACTCGGCACCCTATTCTGTCGAACGAGCACATCTTCCACCGATTCCTGGACGGCGAGGTTTCATGGGTGCGTATACCTGTCTAATATTCCCTTCGCCGAATTGACCTGAGTACGTTCGTAGTCCGAGGTTCTACATTCTCCGCCTTTGTCGCTACTCCCGAAGAATATCTTGAAAGCACCGTCCCACAACCCTACAGACCAGAGCGCTTCCCCTGCCTACGCAGCTCTACCCAACCCGTCAGCGGCGCACCCTTTGCGAAGGCCGACCAACGATTCCTGGACTCTGAGGTATTCACGAACAAGTTCGCTGCACATCTCGGAGGGCCCATGGAGAAGGTTACACGACGAACAATGAAGCGGTGGTCGGGTACGTATGCGGCATCTCTATGGCCTTACGAATCGCTCAATGTGTCTGCGAAGACTACGCCCAGGATCACTCAGATCTCGGAGCTACACTCAACGGTTTCAGCTTGAATGAGAGCGGTCAGCTTTCCACCGCCGTCGAGAAGACCGGCCAGGCTATCGATGCTACTTACATGTCCACAACGAAATTGGTTAGTACCGCCGCCAGTCTCTCGGAAACGTGCTCATGGTCAGAGACAGCTACAAGAGTTTGAGCAAGATTGGGCAGAGCCCCTGCACGAATACAGCCAGTTCGCAGACATCATCAAGAAGCTGCTCGTCTACCGGCATCAGAAGCACGTACAGTATGAGATGACTCAGGACCAGCTCGAAGCCAAGCGTGAGCAGCTCGAGGAGCTGAGAAGAGCGAGCGCGAGGCGCGGCGGCTGGAAGAGGCTTTGAGCCAGGGGCGTGTAAGTAGCCTGAGTTCATCGCGCGTGGGCAAGCCAGGTGCGGACGACGAGAATGGCACAGAAGAGGGGACGACGGATGAGCACGACGCTGCAGACGCGCCGCAACCGGAGCCGTCAGTGTATCTTCCGCCACATCCGGGACCAAGTCCCGTCAGGAGGCGGGCGCCCGGGATGGGATTCCTCAATGCCCTCAGCTATACCTGCATGGTATGATGGATGTAGATCCCGAGACTGCGAGGCGGAACAACATCAGCAAGACCAGGGAGACCATCTCGCAGGTATGTCGTATTGGCAACGATTCGCAGGAAATGGTCATCTCATGTACATCTGTACAGCTCGAGGACGCTCTGCATCTGGTGGCGCAGGACCTAAAGTACTCGAGCTCAACAATTCAGGCAGACCTAGACCGCTTCCAGCGGCAGAAGGTGGCTGACATGAGGGAAATGGCGATCAGCATGGCCAGAAGCCACCGGGACTGGTGCAGGAAGGTATGTGACCATGATAATCATCGTCTCCACACTCCTCAGCTCATTGGGCGAACCTCAGAACCTTGCAGCATGGGAAGAGGCTAAAGCCGAAATCGCGAAGATACCTGACCACCCAAACCGGACCCCGGACGACGAGGCTCACAAGACGGCCAGAAGAGATTCGACTACTACCATTAACGGCCGATGAAGACCGCCAGAATGGGCTCCCTAGCACGTCTCGCTGTGGGCGTATGTCGTAGCGGACATGCTGTTGGTTGTACGTAGCCTAGCTGCATGCGTTTTAGTATTAGTATTTGCTCTCTTTATTGGACTGGATTATTGACTGGTGCTTCGGATAGTTGTGCGTGAATGTTTCCTCCTGCAGCGTACCTCCCTCGTGCCCGACATTGGTGCTAGATGTGTCGTATTCCAGCTAGGTCCAATCGTTGGCCCGCACAGAAGTGCGCATAGGAGCGGGGTTATTGGCGATCCGGACACTGTGCCGCTCGACCTGGGCGCCTAGCAAGGTCGCGGTGTGCTCATGGTATGCTGGTCGTGTATCATAAAGACCGGCGTGTGTGATCGGTGTTCGTGACTCGTCATCAATCCATCTGAAGGCCGCGAGCGTCGTAACATGGTACAACTTGGATAGATGCAAGGCAAGCCCATGCCATACAGTACCATGAGTCACTATCATGTAAAACACATTGTTCAACGGAGTAACTTTTCGCAGCTTGGCAAGCAGATCACCAACAACAATGCCAACTGCCTCAGCTGCTGTAATCCCAATATGCCTGAAGGAACACAAATTAGCATCCAAGGATCTGTAACTAGTATCTTATGAGATACATACATGATCCATGTTGCACAGCAGGACTATTTCCTCCATCATTTGTATGGCAGTGTCAGGTCAGGAAACTGCGACTCCTGGGCAGCACTGTGCACTCCGAGACTGGGAGTAGATGGATCCATGCTGAGTCCCTGTGCACGCTTGAACTGAAGCTGTCCCTTGGCTCTGAGGAAGTCAAGGTGCTCATACAGCACAGCTCTGGCTTCAATGAGAGGGAGGACATTGTCATCAGCACCAATGACCTCCAGAGAAGCTCTAGACAATGGTCCACTTTGGAAAAGTGTTGCTAGTTGGTTGAGATCCAGCAAACCAAGAGTTGGTGGTGTGATCCAAAGCACCACTTTTTTCATGGCAGTTGATGTGATCTGCTGCAAGATTGCCAGAATATCCATGGCTTCAGCATCAAGCTGGAGTGTCTGGAGTGACGTGCTTCTTGACAAGCCACCATGTCTGCAGAATTGACCTACATAGTGCTCTATTAGCACCTCAACTTTCATCAACAGGATTCATTGCAATCATTACCTGCAACAGCCTGTTCATTAACCTTATGCCAGTGCTCATCATGTGTCATGAACCAGAGATTGAGGTAATGCAGGCTTGCACCACAGTATTGGATATACTGGACAACATTCAATGCAGCAATAGCATCATTGATGGCATTGACAGTCAGGGTGTGGACATGGGGAGGGGAGTTGCAGTGTCTGAGGGCTGCAAGTATGTACGAGAAGGAACCATCCAGGTCAAGGCTATGGAGACTGTGGGGCATCTGCCAGTTGGCAGGGACTTCATGAGGATAGAATGCATCATGGTACAGCACTTCTTCATCCACATATTTGAAAACCTCGAGTGTCTGAGCTGCTGATACGAAGTTGAGTGCTGAATAGTCCGAGGGATGAGTCCGAGTCAGGTTCGAGATGGATAAACACTGTATGTGCTTGCAAAGATCTCGAATGATGTTCTGCGACTGCTGGTCCTGCCAACATAGGTCGGACAGTGAAAGGCTCCGAAGAGCTACGAGTAGGTGAGGTTGGATGCCGGGTAGTGCATCGTCGAGCCAATGATGCGGGGTGTGCACAGGCTGCGAGAGGTAGTCGTCATAAATCTCCACATGGCGCACGTACGGGAGTACTGGGGGCAATGCGTTCAGGGAGCGACCAGTGTCCCAGCCATGACGACTGAGAAAGAAGGTGCGGAATTGATGCATGCGCACGCTGGAACCCATGATCGACAGACCATGGCGCAGGTTGCGAGCGCGCTGTTGTCGTCATGTAGGTGGTCGATGACGATGTCGCATAGCTCGGGATAGAGTCGAGGAGATGGAGACGTCGCAGACATGATGCTGGTGTACTGCAGCTGGCGTCGACTCATGAGTCGCTCGACAGTGGGCCTCAGTAGCCTTGGCAGTGGGATGCGGCGGCAAATGCTGGCGAATGCTTAGAGTTAGTCTCCCCAAGCAAAATGAACATTTCATTCAAACTTCGTACCTTGATATGCGGATGTTTGCGTCCTACTTCAGCTCCAGAGTCACCGGCTGACCGGTTACTTGCGAAACGTTGGGTTCGAGTTGGTTGAAAGACACGGCGCGCTGCAGGCGCTGAAGCTGAAGGCCGCGCGAATTCGAATCAGTGAAAATGCTAAATCTACTTCAAGTTGGCTTGACGCCAACGCGCCACACTCAATTTCCTGAACGAAGTGTATCATGCCATTCATTCGCTAAAGTACAGTATGAAAGGGAACCGCCGGAGCCCAGCGTACATATCTAAGTCGTCTCAATGCGTGTAATAAGAGTGTGGATGTAAAGTATGTTTACATATGTTCCAGATGAGCCGTAACGAAGCCGAATCGACTGTGCTAACCCGCCACGGCAGACGCACGTAAGGTCGAAACCCATAATGTCCCTGGCGAACCATACTATGACTAGACCGGGACCTCCACCGGCTTGCCCACCTCCGGCAGACTGACGGCGTCGAGCGAAGCTCCCTCGGCGTCCTGGACGAGGATGTTGGCCTGAGGCATCGAGGAGGCGGGACTAACAGGCTCCGTCGTGGAGTCCGCAATAGACGAAGTGTCCGAGCCATGGTAAGGAGGCTCTTGCGGGACGCGCACAGGGCTGGACGTCGAAGAGATGCTCGACCTTGGACTGAAGAAGCCGCCTAGCTTACGCGTAACCGGTGGTACACTAGGCGTCGACGAGGGCGCAGGCGCAGGAGAATTCACAGGTGTCTCGGGCGTCGACCAGAGCTTGAAGCCCCAGCGTGACGCAGCACCCTGTTGGCTCGTGGCAGGGGTGGAATTAGGCTTTGTCGCAGCGCGGATGGTGGACCGGGCCGTCTGCTCGCCCACGCTATTCTCAGCAATGAACGTGCGAAGTGCCCGCACGCAGCTCTCGGAGGCCTCTCGTGCCTCCTGAACCTCGCGCAGCTCGTGCTTGGTCTCGTCCAATTGCTCCTTGACCTTCTCGAGCTCCTTGCGCAAGGTATCCGTCTGAAGGTTATCGAGCGACGGGACATCAGGCAGCTGCGAGGAGCCCCAGCCAAACATCCCCGACCTCCTCTTGGACTGTCCCCTGTGAGCGGAGGGCTGCGGATGGACTGCGAGGGATCAGGAGAGGTGAAACCCGGCGAGGTCGGCCACTGGCCATTGTCACCAGACGTGGGGGCGCTCGCGAAGCCGGGATCAGAGAGGGACACAATCCGACGGTGGCCTGCGCGTGCGGGGCTGCCAGTCAGAGGGGTGAAGGACGCACGCTTCGACGTCGGCGGGCCGTTCATCGGCGTGGAGCCCGGCTGCGAAAGGTCGACGGAGAGGTTGCCTATCTGGCTCCTGCGCCTGCTCTCGGTCTGTAACCGCATCAAGGCGCGTCTGTGCAACTCGCGTGTAAGTCATAGCAAATGGATTGTTATGTCGGAACCGCTCGCACCTGCTCTCCTCGACCTTCTGGCGGAGCATGGCAATAGCTTCTTCATCCTCCTGGTGCTTATCCCGCGCCGCGGAGAGCTGAGCCTCCGTGCGCAGACACTTATCCGCTACGCTCTCTAGCGCGTCCTTCACGTTCTCCTCCCTGAACTTCGTTTCCGCAAGCTCGTTCTTCAGACGTCGCGCTCTCTGGTGACATCCTCCAGGCTCATCCGAAGTTGGGTCACGATGGACGCGAGGACGTTGGTGTCCAAGGACTGTGGCCGCGCGCCCCGGGTCTCCACTCGCGCAGGCGAGTTAGGCAGGGACTCGCTCTCGAGTTCGCGTTCAAGTGCGAGAGAGAGGTCGATAGAATGTGGCCGGTCGGACTTGGGAGAATGCCATCGTGATATTCATGTTCGAAGGAGTCGTCGGTATTGGACATAACCAGTGCGGGAGACATGATGGTTGAAGTCGAAGACAACCACGTAGAAGTGCTAGGTTGGCGTAGCCGCCTCGGAGGAGCAGCAGTGCCAGCACTGGATGGTGGCAGTGGTGGATGAGGCAAGCGCAGTGAGCGAGGGGAGCAACGGCCGTGCAAAGTCGCGGTTGGACAGCCCGCGTGCGGCGCGTGCCACATATGTCAGAAATTACCAAATCGGAACGCAGCCGTTTGCGACGCGACGCGTCGCGTCGCGACAACACATCAACATGATCCCAACGTCGCTGATGGGAATATCCACTTCACATTCGAGCAACATCGACGGGCCCGCAGAGCAGTCTAATATCTGCGCTGCAGGGCCCCCATATATATTCGTACATCCGCGTGTGTTCTTTCCAATTGTCTATATACATACACGTACAGAGCGAGGGGTTTCAACTTCCAGTCCAATTTTCCGTTCGTTGCTGACGGTCATAGATCAACCATGATCCTGACATTGTAACTCACCATCACTGGTGTGTAAGAGGATCAACGCAAATCACGCCGTCGCGTTCGCTCCAAGGGTAGCCCCATAGGTGCAGCCATTCGCGCACACCGGCAGCAAGTCGAACTCGCGAGGTGCCACGAGCCGGGTCCTGTGTGCCAGTGTGCTTCTCTTCGCCGACGACAAGGAACACTGTTAAAGCATATGTCAGAAGACTGACAGCGCACGCGAAACTGTAATGACGCCTACCCAATCCATAGAAGTGCTCATGTTCAACCTGAGCAGCACCGTGAGCTTCGCCGAAATGAAGACTAGGGTCCAGATGACGTACTGCAAGCAGGAACTCCTCCAAGACCTCCGTAGCCTCCGCAGAGTGCAGGCCGTGCAGATCCAACATCGCCTCCGTCCGCTCCTCCGGCGTGAGCTTCTTCTCGCCGCCGACGTTCTGGCTCGCGATTCCGAGACACACTCCGAGACCCGCACCACAGATCCTGCCCCGAGCAGTCCGGTCCCCATAGTCGTCGGACCAGCTAGCTTCCCGCGAACGCACAGCCTGCTCGGCGAGGTGCGCTCGCTCCCGGACGAGCTTACCCGCCGCCTCCACCATCTCGGCACTCATCTTAGCGTTGAGGTCGTGACCTTCACGACTGAATCGCTTTGCAGCACCTCCGTCGCCGCGCCGCCATGCATCGGCGGCACGCGAGAGGCAAGCGTTACGAGCAGCGCCAAGACGCAACGCCCTATCCTATGTCAGCCTCACGAACACACATGCAATAGGACTTCACCAACCTCGATCGATAACTCATGTAGAGCTCATTCACGGACTCGCCCGTTGGTAGCGTGGGCAAGAGAGTCGGGGGACGTAATTTGATGCGAGGCGACGGCTTCGGTGCGATAATAGCCGCATTATGGTGAAGTGGCTCAGCCGCCGCGCCCATAGCTTCTCTGCGGGCGGCAAGCAGGGCAGGGTCCTTGGGTGACTGGACGACAGATGCAACAGGGGCTGCTGGCGGGACAGGCTTCTTGACAGCCGCTGCGAACCTCGTTCGCCCAGGATCGTGGTAGGCGCTATTGTCGCGGCCATAACGATACCCTCCGCGACCGTTGCCTGGGTTGGCGACATGGTTGAGCGTGGGGAATTCGTCGGGAGACGCGCTCCTTGCACGCTCGGGGTGCTCCGCATTGATGTCCGTCCGCGCCATGGCGTGATTGAGGCCCGACACGTCAATCTCATTTGGTAAGTGGTGTAAGAATTCGCAGTTCTCTCCCTTCGCACATGTGCCGCGCAGCCAGAATCTGCAGAGTGCACGCTCTAGGTCGTGACTGCCATACTCGTTCAGTATCTCAATCGTTGCAGTTGCGACGAGCGAACACACCTGAAACGACAATCCGCACGCAAGCACTCACCGGCCAGGAAGTATCTGCAGACTCTGTTGCCACCCGGCACTGCGCGTCCGTTCACGAACCGCTGGCCATTGCGCACGCCAAGCGCGCCGGGGCTGCCCAATCCGCCCCTTCCACCGCGTACCATGCCATTTCCGTCCCTGCTCACCATCATGACCCTGTTCCCCATACTCTGTATCCTCGGCGGGCCGCTCGTCTGCGCCGGCGAGTTTAGCGAGCGATCCACCAGCCATGTCATCGCGCGCTCAAAGTCATATCCGTTCTGGGCCAACGCCTCCTCGAGCTCAGACGGCGCGAGCGTCGCGCCGAAAACCGAGCTGAGCACGTCGAATGGCGTCATCCCGTCCGTGAGCATCGCTGCCGCCTCCGGGTCGATGTCCTCGTCGCCCTGCGACGGCACATTGAACGACTGGTCCGTCCCGGCACTGGTGATGTAGCGCGGGTCCTCGGGCGACAGGGACATGGGCGAGTTGGACCACTGCGAGTCGAGCTCTGAGCCGACGGGGTGGAACGAGCGCCGCGGGTTGGCCTGCGCGAACGGGTCGAAGGGGTCCTCCTCATCGCTGTGCTCGCCAGGGCGCATAGACGAGCGGAGGATGAGCTCGGCGTGAGCGCGCGCGGGAGCAGTGCGCTGTCGGGAGTGAGAGGCGCCGCGATGGCTAGTTTGGAAGTCGGACGGCTCGGGTTGTGCGCCCAGAGGTCCGGCGAGGGCGTCTCAGCCCGAAGCTGCGATAGACAACCCGGGTTGGACGACGCGGCGGAAAGTGGGCGCTGGATGGGCTTGAACTCGTTCGCCTTGGCGTTCAAGGAACGCGGCGACCCGATTGGGGACGCGGGGAGACTGGACGTGAACTGTGCGTGCGTGATCAAAGGAGATATGCTGGGAGATTCGCTGCGCGCCGTCATATAGGACGATGATTGCTGCAGGGCACCTAACGGTGATGTCAACGGCGTGTGAGGTCTCTTGAATATCATGGCGAGAGGAGAGCTCGGTGCGGAATTGGGAGTCTCCGGACGAGGCACGAGACGAGCCGAGTGGGTCGATGCCCGCGAAGAGGGGCGCGAGATGGGCCGACGCGTAGGAGTGAGGAAGAGGAACGGGACATTGTCCACATCATCTCTGTGTTTGTGCAGAAGATCCAAGACGTGTTGCTCGAGCTGTCGAAGTCATGCATCAGTATGGCTTTTGTGAGGGCATATGTGTGAGGGAGGGTTAATAAAGAGGACCCGGTCATGCTCCTTATGAGTGGCCACGGCCGGCGAACCCATCGAGAGTAAGCCGGACGGCCGACCCACGTCGATCGCAGCCCCCGGGCTAGAAGCTCATTGCAAGGGCCCTGGCTCTCTCGATCGCGGTAGGGCCTCTCACGTAAGAGAAGGCCAAATGTATACAGTGCGACACCAGGCCGGGTGCTGGCAGCGACGCGCGCAGAAGACATGTCGCTCACCTCTTCCTCATCTATCCGACCGAACGTGCCCTTCAACAACGCCTTCAACTCGTCTTCACGCTCATTGGTGAGGAGCATGACGACCTTGCCCACGAGGGAAGAATTGATACGGGGGTCATCTCCGTCGGGGTCGCCTTCGAAAGTGTCTAAGGACGACTTGTGTTGACGCGCGATCGCTGAGAGCTGCGCGCGAGTGTGGGGGAACTTGGGCGGCGCGGAGAGGTCCTGCCCGGTGAGTGAGTGAGCTTCAGAAAGGTTGCTAGAGGGCAAGGGGATGGATATTGTAGGGGTGGCGAGCATTGTGGAGGTAGAAGGGGAAGACAGTCCCCCGCATCACGACGGTTGGTGAACAAGGAACGTGCAGCTCAATATGGCATTCATACTGTACTCATCGACTCTCCGTCCAATCACGCAACCGCAGTCGCTCGAATATGGTTCGCTTCACTCCTAGCCCTCGATTTGTTACCAGGAACTGAGAGGCCACTGTTCTCCTTATTTTGCCTTTCATCGCGACACGCGCGACTCAGACTCAGTCGCTGTGAGTCTGACGGGCGTTGAGGACGGTCAACGCGGCCGCTCTGGGCCGCGGACGCAAATGCCACGTGGGTACTGCCTCCCTCGCGGCAGTACTTTTAGTTGTTATTTATCTATCGCGTCCGATTCAACAATACGAAGAAGTTGAGATTGGGTATATGCATGAGCTCATCGTCCCTCTATGCTGCCAATAGAGCTATGTGCTGGTGGAGAAACATGGTGCAACTCTGCACGAAGAACTTGCTATTGCCGACCAATTGCTGACCAATAATCAATAAACAATGATGCAGCAACTTGAACGTATCACTGCCAGAACGAAGTCAGGCCCGCGTGACGTTCACTAGCATTCGCTTGCCCCGAGTCGAAGGACAACAACACAAAGGCCATGCAACCATGCACACAACGCGTGTGTGAAGTCGGCGATCCTGTCCTGAGCTTGATATAGAATCGGGAGGGGTGAAGCCAGGAGGGAACATAACACCTTACAGGTGATACGATCAGCCAGTGAGTCTGTCACCGCACTGCGGCAAATTATCAAGCTGAAAGAATGTGCTGCAGCAAAATTCCAAACACGGCATACTTACGATGCAGCAACGTACCTGCGGCAATTTGACAGATACAAGATGATCGTCAGGGTCCGAGACTCCTGCGTGACCTTCGTCGTTGCCCTGTCGACGACCATCCATTCGGTATACTCAGGCTTGACAGGGGCTGCGACCTGCGGCAAGCCTGCGCGTCCTGCACAGGTGACTCATCTGTAAGTATGCGGGGTATTGTGTGATACATGAGGGCGACGCAACTACGGTGCGAAGCAGATGAGGACTCACGAGTGTTCGAGGATTGTTTGGGTTGGCATCTATCAGTATCATCAACTAGACGGGGCGCACAGGCACCGGGGTCGAACGCGCCGTTTGCGACCAATGTGAGGGTCCGGTGAATTGGAGGAGAGCGCGTTGCTCGGCAGCAGGCCGTGAGGGGGGCGTTGTGGCGGCAGCGGAAGACCGGAGGCGGCGAGCAGAAGAGGACGTCCGAGCCGAGGTCGGGGACTTGTGTCAGATCGGAGGCCCGATTAGGCAAGTCCGGGGACTCGATGGGCAGCCGTTGAGCGAGAAAGGGAGTGCAGACCTGTCTGGCGCCTCTGCGGTCTGACACCAGAGCCCGCTCGGTCTTATGCCCCTTGGACTTGGACGTGCTGAATCCACGACCACTTGCGTGTGCCCTCGCTCCTGTCCGCTTGCCCTGAGCACAGCTACGCCCGACAAGTGCACAGATTTGGTCATCTTCAGTGGCGCTCTAGCCCCGAGTCAGCGCGACGCATACTAGACTGCACACCTTGGCGCTGGCGTCTGACCATCGCAAAATCCACCGGCCGACGCGATGTCCTCGAATAACTCTCTAGTCAGTCGGTCAAAACGTCGAAACGCGCCGCTCTCGTGCGCAGAATGCAGACGGTACGGCGATCCTGGTCAAGCGCAGACACTCTAATTGACGCCGGCATGCTGCAGGCTTAAACTTCGGTCCGTGGTTATCGTAGCGCATTTATCCTCTATATTCACCGATGGTCTCGGGTCTCAAGGTGTTCGAGAGTCTTCCCCTGTGCCAGCTGCGTCAAGAAGGGTTGCGCTGCTATTTGTCCGGATGGTGCGTTTATCCTCTTGCAATCCCTCTGGAATGGCACACTGATAGTCGCGGTGGCCAGGCCACCTCACGACGGGCAAGGGAAATCGGTGAGTCGCGCGAGCCACACTAGCGAAACAGTTCCTCACAAGGACGTGCAGATTTGTTTTGGCAAACACGGAAGCCTTGCACGACAAGATAACTCAGCTCTCGTCCCGCGTCCGGCAACTAGAAGATGCCCTGGAGCAAGCCCACGGCAAGACGTCCTTGGAACTGCATCCCATGCTTACGGAAGAACTCAGACAAATCAAGAGGCCATTAGAGCGGGAAAGCCAGGAGGAGCTGCCTCAATCAGCGGACACCGAAGCGGCGGAAGTGATCGACGCCGTAGGATCCCTGTGAGTGCACTCTATATATGCGTGCGTCATTCAGTATCTAGATGCAGGGCGCGTCAGTTCCATCACAGACTCGGGGCTCACCAAGTTTTACGGCACCACCGCCAATGCCTGGGTAAGTCGCCATGTGACATCAGTGTACTCAATACTGACACCGTTTATTTAGTATCTCCTGCAGGTAAGCGCGAATCTCGCGATCTTCATCGCGGTTTGTGAATGAGGTGTATCATCTAGAATGAAGAAGGTGACGAAGACGCCATTGAAAACCCTCAGTCGATCCTTCCCACTAGTCTTCCCTGGCTTAGCTACGCCTTCCCCCTCGGTGACAGTGTACACGAGACTTTTACAGGCGTTCGAGCATCTCTGGTTGGACTGCTCCCAGACATCACCGAAGCCCGCCGATAGCGAGCCTTTATTTCAAGCATGCCGCTTGGATGTATGTGATAAGAATTAGAAGCATAGAATCTCACGATTGACCCGCTGCTGGTCAGGTACACGCCTATCCCCGAATCCGAGTTTTACGGCACTGTGCTTTCGCGCTTCTACGAGATCGCGGACTGGTCTGACCAAGATTCGGATTATTCGCACAAGATGGCGATCCTCTTTATGGTTTTTGCCATGGGAAGCCTCCTCGATCTGGACACTGCACCGCAGTCGGTCGAAGCGGCACGATATTATCAGCTAGGCCGTGCGGCATTGTCCCTCGATTCGATTTTGGAGCACCAGACGATCCCGGCTATCCAAGCCCTGGTGAGTCCCCGTCCCGATGTCCACGGAGGCTTGCTCATGACACGTGTAATTAGATCCTGATGTGCCACTTTATGTTCCTCTCCAATATCGACGGTCCCCGCTGGGTTGTGATGGGTCTGGCGACGAAATTGGCACTAACTGTTAGTGGTCTAATTACTTGGAGTATATCCGTCAATAAACGATCTCCCTGCAGCTTGGGCTGCGTAAGACTAGTTATATTCGCGAACGAAATAATCATACTGACGCCGTAGCACGAAGACCGTGACGGAAACAAGTGGAATTTGGATCCCGACGAGGCCTTCAGGCGGAGATCGTTGTTTTATGAGTTGCTCACCTACGATTCGTGGCAGGTACGTCTTGCTTCCACGCCTCTTGCTTCCGGCTTCTCAGACCCACCTTCTCTCGCCATGCTAGAGCATCACGTTTGGTCGACCGCCTTCACTGTCGATGGCGTTTATCGATTGCCAGCTGCCGCAGGGCGTCATGTCCAAGTCAGATGGCGGCGAGCCCGAGATGAGCTGTGAGTGACTTCACAGTCCCTCCAGGGTGTCAACATCTCAACTCTCGTCCCCCTTCGGACCTTGCCGCCAGTCGCGGCATGGAAGCACCGGTTCGCCGCACAATGCCAGAGCGTCGTGAACGAACAGGTGTTCGGCGCACGCCTCCCCAGCCATCGCCAGCTTATGGAGCTCGATACGAAAATCAGGGAGTTCTACCTGCCGCCCTCCCTCCGCGTCCGCGGCTTCGGCGGCCTGAAGTACGAGCCCCCAACTGTGCCGACCTACGAGCAAGACCTACAGAGCTACTGTGCATTCTCCATTAGGGAAATCAGTACGTCTCGGTCGGTCTTATATGTGTGGCGGCAACCTGATTGTGCCGGCCCCTGCACAGCGATCTTTTACATGCATCGGGGGTTCTTCGCGACCGCCTTGCAGGAGACACCGGACGACCCGCTGGGCCACAAGTACGCGCCCTCCGTCCTGGCCGCGTACAACAGCGCATGCTCGTACGTCGGGCTCATTAAAAGCATGTACTCGCAATACCCAAAACTGGTCGAGCGCATGTGGTTCTACTTAACGCATGTTTTCTCTTGTGGGGTGAGTGGGACCTTGTTCGCGGGAAGCCCTGTCGCGTACTCATATCATATTCAGATCGTCCTCGGCGCTATACCGTCTAAAAGCCCGGGTATGAAATTGGCACGGAGCGCGCAGGCCCAGCTTGATACTGCCCTCGGGCTGTTCGACGCTGTGCAGCATGACCCACGCGCGGCGAAGGTCCTGGTAAGTGCTCTTATGGTGTCCTGTCTCTGTTGCCCGCTGAACCTTCGTGACGTGAAGCCCGTTCTGGCGAAGCTGAAAGCGCGGGCGGAGACGTCGATGGTCGACTTCCATACCCGATCATCGGCGCCCCGGAGTGGCCCTAGCGGCCTCAGTCCGAAGGACGACGATGAGCTCGGCGCTCTGCAAGGCAGGACGCGCCTCGTCTCGCGGAAGTCGCCCGCGGCCTCTACGCCGAGCGACAGCGGGTCGCAGAGCGGGTCGAGCCCACGGGACCAGCCCGACCAATCCCCGACGGTCGCATATGCACCTCCCGTGCCCGACTTCGATTCGTCCATGTCTACGAACATGCCAGACACCAGTTCTTGGCAAGGCTACGCTCATTCCCAGGACAGCTACGAGCGCCGCGGGAGCTACGAGCAGGAGCACCACGACGGCTATGGCCCACCCAGAACTATGGCTATCCCTCGTACCAGTCCTACAATGACATGTCCCACTACTGGCAGCCGATGCACGACCCCAACATGATGCAGACCGACACGGGCGCCACCGCGCACCACTCTATGGGCCAGCCGTCCATGAACGCGGGTGTATCGCCGGTTGATTCTCACCAGCAGCACACTTACCCGCAGTACGACCCCGTAGCGGACGCTTACTCCCCGGGCTACGCGCATGTCAATGGGGGAGCGCCGATGCAGCCCGACGCGTGGCATAACTTGGTCGCGCAGTTTAATAACCCGTAGCGACGTCACGGCAGTTTGGTGAGGTGAATGACCGGATGGATGTAGTATGATAGACGCAGACACGCTTGTATGTTAGTGGTTCCACCGTTTTTGTGCTGTTGTACACGCTGCTGTTTTGCTTTCCTGTGTTAGGTTGTACGTATATGCATTTCTTGGACGAATGGTATTGGCATTGTATCCGAGTCCTGGTTTTCTGCCGTGTCGGTAGGTCTTCCCCCATGAGATGGTGCGGTGATACTCAGCGTGCCCTGGCTGGGAGGGACAGGTTCCAACTTGGTAATTGGCAGGAACCCTGCCGAACAGTGGAGACAGGGAAGCACTCCGGATCCTCTATCCGATCGAATGCTCATGCGGCGTTGACAACCTGACATTGAATTGGGACCAGATCTCGGGTTGAACGTTGGACGTTGTTGGCATTTGTTGATGGTTGTGGTCGATGGTGTCTCACTGCGGAGTCGCGCGAACCATCCTCGATCGTTTGGTACGCAGTCTAGGCACGGTAACGATCGACTTATGCTTGGGTACGCCATTGCTCAGTGCTACTGTGGGCTTCCGTTGTCACGAGATATGCTGCCGTACGCTAGAGTTCAGACTGATGGATCGTCCTGATCAGGCCCAGCCGTCCCGAACTCCGAATCACAAGTTCCTATCCAGTGTGAACAGTCCGACTCGTAGTGACTACTAGCACTCATCAACGACTGTCAAATGGAGGAAATCCCAGCTGCACGGCGAGCAATGGACGAAGCGAACAGGCCTATCAGTTGTTCAGGTTACCAGTGACCGTGGAGACTGCACCCGCTCCAAGGTTCTACTCGCGGATTCTGATGCGCACTTCGTTGCCCGTGCTGAGCTATTCTGAACTGTGAGGGCTACACTGCGACCGCCAGTGGCAGCAGATTCCTGGAGGTCTGTTCAGCTATCGGTAGCGACATTGATGACCATCTTTTCCTCTGTAACCGTGATTGACAGCCCGGCAGAACTCGTATTTGTGAAGGCGATACATAAGAGGCGGCGAGCCTAATGAGTCTGAGGGGGTTGGAGTCCAAACATCTGGAATCAGTTGGCTAGGTGCGTACGATAGTATGTAGAGCGTGTGCACAACGTATCAGCGCAGCATGACACGCAATATCCCGCGATCCGTCCAGGGGGAGAGAACATGCCTGATCACCTTGACGATATCCCAGTCGCGTCTACCTCTGTCTCGGCACCAGCGCACCGTCCGTCCAATCGAACTTGAGGTGCAGGTCCACATCGCGCAGCTGCGACCAACTAGACGCCAAGAGCGCATCCCAAAGTACCTTCACCTCTGTGAACCGTAGCGACGGGGTGTCGATGCTTCTGACCCATGCCTGGACGTCATGGCTGCGGTCGGCGGACGTTAGGGTCAAAATCAAGACGATACGAGTTATCTGGTGGTCTGGCAGTGCTTCGCGAGACAGGAGACGATGGAGGTGTCTGGCCAGTATACGCGGGCGTCCGAGAGAGAGCGATAGTGTGAGTCGGAGTTCAAGATGGGTAAGCTGTGGTAAACTGAGAGGCCCGAACATACCGTTGGCTGCGAAGAAACGAAGATGAGTGACGTCGACGATAAGACAAGCCACACTGTGTACTTACGATCATCCCAGAGAAGACATCGCAAAGAGTCTCTCAGTGTTTTGCGAGCTCGCGGCATGCCGCGTACACCGCGTACATATTCTGCATAGAGTTTCGTGTGGAAACCCGTAGCTTCCAAATCGACGATACGCAGGCGACAATCTCAGCACCTTGACAAATGCGAAGAATGCGACTTCCGAGCCTTTGGTGCGCGCAGCGATATGGAGAATGCGCAAACGGAGCCGACCTGGCATGGGTTTGAATGTTGAGACTGTATGGTTCGAGAGCAACACATCCTCGATGGACAGTTCCTCGAGGGACGGAAACGCGCAGACCAGGCTACGGAGGTGAGTAAAGTTGGCCATGCGAATGTCCGACAACGTCAGACAGGTAATCTGTCGGAGGACAAGGAGGCGCAGACCGAAGTTCGCCGGATAGCGTACGATGTCATGGCACTGGCCACAGTGTCGGAGGATCAAGTGCCGCAAGGAGGGTAGGTGATTTGCGAGCATGAGTGGTATGAGATGAAAGTACGATGCCGTCGAGGGTCTCTCCACGAAGAGGTGACCTCTACTACCCCACCGTTCTCTTCGACGATGATTTCCTTGGTAGATGATAGGTAGCCCTGTACCTCTGGAAGCCGGGCTGCGCTTACCAAGGTGTCAAAGACATCGCGATTGGTGATAGCAATCGTGGAGTATAGGGTGGAGATACTGTGTTGATGCCAGGCGTGACAGACCAGGGCACAATTATAGAGGTTCTTGGGTTCGCCTCGCAACTGTTCCATGACCACGTAGAAGATGTCTAGAGGGATACGTTGAGAAATAGCGAGGGGTAAGGCATCTTTGATCATCTTCCTCGCGCTCCTGTTACTGAGGCAGTACTGGTACCAGTTAGGTGGGCCATCCTCCTCATCTGGCACTTCCTCTCCACCATCTCTGTGGTCCCCGTCGTCGTCCTTGCCGTCCTCTGACGGGTCATCGTGTGATTCCATCGCATTGCGAGTCTGGTCGTGATCCAACCGTTGCTGCCCGTTTTCCAACGAGACAGCGGGAATTAGATGTGTAATCTCCATGTTCGACAGGACCCCGGGACAGACGTCTTGCTAGTCACTGCTCTTTAGGGTTGAAATTGGGTTGGAGGGCCAGGACGCGAGCTATAGATTTTCGCACAAGGGCTAACGCGAGGCTGGTCAACAGCGTACCAATAAATATATTTCTTGACTCACCTGGACAATGCGATGCAGCGTCGTCGACGTCAGCTCTGTGGACAGTGAATGCCAAAACCAGAGAGTGTAACCGCGGCGCAGCTACTCATCTAGCCACAGTAATCACTGCCCCGGCACTGCCCAGCGAGTTGTACATAATCCACGGACTTCCCTATTCCATATTTATTGTGTGATAGCGTGACGGAAAGCCTTGATTGATCTGATTGAGTACACACGCCGACTGCTGAGTATCGGATATAAGTAGTCAGTCCTCTCGATGTTCACAACTTGAGGTCACTGGTAGTAAAGAAACGTCACCACCCTTCTCACTTGACATCCACACAGAGAAACCCAAGAGAATGCAAGCACGGCCTGTAAAACCTGACTTGGGTCGAGGCGGGAAGAGCAGGCGAGGACTCGGGTCGACTAGATCTGCGATTGGCGCGTCGTCGACGCGCCCCCAGTACAGACACGTGATGCCGACGCGTCTGCCGAGGGCATAGACGCCCAGTATGCTCTGACACTGGCACTGGCGGTGATCTCGACGCACTCTGGTCTGGAAGACTGAAGTCTCCTCTGTGCCAATCTGTCTTGTCAAATATATCGCTACAAGGGGCGCGACTATTGTCTTCCTGACATTAACTAGGCGGGGTCGACTATCCCCGCGATGGACACGGTGGATCCTCGAACTCGGCACAAGGTTTCTTTGAACCCTGCCGCTCTAGGGGCAAAGTCGTATGTTTTCGTTATTGTGGCTACTCGAGTCTATACTCAAAGGCATGACAGAACACTGCTCCCCCAAGCACTCCTGTCGGACGCGCTCGTAGTATTGGCGCTTCAAGCGGGCAAGGCTTCCCTCTTTTCCATTGATGTCGGTGTTTTCTGGGTACTTGTAAGGTTTCTGGCATGCGGAGCCACGGGCCTTATGATTTGGGTCGCAAGTACAGGGCAGCTCCAGAAGAAGAGGTCGATTGAGGTATGTCCCCTGGGCAAGCGGAAGCGAGACGGGACTGACCTTGCGCATGCCGACAGTGGTCTCATTGGGAATGGCCTCGCTTCTACTGTTCCTGAGACAGGCAGGCCTGACTACAGCCCTGTATAGACTTCCTGCTTCACGGTACGTTCTGTATAACGTATCCGGTGTCTAGTCTCACGTCGATCTACGATAGCGTGGTCATCATCCACCAATTCTCGGCTATGTGGTTTAAGTCGCTCATAGCTCCCTCGTCTGTGAGTTTGCACACCGCCCATCATATGTCTGCTGAAAATGGCCCAAGCTACTGCAAACATGTGCGGTTGTAGCAGCATTGTCAATAGCCTTCCTCTCCGACTCCGGCCTTTCCTCCGAAGGATTCCACGAGATGTTGCCTGCATACGGAGCGTTGCTCGTGGAAGCGGGTGCTTCCAGTGCACTTGACCACACCCAAAGTGTCCTCTTGCCTTCTCTCGGCGAACCTATGTCTATGGCCCTGAGCACACTTGGAGCGTCCATCTTCAGCTTCCCTCTCTACTTGCTCAGACACGTCATGGTATTATCTGCTTTTGCACTCATTTAACGCATGTCTGATACAGCTCACAGACGGATGTAGCTGCTCCGCCCTCCCTGTCCCTCACTTCACTAGCCGTCGTACCTTTCCTCGCCTACGTGCTGCTCTTTAGAGCCCCACAGACATCCAAGACCACTAAGAGCCCTGCTTTTCCTCCGCAATACTACCTCTTCTCGTACCCGCTAGTCGTCCTGACCTCACTCGCGCTTGGTCTCTTCTCTCTGGGTCGTTATCCTCGACTGTCCGACTTTCTCATCGCTCCGCTGCTGCTGTATGGTATGTCAACGGCTTCCCCTTGCGTGCGAAACCTTTTTACATGACTTGTAGGTGTGTACCCGCGTACGGCGGACTTGTCTGGTCCCTCCCCGTACGCATCAAGCTCGCGTGTGATCAAGGCCTACCTTAAGTCCATCCTGTCCAACCCGAGTCACGCAAGATATTTACTTCCTGATGCTCAACATGTGCTACATGCTTGTTCAGATGCTCTATGGTGTCTGGACTAATAGCTTGGCTTATATCCGACGGTGCGTTCATGCGCGCATTCGGATCACCTCTAGTTCCGCTTCGCTTGATCATCGCTAATGCATACCCCCGAACAGCCATTCATATGGCATTTGACTGCATGGCTATTGGAGTGGGTCTCATTGCCAGTGTCATGGCACGCTGGCCTCCAAATGAGCGATTTACCTATGGGTACGCCAATTCTGTCAGACAGGTCCTTCATTCAACACTGACGTATCCAATAGTTATGGTCGCATCGAGACGCTCTCGGGCTTCGCCAATGGCATCTTCCTCGTTTTGATCTCGTTCTTCATCATCTTCGAGGCCATTCAGCGGTTGTACGTCTGGCTCTCTCACCGCTGATGAGGGTAAGAGACTAATCAAGATTATGTACGATTCCATGCGCAGATTGGACCCCCAGAGATGAACACCAATCAGCTGTTGCTCGTCAGCTCGCTGGGGCTCGGGGTGAATTTGTTCGGAATGTTCGCTATGGGTGGACATCATCATCATGTGAGTAGCATCTCAAACGTATGGCAACCATGGCTTGACCGTGATCTTGTCAGGGCGGTCATTCTCATTCGCATGGTCATGGGCACAGTCACGGCGACGCTCCTAGTCCTAGTCCCTCCACTTCGTCTTTCGGCGAACATGCACACGAACATGAAGATCACTCACATTCGCATGTGGCAGATGAGGTTCATCACTCGCATGACCATTCGCATGACGATCATGCGCATTCGCATTCGCACGACGATGACCACCACTCGCACTCTCACTCACATGCTCATACCGACTCTTGCGCGCATGATCATAGCGATGCCACTCTTTCTACCTCTCATCCTTCGGAAGCGCACGCACATTCGCATTCCCAATCGCACTCACCTCCGCCACTCTCTATCACGCCTCCCGACCGCCACATTCCCGCGCCCCTCATCAACATCACCACCAGCGACTCACCGAGTTCTGCCCACCCTCACTCGCATTCACACTCGCACGCGCACGGGCCACCAAGCCCGTTACAAGACAACGAGTTGCTCCTCCCTATCCCGAAGCACCTACGGCTGGGCGAGGCCGACAGTCCGCTCACGCCCAGCTACCGCTTCGGACACGACCCGCACTTCGAGACGCACCATACGCACGCGTCGGGCTCTGGACACGCCCCGAACTTGCATGACCACAGCCACGAGCACCATGCTCATGAAGGGCACAGTCACAACATGAGAGGCGTGTTTCTGCACGTCATGGCGGTACGTCGTCGTATAGGCTGGGTTGATATTCGGCCGCTGACATATCAACCCGGCAGGACACTTTGGGTTCTGTCGGGGTCATAGCGTCGACGTTGCTCATCAAGTACTACGGCTGGACAGGCTTTGACCCCATCGCGTCACTCTTCATCGCCATCCTGATCGCCGCGAGCGTCATCCCGCTCGTCATCGACACGGCAAGATCCTCGCGCTGGACCTCTCCGACCGGGAGACGAGCATCCAGCGGGCGATCTCCGAGGTGAGTTCCCGCTACTCCCATAATGCTTCCCACTTAGCTTGCGACGCAGCTCCCGACAGTCGAGGGACTCGCATCGTATACCAGGCCGCGCTTCTGGCCGAAAGACGACTCAGGCATCATCGGCAGCATCCACATCCAGCTCGCACCCTCAGCCTCGTCGCACGACCCGGCTGGGCCACACTCGACTCGGCGGACCACGTTCACAAACGTCGATCGGGTCGTCGAGCGCGTCGACAAGCTGCTGCGGAGCCGCATCTCTGGGCTGGAGGAGCTCACCATCCAAGTTGAGGAATCATGATAAGATACCTCCTAGTATATATCCTTGGGATCCAGTCTATCCGGGGCGAGCGATGCACACGTGTACAGTACATACATAGTTGCCATGCAGTTTATATTCCGGACAATATACTGTACTAGTCACATTTAGCTAAGGCGCGCTGCGTTCCGACAAGACTGTCCGTGATGGTCATGAGCTAGCAACTCTACATGTGAAGGCGTATACTGAAACAAAGCAAGGTATATATAGTACTTGAGCTACAAGCACCCCCCGTCCGAGCGGGTGCGGGATCACTGCGTCGCTGCTGCGCTGTCCATGGGAATCACTTCTCCAAACCCAATCGAAAAACAAAACATGAAGTTTGGGTTTTGATGCGCTTTTGGTATGGGTGAGGCACGGTTACTCGTTCAAGTTGTTGAGGAGGGTGGTCAAGCACCGCTTCGTGACCATGTCGCCCTTTATCCGCATTCACTTAGGTCAGATCATGATCGATCGAGCGAGTGGATAACATACCTTGAGGAGAGCAGCGAACGTATTGTCACGCAGCGGCTCCGGCAGACACGCCCTCAACGCCTCTCTTGCCCTGAAATGTCCGTGAGTGATCGCCTCTACGCATAATAAGTATGACCAGCCCACCTCAGATTGTCGCTCAACCGCAGGTAGCAACGCACGACATGTTTGAGCAGTCGGACGGCCTGCGTCTCCACGAGTTGGTTGACCATGTTGCTCAGGACCGTCCCGACAGCGTAGAAACGCTCGTAGGTGTGGCAGATGTACGTCAGACCCGTCTCATCGAGCAGGATCTTCTGCACGATGAAGATGGCGACGGTCTTGGAGAGCTCGGAGCCCGTCTCCATGATGCGCAGGCAGAGGGGTATGATTTCGGTGGAGAGGAGGAAATGAATGACGGTGTTGTTATCGTTTTGCTGCGAATGGGACAGAGCATAAGTAACACCGTATGTGCTATGAGAAAGGAAAACGCACCTTGACCAGCGCGCCGATAACGCCAAGCGACGTGAGACGCAGGTACTCAAAAGGGCGCGTCTTCGAGATTGTGTTCAGAAATGGATACAGAAAGAGAGGGATATGGGCTGCAGGAGAAAGGCATCAGCCACGAGGGGGTGGGCTCGCGTCTGATACGAGGACTCACCATTCAAGAAAAGCTGACGAGTCTCGGCGTGCGAAGCCACACACTGCAGGAGGGCGAGCGCGTTGCAGACCCGGTTGGATACATGTGCGGTGAGATTAGGCGGGTAGAGTAAGGGATAGACAGAAACGATTTCTTGAAGGAGGGCTGGCATGATACCTGCATACGCAAGGGCATCGTTCCCATGAGCATCCCGTCGTGCCCATACCAAACCCAAAGCGCGACGTACCAAAGGAGTGCCAAAGGACCAAGGCGAGGTCGTCGTACTGCTCCCGCTTCTTGCTGAGTTCGAGCAGCGCAGTCTCGCGAGCGTTCGCGTCGAGCAAATCAATAACCATCCCGTAGATCTTCGTCTCCTCGTGCACGCCCATAATGCCGGGCGAAGGACCATTGAAGCCGGGGACCATGTTCTGAGGCGTCGAGTGCGAGAGCGGGGGGAGGCCGTTGGCGGGGGAATCGCCGTAGCCAGCGATGCCGCGGCCATAGGGATTGTACTGCATGTGTTGCATGTACGAGAGAGGTTTGGGAGAGATGAGGCCCGCCATGGGCAGTCACGCAGGTTCAAGTCGCGGCAAGCGTCCCGTTGTCCTCGGCCAGGAGAGGGCTGCACGGAGGCGCCCACGCCCGCTGACAAATCACCGCGCGCCGAAAACATATGCCTCGTGGTCAGTGGCCACACAGAGGGAGGCAGGACACCCAGTGAGGGCCACGGTATATGTATGCATTACGAGTGGTAAGAATGGGTATCGTGTATACAGAGCTGTTGTACAGGAAATGGTACATGATAAATATCCCAGGATACAACAATGCGAGAGGACAGAAGTCCGGTGCGGGCCACCTACATGACCCGGACCCAATTCATAGAGTCGACACCTATCGCAAGAAACCATGAGGAGCATCAGCGCTGGGAAACGTTTTTATGTCATGTTCTGGCTCAGGACGGCGACAAGGTACTCCTGCGCCCGCGGTTAACGTCTGCCGGTGATGATCGCAATCCTTGACCCTCACCTTGTCCTCGGCCGAATCCGTGTACATGGACCATGCGTAGCGGCCATCGCTGAATTCTACGGCGAAGGAATGCGGTACGCCCTCCAACTCTTCATAGCCCTCTTGCCAGTCTTTGGCACTCGCGACGACTGACAATTTGACTGCCTCTAGGGACTGGTCGGTCTCCTGGCATTGAAGCACACTCAAGCACTGCCTCGAGGAAAGACATGATAGGATGCGTACCTCTTTGCTCTTGAACAGGTAGAGCGTTTCGTCGTCGAGCTGATAGTATCGCCGCTTCCACGTCCCAGACTGTTCAGACTGGACGGTGACCCAGCCCGACAAGAGCACATGGCGACCACCTGTTGTGGTCGCAGCAGCCTTCAACCGAGCGGCCAGCGCCCGCCTCTCGTCCAGAACCTTGCGCAACATCTCCTGGCGTTTCCCAGATATCTCTTGTGCTCGCTTGGCCTGCTCTCGCCGCCACGCCTGCAGCTTCTGTGTCTCCTGTATGCGGCGCTCGCGGTCGGCCCTCCTCTTTTCCTCCAAGGCAGCCTTCCGCCTTTCGTCGGCCTCGCGCTCCAATGCCTCCTTCCGTGCGCGCTGCTCCGCCGCGTAGCGGAGCTCCGACTGGAGGATCGCCTTTCGCTTGCGTTCCTCCTGCTCGTAGCGGCGCATGTCCGCCTCCCTCGTCTGCCTGAGCCGCTCCTGGCGTTCTTCCTCTTCCAGGCGTGCCTGCGCCTCCTCCTTCTCCTTGCGGCGCAGCGCCTCCCGGCGGATGATTTCTCGTTCGTCGGGCGTCGAGGCAACGCGCCGCTCGGGGACACGCCCGCGGGCGACGGGGATGCGATAGGATAGCATCGGGATGCGCGAGGGTGCAGGTGAGGTGGGTGTGTAAACCGTCTGCGGGCGCACGCCTGCAGCACCTGCCCCCGTGCCATTTCCCGCACGCGGCCTGGAGTTCGCACTAGAAGGGGAAGGCAGCCCGGCGTCCGAATACACGTCCTCAGGTACATCAGTGAGATTAGATTGTGACGGAGTGAACTGCCGTGTGAGGAAGAGGTTGGACCGTGGCGAGCCCATGTAGCTGTCCACGGAGGAGTCGGGGGACGGCGTGCGCGCTAGCTCGGACGTATCGAAGGCAGAGTAGAGTACTTGCCAGCTCTCGACGTAGCGTCTCCTCGCCTTGGGGTTCAGCTCCTTCGGTGGCGGGGGAGGCGGTGGCAGCTCGGTCAACTCTTCTACGGCTCTGGGTTTCTGATGCTGGTGCTTGCGCTTTCGAGCATTCGGAGAGGTGGGCTGCCTGGGGGACATAAAAGCTCTGAAGCGGTCGTCCAGCTTCGATCGCAGCTTCCCAGGGCTTAAGGTGGCCGACGGCATCTTAGCTTAGATAAATGAGGGGAAATGACCAGGGTGTCGAGTAGAGACAGGCAGTGCAAGAAGTGGGATAGGCAGATGGTAGTATGGGAGAGGGATATGGGAGAAGACAGGAACAGGACGAGGCGGAGCAAGGGGGCCATTGTTCGCATCGTTACCGGTAAAGACAGCTTCGTGTTAGCGTCAGAGCTAAACAAAGCCGTTGTGTCGGGTTCCATAGACGCCCAGCAATCCATTGCCCGCCGCTTTGTGTCTGTGCTTGTAATTCAACAAGCTGCCGTTCTTCTGCTAACTCAAGTGTGCCCAAGGCCGCAAGCAACGACGACAACCTTGCAGGCATTCAGGCTCATCACGAAGCGCTTGATAAAACAATCCGGTGCGGCTATGTTTCGACTGTATTGATACTGTCCTGGGAGCGCGCCCTTCAAATGAATGAAATCATCACGTAGATGTCATCCACAAACCATCGTCATCATGATGCATGGACCATTCGCGCACTCACATATGCTGGCCAGGGTCTGCGTGCTGGTCGTGCCAGACGCGGCCGGACATAACGCAATCAACGCACTGCTGTTCCACGGACGCCAGAGATATACTCGCAGCTCACTGACCCAAGCGAATAGCATAGATATAAGGCTACAATTAGGTTTGTCGTCTTTGTCCGACGGAAAGAGTTCGGTCACGACCATGACCTCACGAAGCGGACAGGACCCAAGACCGTGTCATGACAACGGAGTGCGGTCCGTGCTGGCGGGAACACGGAAGCTGGACTTGTCCTGCATGGAGTCTACGTAGTGTACAGTTCCGGTCAGCGCCTTTGGAAACAACAGAGGTCAGTCGGCACGCACCGGTATTCGACTTGTATTCCATAACCGTAGTCGACGGTAAGTTGAGTACCCGCCTGATGGTTTCTCTGCAACAAATAGGCCACTGTTAGTACACCGTAGATGAACACACATCAAACACACGTACTTGACTGCTTCCTTCACCCGCGCGTCCTCCCGTCTGTTCCAAATAGAGATGATGTCCTCGTTCTGGCGCACGCTGATCGTGCAGCCACATATCTCCGGCCAATCCCCCTGAGGCGCATCGCCCCCGCACCGTCTGTCTTCTCCTCCCCAATCGAGGTGCATTCGGTAAACTGGTCTCCTACGATGCGAGGACGAGACCCTCCCAAAGGCGGTCGGCAATGCCTTTTCGGAGGCGTATGATCCACTTCCCGCCCGAAATGTTAAGTGGGTCCTCCCAGACCGGTCTGCGGATACCAGAATGGAAGAGCAGGTAGTCGGTCGTAGGTAGCAGGCTGGACGGCGGGTTGAGGTGTGTCCAGAGAGACCAGAACGACTCAATCTACCATAGCCACATGCCACTCCGTGAGGACGATAGCAACGAATGTATGGCGGAAGACGTACAGAGCTGAAAGCAGATATCTTCTTTATGCCTTCCTCATAGTTGGTGATTTTAGTCCCCGGCCCGCGCTGCTGGCGGAACCAGAACACCCAACTGCGGAGCACACGACAGTCGGTCACGTCAGTACGCACGGAGACGACGACCAAGAAAGACCACGAACATACGTATGTCGCAGAGGGTGAACTACGGGGCTGCCATTGCGGCTCCCGTTCGTGGAAGCTTTGTCTTTGCTCGAAGACTTTTCGTCACCCGAGGCAGGTGGCACAAAGGTAGAGAAATGCTTGGACGACGGCACACGCGAGCGCGGGGCCGGCGCAGGGTTCGGCGTGGTCGTGGTCTGCGTGGTGGTCGACTGCGAGGTTGAGTTGGCGAGGAAGCGCGACTGGGAGTGGTTGGAGAAATAGCCGGCCATAGACGGGAACGAGGGGCACTATGGAGGCTGAACAGCGAAGAGAGCACAGGCAGTCGATACGTATGAAATGGCGGTGAATGGGAGCTTGCGACGCGAGGAGAGTGGCTGGGCGAGGTGTGAGAGGATGGACGAGGAGGAAATAGGGAGGAAATTGACGCCACGGACGGGCGCGCGTGCAGGATCGCCTCGGACGCGCCGCGGGAGCGCTCCGCCCCTTCCTCCCATCCAACTTCTGCCTCTCCCTTGGTTCCCACCCGCTGTCCGCTTTGCATCGCCTTCGGTTTATGAACTCCCCTACTCGCTGCAAGTAGTACCACTCGTCTCATGAAACTCACTCTCCGGCCAGAATGGCGCCTCCGACCGCTCTCTTCGGCTTTCGGCTTTCTTGACCTCAAGACAGCTGTCACCGTTGCCCTACTCTTCGCTGTATGTCGCTCAGAGTACTGAGAGATCGAATGGACCGATGACCATGCTATGGAATGCTTAGGTCCTGAACAAGGTCGCAGGCGTGTATGGCCTCATAGCCATGTTCACCGGCGCAGGCGGCACAGCTGCGCAGCTCAGCATGTATATCTACTCTACCATCGCACTAGCGGCCGTGATATGGGGTATGAAGTCCGCGACGCAGGTCCGTCTCTTTGTCCAACCCGCAGCTTACACAATGAAGCATTGATATGTCGCCTGCCCATATCAGGAAAACGCCAAACAAACGCTGTACTTTGCACATCTATTCTTCGCCGACCATATCCTCAACACCGCGTGGCTGATCTTCTTCGCCGTCATGTGGTGGGTCTACACCCGCACGACGGTCGGCGGATGTCCAACTCGCCCTCGCAAGAGGAGATCGCCAAGTCCGGGCCCGCCATCGGTAGCCACAACATGACCGAGGAAGAGCGTGTGCAGGCGGCCATGACTCTCTGGCACGCCGAGAAGGGACTGGCTACCGGAGTCATCGTCCTCGGTTGGCTCGCAAAGGTGCGTCACACCCGTGTCTTGTCCCTCCCCGACTAAGCACGGGCACTCCAGTTCTACTTCGCCGCCCTGCTCTACTCCTACGCCATCCACCTCCGCAAGGGCTCCTACCGCTCCCTGCCCCGCTCGCGCCCGTCGCCAACCATCACTCAAGCACCACTCGGGCTCGTGGGCGAAGATGAAGACGACGACATCGAGGACTTCTACCGCATCCCCGTGCGCGCCCCCGCCAACGGACACGCGCGGCAATCGAGCGCCTCGCACGCGTCCTCGCCCTCGCTCTCGAGCTTCGCCGACTTCGTCTCCGCCCCGCCGCCAGGACGCGCGCGGCGCAAGGCGGGCAAATCCAACCTGAGCGTCAGCCTGAGCGCGGCGAATGGCAAGGGCGACACGAGCGAGCCCGACGAGGTGCTGTTCGACGAGGACGAGCTAAGCGCTGCGGGCCACCTGCGGATGGGGACGAGCGCGGAGGAGAGCACGAGCGGCGACGAGAGCGTTGCGAGTGCGACGGGGAGCAGGCGAAGCAGCAGGGCGAACACGCGGGCATGATGGACGGTGTCGGTGCTGGCGTCCCGGATTGGATTGTAGTTCTGGCTCGTCTGTCTCATAGTTGTCTGTTGGATATTGTGCCCACGTAATTAAACTTACAGTCTCTGGACGCGCCGTAACCTCGGGTGATTGGAAGCCTGAGTGAGATAATACTTGCACAGCGGGACGTGTCCGTCGCCCTTCCTGAATAATCACTGATTAAATATCATTGCTATCGAGCGTTCTATGGGAATGCTGTGGTGTATCTCGTCTGGCGTTGCTAGTCGTAACGGTCATATCCCCTCTCTCTTCATCGACGGCTGCCGCTTCTGGCTTCTCATTGACATCTCGCGCATTGGAAGACGGAGTGGGCTGCCGGTTTTCCGCACCAGCGAGCTCTACGTCGCCGATTCGCCCGACGCCTCCACTTGGGTCCGCAGGTGCTGTATCCACCTCCATGGCAGCCATAGCAGCGCGTTTACGGCGCCGTCTTGCCAAAGGATTCAGAATTAATGCAAGGAGGATGACGATGCCATCCATGACCTGACGACCAATTAGACCAGCATTCGCGAAACAGGGAATGACGCTTACCACCACAAGCGAGTAAGTAACGCTAGCGATGACATTGAAATCTGACTTGAACGCGAGCGAGAGGTCGTTGAACACCCCACCGAGCATGTCGACCGTCATGAACGGTATTGAGATGCCAATGACCTCCCCGTGTTTCCAGATCTCGTAATATTGCGGCCTGGAGAGCGCGGTCAGTTCCCGACGAGCTGTACACACTGTGTACATAGAGAGAATACGTACAGGAGACCTGCGGCAATAGTCACAGAGCTCGCGATGCCAAAGAACTCGACACCTGCTGAGTGCCCGTGTTCGTAAGACGGCTGTGGTATCGTGGCCATTAACATCGGTAGCGGTGTGCTAGGAGGACATTGACGCACCCTGACGGCATAGACAAAGCCTACTTGCAGGCCGCCTAGTAATGCCAAACATACAATATAGATCGCTACACATGTCCAGAAGGGCCGCTTTGACCCATAATATTGACACTGAATGAATGATGGGATCAGCAATCCGAAGACTCGGTGTGTACTCATGGATTGGATCGTCAGATGGGCGCAGAAGAGCTAGCCGTCCCGCTGGAGTTCGTCCAGCGGCTCTATGTTTCAAAGTGAACGTACCTGAGCGAACGACAGAAATGATAGTGTCCCAAATAATTGAGGTTGGACTATGATGGGTATATTGATGTTCTGGACAATGGCGTATACGCCCAGGAGTACACCAGATGCTCCCCATATGAAGCTACGAATGATCAAGAACAATCGTGTGAGTCTTTACTCGCTGCGGACCTACTCAAAAAACGTACACAAGAAATTGGGAGAGCCCTTCAGTAGATTTCTCCCTGTGGCTTTTCCATAGCTGTGGAACCAACTGGATAGTCCAACAAATCGTTCCTGGTACACAATCAACTCGCCGTTCAATTGAGGCCCGGGCCGGGCGAAAAACTGCGCTGACAAAATGTCAACGACAGTTGAAGCGATGCGCACTCACCGATTGTGCCCAGTGCATTTTCTGCCGCTTTATTCGCGGGCATTAAAGGGTATACGGACGATAGTAACTTGTTCAAGGGGTTTCTTTTGGACAGTCCCTCTCAGAACTTCACAGTCTAAACGGATTAGTCGAGCATATATATGGCGAGGCCTGCAGGTCAGACGGTGCGGTTGCAAGGCGTCACGAATTTGTCATGCTGACTCGGCGGCCAGTAGTTGAGCCCCCCACTCGAAACCACCGCCGGCTTGAAAATGAGGACGGTGGTGCGATCAGCGATCGATTTTGTTTGTCAGGCAGAACAAAACATGACCACCCGCCCAACCTCTCCCGTCAAGTATTCGCAATTTGCTTGCGCTTACACGCAAAAGCACTCTGCCTTGAGTTCCTGTCCCGTGGTAGACTCAGTGTGCATGACCGTCCCGAGTCAGTGGCGCCGGTCCGAGGTGGCAGCATCTGTGAGAGGCTAACCCAAGGCTTCAAAAGCGCAACACGGATGTCTCTGACAAGACAGGGCTTGCCAGCAACCGCCGACAATTCTCAGTCACTGAGACCAATGGAGAGAGACCTCTCAGCGACGCCACAAGATGAACGTGCCAGAAAGGGATGTGTCGTTTGTTTGGCCTTGTTGTGCAACACCTTCGTTCCTGAGCCGAATGCGGATCGACGCTTCCAGGCTGTCAACAGCTTTCAACGCTGTCTGTCACTGCTAAGTTGCTAACATAGGCTAGTACATTTTATAATGGCCCGTTCTTTGAAGACTCGCGTACGTGATGACAGAGCCATATGATGTCGTACAGCATGACGTCATTCAAATCGAATCCCGTGAATGACTAAGTGCTTATTCACTTCCTCAGCCTGTAGATAACCTCCCTTTCGCAACTGGAAAGTGTCCTACAAACCCTCAACATCCTTAGGCAATGGCACTGGCCAACGATTCCACCAACGTCGTAACGCGGCCGACGGCATCTGCCGATCATTATGTTGCCCGTCTCGGCCAGGATCTGAATTCCCTGGAGCTGCATAACATCTCCAGTCGCAGGGACTCGGAAGGAGGAGATGATCCCAGTGGATCAACTGCTTCTGCCTCTACAACTGGCCTGTCTCAGACTCAGACTCACAACGCGGCTATCCAGTACTTCGCGCTGTGTTTCGTTTTCTATGTGGCAGGCTGGAACGACGGTACCACCGGCCCATTGCTACCGCGTATCCAGGCCGTATACAACGTAAGTTGCGCAATCCATGGACTATTTCGTGAAGACCGTCAGTCTGAATACCTCGCGATAGCTTGATTTCACATTAGTCTCTCTGATATTCGTCTTCAACTGCGTGGTATGTCCGTCCTCGGCTCGTGAAAGGTTGCTGCCAGAGACTGCCTGGAATCTGAACGATATGCAACTTGACGCGACCTCTCCAGGGATTCATATCAGCAGCCGCAGCAAATGTCGCACTCACAGACCGCTTCGGATTCGGACGCGTGGGTCTCAGGAGACATCCCACAAAGGTTGTCACTGATTCACCTGCTAGGTAATGGTACTAGGTCGGTTTCTGCTGGTGATGCGACGTCCGTAGACTTCTGAGGGCAATGCCAGGTGCTGTTACACAACTGGCGGGCTACGCCCTAGAGGCAGCCGCTCCACCGTTCCCCGTCTTCGTGCTCGGTTATTTCCTCAACGGATTTGGCTTAGCGCTACAGGTAAGTGTACTTCACGCAGCAGCGCGCCGTCATCGACACCTAGTTGTGCTGGTACAGGAAGCAGGTGCAAACGGCTATGTGAGCAGCATTGCCAAAAATCCAAGCCTCAAGATAGCCTTCATGCATGCTATCTACGGTGGGCCAGTTGCTCACCATGTATTCGGACAATGAAAGCTGACACTCTGTCCCCTCACAGGTCTTGGTGCTTTCAGTTCTCCGTTCGTGTCGACTCAATTCTCGGAGCAACGTCATTGGTCGTTCCACTACCTCACATCCTTGGGACTCGCCGTCGTGAACGCCGTGCTCCTCTGTGGAGTGCTGCGCTTCCGGACTCAAGATCGTAAGTGTGCGATGGTCCACCCTGTCCCCACGTTTGACTATTGAACACGTTTTGTGATGAAGAATGCCTTACGGAAATCGGCCAGGTGCCACCAGTGCATGCGGGACTCGATGAAGGGAAGTACAAGCAGATGTCTAAGCTGCGGCCTCTGCACTTGCTTGCTCTCTTCATCTTCATTTACGACGGCATCGAGGTGACAATGGGCGGTGGGTAACTGCTCAATCTTTCATAGACCGCTAAAGTCATGGTTGCTTCGCAGGCTGGATAGTCACATACGTGATCGATGTGCGTGCTGGCGGTCCTTCTTCCGGGTACATTTCTTCAGGCTTCTTCGGCGGTAAGCCTAAGCATCGAATTGATCGCCCAGTAGTCGCTCAGCCACTGATTCTACAGGGCTCATGTTTGGCCGTCTCGCCTTTCTCTGGCTCAACAAAATAGTGAGTACTCAATCACCCCTCTGAATCACGACCTAACGCATCCCTCAGATCGGCGAACGCAACGTTCTCTTCCTCTACATCGTTCTTGCCATCGGACTCGAGCTCGTCGTCTGGTTCCTCCCCTCTATCGTGGGCGCCGCGGTCGCGGTCGCGTTCGTCGGGCTCGTCCTCGGGCCCATCTATCCGCTCGTCATGAACTACTCCCGGCGCGTCCTCCCGCCGTGGCTCCTTACGGGGTGCATCGGATGGATCGCCGGGTTCGGCCAGGCGGGGAGCGCCGCGCTCCCGTTTGCTGCGGGTCTGTTGGCGAATAAGGAGGGTATCAAGAGCTTGCAGCCGTTGTGAGTGATATGCCGCTTACGTTCGTGTGAGTGGCCGCTGAATGCCGTTCGTCTGGGACAGCTTGGTATCGTCGATGGCCTGTCTGGTGTGCTTGTGGGCGCTCGTGCCCAACCATCCTCGCAGGCTCGAGTAGACGCAACCTGCGACCGCAGAGAAGGTTATTTGTTTGTCATCATGCCTCATCCTGATTCTCGATTTGCTACACGTGCAAGTGGATGGAGAATCAATGGCCATAAGCAGATCGCAGTAGTGTGGCCAAGCATCCTTCACGTGGACCGAGGCTTTGCGCGGCACTGGCGATGCAGTGGAAGCACGAGGCCCATTTAAAATGTCTTTGCAAATCAAGGCAGTGCAATGAGTCGGTGCCGCCAAAGCATGGTACCGAGCAGCCGTCATATTAGTTTTTACTGTTTCATAGGACAAATGTGTTCTTACATGCTCACACTGACGTACTATGATCATCAATCATGCGTTGATGTAAGCTGCATCCCTTCCAACATACATACAACCCCTGTCGCGGGGTGACAATATCGATACACTCTGCGCAGACTACATATATATCGTGTGGATACAAACACCCATCGCTGTCGTCTAACATCCTGAGTCACATCATCAACACATGCATAAATCTGCAGAGCACGCCATGAGTCTCCGACCCTTCAACGCATCCCATAGGACAACTTACAGTCTCGTGCTTCGCTTCATCAGCTGGCCTCCTGCGAGAGCTCACGGGCACCGCCTGCAGAATCTATATATCCTCTGTCGAACACAACCCCTTGACAAAGACGATGGAACTCTGACATACCAATAGCGACGTCCTCGGCACCTCCACAATACCACAATCCAGTCCGTCCGCCCCGCGATTCATGAGCGCAGGGGCGGCTTGCACTGCACGAGAGTAACCGCAACACAGCGGCGAGCAAGAGCTGCTTCAAGGAGAACATGTCTGAAAGCGGCGACGAATCGTGAAGTGACGTTGACGATTAGCTAAGGGGGAAGACGCGTGTTTGCATTTCTCGACTGCGTACCCCGGATATATACGCTCTGTCGCGCGGGTGCTGCGGCTGCGATGGAACGCGGCACGGCAGCGTAGCGCATGCGATGAGGGACGGCTTGGAGTGGGCGTCGTTTCAACGGGGCGCCTGTCGACCTGATACACCCGCTAAATGGCGCTGTACTTGGCCGCTACACTTACTCGAGTCGTTTCGCCACATACGTCGACGCAAGTCGGTGTAGTAAGCGAAAGGATCAGTCCAGCTCAGTACCAGTATCGAAGGTGCTCACGCCCAAGCCTCGCCCCCATATCCCGCGCTGTGTTGACAGGAGTCAAGCCATCGACTGGCCACCGACCCGACGCGTTGGATAGCTCAGGCTAAATCACCCGACCAACGTCATCAAAACATCTACGCCTGCTTCAGCTTCTTGCAGATCGGTGCACCCTTGAAGCCGAGGCCGGCCGCTGAGATTGCTCATTACAGACTCGTCCATGGGTCCGTGGACGTACTGCCAGGAATGTATGCACGCAGTGCGCCCTTGCGCCCACCGCATGGCCCGCTGCATTCGAGCATAGCACATGTCCAAGTGGAGGACAAGTCGCACAGATGCGATGTAGCGCGGTCAAATGAATGAGATTTGATCGCAGCTAAATACACAAGTGAGCCTGATGGCGCATGCTGAAGGAAAATCTGGGACTGACCGTGACGGTTGAGGCCTATGAGGCGGCTTGAGGTGAAAGATGCATGATCGAAATTCACGCACCGCCGTCCTTGAATTCTTCGCGGAAAGGCATCCGGTGTAGCGAGTGCAACGTACCAATGCCTTTACGCCTACAAGACAGTCATGAGGCACGTTGCGCGAAGTGGCGCACCTGTAGCTTGAACCAGATGCCTGATATCGTCAGACCAGAGGAAGGGAGTTGGCATGGGTCTGCTCGAAGCACTAACCAGCTGTATATGAGCTGATATGTTCTGCTTCGTGAGTATGTTAGCAGACCGATCACCCATGTAGGGGACTGCGTTTCTTACAAATGACTGTAGATCGAGGACTCGTGCCCGATCCAGGTATCGGAAAGGCATCAACGCAGTTTCGTCATTAGAATGAAATGCTGCATATCCAATACGGAACTATGAGGTACATCCAAAGCATCCATACCATTGCAACAGCAATATACGGCAGTGCTATGGTGCAAGCCACGCAGGATGACGGAGACCCTTCGTGAGCTCTGTGGTAGAGTGCATCTTATGTACGAGCCTGCGCGCGCGTACCTCACCGGAGTGCGTAGATGATACCCCCCTCCGCTCGCGGATACTTGCGATCGTCCCGTGTGCGTGTTCCGGCGTACGTAAACCCGAGTGCATTTGTACCAAGGCGGAAGCGCTGGTAATTCCCGCGTTTAGGTGGCTTAGCATGCGAACCATTCGATCAACTGACCTACCTGCGTCAGGCCGACTTTTCTGAGGTGCGTCTGGCTCTGCGGTGAGTTCTGCAGCGACGGTCATGAACCTATGGCACACGCCATGAGCTTCATGTTCGCATCGGCCACGCTAAAGGTGAACCCACTGTGCAGCGTGAGACGATGCGAGCGTGCGCATCGCGTCCAGGTTGGACTTGAGGAGGTCGCAGAGGTCGGCGGTGTGGCCACTGTCTGCGAGAGACGGGCGAGTGAGTTTGAGAGCTGCATTAGTGGCGGTCCTTGGCCTGGGTCGCGTTTACGGGATGGGACTGCATGTTCGGGGCCGATGGGGCGGCCGATGGGAGTTTGAGATTGAGTTGTTCAGTGTGGGGGCCCGACGTGGCCCAGGATTGGCCGAGTCCGTGACGACCTCCGATCACGTGTAGCGCATTACGCTGGTCTCATTTTGGAGTCTCCGATCAGCTCATAGACCCGCGCACACACTGGCACCGGCTGCCGTCCTCTCACCTCCTCTTCTCTCAGCCCAGAGCAGGAGTGCGCGGGCTACCCCTCCGCCGTTGCCCAACCTCACCGTTCACCGTCATGAACTCTACCGCGGCACCCACACTCTCCATGCTCAGCCAGGCGCAGGTACACTACCTCTCTACGAACCGACCATTCTACTACAGCCCCCATGCTCACCTCTTCGACTGGTGCCCGGACCACATGCTCGCGCTTGCAGCCCCTGTCATTGCTTACTGGGTCTCCTCCGTCTTCTTCCACATCCTCGACATTTCCGAGTGGAAATGGCTCGACAAGTATCGTATCCACGAGTCAGCCGAGGTCAAGTCTCGCAATCTTGTCACCCGCAGCGAGGTCATTCGCGCCGTGGTCCTCCAGCAGATCGTGCAGACCGTCATCGGTTCTTCTGGGTAGAGGAGAAGCCATCGGGTGCGTTGGTAGACCATGTCGGTGCCATCTTGCGTCTGGAGCCCACGCTCGCGCGCATCCTCACCTGGACATTGGGTGAGAAATGGGCGCACGGCTCTCGACCACGACGGCGCGCAGCTGCTCTACGAGCGTATTGGTGGGCCAACCCAGTCGCCAGGTTCTTCTTCGGCATGTACGTAACTGCCCGCCCCTGTTCCCTCCGGACTTGGCACTCACGCTTTTCCTTTCGTGCAGGTTCCTAATCGACACATGGCAGTACTTTCTCCACCGCGCGATGCACGTGAACCGCTGGCTCTATAAGCAGTTCCACTCCGTGCACCACCGACTGTACGTCCCCTACGCGTTCGGCGCGCTGTACAACCACCCTGTCGAGGGCTCCTCCTCGACACGATCGGCGCTGTTGTCGCAGAGAATGTAGCTGGCATGACGACGCGCGAGGCCGCGCTGCTCTTCCTCATATCGAGCCTGAAGACCGTGGACGACCATTGCGGGTACAGCTTGCCCTTCGACCCGTTGCAGCTCCTCACGAGCAACAACGCAGACTATCATGACATTCATCATCAGGTGTGTGCAATCGCTGTTCACCTTCATTGGGAAGTTGACCGGGTTGCGCAGGTCATCGGTATCAAATCGAATTTCGCTCAGCCGTTCTTTGTTCACTGGGACTACTTCCTTGGCACGAGGATGACCCGCCAAGACATCGAGCAACGTCGCCAGAAACAGAAGAAGGCATCGTAGGCGCACAAGCTACGTCATGCGGCTGCTACGACTTCCTTTCGGTTCATGACTGTAGTAATTAGTTTGTATTCGTATCTCACCTTAGTCTACTTCCACGGTCTATAGCCTTCGCACTAGTTACGTAGTTATTCCATCACGATTTGTTTATATTGTGTCTTGGATATTCACCCCTCATTACGTTGTAGAGACGGCACCGTGTTGATGACTCCTCATGTTCTAGTACGATAGATTAAACATGACGGTTGTCAATGCGCCCAGACGATGAAAATGATGAGTACGAGCAGCGTAGTGTGCAAGAGACGATAGTAAGGACATGTACGCAATCAACAACCCGGAGAGTGCTACCAGTTTGCAATTGCTCTTTTGTGAGAGGTACGGTCTCCATCTCTGCTCGTACTCGACCTCGACCCGTGGTCCCCCTATGGAGAGTCAGTCAGCAATACACCAGATGTCAGTGAGCGATGTAAGATACGCACTGCGTGCTTTCTTCTCTGGCTTCCGCTTCGCAGGCTTCTGCGTCTTTGGTGCTGCTTTCCGCTTGCCCAGCTTTGTCTTGTCTGTCGGCTCCTCGTCCTCCTCATCACTCTCATCTTCCTCCCCACTCTCCTCTTCACCCGACTCCACATCTTCCAAATCACTCAGCCCGTCCTCGTCCCCACTCATATCGCTCACGAACTCCCTCTCTCCCCACTCGCCCTCCTCCTCCTCTTCGAGCTCCTCGTCCGTCTCGTCGTCCATCAAGTCCAGCTCCTCGTCCCTTGCGCCCTCACCGGCTAGCGCGCGCTCCTTGCCCTTCTTCTCGCGGTCGAGCACCGCGCGCCAGACGTCCTCATTTACGTTGAGCGGCGCGTCGCCGTACGCCTTACTCTTGAGCCGCTCGAGGAGCTCCGCCTCAATCGCGCGCTCGAGCCGCGCGGCGGATAGCGCCTTGCGCTCGCGCACGGCTTCACGTCGGTCGAGCTTTTTCTTTATCCCGACGAGCTTCGGTCTGTGATAGTTGGGTACGAGAGGGAGAAGGAAGACAAAGTGAGCAGGGGAAATGAGACGAGGGGAGAGTGGGACGTACTGTTGCCGCAGCTGCATACGTCGCATTTTTATGAGGTACTGCGTGATCTTCGTCACCCGCTGCTTGCATTTGTGGATCGTGAAGTTTGGCCAGTGGATGAGCTCCGAGTCGATCTGCAACCGCACGGAGTCCCAGAGTGAGTAGACAGCACCACGGAACGGACCACAGGTTCGCGACGCACCTGCTCAAGGGCCTTTGAGTAGTTGTTCGAGAGCTTGATCTTCTCCCACATGTTCGCGGGCGAGTGCGCCCGCTCGATCGTTTTCACGTAGAGGTAGAGCACGCCCTCCTTCTCCCGGACGGTCGCATAGCGTGAGTTTGCTAGGGGACAGCTCTGCCTCGTGCAGAAACCGGTGACATTGTATTCGTTTCGGCAAAAGTTCTGTGTTGCTGTTCTGAGAAGATAGGATGTGAGTTCGTGGTCCCGGACGCTGCTAAGTGGGTGCTGCAGGGAACTCACTTCACTTTGTATGAACAGAACTGAGTGTTGATCACCGACCATATAACGTCGTCGCTCTGCATCTTGAAACGCTAACCTGAGAACAGAGTGCCCCAACGGCAAGAAAGAAGGTATATAGACGGCCGGTAGCGGACAGAGGGGGCTGGCTCGACTTCACGCCGGATCGAGTGCAGGTAAATTCTGGATATGGGCGATGTGATTGGCTGATCTCGATCGGGTATGTTGTTCGCACGACTGTGTTGCGCGATACACGTGCTCATGTCATTCCAGGCGATCACACTCAGGCTCGCTGCTCGGACTCCCGTCTTCAGCTTCGTCCCACAACGCGCATATTTATCCTCACGTCTGCACATCTCCTTGGTTCACCAGCACAGCTCATCACCACCGCTATGCATCGGACCGCAGCTATCATCTCCGAGTCGGTTGTGTCTCTCGCCCGGCGTAGAACGCCCCATCCACTCCCTTCACCCATGCGAGGACTCCGCTCGACTCCTCGTCTAGCAGACTTTCATTTTGACACGCATCAATTCGTTCAGCGACTAGAACGCGAGGGGCTGAACCGCGCGCAAGCGGAGGGGATCATGGCTGCCATGGCCGAGGTCATCGACGAGAGTATCCGGAACATGACAAGTAACATGGTCACGAAGGCTGACCAGGAGAAGGTGAGTCCCCGCTGCTGCATGTCTCGCTCGGCGTCCTGACTCCCTGTATAGTATCATTACACACAGCAGGTCGACTTCGCGCAGCTCAAGTCGGAGCTGCAGCTGACGGAGAAGAACGAGCTCGCGATGGTCAAGGCGGAGAACGACCGGCTCGTAACCGACATCGAGAAGCTGAGGCAGCGGCTCCGCGAGGAGATCACGCGAACACAAGCAGGCGTGCGTTTGGATCTGAACCTGGAGAAGGGAAGGGTGCGCGAGGAGAGCAGCAAGCAGGAGCTGAAGATGAAGGAGGTCGACACCCGGATAGAGCAGGAGATCGCTTCCCTAAGGACGTCAATACAGGCGTCGAAGGTATGGATCGCGTCAGCGGCGCATTGTATTGCAACTGACAAACTATGCAGGCGACAACACTGCAATATCTTGTTGGCTTTGGTGCGTGCTCAGCAAGGCGTGCGTTCTCATATATACTCACTCTGATGACCTAGTCACTGGTTGCTCTGCACTACTCATGGCATACCTCCGCTTCCGGGTGTAGAGGCACTTAGAGCTCATTTATGTATAGAACGGATGGAATGCTATAATGCCACAGGTGAGTACCTCCAACGAAGTGTGTAGTCCCCCAAGTCCCATGTATATCACCCGTTCTACCTTTACAGGTGGACATAATCTATGTATTTTTATGTTGCTGCATCTAAAGTTCTTGATCGATATCCCGCTGATGTGGGATGCTCCTCCTCGATTAATCGTCCAAGAGAGGTAGTGAGTCGCTGGGTATCTCGTCGTCGAGTGCTACATGCTTAAAGAGATCATAGGCCCTCTCCAAATCATCATTGACGATCACGTAGTCGTGGACGCCCTCCTTTGCATAATCGATCTCTTTCAAGGCAGTCGCCAGTCGTTTCGCGACAGATGCCTCAGACTCTGTCCCCCGCCCGCGCAGACGTTCTCGCAAAGCCGTCAGGGATGGCGGCGAGATGAACAGGTAGACCGGATTGAGGTCCGTCTGCTTGATTTGGCGGACACCCTGAGGTTGCGGACGCTCGACGTCCATTCAGAGGGAGGGATCACTGCAGAGCGGACATACCTGCGCCTCGATGTCCAAGATGCAGCGACGACCCGTACTGGACACCTGCTGGACGGTCATGAAGCTTGTGCCATAGTAATTGCCGGAGAACTCTGCGTGCTCTATGAAAGCACCCTCATCGAGGAGCTGCTTGAACTTCTCGCGCGTGACGAAGTAGTACTGCTTCCCGTCCTCTTCGCCCGGACGCGGAGCGCGGGTCGTGTCTGTCAAAATGCGGGATGTGTGAGACGGACACGTCCTGTGTCAGTGGGCGTTGCTGTGCTCTCACGGGAAACGCTGAACCCGAACTTGTCTGGGTGGTCGGCGAAGAGACGGGTGAGGAGTGTGCTCTTGCCCACGCCCGACGGCCCGGAGATGACTAGGGGACGGAGGAGGGCGACGATGGGAGACATGCCGGCGCGTGCAAGGCAGAACCAGGAGGAAGAGGTGACGGGCCGGAGTCAGGGCAGGAGGAAACAAGGGACAGCTGAAACGACTGGGTGACGGCAGGCGGCGCTGGGGTTATTTTTGCCACGTTTGCGGGCGCAGTGAGTTATCGCGGCCGAACAAGGCGGCGGAGAAATGCTCCAGAAGGCTATGGGCGGAAATTAGGAGGCGACAAGCTGTTGCCATCAGCCGCGGCGGGCGTCTGTTCGACGAGTGTTCGCTTAGCAGAAACGGCGTCGGCATCCGCGCGCCTGGGGGATCTCCCACCACTCTTGTCGCATCCTTCCTCACTGGTTATCCCCGCACTCGCTCAGGCCCTCCTCCCCCCTCCCCTTCATTCTCTTCTTCGACCGACCACTCTCCATACTGTCTCCGGCTCAAGCAAGCTAGCATGGGTGCTGTGTGCTGTCGTGCGCAAGTCCGTCCTATTCTCGACCTCTCCTCTCGGCGGTGGGAACTCACCGTTTTCTGTAGCCCATAGACTTTGATGGGGACGTGAATCTTTTCCATTTCGTCCTTCTGAGGTGTGTGGGGAAGGGTGCTTTCGGCAAGGTGAGCGACGCCCGCGCCCGCCTGCTCCCCGTCTCCAGTGCTGAGACAGACTTCCGAGTTAGGTCCGCGTTGTCCAGCATAAGCAGACGCGAGACTTGTATGCCCTCAAGTATATCAACAAGACGAAATGCGTTAAGATGAAGGCGGTCGCAAATATCATTCAGGAGAGGAGACTGCTGGAGGAGGTCAGTACGGTGCCGCTACGAGTGCACACATCACTGAGGGCCTCACAGATCGATCATCCCTTTGTCGTTAACCTGCGATATGCTTTCCAAGATGATGAGAACTGCTTTTTCGTGTTGGATCTCATGCTGGGCGGTGATTTGCGTTGTACGTCGTCCTATGTTGCTCTGGTTCGAATACTCTTTTAAAGGGCGTACTATCTAGTCCACCTCGAGCGACTAGGCTCGCTGACGGAGGAGACGGTGCGGTTCTACGTCGCCGAGATTTCATCCGCCCTCGCATACCTACACGACCATCGGATAATCCACAGGTTTGTCGCCATTCGTTGTCCGCTATCTACTGATTCCGGTCTCACATCCCCTTAGGGATATCAAACCAGACAACATCCTCCTGGATGAGGCTGGACACGCTCACTTGACAGACTTCAATATTGCTGTGCACTACTCCGACCGCCGGCCACTTTCAGGAGTGGCAGGCTCTATGGCGTACATGGCGCCCGAGATCCTTGCGAAGCGGGGCTATTCCTACCAAATTGACTGGTGGTCACTTGGCGTTTGCGCGTACGAGCTGATCTTTGGACGACGGCCGTTCCGGGGCAAGACGAACAGCGACCTGACGCATAGCATCGTGAAGGACAGCCTCCGCTTCCCCGAGGACGGTGCGAGCAGATGTTCCAGGGAGGGCATGCAGGCCTTGCGCATGGTGAGTCGCCATTCGCTGCTATCTTGGGACAGCGCCGCTGTGAGCGTCTATGCTCTGACGGACGCCTGGGCAATTTGAGTGCCCATCATCATGTGCGGGTCCGAACTGACTGCCCCGCATTAGTTCCTGGAGCGAGATCCGCTTAAGCGACTGGCTGGAATCCGGATGAGGGCACGGCTCTTCTGCGTAGTCATCCTGGCTCCAGTCCATCGACTGGGACACTTTGGAAGACAAGAAGCAGATGCCGCCGTTCGTTCCTGATGTGAGTGTATCATTCCTGACATGCTTGCCGGTGGTCTGATTGTTCCTGGTTGGCTTGATCTAGTCCAAGAAAGCAAACTTTGATGCGTCACACGAGTTGGAGGAGCTGTTACTCGAGGACAACCCTCTCAAGGCGCGGCAGCGAAAGGTGCAAGATATAACAATCTCAGTACAGAAATGCGGCAGATGGAGGAACAGTGCGTGCACATCTATCGATTACCTGGAGTAAACTCAATCACGTCATGTTCCAGATTTACGTCGTATGACTTCCGGACGATGCAGCGGCGGTCGTACTACCCGCAGAACCAGATCGTGTCGACGGTCACAGCAACGTCGTCTTCTGGTCCTGCATCGTCAAGACCGGTAACCCCGATGACGACCATCGGCGCGGACGGTATTAATGAGGAGTATGCGCTCAAACAGAGGGCACCACGATCGTTCGAGGGCGACATGACACAAACGCCTAACACGCCCATGTCCATGAATCACCCAGATTACATGGTCTCCGAGAAAGACCCACATGCACGGTCTGGTATCGCATGCTAGTGTTGTCGCACTGCAAGCCTTTGCCAGACTGGTCTGCTGTTCTCTCGGAGGATGTTCACGGCCCTCACCGATTGCTGGACGACCTTGATCTTTACGAGCATATATCCCACTCCTTATACGCCGCCGGACCCTCACGCCCCCCTCATGTCCTATGTCATGCCTATCACGGTCTAGTGACGTTGATTACCCCCCTGCGACTACCTCACACCTTCCGTTATTGTTCCGGCGTCGGTTGCCGCGTCCGCCCCCAGACCGCCCGCACCCCTCTGCCGTCTCCCCCCGGCGCACTGTGGCCGACACAGGTTACCCCTCCCTCCCCTTGCCTCGCCCTTCCTCTCGCCACTGTTATGGATGGTCGATTCGGCTATGCATAGTTACCCACTTGGTCGCTGCCCTTTATTACTCGTCTCTTTTGGTTGCATTGTCTTTGGTATCTGCTCTAACATTTATGTTACTACGCAATCATATAGCCCGCTCCCTAGTACAATAATAGCTCTGTTGTGAATGACTAGACGGGCAGGGCACTGGGGCGTTCGGGATTCTAAGGAAAACACGCGACTTGGATACGTATGTGAGGTATACATTGGCAGGTCTACAGCAACAAGAAGTCCGTTATCGTCCGTTACATTAGGCCGAGTGGCACGTCGGCGTCGTGGGCGGCTTGAGGTCCGACAGGTCTAGTCGCTCTTCGTCTTCGTGCTCTCCTTCCGAGGTATACCACCTGGCGTCGTCGACTTAGTGCTGGACCGCGCGCTGGAGCCGGAGCTGACGAACGTGTATAGCAGTGAACCGGCGAACACCATCCCCGCGCCCGTCGTGAGCTCCGCATTCCACCCGTTGCCGAACCACCACACGCTGATACACAGGCTGATCGCTTTGCGGGCCGTGAGCACGAGGTTGGTCGACACCGAGGTGACGCGCTGCGGACGTCAATCTATGTCAGCGAATGCGGTTTAGCCAGGAACGTTGGGCGCACCGATGTGAGTTGTTGACAGCTGAGACACACATCAGTTGGGTTGCAAGGTTCAATGCGAGAACTATATAGGCGTATAGTGGGCGACTGATGTCGGTAGCTTCGACGTCGCGGAAGCCGTATAGCTTGCGGTATGAGCTGACAAGCTGTCGAAGCCATTTTTCACGTCCGGCGCTAGGAAGACGAAGATTGGTATCGAGAGCAGATGCTGCGAACATGGTCAGGGCATCTGCGAAGCCGAACGGCTCGTGACTTACAGTGTAAAATACACCCTCTTTCCAGTAAGGGCCGTACATGCTATAGGTACGTTCTTGAAGTAACCCGAGCGCTCCAGTGAGGAACAACGACGTTGTCATCATGAGCACACCTAGTGCGTATCTCATGCTAGCCCTTGGATCATCGGTATCCAATTTCGTCGACGATGACGGTTTGGACAGCGTTGCTAGGAGGACACCCATGCTGACAATGACTACTGAGGCCTGGTGTGGAACTGAGTTATTTGGAGATAGAGGGGAAGAATGGAATGTTCACAATTTGAGGCAGTGAATAGCGTCTCTTGAAGAACAGGAAGCCAAATAGCATGGAGACGGCTAAACCTGATTGAGAAGAGTTAGCAATTGTTGGCCTCGACAATAATTCATACGCCACATAATGAGATACTGGATACGAACTCAATGGCTTTGGGGTCCAAAGGTACAGACGAACTTCACTACTGAAGCACAAGCAAGACAAATGGCAATGCTTCTGCAACCACCACTAGTATTGAGTGAGCTCACAGATTCCGGCATCAAGCTACGGCAGCTTTTACTGCCATCAGCCTGATGCTCCATCTGCACTGAGCCGTCACCCAGGGTCGAATCCCGCAATACGATATGCCACCACTGCAAGAGTATGCACTCACCCGCGGAGCGGAAGACAATCTGTACCGTAAGCGGCACATGAAACGCAAACGCCCAGTTGTTGAGGAGCGAGCTAGATGTCAGGACAAGTACTTGCGCGATCCACTGACGGATCGGGACGTGCCTCCTCTGCAGGCGAGGGATGCAGGAACGGTCCCATTGCAAAAACGACGGCAGCGAGTGCAAGGTGATGAAGCACATTTGCGAGAAGGTCAGGGCGGTACCTGCGCGAGGGGTTACTCCTTAACCAGAAACGAAGGCATGACGACATACCCAGATGTGGGTCCATCTTGAGTATGTATTCGTAGGACCATACATTCCTGCATGCGAAATCTTAGCAGAGACAATGCATCCAGAGATATTGAGAGGGCGTACGAGCAACATCCCCCAAACAGCAGACTGAGTATCAGCGTAAAATCTACCAACGACCCCGCCACGATTTTCGAGACATGCTGGACCTCCTGAGTGCTGCCTCCATCGCTGACGGGTCGCTGTGCGTTTGCTTTGGCTAGGTCAATGTATTTTGGTGGGCTGCCGGTGTGCTTTGAGCTGCCCGTGGCCATCAAGCTGGCGAGCGTGAGGGTGGTGCGGAGAGAGATGCAACCATGCGAGCCAAGGGGGATCGGTTTCCGTTCGGAGCGGAAGCGCCGGGGCAGCGCTGCGGCACAGTTCGCGCCAGTCATGTGAGCTCACTCCGGGACCACTAGGTACTAGGTTTAAGTTTCATTTGAGACGTTGAGAAGATACAGTACAGCGCAGTACGTCGACCACCCGAAGCATCTCAGCCGTCTCAGCAAGATCTCGGCGGCCAGAATCCCCGAGTTCTGATCAAGAGGCCAATGCCACGGCATCTCGATGCCACCAACAGTGAATCAAGCGGCTCACATAGCAGCAGGGTCTGGCTCGCAGACCTTGCGGATAGCAGTATATGCAGACGGGGTCTCGCAAACGCATATGATTCTTGCATAACATAGAGCCATGGCGAGGCAGAGTGCACGATTGTAACATACAAAGCCTAATGAGGATCTGTATCTTAACGACTTTCCTAATCCAGGTGCACACTTTTGCTGCCCTGACACGTGACCGTACCCAGACCACAAATCGGATTGAAGTGCTAACCAGTCCCCCTTGACCAGAGCTAGCATACAGTACCATGAACGGCACTCACGCCGACCCAGAGGCTCTCCAAGATGGACAGGGCCACGCCACGATGCCTCTTCTCCGAGTAGAAATGCACGAACATTCCGGACGGTCGTACCATGTCACCCGCGCCATCCCGGCGGGCACGACCGTCCTGGAAGCGGAGACACCATACGCGTACACAATTTGGAAGCCGTTCCGAAACGAAGTCTGCGCGGAATGCTGGCGATACGACGGCGGACGGCGGAGCTTTCTGACGCGCCGGGACGACGAAGGCACCTCCGGGGACCTGGACGAGGAACCACGCGAAGGAGCCCGCGCGGGCAATCGAAAGACACATCGAGTGCTGGGCCGGGTTGTGGTTCTGCGATGCGAGTTGTCAGGGGTATTGGTTGCGAAGAGAAGGCAGGGAGACGGTAAGGCTGCTTTGCGTGCTGGAGGGAGCCCGCCGGCAGAAGGAGGTGGAAAAGGATAAGGACGGAGGTTTCAGGCTAGAAGACCTAGGGACAGATCTAACACGGGAAAACGTTGATCGAGCTTGGGACATGGTCGCACAGAAGGAGAGGTTGCCGAAAGAAGTGAGGAGATGGAGGAATCTCCAACTCGACCATTTCGAGACAGACATGGCGAGATATGTTCTCATCGCGCTCGTCCGTCGCTATCGCGAAGTCTATGACCAGGAGGGCAGGCAGTCACAACAGCAGTTACATACAGACAAGGATGCAGCTAACAACACCTACGTAAGAAGGATCGCCAGTGCCGCAGTCCACTTCGGAGGGGCGAGTTGGGACGACTTCACGGCTCTGCAGGTCAACGAGCTTCAGCATCTCAATACATATCCCGAAGTCCTAGAAAACCAGATTAGGGTGTATCAAGCGTTGAAGGGTCGCTTTCCCACTAGTCACGTAAGGGCCTCGACATCAGAAGGACGCACTGTCGTCACAGACACAGGAGGGAACGGGGAGAGCCACAACTGCCAAGCGTCGCAAATCGGGCAGGGGGACAGTGGCGGCTTCCGAGACTTTGGAAGCCTGATCACTGTCGACAATGTCCGGAGGGCCTTCAGCGTCGATCCAGGCAATTCGTTCGGGATCTGGGAAACACCCTTGATGGATGAGAGTGAACTCATGGGATTTGCGGTGTATCCGAAACCGTCATTCTTTAACCATAGTGAGTATCTGCTATCGATCAGCCGGGTGGTCTGACGAGGTTTCACGCGAGAGGGATCATGTTTGGGCTCACCACCTTCCGTAGATTGTCTCCCTAACGTCGCCAAAGTCCGCAGGGGCCGTGCATTGGAATTTGTCACGACCCGAGCCATCGAGGCCGGGGAGGAGCTGTGTATCAGCTACGGGCACGTGGAGGGGATGGCATTGGAAGAACGGCAAAGGGAGTTGAGGGAAGGCTGGTTCTTCGAGTGCCGCTGTGGTCGGTGTGTAGCGGAGGCCGAGACGCACAATCGAAGGCAAACGAGTTGTATGGAAGGGGTTGACAATTACGTCCCGGACGTCCACTTCCCTGTAGTGCGCTGTTAGGACGCCGTTGTCACAGCACAATGGGTTCCATTGTCTCGTTGCGAGAAACCACGTCCCGGAGACACGTACTTATACTAATGGCACATCAGTCCGCCCTTGGCACAATTGCATGGGCATAATGCTCACGGCTCTTCGGTGGGCGGCCGATTGAGAGCACAATCCTGGGGACCGAGCCGGCGGGATGCAGCAGTTCGGGCGTCGCCATGTCGCCCTTCCTAAGTTAGCCTCGGGGAAATTTCCAGCGAGAAGGGGCGGCAGTTCCGAGCTGAAGCACGATCGCCAGTTCGGTTGAGACGCACGACGTGTATGGGGGCGCAATGGCGCAAACAGCTGGCCGAAGAGCGTGCGGGAAGACTGTCAGACAAGTGACAACGTTGACAGAATCGAGCAACGAGGGCCTGCTCGGGGGTAGCCAGCGCGACGCCCATTTGATGGCACGAGAGCAACGAGCGGCAAAGGAGAAGAGGTGTGGCGGGCTGAGCGGTGGTCATGGCACGCGTCTCGAGCGACCTCTTCTTGGCCATCACCCCGCTTGCCATCCCCCATATCCTCCTCTGGCTCCCTCGACCCTCCGCACGTTCTTTGACCGGGGCGTATACTGCACAACGCTGGTCAATTCTTAGTGCGGTATGTACAGGACACCGTGGGCGCCAAGGCGAACCTGATCTTGAATCTACAGTTTGTCCGCCCAAATTACTGGTCCTCGGGTCCTGGGGTGAAGCCCTTTGTGTTTTCCTCCCGTCGCTCATGGCGGCAGCTCTCAGCCACATGCTTTCTGGCAACGGACGTGTCGAAGACAGACCGAATGTGGGATCGTCGCGCGACCGCGAGCGGCACGACAGCAACCGCTCCCAGCACCAGTCGCCGGCGACCCTTCGAACCCAACCCTCGTTTAACGCCTCGCAGGCGTCGGCTCCGAACACCCAAACACTCACTGTCGAAAGCATGCTCGCAGCGCATGCCAATACCCGGGACCCCACTCGTAGTGCACTCGACACCGCTGTTGCCGAGCGGAACAGTCTGCGTTGCAGAATGCTCAACTATGGAAGCTCATCGAGAAACAGCGTTCTGGCTACGGACAACTGATGAAAGAACTGGAGCGCGTCCGTGGTGAGCGTGAGGTTTACCGGTACGTCTGCAAGCCGCTGGGGAGAACACAGATGCGTTGCTCCGTTCGCATCGTGACAAGGAGAAGCGTGAAGGCAGGGAGACCACACTGCGCTCGTCTTCATCTCAGTCTCAGTTAAGAGGAAACGACGGAGGCAGCTCTAGCTCGTATGTAGCAGACCCTCGGAGCCACGTGTTGCGAAAGCACTCTGCAGACACAGGTGCGCAACCTATCTTCGTATCTCATCTTCTTTCATTCATCTCGTCGCAGTCACGAAGAACCTTCATCACTCTCATTCACAAGAGCAGCCTGCGTTCCCATCCTTCGTCGCGGGATAAACTTGGCTCACAGTCCAGCTGAACCTACCTGCGTCCAGCTCGCGTGTGCCCTCTGCATTGCCATCCTCTCTTTCAACTGTTTCCACCACACGCGGCAGGGCCTCCCTCGCGATGTCACGCCAGATGGGCGGCCGACTGACATTCAACTACGAGCCCTACTCAACAGTCATTTTCTCAAGCACCCTCTAGTCTTCAATATCCTCCTCGAATACCGTCGGCAACGGCGACCTCGCAGATCCCGTACTTGGCCAATGGCAATCCGGGTATCGACCGTCTCTCGATACAGCAAGGCCAATGGGAAAGTGGTGCTGACGCGTGCCCCGGAGCCTAGCCGTCCACCGCGCGACTCGTCCCCAGCTCGACCATCTCCCCACACATCTTCACCTTCCACGCAACATTCTTCCCCAGACACGCCGTCTAACCACTCATTGAGCCCCTACCCTAACGGCGGTGAGCCTCGCCCCGGATTGTCACGCGAGTCTCGCATTTCCTTGCCGGAGGAGGCGAACGCTACTACGCGAACCTGAGCGACTCGCCCATGCCCAGTCCTGGAATTGGTGGGTTGGAGATGTCGTCTTCGTCGGGACACGCTTCGCCACCGTCTCAGCTACCATTCGTCCCTGAGGCGGCCGAATCGCTGCGCAGTCGGTCCGGCACACCTGCGAGCTCTACCGGTGCACGATCGAGGAGTACGACAGCAGTGGGTGACGAGGCAGCCCCCTTCCTCGACATGGGTGACGGGGACAGCTTGCATTCTAGCCAAGGGCGACCGTCGATCACAGAGAATGGTCTGCCCTATGACGACCCTGACGCGACTACCATTCGGCGGGAGAAGGATGCGATACCTGAGGACTTCCCTTTACCTCCGTCAACTAATAACTTCCCCTACCCGCCGGAGACATGCTTCGCGTCTCTCAACCACAGGCCTCTGAGCAGCCTCGAACACCAGTCTCACCGTTCCCAATCGCGGACATCGCGCCGCAGATGAAGTTCCGCGCCCTCCCTCTGCTCGCGAGCGACCTTCCACATACGGAGATCACTGTCATAACTTCGACGATCCGTCCGAACGACCGCGGCAAGGAGGTAGTTTCGTTCATGGTCGCGGTGGACCCTGGCATGGGTAAGGAGCCGTGGAGAATCGAGAAACTGTACAGCGATGTAATCGCTCTGGACGCAAGGGTGCGTGCGACCTTGAGCAAGAACGTCACGAAGAAATTGGTCACACTGCCGGAGGGGCGGATGTGGCGGGACCACGCACCAGCGAAGGTGGACCAGAGGAAGGTGCGTTTCACGTCGTTGTGTATGCCTTCCCTTCACGCTGCCTGTTGCGAGTGTTTCGCCATTGCACCTTCCTTGCGACGATGACGTGTGGTCTACGCCGTCCCCAAGTAGCTCGTGTATTTGGCGCACGCCCGTCACCCAATTGGCCTCAGATGCTGGTGGCTGTACGCCATGCGTCCGCCGTGGTAACGGATACTTTGTTGCTCAGTCAGGGCCTTGGGGCTTCTTAGTCTTATCATCCATTGAGTTCGTAGTGAGGTTCACTTGCGAGCTTTCTCACACATCTCCGAAGCCGTACTTTGAGTTCAATGACTGACCTTGACCTTTTGTAGAGCGCCCTTCAGGAGTACCTGCGCTCGCTGGTAGCACTTCCTGTCAAGAACAAAGACGAAATCATCGCGTTCTTCACGTGCGACATCGTTCGCGAGGCGCAGAAGCCTGTGTCGCAGCCAGGCTACAAGGAAGGCTATCTGACTAAGCGGGGCAAGAACTTTGGCGGTTGGAAGTCGCGTACTTTGTGCTCCAGGGCCCTTCACTGGATACTACGAAAGCGTGAGTGCCCTCCATTGACTGTTCATACCCTCCCACCAACACACACGTGCAACGATCCCCTACTTCCTGTTATCGTACCTGCGCTAACGACTGCTTCTTGTGACGTAGCGTGGGGGTGCACACTTGGGCTCTATCACGATCACCGGTGCTCAAATCGGCCGGCAGCAGAAAGCACCCGATAGGCGGGATGCGGACGAGGACAACGAGTATCGACATGCATTCCTCATCATCGAAGCGAGGCGGAGCCCAAGTGGCTCGACCACCCGCCACGTCCTGTGCGCAGACAGCGACGAGGAGCGTGACAGCTGGGTGGAGGAACTCGTGCGCTACGTGACTGGCGCATATTCCGAAGATCAGGTCGCGATTGTCCAAAACGGGCCCAGCCCTATCGCAGTGGGCAGCGCTGCCTCGGCGCAGTCGCGGTCCAGCATAAGCACCAATGCTCCCAGCGAGTTCTCCACACCGAACGGTCGTCGAGACGTAGGGCGGGGCGACGTTGCGAATGGTAGGATGCAGACATATGCGTACGAGAGCACTCCCAGTCCGGTGAAGTCGATGGCCACGCCATCCCCTCTTGAGCGAGCATCCATCGACGTCGCGCCGCTTTCCAACTCCATGCCTACTACGTCGCCGCTGATTAGCGAGGACGCAGAAATGCCCGCCCCCGTCTCGCAGCGAGCGAACTCAGAGATGGGCCACTACGCCGATCTCAGGACACCAGATCAGAGCCGCAAGAATCGACGACGCATGTCCATTAATCCTAACAGGGCGCCCGTTCCCGAGCGTGCGCCGTCCATCCCTGAGCGCACGCCGTCGCCGGAAAAGGAAGCAGCGATGGCCACCACGCCGAAGGTGGACGCGCATGGGAAGGTGAAGATCTCTGGTCCTATGAATGGCACGCCCATTCCTGCCGGGTACAAGTTTGGAGGCAAAGATGAGAAGCCAGAACCGGCGCCGCCCAGTCAAAGTGATCGGCGGGAAAAGGCCAAGTCGCGTACCTTCTGGGGAGCCTTTGGTCGCCAGCATGGTAGGTTTCCATCCGACGCTGGGCCCGCGTACAACTAACTGACGAATTTTGTTGCATAGACAAACCTGCCATGCCCACTTTCGCTCCACGGGCCGTGTTCGGCGTTCCTCTGGACGAGTCACTCGACGTGGCAGAGATTGCGAGCCTTCCGGCCATCGTCTTCCGCTGCATTCAGTACCTCGAGGCGAAGAAGGCAGACCAAGAGGAAGGTATCTACCGACTGAGTGGAAGCTCCGCAGTCATCAAGAGCCTCAAGGATCGTTTCAACGTCGGTGCGTAGATTGCTTGTGTCGCAATTCATTCCATATCTGACGACGTTGGTAGAGGCTGACGTCGATCTATTGGCCTCCGATGAATACTGGGACCCGCATGCGATTGCTGGGCTTCTGAAGACATTCCTGCGCGAACTGCCTGCGAGCATATTGACGCGTGATCTTCACCTGCGGTTCCTTTCAGTGATCGGTGCGTCACCTGCATGTGCTGCATTCAATAGGGCTATCTAACCCCGATGGCGTAGACTTCGTTGACCCGCAAGAACGCATCAGGGAGCTCTCAGTCCTCATTGCGTCCTTGCCACTTGCGAACTACAGTCTCCTGAGAGCGCTGACGGCGCATTTGATCTTGATTGTGCAGAACGCCCATGTGAACAAGATGACGATGAGGAACGTCGGCATCGTGTTCAGCCCCACTCTCGGCATACCTGCTGGGGTGTTCAGTCTCATGCTGGGCGAGTTCAAACGCGTGTTCAACGTCGACGGCACGCTGGAAGACGGGACACCCGCTGAGGAAGAGGAGATCGTCGATCGGCGCAACAGCAGGCGCTACACTGATGCCGCGGCCGACCAGCTTCTTGGTCTCTCTGGAAGAGCGCTGCCGGGTAGGCTCCCTGCTCCTCCCTGTTCGTATCCGGAGCACTGACATCATGCTCCCCTCTCGCAGAGAATAATGGCGACACTCCATTAGACGATGGGGAAGAGGCGTCCGTCATCGAAGATAGTACCGAAGGCGCAACTGAGAACGACGCGGACTTCGTGGGATCCTCGGCGGGATCGAGCTCGGTGAACCTCCCACCAGGAAGCGGGGCGTGTCTTTGCATAGCCTGCAGATACCAGAGCAGGCGGGCGGGATGGCGGCCGGCTCGTCTCCCTCACGGGGGCGCGCTGCCCACCTGCAGCGACCCGCGGCCTCAACATCACGACGTCCGACAGGACAAACCACCGGAACCCTCCCATCGCGGGCCTCCCGGCCTCCCCGCGCCCGAGCCCTCGCGCTGGGGGCAACGGAGCTCCTTCACCCAGTGTTGCGGTGAGCAGCCCGCTGACTCCCAGGTAGGCCCGTTGCGCGTCTGTGCCGTGCTCTGGACACTGGCTTCGACGTGTACGGACTGTAGCGATCGCTTCCCTTGTTCTGAAAACAGCTTGTGGGAGGCGTGTACGGCATTGCAAGCATCCTTGTGTATATTCTTTTTTGCATTTACGGGTAGATTATACGAGTAGATATCACGGAGCGTGTACGCAGTCTGAATGATACCGTGCATGGTGCAACTGTCTGTGGACTCTGTTATGCGTTCTCACTAATTACAGCTTGGTCGTGGCACTGGTGGCTGAGTTGAGAGCGACTGCCAAGTTATATTTGCGGCCCGGTGAGCGTGGAGGAAGGGGGCGAGGCGGGCATTGCGGGCGGCTCGACCGACGACCACGGTGCCTGGGCGGACTAGCGCGCGATCAGAAATTATGCGTGAGATCCGACCTGCGGGTACGCGTCTGCCCGTCGACCTGCGTCGACCAAGTGTTGTTGTATTTGAACTCAAGATTTTCTTGGTTTTCTCCCGCCAGCGTGAGTAGCTGTCTTCAACCGGCTGCAGCCTCGAGCACGCCGCCATGGGCTTCAGACAAGCCGCAGTGCTCTCTTCCGTCTCCTTCTTCCTCGGTGAGCCGTCTTCCGCCAGCCAGTCGGACGACCTGCCTCCTCTGTCGCGCTGCGCTTCCTTTCCTTCTGACTATCTTGCTGACATTGTCGCTGCTGCTGTCCAGGTGTTCTGCTTATCTGTCTGAACGTCGACTACCGTATCCTCTTCACGCCGCTCACGGACGACGTACTGCGCGATGGCTTCGAGTTCTACACGACGTTCTACAATTCCCCGCCGGCCATCAAGGTACGCACGCTCATTCACGTACCCATCTGCACCCAGCCCCCAGCCGGGCCCCGGCCTCGAGCCTCGCGCCCTTCCCCACCTTCCGCCCTCGCCGTCTCTCGTTATTCTCGTCACGCCCGTGCGCAACTGCCAACGTCTCACTCTGATGCGTGCATGCCCGGTTCTCACTGATTGTGCGCCACGCAGGCTCTGCTGCATGCCGTCATGGGGGTGGGCGCCCTGGGCCTCTGCGGGAAGCTGAACCGGTGGGACGAGAGCGCCATCTTCTTCGACGGGTCCTCGCTCGGTACGCCGCCGCCGCTCTCCCTTCTATGGCCCGCCGGCTGACGCGCGCCGCTTCATCCCCGCCGCGCTCACAGCGGCGTACGTCTTCGCCATGGCGGTGTACATCTCCGTGGGGATCCCGCCTCGCGCTCGGTCGCCGTGCCCCTCCCCGGGGACACGCGCGGGGACCAGGTCGAGGCGCTCCGCGTGCTGTCGGCGGGGAACACGATCATCATCGTCCTCCTGGGTGCGGTGCTCGCTCTCCAGGTACGTCCTCTGTTAGCCGACCACCATCAATCCGTTCGCGTGTCCCGCATCCCACGTCCCACGTCCCCCCTCTTCCTGGTGGAATGCCGTATGCTGACAGTGCCTTGGACGTGTGTGAACGCAGGCGGGCGAGGAGTACGCGCGCCGCGTCGAAGCGAAGGCGAAGGACGACTTCGCGAGGAGACATCCTGCGGGCGCTACCAGCGCGCCGGAAGCCACCCAGACCGAGGAAGACAATACAGAGAGCAAGAAGGACAAGTGATTGGTGGTACGCATGGTGAGGGGGACAGGGGGAGGTCGGGGACCGATCCGCAGGACAGGTCTTTCCTCTTGCTACACGACATATCATGTAATTCTTGGATCTACATCTCAGTCACATATGATTGCCTCGAGAGCACCGGTCACACTGCCGGTGTATGCCTCGGCTATCTTCTGCTTACAGCCGTGGAATGGCCGCCACAAGGACGCTGACTGTTGTGCTGTTCGATTTGAGGTGGTTGGTGGATGGTGGATGGTGGATGGTGGCCACTTCTGATGATAGGCCGTGCTCTAGAAGTGGAAGCGAAATCTGTGAAGAAGGGATGAGCGTATCAGGGGCATTGCCTTCCTCTTCCTCTTCCATGCGGTGACATTCGCTGCACATTGCCACTGGTCAGCTTGCGCTCTCACCAACAAGTTCCCAGTCGGCCGGGGGTCTGGACGGCGGTGACTCGCCAGCATCGGTTACTAAGTTTCGTAAGTCACTGTGCTGCCCTCCTCTGGACTCTGTGCCCCCTGCTCCCTCAACTCAACTGTCAAAGGATGCGAGGCGGCGCAGCGAGGGCCGTCCGGTGGAAACGACGTCGGTGCCGTCTGAATACATGGAGACACTCTCCACGGAAGAAGCGTACGATAGTGGTGGAATAACAGTAAGACTACTGGTCTGGGAGGATCCTTGCAATCCAGGCTAGCCTGTCGCAGCAGCGACGTCAGTTGTGTCGGTTAAGAGTACGGTTTATACGCGGGGCTCGACCGGCGTAGAGCGAGAGACAGAGTGCGCATGATCGTTCGCGCGATGGGCCCGCGACGATCAGATTGGAGGCATTGCGCTGGGACCGCCGGGGCGTCGTGAGGGCCCTCGTTCGCCCTCGCAGAGACGCGTCCACAACTGCCATTCCGGGCAGCCATCATGCGCTGGCGGGTCGCGCCGCATGTGGCTGCAAATTTGCTTCCGCCGGGCGAGGGATCGAACGTGTGCGCGATCGGGTCGTCTTCATTTTGCCGCGCCCTGTGCCAGATCGCGTCGATATTCGAATAATGATGCGCATTCCGCGCTGGCTGTTCGCGGGAAGGGAACGAGGCGCGCAGACTCGAGTCGGCGAGGTGGAGCACCTCGTACGTACTCGAGGGCGCGCGTCGAAGCGCGTGCATCACCGCGCCTGGCCAAGTTGCCAGACAACCCTGGCAGTCTATTTGCTTGCATGCGACGGCGGCGGCGGCGACGGGCATGCTCGATACGGGACCTGGAAGCTGCTCGAAGACGTTCCCATGTACGATACAAAAATACAATACCAATACAACACCGACCCTCTGGTAGCTCGTCGCGTCGCCAGCGCGGGCGCAGCCACGGGCGATCCACATCGGGCACACTTACAAGCTGGTTGCAGTCTAAGTTCTGCCCGGCGTGGGCCGCCTCCAGAGCGAGGAAACGGAAACCTTGTCTGCAAGTGCGCGACGGGGTTCTGCACACAAAATTTCAACAGCCATCCCACAGTGGCTGGCGCCTGCGCGGACCTAGAACGCCCATGCCTGCTGCATCAGGCCAGGCCGACACCGCGCAGCGGAACCATATCAGCGAAGGCCTCCGTTCCACTTCCACGGCGTGTGCGTGGTGGACATGGACAGGCGTGAGGATCCCCTTCTGCAGGCACACTTCCCGCCGGTATGCCAGCGCCAGCGGGCCCACCAGGGTCCTCGCCTTCCGAGATCTTCACCCTGCCAGCTTGTCACTGACACTGTCACTGCTCAATTCGTCATGTCAGTATGCTATCCGCACCATTGTCAATTCAACGAGCGCCGCTGCCTGTGTCCAGGGTTGCGAAGCACATCATGATATGATACCAAGCTTTAGGTGGCCCGGATCGGGCATCTAGCGTACACGGCGGTGCCCTCTGAGATGAGGGTCGTGATGCCAGGCAGCAGCGGATGGAACACCAGAACGCGCGACGGGTGGGTGTTCCAAACGCGGATGCAGCACTGAGCGGCTCCCACCGAGCTAATTTAGAGGAGTGGTCAACATTTGCAAGGCGGTGGGAGGCCTACGCACCTGGTGTTCTCACGGGACAGTCTTGGCCAACGCCGACGGCTCCCGTACAGCAACCACAACACAAATGCAGGGCGAACGTGAGCAGCGCCAACTGGGCCATGTATTTGCACGGGCTGCTTCGCAGCGGTGGAACGTGTACGTACAGGCTGCACGGAAATAGCCTGGGCAGCAGGCCTCGCCGCGCCGCGCCCGTTGGTAGGGATTTTCGGATGGGAGCAAGGACACCACCCGCAGCTCGTATCTTCCCGAGCAAAGGGGAGCACAGCGGCCAACAGGACCTGGCAGATTGCGAGGGCGGGCTGGGAGGAGCCGAGCGCGAGAGGACTGCCATTCGCGGCGGGGGAGGATTGGCGAGTCAGCTGCCGCCTGGCTCCGTCACAGCAGAGTTCAGAGGAGTTGCGTGTCCGGTTCGGGCGAGAGGAGCGCGTGCGGGCGCCATTGTCGGACGAGATTGGGACGAATCTCGCGTAGGGCCATTGTGCGCACAAAGAGGCAGGACGGCCCATCGCAGGACGTCACTGGAGTGACTCGGCTCGCTGAGATGAGATGGGCGAAGGGGGCCTTACCGAGGCGGAACCTTCGGCGGTAGAGCAGAGCAATTCCGAGTTGTGGCGGCCCCAGCAGCGGTCTGAGCCCACCCCAATCCACGGCCCCGCCTCTGCCAGCGCATTTGCGCGCGCGCACGCCGTATCGCGTGTCCTCGCGAAGCCCGCCGGCGTCTCCGAGTCGCATCCACTGCGCGCTCGCGTCGGTTCGCGTTCCCTGCAAACAAACGCCACGACGCCTCAGCATACGATGCGGCCCTCTGCATGATTGCGCAGCACGATCTTCGGCGACGACGTCAGCGAACGCTGGCCCGCGTGCAGCGCCTGCTTCGGGGGCGGGGGCAACGCGCAGTGCGCTCTGGCCAGCTGGCAGCGGTGGGCGGGGCAGAGCTGGATCAGAGCGATCAGAGCCTCGGCAGCACGGCAGCCAGTCTGGCCGGCGGAGGCAAACCAAGATTCGCACATCGTCAGATTCGGTTGCCGTGACTCCTGCGTCACGCCCCGCATTGGGTTAGTCGGCAAATTTGTTATCACTGCGAACTAAATTAACAGATGGGGCGACTTCCTAGATCCATCGGGCACGCCAGGGTCCCTTACCACTCCTCAGCCTCTGTACTTAAGTACCGCCCGCCTCGTAGGGCGGCGTTGCCCTCCCCTCCCCCGACAACGCTCGCCACGTCCTCCCGCCCTCGCTACCCCGACAACACCGCCATGGACGCAATGGACGTGAACTGGTGCCTCACCTGCTCCCGACACATCGACGTGGTACGTGACCCCCGCCTCGCACACCCCTCGCTTCCGCTCACAGTGCATGTCTTCTTCAGGAGGGTAACGCCCCTTACTGCTCGCGCGAGTGCTACACCTCCGACCAGCCTGCTTCATCCTCAGCCCTCGCGTCCCCCGTCTACAACGCCTTCGACAGCGCACCCATCGCCGAGAGCATCTCCGAGCTCGACGACTGCGACCTCTGCTCGCGCTTCGAGAGCTCGATCACCACGACGGAGCGGAGCAGGTGGATCGGGAAGGGAGATGCAGGGATCTATGCGTGGGCGAGGGACGTTCCTCCGGGCCCGCCGAGCGGCCCCGACAGCGCCATCTCCACCGCAGACCTCCGCCCGCCAAAGCTCCTGCAGACCACCCGCCGACCAGTCCCCCCCAGCCTTTGCATGTCCAAAACGATACCCGCGCCTGCACCGTCAGGCTCTTCACGACCCGTGCTCTCCTCCCTCCCGTCCCTCTCCAGCCAGTGCCCGACAAACACGAGCGTCGCCTCGCTCACGACCCCCTCCTCGTCCGTCTCCCCCGCTTCGCCAATTGAAGCGTCTCCCTCTCCTTGCCCTCCGACCACGACCACGGTTGCAGTCAAGGGCGGTTTCATCAGCGCCCTCACGGCGCAGGTCCGCTCGTGGACCGCGTCGTCCAAGGAGTGCCCGCGATCCGAGACAGTGACACGACAGTCGCGGACGGCTTCTGCCGTCCGTGCATGGCCGCGGCAACCTCCCGCGCATCTTGACGACCCGTCACCGTCTTCCCAGAAGCCAAGGCCAGCCTTGGGTACGAGTTCGACGGCTACTGGGGCCTCTCGACAGAGAAGCTCCCCCTCACCGATGATCACCCAGCGTTCCGTGCGCGGGGTCGCCGCTCGTCGCGCGTCGTGTCATGACTCCCCTGCATAGAGGACCCTCCCCTTCTTGTATAATACGCCTTCTCCACCCGAGCTGCCCGCAGCCCGTCATCGTCTTGCCGGGCCCACCCCCAAAAGATGACTTCTCATCGCTTGCTTGTACACACGGACTATTTGCATATTATATCTGCGCATCGTTTCCCCTCTCGTAGCTACGCATCTCGCTCTCATCACCGTCAACCCACCCCTCATTCGCCTCATCTGCGCCGTCCACCCTCCCTCACTCGCATATCCCCGCCTCGCATCGTCTTGATACCATCCAGTCCCCGCGGCCCTCCTGCTGCTGCTGCCGCCGCCCGTCCATCCCTGCCTTCCGCGAAAAGCCGTACGCCGGCGCGCCTGCTTCGCATTTCCCCGCGCGCCGTTCGCCGCCATGCCCCCAGCCCGCCGCAGCCCCCTACCGTCCGTAACAGTGCATGCTACGCCGGATGTACGTTATTTCTGTAGTGCGTATCGCGTGTCGTCACGATCACGGTATTCCCCCCGGGCCCCGAGTAGCTCAATAACTGAAAGCTCCTGCCCATGTCCACATATAGAGTTCGCATAGAAGAATAGGACGCCTTTCTGATCGCGTGTGTGCGTGTCCGGATTGAGACGTGCAGTGAAGGTGCGACGCGCGTGAAGGCCCGAGAGCCGGGGTCTTCGTGGGCCTCGCTGCACGCATGCACCACACACTGGTGCCATCAGTGGCGAGGTCGTGCAGAGTCGGCGTTGTCACGGAGGATGACTGAGCGACGCGTCCTGGCGTTCGCGATCCACGAGGCTACGTAAAAGACGGATTGTCGAGCTGTCGGTGCGTGCGCACGGCTACGCGTCCCTGCTGACCGCCCTCCGTTCTGACCGCAGAGCCTCCCGCGTCGCTCAGGCCCTGGACTGGGCCTCCCGAGCACGGACGCCATCATCCCCGCCAGCGGGTCGGGATGACCAAATCTGCGACGTTGCGATGATCCATTGTCCTGCACTGGCACTGGCACTGGCACGTCCTCACTTGGCCCTGACAGAGATCGGGGCGCCCGGGCGCGTGCGAGGATTGGCCACGGCCTGCTTGTCCAGGCCTGGTGCGTCTCGGATATAGCACGGCTCTGAGCGAGAATAGTACGTTATTCATCCATGGTTCACACAGGGACTCGTCACGGCGTGCTCAGGCGAGTGTGCGCTGCTGGCAGCACCCGCGGTGCGCGTCCGAGCCGCCAGTGCCGTATCACCCCGGAGAGTTAACGTTATAGGGGCCCGTGCCCCTCGCCGCACGCCCGCCTTCTCAGCCGTCGAACCCGGACGCGGAGTCAGAGGTTGGCTGGTGATACATACGCCCGTAGGCTCAACTTCGGTTGGGCTGCGCCACGGACCCGTGCATGCCCCGCACACGGCACGGGCCCCACGCCAGCCCTCCCTCCGACTCGCCGCGCACACCTAAACACTCAACACATACACGGGCACCGCACGCACCAGGGGGCAGCCCTTCTCCAGCGCCGGGGCACGCCGTGGCACTGGATTGCGCAATCCATACAATGCCCCGTCCTTCCTGGCTTCCGCGCTGATACGCCCCCTCCCCGCGAGCTGCCCATGGCCTGGCACTCTATGGCGATCGCGGATCGCGGTGGCCAGCCACGGTCGCGACGCGCACTGGCAGAAGGGTTGTTATCGCAGGGGCGCCGTGCGCTTGACAATACGGCCTCCCCTGGCTCGCTGCCCGCGCAGACCGAATGGGAAAGCGCAGGGCTTGTTCGCGCGGTTCCTGGCTTCTGGGCCACTGCGTGAGGTATGTTCTGAACGTACGGAGTCTGAACGACTCACAGGATCCTTGTTTTTTTATCAGAAAAATTACAAACAAGAGGTCTGGTGTGACAACGCTGCGAATGCGGGATCCCGGCGGGAGAAGAAGGCACCCCAAAGCAGTCCTGTGCATGCGACTCCTGTCGGGCTCTCAGTGTGGCCGTTGGCTGCTCAAGTTCTGACACATGTCTCGTTCTGCATCATGGTCTGTCGTTGGAAACTCACTGTACTTATGCTGTGTGAGAAAGACTTCCTTGCTGTCCTCCACCGCGCCTGGGTGGGCCACCCCACCTCACCCAGTGTCTCGATATCCGACATGCACCCGTAGGATCATGATGGCTTCATTGACCGGACTTACCGGTGAAACAGCCAGTGTTGCACAGTCGAACATACGCAAAGAAATTTCAGCATTCTTGTTGTACTTGGTAGCCGCATCTGTACTCGACTCAGCTCGCAATGAGACCGGTGATGGCGACCCATGCGGCCCATCCGTTGGTGCACGACGAGCGCGCAGACGTGCTCTCGCCGTGCCACGTCGTGCGGACGGGCGCCTCCCCGCACCCCAGACGATCGTGTTGATGCGGCGATCAACAGCGCCCGATATTGACGAGCTCGAGTACGATCGCAGCGCCCAAAGGAGTCCCCCTTCGCAATGGGCACGACGCATGGCGAGAAGGCTTCCGCCATCAACAGCGGAGGGTCCGTGCGCGAAGGGGACGGCGTCGGTGCGGCAGACGTGCGTGCAGGCGAAGGGCGGAAGGCTCGGATGCAGTCGCGCTGGCTTCTGCCCGTGGGAAGCGCGATAGCACATGGCTGCGATGTTGCCTAAAATGGACGTGCGGACCCGGCCAGTCAGCGCCCGGCTGCGATGTCACAGCCGTGACTACCATATGAGGCAAGGCGGCCTACCGGACGCATTTGGCAGGGCGCACTACCGGAACCTCGGGAGCCCCATCACGCGGCACCGCCGCTCGCTGGCCGACCTTGCCCAAGCGGGGCCCGACCTGCGCGGACGGGCAGGCACGCCGAAGCTCCCGCGGCCTTCATCTATCATATTCGCAGACTGCTTCCGCCCTCGGCGTGACTTCCCGTATCTCTGGCGTGCAGTGGGTGCTTGCAGTGGTTGGCCATGTCACGCATGTGCTCATTAGCAGGACGACAGTTTCACGCAGGCCGCAGTCGGAAGCATGCAGGATCTCGCAGATCAGCTAGTGCGTAGCAAATCCGAAGCTAATCATCCCATTTGCGGGGGCGCGCACACGACGGTGGCGTTCAAACGTTCACTCCCAACGGCGTTCCCAGCGATGGCCTCTGTCCGTTGAATGATGCAATCCTTCGCATGAAAGTGAGGCTTCCGTTGGAGGTGATCATCGCAGCACGACATATGCACCGATAGCACTCGTCGACGCAATCGCTGGGCGGAACTTGGACGGCGGTCGTCCATCGAATGCAGAGCTACTCGCCGACGCCGTGTTTGCTTCCGTGTGACGCAGCCCGACGGCGAGAGCTGCAGCGGGATCACTCAGATCGGAGAGCGGAAGGTCGGCATATGTGGATGAACGATCGAAAGGGCAGTGTTCTGACGTGCCTCGCGAGCCCCTAAGTGCAGTAGTAACCGAGCACCCCGCAGGCCGACGCCGACTTGAGCGGACGGGCTGCGCACCTTCCATCACATCCTGGCTCCCCGACAACGACGCGCGCCCGCCCATCCCGGATCTGCCGCGTCCAAAATGAATCTCGTCACGATCCAATCGCGCCAGCGTGCCTTCCCTGCTGCGCCACCTCCTCCCCAGTGTCCGCGCTCGCGGGGACTCAGTGGCGTAGAACACTCTCGGTCGCCGTAGTGTATCACTTCGTCCGCAGCAGCGCCCGTCGCCAGACAAATATTCCCAGAATATGTATTCCTCGGGTTTCTCGACACTGCACCCCGGCCGACTTTCCATGTGCCGTCGTGCCGCCCCGCCCATCCAGCCAAGCTGTCCGTGCCCTCGACGGGTTCTCAGGCCAAGGCTGCGCCACGGTCATGCGCCCGGCGTAACGCCCTCTGTCCTATTCCTGCGCTGATCTCGTTGATTGCGTTCCAGCGAGGGCGTTTGTCCGCCACACGAAGTGCGTCGATATCTGTCCGTTTAGGTTTGGTGGCCAAATTCACCGTGTCGGATCCATGGGACTTCTGTGTCCGTCAGCCTACGACCCTTTTGTGCTGCTGGCGTCATTCCAGCGCAACTGCGATGATGGCTTGCTTCGCATGCAGGTACGCCCGGCGCTCATGTCGACCGTCCTGTGAACCCGTCTCGCTTACAACCACACTTGAAGGCACTGCGAGAATAAGGAAATAGCTCCGCGCTATGGAACTTTATGTCCGAGGCACATTCTGGCTGCCTCGCTGCCACCGTGACATTCTCTGTAGGCCTGTCGTCAGCCGCAGGGTACCAAGTGCGACCGACTTCGTACACTAGTACCCCCAGAGACAGCTCCGTCAGCGTCGCATGCTGGCTCGGACCATGCGAGACACGACAATGTCGGCCACTCGTGATGGGCAAGACGCGAAAACGCGCAATCGCCGCGCGGGCTGACAGTCCAGAATTAAACAGAGCCCACAGTCGTGGTCGGCGCTGACTACAGCTGAGCAGCACCGCGAACCGCCAATTCACGTCATGCGCGTGAGCAGCCGTGACAGAGCAGTGACCCTCCTGCCAGGTTCGCTCGGATCTACAAGGTACTGCGCCACAGCTGCCTACAGTATGCCGTCATGCACCCCAGTACCAGGAGATAGGCCATTAACATTGTATTCAGCACTGCAGCTACGCCCCACCGTGGGCATCTCGTCGGTTGCGAGGCCATGGCCCTTGTTCCGTGCGCCCCAGCGACCCCCGCTTCTCCCCCTCGAGGGCACTTCTGCGCGACCTCAAGCTCGCGCCCCAGGCCCTGGGCCGTGGAGAGGATTTCGGCTCGCTCGCGCGCGAAGCCCGCGCTCGGAGCGCGAGGCACGCCCAGCTGACTGCGGGAGGGGCGCCTCCCACGACTGAATGCCAACTCTCTTTACCTGCCTCTACAGGGTGCGACCGCGCGAACCGGCGGCGCGGTCAGGCGGTCGCGGTCGTGTGCGTGGGTGCGAGCCGCACGCCCCCTGCCGTGCCCCGTTCGGTCCTGCGCCCCGCCTTCTCGCCTTCCCCAGCGTTACGGCACGCGAGGGGAGTGAATGCGTCGGGGACGCTGTTACGAGATGGCATGGACCGTGTCTGGCTCGAGGGTGCGATTCGAATCGGTGGCTCAGATCTTCAATAACTGCCAGAGATCAACTCGCGGCAGGGTAGCCACCCAAAAACAAATTCCTATAATGAATTCGCGACCTCGATCCTCGAGGCCGCTGCTCCAGTGGATCCTTGACGCCACTCAGTATCCCCAGCTACAGAAAGTACAACGGATGTCTAAAACACTGTTAGAGCACCGCACTGTGACGATCGTGCATGGAGCGTCGGGAGGCTAGGCCTACCGCATGCCCTCAGTTACGTCTCTGCGTGGTCTCGACTTTCATTTGCATTCGTTGATGGACTGGAAGGCCGAAGCAAGTTTCCAGCCATTCTACGGTTTCACTTATCACGTACGAGCAAGCCTGGCTCGGCGAGACAAGGGATACTTCGGTGCAAGAACGTACATACAGACACGGCACGGATACAAACCTTTCGCCAATCTCATTTTCGCCTTCTGGCACGAAGACATTGGGAACAGCTTGGCTACTCACGCGAGCAACACCGCTCACTATCGCATCGACGTACCCACCCTGCACAGTCCGCCAGGCCTTCCTCGGCACGGTAATACACTCTTCCTTGGTGTCAGTGATGTAAGAGCAAAAGAACAAATATGATACACAGCCTTGTGCTGGGGGCTTTTACTGCGGAGGTTGGAAGCTGCACAACACTCGGTGAGCTTCCGTACCAGTCGAAGATAGGAGTTAAACGCGTACCCTGGGGGAGGGCCGGAGAAACCGGGAGGAGGAGCGAAGGGGGGCATGCCCGGCGGTGCACCAGGGAAGCCAGGGGGCCTGAAGCCTGCCGGAGGCATACCTGGTCCACCGGGCGCACCGAAGGGCATGGGAGGACGTTGTAGTGCTGGCCCACCCACTAATACATGCTATCAGCAGGGAACAAAACAAGCAGTCAGAGGTGAACGCACTCGGCGGCATCATACCCATCCCACGGCCTGCAGGCATACCCCGTCCAGGACCGAACGGTAGCTAGTGCACACAATCAAGTCAGTTTTCCAAATACGCATCATCAAGAGCGACACGCACGGCGTTCTTCTTGTCGTCATCCACGACAGGCGGCGGTCCCTCCACCGACAGACTGACCACCGTCTCGCCGCGCAAAATGACGAGACCGAGCGTGCGCTTCATCTCCTGGACGGGGCCCGCCTCCGACTCGCCGGGCTTCTTCTTCGGGCGGATGCGGCGGAACTCCTCGCACTCGGCGAGGACGAGGTTCATGTGCCTGTCGAACGCGAGCATCTGCCCGACGAACGCGCGGCCGTCGTTGATCGTGACTTTCAGCCGCCAGTTGATCAGGCTGAGCATCTTGCCGCCCTTGGATTTTGGAGGAGGCTGCGGGGCGTCGATCAGCTGTGCACTGGGATGCGGCCTTGGATGCTGACTTACCATGGTGGGCGATGTATTTTTCGGTGGTCTGTGGTGGTCGTCGGTGTCGACAACGAGGATCGAGCGAGTTTGAGCACGAGGCAAACAGCCGTAAACAAACTGAGTGGCGTCGGTGGGCCGGCGCCTGAGCGATCCTGATCACAGCGACCTCTTCCGTCTACTCAACGCCCGGCATGAAGTTCATCCGTCTGCCTCTTTCTTGTTGCGGGGTATGTCATTCGAACATACTTTGGCCTCAGAAGAGTGGTTAGCTGCCGCGCTTAAGTGAGAGGCTCGCCATGACTGATGCTCCGAGCTATAGCACTGCGTTCGCACACATCATCCTACCGTCATAGCAGTGCTTCCTCGACGACTTGGAGCTGATGGCGAAGCAGCTCTACTGTCGACACAAGAAAGGCGATACAGCAGCCTTCACACATTCAGCAGGATCTACAAAAAGTACGGTCGCCTCGTTGAGCACGTCCATCGCAAGAGTGAGTCGAACCGAGCTGCCTTCTCTGAATGGTACCCGGGTCACGCTCCGTACATCCTTCGCGCAGGCACATGGGAGAGTCGACTGACGGCACGAGCTCCTCACGCGGAACAAGCATCAATGATCCAGCTCAAGTGAATGCGCACAATGGGTCCGCTGACCTGTGGAAGCCGTCCAGGTATGGCTACAAAATAGAGTGGGCATCGCCGTGGTCCTTCTCCACGTCAATGCTGCAGCTCTTCCGCTTGGCTGTGGGACTCGCCGCAATAGAATGTCACAAGCACGCGTTACCCGTGTCCAAGCCTCGACATGCTTCAGACGCACGTCTGCCCGTGTCGCGTCCCACCTGCCGCCGCCGCCTGCCATATCGCCTCATCGGATGCACTATCAGCCATACTGAACGCCGAAGCGTCCTGCGAATGCGAACTGTCCCCGGTAGTATAATCGCGAATTACCAGCGATCATGTATGGGAACTTATCCGGATACCGGACGCAACGACTGATACGGCTGGGATGGTCCACAACCTCGAAAGCTTCCGGTGCGCTCTCCGATGTATCCGACTGCATGTGCTGCAGACATCTCACTTTCAGGTTGTCACATCGGGGCTATTGTTCGTCCGCCCTGCTTCTGATCGTGGTGCAGGGAGGTGCAGAGGTCGCGTGCCGCTCGCGGAAAATGGATTGTGTTCGTGATAACCGCTCTTGGCTTCACGCTTCAAGTCGTTCCAAGATCTGTATGCATCACACGAAAACTTTGCATCATAGTGCGTAGGGAAGAACTTGGTCGAAGGTCAAGGCAAAAAACCTCGTGTGAGCGGTCGACGACTGGATTATCGGGGTAAGCAACCTTCTACCATACTCTTCTGCGACACCGTGTGGGACGTCACTGGCTTGATTGAGAAGGAGGAATCCGCGGTCCATACGACGCAACCGGCGAAAGGGATATTAATATCGCTACACTCTCAATCATAGTCTGGTGCGCCGTTAGAACGGTTTTCGAGACCAACTAACGCAGCCGGTGCAGACAATTACGTTTTCCGAACTGCCAGCGTACGTGAACGGCCCGCAGTAACGTCGAGCTTCATTGCCATTGCGTCGCGGTGTCACACATCTCGATCAATGAACTGCGTTCTCGGACTCGGAGGACGCCTCTCGAAGCCTGCCAGAAGCGGCGTTCGTTCCGCCCAAATTGAGCATGGGCGGGCTGAGGCAAAAGTCAAGTGTGTCATTGGTTCGTAAACGATCCATTCATTCTAGCGGGCGGTCTGATCAGAGATAGTCGTGGCATGAGTGTACGGGCAGGCAGAGGCGTGTTGGGCGCGGCCGGGATCAGTGGTGTGTTGCTCGAAAATTTACTGCACTACACTCGATGATCTAGGTGAAAGGAGTACTCCTTCTATCTTTCACCGCGAATTTCAAACGCAGGAAGGATTTGGCAATTGAGGGAGCTTGCTCGAAGGAACGGCCGACGGAGAAGGGCCAAGTCCTACCATGACGGAGGCAAGCACTTAGTACGAGCCGGGCTTTCTACCTCAGCTAAGGCTTACTTCAACCGATGCGAGTCACCTATACACAGACACCGTCGACAAGTCATACATTTCGGATATGGGACGGACTCGGACGGGGTCGTCTGACCCACGAATTCATCTCCTGGGATCGTCACGCTCACACGACCGAGGGCGCTGGCGCGGAGACATTTCCTCATGCGCTCGTAGTTACGAGAAGTCAGCGTCCGGGCGTTGAAGGACGCTGTACAAATCCGTCCAAAGGCCTTCATAAACTGCGTTACATATCCTGAAACGATACGGTACTGCGTGTCGGCCGGTGTCTATGGCGTCCGAGTCAGGGACAGTGTATTCAACGGCGAACTCCAGTCACTAGTAGTGTTACGTATTTCTATTGCGCAATCGTTTAAGATCCGTATGCGTGAGGTCACCAGTACTCACCTATCTGACTGACTGCGTCGGCACTTCTGCGCTGCTTCGCCATCGTCCGGCCCCACTAGGAATAGCTGCCTGAATGTCGTCAACTACGCCCGGACGATTGGCCTACTACGCAATATTAGCTCATGAGTTCGCTTTCGCCGGCGAAGCAAGCTCAGGGCATCAACCGGTCTATTCCAAGCATCGGGGAAGCAACTTGATTGTATTTATGACAGCAGTTTGCGTTTACTTCTACAACATTCGTACACTACTAGACACAACGCGATGATGCAAAATGCGAGGACGCCCGAAGCGCTTAGTGAGAAATTTCGACAACGAGGTCGCCCTGGTTAATAGAGTCCCCTGCAAGAAGCCACGTCACTCGATGACTTCAGTGTGCGTCCGGAGGTAGGATACTTACCTTCGCGTATGAGGATGCGCTTCACATGACCAGACACAGGCGCCGTGACGGCGGACTCCATCTGAAGATTGAGTGTAAGTATAGGTCGAAGCCAAAAGAGAAAACAGGCGTGCCTTCATGGCGCTCATGACTGTGAAGTCATCGTCAACAATCCGGTGAATGCGACTGGGCAAGAGCAGACTTACCGCACACAGGGTCACCCTTCTTGATCTCAGCGCCCTCCTTGACTCTGACCTCAACAACGACACCTGACATCGGTGCGCCAACAGAGCCCGGGTCAGAAGTAGCCTTTTCGCGCGAGACAGTTTCGACTGCAGAGTTCTTGTCCTCGACGGAAACCGCACGGACCTATTCGGCGACGTCACCCGATGAGCAGAGGAACTGGGGTTTTTTCGGGATGTGACGTACTTCTCCGTTGACCTCGAACCAGACGTCACGTTGCGCACGACCCTCGACGACAGGACCAACAGCCATCAGACGAATAATGAGCGTCTTGCCCTTCTCAATGGAGATGTACATCTCCTCGCCGATTTCGGGGCGACCCAGGAAGTAACGGGTAGGGATCACACTGACCAGCACCATGTCAACACACGGCGGAGATCGCAAGCCTACGAAGCGTACCTCAGGTCACCGTATCTCGTAACGAAGCCTTGGTAGTCCTCGAACACCTGATTGTGATGGTCACTCAGCACGACCATCCGGAAGACTCGGGCATGCAAAGTACCTTCGGGTACATGATGTACGACGTGACGTCCGCATCTGTGATGTGCTTGCCAAACTTGCTGCGCAACTCCGCCTTCGTCTTCCTGAAGTCAATAGGAGGCAGGTTCGCGCCGGGCCTGCCATCGATCCTGGGCTTGTTCCTGATGACCTTCGACCGGAACGGTTCTGGGAACCCTCCGACAGGCTGGCCAAGGTATCCTTGGAAGAACTCGACGACCGAAGATGGGAAGTCGAGCTGGTCTGCGCGCTCGAGGACTTCTTCCTTCGGGAGCTTGTTGGATACCATCCATTGCGCGAAGTCCCCAACAACCTTCGACGTTGGCGTGACCTAGTAGTACGTCAGCTACATGTGCTGCGAGGCTAATATCGAGACCTGCCTTGATGACGTTCCCGCACTTCGCATGGTACATGTCAGTCTAGGCCCATCTATACGTTAGGCATCACGACACTGCTTACAAGCTCGTTCGCCTCGATGTACTTCTTCTTGACCTCTTTGGGAATCCGTCAACCCTCATTCGGATCTCACAGCAACGATGTGGTCACTCACCCGTCCACTGGGTGCCCAGGCCGAGCTGGGCCGCCTGGAACTGCAACGATCACGCATATTCAGAGCGAGTCCCCCCGAACGTCACATCCAAACTTACCATCAGATTCGTGTACTGCCCTCCCGGCATCTCGTGGTCGAACACACTCGAGTCCGAGGCACGAACATTCGCCTCGAAGCAGCCATAGAGCATGCGCACCTGACTCCAGTAAAGGTTGAGCGCCTGGATGTCAGCGTAGCGGATACCAGTTCCCAAGCCAGTCTGATCAAGGGCAGCGCACACTGCACCCATGGGCGGCTGAGACGTCAATCCAGACATGCCTGGTGGTAACCATTGAGTACTTCGAAAGTCATCCAGCAGGAGCAAATGAACACACTGTCGATGGCGACGTCGACGACGTCGGCGCCTGCCGCAGCCGCAGCAATCATCGTCGCGGCGGAGATGCCGGCGTATCATGTGAGTGCACATGGATGGGCAGATCGGGGTACTTCTTGCGGATTTCACCGATGAGCCTGAAGGTAACACAAAGTCGTTTCATTTCACTTGCGCTTGGCAGCACACTCACAGTTCGCTGCGTGGGGCTTGAGAATGCCCGCCATGTCCTTGATGCCCAGGATGTGGATGCCCTCCGCGACCAGCTCGTCGACGAAGTCGAGGTAGTACTTGAGCGTGTATTTCGTCTTCTTTGGGTCTGCAACATCGCCGCTGTAGCAGACAGCCGCCTCGACGACACCACCGGCCTTCTTGGCAGCGTCGATACCAAGCTTCAACTATAGAAGAGTCAGCACGAGTAAGCGCTCCTCGTAAGCAGAACGACTGACGTTGTCTGTTGGAAGACATTAGCAGCTGACGCGCGGAGTATGCAATTATAACTCACCAATGTAGTTGAGGGAGTCGAAAACACGGAAGATATCCAAACCGTTCTCGACAGCCTTCTTGGAGAAGTCGTAAATGGCGTTGTCGCTGTATCGAGAATAAGAGTCGCCACAATCACAACAAAAATGAAGCTTACGGGTAGCTAGTGTAACCAACACCGTTGGCGCCACGGACGAGGGCCTGCAGAGGGATGTTCGGCACCAGCTTCCTCAGTGTCCTCTGCCCCGGTCGGTCAGCACCAGCATACACCTCCACCGCACCGTTAACACTCACCAGGCGCTCCCACGGGTCCTCGTACAAGAACCGCATCGCAACGTCAAACGTCGCACCACCCCAGCACTCCAAGCTGAACGCATTCGCCAGCGCATAGCTCGTCTCCTTCGCGATGTTCACCATATCGATCGTGCGCAGCCTCGTCGCCAACAAGCTCTGGTGCGCATCGCGCCACGTCGTGTCCATGATGAGCACCCCGGGGTACTCGCGCACCGCCTTCGCGAACGCCTCGGGCCCGTGCTCGACGATGATGTTGCGCCAGCCCTGCTCGCACGGCAGCGACGCGTCGAGCGGCGGCCCGCTCGGGTCCTCGCGGTTCTGGAACGGCGGGACGACCACGTCGTCCTTGAGACCGGGCTCGCCTTGCTGGCCTGCGATGGAGGAGCCGTTGACTGCGAGGTCGCCGAGGTAGGAGAGCAGCTTTTGGGCACGGTTCTGGCTCTGAACGAGCTTGAAGAGCTCGGGCGTGTCGTCGATGAACTGCACAACATATAAACTTTCGCTGTAGACGATCACATCGTCTGGATAAACTTACAGTTGTCCAGGTCTTGCCGCCGATGAAGACATCGTGGGTCAGGAGACGCAGCAAGAAAGGAATGTTCGTCTTAGAGCAAGGTATCAGACGGTGTTCAATGTGAGGCTAAGTTGTACACACCTTAACGCCGCGGATACGGAACTCAACGAGAGCACGGAGCATTTTTCTCCTGGCAACCTCATAGGTCGTGCCGCTGACACTGACCTTCACAAGCAAGCTGTCGTAGTGGGCTACCCAATCTCATGAGCAATCCTCCCTCATGACACACCAGGCCGTGAACTCACCGTAATCTGCGCACCAGCAAAGCCGGAGCTCGCGTCCAGACGCACACCATTACCACCCGCACTGCGGTACACCTCGATCTTTCCGGTGTCGGGTTGGAAGTTCTGCGCAGCATCCTCAGTCGTGACACGGCACTGGATGGCGAACCCGCGCTTCGTGATCGCCTCCTGCGTCAGGCCGAGCTGCGGGAGCGTCGCGCCCGCCGCGATCTGGATTTGCGCAGCGACGATGTCGATGCCCGTGATTTCCTCTACATTCGCGAGTGCCATTTGTCAGGCATCGTCATCGAATATAGCGACAGGAAAGGACGCACCAGTGATGGTGTGCTCGACCTGGATACGCGGGTTGATTTCAATGAAATAATGTCTCCCCATCTGGTCGACCAAGAACTCCGCTGTGCCCGCATTCCTATAACCCACGCTCCTCGCAAGCTTGATCGCGTCCGCGAGGATTGCCTGGCGGACCTCCTCAGGGAGGTGTGTCGCGGGCGCGACCTCGACGACCTTCTGGTGGCGGCGCTGCACGGAGCAGTCGCGCTCGAACAGGTGCACGGTGTTGCCCTGCGCGTCCGCGAGCAGCTGCACCTCGATGTGCCGCGGGCGCTCGAGGAAGCGCTCGATGAAGACGGTGCCATCGCCGAACGCAGATTTGGCCTCCGAGACGGCGCGCTCGAAGGAGGTTGCGAAGTCAGACTGCTCGCGCACGACACGCATACCGCGGCCTCCGCCACCCATGGCGGCCTTGATGATCACTGGTTGTGGATGTGATTGGTTGGAGGTGAGTGGAGGCGAGACAGAGGAGGTAGGACTTACCAGGGAAACCGTACTCTTGGATGAACGCATCCGCATCTGTGAAGGACCCTACGGGTCCGGGAGTACCGGGAACGACGGGCACGCCAATCTGGATGGCTGTATGCTTCATTTCAGCCAACATCGCCTATAGAACGTGGGCGCTACACGTACCAATCGTCCTCGCCTTCGTCTTGTCGCCGAGGTGGTCAATGACCTCCGGGCTAGGGCCCACGAAAGACAGGCCCGCCTGCTCGACCTTACGAGCGAACTCTGCGTTCTCTGATAGGAAGCCATATCTGTGAAGCCGCGAAGAGAGAGCGAGCTCGACATCAGCTTGTGCGCGCCTGAGAGGGGCATCTCACCCCGGGTGGATCATGTCGACGCCATGCTCGAGCGCGATGCGGATGATGTCTTCCTGCGCGAGGTACGCGCCTACGGGCGTGAGGCCCTTGCCGACTTGGTAGGCTTCGTCTGCCTGCGTACCGGGGCGTTCACGTCAATCACATGGGATGGTGCGATGTTAGTCTGAGCGGCGAGAGCGCACCTTCTGGCGATGCGCAGACAGCCTGTCTTCGTAGGAGTAGATAGCCACTGTGTGCAGCGCAAGCTCGTGCGCAGTGCGGAACACACGGATGGCAATTTCCTGCACCAATCGAGTTAGACAGACCAGTACCACTTGAGAACCCGTGAGACTGCGGGGACGTACACCACGGTTCGCGACCAAGATCTTCGTCAATGGGCCCGAGTGACCGGCGGCCTTCCTGCGCATCGTCTGGATGGAGTGCACAGGCGTGCCGGGCGCACTGGGCGACCCGGCAAAAATGGAGGCCAGCCGCGGGGGGTGGAGGGTCTGCGTGCTCTCCGTCGCGGGCATCGTCGGGCGTGGCGATCTCGCGGTGAACTGCTGAGGAGATGGTGGTGGGAGAGAAAGAGAAGTATAGAACAGTGTACGGGGATCGGCCGAAGGTAGAGGCGAGGGCGATGGGTGGCGATGGGGATAACCGAGGCGAGGGGTATGGACGCGTCCGAACGCGAGTCAAGTGACCTCATCTACGCGTCCCGCCCTTTATCGCACTCGGCCTCTGTTGACGCACGTCCCCTTCGCCAGTGCACCACAGGCCACAGGCGGGCGATCGTCCTCGCGCGGCGTTACAGCGGGACAGGCCTTATCCCCGCTGCCTCTTCCCCCGCATCGACGCGGACCACGAGTAGCAGCATCTCTCTCAAGATGGCAGTCCCATAGTATTCTCCGTACTCTACGACAGCGTCGAAGTCCAACTCGTACATCTCCGCAGTGATAGTTACATACAGCGAGAACGAGGGTGCAGGTATACCGATGGCGGTGTCTACTATTAAGATGTCCAATGTCAAACCCTGTCCGAACCCAGCGTCCCAGCACACCTGCGGCCGACCGCGCCCAGCCAGACGCCGCACGTTCTTCCCAATCACACACCTGCGCCGCACCTCGTAATGCAGCACTGCGGCCATAGACACGAACGGCCCCTTCCACCTCCCCACGGCCTGTCATCCGTCGTACGATATCAGAACGTCCTCGAGACGCGAGATGGCGCCGCCGCTTCCCTTCGATTCCGCGACGAGACCTGCCGCACGTTACGGCTTCCGAGTCAATGGGATGACGCCCGTCTGGCTCATCGCCGCGTTCTCGGCCTTCTTCTGGTTGCTCTTCGCAATGGCGTACACCAGCCCGGCGAAGAATCCGACGCCAATGGCACTCACAGAGCCGAACGTGACGGCGTCACCGAAGAAGATCAGCCCTGACGCGGCGACGGGCAATTTATTCAGGGCGCCGACCATACTACGAGGCGGAAATGTCAGGTACGTATGTAACGAGAAGGGAAGGTTGACGAACCTGTAGGTCGTACTGCTCGTCGCACGGATGCACCACGCGGTGGTATACGATATTGCGACGGCCGCCGCACCCGAGAACGCAATTGCGAACAGCAGGAAATTCCTCGTCGCCTCCGGGCTACACGCATCGAAACAATCAGCATCAGTATCAACAACCAGACAGCACGCAGGAAAGCACAGCACATAGACCCAAACACCCTCCACTCACAAATTCGCACTCAGATTCTCCGACCCCCAGTTCTCCGCGACGATCGAGAACGCCGCGAGCACCGGTATGCTCAGCAGGTTGTTGTAGAACATCGTGTCCCAGTCCGAGAAGCCCGTCGCCTTGATGCGCTTCCGCATCGAGAGCACGTACGTGGCGCTCGCCGCGCAGTTCATGAACATCCAGAAATAGCCAATGTTCAGGTTCGTCACCACGCCGCGCATCGTCGCGAGCATGCCCAGGCTCTCCGCAACGGCGGGGTCGTCGACGGTGAGTGCATCGCCGATGTCGGCCCAGGCGGCAATCACAGAGGAGAGCACCTGTGGAGCATGGGTCAGTTCAAGGCTGTGGAAAGGAAGTCTTAGTGATGGTGGGTCTGACCATGAGGATGAACGAGCCGAAGGTCAAACCGGAGACCCGCCCGCCGAACCAGATCACTTCACCGTATGCCTGGACATGCATACTGCTTCAGCGACAGAGGGTCTCGTCAGGTGGAGGAAACGCACGATGAGGATGATTGTCAAGTTCTTGAAGATCGTGTACACAGGTATGCTCAGATATTGCTGCACTCAACACCATCAGCCACCGTCGCCCAGGTACCGTGCCCCTTCAGGAAGTACTCACCAAGCTCTTCGACCCGGTATAGATTACACTGACTAGCATGAAGCTGACCGGGAACCACATCTTCGCGTCGCGGGCGTCAAAGTCTCGGAAAGAGATGACGCCCATGCGCTTCGCCGAGACGACGCAGAGCACCGAGACGGTGGACTGAATGCAGAGCAGGAGGAAGGTCATGTTGAATTGTTGGCCCGAGACGACGAACTGCGGGAAGGTCAGAATAGGGTCCGCCGAGCGAGTGAGAGGGAAGGAACGCTCACTTTGTTCACGACCGTCATGAGGATCGAGGCGAGGCAGTAGCATACAATTGGTGGTACTGTCCAAAAACGAGTGAGCATGCATGTATCAAACGTAAAGCGGGAACTTGTAGAAATGAGCAAGGCCAGCGACATTCAGAGCATCTCGATGAGCCCCAGTGACGGAGCCGCATGATGAGGTGTTGTACCGTTTGTCATGCATGGAGAACGACTTTGGAACTCAAACGTGGAGAACTAACAGAGTCCGACGGGCTAATGGTAAGTTATGCGCGAAAAGGCGAATTCGCAAGGTTCAAATAGAGCCTCGTAGTCCGCTCAAAAAGAGGGAGGCAGATTCCAGCTCTCGGCATGCATGCATGCACTGCGACAGTCCATGGGACCCGCCTGGTCATGCACCGTAGACCAAATGTCGGGTGAATGAAAGTCATATCGGCTTCCGGCACACCTGGCAGAAAAGAACCAGTACTGGAACATACCTGAAGACACGGTGCTCGCGCCCTCTCTGGCCGCACTACTCCCGGTCGCCATTGCCTTCTTAATCTCCACGATGTCCTCCTCCTCCTCCATGATCGGCGAGCTGTTTCTCGAAGACCCTGCAGTCATTTGATGTTCAATTGCAGAATGTTATGTCCGGTATCGTGTAGTTTGAGCGTTCTGATCAAGAGGGCCGCAGCAGGGCGGTTGTGTTCTCCACAGGCGCGTGATGCGATGCTATTCCAAGTGAGGAGGCGCGAGGGTGTTTGGCGAAGATATACAGACAAAGGAGTGGACGGCGTGCAAGGACGTCGAGGAGAGGTCGGAGGCTAGCGAGGAGCTGCAGTAGAGCGGGACCGACGAACAGCCGCACAAGGAACAGGCCCTGCGGCGTTGCCCGCGTGGCACCAGGCACCTGCAAACCGCCCGCGGTGATTGGCTCCCGTGCACGTGTGCGGGGAGGACCGATGGTGGGGTTAGGAGTTTGTTGGTCGTTTCGCGGTGAAAGTCACCGCCCACGCTCACCGCCTCCCCGTCCTCTCCGTCTCCCGTCGCGTACCCGCCTCTGTCCCGCTGGCCACCGTCGACATCTCCTCGACGGTGTCTGTGTGCCGTAGACGATAGACTTGCCCTCGGATGCTTACTCGGCTCGGCCGTCACGCGTCTTCAAACGTCCGAGCGTGTCTCGCCGCTTTACCTTCTTCGGCCTCGACTTCAAAAAGACCATGGACTCACGACGAGCAACGACGACGTAATAATGGCATGACGAGGATGACACGTCCGGACCCACGCGAATACTGCACGAACACCGTCGCACGCGCATCACAAGAGAAAGAGCCGGATCGCGAGGATGGAAAAGACACTGTCGCCGCAGGGGAGACGGGAGACAAAGACCTACGAGTACACCAAACGGAGCATGCTGTCATATCTACATTTGATTGTTCAGTATCGGAGGTACGTAGTCGACTTCTCTCCGTGCGGAGGTTCCATGCTGAGCTCCGCGTTCGGATTGCGGCTTGTAGTTGGCCAAGTTCGTCGCATACGGTGGGACCGATGCGCGCGGGGAAGATTTTATCAACGACTTGATCGAGTTGGAACTTCTGGACAAGGTGCGCCGTAAATTACTTTACTATGTGCGACTGGAGGGGCTTGACACCTTCATTCCCGTGTGGTATAGGTCAAGACCGTGAAGATTACTTTGTGAGTGTGACATTACTGTCTTCCTTCCTGGCGTGACACGGAATCCGTCGTAAGGTATGGCTCTTTGGCCGCTACAGGCACGTCCTGCTACTCTCGACTTCTGACCACCAACTGACCAGAAGCCATATACAGGAAAGGGGTATGCATCCTCTCACATTCTCTCCACAATCTCACTCACAGCTCCGTCGCCCAGACACCACACCCCGCAAGCTATCCTCCTCGGCCTGGAAGGCTCCGACCCCGAGACGATCGACACGGGTACCATTCCGCCACGTTATGCGAACATCATTTCGCAAAAGACTCTACTCCTCGGTGGGAAGCACCGCATCGTGTACGAGCCCGAGCGCGACATGGTCTGGCGCTGGGACGAGGTCCTCAAGACACACCCGAACGGGATGCGGTTTGCGGTGTTTGGTGAGGAGGGCGAACTGCTTGCCACGAATGAGTATTTAGGTGCGTGGACGTCCCGGAAGGAATTGCGAATCAGTGCGCTAACTCCAGTTCAGTGTGGGAGGTGGATTTGTGGTGAACGAGAAAACGAAAGGTGAGTGTCTGCAGAGTGACGGGTGGTAGAAGAGCACTGAAGCTGCACTATCCCTCAGTCGACGAGAACCTGTTTTACAAGGGCGTGACAAGAGTGCGGTACACGGCGCGCGGTTACACCAGACCCACAGTCTGTCTGAACCCAACGAAGAAGCCCCGGAGCAGGAACGCGATCCCAGCCAACCCCCGTATCCATTCCATGTATGTGTACCTCCCACCCTGGCGCCCATCGTCCAAACTGACAGTTACATACTGTAGTCTGGAGAAAGTCTCCTTGCGCTCACGCATAAGCACAACGTAGGAGCTCACTCCTCCGCCACACCTACACTCATCTGATATTCTCCCGGGCATAGATGACCATCGCGCAGATTGTGTACGACAACGAGATGCACTTCGGGTACACGCACGGAGAGGTACACGAGAAGGTCCTTATCTCCCTCACTTGCCGCATACGCCCACCCTGACCTTCGGGCATCATTCAAAGATCACGCGCATCTGGAGCGTGATGGACGACTGCATCCGCACGGGCGTGTCCTCCTCCGAGACGACGCTCCCCGGCCGCCTCCAGCTCCGCCGGCGCGCGCCCATCCTCTACCGCCGGCTCATGCGCGGGTACGTCCCCTCTCGCCTCTGCCAATGCGGAGGTGCCATTTACGCCTTGACGTGCCCATAGATTCTACCCCGGCCTCGTCTCGCCCACATCGCGACACCCACAAATCGGCGCGGGCGCTGGCCCCGCAGGTCATCTCAGCGGGCCCGAAGACGAGGAGGCCGCCCCGCCCCAAGCCGAGGGCAGCAAGCTCGGGAAAGGGAAGGGCGCCGTTGGGAAGGCAGCGCGTCCCGCGCGGGTGGTGGGTGCGCTTGACCACGCGATCCTGCCTATGCCTCCGGTGAGTCCGTGTTACCCGCACGCCATGTCGGTGGGACTGAGAAGGGCACGGTGACAGCGCAAGACGACGATCCCGGCGATGGACTTCCTCTCGTGCTACGCGATCGCGGTGAACGAGGTGAACGCGAGCGGCGGGCGGATCGTCACGAGCCCGACGAACGGCGCGGCGGGGGTCATACCCGCGGTGCTGAAGTATATCATCGAGGTGCGTCTTCCTCGCTAGTGTTCACAGACAGGCGTGGCTCACGTTGCGTTGCGTCCGTGCGATGGCAGTTCGTGAGCGACGACCCGGAGAAGAGCGTGGTGACGTTCTTGCTGACTGCCTCCGCGATCGGCATGCTATTCAAGCGCGGGAGCACGATCTCTGCCGCTGAGGGCGGGTGTCAGGCTGAGTGGGAGGTAGGCCCTTCTGACGTCCCGGCGCGCGTGTGAGCTGACCTACATGATTGTAGTCGCGTGTTCGATGGCGAGCGCTGGGTTTGCTGCTGTATGGGTGGTGAGTATCGCGGTTGCTGAGGATTTGACTCCTTGAGCTTTCTGACATATCTGTGTTCAGCCGACCCAGAGACTGTACTTCAGGTATGCGTGCGTTGATCTCGGGAAGGATTGTCGCTGAACTGCTCGTTGTCGCTAGGCTGCCGAATCGGAATAGGTCAGCACATGCATAGCTCTGTTCGCTTGAATTCAATTGACCAGGACTACGTACTGCAGAGCACAACCTCGGCCTTACTTGTGATCCATCGACGGACTGGTTCAAGTCCCCTGCATAGTACGCTCTCACGACCTGCCTCATGCACATGCACTAACGTTTCTGCTGCACAGGAACGGAACAGTCTAGGTGGTGAGTGACCGTGTCAAGCATCTGCTGGCGGATGTGTTGACCCTTGCTAGCGGTGAAAGCCGTCACGGCCGCGCAACTCTCGATGGCCAGCCAGAACGTATACAGCGTGACGCTTGACGAGGCGATCGAGGCGATGCGTCTGACCGCCGCGGATATGAGTGTGAAGTATAAGGAGACCAGTCTCTCGGTCAGTCTGCTCACCTATCATGTCGTTGGCTGGTACTGACATGGGCTGCTACTCTAGGGTCTTGCTGTGAGTCCTGTGCAGACCTTGACGCAGTGAGACATACTGATTGCTGTGAACAGCGCACCGTGAAAATTCCGTTGACTGTACCTGCTTGCTGAATAAGCAATGGTAGACGAAGCCCGTCTCGGGCTCAGGATTGTAGAGACATAGTTTCTGTCCACATTGATGCGTCTTGTTGTCATAGATGTCGCTCTCGTGCTATCTCGTAAAGGACTGTCTTTATAGATCGGCTTATGAACAACCACTGGCTAGTACATAATGTTGGCGTCGTTCTCGCGATGGTTAGTATAGTGGTAGACCGGATGCTGTCTTCCTTGTAGTTCCGCCTAGATCTGTGATATAGCGCTTTGTTACTACTAAGACTCGCTTTTTACATTTTATCAAGAGGACAATAATGCTACTGTTTGTGGATCCATATGTTCTCGCACAAGATGGTGATATTTAGCATGCACTGGCGGCAGTCATAGACAGCTTGAGCAAGAGCCTCGAAACTTCGAAACGCGGGTCCGAGACGTTTCACACGTGATCGCGACGTATACGCGTGCCCGCCAGCGCGATGCGCGCCTCCAACCTCGGGCACTCGAGGTCCCGCCGCCGCAGTCACCTATCCAGGCTATCCTCCATCTCAACGACCTCTCGACCATGGTTCCGGCATGGTTGGCTACAGTAGCCTCGGTGGGCATGGCCGTTGGCCCACCGCTCGTGTATGCGGATCAGGCGCACTCAATTGTACGGAAGAAGTGCGTCTGGCTGCTATTCGCGCTCTGCAGCATGACTGACTAACACGAAGCTTGTCTTGGTGAAGGGACTCCACGGGGTTTTCTCGTGATGTCTGTGCTATATTGTGAGCCTCTGCCTTTAGCTTTGCGAATGTATGTTGAAGGTTGTCGGCAGGCTGTTGGCGAACATCACCCGGTGCTTCTTCTGGCTCGGGAGCCGATTTGAGATTGCCCTGCTACTGCAGTCAATATTCATGATATTCGCACAAGTATGTATAGTTCCCCCGAGCTGTGCTGTACGCTCATAATCCTATAGATGGCCCTGCTGTACATCTGTATCAAATACCGCCCTCACACGAGCCCCGAAAACATTGGCGCATCCTCACGCCCGTTCTCGTTCTGGCAATGGTCAACGTATACACAATATCTCGAATTCTTAGCAGGATTCATGTACGTTTTAGTCTGCGTGCTCTTGCTCAGCCAATACTTACATTCGTTGGGGCAGCCTATGCCAGGCAATTCTATTCCTGATATTCGGTCGCTTGCAAACCTTCGTGTTTCTCCTGGGTATGGTAGCATTAGGTGTGGAGAGCACGCTACCAATACCTCAAATGATCAGGTATGGGGTCTCTTTCACACCGGTGAAGTGGATGCTTACGACGCCCCTATCTGCTAGTAACCACAAACAGCGCTCTCTGTATGGGTTCAGACTGTCAACCATGCTAGGCTGGGTGGGCGGAGATGCCTTCAAGTTAGTCTGCGTACACGTGCTCGGGCGAAACATGATGTTTATCGTGTTGTTTCACAGAACGGCGTACTTCTTCGTGCAGAATTCCCCGCTGCAATTCAAGATCTGCTCAATCTTCCAGCTATCAATTGATTCGGTGAGTGTCATTGAAGCATGTATTGTCATCTCGTGTTCAATCTGCTCCGACAGTCATCATCGGGCAACGGTTGTATTTCGGGAACGCAATACCTGCTTCGACGCTCATGGAGGAAGATGATATCGAGCAAGCCTTGGCATTGGCGGAGGAGTGAGCCGGAGTGTAGTAGTACACCCCTTTACCTCGTGCCGATCGTCGTCCGCGTGTATCTATCTGTAATGTACTGTGCATAACTACGCAAAGCTCCGTGGGGCGAAGGGCATAAGCACTGTCGAGAACATAAAAGCGAGAGAGGGTGGCTGTGAACGGGTTGCGTATGCACGAACAGCCAACGATAGGCGCCTGGAAGGATGTACGCAAGGTACACAGCAGTTACCGGTTATGGGTCTCGGGTAAACAGTCCCAAATCCTCTCGCCTTGCTACCACCTCCACCGCGTACAACGCAGCTCTCAACGGGCGCGACGTGTCTTCAAAATCCCCGCCCACCATGGATATCTCCAAGCCTATCTCGTTCTGTGAACACCTTCAGCTCTCCGCCATTGGCGTGCAGCCCGCCTCCATCTCTTTCCAGGTGTGTATGACGGCTCATACGTGTGCCCAACCTGACGCCGACTCTGGGACGTGTAGACCTTGACACTCGAATCCGACCACTTCATTTGTGTACGAGAGAAGGTTGGCGAGCAGAACCAGGTTGTTATTGTTGACCTCGCAGATGCCAACAATGTCCTCCGGCGACCCATCACCGCGGACAGTGCAATCATGCACCCGCACCAGAAGATCCTTGCACTGAAGGGTGCGTATTCACCTATTCCCGTTGAATGCTGCTCATTCAACGCTCCCCAGCCGGTCGGACATTGCAAATTTTCAACCTTGAGACGAAGCAGAAGGTCAAATCGCACGTCAACGCCGAGGACGTGGTGTTCTGGAAATGGATCTCAGACTCTTTGATTGGCATGGTCACCGACACGGCAGTATACCATTGGACGATGTCGGACGCGACCTCTCCTCCGCAGAAGATTTTCGACCGCCATCCGTCTCTTGTGGGCGCGCAGATCATCAACTACCGCGCGTCCTCAGACGAGAAGTGGTTGGTGTTGGTCGGCATCTCTGGGAACGCGACCAATCCCTCCGCCTTCAAGGTGAAGGGCGCCATTCAGTTGTATAGCAGGGAGCGGGGAGTCAGCCAGCCGATTGAGGGGCATGCTGCGGCGTTCGCGGAGGTCAAGCTGGACGGGCACCAGAAGCCGACGAAGCTCTTCACGTTCTCCGTCCGGACGGCGACCGGCGCGAAGCTGCACATTGTGGAGATCGACCACCAGGCCCCCGACTCGCCGTTCACGAAGAAGGCGGTCGACGTGTACTTCCCGCCTGAGGCGACTAACGACTTCCCGGTGGCGATGCAGGTCTCGAAGAAGCACGGCATCGTCTACCTCGTCACGAAGTATGGGTTCATCCATCTATACGATCTTGAGTCTGGGGCATGCATCTACATGAACCGCATCTCCGGGGAGACCATCTTCGTCACTGCGGAGCACGAGGGGTCGAACGGTATCATCGGTGTAAACAAGAAGGGCCAGGTGCTGAGTGTCAGTGTCGACGAGCAGACAGTCATTCCTTATATCCTCACAACGCTCGCGAACACGGAGCTCGCGTTCAAGCTCGCTAGTCGAGGGAATCTGCCTGGCGCAGACGACTTGTACATTAAGCAGTACCAGCAGCTCTTCCAGACCGGCCAGTTCAGCGAGGCGGCGAAGATTGCTGCCAACTCTCCGAGGGTGCGTGTGTTCGTCCGTTGTTTGACTAAACGGTGGGATTGACTGTCACATAGGGGATCCTCCGCACGGCTCAAGTCATTGAGTCGTTCAAGCAGGCGCCAGCACCACCTGGCGGTCTCTCGCCGATTCTACAGTACTTTGGCATCCTGCTCGAGAAGGGCGAGCTGAATCACCTCGAGTCTGTGGAGCTTGCGCGCCCAGTACTTCAGCAGGGTCGGAAGCAGTTGCTCGAGAAGTGGCTGAAGGAGAACAAGGTAAGTCTCTTACGGAATAACCTCGTACGTAGCCTCTGACAGCAAGCACTACAGCTCACCTGCAGCGAGGAGCTCGGTGACATTGTCCGGCTCCACGACATGACCTTGGCTCTCAGCGTGTACCTCAGGGCCAACGTCCCCAACAAGGTCGTTGCTTGCTTTGCCGAGACTGGCCAGACCGACAAGATTGTGCTGTACGCGAAGAAGGTTGGGTATACACCAGATTTCATCGGTCTGCTGCAGCATATCATGCGGACGAACCCGGAGAAGGGCGCCGAGTTCGCCATGCAGCTCGTCAACAACGAGGAGGGACCGATGGTCGACATCGAGCGGGTCAGTATATCGTTTGCACCGTGAACAGCTGTTTTGCTGACGCAGGGCTGCGTAGGTGGTAGACATCTTCATGTCCCAGAACATGATCCAGCCCGCCACGTCGTTCCTGTTGGACGCGCTCAAGGACAACAAGCCTGAGCAGGCTCACCTTCAGACGCGCCTGCTCGAGATGAACCTCGTCCACGCGCCGCAGGTCGCTGATGCGATTCTCGGAAACGAGATGTTCACGCACTACGACCGTCCTCGGGTTGCGAACCTCTGCGAGAAAGCCGGATTGCTGCAGAGGGTACGTCCCTCCGCTGACGTGCTGCCTCGCCGGATTGCTGACTCTTGTATTCAACTAGGCACTCGAGCACTACGAGGACCTGGCGGACATCAAACGAGTGATTGTCCATGCGGCTGCGTTCCCACCAGATGTAAGCCCATTTGTACTGTGGACAGCCAAGTCAGCTAGACTGACGTTATTTCGTGCTCCAGTGGATCGTCAACTACTTCAGCCGTTTGACCACAGAGCAGTCCATGGCTTGCTTGGAGGAGATGCTGCGCGTGAATATCCGTCAGAACCTGCAGATCGCCATCCAGGTTGCAACCAAGTACTCCGACATTCTGGGCCCTGTCAAACTCATAGAGATGTTTGAGCACTTCAAGAGCTTCGAAGGTAAGGCGTAGATATTCATCGTTTTCCGTGTATGCCTGAACTTGCCCTTTGTGCAGGTCTCTACTACTACCTCGGTTCGATCGTCAACCTCAGCCAAGACCCCGAGGTACACTTCAAGTACATCCAGGCTGCTACACGTACAGGCCAGATCCGCGAGGTCGAGCGCATATGTCGTGAGAGCAACTTCTACAATCCGGAGAAAGTCAAGAACTTCCTCAAAGAGGCTAAACTCGCCGACCAGCTCCCGCTCATCATCGTCTGCGACCGCTTCGACTTCGTTCACGATTTGGTCCTCTACCTCTACCAGAACGGTTTGACCAACTTCATCGAGGTCTACGTCCAGCGGGTCAACTCCGTCAGGACGCCACAGGTCATCGGTGGTTTGTTAGACGTAGACTGTGACGAGACTACTATCAAGTCGCTTCTGGCGTCCGTCCCGGGCAACTTCCCCATCGACGAGCTTGTCCATGAAGTAGAGGTCAGGAATCGGCTCAAGCTTATCCTCCCCTGGCTCGAGGCGCGTGTGCAGCAAGGCAGTCAGGATCCCGCAGTGTTCAACGCCGTCGCCAAGATCTACATCGACTCGAACAGCAACCCCGAGGCGTTCCTCAAGGAGAACAACGTGAGTCACGAATGCGTATCAGTATAATGCAGCCCGTCTGACCGGTCTCCCAGTTGTACGAGCCTCTGGTTGTAGGCAAGTTCTGCGAGAAGCGGGATCCGTACTTGGCGTACATTGCGTACGCCAAGGGCTTCTGTGACGATGAGCTCATCGCGATCACGAACGAGAACTCGATGTTCAAGCAGCAGGCCCGGTACCTCGTCAGGCGTCGCCAGCCTGAGCTTTGGGCGCAAGTGCTTGTCCCCGACAACATCCACCGTCGCCAGCTCATTGATCAGGTAAGAACACTGTCGTGCAAGAACTGCGGAATGGCTTCTAACTTGGTATACACAGATCATCGCGACTGCTCTGCCCGAGTCTACAGATCCGGATGACGTGTCCGTGACCGTCAAAGCGTTCTTGTCGGCCGACCTCCCCATCGAGCTGATCGAGCTGCTCGAGAAGCTCATCTTGGAGCCATCGCCGTTCAGCGACAACAAGAACCTGCAGAACCTCATGATGCTCACTGCCATCCGCGCGGACAAGGGCAAGGTTGTCGGGTATATCGACAAGCTGAAGAACTACGACGTTGCGGAGATTGCCAAGATCGCTACCGACCATGGTCTATACGAGGAGGCGTTCCTCATCTACAAGAAGTACGAGCAGCATGCCATGGCGATCAACGTTCTGGTCGAGCACATTGTATCCTTGGATCGTGGTGTGGAGTATGCTATCAAGGTCAACAGGCCCGAGGTCTGGAGCAGGCTGGCGAAGGCGCAACTTGATGGCTTGCGTATCAAGGACGCCATTGGTGAGTTATCTAGCTGTTGTGCTGTGTCAGTCGTTGAAGTCGCTGCCAGACTCGTACATCAAGGCTGAGGACCCTGGTAACTACGTCGAAGTCATCGAAATTGCCAGCCGCGCAGGCAAGCATGACGACCTCGTGCGCTTCCTCCAGATGGCTCGTAAGACGCTTCGTGAGCCGAAGATCGACACGGAGCTTGCGTATGCGTACGCGAAGACTGATCGTCTACACGACATGGAGGACTTCTTGGCGATGACGAACGTGGCAGACATCCTCGAGGTCGGAGAGAAGTGTTTCGACGACGAGCTCTACCAAGCTGCGAAGTTGCTCTTCCACAGTATCTCCAACTGGGCCCGACTTGCGACTACCCTCATCTACCTGGGCGAGAACCAAGCGGCCGTCGAGAGCGCACGAAAAGCCGGTAACACTCAGGTCTGGAAACAGGTCCACCAGGCATGTCTCGAGAAGGGCGAGTTCCGCTTGGCTCAGATTTGCGCTCTCAACATTGTCGTCCACGCGGAGGAGCTACCGGCGCTTGTGCAGCTGTACGAGCGTCGCGGTCACTTCGATGAGATCTTGTCGTTGTTGGAGGCGGCCCTCAGCTTGGAGAGGGCGCATATGGGAATTTTCACGGAGCTTGCTATCCTCTACGGCAAGTATAAGCCTGAGAAGCTCATGGAGCACCTCAAACTCTTCGTCTCGCGCATCAACATTCCGAAGGTCATCAAGGCGACGGAGAGGGCGCACCTCTGGCCCGAGCTTGTCTTCTTGTACATCAAGTACGACGAGTTCGACAATGCGGCATTGGCAATGATTGAGCGGTCTGCGGATGCTTGGGAGCACAATCAGTTCAAGGACGTCATCGTTCGGGTCGCGAACATCGAGATCTACTACAAGTCTTTGACATTCTACCTCCAAGAACAACCGACGCTGCTCACCGACTTGCTCACTGTGCTGATCCCTCGTATCGACCACTCTCGCGTTGTCCGGATGTTCAGGCAGATGGATCACATCCCACTCATCCGCTCGTACCTTATCGCAGTACAACATGTACGTTCGTCCTTTTTAGCTCTCGTACATGATGCTCATGTGTGCTTTAGCTCAACATCGAGGCCGTCAACGACGCATATAACGACTTGCTGATTGAGGAGGAGGATTACAAGACATTGCGCGACTCAATCGACAGCTTCGACAACTTCAACAACGTCAAGCTGGCGCAGCGGCTAGAGAAGCATGAATTGTTGGAGTTCCGACGGCTGGCGGCACACTTGTACAAGGTATGAATCAGCATTAACATAACGGGTGTATCAATCACTGACGCGACAACAGAAAAACTCGCGGTGGGAGGAATCAATAGCGCTCTCCAAGCAAGACAAGCTGTACAAGGATGCGATCGTCACGGCAGCCACGTCAGCATCAATAGAAGTCGCCGAGGACCTGCTGTCGTACTTCGTTGACATCGGCAACAAGGAGTGCTTTGCGGCAGTGCTCTACGCATGCTTCGACTTGCTCCGCTCCGACGTCGTGGAGGAGACATCATGGCAGCATGGCCTGAACGACTTCTACATGCCATATAAGATTCAGATCTCGAGGACGATGGTGGACAAGGTCCGTATACCCTTGGGGCTACTGTCGACCTATGTCACTGATGTGCTTTGATGATGACAACAGATGACGGCGCTGGAGAAGAAGGTAGAGGAGTTGTCTAAGAAGGACACACAAAAGGAGCAACAAGAGGCGGACGCCCCGATCATCAACCCAGGTCTCATTGGCAACAGATTAATGCTGACGGCAGGCAATGGGTGAGTCTCGCTTGTTCCTTAACCCCCGAAAGGGCATCCTGACTGTTGTCGCCAGGTTCCCCAACGCTGGTCCTCCCATGATGCCAAACGGCACATCAATGGGCATGCCACCCGTAAGTGACATCTACCGTCTGTATATGGATGATGCTCATTGCAGGCACACAGGCGATGACCGGCTTCGCGAGCTTCTGATCTGTACTCCCTTTATCGTATATTTGGACATAGTTATGCGTATCGCTGTTCTCATGTTGGCTAATGAATTTCGTTTTCTCGCTCTCATTTGGACGGTGTGGTGGTTCGTGGATCGTTGTTTTTGGGGAGGTCGCGGAGCGGTGCTATTCAAGTTGACCGCTCGACCTGGCTCTTGACGGTGAGTGTGATGCATTTGTAGAGCAGATTGGGCGAGTGCGACTTTCCACCGGACGTTGATTGGGAGCAGAACTCGATACCAGCGATGGCAGAACATGCATAATTCAAGGATGTGATGATGTATTGATGGCCTAGCAACACTAATCGGTACGAACATACGACTGTAGACTACTTCTACGTGGGTCATGACCTAACAAGCATACTCTTAGGCAGGCGGCAAGAAGGGTTTCGCAGATTACAGGACAATTGGGCCACAGGAGCAACGATAGCATACGATGGTAGAGGGCGAATAAAGGGTGCACAACATTCAGTAGAAGCGGTTCTTTTCACGCCGACCAGACAGCGAGTTAAGAGACGTCCCCTGCACCGTCACGGTATGGTCGGGCTCGCCGAGGAGGTTCGCCAGGGACATAAACATGGCCTTTTCCTTTGTCGGCTGCACGCCCCCCATGATCTCTCGGGCAGGATAGTCGAACGCGTCGTTGCCGAGGGCTACGCGCTTGCGGTCGGCGAGAGCCTTGCAGTCGGTGAGGCGGTAGATGGTCTTGGACGAGCCGGAGAAATCCATGAAGGGCAGCGACGCGATCTCCTTGTCGTTGAGGCCAAAGGCCTTCTTCGCGTCGCTCTTGAACTGCGCCTACAGGGACCTTTCAGCATACGCGATGGGACGCGTTCGACGCGTCGTCAAGAAGCACTGACCTTAGTACCGGGCATGAATGGGACACCGCGACCGTCGCGCGACCCCCACGGCTTGAGAGTCTCCTCCCACTGCTTCTTCTTCTCTTTGACTGCGGCACGCGCCTTTGCGAGTGCCTTTTTCTCCTCTTTCTCCTCGGGCGTGAGTTTCACGGCCGCAGCACGCGCCTTTTTGATCTTCGGCACGTCGGGCTCTGCGAACGCGCACTTCATACGGGGAGCACGGGGCATGATGGGGAGCTGGGTGTCGCGTAGGGTAAGGTAAAGGCTCTTTTATCTCGGTATATTATGAAGGCGGTAACGCGGGTGAGGGCGGAGGTGAGAGGAGGAGGAAACGCGGGTTGCTCGCCACGTCTGTGGCGCGTTGCCATATATTCGGACGCGTCTGGTCACGTGAACGCGACACTAGCGTGCAGAGGCGAAAGTGCCCGACGCGTTATGATTGCAGACGAGACGACATCTCAAGATCTCACAAGGCAGTCCTTTCTTCTGCGCTCACCTGTTTACCAGAACACCGAACCAGTCCGTCGTGTTGCGGCTTCTCGTACGGTCTCTATGTCGTGGTTCCACTAAAGCGAGTAACTGTCCCAATTCAAAGTTCTGGATTATGGCGTCGCTGACGAAGCCACAGGCAGTGTCGGTCCATGAGTCATGTATCTGTAGATCCAGGGAGTTACCAAAAATACAGGGCGGTAGATTAGTAGGTACAAGGGGGCGGAGGTAGGCACTAGTCGGCGGGTGGGCATGGCTAATGTAGTGTGTATCTGTATGTCTGCGAAGCAAGCATAGATATAACAGGGCTGGGTCATCACGAGCAAAGCGACGAAAACAAAGAACAGCGTGAAGACTACGGGAACGCCCAGCGTGATATCATCCAAGGTGGGTATCCGGGCAACTGCTCATGTCCAGCGGAACAAGTTGCCGCAAAGGCAGCGGGAGGGCTATAGAATGACGCAGCCACTCCCAGTGTAGCTGCCCGCGCCCTTCGCGCGTGTGCTTATCGAGACGCGCGCAGCCTCGTAGAAGACCTCTGTGACGCCCCGGTTGTGCTTTGCGCTGCATTCTGCGGGCGCGTAGAGTCAGGAACTGCTGAGAGCATCCAGACATGAGACTCACCTAGTATCGCGAAGCGCGTATTCGACGCGCTACGGAAATGCCCTCCTCGTATTGTACTGTGTGCAGACCGTACCGGGCGAGCCGCTCTGATGTTGCCCGGTCCTCACGCAAGTCGCATTTCAGAGCTGTTACGTAACGCGGGCGACAACAGTCAGCATGCAGCAGCAGGGCATGTGGAGGAGGCCGGAGCATACCAACTAGGACAAGCTAAAGAATACGATGAGCCATGAACGATAGGTAGGCGTCAAAGGGTGAACACACCTTAACTCCTGGACAGTACTCCAGTACCTCGTCGATCCACTAGAAGCAGCACGTCAGGAGACTCCGTGAGGCAAGAAATTTGCGCGCGATGCAATACCTTGGCCTCTATGTTGGTCAATGATGTGGGGTTGTCTACCTACATTCAGCATTGCGCGTCAGATGCGGGACGTGAGTGAAGTCGGGGCACTCACGGAAAAGCACAACATCACGACGTGGGTCTCAGCATAGCTCAACGAACGTAGACGGTCGAATTCTTCTTGACCTGGGCGCGAGCTAGACGGGTCAGTGGTTGAGTCTGCGCGGAACAGCACGGCACGGAGCGACACACACCGGCTGTATCCCACAGACTGAGCTCCACTAGCTGATCCTCCACGTACAGGTCGTGCACGTAGTTCTCGAATACCGTGGGCTCGCTGGGGACAGAACGTTCTTACCGTGTACGGTTTGCAGCACAACCATCCGAAGACGCACTATATTGCTGAGAACCAACCGCGCGTGAAGACGTTGAGCAGCGAAGTCTTGCCTGCGCGCACGGGTGTGAGAAGCTGTTCACAGTGACCATCTACGAGATGACAGACACACCTGTCGCGCCATCTCCGCAGACTACGATCTTACGTTGAACCTGCACAACAAGGCGTGATACTCGTGATGAGCATCCGACAGAACAGCACAAGTGGATCTCGCTCACCGGTCGACCCCGGCCAAAGGTCGGCCGGGCAGCGTTCCCGCACTTGAGCATGTCTATAAGCGTCTGTGAATAGTGTTGTGCGACCGAGGGAGAACAGCTGCTGGCGATGGGTCCTTGGCGAAGATGTGGATGCGAAAGAGTGGCTAGCCGGGCAGGGCGTCGGACAGGGAGATGAACTCAACGCGGGTCAGGCGTGGTGCCACTGGTGTGGCGCTCATGAGCGCTCTCTGTCTTCATCTGTCTTCATCCGGTCCGCAATGCGTCATGTGATAAAGCCTTTATAGTTTGTCATTTTGACAGAATGTAGATCGGACATACACTGGACTCGATTGCAGTACTAGCAACATTGGTGGCAAGTACTGTCCTAGGTCGAAACGAACCCACAGTCTAACAGCCCAAAATTCTCAGGGACATCCTAGTCCTCTAGGCAGTCGGACTCTAAAGAAGACTGCCGTCCTCACGTACCTCAAGAAATTCGCAATGCACGACGCAGACACGGTCAAAGCACACGGGAGTGACCCTACGACGGCGGGTATGATAATGCTCGGCAATGTGCAGGATTACCTTGTACAGAGAGACGACCGACTGCCAGGCCATCTCATTTCCGGGCTACCCGCGACGTACGTGGAGGCTGTGGATTGCGATGTGACGGCCTTCGATGTTGCCGAGAAGCAGCGGCTCCTGCGAAAGAACAAGCGTGCTAGCCTCACGGTCGAGCAGCTGCTCGACTTCATTGATCACGAACACCGCGAGCTGGTCGGGGTGCTTCAGTGGCTGCGCACGCTCGTCGAGCATGTGCCGGAGCTCAGCGCGTACAAAGGCAAGGTGTCCGACCTGTACCGTACTCGGGGAGCAAAGCAGCGCGTACCCGAGACCAAGACCAAGGTGCACCCCCTCGGATGCAGTTTAAGGAGGGAGAGTATCATGAGCGAGCTCGAGCTCAAGATCAAGAATGCCCTCGTCGACTTCCTTGGCCAGATAGGTCAGACGGCGGAGGAGCATAACCCCCGCCTCATCCTTGTCAGTGGTGACGGGTTCGCCTCCGAGTATATTTATCAGTTGAAGAACTACCTCGGATTCCATTGTGGCAATAGCTTCGAGAACTTCGACCTCATTGAACCAGTGTTGGCGATGTGGCACACAGGGCGGACGGACTTGGGTCGCGTGTTTGCGCGGCACTGGGGACCATCGCTGAGCGACGACGTGTCGACTCTTGGCCACAGCGCAAACAAAATCGGGCTTGGTACGCCATCAAATTTGAGCAAGGTCGACTACAAACAGGGGACGGAGATCTGTTCACGGTTTTGGATGCACGCATCTTGATTGTTTCCGGTACGTCACGGTGCCTTCGATCGTAGAAAAATTATCAATGAAGCATGTTTGGCTCAGCGTGCATTGGGGCACGCCAGACCTCTTCGCATATTTCGCCAAACGTGCGCAGGAGAAGACACTGCCATCATTTGAAGAACTCGAGACCGTCGCGCTGCAACTGTACCGCGCCTACTCGACGAGCCGTGGGTATGAGCTTGCCATGCACGCGCAGTCAAGCCGTGACGACACTACACCTTCCGGCTCAAGCCTTGGGCCTCCGACTGCATGGGAGCGAACGATTCCGATAGGTTCCCCTTGGACATCTTTGACTCCAGGTGCTGAGGCACTCGCGACATCGACGCAGGCATGTCCAGCCTTGCCAAACTTCGAAGGAGACCGGGTCCTCGCTCAGTCAATTGCGCTCATGCGTGACGCTGTGGTGTTGCGCGAGTTTGTCCTGGCTACGTGTGACGGTGACGTTGGTCGGGTGTACGAGGCGCTGAAGGTGTGTACAACAATTGAATGTTCTCTCCGAACCGCCACAGTCGGACCCGAGTGATGAACATCTGATCACAGGTCATGCTATTCACGTTCGCTGGCTCGACGCATGCGAAGTATACAACTTACCTGCTCGAAACGATTACCAATCTCGAACTCGAGAGTACTCCAGAACTCCGGCACGCGATCCTCAGCAACCTTGTGGTCAATCTAACTGGGCAACCAGGCTCGTTCCTGCCTGCCGATCTCATGCAGGAGTACTTCAGTCGGCTTCTGGATGCTGTTGCGGAGAAGGAAGGCGTGGACTATGCAGACCAGTCGGTCCACGACGCCATTTCACGCAATCTACATCACTTCGCCAGCCTTCTCACCGACCAGAAGGACGGTGTAGGACTGCAACATCGCTCCGGCAAACACTCCGCAAAGCCCGAGTTGACGGTCTTGACCGGCATATATCGCGAGGCAGAGCTGCACTCTCGTCGGAAGGGCCGGGAGTACCCCGGGCCAGCAAGAGAGGTTGACGACTTCCGCAGAGGGTACGAGAAGCTCCGCGACGGTAAACTCAAGTGGTGGGTGAACGACTCGCTCTTTATGCGCAGTGTTCGCGTCCCTGTAGACGACCAAGTAAGGGCAGCAATTTTCCAGGATGGAGGGCGCACAGATGACGGAGATTCGGAGACGGAGGCATCGGACGACGATGAAGACGACAGCCAAGATCCTGACGAGCCTGGCGCGACTTTGCCACCCCTTGCACTTACGTTTGTGGTTGACGAAGAGCTTGTCATCGGGGAAGTGGATCTCACGTCAGCGGTCGAGAGCATCGTCACAGACAATAATTAGTGTGTGGTACGGTACAGATATTGTGGTGTCCGAGTCCCTGAAATGTTTTGTACACTAACGAGGCTGTTGAAACCGCCCACCCTGGATCCTTGATTCGCCCTGCACACGCTTGAACGGTCCCGGTCATTGACGAGGGGTAGGGTTGGCGCGAGCACAGGCGACGCGATGCGTCGAGCGCGTCGAGATTTGCATACTTACGGCTGTCATCTTGAAGCAGACTCTCATTCGAGACATCCGGGGTATTAACTTGACTACTTATAATACAATGCGGTAAGACAGCCTACAAGAACCCAAGGAACCGTAACACATGCGAGAGAGCAAGACAACAGAGAATCGGACACAACACGACGAGTGGCGGAAAGCGTCTTCTGACAAGCACAATCCGCCCATTTTCATACCGCCCCTCCCATCTGCGCTACAAAGTCCTGCCAAGTCGTCTGCAGGCTCGGCGCGCTTTCGGGCGAGTATGACCTTGGGTCTCCGCCGTCCAGCGAGTTGCTCGGTGACGAGACGTACGCGGAGTTCGGATCTCCGGCGAGACCGTAGTCGAACACGGGGAAGTACTGAGGGAAGCTGGGCACCATGCCCTCCATCAGCATACCCATTGACTGCTGTTGCTGCTGTTGTTGCTGTTGATACATATCGGTGGGCTGGCCGAAGGTCGTGCTGATAGGAGAGAGGTCCGGGTGCTGCTGTTGATGTTGGTCAAACGACGAAGACTGCTGGTTGTGCATATGGTGCATCCCGACGTTGGAAGGCCCAGCCATCGGCTGGTCATTCGTCCATCCTCCCACCTGTTGGGCCGGTGCCGGGGTCGGCACGAACGTGCGCAGGTACTGCAACACACTCGGGTGCATATCCTCCTGCCAATCCGTCTGCTTGAGCGGGAGTGGGACGATCGGATTGAGGGACGTCGGAGACCTGTCCATCAGTTGCGGGGACATCGACTTCTCCTTGGGTGCGACAAGTCGTGTACGACCGCCGAGGATGTTCAGCTCGCTCGTCTGCACGTCCGCCGGCGATGAGGATTCTGTGGGTGACGACTTGACTTGGGGCGGGGAGTTGCGATACGTAGCGAGGCTTGCATGGGCCTTCGCCTGCAGGTTCCTCATGATGTCCTGTATATCCGTAACACAATCAGCACGTCGGGTACCACATAAGCTTCGCGACAGCAGGGCCAACGTACCAGGACCTTCTCTGCTTTAAAGAAGTGAGCCGCTTTTGCGAAGAGCTCGCATGCTGAGTCAAGCTGCACAAGCGCGGACGGTGCGAGACTCATTGACGGACAGCGGGTCACGATCGAACCCAGTATGATCTATACGACACCCGAGATCAAATCGGAACACCCGTCAGCGCCGCTGCAACACAAGACAGCGTCGAATTTGATTGACGTACCGTACATGAGAACAGATGTGTCCAGAGGAACCACATCCGTTCGGTCAGTTCCTTCAGCTGCGAGTGTATGTTCCGGACGAGGGCAACTAGCGAGCCAGCGCTGCGGTATGCGGCGATGAACGAGCCCCCGTACGGACTGCCGAGTGGGTCGTTCGGGTGGTCGTTGATCGCGCGAGCAAAGAACCCTCGGTGCATGTACAGGAGATCTGTCACAAACAGACACCCATCCCTGTCAGGTCTCGTATACCCACGCGAAGCGAACAAACTTACTCGACTCCCTGATGGCGAGGACGGTGTGCCGTTGGAGGATGAGGGGAATGCTATCAGCATAGTTGTTCGCACGCGCCTCCGTCGTCCCGAAGCCCGCAATCTGCAGCAATGCGGGGACGGGGAACGATCGCAGCCGGCGATCCAGCTGAGTCACCGTGCTGTACGTCGGCACCTTCGCACCGAACGCCTGGTCGTAGACGGAGTTCATGCACTCAGACGTAAACTTGTGTTTCCACCAATGGACTGCGTTGCCCAGATATCAGTGAACATAGATCCGGGCACGGAACAACCGCTATCACTTACATGTCAACTCGTTGTTCGGATCCTCTGCCTGAGGCTTCTTGCAGTCAATGTGCGCGAGTGAGAATGATGGCGGGCGGCCGAGTGTGTACGACTTGATGAATGAATGCCCCAGCATCAGTGATCAGCCCGCTCATATCATCAACTCAACAACGCACCTGTAGCAAGTCGTACGAATATACCTCCCAGAACGTCTCCCGACGCCGCTGGATCTCCACTGGCTCCAAATTCCACCGCCCCGCATCACGATCTGCCGAGGAATGACAGCGTCAGTGTCGTCAAGTCATACCGAAGCCTGTCCATATACTCACGCAGTCCCATCTAATGATGTAAGCAATCGTTTGTCAGTACAACGGCCATCTAACACTGAGAGCGCGACGCCGTAGTGGCGATACTCACGCTGACGCTTAGCTTGACGGCGAGACCCATGAACGCCCACCGGGTACCGACGCCCGTCCCATGCCGCTCGCAGAGGAAGAGGTAGAAAGCCATCAGATACTGCCGCCACAATCACATATATCAGTGGCCACTCCAGCCCGAAGACTTCTCTCTGTGATAGAGAGAAGCCTCGTATACGAAATACAACCACTTACCAATGCCTGTACTCCGCTGAGAGTCGGCTCCTCGAACACGGGACTCTGGAAGAGAGCCGCGCGCGCCAGTTGGTGGTATTTCTCCGCCTCAACGTTGTATGCAGGACGCGACAAGTCCATCAAGCTGCCGATGGCGAGTACCATGAACAGGAGCGCGAGTTGGTGGGAGAGCAAGGGATCATCGAGTGGTGGCGCGGTAGCGGAATAGAAGACGTTGAAGGCTTGTTCGTTGAAAGCCGCTGGGTCCACTGGATTATACCTAAACGCGCTAGTGAATGGACAATTCCGACGTGACAGAACAGAGTTACGTACATCCAGGCAGCATGTTGGTAATAGATCTGGCGCAATTCAGCGGCCTCATCGGCCGGCGGGAGATACCAGAAGAGTGAACGCAATTGTTCGAGTCGGCCCGAATCCGACTCTAGTGTTGGAGGAAGGTGGGACGCAACGGGGACCACGCTCGCCATAACGAGAATTTCTGGAGGAAGGAGCCGCCTAAGGTTATCTCTCCGGTTGTCCGATTCCTGCTCTCGAGAATTCTCGTTCTGTGTGTCTATATTAGCCCATGGGGAATGCCACTCCTGGATGACACGCTATCGTACCGTCAGGAAATACTGCGGGATGGGCATCACCCTGAGATTAGCTAGACCGAACGTGACCTAGATGGGCACGACATACCCAGGAACTGGTCGCCTGCCCGAAATAGCTCGTTCTTCCCGTATCGCTGATATGCAATGACCCGAAATTGTCGACTATGTCGCTTGGGTCGTCCTGAGGGTGCCCGTTGCCCGCGACGAGTTGCGCGAGGCCTTCACGCTGAATCGGTGCTTTGATCGTGAGGAGGTCATCTGCGAGGAGCGGATGTGGTTCTTGGGACTGTTGGGCATGTGATGTACGTAGGCCATCCTCGAGGTCGCGTATTCGTGATGACAAGGCGGCGACCTTCTCGTGCAGCTCTTGGGTAGACGCAAGAACGAATCTACTGAAGAAAGGTGAGCGGGCGCATCCCGAGCAGGCAACTTGAGATGGATTGACCGGTTTCCTTTCCCTGTGGTCAAAGAGCCTTGCGGGGAGATGTAGTGGATCACGCGCGTGAGGACCGCATCCACTCACCATCCGGGCAGATCGCGGAGCAGCCTCGTTTTATACAAGACCCGCAAGGGATTTGGCGGTCGCAGCGTAGCTTCAATCTAGATCGAGGAGGAGTCGGTTAGCCAACTTTTTCCGTATTGCGAACCCCCGACCTCGGTCGGATCGGTGCCCACCTTCGACATTCGGCGCAAGACAGGCGCGTTGCGCCTCGCTTGCGCTTCTTGGGGAAACCGGGTACCTCGCCGTTGCCCGAGGGGGGCGGCGCGACGAGGGAGGGGTCGGGCATGGGGGTGAAGGAGGTCATGAGCGGTGATGGGGAGAGGACAGGCGAGAGCTTAAGTAGGGAGCGACGAAGCTTGTACGACGGGCGTCTATATGTCCCGAAGAGGCAGTTGTGGCAGGTGTGATCTAGCGCAGGAGATCGTCCAACACGTGGCGATAACCCGTCTCACACTGACAAGCAGCGGCGAGCAGCTCTCCTCGCCCTCCCTGGCTTCATCCCCGCGGACTGCCCCCACTGCCCCCGCTTCCCCAGCGCGCTCGCAGAAGCCGCCACTCGCTGCCCATCACCCGCTGCACATCCCTGGCATGCGCCGGGCCTCGCTCGCCCCGATGCATCAGCGATATGCAGCTATCTAGATAGGGATCTATTGGTAGCCGGCCCAGCTCTTCCAAGGATCCTCCTCTTCCTCGTCTTCGCCACACTTCGCACTGCACCTCATTCAACTCGGCTGCCGACGTCAACTAGCAGTCCTGTGTCGCCCCGTATCGGCCCCAGCGGCGCAGTACTAACAATATACCAGTTCCTTGGTTCTCGGATCGATTTGTTGGTAACTAGTACTGTAGGCTTCGTTGCCCTCTCTATGGTTAGAACGTTCTCTTCCTGGTAGCGATTGACGGCACTCCGCTTTAATGTCGAACGCCCGCGATGGACGCCCGTACGCACCATGATGCCATCCCTCGCGCGCAAGCCTGTCCCGCGAGCGCCCTTCATTTGGGCCGCCGTTCGATCATCGCTGCGTGCGATCAGCAGTATTGGCAATGTGCTGCGCAATGTACCATGCCCGGTCACAGAATGTTACGATCATAATTACTGGAGATGAGCTGGGTCCTCGACAGCGCTCCCACCGGCAGCCGGGGGATCGTCGCAGAGGAAGCACGGAACTATCTAGATGAAAATGTAGATAGGCTGCACGTCGAAGGCCAGACAAGGTAGCTTCGCTGCGTGCTGTGGCCGCGCATCGACCCCGACACCGTGGTTGTCTGACGTGCTTATCCGGTTGAGCGAAGCGCGTAGACAGACCGAGGCGAAAGGTAGACGTACATCTGGGCTGGACATTTGACACCCGAAATTAGCAGACAGTGAACTTGGTAAACCAGGTGAGAGAAGTCACCGACAGGAATAGCTGCGACATCCCCAGTCTGCAACAATATTCAACCGACCAAGTGGCTTCCCGGTCTTCTGGCTTCTCGTCATCGTCTACCGCTGGGCTCTGGCTGGGCTCGATGAATAGCGGCGTTGAAGAAATATAGCTTACTCGACGCCTGGTGTCCACGGCCGCCGCCTCTCGATGGTTAGAACCATCGCCGCTGAAGGCTAGTCTGCGTGGACGCAGCCTGCAAGAGTTCCCCGTCAGCGCTCACGAAGTCCCGGACCATCTAGATACACTACCTACGAAACGCCCCAGGGTTCCTTGCTTATCGGTTACAATCGGGCACAACTTCTCGCCTTCTAGCGCAAGCATCCTGCTGCCGCTACCCACAACCCCAATTCCCATTCCTCGTTCCTGCAGCGAGCACCGCTGGAACCTCCCGCCAAGTATCTAGATTCCATCGGGCTCACAAACGTCCGGTCGATACAATTATGTCACCAGCCACGAAACGTCATTTCAATTGGACTGACTTACACGTTCGATACTAGACACGAATCGTCGAAGAGGCGGTGCATAGTGGACGCCTAGGTCGTATCCGCCGCGGAATGGAGAGCCGTGCGCGTCTCGACTGCATTGAAGGCGAGCCCGCACACCTACGCTAGCGTACGCGGGGCCGGATCTGCCAGTGGTCAGTTCGAATAGAATGAGCACAGGTCGGTCCGATGCATCAACCCCTGCAACGGCCAGGGGTCTCCGGAAGTACTGGGACGTTGAGCGAGACTGGATGACGCAGACGATAGCGTACCTTTGCAGGAGTCGAGAATTCGGAGCAGAGTCGTGGAGCTGCTGTACGTAAGCCTCGAGGGCAGTACCTACAGAAGTCGCGGCGATCAAAGTGAATCGGCCAAAGCACGAAGTTCACCAACGTAGACCAGAAATGTATGCGCTCGCTGCCCCACATCGTTCACTGACAGTGCCTCGTGCGACGTGTGTCAATTCTGGCAGGTCGCTGAGTGGGCACGAGAGAAGACGGTGGGACGGCAAGAGCGAAAGAAGGAAGCATATTCATGATCAAGTCTCCACGTAAACCGCAGGGCAGCAAACGGAGCCCCCCGCATTCAAATGTAAGACCGATCATGAAATCGGGCGAATCGGGTACATGTCTTCCCCTGAGCCTCACGGGAAGGAAGAAGCACCTCGCGGACATGCCTGTGAGATGGAAGAAGAACGGCTAGACTCAGCTTCTGCGACACCGAGCGCCCGGAAAGCGACTTGCCATACCACAAGCAAACGTGTATGGTATCGCCGACGGTGGCACGACAGGCACGATGCAGACCTAGACTGCATCCACGGGCGATAAGATGGGTCTATGCACAACAGTGAGTTCCCGGTAGCTTTGCGTTACGTTGCAGCCGCATGGATTCGTACCTGTCAGAGAGTCATGGGTCGGCCGCAGGCGGGAACGTCCGCTGTCGCGGACGCAACCTTTGAGCAAGTCGTCTGCGCATTTCCGGCCGAGCGGCGTGGGTGGTGTGCGAGGTCGTAAAGGGTGAATGCCGCGGACACCGAGCCCTCGATCGATTCGAAGCAGTGTCCGTCTCAGAGCGCAGCACGTCTGAGAGGGACGTTATCTCGATTCGGGCGATCCGCGTAGTCGGGCGAGAATCATCATGATCAACGTTCAACGCAATGTTCCACGGAGATAGAGAGTAAGTGGTGGTCCAAGCGGGCACGCCCGTAATACAGTGGCTCACCGACTCGTCACTGTGTTCCAACTCTCATGCGGTTCACGTACTGTGCACCAACGTTCAGTGACACTAGCAATGCCACAGTGTACCGTAAGTCCTGTTGAGTTTTCTGTATCATTGTGTGGAAGAAGCGCTCCGTTTCCTGCGGGGTGTATCACAGATAGCATGAGACCTTCAAAGAGACGACTCACCTGACAAAACCGACGACCATCCATCATTTCAATGGCATCACCACTTATACAATAGCAGAATTCACCCAAAGTTCGGTAATCTTTGGGGGAAAGCTCTGGGCTGTTACGACGACTTGAAGGACAACGCCACGATGGGCAAATTTGGAGAGTTGTACAATCCGCGTCACCTGCCTAGTTGGGCGGCTTTGTAGTGCCCTGTTTGGCATCGATCTACCCGATCGCTATTTCTCCATTTTTCTCAGGCGCTCGTAGGCGGCCAGCGTTGCACTTAGCCTCCGTCCATGATGTCGGTGGGCAGTCTTTGGACGCGTCTTTGCATGGGTTTCCGAGGTGAGCATCGTTGCTTGAATCTGTCTCATTAGGATGAGCCCTTTAGATGACGAGTCTGAAGCGGTCACGGCGAGGCTTCCTCGCCGTGGCTCACTTTGATGACGATCAAAATTTATACCATTCATGCTTTACTGATTCTTCTTGTCTTGTCTTCTTTGGCTATAAGAATATGTTGGCTGACGTTTTCTGCTGTCTTTCAGAGACTGCAGGTGGTGATACACGAGGAGCATGACACGACTTTCCGAGTCGCTTAACTGAGGTAGTACTATGTATGTCCTGTCTGACGATACGTGCAGAATGCATGCCTCTTGTCAGCTGTCCCAACGAGTGGTCATCGCGACTATCACCATCGTCTTACCAGCAGCACTCCGTCATCTCCCTCACCTCCCTCACCAGAACTTCAGTGTCGGTCTCAAACCATGGCCAGTCTAACAATAAATGTATTGCCGGTGAGTCTCAAACCGTTTTGCCTTGGATGATGATACAACCTAGTCCAACTGCTGTCCGAAAGCACACGTGTGGACACAACTACCTAGTTTCAGCCTTGGCTGATCTTCCTCATGCCGATCTATTCCTCGTATGGCTCCTTAACTTACTCTGTGTTGTCCAGGAGCATGCAAGGTCGCGGCATGACCCCATCAGGATACAATCCTATAGGGACTGGTATTGTGCAAGCGGCTACCGCGGACGCGATATAGATGGTGAGTGTAAATTATCCATATCGTTCTCTGTCGGATGAAATAATCTTCGATGGGCGGACACGAATGCCTCCTGCCTACACCAAAGTCTCCTAGTGTACAAATTGGAGATGGGTTTGGGTGCCTGTTGATACACATCGACCAGCTGATTTTTGTGCTCTCTGCGTGTCCATCGTATTCATGCTTACTTACGTTTACCTTCTAGGTCATGCTTATGGTGTGAGAAATACGGCGGGGAAGCTCATAAGAGCTATTGCCTCGAGGCTCTGGTTCCATACACATGACGGGGTAGTCACAATTGTACTTGTATGGTCGTTCTCATTCGCTGTGAATTATATGTCTCATTTATCTCATGTGTACCTTTAATACTGCAGGCGGAATCTGGCATATCCTTCTCACCCTATGCGACGATGACCAGCTGAACAACGTCATGACTCCCTGACGCATCCCCGATGCACGAACCGTGTTGTGGCAACGCATACGCGCGCCAACCTCGATCTTGTGGTGCTGCAAGCCGCGCTCACGGTTCATACGTATGGCTGGCCCCTGACAGTGACACTACGAAGGTGGTGGCGTCGAACCGTGGCGCTGCCGTACAGCTCTGGCCTTTCACGCTGAACACGCCGTATCGTCGGCTCATCAGTACATCGTGAAATTATGCAGAATGTATGGGGCGGCGGTTAGCCGGGGTCAGCTCGCATTGAATAGAGAGATTTATCTCACATGCCGACGGGCCCCGGCTATCGACGCTCCTTCACCCCCAATTCATTGCCGCCTCCACACTCGCCACTACTCTGCTTTGCTCACAACCTTCTCATGGCGGCCCACGCCACCTCGTCTTACTCTCCTCACCTGGTCAGGCGTCGTATCCGCGCGGCATTGGGCACCGCGAATCGCGACGATAAGCCTGTAGCGGCGATTCGTGACGTTGACAATCCTCATACTCTCGGTTTTCTGCCTACCCTGTGGTGTGCCATGAGAGTGTACATCCTGCCTGGGCCTGTACGGGCATGTGGGAGGAACTACGCTCGAGATCGGATAACCGCCGCAGCGGCAGCCATTGCATCATGAAGGCTATATGCCTTATTTCGTCCCTTTGGTTGTAAGTAGTTCCCTGCATGATACAGTATATCAGTAATAAAGTGAGCATATTTCAGCTTACGACCTCGAACCCGCTTCTCCCTGTCGTTGACGATCCTCCGGTTCAACATATGGGCCCCACACTCAGACTGGCATGCTGGATTGAACCTTTGCTCAACGCTCAGCGCTCAGCACTCACACTGCATCCGCCGGCCTAACTGCCCCCATTCGTCTCCTCCATGATCCCACTCGCCACTACTCTACTTTACTCGATACCTTTCCACGGCCCACCTTGTACTTGACTTCCCCAACCTCGTCAGCCGTCGTATTTGCGCAGCGTGACCGCAGGTACGTTGGATCCGACCTTTGCTCGGCCAGTGACTCATGACCTCTACACTCGCACACAGGCCTACAATGTCTCGGGACGCTCGGTATAGATGTCTCGAAGAATTCTCAAACGAGCGTGTTCAACACGACGCCAATTCTTTCCAACGTGCACCGGCGGAGAACCCACCGGCTCCCTATACGTGTACATGTGTAGCAGATGTCTTTGCGACATGCAAACGGTCGTGGTATTGTCATGCTTGATCTTCGTTTTGAGGGGAGTCTGAGTAGGTATTGAGTCACCAGCCAGTAGTTCTCTTCTGCACATGCTCGATGACAAGACGTGTTATTCGCTGCATCGGATTGTCTGACGCGGATCCGCCAGCCTCCGGCGTACTCTTCCGGAATCCGCGCTACGTATCGGAATCCAAGCACCGTCACCCAATCCGAGCCGCCCTCGCGCCTGGCCGAGCGTCCATTCAGTACGGCGCACCAACCCGCTGTCCTCCTCAGACCTCAGGCCTCAGGCCTCAGACCTCAACCTAAATGCGCGTGTGTGGCTCGTGGTGACGATCATGCAACCTGGCACATGGGCTAGGGCAACGGCAAACAACCGCGTATTGCGGGGATACGGACTCGGAAGGCCCAGGGGGATTGTACGGGGCGTGATGAAGGGCAACGCGATGCAGAAAAAAAAAGTCGATGCCGTGTATTGGAACAGGTGATCGCATCTCTTCGTATTTCGTGGGTTATCACTTCAGGCCTGAAAACGCTGTCTCATTGACCATAACCATGTATGACATCACTCTGCTATGTACACCCAGACCTCCCTGTTCCTATTCCTGCTATTCTCTTGCTTTATTTCGAGGCATTGTGTTCCATTGAACGTAATCGACTGTCTCGGGGCTCCCAAACCTATCATGCCCGCTTTCCGCAAACTATCCATGGAAGGCACCTCTACTTCTGCCAGCCGCTTGTTTAGGGTCGAATTGTTTGAAACGAGCCACATGAGTTGCATTGGGCCGAAGTCGGCTGTAAGCGGAGTGTTTCTTGCGGTCCTAAGGGCTATGCCCATAGCCAGTATTGATATCACAGTAGACACTCCGAGGCCAACTGCAACCTAGATGAGCCGTCGATGAGCTTTTGGCTACTGGCAAGTTATATGTACTAACCTGTGCAACATTGATCTACGCCACGTATACATGCGTTAACAAGATTGTCATTAGTAGGGGAAATTAGTCACGCGCCTTGAGGTGGAACATTGCTCTTGATCCTCGGGCGTTGCCAGAAAGAACGGTCACGATACCATCCTGGGCTTTGGCGCCAACCAAGTGGGCAGCTACGAAGTTGCACATAAGTCAGTATGTCTGAGACTCTGGCGACATGGGGGCTTCATACCGGACCAGTATGCAGTAGCTGTCATACTGCCTGAGGTTGGGCGAGCCAATGAGTTTTATTGCACGGCAAAAGCCGCAAGAAACGTACTCAATGCTTCTTCGAAGGCCGACAGGCTGACTGTCCCGTTTCTACCTGGGTTTCCAAGTATGATATCCATATATCTGGACTCGATCATTCAGCTTCGCCTCATTTGCTACACATCGAAACATACTCGGCCGATTGCGCACCTTCCTCGAAGGAAAGCGCTGATGATTCATCGGCACCGAGCGGCCCATAGCCACTCATTAACCCCGCGCCAGTCAGTATGTAAGCCCACTTCCATCCAGTGAGCATGTGGTGGGATATCATGAGCGATCAAGGCAAACTCATGCAACGTACCGAATCGACCTCAGGATCTGTGATCGTTTGACCAGTATCACTTTGTAGAGCCGGCTCCCAGGTGGCGCAAATGGACGACCTCTGCGTCTCTGTTGAATTGAGATCCACGGGTTGCCTTGTGACAGCATCTATGGTGATGACACTCTTTTCCCACTCCAGAGTACATCCTATTAGTTGGATTGGGGTGCTCGTGTTTCCTTCATGTTCACGATGATTGAATAGGAGCCCCAGGTAACAAGGGCTGAGCATAGTACCTTTGACCTGCGACACAGATTGACCTTGACTATCTAACACATTTACGGTTGTCCAGAACAGCGCACTTCGACCCTGTGTTGAATCAGTTTATCACAGCCTAAAGGGTGGCTCAATATTCACACGAAGCACTCACCAAGGGTATCGTGACTGCTGACCATAAGCCACCGACGTCCTGCTCCTGCTGTTGGTTGTAGTCATATGCAGTCACATACTGCAGATCCATCATAGCTCCGGTCGGCGCGGTAGGTTTGGACAACCAGTTAGCTAGGTCCGACATTAGCATGAAATGCATTATACGACAAGGCAACGGGCCGCACTCCAGTTATCAAACCCAAAAGTAAAATTGTAGCGATCATATACAGCGCTCACCAGGGTATAAATACCTGGCAAGCCCAGCGTGCGGGACTCTGCATCCTGGGTTGTTGCATTAGGGATGCATCCACAAGTGACGTTAGCCGTAGTGGCGTTGACGTAGACCTCCGCGAGACCAGTTTGTAGGCCAATAATATCGTATATCGTGCTGTTGGCGAGTCCAATAGTTGACAATATATACTGGCCAGAAGCTGCAATTGGGAGGAACGAAACCGCATCGGCCCACAGCTCGCCGGTTGATAGCATTGGATTAGATCTGGGTGAATTGTCATCAGGTAGGAAGGGGGAGCTAGTGAACACTTGCACGCACGACGATATGTTCGAATAGTTTGATATATTCAAAGATGGCATACCCAGAGTCACTGGGACCATTTCTGGGTCGGTCTGATTAAATGGCTGCATGGCGAACAGCGAGGGCGTTGTGATGTGCAAAGTGGAAATGCAGACGAGGTATGCGGTTACTTCGACTATCCCCAGGACATATGATGGGGATGAGACTTGTCTCCACATGTTCAGTATCGCGGCGCCCAGCCCCGTCCACGCGCTTGTGACATCCTGCACGGATGTTAAAGTGTGTCGTTCTGTAAATAGACTGCGCAGCGCCAGACACTGCGTGAGCAGAACAAGCAATGCGGTGTATGGCTGTCGGTGAATGTGATGTCAATAACGACCCAAGAGGTATAGCTAAATTCTGCTCACAATGATAATGGCTTGTGACACAAGTGATGTGTAGGTTGGCATTGATGCGGCCAGTTGAGAAGACATGACGAACGAGTATTCAGCTCGGCGGGCCCAGACGCACAGGAGGACAACGTGTGCGGCGACGAGAAGAGCATGAAGAAGTAAGCATACAGGACCAATGAGCTTCCGCATACCGCGTATATCAGCTGACGATGAGGAGGACGACGAAGAGAACAAAGAGGATTTGAATACATCTGTTTCCCACTGCGCTCCCTATACTTATGAATGTACCATCTCGCATGCGATGCAGTTCGTGGCATTTGTTTGATGATCTGACAGAGGCGAAGAGGTAGTCATAAGGTTCGCTTCCGGATCTATGCGTGAGATGTTGGCCATTGGTACCTGCCGGAAGCGTCAGTTGAGCTTGATCAGTGCTGGACGACACCGACCGGACGCCCGGAGCAAGTTCTGCCATTCCAGTAAGCATTTCATTGTTGTATCTGTCATAACATCACTCATCAGGCTGCGTATCGCAGGAAGATGGTGGGCGTTAGATACGCCCCTTCACTGAGATGCATTCGGCTGGCAAGTACGTACTGATACGAATGACAACGCCTCGGGCTGTCCTCCGAATGATAACGGCCACTTCGACGACTGGTGACCAATTAGTGACTCTGCACGAGTGGAATTTGTTGTGTTTCTTTCTCCCTGCTGAGCCGAATTTCGAAGCAGAGCAAGCCTCGCCTGGCAACGGCCAAGATCCAACCCGTTGTCCTCGATCATACCGCCGCTGCCGCGGCCGCCCTCCCACTCAGGGTGCGAACGTAGACAGCGGGCTTCTCACACAGGCCCTCGGATGTGTATCCGTCACCACTACTCCGGCGTGCGCCCACTCAGAAGCCAAAGGCCTAATACACGGTGTCCCTGCAAGCTGATCTACTATTATAAGATCGAGTCGTCCAGGAGTCGTCAGCTACTAGCCAAACCGCTGCCCGACCGCCGAACATCGAATATGACTCACCGTTTTGTTATATCGCACCAGCATATTCTAGCTTCGCGATATTGTGTGATAGAGGGCTACAGTGACACCAGTTAAGAGGAACTTGGAGAGAGGTAGTAATAGTTCAATGATGTGTAAAGCGGCTTGCCACAATGCGTAGTACGTCGGATACCGATCACATCTACTGTAAATAAGATCACAAGTATGCCGAATTTGGGCCGAAGCTATCTCAACGCTTCAAATTGATCCACTGCAACAGTCTGCAACAGTTGCACCTGGGCTTGTCACTCGCCACCGTCCTTCCGCAAGGCCTCAAGGCCTCATACACGGAGGTAGTTAAATCGTACAATATATCTCAGGAATATAACTCTGATCTCAACGATTACTAGTAGTAAGTGAACACCGACAGCCACGTCCGAGACTCCGAGTCGACCGTGTCTCAATTTCGCTGCCGCGATTCGACTTGAAGTTGCGCTGTTTGTTCTGGGGCATCGGACTCACACTTCGCCTTGCTTTTGGACGCAGAACTATGCCTCCAAAGAATGACGATGACTGGTCGGACTCCGACGATGACGACCTCTCCGATATCGAGACAAACGTTCAACTCGGCCTCTCAGACGGACCGATCGAGACATCCGAGGACCTGCGTGATGCGCGCGTATCGCGACTAGGCGGCCATGCTGTACGCACCTCCCGTCATGTATATCACCCTCACATCCCAATACTTGGTTCCTCCCTCTTTGCATCGGTCGATGCGTACAGGTGTTCCTCAGCTCGCCACCACCGCCTGCGACCTCCGCTCAATGCAAAACCTGCGGCGAACCCATGTCTTTGCTCGCGCAAGTTTGGTGTCCCCTCGAGGAGAGCCCGAATGATCGCGCGCTGTATGTGTGGGGATGCGGGCGAGGAGCATGCCAGAAGAAGGACGGCAGGTGAGTACGCTGTGCGTCTCTCACTGTGTTACCCCCACCATGTGTTCATCGTACTTGTTCCTCAGCGTGAGAGCATGGAGACAGCTGAGGTACAACACAAAGTACGCGGAGAAGCTAGCAAAGAAGGCCGAGAGACAGAAGGCAAAGGAGGAATCGGAGCGCAAAACCGCCGAAGAGGCTGCTCGTCGTAGCCTGCCGAAGGCGAACCCTTTCTCGGTAAATTCTGAGGCACTCTCCACGCCGCTTCATCTGAAAATTATGCTTAGATGAAGTCAACTGCTGCATCAAACCCCTTCGACCTGGGATCCCAAGTATTCGGGAATACACCAACACCAACAGAGCCGAATGATGCTTCCTCCCCATCCGAAGAGGCTGTCAGTGACGAGGAGGACGTTGAAGAACCCCACGAAGACGCAGATCTTGCTGCCCGCCTGGCAAGCACCACGCTCGACGATTCGAAATGGACGGAAACGCCCGCGTACGGCGCGCTCTACCTATCCACCACGGCGGAATACCTTCCACCGGCGAAGAAGGTCAAGGTGCCCAAGGGTGCCGAGGTTGACGAGGACGACGAGGGCACAGGAAAAGGCAAGGACGGAGGCTGGGCGCTGGAAGGCTACGAGAACTCGATTGAAGTCGATCATGCATTCGAGCGCTTCACCAAGCGAGTAGGCTACGAAGGCGGACAATGCATACGGTACGTTTTCGCCTGCCTGCCTGCCATCTTGGCCTCAACGCCATATCTCACGGTGCTAGATATGAGCTGGGAGGGACGCCACTCCCATTCGCGAGCGATGCCGTGTTCGACAAGCTCTTCCCCGCACCGATCGGCCCTCCTCTCCCCGTCACTAAACCGGACTTCATGGTCGTCCCCGTTCAGAAGCGTACCTACACGCCCGCATCAATCCCGGCGTGCCCTCACTGTGGCGGCCCACGCGCATTCGAGTGTCAGCTCATGCCAAACCTCATCAACGTCCTCCGCGCGTCGACGAAGACGGGCGAGGGGAAGAAAAAGCTGAGCGATGAGGAGCGGCGGCAGCAGGTGATGAAGGAGCTCAAAGGCGAGGGTGCGGAGGGAAGGGTAGGCATGGAGTGGGGGACGTGTATGGTGTTCTCGTGTCAGAAGGACTGCTCGGACGAAGCCGCTCGAGGATGTTGGCGCGAGGAGCTCGTCCTCGTGCAGTGGGATGACTAGCCGGAGTGTATGATCCAATTACAGTCAGTCAGATCGTGTAGCGAAACATCATGTAGCGGTAGCCCAATCCACAAAAATGACAATTGTCATGATCCCGTTGCACTGCAAGCTACACGCCAGTTGGGAGCCGCACTAAGACAGGGTATATGTTCACTCTAGACGATACATAACGATCTCAAAGCATTCAAGAAAAATCAGCACAGTAGGACAAGAGATGCGCACACTCGCAAGTGTCAGCCCTTCGCGCCCACAGTCGTGGCGGCAACTCGCCGGCGCTTATTCCCTCTCCGGATCTCCATGAGGTCATGCTCGACATCCTGGTCCTTGACCGTGTTCAGCAGCATCAGGCTCTTCCCAAGCCCTCCCAAGGCCTGCGCCTCGCGGCCACCTCCCCTCGCCCTCCGCTTCCCGTTTCCTACGGCTGCCGCTCCCGCCCCGTACGCGTACCCGGAGGTGTGGCTGAGGTGCGTCGATGTGAGCGGGAGCGGGAAGGGCGAGGGGAGCTCGTCGACGGCGAGCGAGTGCGGATTGAGGAACGGCCCGGAGGTTATGGGCCCTGCGGGGATCGCCCCGAGGGAGCCTGCGCCGGGGCGGCGGCGGAGAGCGGCGTGGAGGGTGGCGAGGTCCCGCCGCCGAGTTTGTTGCGCAGCTTGCGGGTGTTATGCGTGCGCGACTGCGAGTCGAGCCCGGTCTCTGCGTCGCGACCGTCGGGTGAGCATCCAGACGTAGAGGTCAGCAGACTGAGGTAGACACGCACCCGCCGCCGGCCCGTCGCTCTCCTTCTCCTCCCTCGCCCGCCGCCGCCGCTCCTCGATGCCCTCCAACAAGCGCTCGCGGATGCGCTCCCGGCCCTTCTGCCACTCCTCCTCGACCCGCTCGCGCTCCTCGTCGTACGCGGTCTGGATGACCTCCACCCCGTGCTTCTCCTGGAACACGAGCTGCGCGAGCAGGGCGGAGCGCTCGAGCGAGAGGGGGTACAGCCGCAGGTTGTACGCGGGCAGCGTGTCGGGGTGCATCGAGAGCTGTATGGAGGCGTGGTGCAGCTCCCCGATCAGCTCTGCGTAGTGCCGCCCGACTATCCTGGTGGGGTGGATGGGTGGACGGGGTTGGCGGGGTGTTCACGCCTGAGGGGGGCACGGGAGACTCACTCGTCGCGGCGGTCGTTCAGCTCCCTTCCAACCACTTTCCCGACCATCTCTTTCCGCCTCTTGTCTTTCTTCGCTGGGTCGTCGACCCCGTTTCCTTCCACAACCATCAGTGCAAAGAATTTGTGACAGCGTACAGAGCGCATACCATGTATCCGACTCGGCCCCGCCGCAGGCTGGTGCTGGTACGAAGTGCCCACCTCCACGACCTCCGCGCTCGCCGCCGTGCGCGACTTGTGCTGGGCGGGGTACGGAATCGCAAACGCCCCTAGTTGCGGGGGCATCTCTACAGAGTGGGGCGGAGTGTGTGCAGCTGGCTGGAGAGGTGGCTGGATGTGCGGCAGAGCGGCGAGCCTCGTTCTGTGGACGCCCCCCCGCGAAGGCGGACACAGATCGAGCGTGCAGATCTGCACACGTGCACCGCGAGCGCGTCGCGTCTCTGGCGTCTAATTTGCCTTCGTGCTCGTTGGCCCGGTCCGCGTCCGGTGCGACTGACCAGCTTCGCCGTAGAGGATCAGTACTCAGTAGCAAACCCCATTCTCGAATCGCGCATGATGATGAGCGTTCTGCGCCGATATCGCAATAGAATTTACTACTCGTGTCTGTGAGCAAGTACAGCGTATATATATAAGAGCTGGGAGTCCATGTATGTATGCGACGGTCTGCGTATCATATCGTATCGTACTTTCATTCTGCACAGAACATCATTACACGTCACAACAAACAGAGACAACATTCAGAGATCAACGAAACCCAGAGAGAGAGATCAAACGACGAAAACCCACGTATACGGATCTAATATCAGGCTCTAACGGACCGCACACCTTAGGCCTCAGTCACCGAGCGCGCTGACGCTTCCCGTGCTTGAAGCTAAAGCGAACTCGTGTCGGGCCGGGTCGTACGCATGCGCCCAGTCTTTCATGAACGGACGGTACCCTCCACCGATGGACCTCGGGCCGCCAGCAAGGCTGGTGCGAATGGAATGCGGGTTGCCGAAGGCGGGCGCAGGCGGGTTCCACAGGCTCTGCGCGCGATTGGGCCTACTAAGGGGGTACGAAGTCAGCTACCATACGTATACATGAACAGGAGGAACAACGCACTTGCTGCCCAACGTCGGGCGCATCGACAGCTGCGCGAAGCTGCTGGGGAAGAGCGGGTGCCCAGGACCGCGTTCCGCAAGCGCGTCATATGGCGTGTCACTGTCCTTGTCGTGGAACGAGTGCGAGCGGGGGATCGACATCGGGCTGATGGCGGGGCTGCCCAACGGCATCGGCGAGGGCGACCCTGCCGGGCTCGCAGGATAGACCGTCCCGGGCGACGCGGGGCTCGTCAAGAAGCGCAAACCGTGTACCTCCGGGTCGAGCGTGTCGCTCGCCACGGCGCTCTCGGCATCCTCATCGTCCTCGTCCTCCTCGCGCACCTCGCAGAGTTCGTGCGTTGTGTGCGGGTCGAGTGCGGACGACGTCGGCGGGTGGTCGTGGCTCTGCGCGAGGACGGGCTCGATCAGGATCATCTCGTCGCCCTCGAGATTCGGCGAGGCGGGATTCACGGCGAAGGACGGGCTGGGCGACTCGATGACTGCGGAGGACTGCTCGCCTTCGCTCTCGATGGAAGTGGTATCGGCCTCTGGCTCGACAATCAACGGCAAATCTTCCTCCTCTACGTCGAGCTCGTGCGGGACGCCGAGTGCGCCCTTGATGCGCTCCCATATGAGCTCACTCTTGGATATGATGCACGCGCGCGCCTTCATGACCCACTGTACGTCATCCACGGCGTCCCGGTCGACATTCTTCAGCCAGAACTCGAGATCGGCATATGTCCATTCCACGGGGTCCTTCGTCAAACTCTCCACAGACTCGGCGCCATGCGGCTTGCGCGAGTCGGCGGGGTAGGTCTGGGCGAGGAGGGCGAAAAGCTTGGCGGACGGAGGCGTACACATCAACTGGGACACCTCGAAGGGTCTGTCGACGAAGGGGACGAAGACTGAATCCGGGAGGGGCGTAAACGAGACCGGGGAAGGGGTCCCAGCTGAGACCGGACTCCCACTCCCAGGGGCAATGGCTGGACGCGGGTTGCAGGAAACGCGCGCGACGTCGACGAGCTGCTCCGGCGAGAGCTTGTTTGCGTGGGCCATGGAGCCGGAGTAGCGGCGGGAGATGGAGCCGGGGGAGTGAGGGCGCGCGCGCGGGGACGCAGTCGGGCTGCCGTCCCTGGGCGGGCCATCTTTACTGGCAGGGGTGAAAGACGAGAAGGCAAAGCTCATGCGGCCGGTCTCGCCCTTGCCGCTGGAGGACGTAGAGCTGATTGAGGCGTTGCTGCCGACGCGGCGGTGTCTGCGCTGGTTGTTGCTGTCCTCGTCCTCCTTGGGGACGCGGACGATGGTGAGCCGGCTGGAAGTCGCCCTGGAGGGGTTGTTGTTGATGCCGTTGTGGGCGCCCCAGGGGTCGGAGGCGGCGACGGAGCCTCTGCGGGCAGAGAGCCGGCGAGAGCGGGTGGGGCTGAGGGAAGGGCTGCTGGAGGGCGACGCGTCGGAGAGGCTACTCATGGCGGGCGAGGATCAGCTTCCGGATGGCGGGGCCCCACGGGGATGTTGTACGCGAACAGGTCGGGATAGTGGATCAGGGGGACGGACGCAGTTGCTGGAGGAAGGAGGAGGGGTGGCTGGGAGGCTGGGGGCTGGCGGGTTATAAGGGGAAGGGCGTTGCAGTTGGGACGGAAAGGGGAGGAGGGGCGCATTTCCGCGAGTGGAGGCCAGATGGAGACGATGGAATGGTGTAGATCGATAGCCACCGTACGTACGTCAAGAATGGTCATTCCCCAGCCAGATCCAGTCCCCCGGCCCAGACCATCCCCGCGACCAGCCACTCTGCCCCAGCCAGGCCCCGGATATCCCAGCACCTGATGCCCCGCCACGCGTACCGACTCCTAATACGCAACCATTACGCTCGAGTCCATCAATCGCCCGCGGCAGCAGTACGAACAGATGCGAGACGCGTCGTCAAAGAGACTCGCGACACTGCCCGCTGCGAGGAGCGCATATTGAGCGGCGGGGACGGTTGGTGGGACGACTCAGAGCATACTGCGAACATTCGCAGGGCGCGCCCACAAACAAAGGACAACAGCAACGCCACAGCCTCGGGCGATGAGCGCGGCGGTCTGGTAGCACAGCAGCTCTGCGTAGCAAGTGCCCTGCGTACATTCCCCACAGCCCTCTGCGGCCTCTAATTGCCTCTGTGGATGCCCCTGCTCGTGCAACCCTCGCCCTAGAGTCGGATCACCCACGACATGGACCGGCAGCGACACTCCGCCTGGGCCCCGCCCCCACAGCGGCCCACCGGCACTCCTGGATGGAAGACTTTTGACTCGTATGAAAAGCCTCACACCGCGAGGACGGCCAGCTGGCTGGCCAGTCTCACTCCCGGTTCAGCAAGGGTTTCCTTCGCTTCTGGCAAGCACCCTTGGGAGAGCTTGGACTCGCTGCATGGCAACACCTCAATCCGTCTCCGCAACTTCAAGCGCACCGTCCTCCGCCGCTTCTCGTCCTGGACTCAGAATGGCCTCTCAAGACCAGGTTCCCTGCGCTCGAACTCGTCGTCCATCGCGCCCGCCGTATCCCCGACCCTCATCCCCTCCGTCTCCACCGTGCAGTTCGTCCTCCTCTGCGCGCTCTGGTATGCCACCTCCGCCCTCTCGTCCAACACGGGCAAGGTCATCATGACCGAGTTCCGCTACCCGATCACCCTCACCTTCGTGCAGTTTGGTTTCGTCGCCGGGTACTGCCTCCTCTTCATGAGTCCCGCTGTTCGCTTCTCGAATTTCCGGAGTCCGACAAGGGCCATATTCGACAGCACGGTGCCCATGGGTCTCTTCCAGGTCGGGGGGCACATATTCTCTAGCATGGCAATATCTAGGATACCTGTCAGCACGGTGCACACAATCAAGGTCAGTGATAGAGCCGTTCTTTCGCTATTTCTTAGCGTGTTGCATTGTCAGAATTTCCTGCTCACTCGAATGGTTGTAGGCCCTATCTCCTCTCTTCACCGTGGCAGCTTACGCTCTGCTGTTCGGTGTGCGATACTCGGCGAAGACCTACGTCTCTCTTCTGCCGCTGACAATCGGCGTCATCTTGGCCTGCAGCTCTGACATGTCACTCTCGAACGCTATGGGCCTCCTCTGCTCGTTCGGGTCCGCACTAATCTTCGTCAGCTCCAACATCTTCTTTAAGAAGGTCATGCCCTCCAACAGCACCGTCTCCTCGCACAAGCTCGACAAGCTCAACCTCCTGTTCTACTCGTCTGGCATGGCCTTCGTGCTGATGATCCCCATCTGGATGTACTATGACCTCCCCGCGCTGCTCACGCTGTTCAACGACCCTTCGCACGTCGCGCACCCCTCGCACGGGCACGGGCACCACTCCGTCGCCTTCGCCTTCTTCGCGAACGGCACCGTGCACTTCGCGCAGAACATCATCGCCTTCGTCCTCCTCGCGCAGACGTCGCCAGTCACGTACAGCATCGCCTCGCTCATCAAGCGCGTCGCCGTCATCTGCATCGCGATCGTCTGGTTCGCCCAGCCCGTGCACGCCCTCCAGGCCGGCGGCATCGCGCTCACCTTCGCCGGCCTCTACATGTACAACCAGGCCAAGGCGACGTCGAACAGGGCGAGCGTTCCATGCGCCGCGTCGCCGCCGCGCGCAATCTCGAGCTCCCCAGCACCCGCTCGGAGCTCCTCTCCCCCGCGCCCACGCCGCCCCCGGCGCCGCGGTCAACACCCCGTCGGGATCACCTCTGGGTTCGGCCGGCCCCGCGTCGCGCCCACCGCCTCGGCCCGCCGTTCGCGCCCCACCACGCGCCCCCGCACATCCGCATCCGCATCCGCAGACGTACGCCAGCCCGCGCCGGCACTGGCGCCCCACCAGCCCGTCCCGTCGTACTCGCAGACGCACCAGACGCCGAACCTGCGCATCAAGGTCACGCCCGCGCCCACGGACGAGAAGCCCGGTGTGCAGGGCTCGCCGTACGAGCTATACCCCTCGCCGCCGCCCTCGCTCGACTCGCCGCCGCGGGCACGGACAACGCCGCGCCGTGGCCGCAGCCCCAGACGCAACCGCACCGCACCCGCACCCGCAGATGCAGCGCAGAGGCTCGATGGCGACAGGCCACGGCCCCCCGCGGCACCACGAGCCCGCGCCCGCGCGGAGGGCGACCGTCGTCGCATGACCGACCAGCACGATCTCGGACCCCGCGAACGGGCAAGCCTCCGAGGCTCGTTCAGACAGTCGCATACTTATCTCTACGTCGATCCATGGACCGCCCATATAGACTTTACGTAGACCGCATACCACCACGACCGCGCGACGACCCACAGGACCCAGAGACGACCACGCCTTTCTCTTCACCCTTGCCCTGCGCGCCCGCAGACGGAGATGGAGCGCTCCCTCCCCCGCTCGAGGGCGCGCGCTGCGTTCCTTTTGGTTTCCATCTCTAGATGCTTGTGCGGCAGAGCGGACTGTAAATTTATTCGTCGTGCGGATTCTCGTGTTCTCCCATCTCTTGCTTACGCTTACGGTACTCGAACATCTTCTTTCGACTAGTCTTGAGATGTTACACTCATCTCGGTTTTTCCTCATCTATGTATGCGACGGCTTCTTGTCCTCGCGAACGAATAAGTGGAGGGACATGACGGACATTCCGTGCACAGGCACACTCCGCTGTATCTGAATGAAACGTGTGCAAATCTACAGAGAAATACACTACTGGATACAGCAGAATCCTAGATGCGTTAATAGCTACATCGTCGATCCGGAACCCAGAGGAGAAACTACAGTAAGTATGGAAGACAAACAAGATCCTGGTCAAAGGAATATGCAAGAGGTCGTATAGGATATGCGTCACGGAACATAAGAAAATGATGTGTTGGATGGGACGTCAGGATCGCCACGCGTTTCTGCCGCTGATGACGAGGCCGCCATCGTATTTGCGGACAACCCAGCCGTCCTCTTCCAGCGCGCTCCTGACGGCGGACCCAGACGCCGATGCCGTTCGCGAGTGCATCCCCCGCCCGGTGATATCCGCAGGGGTTTCGCTGAGGGAAACGCGTCAGGACGACAACACGTCTCAACGAAGCTGTCCACTGACCCTGAGTTGATCCGAATCGCGTAGCACGTCTCTCACTATCTGGACGGCCTCCACGACTGTGTGCCGTGTAGGTCACGGTGTCCCGTGTGTAGAAGATAACCTAGCCAGGATCAGCACCGCCAAGGAGTGAACACCACAAACCCACCGTTTCGCCTGGACCATCTCTCTCGCCGCATCCAGCTGCTCCTTCCTCGCCTGCTGCTGGAGCTCGCGCGCCCTCTCCGCATAATAAAGCGCGACCTCCCTCCGTGCGTCTTCGCGTTCCCCGTCTGCCACGCGCGCCCCGCCTTCCTCAGCATCTCCTGCCGCTCCGCCATCAAGCCGCGCGCGCGCCTCGTGTGGTTCCACTTCACCGCGAGCTCGCCGACGTCGCCCTTGCCACCCTTCCCCAGCCCGTTCCCGCTCCCGCGCACTTCTTGCGGTACGCAGGGATGGACGCCGCGAGCGGGTGCGGCCCCGTGGGCTGCCGCTGCGGGATGGTCTTCCAGACATTCGGGGCGGCGTCGAGTTGCGCTTCTGGAGGTGGCTGACGGGCGAGGTGGCGCGCCCGCGTGGGGGAGGGCCGACGGCGGGGGACCGGTTGGGAGTTGTACCGAGCGGGACTGACGACGTTCGGGGCGGGGGAGGCGGGCTGGCGCAGGTGAGTGGTACACGCCCCAGTCATACTCGCCTGAAGTGGAGTCGTGCTCGAGCTCTCGGAGGAGCCATACGAGGTCTATGGCGCGGTCCGGTTGCCCGTGCGTCGCCTTCAAGGCGAGTTGCCCGTCCTCCATGACTTGGTCGCGCTCCTCCACTTTCAGCTCGACGTACTCGGGGGACGCGCGGAGGACGTCGAACATGGCGAACAGCATGGAAGTATGTTCGGAGTGCATGTCCGGCTCTGATTGTGACGACGAAGCTGCAGGGAGGACGCGATGTTGCGGAGCACTGCACGCAGCGCCTTGGCCGGCGAGGATATTCGGGAGAGTGGAAGGCAGACTGGAAGTATGCAGCGGAGTAGGATGGTATGAGGTTGGAGAGGTACGAGCAACAGATGATAGCTGAGTCCACGGGTCGGGCGGAGCAGCGCGGGGCGAAGCTGGTGACGGTCGCTCGTGCTGCTTCTGACGAATATCCACAAGAGTGAATGTGGTTCCGCGCTTCTGCTCTTCTTGGTGGGCTGTGGCGACGGTGTACTTGGCTTCTTGCGTTTGCCATCTACAGTGATCCAGTCTGCCTCGTCTATCTCTTCGCCTTCCAAGCCATCCAGTCCGCGCTCCTCGAGCTCTCGTACGTACTCACTAGAGAGCAGGCCCTCCACAACGGACTCCATGTCAAGGGATTCAGTGTCATCCGCATTACTAAGTGCACTCCGGAGCTTGGAAGTTGGTACATGAGGAAATGCCGCTTGAAGGAACCTAAAGGCGAACTGAACGAGTGCTGACTCGAAGAGTCGGAAGTAGAGCTCGAGGCGGTGTTGCTGGACTGGGGCGAGAAAAGGTCGTGCGAGCTGGTAGTGTCGTCGGTGATCGAATAGGATGAGATTTGGACATTGGAGAGCTGTTCGGATAGGATGTCTTCATCGACGAGCTCCTTCTCTGCCTGGGCCGCCAGTTGGGAGAGGACGTCTCGGAGAGGCTGGATCTGGTCATTCGCGGTAGAAAGGTCGTAGTCTGCGATGATCGCTGCAATGAGGGAACTATCCAGGGGAGGAGAGAATTCGGCCTAGGCCGGGTTGGTTCGTGGAGGGTGTTCGGACGACAATACGGCCTACCTGGAGGGCGTCGAAAAGAGACGATTGCTGCCAGTGCTTCTCGGACGGCATGCTGTATGTCGGCTTGTCGGGTGAGTGCTGGTAGAGAAATAGACTGTTGCGGGTTGCTGACCTTGCGGATGCGCTCTTTATGGGTCGAGCAAGAGGCTGGCGCAGCGGCTGGCTGAGACGGTCGGGAGTAAGCACAGTCCACCAGTAGAATGACCAAGCCGCCGCCTGCTAGCCGCATTTTCTCCCAATTAGGCAACTCTGCCTTGAATTTGAACTGCACTTTGAATTCACCGCCATGCCAAGCCAGAGCCTATCGACTGTCATCTTGTCTAACAGAGTGTGCTCGCCCGTGAATTATTAGGTACAGTCGCGTGAAACATCGTGGAACACACCAATGAACCTGCTCGACGACTCAGACGACTCGCAAGGCAGCACCTATCTGGACACTTCCGTATGTTTGCGTTCGCATCAATTTGCGCACCTGGAGTGACGCATTATGCACGATAACAGGCAGGAAGACGTTCAAAACGCAGAAGGATAGACAAAAAAAGTTATCACCAGACGTTCAAGACGGTGCCTTCGCTGTCACTCCGCTGCTAGATGCCCTTGAGAAGTCACTGCAGGTCCCTGGGATCACTCCTTCGACGCCCTGATTCAGGATTTGCTGCAAGACTTTTGCATGCAGATGCCGCCTTGCGCGCATCGCTCTCCACCGAGGTCTGAAGCCTCTCACAAGACAAGATCTAGACAAATCATAGACGAATTGCTAGCGGAAGATGGCGAGCACTTACAACCTCCTTGGCCGCTTTGGTATCCCGCAAGCTATCACGCATCCCGTATGTTCATGAAAAATGTATAATTTGACACGGCTCGCTCACTAGCTACCAGAGCACGTTACGCTCTCTGATACTCCAGAAGCCTGCCCTGCGCCCGGAGACAGTAACACCTCTGCCGCCTTCGCGCGTCAGCCCCACCATTAATCCACAAGTATCAGAAGCCCTATACGCTATACAGACAACGCCCTACGAGTGCTCTTTTCTTTCTCGTGTCCAAGGCTTCCAGCCTCCTCGCACGCCGGGCGCCATCGCGGTTGACTGGGAGACACGAAGTCCGTGGATGGAACTGATGGGCGACATCAGAGAGCATCACTCTCATGAGTAGGTTCACCCTGTTCGACCTCCATTAAGGGGAGCTGAGGATTCTTGTCAGCCCTGAGCGTGACAACCTACGGAGACAGTAGCGCCGATCGAGTATGTCAATCTCCGGTCAGAGCATCTACCTCAGGTCACGACCTACTTCGGCGAACATTCTGGGAGGGAATAACCGGTGAATGCCTGCCACTCCTCGATCGCGCATACCCCCTTCTCATGCCGCCGTTATTTGCAGTGAACGACGCACTCGATATTCTCCAGAGAAATGCACAGTGATTGCAACATACAAACAACTCGTCGTCGGGGCCGCATTCCTAAGCTCACCACAGGAGACGTACATACCTACCTCGCCGTGCGCGCAGGGTGGGAGAATTCACAATCGCCACGTAAGTAATGCGTTCTACGAACGAGTGCATTAAATACGAAAGCGACGACGACTGCTAGGACGATGCTCTATCACCTCATTACATTAAATCCAAACAGAGATATCACATTACACGTCTCCATCAACAACCCAGCCATGGTGAATATTACATGCACTCCCAGTGGCCTCGCGTCCCCCAACTAACCGATACACACAGCTCCTCTACAACAGGTTTGGATTCAAGGCAGAAGAGTTCATCGTTGGCTTCTACGAGGACTACCTCGACCCGCAATCGCGCGCGTCGAAGAACGCCTTCCGCCTGCGACTGCGTAGATAACGGCGACTGCGAATCATTTTGTCCTGGCCCGTTTGACTTTCTGTCGAGCGTCCTGGGCACGGGGCGGTGTCTTGTCAGCCTCCTCACTGGATTCGTCTTCTGGGCTGTCCACGGATCGCCGGGCGAGTTCTTCTACCCACTTGCCCCCTTCAGCACCTTCGAACAGCCAAACGTGGCTAATTTTGATCATGCTAGTTAGCATCCGTGCACGGAAGATTCGCACGCGGCTCACCTGTTGCCAACCCGCCGTGGCTCTGGGTCCAGGTCGCAGAGGGCGCTTCTTCAGAGAGTGGGCGGAGGGTGCTGTGAGGTTGCGTCCGCCCGGGCCAGGCAAATCCCAGCTGAGTCTCCGACAGAGGTGCAAGACGACGTCGTCGGCGTTCCCGAGTAGAACGATCTGATGCAAGAAATGTGTATCCCATTCTCCACAACAAGTCGAGGTACTACATCCGGATTGATGTGCCGGATGGTGTCTTGTTGATCAGTATCTACGGCCGTATGAGCCGGTATACGCATGTCCGCGATCGATCAAATGCATACCTGCGGCACTGAGTGGGGTAGGTGTGCTGAGCGATTTGGCCAATAAGAAAACAGCATTGCATGGGAGTGCACATGGGGGCGCAGGACCTACCGATAATATCGGAAACCGGGGAGACTTTCAAAGACGTCCCGATGATGATGAGCAGATCGATCTGTTGCCGATCCTCCAACAGCGCCCTATCGAACTCGTCGCTCAGTTTCTCTCCGAAGAAGGTGATGTCTGGCTGTAGGGCGCTGTCAGGTCGTCATCGATTGTAGCGAGAAATCGTACACTACCTTCATGATCCCTGGAGGAAACTCGGGACGATCGGGCTCGTCCGACTGATCACTATCCCAGCCAGAGCTCTTCCGCTTCTTCCTTGCCTTGCGCTTCGCTGGGGGTCTAGCTTGCAGGACTGCATTGCAGCTTTGCATAGCGGGACTTCTTGATCAGGATGTCGTCCTCGATGTCCGTGCCAGGAACACGGATCTTGCAATTCAGACAAGATGCTGTAGCAAACGAGCCGTGACACTGCAGGACGCGCTGGACTCCGGCTAGCGTTTCAAGAGTGTCTATGTTCTGGGTATAGTTCTGTGACACGTAGATCATCAGAACGAGATACAGTGAGGAGAAGGCAGACAGGATATACCCGGAGTAGCTGGTATGCTGTGATTTAGCGAGGCATACTGAATGCAAGGTATACGGGAACATTCACCTTTCCTCGATCCTCTATCGCCTTAATGAACCAATGGCAAGGGGAAGGCCTGAAATTAGACGGATATATTTTACTGCTTTTGGTGAGTATGTAAGCCAGCAGGAATGGGAATTTGAGACCTAGCAAATGAACTGGATGCCACAGTTATCAGTCTTTCATCAAGTTTCTGAAGCGAAGTAACTCACTAGAATACTGGAAGACAACAAGATGGTTCGTAAGACACAGGGGATATCCAATTTCACTCAGCTCACCTGTGGGCTTTTCACGGAAGTATGTTATATCGAACCTGCATCGTCAGTTCGCACATGTTCGGTTTCATGTGTGCCTAGTTGACCTACATTTGTTGCGGATCGTCGAGATCATATTCTCCACTTTCCTGTAACGAAGCATACAAGCCATTACGGGAACGGAAGTCCGGAATTCCACATGACACGCCTGGGTGACAAGTCATCAGGGTTTGTTCAGAGAACCGAAGAACAAATTTACTGATTCCGGCTCCTGTGAGTATCAAAATACGCTGGCGCCGTTGTATGAGACGAACGGCATCATCGACTGTGTTGTACTGGGTCAGCTTTTCTCGGGACTCTAGTCTTGTTAAACCCGGAATGTGAGTGCCGTGACAGACGGAGGAATGATGCTATAACACCTACTCTCGCGTTAGCGCGACTTTGAGAAAGTAAAGCTGTGTGCGTTGTGGCTTCGCTCTTAGTTCGGGACACTACCGGCTCGGCATTATTCTCATGTGGGTATGATAGCCAATGAAAAGTTCTTACGAGGCAAATGCCGAATGCATATAACAGCTTAGGAATGGGTACATTGCGTTCAATGACATATGCCTTGATGTAAGCCGCCATTCCTTGAGGGTATCATCATGATGCAACTTTGACTAGAATTGTCTAGAGATCGGAATAACTTACCATGCTCTTTGAGTGTTCTCATCATCTGTTTGACATCTTCGTTGGTCCATGCGTGTTGAGCTATTCATGTCGAGAGCGAGGATACTCAGCACACCAGCATATACAACAGCCTCGACGACTAAGATTCAAGGAGTCCGGTGCTCGGAGTGGCTCACCTTCTGTAAGTAGGATGTCCCATTCCGTTGGTTCTTCTTGGGTTTCTGTGGTTAACCCATTTCTGCTGGTATCTTCCACATCGACGTCCTCCTCGTCAATGTCGACGTCGCTCTCGAGCTTAGCGGCACGGGCGAAGTCTTCCAGGAGATCTTCTATGATGTCTGGGTCCGTGTCTACCACTTCAGCGGCCTCAATGAAGCCTTGGACCTGCAGGGCATAGATGTGATCGAAGCGGCTCCCAAAGACACTTGTGGTGGCATCGGACGAAGATCGCGCAGCGCCCTGGGCCTCTGTGGGTGGTTGGCGGTCCATGAGGCGATGGTGGTCGCTGCCCTACTTAAAGGACACTTGCATGAACGGTCACGGGATTGAGCGCGACGCCACAACGGTCTTGATTGGGTAGTATCGTGCTTCGAACAGGATTCCAACTCGAGCGCAACTTGAGCGCAACAGAGAAATAAGTAGACATCTTCCAACTCAGCAACTAGCGGAGTCGTACGGAGACGTGCACGTATGGATCGGTCCGTGTCTACGGGCGCTGCAGCGGATCAGAGCGGAGCGTCTGATGTAGCGTACTTAGTAGTAAAACGCGAAAGACTTCGGTAGGAAAAAGAGAAGGCCTGAGAAACGAGGGAGCACAACACATGTATGCACTAACAGTCTAACACCGAAGGCAATCACAAGGACGGATATCAAAAACAACGGCCGGTACAAATACAATTGCATAAGGGAGGACCTCTCTTCGACAGTCAATCAATCGAACTGCCCCGCTTCAGGAGCAGCTCGTCATCTTCATCGTCACCGGGAGCGAGTTTGAGAGGTTCGTCATTGATTCTCATTTGGATCGTGGGCAGTCCAGCGTTGCTCCGCCTGTGCCCTCGCAGAGGGGACGCATGCCCCTGGCCATAACCACCACTGGAGCGCTCGGTCGCTCGTCGAGAGGCAGCCTTCGAAGCGGCGACGCTCGCGAGGGTGACTGTCCCAGAGCGTGTCCTCCGAGTGCTGGAGGCGCTATCCGTCACTGCGGCACCACCCTGAGCGGTGGTACCCTGTCCGGGAATTTCGTTCGCTCCGTGGTGCGCAGCCATTGGCATTTGGAAGTCTGATGCACGGATGGTGTCTGCGCGCTGGCGTCTGTGAGTTTGTTGTCTGCTCCTCGACGCTTTCGGAGGTGGTAGAAGAACAGACGACGGGGAAGTGTATCCCGAGTTGATGATAACTTCAGGGATCTTCGCATGATTCGCTGGCACGGAGGGCCCATCGTCGTAGTCTACATCCAGCATATGGTCAGTTGACGCCAGAAGAGTATCAATAAAAAATAGGGCGATGGCACGTACCTCCCAGCTCAAGTGTCATAAAAAGTTCCCTGAGATGAGTATCGGGTGAATCGAAGCCACCGAGGTCCACGGGCGAGTCACTAGACGTTTGACCGACCACGTCTCCAGGTTTAGCAGACACAGGCGAGGCGTGCAGGGTTGGCAGAGAGGCAGACCGGTGAAGCGCATGTCCAGATGTAGGTTGCCCAGGATCGGTCGCATGCGTAAAGGCAGAGGCCAATCCCACGTTCAGGGAAGAGAAAGTAGTAGCAAGGGATGCATGATCTTCGTGAGTTGATTTCGGAGAGGTTCGTTGGCGAGACTCCACGCCATGAACGTCTAAAGCGTAGGATGCGCGTTGCTCTTCGGCAGACCCAGAGAAGTTCAGCACAGAGGAGAACAGGTTATCACCGGATGGGTTATTGATGGTGCGGCGCCGCATACGTACAGGGGGTCGCCGAGGAAGATCGCTGGACTCCGGTGAGCTGGGACGCGTGGCAGACTGAGTATATGCGTTGGAGTGGGTAACAGAGTCCAATGACATGTCAGACAACGTGATATCGAAGTCTTGAGTCTCTAAGCGCACGCCGCCTGTGGTCGCGCGACGCTTCCGTGGAGGAGTGGAGGCGTCGTTGGGAACACCAAGGAAGAACGATTGGAGTTCAGGAGATGGCTCGAGTCCAGCGTTTTTGGAGAGTACCGTTGGATGTGCCAGCCAGTCGTCTGTTGTCTGGATAGAGGGGACGATTGGGATCGACCCAGTGCGGTAGTGTAGACTGTGAGTCGACCTCTGTTGCTTATCCTGGGTCGCATCGAACTGCGCTCGAATGGTGGCTGAACAAATGCTAGCATTGTTGTCCGCGCCAGTAGCCAGCGGGTCTTGTATTGCATGAGCTAATGTCGCCGGATCAAGAGTAGCAGAGAGGGTGCGGGACTTCGCATGGTTATATGGTCTTTGAACTTTGCCTTGATTCTTTATCTTGGCGGGGGATGCAGCACGAGACCCAGGTTGACTGCTGAATGGAGTTCCGAGGGCGCGAGTACGATTCTCTTTCAGACGTCGGGAGCTGGTACGGGAGAGCATGTGGCGAGCAGCAGGAAGCGGAGAGAACTGTTCTTTTCCAGAGGACACAGACGGCATCATAGCATTTTCGGAGCGGAAGGAAGGATGCGGAGTGCAAAACATCTCAGACATCTGAGTCGGCTGAGAGGGTATTTGACCAACGACACGTTCACCAAGAGCGGAAGAGAGGGCAAGAAAAGCACGACTAGGTTCACCGTCATCGGAAACTTGAGCATCATTACTCTTCGCTTTCTTGGCCTTTTGGAGTTCGCCGCCAATTTGTGGATCGTCAGCAGCAGCAGGACTCGGATACGCAGCCTGACGAGAACGCTTCTGCATTCTGCGCGTCATCTCCGTGACCGTTACATCTTCCTTGTCTGCAGGTAACGGTTGCAGAGGAGAGGATGTCTGAGTATTGACCGTGTTGGTAGTTCGTGCACGAGAACGCCGAGAATAGGTCGTCAAGGGTTTTCGAGGTAGCACCATGAGGCAAGGAGTTAGACGATCCTAAAACGCATATATCGGCAACTGTTTCAGCAGCTTTTACGGGGCCGCTCTAGCATAGACGGAATGAGGAAGGTAAGTTCGAGGGCCATACACGGGCATTTGACATGCCTGCTGACCTGCATTCACCTGGGCGCAAGAACTGGAAATTGAAAGCTACAGCGACATCAACATGAAGTACCAGTGCGCAAAATTCATCGCTACTGACCAGCAACACAGCGTGGTACTTGAGGAATAGACACTCAGAGTCAGACAGCTGAACCACCGTAGTAGTCTTGATGAGCAGACGCGTCACTCGGTGTGACGCTCGCACCGTGACGGAGGTCGCGTCCGTCACGTGAGATCTCCCACGTCAGTGGCGCGTCGAGGACAACGTCTCGGTCGGGCGGTTGATGTGTCCATAGTCGACTCTCATCTCTCTGCATGCTGTCCGCTCCTTTATTCGTTTGAACACAACTACCGCTGGCCGAAGAAGTAACTTAACAGTGCCGTTCGCTGTATAAAGCGTTGTTCTCTCAGCATGGTTGTCGCCAAGCGGCCTCTTGCCCCTCCTGCCTCCGCTCGCACGAGCTCTACACAACAGGCCCAGCGAGCCAGAGGCAAGCCACCCGTTGCAGCACCAAATGGCTCTGACAATACGAACTCTGTGGCCGTTGAGCTATCTCATGAAGACGGTCCCCAGAATCCGGACGCAGTGGCAGTGAATGGGGAAGACCGGTAAGCGTTGGCTTTCTGTTATCTCACTCCGTGGATACACAGCGATACGTGCGATTTAGCCCATGCAAGGCTCATACTACTTTGGAGAATGGACACTATTGCTGTAGGAGCAGCGTTGCGTCACACGTATTGCTGATACGCCCTCGCACCTTGCATCACAGGCTGCATTCTTGCGGAGGCTCGTGTGAGTCATACTCATGCGTTGGCTAATATGCCTTTACATGATGGAATCAATGACTGCTGGTGTCAACTGTCCTTCTGACATTCTCTCGTTCGTTAGGACAATTCACCGTCATCAAAGAAGGGGCCTAAGTCCAAGTCCAAGTCCAAGCAAAAGAAAAGCGCCAAGGTTGGGGCACTTTTACAACTGGCTCAAGTACCTGTACTGACTGCCTAAGCGTAGAAGGCCTCTCGCAAAATTCACCGTCTCGGGGACTACTTGTTCCGCATCATCCTCATTTGGCTCACTATCTACACATTCGCCCTATGCCCGGAAGACGTTCGCAGTGAACGACCTGTTTGTCGAGCACTCTCGGAATACCGGCGACTCGTCCTTGAGCCCTATGTGCTTCCACCCATCCGCGTGGCCCTCTCTCACCCTTCCGTTGTGCCTTATGTCGAGAAGGCCAAGCCCTACACAGACCGCGCGTTTAATACGGCAAAGCCAGTCGCTCAGGTCATTGTGCGTCAGTGGAATGCTCGTGTCGCTCCTCAATGGAATCGCCACGTCGTTCCGCTGTGGTACCGATATGCCATCCCGCAGCTTCTCCAGCTCGATGCGAAGGTGACGCCGTATCGAAACCGCGTCACGGACGAGTATGAACGACGAGTGGCCCCGATCATGGACTCTGTCAGTCCTTACGCACAACAGGCGGTGGTGAACGCACGCTTATTACGAAGCAAGGCCCGGCCGTACGTGATGACTGCGGCGCACAAGACCTACGACGGCTATCAGTACGTCGCACCATATGCGCGCCCCACATGGAACAAGGTCAAGGCCCTCGTCGCCCGATTCATCGCTCTTCTAGCCGAGCAGAGAAGACAGTTCGTTGACCCGCACGTTCGCAAAATCTGGGAGCGCGTCAAGGAGCTCAGCAGCGGGACGCCCAAGGTCCCTGCCGCGGTAGATGTACGCGCCTCCGTGTCATCGCGGGTCTCTAGGGCGGCTGAGGGCGCAGCATCAGTGGCATCGTCGTTGATGTCCTCATCGACGCATGCTCCCGACGTCACGGTTCCCGAGTCTCAGGCTTCTGACGCTCCCCTTGTGGTGAACCAGATGCGCAGACGGAAACCGATTTACTCCCCTCCACCGGCGACTCAACATTACCCACGTCATTCTCCGAGGCCGCCGTTGACATCACGGAGACTGTGACGTCCGTCGCAAGTGAGGTCGCCAACACTCTTGAAGACACTGCCTCTGTCATCAGCGCGCTCACCTCACAGCCTGCCGTCCGCGTGTCGTCTTCAATCTCCTCTCTCAGCGACACCGTACCCCCCTTGCGTCAGACTACGTCGCTTCCGCGTCGGAGTCGGCCTTTGTGGCCGCTGAGTCCATCTCATCTCTCTTGTCCTCGGGCTCAGGGGTCATCGGCTCTTCTGCAAGTAGTGCGGTTGGCGCGGCCTCGACGGGTATATTACACGCTTCAGATGCCTTGTCGTCGTCTATTCAGCGTGCCGCATCTGTTGCGTCTCCCGAGTCTATAGCAAGTTCTGCAAGTGGCATAGCGTCTGCCGCCTCCTCGGCGGTGTCCTCTCTAGCTGGCCGGGCTTCATCATCCGGTGCATTGACGGCGTCAGCTGCTAGCGTTGTCCCGGACATTGATCTCGATGCTTTCGCCGAGGAGCTTGGCCTCAATGACATTCTCGCGGAGGCGTCCGGCTCCGCATCGGGTACCGCAATGGATGCAGACACTGCGCCGGCCCCGGTGGATACGGAAGCCGCAGAAGAACAGGAACGGAGGAGGCACAAACGTCTGCAAGAGACTGCGGAGAAACGCGCGAATGTCGAAGCTCGCCACAGCAGGTGGGAGGATGAACAGGCTGCGCTGATCGAAAACAACAAGAGATCTCTCCGCAGGGCCTTGATTGCTCTGAGGAAAGCGGCAGCCGCGGAGCTCAGAGAGTCCACCGAAATCAGAGCGGAGATAGAGAGCTTTGTCGCACGGGCGGAAGATCTCTTGAAGGGCGCTGAAAAATATTTGCAGACTCTAGTGAAGGATCAGCGGCCGGATGAAGAGAAACGGCAGCTACTCGAGCGCGTCCTGGACAAGGTTAACGAGAAGTTCACGGATCGATTAAGCGAAACCGAAGCCGTAATGAACGGGTGGTATGCGCCCTGGCTAGACAAGGAAGTAGCAGAGGTGCGCCTTCTGGACTCTGTCCGCAGCTGCTTGCTGACAGATCTCACCGGCAAATAGGTTCGTAAAGTCGCAGAAGCGGTCAAGGACCATGCGGAGAACGCCCAGGTTGACATAGGCATGGACTATGCCTATCTGGACGATACCACGTACCAAGATTGGCAACGCTATCACGACCTCGTCAGGAGTAGGTCGCTCTCGATGGACGGCTGGAGGTGGCTAGGAACTGACGATTATATTTCCTTCGCAGGGAGTGAAAATTTCACTCAAGAGGCTGAGGCGATGCAAAACGGAACTAGCGTCTCTCCACCTGCCAATGCCCTTCTCAAAGAACTCAAGGCAATACAGACCGAAGTCGAGGACGTCGTCGTAGGATTTGAGACGCGTCTCCGTCGCATCAGGCGTAATAACGCCCGTGCTTTCGGGGAGAGCGTCAAGGAGGATGTCACCGATGCTGATGACGAGATCGTCTCCATTCTGCCCATCGAGGACAAAGACAAGGACAAGGTTCAGTCGCCCGTGGATGTGGATGTTCCGCCTGTCGTCATTGGTCGGAGCAAGGAGGAGGTTATGGAAGCCCTTGACCGGATCGTCGAGGCTGATGGCGACGCGACGTCGTCTCCGCAAGCTACTGAGCAGTCAGCAGACCCTGAGTCGGAGGTGAAGGGTTTGGTCGAGGAGGTTTCGACGGGACAGAGCGTTCCAAGTATTTCTCCAGTAGCATCTCATGAGGAGTTGTGATGTTGGTGGGTTGGGGGAGCTGCCTACTGATCATGGTCGTCTATGGTACTTTAGTTCGCCTTTTGGTTTAAGTATGTTATTCGTAATCGCTCGAGTTCTATTTTGTCACTTATGGCCCTCTGTACTGCCAAACATATGACAGGATGGTTTTTGTTTCATGACGTGAAGCGGGCCAGCAATATCAATGATTCAATCCGGGTGAGGCCCCGGTCAGAACGTTCCACAGATCTCGTCTCAACATTCTGAAATGTCTTGAGACGTTGGCTCAGATTAGCCATACCTCGCAAATTGACTGATGCTGACATGGCATAAAGAAGCACGGCGGCACTACACGATAGCAGACAATACAGCTGAGCGGACAGTTCTCTATGATAGTACAGACTCATGTGGACAACATATGTATCCTCTTCTAGAACGAAATCCAAGCTCACGTTACACAGCGATACAAAGCAGAGTCACAGCTATAGGAGTCCGAAAATTAAGCGTCATTGTCCGAAGCACGGACGGAGTTCGGGATCGGATCGTGTGTTTTGGGTGACATCATGTGGGCTGCATCAACGTGAGGCCACAATCTGCGGGATGATCTCGTCAAGACACGTCGTGCACCGGGGAGCAAAATTACCCACTTTACTTATACGCCAAGAAATATGCGGAGAGCGCGGGTAGATCGTTGGTGCTCGCATCAGAGTAACCCTGCCTACGCGAGCCATTGAATTTGAGCACGATCACGGTTCCGCACCATGGCCTGGCAGCGGCGCCAGATGTGATTCGGTGAATCGCGCGATTGACCGGCGAACCACGCTGGAGCGCCTTGGGACAGTACCATATATGCAACGGGAATCGAAGGGGCTCCCCGTTGAGACCTTGGGTGAGAATGATTGTGTTTGGCACGCTCTCGGTGAAGTAATCTTGCACAAGCGGCATGGGACACATTCCTTGAGAAGCAGTGCCTTGAGGACGGCACTGTACAGTGATTAGCCGTGACCGATCTGTGAAGGGTTACACAATCAATGATAAGTGACGGTTCGAAGACTATTTTGCGCACCTTCTTCTGGCGCGAAGAGCATCGCCGCCACCTGGACGAGTTGCTGTTGCGCCGGCGGCGGAGTAGCAATCGTGTTCGGATGACCGGCGGCATTGACGGGGACGCATTCCCTTTTGTGGCGTGGCCAATCCTGCAATGACTAGCGTTAGTCCGGGTATCATACAAGGTAGATACCGGAACGTCGTACACCCTGCAGATGGTCTGGTGAACAGTACCAGATACTCTGGCACCGGCTGCACCACAGCGTCGTCGTTTGGCCGCAGACTGCGCAAGGGTGGGTGATCAGCGACATGGTGAGGATAGTCCGCGCAGTAAAGGCCGGGCAAGGGCAGTGGCGGATGGGCAGGCGGGCTGCGTTGGGATGGCATGTCTGCTTGAGAGGCAGACTATTTAAACGAAGCCGAGCGACCACTCGGTGTCTTGCATTATCCACACGGTCAATCAAGCAATTTTTGGTGCATGGGGACGGGATGATGAACACACGCAAGAGGAAAATCATTGGCTTGACTCACGGACGAGGCAGATCGAATACGTATGAAGGCCAGGCACCGGTTATTACGACTGCCTGGGTCCATCATTCCGTTAACGAACGCAGGTCCCACACCGTCGTTAGCGTTGATGAAAGCAGTGAACCAATAGCCATGATCTGGTTCCGCACATTATAGTGGATACCTACGTATGGTAAAAGGTTGTATCCCTTTCGTGATGGAACATTATGAAAACTAGATGCGTCCCAGGGGTTCATGTGTGTACGATCTGGTGTCAGTTACCCGTATTCCGAGGGTCCGGACGATCAGACGCAAGAGACATTCCCGTGGAGAGGGCCATAAGTGTGGGCGCAGGGCGGCAGATAGGCTTTCCGAGTGCAGACGAACCGTCAGAAGCTCACAGCATGCCAGCGCCGTTCACGACGAGTAGGTTCATCAGACAGCTGTTGAGTAGAGTCGTTTCGGTCGAAGCTATGCGCAGGCATATGCAACCGTCAACCAGCCAGAGCCCGTTGAAACGCACCCGCCGTGGCATGTGGGCTGTGTCACGGCTGTGAGTGCCATCACGCGTCACTTCTGTCACACCGGCCTCAGCCACTCGCCGCCACAGAGCGCCGTCGCCGGCCGACAGCCCGGGCCCGCCGCGGCGTTGGGTCACGCCTCGAAAGTGCGTACGCGCGCTGTTTGCCATCCACCGCGTTCGCCGTGCAGTCCACCATGTCCGACGATGGAATGAACATTGATGATAGTGAGTACTGCGAACCCGTGCGATCTGACACACGTCCGCGGTGCTGATGCAGCATGTAGGCGGCAACGACGGTGTCGTCCGCCGCAAGGGCAGGGGTTTCCAGAGCGCTGCTGGTGAGTATATCTTCACCACATGGTATGTCTCGTGCTGACTGGACTCCTCCTCCTCTGTCTCGTAGGCGCAAATGAGAGCGTAGTCGCCTCGGAACAAGCCTTTGACCGAGTGGAGTCAACCCAAGACTCGGGTACAAGGGCAGCGAGATGTGAGTGCCCTCCTCATGCATCTGAGACCCAGTACTGAGTTACATTGCACCGATCGCCACAGCCGTTGAGGGTTGGATCGTTTTGGTGACCAATGTACACGAAGAAGCCACCGAGGAAGATGTGACAGACAAATTCGCGGAGTATGGAGAGATCAAGAACCAGCATGTTAACCTCGATCGTAGGACTGGTTATGTAAAGTGCGTATGTTGGACATGGGAGTATCCGTCATCACCAATCGTCTTCTCTGGTCTGTAGGGATATGCCCTGGTGGAGTACGAGACGATGGCAGAAGCGCAGGCTGCCATCGACGGGGCTTCAGGGACAACGTTGCTAGAGCAAACACTCCAGTGCGATTATGCTTTTGTGCGGCCGCCCCCAGCAGGCCCCAAGAAGGGTCGCGGGAGAGAAGGTCGGGGTCGCAGTGCAAGCCCGTCGCGTCGGAGAGAGAGGGACTAAAAATATGCTGAGGCTGCTGGATTTGAGCCTGTTATCTCATTCTCTTCTCAACGCTCTGCCGGGTCCACTCGTCAGGTCAGCTAGCGTTCGTTCCGATGCTATCATCATCGCGTGTAACCTGTAATATTATATTGCTTCAACCGACGAACGATGTTTTCTTTCAATGTTCCTTTGTGGGCATCCCAGCGGCGAGGCGCTTCCGGTTTAGGGTTAGCACGGCGCGTCTGGCCATGAACTTCGCACGCCTTGGTCCTCGCTTCCAACTTGCTTCCAACAGCTCAAGGCCACCCTCGCGACAGTCTGCCTCTTTGTCCTCATCGAACGCGTCCTTTCAGTCCTAGACATGGCCAGGGCAGTCCCTCCGTTGCCATCTGACAGCGAAAGTGATCAAGACACGCGTGCGTCGGCCAGGAAAGAGAAGGTTCCTTCCAAAGACGCAATGGACGTGGACGAGGAGAATGCGGAAGTTGTAGATGATGAAGTGGAAGAGGAATACGAGATTGAAAGGATCATGGACGCGAAAATCGGCATGTTTCCGGGTGTGCGTCTGTTTTCTGTCCTATATTCCATGCGCCACGCGCTGACAGCCATTCTCAAACAAAGGGCCGTATGGGTTATCTCGTCAAGTGGAAGGGATACGGTGACGAACACAACAGTTGGGTAGACGAGAAGGATTCAGGGTATGCTATCTAGTCCTGGTATGGATTGTAACCCGTATTCATGCCGAATACCGCATCCAGCAACGCCCACGAACTCATTGATGATTACTGGGCCAAGAACAAGAAAGACAAGAGGGGTAACCGCAAGTCTACGGGAGCTCCGGCCGGGCGGCCGTCGACGACGAAGGCGCGCAAGTCGTCCGTTGTGCGAGACGAGAGCTCTGAAGCCGAAGAGCTCCGCCCGAAGAAACGAGGCAGACCGCCCAAGGCCAAGCGCGAGGAATCGGTTGATGACGAAGTGGAGGAAGTGGAAGGTAACTCGCGGGGGAAGAAACCCAAAAAGCCAGTACTGCTGCCGCCAGAAGCGCTCCGGAAGTGGACGCCGAAGGGTTCCAGTCTATGAAGCAATGGAAGACGACAGCCACCTGGGAACATATTGTCGAGAAGATCGATACAGTCGAACGCGCAGATGATGGCAGGTTGATGATCTACTTCTCATTGTGAGTATTGCTAGGAAGTGCCGCCGGCTGTCATTCACATGTCTGTACAGGAAAAATGGGGGTCGGGGCAGGGAGGACTCCGAAACCTGTAAGGACAAGATGCCTCGGAAGGTATGAGTATCATTTCATATTGGGTCATCCCTGTCATGACGCCATCTTTTACAGTTGCTCGATTTCTATGAGACGAATCTGCGATGGAGGGTTGTTCCAGAGGAGGCATGAACTTAGCTGGTGCTGGATTGGCTTCTCATTGTCACGTTTGTCGGTCTTCAGGGATTCGCTCAAGTCTCCTATTCAAGGTCCGCAGAGTTCTCAGATGAGTCCCCTCGTGCCGTGTATGCGTAATTATATTTGTTGTCGATATTGCTCAATGCGCAGTGGTCCGACCTCACACCCTGTGCGGTCAGACTCATTCCTTCAGTGAAGCATTTCTCATGGGTCTCCGGCTTCTATGTCCCTCCGAGCTCAGACAACGACGGATACAACTGAAAGCATGTGACAGATGAGTGGAAGTGGTTGGCGAAAGTACGGCCCAAAGGTGACGCCTCGACACGATCTTGCCCACGATGTGGCGTCTGGTGGATCGACTCGGTCGTACGCCATGACAGTCAGTCGCACGATCCATATCCCGGCTATGTCATACAGGGTCCCTGTACATGAGAACACCCTAGAAAGTGGAGTGCGTATAATCCGTACCTGTCTGGTGACTGAACTGACGAGTACAACGTACTAGTCCCATGTGAACCTTCTAGACACTTGACCTTATCGACCGTGCAGATGATGAGTCTGAGATGGGCCTACGGAAATGTCAAACATGGCCGTGCGCTGATTCCGCGGACCTGTGAACGGCGGAGCGGGAGACTCAATCTAGATGTACGGTACATGAGGGTCTTCCAAGACATGTCCAGGATACCAAGTGGCATTCCCATCGATACCGCACGCGACGAACTGTGTCTTTCGCGGAACCGAGCCTTCAGCCGGAGATCTGACACCTCGCATAGGCAAATCCGAATGAAACGTATGTACGAGGACCCGACCGGGCGCATTTCGCGGCTTAGTACTAGCCTGTGACATCTCGGAAATGTATGATAAAGCTTAAGTGGCCTCGGCTTGATATCTGTACATCGACTATCACACTCAGAGACCCATGTGGATATACATTGTCCGTACGTGTCCCGAACCCAGCAGATAGTGGAGAACCACGATGACAAACATTCTTCTGCGTCAGCGAAGATATAACCGCCTCCGTGAACCTCGACGATGCATTTAGCCTTACAATGACGTGCAGCGGCACTGACATCCCACTATCAACTTCTGGTGAGCTACCATTTGACTGGAACAATGACTCATCCTGCGCCTGTCTTTGGTCCACCAGATGCAGAGGCACATCGAGATCCCACCGTGAGAGGCCGTTCACAAAGGAAACACCAAAGACAATCTTATTAGTCCCTCCGAGGGCGCCCAAATATGTCCGTAACGCGTTATACGAGGCCTGATGACTGACAGAATGTGCGCGACGACCGTGGCTGCGGATCTGCTTCTGTGTGCCTATCAGACAAAACGATCCAACCGTAGGGATCATTCTAAAAGCTATTCTACTCAATCCGATAGGTACTATACAACGGTATGATACCTTAGTTGTCCATTATCCCGATTCAATTCCGATCAGAGCTTATTGGAGTGTTCATCAGATGTTCGGTATGACAGTTTGTGGCATTCGACGTTCACCGTGTTTGATGGGTGGTGCCGGTGGGCGTTCAGTATATTTCCCATTCCCGGAAGTCCGAGGTCATTATGTAATACTGTATCGGGCCGGGATCTCGGCCGGACATGGTACTCGGTCAGTCGAGTGCCGTAGGCTCAGTTCCCAGTCTTACGACAGATTACGCATACCAGTCGTCTCTCACAATCCTCCTCTACCTCCTGATATGTTTTTCTTGTAATTAACTTTAGGAATGAGCCCATGGTGGTCGACTGACCGAGTACCCTGTCTGGCCGAGATCCCGGCCCGATACAGTACCTCATCGAAGATCGCAGAAGTTCCATCGAGATCTGACCGGCGGACCGGTTTCACGGCGAACTTCACGGACTGCGAGTTAGACAGAGAGAGTCCGACAAATTTCAAGGCGCATAAGATGGTGGGTTCATTCGGTGGGAGATAAAATCGATGAACAGCGCATAAGGGCAATCGTCGTTCCGAGTCACAGCCACCGGCCTTGCGGCGCCCATTGGCACTCCGCGCCGACACTTGCGATTTGCCTCCGCTTGGCCATTCTTCTCTTGCACCAAGCGTGACATACTCATTTGGGCCAGCATGATATCCTTCGCGTCGTTTCCGGTCTCATTGCAGAACAAAACTTTGTCTATGACACGACATCATCCGGATGTTGAGGATGACATTGACATGGATGAAGATTTCGAAGAGGGGCCTCACAGGCTCACATCTCCGGGCGAACCGCTCACATCCTCGCAAGCTTTCATGCGGTAAGGCTCGGCGAAAGTGGTTTGTTTTCCATACATGACTAAAGGACCGTTGCAGGGGCCATGGCACCTACATAGATAGTGAGGAGGTCATTTCCTCCGTGGCAGGCACCGTCGAGCGCGTAAACAAACTCATTTCCGTACGGGCCGTGCGTTCGAGGTGAGAGTTGCCCTGACCTTGGGTGTATGTATTACGTTGACCTAGCCTTCAAGGTATAACCCCGAAGTTGGTGACCTCGTTGTAGGCCGAATCACGGAGGTGAGTCAGACAGAGACGCATGGGACGGTCGGAACATAGTGTGTTTCAGGTACAACCTCGTAGGTGGAAGGTAGACGCGAACTCTAGGCAAGACGCGGTGCTTATGCTGTCGTCTGTCAATTTGCCCGGCGGTGTTCAGGTGCGGAACCATGCTACAAGTCGGTGATTATCTGTAATGCGCACTTCGTATTGCAGCGGCGGAAACTCGAAAGCGACGAATTACAAATGCGCACTTTCTTCGAAGAGGGCGACCTCCTTGTTGCCGAGGTCCAGGCCTTCTTTGCTGACGGGGCAATGTCGCTGCATACCCGATCTCTACGATATGGCAAGGTACGGTCTCTCAAGTCACTTAGACCTTGTTGTTCCGCTTATTGTTCTCCGCATGCTAGCTGCGGAATGGACAGCTTGTGACAGTTCCGCCTGCTCTCATCCGCCGTCTCAAGTCGCATTTCCTCTCACTGCCCTGTGGTGTGGACTTGATTCTCGGATTGAACGGCTATATCTGGGTCAGCAAGCATGTCAAACAAAATGAGCAAGAGGGAGAAGAAGCCTTCGACACTGAAGCCGTGTACTCGAACAAGAATGACGTACGCATCCGTGCTTCTAACTCCGGCTATCTTACAAGGTGATATGTCAGGGCATCGACGATGCGACACGTCTCGCCATATCGCGCGTCAGCAACATTATCCGAATCCTTGCCGCACACTTCATTCCGCTCACGGACACCCTGCTATTGGATGCGTACGAATGGGCGGTCGAGCAAGAAGGCGATGTCAAAGACTTGCTACAGGGAGATATTGGCGATGCCATGGTAGCTACTATTACTACGCGGGACTGACAAACCGCATGCACAGCCATGTTAATACAACAGAATTTGTATCACTGCTAGTATACACCAGACTAATCCGACTCGGATACACGGGCTAGTCATCATCCTCGCTTGATACTGCTTCAACATCGTCATCGTCGCCGTTATCTTCATTCTCATCGTGCTCCTCCTCGTCCTCTTCTTCTACAGGCTGTTGTATCTGAGTAGGCGGAGGCGGGGGTGGTGGTTGATTGGTGCTAGCCCCACTTGCCATCTTACGCGCTTGAGCAGCCCTCTCAGCCTCTTGGCGCGCTTCATCGATCGGATAGAGCGTGTCAAGTGCAAGGTCCTTCCAGCGTAAAGATCCGTTCACACCACCACCCGAAAAGCCCATATCTTCGAACAGAGCGCGAGATGACGGATCATATGGGCGTCGAGGTCTCGCCGCAGGGTGCTTGATGTTGAACGGATTTCCGTAAGGGTATGAGGGATGTACTTGTGATGGCAAAACTGTATGAAGAGCCGAATGGATCAGCCGGCGGCGGCGATCTGACACGGAGAGAATGGGACGTACCGTCAGCGTCCTCCGGATTAGGAGGGACCATATGTGAAGGTATATCAACATCTTGTAAGCGTGCAAGGGTTCAGACGATGCCATAAGTTGATAAATACAAAAGCACTGACCGTCATCCGAGAGTTCGCCTTTGAGATAATCTGCAGTGCCAATGGTATCCAGAACGGCGAGCTCGTCCTTCGTCATATGCAAGTAGCAATACGTTAGATCCTGTCGCAGGCATGAATCAGTGTTCCGCTCAGAAACTATCAGAAAGGCTCTGACAGTCATTGTTGCGAAGTGAGGGAAGGACCACTGCCAGTGAGAGAACTATTATGGCAGGACTTGGGCGGGACTCGCACAGACTGACGAACCTGAGCCACAGGCTGGACGCGTCTGTGGCGTGGGAAATGCGATTCTCACTGGCTCACTGGCTGCTTGTCCTGCTATGTTCGCCAGTTCAGCAATAGTACCCTTGCACCTGACCAACGCTACTGTAGCATCTGCACCAAATTCGCACTTCGTTGTTCACTGACTAAGCAATAGCTCTTCTAATTGCACCATCCTGTGGGGTAGTCTGTTGAAGGGTGGTCGACTGGATTGGAAACGGATTACGGTAATGTCTTATGGGAAAAAGTACCTGAATGAACTGCTTCTGACAGTCAGCACTCTTAACAGCCGCGTTCGTTAGATACATTGAGGGCAAATTGATTCGACAAGCTGGTGCTGCCAAGCCTCGTCATGGCTCAAGCTTCACTTGCTACGGTCTTCAGTCTATCAGGTGTTTCAGCCACAACGTCGGCGAAATGCCTGCAGTGGACTGCCGACGGCCAATTGCTCGTGTTGACCAAGTCTGCTGTTCATATCATGGTGGGTTGTCGTTTTTTATCATGCTTGGGCTGTGCACGACATTTCTCGACCATCTAGACGCCGCATATAGGCATGAGCGGTGAGGTGTCATCGACCATCGACCGCACGGAAGAGAAGAATTCTTCCAGCGACGTCAAACGCATCGGATGGCTGAGGACCATGATTGGTATTGATAAGGCGCTCGACCATCAATGGCCTACTGGCTCTCAAGGTGCCATCTGCTCGGTGTGACTTTGTGTCCTCTGTGCTTAGCAATTACGCAGAATGGGGCGCCGTGGCTCTCGGCTCCCTTGATCAAGGTGTCCGTGCGGTCACTTCATCACCAAGCAATCTGAGCGGCGATGCTAGGTGAGACTCATCTGTGTGCCTAGAGTCTGTACCGCACAGGATTGCGCGAAGTATCCATCTGATCGGCGTCCACAGCTGTCTCCTGGTTGTGCTCAACTCAAACATGGAGCTAGCCTTATGGGGACCTGTTAAGAATTTCCTCAGCGGAGAGTGGACCAAGGCGCGTTGTCAACTCTTGAGCTCGATGATTCCCACTCAACACCCCAACAGCTCGTAGATGTAACGGAAGCGTTACAGGCACACTTCTCTACTCACGAAGATTCGACTTTGGCCAGTATTTTGCGCGCACAATCAACCTGTAAGCGCCTCCGGGTTCACCATAAGGCACCCATAACCCGATTTGTAGGTATTGAATGGTCATCACAGGCGGACTTCGGTCTCGCGCCGACACCGCTCCTTGACGGATCTCTACTTGCCGTTGGAAATCGAGCGGGATCTGTGAGTTTTCTCAGGTATGCACAACTGGTCCAAGTCACAATGGGTATGTTATTTTTGACACGGCGCAGGTTCCGCGGTAGAATAGACGGATCTTGGGAAGTGTGCTGCGCTGCGACGGTACCGCTCGCTGACAGATGGGTCACCCATGTCGCATGGTCTTCTTGGAAACGGCTACAAGGCGGAGGATGTGCGTACCGAACGTGGCCTATGCTCTCATGCTAACCCCGGTCCTGTCATAGGCGAAGCCTCCCTTGCATGCGGGATAGCTGATGGTTCCGTTGTCGTTCTCAGAGTCATTCAGACTGTGCATCCGGAAGCATCGCCGTCGGGGCTCGTTCCCCATAACGACATCCAAGCATCCTTCGAAGTTCGAGACATCAAGCCCTCAGGGAGTGACGGAAGAGGACTGACCTGTATGAGATGGGCGGAGCCATCGGCCGACCTTGTGAGATCCTCCGCTCGTTTGCATTCTCGTCGCCTCGTGAATGACGTTGACGCCGTCTAGGATATGTTGATCTATTCCAAACCAGGAAAACTATATCTCTGGGCCATGCCAGCGAATGGACATCTATCGATTTTACGCACTGTCGCTCTTCCCACACAGCAGCTGTCCATCGGTTCCTCTGCACTCACTCCTGTGGTTGGCCTCACGCACGTAGACAGTGAAGATGCGCTCGTGGTTTGCCTGGCGGATGGCTCGTTTCATGTCGTGCACCACCTCTCCAAAGAGCAGTCATCTGTCCAACCACCAAACGACGTCGGGCTGTCTAGCATTCAACTATCTACAGCTGGTCGTTCTGCGTTTGCAGCTGCTGAAACGGAGAAGACAACCAAGAAGGACGTCAATCGCATCTACGGAATGGTCTCATACGACAGCCATGCATGGTTCACCTGGCTTCATGAGTGAGTGTGACTACTTCTGGTGCTCAGTGATTAACGACTATCCAGATCTGCCGTCCAACCGACTTCAGCTACAGGCACGACGCTCGCCATGCCTGCATGCTCGTCATCGCGAGACTGCGTGAAGTTGATGGGAGAGTCACCTTCTTTCAAGCATACGCACTCTGATTACCAATGCACGAGCCGGTTCGTGCGCACTCCTGATGATCATCCATTTCACGATTTGTCTCATCTGCGGACCGTTTAGCCAGCAGAGAAAGTCCGTTGAGTCTCCTTCGGCCTACATTACTGTACTTGCAAGACGAGAACATCCTTGGCCTGTGTGGCAGGCTACTGGGTATCCTCAACAAAGCCTCCGATCTCAGACTCGTCCCCCAACCTTCGCTCTGAGTGTGCCGGTGTCACTCCAGAAATCAGACAGGGCTCGTACGCAGCTTAGGCGCACACATTTTGGTTCAGATGCGTTGTTAGCATACGATGCGACTCATAATCGCCGATATGTGTGCGGTAAGTCCGATGCTGACTGGATGTGCAGACACTGATGCAATTCGATCAGCGCACTGCCGACCTCAAACACGATCGACAAGCTTTCGCAGAGCTCTCTGCTCACTGCGACAAGCAGATCCAGTCTCGTGTTCAGCTGGCAATCTTCCGGAGCATATTGTCGTTCTCCCAGCACTGACAGGTCATTCGTCCTTATGTGCCTTCTGTTCTGCCTATCTGATTGTTTGAAAGATGCCGACGTACCATTTGCCCTGAGATAGTGGCGCGAGCTTGTCTGCCGGCTCTGATCCCGAGATTGTTGAAGCCGCACATATGCTGTGACCAAGCTGAGTCCACCGTGACACACGATGATCCCCCACTCAGTACGAACCATGCCCAGCTTGTCATGCTCAGATCCCTTTCCAGGATGCCGCCACCGCGGAATGCCCTCAAGGCCATGTGTGGAGTGAGTGCACTATCAACACGCATATCTCGTCGTCTGCTCAGTCATCTGTCTGACTTCACTCATTCACAGCTCGCTGCTCCGTGACTTCCTACATCATTGCTACGCCAGTCATCCGAGCCTGCAGCAGTTGCAATCGCAAAGCGTTCTTCCCGCTGCAACGAGCCGGTGAAGCCGGGATTCCGGATGACATACGCAAGAGTTGGCTGGCCGCAGACGTGCTGAATGCTGCACAACGATGCCTTCGCTGCGGATGCAACTTTGTGATGCTCCTCTGATGCGATCTGCCTCGTGTCAGACGATCCCCCACAGTGATCCATACCGTGATCGAGCACAATTCCTACCACAAACTCCTCGTGCTCAAACAACACACCCACAGGGCACATGGCTGCTACGCTCCAGTGCCGTCGCACCGATACCGATGGAGAACAAAGGCGGCTGCCTTATCGCCTTTCCAGTCGGGATATCACCATTTGCCCCGACGGTTGCAGCAAATCTGGCAAGTCTTACCAGAGTATACCTCGTTGCAGATGACAGGGGCAGCTGAAATGGGGTGAACAGATTCTATGACAGTACGACAGGATACGAAGACGGCTCACAAAAGGAGAATTGAATGCCTTACTGGTCACTACTGGGGACGACGAATCGGATCTGCCTCCTTGCGGAGGCGCGTCATTGCGTCCATGTCCAACTCCCAAAAACCGTACGACATTGTTGTATTGACAAGAACCGAGGCAGGTGTGCTGTACCGCTCTCAGCATGCTGCGTATGCGCGCGTCCCGTGACTCTGTATCTACGAGCGGCAGAGTTTCGGCACTGAGCGGCTCCATCCCAGAGTGACTGCGCCATTCGTTCTATCCAGCTGCAGGATCAGCCTAAGTCTTAGTCTGCCATCCCGTTCACGACTTTCGAGAGTGACACGAGATTCTGTAATATTTGTCAAGAGCACGAAAGGGGAGACGGCTACTGAGTCGCTGAACCGGTGCGTGCCGTGGAAGCCAATGAGCGTCTTTTGCAGGTCTTCTGTACCCTATCATCATGGGAATAACCGTGACATGGGAATGACATTGCCTGCGCACATATATTGCCTCCTATCCTGCATACATATATAATGCCTATCTACCACGACGGCCGTCGATCGAGTACTTGCCGCCCTCGCTGTACCACCTAATGAGTCTGGTTAGCAGTACCATGGGCATGGCTCGACGAGACGAAACTCGGTGGAGATCTTCCGGTCGCCACTGTCCACAGTCATAACTATGGACATGGTCATAGCCAACAACGGAGATCTTGGCAGCGCCCGACTGTCCTTCAATCCCTTGTCCTATTCGCGGTCGTGTATGGCATCCATATCGCCTGCTCGAGAATATCACCCACCTCTGTTCAGCACTCCGCCTCGAAGCTGGTCACGGCGACAGGAACAAATGCTCCAGACTTCGACTGGCTATCGGTACGTGCTTCTCGTGTCTATAAGTACACAAAGTCAGCCTGCTCATTGTATGCAAGCTCACGCCGTCTGATGACATTAATTGGACGCCTTGCTTCGACGAGTACCAATGCGCTCGTCTTATCTTGCCCCTCGATTACCTCTCTCCTGCTGGCTATGGTCCCAATGTGACCATCGCATTGCAAATGTTGCCGCGACGGACCCCGCCAACTTCAGAGGCACGATTCTCGTCAACCCAGGCGGACCAGGCGGAGCCGGAACCGATTTGATCGTGCGCAAGGGCAAGGATATCATGCGTATCTCAGGCGGGTCGTATAACGTTCTAGGCTTCGACCCGCGCGGCACGGGGGCCAGTAACCCTCTGCGCAATGTTTCGACTCAGAGTCTCAGTTCAAGATATGGGGGCTTCAGGCTGGACATCGAACCCTGAATCTGAGCGACGGGTCTGTCCCGATCGCCCGTGCGCGCGAGACTGCACTTGGCCAGAAATGTGAGGAGGCCTTGGTGGAAATGGCAAGGAGGACGCGAATGGGACCGCACAGGAATGGGGTCCGGCGAGGTTCATGAGCACTCCGAGCGTCGCCACGGACATGCTTGAGATCACCGAGAGGCTCGGAGAGGAAAGGCTGAAGTATTGGGGCTTTGTGAGTGCTTCACGGCGCACCGGTGATGCTTGCCGCTGACGGAAAGACTTCGTAGAGCTATGGGTCCATCCTTGGCCAGTACTTCTCGGCCATGTACCCAGACAAGGTCGAGCGTGTCGTGATTGACGGCGTTTTTGACGCCTACAACTATCGTAACACATCTTGGAACTCCAATCTGGTCGACACGGACGCAGTCTGGGCCTCTTTATACACCTTCTGCCACGAAGCCGGTCCCTCGAAGTGCCCTTGTACGAGGACACCGTCGAGGCAATTCAAGCCCGCGTAGAGGCCATCCTTGAAGGTCTCAAGGATCGGCCGCTCGCTGTCCCCTTCGCGCCTGCTGGTCCTTACGTCCTCACGTTCAAGGCTGTCCATTACAACGCGTTCCGTTCAGCCTATGGTCCGACCACCCAGTACGGCCCCCTCGCGCACGCGCTGGTCGCCGTAGAGCAGAACAACCAGACCGCCCTGGAGGGTATGGAGGAGAGGTTCGGCGCGGGCACGAAGTGTCAATGCCAGGATTCTTCGCCATGGCTGCAGGATACCGAGGCCTTCTACGCAATTGCCTGCGGCGACGGCGAGCCCATCACCTACACAGACGAGGCATACCGCGCCTGGTTTGAGGATCTCGCAGCCACGTCCAGTTTCGGCTCGCCTTACTGGGGCGACATGTACCTGCGCTGCTCAGAATGGCGCGTCCGACCAAAGTGGCGATACACCGGGCCGCTTGCGGCCGAGAACACATCTCACCCTTTGCTCGTCGTCTCACCGAGATACGACACGGTCTGCCCGCTGAGCGACGCGAAGCGCGTGCAGTCGCGCTACTCTTCTGCACTGCTGATTCAGAACTCCTATGGGCATTGCTCGTTAGCCGCCCCGTCACTTTGCACCGCGAAGCATGTGCGTGCATACTTCGAGAATGGGACGTTGCCGGAGGAGGGGACTGTATGTGAAGTGGATGAACTGCCCTTCATTGGTTCGGTTCATGGGGGCGTGGACGCGATGTCGGTGGAGGACCGGGAGATCTTGGATGCACTCAGAAGTCTGGGCGAAGCTATTCCGGTGAAGTCGGCGTTCTGATAGTATAGAGCGGCCTGTAAGAACGAGGTGATCGAGTATTTCGTTATGAGATCTACTTTTTGTCGCTGCACCTCAAGAGCCCGAAATGAACGGGAGACGTACGTTGCTCGGCTTCTATGCCCAGACCCCGGGCGGCGGCGCAAGTCTACACTTTACCAGGTTTACACCATCAACTCCGTCGAGAATGTTGCCGAAGCACAACGTTGAGGGGGTGTTTGTCATTACGCTGCTGAGTACGCCGACGGTTCTCGACGAGATCAATGGCAGGACATTACGTGAACCCTCCGCCGTGATGCGTGTTCCGAACAGATGACTTCCGCAAAGACTGACTATCACAAATGCGAAACACGCTAGTACGCGCAGGTTGGGCTCCGGCAGCATCGTGTTTGCTTCATCACAGTTAGAGGACGTGATAGAAAGGAAAGATCATGCTGGCAGAACATGCCTTCTCGACGTGGCGAAGGAAGCGAATTGCTCCAGATAGTACTCATCTGAACAAGCGCACCGACCGGTTACAGCAGATGAGTTTGGTTCCATCGGAAGCTTCAAGCCCTGAGGCCTGAGTTGGCCTGAGGCTGCCAGCGTGACGGGGGCCCGACGGACAGGTGAATCCATAGACCATATATGCACGTGTCAACGTCTGCAAGGCTGCTCCGAACACTGAACAGCACAGCATCCTCTTCTGCTTTAGTTTCCTCTCTTAGGGCACGGGGAGGGACAGTGACGCACTGTGCTACCTATAAAGCCATATGACAGCATCAGACAGCACACAATATCTGTCACAGTAGGTATACCTGCCAGTACATTTCACGGGGTTGCAGCTAGACTAGTCGCCCATCACGTACGAACGCCTGAATGCGACAAAGAGCGTATCCTAAAGCCTTTTATACGCCCTCTCTGCAGCGTTGAACCTGTGCGCAAATCAAAGGTCAGAGACTTGAGGGTTGGTACGCGGGGTCTTCCTCGGTTTTGTTGTGACAAGGTGTAACATTCGGTGTTGCACGGGCGTGCCACGGGATGACAGTGCCAGGAATGAGGAAGTCTATTGTGATGGTGGCGCATGACCTGGCGGGGAGGGAGAAGAATTCGACACACTCTGAACGCGCTCGTAAATCTCCCGTTTCCGAAGGGACTCCTGCAGATCCTGTTCTCTTTGGTGCATCTTCTCTCGCCTACGCTCGTCGTCGCGCAGTACACCTTGAAACATTGTCTGACGAAGAAAGCGTGAGTATACCACTCGTTGATGCAGAGGTACGCTATTATACCTCGCGCTCGCGGATCTGAAGGAAGTGCACTCCCCAAATAACGACGGCCGACGCACAGAGGGCGCTGACAAGGGTGATCTTGGCCGCGCGCGACATCCAGGCTGCTCTGTCCGTACGCAGCACAGAGGTTCTCCGAGGACCTTGGCCTGGCACTATAGGTCAAGCCTGTGAGTAGCGGCAGGTGTCGGTGAGCGTTACGGGTACGTACAGGAAGATGCCGTGCGGCCGACTCGGTGGCGGACCGCGGTAACCTCCTCCCGCCACGTGCCGCCACTGGCCACAGTGAGAGACCAGAACTGGAAAGCGTAGTGCTTCTCATCCATAATAGCTCAGGCCGCAGCGCTGCGACGGAATCAACAGAAGAGAAAGTCGTCGCATGAACCTTACCAAGATGCAGGTACGCGCCGTGTTCGTCGTCGCATTAGACCGAGGAAAGTGGAAGATATGATTGACGGGACGGGATGGTTACAGATTGGCCTTGGAGTTACAGTCCGGTAATGATGACAACACTAGGAAAACATCGGTTCGATGGAGTGGAACGATGAGAGTACAACTATGATTCGTCAAGTCCGTCGTTAGGCATATGGTGATAAGTTAGAGGAAGTCATACAGCCGACTCGCAATGAAGAGCGGCATTTTTTCGTTGGACAGCGCAGACAGCATGCTTCGTGCGCGAATGCCTGAACACCGTCGTCAGTATAATCTAGCAGAATTCGCAGCACGGTTGGACTCACCATGCATTCTTTTACAGATCCAGGTCGAGCGTCCAGTCGGGGAGATGACGCTTCATGGGGCGGTCCTGGAGGGTCGCGGCGTTCTCCATTGTTTCTCCGACGGCAAAGGAAGGGCTCGGGAACATGGTCGGAAGCCTCAGACCAGTCAGGTCCAGCTCCCTGTCGGCCGAGTAGACCTGGGACCTCTCGTGCATCTCGCGCACGAAGTTCAACACAAGCGCCTCGCTGATCAGCGAGGCGGGCCTCACATCCTCCTCCTCCTTATCCTCGTCCTCGTCGACCAAGTCCATCCTTCCACGAGGGTTCTCCTGCGGGCCTCGGGCCCTCCGAGGGGGAACACGAGCAAAGGGGTCATCAGAAACCCCTGTGGCTTCGTACGCCCCATCCTTCCCCTTGCGACCGTTGGACTGGGCCGCCATGCGCGGCTTCTTGGGGCTCCTGGGGGCCTGAGGCACCTCCGCAGAATCGGGGTCCGTCATGGACATTTTGCGCGGGCGAAGGTTCGCGGGGAGAGGCTGGAACTTCTTCTGGGACGCGGCGACCGCGTCGGCGGCCATTCTCTTCATGTCCTCGAGGGACTCGAAGTCGTGCATGGAATGCTCGAACGTGAACTCGTGGTCCTCCTCCGCGATGGCAACACCGCCGCTGTTGCTGATCGTCGAGAGAGCCCGTTGACGCGTTTCGGGGGTCGCAGGCCCCGCGCTCTCCTCAGAAGACATCGAAGATCGTGGGCTGGTAAGGGAAGTGGCCGTGGACCAGGACTTGGTCGGAGAAGGGGGCAGCTCTTGGGCGAGGGAGTGGAAGTCCTTGGACACCAGTCGCGCGAAGAAGTTCTGGAGGCGAGCGCGCTCGGTTGTGTTCATGTTGGAGGTGCTCATGATATTTAAGAGGAAGAGGATAGGTGTCAAAGCGTTGGAGCAGGTAAGCAATGGGCGGTCTGGGTTGGGGTTGACGGAGTGGTTGCTAACCGGGTCAAAGCGCAGGGTATTTATGCGTTCGTGGAAGTGTGGCTTCGCGCCGCGAACGCACACTCACGTGAGCGTGCCACGCAGAATACAAGGTGGTCCACGGCCCAAATGGGAATGGTCGCTAGCAGCCACAGGATCGATAGTGCGTATCTATGATTTGGTAGCTTTCCATTGTTCTCCATTCCGGGAACGTCCGCTGGCCCAGCAAAGCAAAAATTATTTCACTGACAGACTATCCTATCCGTTGGCGAGCATACAGTACTGTAACTCACGATAATTGGGATGAAGGTATATTCCCCGCTTCGACGAGCCTTACCTTGGTGCGAATTATCTCCCGGCCTGTACACATCTGATACCATGTCCTTTCCAGAGTCTGCTCTGCCCATGGCGGTGCCCTATTAGACGCGACGGGGAATCGCGTTGGACCGCTGGCCTCGATATCAGGGATCTCCCTGGGCAAGCAATGTCCCTTCATGCGTAAGCCACACTGTTGTGGGTCAAAGCACCCATGGGCCATGGCCATCTCAACGCTCCGCCTTATCGATTCCGCACCACTGGTTTCACAGATAATCAAGAATGAGAATCAGGGTTCCCGCAAGTAATTGTAATCTTGTTGGGCTAATCTGGAAGGCATATCCGCATAGACCTCTCTAGCCTACGCGACGCTACATTACGCAGTGTCGTTCCATCTACCAAGGAGTCCTCCGGACGTGGATCATGCTGTCTTCCCTACGGATCCAAATCGTGGTGAGTCTATTCGCCGCGTCGTCTCCCTGCTCCTTCTGCGCGAACCACGTGCTCCACGAGATGGTCTGCAGTGACGGCAGAATACTTGCGACCGAGGCACTTGCGACGAGCTCCTGCTTCCTGACCAGCACGGCGTGGTCCTGCTGGCAGAGTACGCAGCCGTCCGGACCAATTGGTCCAGTGCTGCCGTACTGCAGGCAAGGATCGAAGCGGTGTTCGATATGCGCGTCGAAGATATCCGAGTGGAAAGGAAGATCCCGAGGAAGAGATGGTGCAGGCGCCGGAGAGGTTGAAGAGCGTTCGCGAAAGCTACCTACGCATGACGGTCAGTACGCGGACGCTTGCTGTACCACTGCGATCATGAGAGGTACCGCAAGGTCTTTGACGCCAGGGTATACGTCCGGGATGGGCGAGTGTACGATACAGGCTGACGATTCGTCGAAGCAGAGCCAGCAGCAATCTTCGTCGAGTCGCTCGACACAAGTCATGTCCAGAGTCTCGAGGGCAGGGCAGCGGGCAGCGATCAGACTGAGTATATGCGTGTCGACACGAGGCAGATCGAGCATCTCAGTTCAGTGAGGGTCGCCGGAAGGTGATTCAGTAGGAGATTAGCTCGTTGGGCCTGAGTAGCCAGTCCGTCCGGCCGGAAGTTAAGCTCGACAATCTGCAGGTTCAGAAAGTTGGGGAGCAGAGCAAGTTGCGGGGTAAGTATGATAGTGGAGCATTTGAGTGCGCTGGATGTATGCGCAGTAATCGTCAAGAAATGCGCATATAGCCAGCGGATAGTCTGTTATATAGCACTGACCGTGCCCAGGAGAACACGCCGAGAATCCGACAGCAGCGAGACCAGTGGCGGCTTGATTGGGGAGCAAAAGTCGAGAAGCATCTCAAGGCAATTTGACGGAGCATATACGAAGCAAGGGAAAATCCAGCGATGTCAGAGAAGTCTTTATGCCTGGCTAGGGCGATCGCGATGATCTCGTTGAGCATTTCGATAGGTATGCGGCATGTCTGCTGGCCCTCAGCTTCAATGTTGTGACTTGTAATAGAACTATGATGGTCTACCTCATGTGAATATCTCGTCTTGACTGGCGACGATTGGCAGGGATCCCTAGTGGATGCGTAGGTGGACGGCATCTTGGACTGGTAGAATGCCTAGACTTGAAATTGACTGAGCATCGGGCAAGTCGACAGCCGTCCGAGTATCTTGTGTACTAGTAGGAAAGGAGAACAGAGCAAGAGCTTTACGCAGCTACCACAGCAGGGTCAGAGAGCGATGATCCCGCACAACCAGGTGGTCCAGGACACCGAAGTTCCAGCTGAGGTGACACGAGTCATGACCGCGACAGTACACATAACGCGCCGGAGAATGCATCATGTGATCGTGACGCGCATATCCGCGCGAGCGGAAGCAAATGCCGGAAGCACTGCCATGGCTCACGCATGCCGTGCCGTGGATAGAAGGTCGGGGGCAGGACAAATGGCAGCCTAGGAGAATGAAGTAAGTACCTGGCCAAGAACTCACCAAACACTTCAGAAAAGTATAGACATGGAGAGACCGTGCTAATGCCGAAAATCCGACGATGGAAAGTCGGCGATAGTAATCAGACAGTAGACTGTACACAACGGCTACAGCCTATATGGACCAAGAAGACACATGTGCGCAGCCAGACCAGATGAGAGGGGTGATTAGGGGAGGGAGGTAATGCGTAGCAAATGACAAAGAGATGCCAAGGAGGGTAGGATACGGCAGCGCGCCCAAATGCAACAACAGAGTAGATAGTACATGCAGCAGAAAAAATACAGGAGGCGTGGCGTATCATCACAAGTGAGTCACGGCTTTGGCATCAAGCGGCATACCTGTAGGAGGTCAACATCCGCGCAAGGATGAAAGATAAGGGGTGTAGATACCTGAGGGGTCAATGCCATTGGCACGCAGGATCTGGTTCTGCCTGATTAACCTTGCCTGATCAAAGCTATACGATCTCATTAAGCAATGGCGAAAGAACAGAGAAATACTAGGACTCACTTGACTCGCTCACGGCGCATGATATCCATCACCTCCTGCGTACCACGCTCGTCCAGACCAGCCCTCGAATCGCCCTCCCGGATGTTCGCTTCTATGTCGAAACTCGTGGAGGTCAATCCCGCATCGGCTTGCTCAGCAAACGTCGACAACGGTGTGTAATGGCCAAGTCTCGGGAACATCGACTTGACTGGGTTGGGAACGTAGGGGATGAGCGTGGCGCGGTAACGGAAAGTCACTGCGGGATCACGAACGGCCATGAGTAGCTTGTTCTCCCCGCAGAAAGGGACCGCGGAGGGGCATGATAGAGAACAGGCGACGTACACATTACCAGTAATGCCGACAAGGCGAAGACGGACAACCAGAACAACATCTTGAGGAGGTTGGCCTTATATGATGGCGGTTGCTAATGTGGGGAATTGTTATGTATTGCCGACAGAAGCACTCATGTAATTGGACCGCGGGCGTCCGAGCACCACGTGCGGGTCTGGGCCGCACCCGCAGTTGGTGGCGCTCGTCCCTGGCTGTCTTCTCCTGCTATTGGACTGCAAGACACAGACGACGGACAAATGGTATGTAGACCACGAGGTGACACGGCGCCCACCATAGAGCGCAGGAACGCCTAGGTCTGCTCGGGATAAAGACTGAATGGTACTAGTCTCATACCAAGGCGTTTATGTCAAACCTACTAGACTGAATGGATGAAATTTCCCCTTCGCAGACAGTGTGTGCGATGTACTTAAAAGACCACCAGTGACGGTCCATGGTGCCCAGGTTTACACAATGCCTGCACTCAAACTTGACTCCGACGGTAGCGAGCTCACCTACACGGACAGCGGTGTGCCTCGCTCGGCATTAGGTGCACCGTACATCACAGTCTTCGCGTGCATGGTATCATATTCAACAATCGTAAGTTACCCCTACTCTACGACGTCGACGCCCCAGTCAGCTTACCGGATCGTCCCAGTGATATTCACGCGACTGCAAGCCATGCACATTCCGCCAACTTGCGCATTGTCGCGATCAATCGACGTGGATTTGGGGGGTCCACACCGGTATCTGAGCAGTCGGCGAAACTGCTTATCACTGGTACCGATGCGGAGAAGCTCAAGGTCTCTGACCAACTCTGCAGCGAGATCGGGTATTTCGTGGATGCTTTCGTGCAAAGGGAAGACATACCACCCATCTCGAGTGATCGCCAGGGCGGCGGGCTTGCCCTCCTAGGCTGGTCCCTAGGCACACGCTATGTCACTCGGGCCATTGCCGACATTGGCAGCTACCCACCCGAGATACGAGCACGTCTCGCTCGGTACGTGCGTGCTCTCATCATAGAGGGTAAGTCCCTTGAAGTGAAGCTTGCTCAGCTACCGGTTCGTGACACTTACCTCGTACCGCAGACCCGCCGTCAGTCGCTCTCGGTTATTCGCTCCCAGCAGAGTCCTGGATGTACAGCAACATCCCTTCGGTCCCTGAGCAGAAGCGCGATCAGCTATACCTCCAGTGGTTCACAGCTTACTTCGACCATGGCGACCTGTCCACGCGCGACAAGAGCGTCATCGAATATATCGTCCCGTCCAGCTCGCGCGCACCTACAATCTACAATATGTCCGCGGATGAGCGTGCTGCAATGATTGAGCCCGTGAAGGAGTTGCCGCTCCTGCGTGGCATGTTCGCTTCTTCGCTGCCGGCATTCCGCAAGGCGTGTTTCGATCGCGACGTTCGCTCGCTGTTGCCGGAGATGAAAATATGGCATTTGGGCTGCGACGCAGCGCCGTCGTTTGGCATTTCAGCGTACTTCGACATCCTGGCGGACCACGAGGCCAACGGAGGCGGGCTGATCAACTTTAGGATGATCCCGGGCGGGAATCACTTTGTGAGTGCTCAGCAGTACATTCTGCTCAACTATGTTGCACGTCTGATTTGTCGAATCAACAGCCACATTGGGACGATCCTCAGAAAACGTTGCAAGCGATTGTTGAAGCCGTACAGTAGACGTACAGACTGTCTGTACTAATCGAAATGGCATATACATAGAGATACCGTAGACGTGACGGAACCAAGTAGTGGTGCCCGCTCACGAGCCGATCGAGGATTCAATCACATCAGGCAGGGTCAAGGGAAGATTTTGTAGAAATGTACGCACGATGGTATAATGTGTCGAATGCCCTGCCGTCAGCAAGCCCACGAAGGACTGACTCAGATATTAATGCCACATTGGGCAGACACGCATTAAAAGGACTGCAACCTCTACCAAATTAGTCTAGTGGGAAGACTCTTCATATTTCCTCTATCCTACTATCCTCATCTGCTTCCGCGTCCTCCGCAGCCTCCACAATCCCGCTCGCAGTATCGTCCTGGGTGTCAGGTCCCTCAGCCCGCTGCAAAAAGTTCACCAGACGCTCGACATGTTCCGAGATCTGTTTCACATGTCAACATCAGCGCGGGTAAAAGGCACAAGAACTAGAGACGGACTGGCCTTGTCGACCTGTTCGTTCTCGTGTAGGGCACGGACTATCTCGTACACTCCGTGACTTCGCATGTAGTCCCGGCCCCAGCGCGTTGTGCAGAGCAAGAGCAAGGTCTCGACATGTGTCAGACGAAGCACGGAATCCGGTTCTCGGGTCTTTGTTGCTGGCAGGAACTGTAGAGCTGGCGGGAGTAGCTCTTGGTCCTGGATTGTCCTTCAGACACTGATTCAGGCACAGCCGAGCATGTTCCACGCACCTCAAGGTCAAACTCTTCTGGACCAGCGAGGGGAAGGAGAACATAAGGCAATATGTCCATTCCTGATGCTTCTGCAGTGGAAGGCGGCACTGCGACGCGTTCAGATTCTGATGATAGCAGAGCGCGATGAGCCTGCACATGAAAGGCACAATTTCTACGCCAGCATTGGTCAGCTTCTGAGCAGGAGCACATTCAAAGGACAGCTCACTTGATCGTCGACGCCACGCCGCCTCTTCGGATAGTATCTTATGTTCGGTGAAGGACAAGAGCTTAGTCAGGGGATACTCCAGGTCTCCTTCGGACTTCAATGGATCGGTAGGGAGAGGCGTCAAGAAGAACATGCGACCCGTAGGTGTCTAAAGATGACCAGGAACTCAGCGACACTCTACAATCTAGAGGCGATAGCGATGCAGGCTACTGACCGTGCTGAGGTTTGCGAAGACGCTGGAGAGGAAGTGCAGAGTGCCTTTTCTGATGCGCTTCTCTTTGTCTTCCGTCTCCTCTGCGGCGGCGCCTTGTACGAAGGCATCCAAGAGTAGAGGCAGCGCGCCCACGCTCCGTGGCTCTCCGGCAGGGTAGGGCACAGGCGCAGGGCATGTGCCGCATTGAGATTGTACAGGGAAATACAGTGTCGGTGATTTTGGATCCGGAAGTATCGATACAGTTAGATTGAGAAGCGTGGAACACACTGATGTTGAGGTGGTGAGGTTAGACAAGAGCATTGACGCGAGATCAGCCAGTGTCGCTTGATGGTTCTGCGGTAGACTCCGTTAGATTTCATGGTCAGTGGGAGATGTATGTAAGGTACGAACAAGGATGTATGATACAATAAAATTGACGAAAGACGGCTCTGAGAGAGGTCCGAGCATCAGAGGAGAGTCTGACAGGTTCACAAGAGCCCTGAAGGCATCATGAGCGGTTGCCTGTGAAAAAATATCGGTGAGTTCAAGTCCTCACAAATGTCTGGTATGCTGGCTTTAACATACAAGTTGATCGCGACATAGCAACTTGAGGTCCCGAATAATCTGGTTGTCTCCTTGCTGCTGCAAGCCACCTCCACTCAGCCCTGCAAAGAAGATCTGGCGGTTTGGTGCGTCCTTCGGGGTGTGCCCGACCAGATTCGCGAGGGCGATCTGGCGGACTTGCGGGTTTTGTTCGTGGAGGAAAGGGATGAGCTGTACAACCAGATTCTAGTAAACCCCTTCGCTAATAACGGGCCAGTGCGCACCTCCTTGAGCTGCTCCGCCGACATAGATTCAAGGCTTTGCAGAAATCGCACTCACAGATCTTGGCCCCCGCCATTAGATCATGGTTCCCACGGGTCATCTTGGAGTGCGTGCTTACATAACACAATGGTTTGCCATTCCTGGCGGAGGACGACCACTTCCGCTCAGCCACAGCCACCCGCCGAACGTCGGTGGCGGCACTTGTACTCCTTTCAGCCCACGACGCGATGTACTCTTCATGACCAGCCATACCCACCGATATCACACGCTCTCTGCAGTATGGCGACCTACAACGCGACGCGCTTCTTCGAGGGGCTGTTGGAGGCGCACGAGTCGTCTCCGCCCTCGTTCACCGTGAGGTTATACCCGGACTTCTGGCAGTTGAATAATGGATCCAAGTGTTTGTACAATCACCAGATGGCGGTGTGTCTCGCTTGCTGCATGTTCTTAAATACCCGCTGATGTGCTTTGTGTGTCCTAGTCACTCTTGGATGATATCCGCGCGCAGCGGATACCAGTGGACTTCCTAGAGTTGTTCGATGCTGCCAAGCTTCCGTTCTACGATGGTGAGTCAGTTGCATTGTTGGACCACGTCTTTTTCTTACATGCTCTCGCAGGATGCATGATTGTGGAGGTTCATGATTACCGTCCACCGAAGCCACCGACCAGACCCTCGAGGAGCCTCAGAAGACCCGGGTCGTGCTGAGCCCAAATCCGGAGACTCTGTGGACGGACATATGTCTAATGAATAAGCAAGCGGGCAATGCATGGTCGGACCTGGATGCCTTGGAGGTGGAGGCGCGGATCCTAGTACGTCTGAACTGACTATACGTCTGGCAAACCGTCACCCTTAACCCACGGCTACAGATTGCCACTGCCCCCCCGCTGTGCCTTGATTCCGATCCCCACCTTACTCGCATGGCCAATAACACACTCCGGGCTTCTGTACCCACAGCACCACTGTCTTTGAAGCGCAAGGCCGCCGTCATGGAACAGAGGACCAAGAGACAGAGAAGAACCGCAGGGCAAAGCTAGCGCATTTTATGAACCCAAAGTATACGCGTCCAGCTGTGTCTGCGCCAAGGTAAGCACCTGATCGCGTGATCCCTGTGGGTGCGCCGCTAACTTCGCGTTTACACCAGTTTCCGCATCTTGGAGGCCCTGCAAAGGGTGAGAATGGCGGAGGCTGCTGCAGCTCAGGCCGGCAACAAGGCGAACCAGGCGCCGACAGCCTCCTCAGCGCCTGGGTATGGAGCGCCTGGGATTCCTGCTGCTCCTGCTCCAGCTGTCTCCTCATATAATCAGCCATCTGTGCCAATGCCTCCGGCGGTGCCCGCTGCCATTGCTGTCCCTCCACCCCCTGTCGCTGCTCCCGCGCAGCCTGTAGCTACTCAAGCCACCGCAGAGGCTGTCAAAAGGCCGAGACTCGGCGAGGCCACACAACAGCCGCCACAAGTGCCGCGGACATCAGCTACACCAGTACAGCAAGTTGGCCACGGGCCATCGGCTATACCGGCGCATCTACAGGCACATGCGGTCCAAATGGCACACCGCACGCCCCCACGCGCGTCCCAGTCACCCCATCCCCCGTTGAATGGCGCTTCCTCTTCCCAGACACCCCCAAACACGGATGCACGTCCACCATCTGCCATGCAGCGGCCACCTTCCCAGCCTACCCATGTCACTGCGACGCCGCGGCCACAGAGCACGCATCCTGTTACTGCGCAACCAATCCATGCGCCGTATCAGATGCCCCCACAGCAAGCCGCCGTACAGAACCTCTTGCTCAAGAAGAAGAATCAGCAGGCTGTTGCTGCCGCAGTAGCAGCGGCGAACGGCACGGCGGCTGGCGCCTTTCCACAACCCGTTCAACCCGGCGCGCACCCTCAAGGCCAGGCGGCTTCGCACTATATTCAATACTATCCGCCGTACCAGAATGCTACTCAGCAACGGCTCAGCCAGCCTGGCCGCAGTGCGACGCCGGTCAACCGTAGTCCTATGAACTCGAGCCAGGGTTCAACACCACAGCGTAGCAGCCCATTGGCAGGGTCACAGCGACTAACAACCCAGTCGCCAATGCCAACGAATACACAGCAAGCGCAAGCGCAGGCGCAGGCGCATGCTCAAGCGCAGGTGCAAGCGCAAGCACAATCCCAGGCTCAGGCGCAACCCGGTCAGCCAGCTACTCAGGGTAACTACAACTACGCCGCGCTCCAAAGTCAGTATGCTGCACAGTTCGGCAACCCGCCCAGGGGCACGCGCCACAGCCGCACATGGTCGCGCATCATATCGCCAACGGCGGTACACAGGCAGGAGCACCGGCGAACCCGCAGGCCGCTCAACAGACGGCTCAGCAGCTGCAGGCCGCTAACTACATGGCTCGATATTACTACCCAGTGCAGCCCGGGCAGATTCCCGCTGGCTACTGGCAGATGGGTCGGGGCGGGCCCGTTGCGAACGGCCAGGTGCAGATGCCGAACATCTCGACGCACACCCAGCAGATGCAGATGAACGCGAACAAAGCTGTCCAGGGAGGCGTCCAGGGCTCATGACGAACAGTTTGGCAGTGTATCTTTATGTATTTTTAGGTAGCGTAGATGTATCCCTCGACCATTGGCATAATGCTATTTTACCCGTTGTTATTCTCGTTCATCGGGCTGTGTGCGATTTCGTATCACGGTGTGGACGAGCGGTCCACACAGCTCAACCCCTTGACAGGGCTTCTGCGTCCGCATTTCAGGCTTCTCGGAGATCCGCCCTGGCGGAAGTGGTGATTCCAGGCTCATTGGTCCCCGCACTCTGGAAAGGAACCCATCTATCCGCGAAGCATCCGTATGGACTGATTGTGACTCACCGATCAACGTAACCCGTCTAAGTAGTACAGCTCAGCTCTCGAAGTATAGCGCCGGCAGACCACAGTGGTCGCATATTCGACGAGCATATGCTCATGCCTAGCGGGCTGCAGTAGACGGCGCAACGGTGAGCATGGAGGCGGTGATTGCGGCGAGAGCAATGCGTAATGAAGATACCCTCTCTGGTCCTTGCGTTATCGGAGTCAGATGGGGTTGAATCAGAATATCATCCACATGCTCCCGGACGCGAGATGTGTGAATCTTCGTCTTCGTCAGCGGGTCCAGGTCGGGAGTCTGACTGGTCTGCGAGCCTAACAATTGGAGTAGGAATGGCCGGTCTGCGTAATTAGGCAGGATGGTCCTGCAGGCTCGCCTCGTCGTGTCCTCGATTTATCGCGATTCAAGCGTCGCCCAGGCGCCGCTACATGTACCGACTGAAGTTGAGGCCGGATCCTCACCTGGCGGAATCAGCGGTCACTCACGAGATACCCATGAACAGCGCGCGGCCCCTTGATCGGACGAGACCCAGTTCGGACGAAGTCTCTGCGAAGCCGGGCGGGGACCAAGCGTGGACCTTTTGCTCTCAGGGGAAGGCCACAAAGTATCCTGGTAGCGGGAAGAACGTACTATTTGACAAGGAAGTAATACCTAGGGCGCTGATAAGCACGTCATAGACGCCCCTCCATGGGACCTGCGGAGTACACATAGAGTCATGGAAGAGTGCCATGGCACACCTACGGACAGCGGGCCCAGCGGAATGCTGTACAGCTACGGAACGGGGGGACACGGCCTGACAAAACGCCAGGCATCGAGTCAGTGCAACTATGTACGGCAGCGAGGCGGAAAAGAAACGCACGGCTGACCCTATCAATACAAAGGAGGATATCACAGCGACACGGGGGGACCAAGGAACAAGATATCAAACGCGAATACAATATTCCTCACGCAGACAGAAAGCGCAGACAGCGGCCTAGTCCCCGATGACACGGAAGAGAACCCAAAGAAACAAGATGATCCCAGCGCCCGGTGAACGGTCATTCCCGTCCGCCGTGGTATCCGCCGTCGCTCCGACGGTCCTGCGAGCCGTACGAGTCTTCGTCGTCGCTGCCGCCGCTGGATGCGTGGCCGGGCTCGTCCACGAAGTTAGCGGCGTTTTGTCCGCCGTGCTGGGGGTTAAGGTAGGCGCTGCGACCGCGAGGATCCCTGTTGCGTTTCTTATCTGCACGGTAACAATTGTCAGACAACACAGCAATCCGAGTCGAGGAACGCGGCAACGGACGAGTTTTGCATACACTAGCCACAAGCATTGCATAATGTACGGGGGCCTAGATCGCGACTCGTCAGGTTATGCGAATACTCGAATATATGCTGAGCGACGCACCCATCGGCCCTCGGCGCCACTCGGAGTGGAGGTGGCATTGCACCCCAGACACGTTGACCCTCTCCATTTTCGCCAGATGGCGCGGGCTGGAGACCGGGTCGTAGATCGGACGCTGGTCAACAGAGTTCGACACAGAGTTTGCCACGATCAACTGACCTGTCGCGCCTTGGCGTCGTCTCCATCACTCTGGCCTTCCTCCTGGGCGTGGTCGCCCGTCGGCGGGCGCGGAGGCTCGCCGGGGCGGCCCGTCGGCTCGCAGCTTCCAGTGTCTGCAGCCCGAACGCACCTGCCTGTATCATGCGTTCCATGATCTCCTGGGGGATGCTCAGTCGCGGCGAGTTGCTGGGATGCGTGAGGGAGGCGGTGGTCTCGAGTAAGATGCCATACTGTTCTATCAGCTGTGGGTAGTAGCCACGCGGCGGGTGAGTGGCAGGAGGCGCGACGAAGCGACGGGAACCACTGCACCTTGCCAAAGTCCATGCCCAGCGGCGGCGACCGCGACGGCCCTGGCGCTGGGGGCTCGCTCTCTCGTCCGTTACGTACTTTAGATTGAGGCGGCGCTTCGGCAGGGCGGGGCGGCCGCTCTTCACCACGGGCGGGCGGGGGTGGATAGGGCCTGTGCTCCTCTGCAGGCGGGTCGGGCCTTGAGCCATTAGAACTGTAAGGGTGATCTTGACCTGGAGGATGAGGCGGAGGATAGTGAGGATGATGAGTCCAACCCTCACCCGTCCAAGGGCCCGGGGGCGCCGGGGCGACTCCGTATGTAGGCGGGCCATACGGCGGGTGCGCCGGGTAGCCCGGGGGCCATGATAGGGCGGCGGGGCGTGTGGCGGGGGTGGATGCGCCGACTGGCCTGGGACGACGCAGGGCGGACGGGCGGACGAGCCATGTCCTGTGCATACTGGCCGTGGGCGTAGGGCGGCGGATAAGGGGCGTAGGCGTAGGCAGGGGCGGCGTCGGGCGGGGGCGGGTAGGCGTAGCGGCTGTCCGACGTCATCTGCGCGGAAGTCGGGTGGGCCGAGGGTGATGGTGGTGGTTGGTGGGCAGGATGGTTGGACTCGCGCGCGCCTGGCGGGTCCAGCGCGTGGTCGAGTGATGTGTAGGAACTGACAGGGGTCGAGCTGCGGGGAGACGGGTGAGCGACTGGAGAAAAGAGAGGGCCCGGATAGCGGGGGCGGTCATAGGAATAAACAGCAGGCATGGGACCGAGGGAGGGGCAGCGCATTAATAGAGCTGGGCGGTGCGAGCAAAGGGCCAGACGGGGAGCAGAAAAAAGAAAGGAGTGGACGCCCCTGTGGCAGCTCGCAGGCCTGGGACGGCGCGCAGACGAGTCGAGGACAAGACAAGGCGAGTGGGCCACATCTGGCGGCGGCCAAGAGGCGGGGAACGGCGCAGCCTGATTGTGAATCAACAAGACCAGCGACGCCGATCGGCAGATCTATCGAGGCGAACTCGCGAGCCGCGTCCAACGCAGAGACACTTACTTTGCCGTCGCCCGCGGGAGCCGTCTGCCCGAACAGAGCAAGCCCGGGGATCCTCTCTTGCTCGCGAGCGCGAATGTTGTCCGTGCGGGTTTGTCGAGAAGAGTGACAGATGCTGATTATTCACGCTGCTGCCAACGGGGCCGCTGAATTCGGGCCCGCGTCTTACCGCTCAGCTGCACTAAAATTGCGCGCGGCCGCTGGGCGGGGCGTGCTGTGTGCGGGCTGCTGCTCTGCTGGTGCGCTGTGCCGCCGTCGACGCTCGCAGACAGTTTTCCTCCACTTGGCCCCGTCGGGCGCGCTTCGCTGCGGAACAGCCGCCACGCGAATTCAAACACAGAGCCATCGGAGAAGCTTGTCAATGTAACTCATCCATCTTCCCACGTGATAAACCCAATCTCGCGCCACATCTGGATCCCCCTGCATCTCCCACCCAATCTCATCATCCGTACCAGGCAATAAAAATGCATTAGAGGTCTAGCAATGTGCTAACGAGTGTCTGCTGTATACGCTTGCGGATCGGAGAACGACTGCACATCCGTGTATGCACGGAGAATTATCCGACAGCGCCGTGCGCTGCACCGTTGTGGACATGGGCCTGCCCCCCTCGGTCCCGCTCGTCCTTCCACCTCGCCTGCCTGCCAGACGCAGCCGCACCGCTCTCGTACGCTGGCGTCTCGTACGCGGGGTACGCATCGTCAGCCGCCGGCACCTCCTTCTCCGACGCCTTTGCAGCGCTCGTACCGCTTGCCGCCGCGGCAGCACGCTCGCGTGCCCTCCGGCGGCGTCGCAGTATCTTCTTCCTGTTCCGGATAGCGCGCTGGTAGCCCAGCTCGTCCCCGTAGAAGAGACTGTATTCGCAGAACGGACAGATCCACTCGTCCGCTGGGTTCGTGAGCGTCGGGACCGGCACGGCCGGGCGCTCGTTCTTCTTTCGGCGGCGAGGGGGCAGCTCGGCAGACAGGAAGCCGATGGGCAGCGGGCTGAGCAGGTTCTGCGCATTCGCGGCGTTCTGAGCCATGTTCACTTGCGCGGAGTTAGGGAGGCGCGACGGGACGTAGTTCCGCAAGTGGTGTGGATTCGACGCGTTTGCCAGGGCGGATCGCTTTTTCTTCTTCCCGCTGCCTGTCTGTCCGCCTAGCAGGGATTGCTCGAGGTTCGCAGCCTTCCCGTCCGCACCACGCGCCCCGCGCTTGGAGCGATTATTCCTTTTGGCCAGCGGGCCGTTCAGCGTGGCGGCAGCCTGCTTAGCTGCTTCAGCCGCTTTCGCCGCCTGCCTCGCGAGCTCTGCTTCGAAGCGGGCATGCAAAGCTGCGACTTCCTCCTTTGTCGCCACTAGGCGCTTCGAGGCTGCATCCTTCTTAGTCAGACTGTCACTAGCCACGATGTTCCACTCACTGAGACTGTCGCACACAAACGAGAAGTCCGCTTCGGGAGGAACGACGATCTTGGCCTCGTAGGTGTCAGACGGGAGAGCAGCGCGGAACGCTCTGAACGCTCGTGCGAGCCGAGGTCCTCGGCGCCGGGAGAGGCGCACCCTCAGCAGTGGCGGAGGCCTGTCGCTGAGACTCATGCGGCGAACGGGTAGCTGGCGGAGAGCGCCTGGTCGAGCGCGAGCGTGTCTCCCTGCTGGGACAGCTGCCCGATGACGGCCTGCAGCTGCCGCTTCCGGGCCCTCAGCAGCTCCTTGTGCTGCAGCCCCGCGAGCGTCGCCTTCGGTAGCCTCCCCTTGCGCAGCGCGAGCTTGTCGCCCGCGGCGTCGTCTCGCGGTCGGTGCGGCCACCCGTCGGTATGCCCCGCTCGCCCGGCTCGTCCTCCGCGCCCGAGTTCCCCCGAGTCCCGCCCATGCATCCCGCCCGACATGTTCGCGGGCACCTTCCTCTTCTTCGTGTTCCCCGGCTGCTGCAGGTGCTCCATGTAGTCGCCGTCGCCGAGCTCGTCCTCGTCCTGGCCCCCGGTAGTCGCCCAGCCCAGCCGTACGTGCTCCCGCCGAGGTCGGTCGGCGTGCCAGCGGCGCGGCGAGGCCCCTGCCGAACAGCTCCTGCACGCCGCCGAGGACGGGCATGTAGTACGACTGGAGGCCATCTGGGCGCTGAGGGCGTCTGCGTGGGCGAGCAGCTCCTCGGGCGAGGCGTCCAGCATGCCGGGTGGCACGGCGGGCAGGGGCGGCCGGCGGCGTCATTCTGCGATGGCTCGGATGTGCGTCGACGCTTGGGGAGCGGCTTCACCCGCCTGAGGGTCGGCAGCTCGGGGACGTCGAATATGGGCGAGAGGGCGCGGTACATGTCTGGCAGTGGCGGCTGCGACGGAGGCAAGCACTCGTGAGCTGTGTGCGGCTCGGTGCTCTGATCCAAGAAAGGGGCCGCGGTGGGAAGTGTGGTGTGGTAGGGAGAGAGCAGAAAGACTGCCACGCAACCCTCGATGAGTGCACAGGCAAGGGCCTCGCGCTGATTGGCGGGCGGTAGCCGGATTGATGACTACAATCGTGGCACAGTGTGGCGTCCCCGCGGAATACACGCACAATGACAAGGGCATTACAAGCGATTTCAGCTTCATAAAAAATGCTAGACTATGACTACGGTACAAGATGTGCGATGCTCTAACAGATTGTCTCGTGGTGCTAAGCTATAGGATGTACGACCTGCGCGTCGCAATAAGTAGGGTATCGCGAAACGAAGACCGACACTGTAACATATCTGCTCATGCTCGAGGATGGCCCCTCGTCTACGGACACGTATACTATGAAAACAGACGATTAGGTGGGCCGTACAATAACGATGAGCAGCAGATGCAACGAGACCGCAATGATGTGAGAGCAGCGCATAGTCCAGGGAACCGAATGGAAAGACGACAACCACCGGCGCACCCGATGAGTGTGATGACGTCGGTAAACAAGACTGCGAGAGAAAGAATAGGCATATGGAGAGGCATACTACGGTACGCTCAGGGAGGTGGGGGCATAGGGTAGCGCAACTAGGGGATTTACCACCAGCTACCGCCACCTCCGCCACCGCTGCCACCTCCGCCACCGTAGCCTCCGCCCCCATAACCTCCGCCACCATAGCCTCCGTACGCGGGGCTACCGCCGTAGCCACCACTGCTGCCACCACGGCCGCCACCAGCGCCACCTCCCGACCGGAAATCGCGGTTCGATGCCGTGCGGGCACCCCCACGGCCGCGACCACCGCGGCCACGCGGGCCACCACCAAGGAACTCTCGTGCGCACCGTCTCCAGCCATGCCGGGATCTCCTGGTTGGCCTCGCGGAGCAGTTCAAGCAGGTCGCGGACAATATTCTTGTTTCCGCGGTTGAAGAATGCAGTCGCGATTCCAGTATTACCCGCACGACCAGTACGACCGATACGGTGGACGTAGTCGTCGATGTCGGAGGGAAGATCGTAGTTGACGACGTGGGTGACGTTCGGAATATCGAGACCACGGGCCGCCACAGCCGTAGCGACAAGAACTGGTGTGCGTCCGGTCCTGAAGGTTTGAAGCGCCATTTCACGCTCGCGCTGCGTCCGGTCCCCGTGGATAGAGGTCGCAGGCAGGTGATTTGCCAGCAGGAAGTCCGAGAGCATGTCCGCCATCCGCTTCGTCTCGACGAAGACGAGGGTAAGGCCGGCATCCGAGGCGGAAAGCACATCGAGCAGTACGGAGCGCTTGTCGTTGTCCTCGACGTACTCGACCTTCTGCGTGATGTTCTCGGAGGTCGAGCCAACACGACCGACGGACAAGAACACGTAGTCCTTCATGAAGTCCCTCGCAAGCATCTGGATGTCGCGCGGGAAAGTGGCACTGAACATGAGCGTCTGGCGTTCGGTCACGCCGGGCATGTCCTCGCCCTGCACGATCCTACGAATCTGGGGCTCGAAACCCATGTCCAGCATACGATCAGCCTCATCAAGGACGAGGTATTGAATGTTGGCAAGGCTGATGCGCCCACGCTCAATCAGATCGACGAGACGACCCGGGGTGGCGCTGAGAAGATCACAGCCACGCTCGATTTGGCGAAGCTGCTGGTTGATGTCGGCACCACCGTAGACCACAGCCGGGCGGACCCAGGAGCGGTAGCAGAACTTGCGGGCCTCTTCGTGAATCTGGCTGACCAACTCGCGGGTGGGTGCGAGAATAAGGCCAGTTGGGTATGCTTTGCGAGTGCGTCCGTATCCACCGCCCGTCGCGTCGACCGGGGGTGTCCTGGGACCATTAGTAAAGGATGCCGATAGGATTGGGAATAGGAAACCGCCTGTCTTGCCAGAACCCGTCTGCGGATGATATCAGAAACTGAAACAAGGGTGCGACAAAACAGATGCTTACCTGAGCACAAGCCATTAGGTCTCTGCCAAGGGCTACGATAGGTATCGAGTACTTTTGCACGGGAGTCGGCGTGGTGTAACGAGAGTAGCTGATGTTTTCCAGCAGGACAGGGTCAAGGGGCGGGTTCGTGAAGGCGTTTACAGGCTCCGGCACGCCAGCACCGGTGGCCTCGATGGGTATATCATCGTACTTGTCGAAATTGATACCGGTGTGCTGCTTGGAGGGATCTTCAGGATCCCCGTAGAGCTCCTTTTCCATGCGCGGGTTGCGGGATCCTGCGACGTGGACACCGTCCCTCCACGCGCCGAAACCAGAACTATCGCCGCCGCGACCGCCTCCTCCCGAAGAACTGTCGCGACCACCCCATCCGCCGCCGCCCCCACGAGGGTTGCCTCCGCTGACATTCCTGTCGTTGCCATAGCCGCCTCTACCTCCACCGCGAGAAGGAGTGGAAGAGCGGGAGTCAGCCCAGCTGTTCCTGTTGAAAATGGTCAGTCGAGATGTTGCCGCGAAACGACGAGATAGCGCGTACCCAGTGTTGGTAGGAGCCGCGGGGGTGGATACCGCCCGCGGTTGATTTCTCATGTGCGGGGGAATGTAAGCTGGTTTTGTACCATTGATACCAAGAGAAGCTGCGAGGCTGTCGTCAGTAACGTGCACAATGGGGACCGTCTCGGAGCGGCACACTCACCAAACTGATTCTCAAGTCCGGTACCGTTCACAATTCCATTGGACATATTAAAGCGAAACTTGAACGAAAGGAAGTTTTCGTTTCGAGACAAGCGTTGGTGTCTATGAGCGTTGAGAGTAGGTGATGGTTCACCACAAGGCGAGTGGAAAAATTGCGGCCCTGGGGTTGCGTATGTAAGTAGGCGGGCCGGGAGATGACTAAGCCGTTGCCCCAATTTAGCACCGCATCCTGCACGTGTCCTCGGCGACGTGGCAGCGCGCGCCGGCGCGTCCGCGGGCGGCGTTCGCGGGCGAGACTCGAGGCTCCCGCACGCCAGCTTCAACGACCTCCACGACCAGCCCACGACGACGACAATGTCCCAGACGCACACACACGGCCCTGGCACGCATCCTGGACACACCCATGGCCCGCCACCCCAACAGCCTCAGATGATCATGCGTCCCCCGGACGCCCTCATGCAGGCCATGATTGAGGCAAGCTTCCGCCCCGTGGAGTTCGCGCTGGGCCCCCCCGAGAACGTGTCCGTGTTGTGTCCCGTGCACAAGGTCGAGAAATGCGCGGACTGCGACGTGGACTACGCCGGCTTGAACCGCCTGTCGCGCACGCTGCACACCAACACCAACCTGCGCTGCCCACCACCTCCCAACTTGGTAAACAAGCAGCTGACGCAGGCGGTCACAAACACAAAGGAGGAAGGCAATGTAAGTCATCGCCTCGAACATGCACGCTTGCACCCTCTGACAGAACGCTAGGCCTTGTTCAAGGGCGGACTATATGACAAGGCCATTCAGCGGTACACAATGGCCGCAAACGTTGCAACTCAGCGCGCGCCCTGGGAACACCAAGCCCTCCTGCGCGAGGAGTTGGCCACTGTCCTCTCCAACCGCGCTGCTGCATATCTCGAGGCAGGCGACTACATCGCATCCCTTGTTGACGCCGAGGTTGTCATCCAGCTGAGGCGCAACTGGAGCAAAGGCTACTTCAGGAAGGCCAAGGTGCTCGTGAAGATGGATCGAAAGAGCGAGGCCAAAGAGGCCATTCAGGTTGGGCTAGCCTTCGATCCTGACAACAAAGTATGTTCTTCTGTGCGCTTGTTGGTGTGTGCTCATCTCAACTTCGTCCCAGGAACTGCAAGACGTACTCGCACGAATCGATTTCTTCCTCGCCAGGAGAGAGTCCAGTGAGGTAACACCATCGGACTCACAGTCACTCGTACCTCCCGCATCGTAATATACCAGTCTTCCCTTGATACTGTTACATACATTCCATCAGTGTAGTCATCGTCCTCGGATCATGTTCAGTCCATTAAGTTATTCTCTTCCCGTCGTCCTAGTAGTCCCTCGAGTATAATGTGCGCCTCCATACATTCATCAGGTCTGCGGAAAATCCGCAAGGGTATATGTTCCGGTGCTTCCAGCCTAGCTCGCCATACACGACTTTGATAGTCCAGCCGCCGCCGCTCGGGTTCCGACAATGTCTGTCGAGATCCAGGAGGTGTTGACGGTACTGATGACGCGTCCTGCCCTGTGCGCAACTGGGGCGAGGAATGAGTCGACCTGAAATAGTCCTCGGGTTCCTCTGTCAGCGGGGACGTCGTCGGAGAAGTCGATGTGAAGTAGCCAACAGGCTCGTGATGGCCGGGGAGTAATTCGTTGTCGGAGTGCATTCTTGCTGGCTTCCGCGCTGGCTCATGGACAGGTACGTCCATGCCAGATATCGACCGCGCCATGCCAGTGGGACCACCAGCCGCGAAGCCCTTCCTCGAACTGGGTCGCCTGGAGATCGCCACCGGCACAGGGCGATTGCCTTGTTGTGGGTCCTTCTCCATCCGCAATACCCTGACACCCGTTGGGTCGTCGAGGGGCGGCAGTCCGCTGTCGGCACTCACATCGCGGATAAATATCGCTAGGACCTGTGCCGGCTTCTCCTTCGCGATGCTCGCGTATAGCTCAAGGTCTTGCTCGCCGGAGTCACCGACGCATACGAAGCGGGCGTCAGGGAAGCTATTGACTACGTCAAGGACGCTGGCTCGTTTCCGGGCCGCGGGTGCGGAGAGAAGTCCACTGAAGAGCGAACGGCCCGCATAAGACCGGAGCTTAATGGAGCCAGGAGGCAGCCGGCACAGCTGAAAGAATGGTTGATAACCGGCAACAGTTCGAAGGGCCCGTTCGACTGTTACAAAGCTACGTCAGCATGTTCGTGGCACTGTCCAGTGAATTAAGGCACCGACCACATAATGAAAGCGGACGCCGCGTGTCCACATGTTCATGTACCACTCCGCCATTCCGGGTATGATGCTCTCGTCGAGGTCCTTGACAAAGACGTTCTGGAAGACTGCCTCGCCCCGCTCAGGACACTGGCAAGTTTCACGGTGTCATCGATATCGGAAATGACACGAACAGTCGTGTACGTGAGAGGCACCGACAGAAGTGCCGTGACGGTCGAATCCGCTTCATCCACCCCTTGCAACGGCTGCTGCGGGAATGCTGTGGCGGTCGGTGTGCGAGGCGAAGGCGGCGGCATCAAGTCGGCAGTGACGATCAGGTCGTGCTCTCGCTGTCTATCGCTGGACGCAATCTGGACTCCTTGCGGGTGTGTACACAGAGCCTTCCACGGGACGCGGAACGCCACCTGGAACGCGCCGTCTGGCCCTGTCACAACGTCTTGTGTAGCCAAAGGTCGACGTGGCTGATCATCCGCGACCTTGTCACGAAATTCTTCTAAGGATGGGTCAGTGGCGAATATCGAAATGCGAACGGTCCGTGCAGGAAGGACGGAGCACCAGAAAGGGTGCAACCGTGCTTGCAGGTTCGTGTTCCATTTTTGCATGAGCTCCGCCGCCGCGGCGCTCACAGGGCCCCTGGTATCCGCACGCGGAGTGCCATAGCCCGACGAGGTTGATGAGACAGACGAAGGATAGGAGAGCGAGGAGGCGTCCGTGGCCATCGAGGCGGTGCTGGCCGTCTCGATGTCAAGATCACGTAGTCGTCGCTCTAGTTCTTCCGCTTCTGCGTTTTCGTCCATCTCATCTGGCGGAGCAGGAAGATGTACATCCTTGAGCAGGTCTTCCGTCGACCTGCTTACATTTCTTGATATGGGCGGTGGGCTGTTCGTCGTTAATTGAGCGGCCAGCTTCGGCAAGGCAGCGAATGCTATGGCAATGTATGAACGTCAACCGCAGTGTGGACTCGCATAAGTACATACTGGTGGCAATCTTGAGGAATGCTCTTCCTGAGCGTGTGTTGAAACCAGCCCCGCTTGACTTAGACGCGAAACCTGACATGAAGACTTCGACATCGAAGGGTGCCTCTGTACACACCACATGCTTGTCTTCAGCCATGAACATGCACATGCGCGACTTGACTCACCTTCTAGACTAATCTTCGTTTCGGGTGCCTCGTGAAACCTCCTGGTGGCCCATCCGGGGAACAAAACCAGCGACTCTGTGCCCGACGCACCTCCCTGGACTTGTTTGAGTTTCTGCCCAGCCCATTGACTCCACGACTGCCTAGTCCCATTCTCGCCTCCGGTCCCCTGAACAACCAAGGCTGGTCGTTTGGATTCACGCGACACGACGTAACCTTTGATAGAGCGGGAGGCAGCACTTGCGAGCGACCGGAACGAAGGCATGTCGTAGTCACTAGACATTGCTGTGGTTTCTTCGTCGTCAGCGGACGCGCGCTTCTTGTAGCAGAGCCACTTGGTTCAGGTTCATGCAAGTGCGTGTAGCGCAAGCCAGCTGCAAGTAGACTCGGAATTGGGCTGTTTCGTCTCGAGACGCCCTCAGCTAGCCATGATATGAGTGGACAGACTCCGACGCCAAACCGGGCATAACATCCCCGCCCCCGAGCCTGGGCTTTCAGATCTTCAGAGCTCAACCGCACCAAGGACTGCTAGCTTTGGCCAGGTCGCGCGACAGACACACAAAATAACCAGACAACGATGAAGAGCACAGCAGGATCGAAGGACTGAAAGAAGACTGGGAATGCAAAACCCCGGCTGCACGCATGGACACGCGATCGAGAACGCCGCGAATCGTCGCTGTCGGCTTGGCACTGAGGCGCACGCGGATATACCCTGGCCGCTGCTCGAACCGAATTGGAAAGACTGAAGTTCGCACCATCGTGAAAAGGCACAAGGGCCCGAGACTACGTGGCTTGAGTGAGTCCAACGAACGCGCGAGGACGTCAGGTTCGTAACGCTTCGTGTTATTCGTGTCTGGAAATCTCGACGGGCTGACTACACCGAGAAAATACTAGCCAGCGAGACCGTCTGATTGTCTACGCCGTGCTGCATAACAATGACAGGGCTATAGCTCTACATCGACTCCTCGATCTATTCGGAGCCAGTTACAGGTGCTTGATGAGGAACTCGACGCTGGCCTTGAATACCCCCTCCTTGCCGGCCTTGACTTTAGGGTCGCTCTGATGACGATGGTTGACCTTGAGTCCTATTTTAAGGTGAGGCAGACTTACCAGGTCGCCCCGGACAGAGAATCCGTGCGTACAGCCCTCCCAGTACGTACGCTCATATCCAGGTGCAAACGCGCCCCCACCAAGTACCTTGTCGGTGGCCGCCTGAGCATCCGACGGGAACATCATATCGATCTCGCAGCTATTGATCAAGAGCGGTGCCTTAGACACTGCTTTGTATTTCTGAGGGGTGTAACGGAGCATTGGTCAAACCTCTCTGCGCGAAGTGAAGACGGCAACAGGTGCGTACCTCGATATCTTCTGGCACCTTGAGCAGGCTCGGGTGAGAGACCACGACAACACTGACGGTGTTGAGGAATGCCAAATCGAATGCCGGACGTGCGCCGTAGCAGAACCCGAGGGCTGCGATCTTCGAGATGCCGCTCGACTGCAAAGCCGGGACAACCTTGGCCAGTACCGGCAGCACAGTCTCACCACCATGCTTAGCCAGCCAAGCCATGAAATCCCAGGTTGAACCAGCGTCGAGCGCATCGAAAGGAGCGGGGTCGTCGTAGAGGATATCCGGCACGATCACCTTGAAGCCGTTCCTCGCGTAGTCGTCTGCCAATAACTAAGTGCAGAGTCAGCTGAGTTGAACATTTTCGATCGACGTATATTTGGTACCTGATGGTTGGGCAGATCAATACCGAAGATATCGGTCAGGTATAGTATGGCCTTGTCTTTGGGGTAGTCGACGGTAGGAGTTGCGACGTAACACCGGACACCACCGAACTCCTCGAACTTCCCTACAGGGCAAACCATGTCCAGGTGGGTTATGACCGTGACGCTCACCGTCGAACTCACCTTCTGGAGTGCCTTCGTGGCGAACACCTACGCAGGTCATGTCAATACCCGTCCGTGCAAATTGCTGTGTCCAAGCCTGCTCACCGGAAACACAGTGTTTGCACAAGCTCATCGTCAGCCTTGATATTGGGCGCTTAGCAGGTGGTGAAGGTGGATAAGACCGTCTCTGTCTCTCCCTCCCAGGGTGCCGTACCGCTTTTATATAACATATCTGGCGGCGAGCTATAATTACTTCATACCAAGGTGCCACATCCGTCGAGCCGCACGGCCAATCCTCGGTGCACCGCAAACATGACCACCCACGCTATCGAGCAAACCCTGGGATATCAGTTATAGCGATGGCGGACGGCTCCCCAACTCAACATTCCTGCAGAGAGGTTACAAGACCTTGAGGGGCGTCCGTCAAGAAGGCATGATTCCACTGGCCCATTCGACGTCATCAGGTGCGTTCACGTTTTAAGTATGGACTGGACCCGTTTCCCAGCTTACATTCCATATCAACGTTGATCTCGGACAATCGAACTTCAAATTCCAAGGTTCAACACATCTTATTAACTACGCAGGCGTCCGGAAGTGCATCCTCCGAGGTGTGTGAATCCGTCTCGACTCCTGCTTCTCGCCGAACTCGCGTCTGCTTCCCAGCGTGAGCCGTCGAAGAGCGACGTTACGCGTCGAACGTCTTCAGAGATGCTTTCGGAGGAATTCGACGCTGGCCTTGAAGGCGCCTTCCTTTCCAGCTCTCACGCTCGGATTGCTCTGCAGTGGACCGTCAGCCACAGAAGCTGCGGCGCTGTAGAAGGGTGCCGTACCATATCCCCGCGTACAGCGAATCCGTGCACGCAACCTTCCCAATACGTCCGTTCATAACCGGGTCTGAATCTCCCACCGCCTAGGATTGCGTCGACCTTTGCCTGTGCCTCCTTCGGAAACATGTCGTCGACTTCGCAGCTGTTGATCAATAAGGGCGCCTTCGACTCTGCAAGGTATTTCTGTTGATTCGAAGTGAGTCCATGGAATCAGCACTGCTGACGCGGCCCTAGCGTACTGACCTCCATATCATCGGGCACTTTCCAGAATGACGGATGAGATACGATGCAAACAGATATGACTTCCACGGATGCGAGCTCGATTGCAATGCGCCCTCCGAAGCAGTAGCCAAGTCCTGCGAACGTCCTAATACCACGCTCTTGAAGCGCCGTGATGACTTCGGATACGTCCCCCAGGACAGTCTCAGGCGGATGCCTGTCTACCCATGCCGCGACGTCAAATTCCTCTTTGCTGATTGAAGCATCAGGAGGAACGAAGCTGGGAACAGCGTCGTTCTGGAAGAGATCCGGCATAATGACGTGGAAGCCGTTCCGCGCGTAGTCGTCCGCGAGCACCTGGAGGGGCCCAAACGTGCACCCAGTATCCCGATGGCAGCGGAAATGATCTGCTCACCTGGTTGTTGACGAATCTGTGGCCATATGCGTCGGTAAGGTAGAGTATGGCCTTTTCTTGTGACTGTGTACCCAGTGGCTCGGTGACATAGCATTCCACGCCAGCGATGCGCTCAATCCTCCCTGGGGTTGTGAGTGCTCGCGTACACGATGATATCACCATGCGCACCGTTAGGGACACCCTCATGACGGACACCTATGTGCATTCGAAGACAATCAATGACAGTTAGAGTGATATCCGGAGCGATCTTGTACCTTTGAAACAATCAGCGCAGAATCCTGGACCTATTGCAGCCATACTTGGTGAGCGACTTGGGCTTGAGGTAAGTGTACGTTGCACGGTCGATTGCTGGGCTCACTCTACAGTCTATATAGTGCACATCACATCAATGACGCGTCGCCCATCGTGCTCAGGTGTCACAGCTCGGCGGTGGCTCGGTGTTACGGGCTTCTGTGGGTTGCCTTACACCACGCTGCTACAGAAACGCCAACGACGGTCAACGGTCCTGATCAAAATCCGATCGTGCAGCGCCCGGACGGTGCGAGCAGTTGAAGCATGAAGGCGAGCTGGTTAGCGATCGCACGGAGCGCCTGAGGGTCAGTGCTCTTTACCTCGGCCTCGTATATCAATTCAACCCCGACTGTGTCTATGCTAGATACTCCGCAAACACTCGGACTCGGCCAGAGCGGCCAGGAAGCCCCTGCATTGATCTCTGTGTTTATTCAAGATATGTGTGCACCGTTTTTGCGCTTATAGACAACCATGCTCGCTGACTCTGAACAGAGGGGTCCCACTGGGCGATCCAAATACACACGGGCGATGCAATCAAGAAATAACGTGGGGTCTTGTTGAAGAGACGTGAGCTGTTGTGGCCAGCACTCAATTCCTAGACGCAATCTATTCACGCGGACAATTCTACACCAAACCCGAATGCTATCGTTGCAGAGACCTTTCAAGTTCCTGCCGAAAGCTCGTCGGGGGACGTTGTGGCTCCTGCCAGATGCACAGAAGACCGGCGCTCAAGCCCAGGTTTCGGAAGGTAACAGCGCTGACTGCCTCTGAGGGACGTTAGCCCGTGAAGAAGGCGGTGCGTATTCTTCACAGTGCTGTTGCCCGGCTATGGGTCAAATTCATCACGCACTCAAACAGTGAGCGTTCGGGCACAAATGAGCTCCAGGTAAGTCGCCCGAGCATGCCTCCTCGAGGAGTTTTGATCATGATCCTCGCATGCAGGGGGTTCTTCACCTTGCTATCCATCTATGTCTTCGTTCCTGAGGTCGTACAATCAGCTACGGAGAACATGACTACCCTGTGGAGAGAGCGATCTTCTCATGTTCTCTCGCGACGCCGTTACTTTAGCTCTACCAGGTGTTGTCCTGATGATGAACACGGGTCTCTGTGACCTCTTCGCGAAGGCAATCCTCGATGGGTGAGTCCGCTACTACTCAGTAGGCGTCATATTGCTATACCTATGGCAGACCTCTGTGCTTAGATCAACTCTCAACTCAGGCGAATGGTCACGGAGGACGGTGTCTGGGATGCTGCTGTCGAGACTGCGCGGGCGAACAAGGCGAAATTGGAGGCAGCGCAGGAGGAAGTCGAGAGGCGTGCCAAGAGGATAACGAACGGCACACCGATGGCGCCGGAAGGTTCATCGCCTTCCTTCGGCGGCGAGAAGGTTGCTCTCGCCAGCGGCAGGGGCTCGCGGCCTCTGGCCATCCAGACTCATGATGGTCACACTCAACCTCAATAACAATATCGCAACTTCACGACCACCGTTGAAGTTACCTCAAGAGTAAAGTGTCAGGTCCTCAGGCCGCTACTTGTACGGCTCGAAAGTATCATTCTCAAAGTATCATACAGTACGTAATCAGCCCTGGATGATAATAATGAATTTTACTTGGCACAGCCGGTTCAATATCCGGGACCGCGACAGCTGCTGCACTGGCAGCTCGGGGCCTACAACGACTCGGGCACCAAGCCTCAGTCGGTCAGTACACAATGAAACTGGTACGCGCTTGAAACAACATGACGCACTACACCCGACGCAACCAGGGGCATGCTACACAACTACTGCGACGGCGCCGTTGGTCATCTGCGTCTACTCCCTGAAACACCGTGTAATCCGACGGTGCTGTAAAAGCATTGTCTCCAGAGTGCTGTGGAGAGTATGCCGTGCCATGGCTGTGCTAGCAGCCTGCTTGATGCGACTGGAGTCCAGTAAGACTGGTGAGCTCCAGCATGAATGGGAAGTGCTCATAACAAGTACTGGCTCCGTGTCGTTGCGGCGCTGGAACGCCAATGGAGTACGAGTCGAACCATCTCTGATTCCATCACGGCCACGGCCACCCACCATTGCCGGTAGGCTAGATGTCGTTCCGCCCACAACGCTGTATGACAACGACGGAAAACGCATGATATATAGATAGGTATATATGACTCGTATAGTACTCTATTGTGACTTGACACTCGGCAGACCGCATTATACGGTCACACATAAAGTAATTAGCAACACACAGAACTCCACCAGAAACCAGAAACCCAAACCAAAGTATGAGGGGATCATGACAGTCGTGTGTATTAGTTTGTGCCGCTGGCAGATGCAGACTGCCAGGTCGTGTGTGCAAGGTCCGCAAAAACGTCTGTGTGGAGGGCCGCTTGGTTTAGTACGCCACGTATGCGACGCAAAGGATGGGCAGCCCCACGAAGAGGCCGCTCCAGAAGACGATGTTCCCCGCGAGCTTGTTGCGCTTGATAGCTGGCAGGCGCCCGATAGCGATCATCGGAATCTGCGACAACTGCACCCGCACCGAGGCGTCAGCCACCACGCTACCGACAACGGGTAACCCGTTCTATACGCACCTGGAGGAAAAAGAGGTACATCCGCAGCTTCTGCGAGACTATGAGCATGACGAGCTCGTGCGCCGACGCGCTGAGCAGGAACGTGAACAGCATCGCGCCGGTCTTGCCCAGCCCGAGGCTCGTCATCGCCGACGCGTACACGTGCCGCAGGAGGAAGGTGTGCACGGGGCGGTTCCACTTGCGCGAGAACTCGTCCCAGGACGTGGAGTTCCACCAGTCGTCGTAGAAGCGGCGGTCGGCGAAACTGCGACGGGCGTCAGCGGGCTCGCCTCTGACAACAGGAAAAACACCTTACTATGAGAGCTCGGCGAAGCCGTTGCAGATACACTCTACGATGGGGTATTGAGTAGACGTCGCGTGGTGAGAGAACGTATCGCACGCACCGAAGATGAGATAGAAGAGCAGCAGCAGGGCGACCATGAAAGGCAGCGAGAGATCAAGCATGGTGCGCCACACTGGCGTTTCGGGCGTGGGCAGGTGTGGGAGGATGAAACTTTCGGTGACAGTGTAGAGCAGCGCGAACGTGCCGAACGTCGCGACCGTCTTCTCGAACACGTACAGCGGACGAATCCTGGAGTAACTGCTCAGAAGCAGGCGGGATAAACAGTTGATGGGCACACGAACCTGTCTGTCCTGGGGTACTCGAGCTCATACACCAACGTGGGGATCGTCATGTACGTCACGAAGTTTTTGTACGTGACGCTCTCGGGCCAGCGGACACGCTCTGGCCCTGGGCTCGTTAGCTCCTCCTCGAGTTCCGCATGCTCGCGGGCAAGATCGGCAATCTGCGAATTGGGATGGTGTGCGAGGATTTGCGACTGCGTGGGTGGATAGGACGAGGAGCTTGTGTCGGACGGCGGCATAAGGCGTGTTCCAGTTGTGTTGACTTGTGTGGGACGATCAGGCGGGAAGTCGGACGATGTCCTCGAAGCAGTTGGGGGAAGTGCCTGACCGATGACGTCTGAATGGCCAGAGACTGCGAGCCGTTTGCGCAGAGCGCCTGCAACGTTCTCGTCGACATAGGAAGACGACGAGCCTTCCGGCGCCATCGGTGTGCCGTTCGTTATCCCATCGGCACGCCTCTCAATCTCTCCTGCGCTGCTTCCATCTTCGCCTTGTTCGCCCGTGCAGTCTCTACGGCGGCGTCCCAGCCACCTTCCTCCGCGACCAGTCGCCTGAGCTGCGAGTGTATCTTTTCGGCGCGTTTATGTACCCATTGCAGCTGGCCGTTCGTCGTAACATATGAATGCATCTTCATGACGAGGACAAATGTATGGAGGGTGAGGAAGCCAGACTGCACCCATGGCCAGCCACGATTGAAGGTCCACTGAATGGCGAGGAAAAGCACAGAGGTCTGCCATAGATGCTGCAGTACGACGCCAACCCAGTAGAAGCGGATCCAACCCTTGACGACAGCCTTCACGAAGGGGACACAGAGACCTGTGCTCACCATCAGGACGCCGTCTGACAGAGCTAGTGTGATAGCGTCGCGGGAGAACATGGAGAAGAACGCTCCCTCCAGAGGGTAGCCATGTTCTTCGTAGCTGAGGATGTATGATCTCACGACGAAGACAAACATGGATATCCAGAACAAGGTGAAGAACCCCTGGATGCGACGATCATGATCAGCGCTACTCGAGGAGGCATGCTCGGGCGACGTACTCGGAACTCATTGGTACCCGAACGCTCATTCGTTGTGTCGAAGTGGGACTTGCGGGGGGTGAAGGTGATCATCGTGCGTAGCTTCTTGGTCTGGCGCGAGCGGAATGGCTTCGAGACATGGACGGTACCCTCTAGGGTCTGGAAGTCCATGCTCTGGTTGCGCTGGAGAGCTCCTCCTACGTCAGGTGTCGCAGCATGACCGCTGAGCGCAGCCTTCTCTGGGGGAGCAAGGCTGTCCGGGGTGGGGGTGAGCTGCTGCGAGGATGTAATGTGTGGAGAAAGAAGACGCACCGGGTCTGGGTCGACGCGGCCATGGTTGCTGGGGTGGACTTGGGATGACGGTGTATCGCGAAGGTCAGAAGGAGTGTGAGCAAGGGTGCTGGCTGGGTGTAGGCTGAACGTAAGTAACTTATTAGTACGCGCAAGGACGGATACTCGGAGGTCGGATGTGCCCACTCCTCTCTGACACTCAGCGGCGTCACTGATGCGCCCGTTCGGGGCGCCCACCCCATATGATCACGTGCGCCGGTCCCGTCGCATAACGCCGCGCTGGTCATCGCCCTCCTCATCCGCACAGCGACCAGTCCGGAATCCGATCCCCTCCTGTTTGTCAGCGTCGCCGCCTCATCGACTGACCTCAACGAACGAGACATAGCCTCTCGCCGCCATGTTTGGGGACGTCATGCTTTTCCTGGCATCCTTCGCCACCCTCCACGGTGAGTTCAAGTAGCGCGACACCGTCTGACACAAATGGCTCGATCGACCTGACCGGGTGTGACACAGCGGCATATTCCACGTATGAACGTGAGTGCTTTGTGCTACTCCACCATGCCTCCTACATCCCCGGTCTGAATCGCAACGCTGTACAGACTTGTCCTACCTGAAAGCCCTAGGACGACCCGAAGGGTCCTTGCCGCAAGATGTACGTCCACAGCATGCATCCGTGTGATCTTCTCACAGTCCTCTGTCAGATTGTGTTCGAAGCACTAGCTGCGCTCATACTCGGCATCGTCGGGTCTGCAATACGGACACCAGAACTGAGGGAGGTGACATGGCGGAGTGAGATGAAGCACCGGTGGGTCCCTTCCGTTCCAGCCCCTGACGTGGACCGAGAACAAACGTCACTTCCTCACAGATCGGCGGAAGAGCAAGACCCGAGGCTCTCCTTCACCACCTTCGCACAACGCGCCGGCATTTTGCAAACCCCATCGGCTTCTTGACGTTGCTATCAGCACATCTGCTCTTGCTTATTTATTGAATCAATCGTTGTAGTTCTTGTCGAGATTCAGGTCGTACACAAGGAACAGACAAGTCGACGTGAGTCCTGCTTGTGAGTCAATCCGAGTTCTGCAACCGCTGGACTGCTCTAGACAAGCCTTAACACAGGGGACCTCAGTGTCACCGTTGCACACGGTGTCACTGTTGATCCCTTGGGGAGTCGGGGCGCGTTGTCATGTTACTTGTGCTGAAACCGCATACATCAGTTTCGGTTTTGGGGGGCAAACACAGGTTGATCACTGTTGACCAACGCCGTTCCATTTGTGGATACATCCCGAAGACAAGAGGCGCCGTGTTCGTGTTGCAGCTCGCGAATTACGAGATGTCTTTATGTCTTGTGCCCAGGGTCGCTTCGAATGCACAGAGCAATGTGAAGCATCATGTCTCTGAGGCGGCTTTTGAAGCTTGAAGTACTATGTAGAGCACCCGCTGTGTTGAAACGTTGATGCCTTGAGCTTGAACTAAGCTTTGGAATCTGAACTTTTGAAGTGCCTAGGCTTTTGCTGAATCTGTCAATCAGTGTCATGAAGACCTGCTGTCAAATCCTATTCCGACGTCATCTTGTGCGTCGACGGTCGGCCTATACTCGGCAGATGCCTGTGGCACGGTGGCGGAAGGAGACGAACCCCACTGCACCGTGCAGTCCACCCCAGAGGACCCATTCCGCAATTCGCATATGATTCCTATGCCTACTGCTGCCATCGGTACCCCGCCCGGGCCAAGCCTGCGATCGACCGCGACGACCGTGACGACTTCGACAACGACGAGTAGACAGCCAACATGATCGGCAACTCCGTTCCGGAGTACATCTTCATCCGCACCTCCATCGCTGGCCTCCGTCTCATAGCCCCTCTGAGTCTCGTCTACACATTCGCCAACTGGCGGGAAGGCCGCTTTCTGTACTCTCCGTGGGCCGGAGCGTACGCGCTAGTTGAAGCATGCTTCTACTTGTTTGTATATCTCCCGCGATCCTTTCTGCTTCAGAAGGTCAGTCGTCCGCAACTTCCGGGATTTGGCCGTTTTGTCCGAACGAATATGGTGATTTTCGCCTAACAGCTGTGTCCGCATCGTCGGGCCCCGCGCCTCTTACAGCTATGTCCATATCGCTAGACTCACCCCGAGCGTAAATGCCAGTGTGTGCACGGGCGGAGCGTGTCGGTCTTGGTATCTGTGGGATGTTGCCATTGTGTTGCCATCAGGATTCTCACCATATAGACGGATTTCCAGCGCGAGCTAGACCGAGGTGTGTGGCCGAGGTCAGCCGGTAGAGGGTGCGGATCGCTCGATGCGAAGGTCAGACAAGGGCCCGACGACCTCCGTCTGTGCACGCGTTTTTGGGAAGGGGTGGAATTGTTGGCTGTAAACACATACACAGAGCCCAGCGGGTTTGATATCACGCCGGACGCCGCGGACTTGGATGGCCAGGCTGCCGCGACCTTGGCTACGGTGGCCTAGTAGGGTGACCGGTACACCGTACAGTGTCCGGATCGCTGAATACCAATGTCCGACAACGTCCGCTCCTATACGCGCTTTTCGGGCATGGCCCAACGTTGTGGCCCTACTGAAATGTCCGGATAAAATCTGGCTTGTCCGCAGCAGCAGCCGCAGCAGGAGGAGATCGTATTACCGTGCTAACGCGTCCCTTAGGCTGCCACCCATCCTCCTCCGCTCTCCCGCAAGGAGCGCGAAGCACTCTTCGGGAAGTGTTTCGTCTACATCGCCCAGATGAATATGGCCACCGGCTGGTTCTTCGGCGGCGATGCTTCACTCATCAAGCGCGAGAACATGCGGGATTGGCTCCTGTGGGCCCTCTTCGGTTGCAACCGCGACAGCGCACGGCCGGAATGGGATGATGAAATCGAGGGCTATTTAGCAATATTGAACGATTACATGGGCAAGCCGCTGGAAGATGGTTTGAGCGAGGCGGCCAGGTGTATGCGTCTGACGCTGGACCCTGTTGCCATGCTGCATAGGCCGCTGGTTTGGTACGTGGTGAGTGTCGGTTTCTCAGCCTCCATACCCTGTCGGAGGTCTGACTGCGCGCAGATCGTGGGTCTACTCGATACGGTGACTTGCATTCGGTTGGCTCTCGCAGGGTTTAAACACTGCGACGCCGGGAACCCCTTTTCTTCCTTCCCTTTCCGGCTGTCGTCGTTCTTCTCGCAGCGCACCCCCGAGCCTTCCCTCGCGTACTGGTACCGACCTCATCGCTCAAAGACCAAACAGCCTGTCGTTTTCCTTCACGGCATCGGGGTGCGCTGTGTTGCCTCTTCTCATCATGTTTCGCACCGTTCTGACATGGCTGTAGATCGGGCTCTGGCCCTACGTCACGTTCTTCCGCGAGCTAGCAGTCCATGACCCGGACGTAGGCATCATCGCCGTCGAGAACCTCTCCATTTGCATGCGCATCGCCCCGCCGCCTCTGCGACGCGCCGACATGCTCGCTGCGCTCACGAATGTGCTCCGGCACCACAACGTCTCCACTTTCGTCCTCGCCGCACACTCGTACGGCACCGTCCTCGCCGCGCACATCCTCCGCGACCCCGCGCTCTCCCCGCGCGTCGTCTCCACACTGCTCATCGACCCTTCCTGCTCTACCTCCCGTCCATCGCGTACAACTTCGTCTACCGCGAGCCGCGCTCCGCGGCCGAGTGGCAGCTGTGGTACCTCGCGAGCCGCGACCCCGACATCTCGCGCGCGCTCTCACGACACTTCTTCTGGACGGAGAACGTGCTCTGGAAGGAGGACCTCGAGGGCCGCGAGGTGGCGGTCGTGCTCTGTGGCCAGGACCAGATCGTCGACTCGCGGGAGGTGATGAAGTACCTTACGGGCACCGAGGATGTGAATCTTCGGTGGAGGAAGGACAGCCTAGAGGTGCTGTATTACCCGGACCTGGACCATTCGAACCAGTTCAACTCCAAGGACTGTAGACGGCCCATGGTCGAGGTGTTGTCGAGGTTCGTGAATAATGGGCGCGCAATAGAGCAGCGGTCGAAGCTGAAGGAGGCGTAATTCCGAAATCACTACTGTATTATAGCGCTCACCACTTGTTCACTATGTATGATAGATGCGAATGACAGCCTGTATACGCAAGACATCTGTAACATACTAGACTACCGATACGTAACGTCTAAGGACGAAACCGGAAAGAACATTCTGACGATTCGTGAGATGGGAGTTTTACGCGATGTACTTGCCCCCGCGCAGAATGGATCCCCATATTGCCCGGGACCAGCAGCATAATAGATAGCCTGTCCGCCAACATCGGCAAAGCGAAGGCTTCGTGAAGACAGTGTGTTTGACATCCGCATGTACAGTACCGAATACGACAGAAGCACAACGTTTCCAGCTATGAGCCGCTTCCAGCACCCTTCTTGTCCGTGTACGCCTTCAGTCTAAGCGATCCCCAAATCAGACATGAGAGTAATTATAAGTACGGATTGAACCTCACCGTTGGTAATCCCTGTCAATCTTGTTCTTGTCAACGCCGCCCTCTCCCCCACCGTTCTTGTCCTTCTTTTTCCCTTTCTTCCCTCCGCGCTTCCCCTTACCCGAGGAAGCGTCCATTTCAAGTAGTTCCCGTATAGACGGGATCGCCGAGGACGCAAGAGGTTGTAAGCGTACAGGCCTTTCCTCCTCTTCCTCTTCGTGATCCGACGGCACTGCCGCAGCCACCGGCGTGCGTTGAGTCTCGACAGGCGGACTAGCCTCCGTAAGCTCAACACCTGGCGAGCCTGCACGCTCCTCTGGCTGCTCATCGTCCAATGCGACCCACCGCCGCCTCGGTGGTGGCGGAGCTTCCTCCTCCTCACCTTCCTCCCGTTCTCTGCCTGCATGTTCGTTCTCACTTTCGTCGTCATCGCCCAAGTCTACACCTGTATAGTCCCCTGCATCTGCGAAGATGTCGACATCGACGTCGACAGGCTCCGGCTCGAGTATTGGCTTTGCTTTAGGAGGGGGCGCAGGAGCCTCAGCCACAGTAGAGGGGCCCGCCTCGGGGGCGGTCACTGGCTCGGATGGTGGCTTTTCAACACCCGCGTCAGACTTGACTTTCTTCTGCGACAATTCGCCCTCCTGGCCCCCTGTCTTAGCCTTCACTTTCTTCCTCTTCTTCGGCTTCTCATCTGTACCACCCCCGATAGGCTTAAAACCAATCGGTCTGAACTTTCCGGCCTTCTTCGCCTCCTCGAGCGCAGGGTCCACTGCTGTAGGCTTCTTGTCTGCACCCGCATTCGTGCCTGTACTTCCTCGCCCGAAGTCTTGGCTCGCTTCGCCTTCAACTCCTGTACAATCTCCTCCCGGGTGCGCTTACGCGGAGCGGTGGACGCGACCTCTCGGAACGCCAGCTCCAACGACGCGTCGTCCTCCGCCGCAGTCGACGCCGCCAGCCGCGCCCTATTCTGTTCTAGCAGCGCAAGATCGAGGCCCTTCACCAGCACGGTATGATCGCTGTCCCCGCCCAGATACCGCCGTTGCTCTTCTACCTGTGTGAATGAGCGTCTCGGGTTCGCGAGCGTGGCGAGGGCACTCACTGCCGCGCGGTCAGCATTGTCCGCCGTCCGCTTCTCAAAGTCCTCTGCGAGGGCCTCCACCTGCGCGTAATCGTTGTCGAGCCCTTTCCGCCGCTCCGCTGCGCGGTCGCGGTACGCCTGGTCCGTCTGTGATTTCTTCTTGACGGTGCGCGGCTTGAACGCGGGCTGGGATGAGTCTACCGTCTTGCTGGCGTGATTCTAATCAGTTGGAGGAGGCGGAGTGGTAGGGTATATGGACAGACCTCTTCGATTTACTGGTGGAAGCGAGCAGCGATCCTCTTGACGTCGGAGTGCCCGACGCTTTGGAGGTTTGCAAGAGCTTTCTGAAGGATTCCTAAGAGGAATTTTAGACCTCATTCTTGGTTTTAACAATGAACATACTTGGTCCATGACAACGATGCTCGAATAGGTGGCGTTGATTGCCAAGTCCAAGTTGGTTCGGTCCGACACTCAATTGGGTGGCGTAACTGGCGTTCAAAGAGTGATGTCACGTGTGTGGCTGCTCGCCAGGGCGGGATGATCCGGGTGGAGGTTTGCCTGATTCAGTCTGGAACTTTGGGAGGCTTGACCGTTATTCGAACGTCAGTAAGTAACCAAGTACTGGCTTCGACTGGCGGGCTACTTACCTCCTATTTCTGGCATTGGACAAATGACGGACTCTAATCACACCACTACCTGGTACTTCTTAGCCGCCGCGCTCGCCGCTCGGTACAGGCCGTGATAGCAGTACTACTCTCCCGGCGTAGACATTTCCTTCAACTTTCGTGCTTCAGGATGTCCTATACGGCTGTGCTAGTAGCCAACGTCCATGACAGCACTATACCTCCACAAACCCGGTGAGTCTCAGGTTGTCATACAGAGTTGTGTGCTGCGTCGGCTACTGTATCATCACTCTAGCCACCGGTGCAGAATGGGCGCCACATACTAACTTATTGGAAACGTTTCCGGCCCCACAATCTCTCCGTGTTGTGCTGCGCTACTTTTTCAGATTGGTGCGCCTACTTATAGCGCGGTATCTGTGTAAGCTCTCGCCTATGCTTTCCTCATCTGCTGTCAGCGATCTGTCAAGTCATGGACATGGGATCAGGATTTAGCTGTGCAGCTCCCAACGCTCCAGTCATTCAACGGTCCCGAATTCTCTACCGTGATCCCTTGTGCCACATCTGATGCGGTTCGTCAAGCCTACACAGGGTCTGCCGTTCACAAACCGACAAATCGCCGAGTGTGATACAGCGATTTACACCAGCGCCGACAAGGCATCACCGCAGGAGCTGGTCATCCCGTTGTTCGTGCAGTGTGCGATTTCACGCATGCCATTCCCTGCTTGACTTCTGTGAGTGTACATTGGACACCTCACTTGCAGCCTCACTATAATGACATTGAAAGTAGGAAGTTTCACAGCGCGATACGAGGCATTCTGAAGATTCCGGACACGGCGCTCATAAATGATTCTGCTGGTGAAAGCCATGGAGGAGCAGTCTAGGAGACGCCCGCTGCGCTGCAGATACGTGAACGACAACTGAGACGCAGAAATTATGGCATCAGCGTAATCCGTGGGTGCGTTCGTCTCCTGTTGCCGACATAGGCCACTTCACAGCGTTCCATGTTGAGCGATTGCAGCGGGCAACGGACATGCCTGGCGGACCGTGATTCATTGACGTGAGAGTCTCGATAGCTATGGGCGGTAGGTGGACATGCTAGCCAATAGTACAGCTACGCATACATGTCAGCCATGTACCAGTACAGTCACCAAGACCTCTGTAGAAAGAGATGTGGCGCCGGGATGCAGGTATAAAAGCGGCGTGGAATGTCGATATCCGTCAACCTGGAGACTCACCTGAGCTCCGTCGTCCAGCATACTCGCAAACAAAGAAATCACCATTCGCATTACAGAATGAAGGACATCGTCTCCCTCGCTGCGCCCAACACTTCATACTTCACCCCTCGTAGGACCCTCCTGCCGGGACCGCTCTGGACCCTCAGCCGGATGGGAAACCTATCCCGAAGCTCTTCCAGCCGCTCAAAGTCCGTGGACTTGAGTTGCACAATCGCATTCTGGCAAGTCCATCTTTTATGCTTAGCATTTTTGCTAATTTAACGTACCACGCGACGTAGATGTCGCCCATGTCTCAAACGTCCGCGGACAACGGTTCGCTAACTGCGTGGCACACCGCTCATCGTGAGTTCCATTATATTACATGTCATCCAACAACCTCTAACTTACATATCATTGTCAGTGGGCGGAGCGTTCATGTATGGCCCCGGCATTACCTTCATTGAGGACACAGCCGTTCTCCCTGAGGGCCGTATTCGCCCTGAAGACACCGGCCTCTGGGACGACGCGCACATCCCGCCTCTCCGTTCCCTCGTCGAGTTGGCGCACTCGCAAAACCAGAAGATCGGCATTCAGCTCGGGCACTCCGGACGCAGGGGCTCCGTCGTCCCCATCTGGCTTGGCCCACACGTCGCTACCAAGGCCGCGGGCGGGTGGCCGGACGAGCTCGTCGCCCCGTCTGCCATCCCGTACAGCGACGCGCCTGGCTGGCCTGTCCCCATTGAGCTCGACGAGGCGGGCATCGCGCACGCCGTGAAGGGCTTTGCAGATGCCGCCGCCCGCGCTGTAGAGGCGGGCATAGATGCAATCCAGATCCACGGCGGGCATGGTTACCTGCTGCACCAGTTCCTGAGCCCGATTACGAACAAGCGCACCGATCGGTATGGCGGGAGCTTCGAGAACCGCGCGCGATTCAGCGTGGAGATTGCAGACGCCGTGCGTGCTGTTATCCCAGAGGGGATGCCGCTGTTCTACCGGTAAGTCCGCCAACACACTGCCGAGGCCCAGACACGTCCGCTAACTCGTGTTTCCTTTCTCCACTCTATCAGATTGAGCGCGACTGATTGGCTCGAGGAGGTCTTCCCCAACGAGCCGTCATGGCGCCTCGAAGACACCGCGAACCTCGCTAAATTACTGGCGGGGCACGGTGTGGATCTCATCGACATCACCTCCAGTGGGTTGCATCCCGCTCAGAGAATTGGGATAGACATGTCCGCCCAGGCATACCAGGCGAAGTTGGCTGTTGCTGTGAAAAAGGCGGTCGGGGACAAGGTACTCGTCGCCACCGTCGGCAACATTAACACAGGTCACATTGCCCAGCACGTCCTAGACGACATGAAGCTCGATGCAGTCTTTGTCGCAAGACAGTTCCTCCGGGACCATCAAACCGTCTGGACGTGGGCCCAGCAGCTAGGCGTCCAGATCATGCTCCCTATCCAGTTCGGATGGATTTTTGGAGGCAGACCTGGCGCGCAGAAGAAGTAGAGTGGGCTCAAAGCGGATCTTACTATGATGTGATGTTTCTCTTCCAAGAGAATATATAGACCTGCATATAGAGTATTTATGTCCAACCGTCCTCTCCCCCACTTAAGCGGTCTTCTTCAGGGTCTGCCTAGGGGGACTAGAAGTAGGGTGCAGTGGCGAATATAGAGTTGCTCATCTTTTGATGTGTAGGCGACCGAAGGGACTGATGTTATACATCCTAGAGACGCCAGCAATACACAGAAACTCTCGCTGATACTGGACTGGATGCGGCACTGCCAGCCCGCGTGTCCGCGCGGCCCTCCTCGGTTCATAACCCTACACAGCCTTGATTCTACTTCTATGCGGTTCACCTTTGATCAGCATTCATTGTACGTACCGGCGGGCTGCTTAGTATCGGTTGCCGCATCGCTATATTCTCTACCTTTGTTGTCCCTGCTCTCTGCGCTTCGTCGGCCTTCGAGTCTTCGCAGCGCTTCCCAACAGCCACTGAGAGTCCTCGCAAGGTACGATACATCTCCGCGTTCGGCAACGGATAATCTTACCGACTTCGTGCTTTCCAGATTGTAGCGTCGTGAGTCCGGGCTGAACGGTCACAAGCGACTCCGAGTCACGAATCGACGACCCAGATAAGGTATCTTGGCTTGTCTCTGATAGCCAGTGTACATACCGGAAGTCAGGTAGAGTGCTGTCGCATCATGCTTGCTCTTGGAGAGCTGCGATCTGAGACAATTCATTAGTAGCGTGTTCTTACCGTGATCGTCGCATACGTGCACGAAGCCCTGCCATTTCCATCGGTGCGACGGCTCTCTCGTATCGCCGTAGCGTAGTAGTACTCCATCCCGCGGAATGGACGGAGACGAGTTGATGTGAGTGTCACTGTCCGGACGCAGGTGACATAGCTTACTATGCACAAGGGACACAGTCCAGCCACAATGTCCGAGGGCTCCTCTCACGACCCTTCGACCCCACAGCTTCCTCTGGAGGTCTCTGAACGGGTCATCGACCACATAGCAACCGGGGTGAATATCCATTATGTGGATGTGAAGGAGGAGTCACACCTGTTAGCCCTCACATCCTGCGCGCTCATGTGCCGAGATTGGTATTTCCTGACGTGGTACCACCTGCGTCAACGCATCCATCTACGAGACCGGAAGGATGTCCTCTTTCTCTCGAAGACGCTTCGCGAAAGGCCGCGCCTCCGCGAGGTCGTCCAGCAGGTCGTTTTATCTGGCACGTCGCCGGGGGAACGTCAACCGACTCGGCATCTGGGCACGTTTGCCGCCATGCTTGTGGGCAAGGCTCCGAACATCACAAGTATCACCGTCAAAGATGCGGAATGGAGCACGGGCTCGGTCCGAATGGAAGACATCAGCTACCTAGCTGCGTTCAGCACAGTTCATACTCTACACATTGCTAATGTCACCTTGTCGAATGTCGCACAGCTGTCCCGCGTCGTTTCAGCACTCCCGGGGCTTAGGGACTTGTGGTGCATCAATGTCGGTTGTTTGCAGAAGCAGCAAGTCTCCCCGGTCTCTCTCCCGCTGAACTGTGCGAATCTGGAGGGTCTCGAAGTGCTATCGGTTGCACAAGCAGTCGAAGACCTCTTCGCACAGATCAGCCGGGCTTCTCGAGTGCGCTGTCTCGCTCTTGGGGTGTACGGCGAGTTTGATCCACCCTCGGCAACCAGTAGGAGCCAGACTCTGCTGGATGCGAGTTCCACATCTGCAACAACGGTTGCGCTCCATATTCAAGTTGATCCCAGCCTTCCTGTTCGTGACGGCACAATTGAAACCACAGTCGGAAAGTCTTCTGAGTTCTCTCTCGAGCCACTTGACTGATCGTTTCGTGCCTACAGAGCGACATTATAACCTTTCACGCCACGACCAGTTGTGGAGGTTGGAGTTGTGGCTGTGCCACCCCTTCACAGCATGGCCCTGGATCCCACACATCCTGTCTCGCATCACCTCGAAACACTTCCAAGCTATGTCTGTTGTGTTATGGCTTCGGAAGGATCACAAGGCTATTGACCTGGAGCATTATTGACGAGAATGGAGCAGGATGATGTCTTGGGTCGACTGGACAGCCGCATGCTGCAGGAGAAGCGCTTCTCCAGTACTGTTGTGTCGCGCGGCGTCTGTCTAGGCATTGACCACGATAACACCACTTAAATCTGGCGATGACGTATTGGGATGGCGAGTCATACTACGAAACGGTACGATCGGTGGGAGGACTCGTTAGGCGGAAATGCCACACTCGCATGGACGAGGTATATTGAGGTACGTAGTACTGTGTATACACCGTTGGGCGAATCGCAAAGGAACCCTGAGCATCTCTTATAGTACGGTGTATACCATCCCAGAATCTCCAACCAGTGGAGGCAGGACATCAGAAAGACACGTGGTAGTATGCCAGCTGACGACACAAATGCTGAGGGTCAAGACGATGAGGGCCTTCGAGGCGGCACCGATTGGCAATCTTGTCACCATGCGTACTCGAGCTCACTTGTACCGTTGCGTGGAGTCTGCGCCGTTGATGGCTAGTGCTGATGCACGCCAGAATTGTTGAGCCAGCCGCCGGATGGAAGTGAGCACTGGCAGAGTGGAACATGTACAGAACATCGATAAGTAGACAAGGACGTCGACTACAAGTGCTTGTCGAAAAATGTGACCGTAGCCTCGAAGGCGCCCTCCTTGAACTTCTCATGATCAATGTTAATGTCGTGCCAAGCGCACCGTTGATGGCCAGTGCCGACGCACAACAATACGATTGACCTGTCCCATGCATCGAGCTTCTTGACGAACTTTCAGGACTGGAACACTATAACACAAGCTACACTGACATTTGAATGCTACGGATACACGTGGGTTCGCTGAGACTTCCATGGATATGATATCTAGGGGGTTGAACCCGTCGATAATCAATCACTGCCTTGAGTAAGGAGGAGTGCAACAAAGAGCGACTCACTGGACTCGGGCATACACGTCGCGAGTCGTCCTTGACGCTCTGCGATACCCAAGGCATATGGACACCCGCGGAATCGAAGGAGACTGTAATTGGTTTACAGGTGCTTCTTGAAAAACTTGACGGCGGCCTCGAAGGCACCTTCCTTGCCGGCCTTCACCTTCGGGTCGCTCTGTCGGGGGCACAAGTCAGATGTCTCAGGTACACCGCGTAGAAGAGGGATTACCATGTCGCCACGGACGGCGAAGCCGTGCGTGCAGCCGTCCCAGTACGTCCTCTCATAGCCCGGTGCGAAGCCCTTGAAGATCTCGTCCGACTTCGCCTGGAAGTCCGGCGGGAACTGGGGTCGACCTCGCAGCTGTTGATGAGGATAGGCACCTTCGACTCATCGCGGTATTTCTGAAGTGCAGCCGTCAGCGACCCGTCCTCCCATCGACGGCGTACATTTTGTTTAAGTTCACCTCCAAACTCTCGGGCTTGAGCAGCGATGGGTGCGAAACGACGGTCACGGCGCTGGTGTTGCTGTACGCCAAATACAACGCGGGAGGGGCGCCGAAGCAGTAGCCAGTCGTGCCGATGCGCGTTACGCCCTCTGCCTTGAGCGCCGCGACGACACTGTCCACGATGGGCTTCCAGACGTCCGGGCCGTGGCTGGCGAACCAGGCACCGATGTCGAACTTGCCCGGCGCGCTAAACGCGTCCTCGGCGACTGCATCGTTGCTCAAGATGTCGGGTATGACGGTCTTGTAGCCGTTACTTGCGAAGGTATCCGCGAGCAGCTGACGTACGGAAGCCGATGTCAGCGAGCGAGCCTGAGTGCGACGCGGGTGCAAGGGATGTACCTTGTTGTTGTTGAGCGGGATACCGAAGACATCCGTCAAGAAGAGGACGACCTTCGTCTTGTCGTAGTCGCCGGAGGGAGTGGCGACGTAGCACTCGATGCCGCCGATCTTCTCAATCTTGCCTGCAGATCAAAGGGCGGTTGGTATACACGTTTTAGAGCCCCAATCTGAGATAGCGATCTACTCACCCTCGGGCGTACCCTCGTGGCGGACGCCTGGTGCAGAAGAATGAGTCAATTTGGAATTCTGCGAGCCAAGCACACTGCATCCAAGCCTGGGGCGGCCGCGGGAAGACACCTACCACTGACGCAGTGCTGGCAAAGACCTTCGCTCATCTTGGGTGTCGGGATTGCGGCGTTGGTGGGTGGCGAGGTGGGTAGTGGCTGGATGCTAGAGGGGAGAGTTGAGGATGCCGCTGGTTATATAGGGCGTGAAGATATGGGGGATGGTTGACTTGGTGCAGTTAGTCATCTCGTCCAGAATGGCAGTGATGGACAGATAGCGGGGCGAGCAGCGCACTGACGCGTCGTTCGGCCGGCCGGGGAACCTTGTCGTCGCCCCGCTCGACGGACGCCCAACATCGATTGCGATCGACCGACCCGCGATCTAGATTCCTCTGCTGCCCTCCATACTCATTGCGTTCAATGAACAAGGATGCACATACTAACACTTCAAGCCAACTTGCTTGTCTGCATGCTCAAGCTCAAGCATTGGCATGGATTAGCTATAGCTTGTCGAAGGGCTAGAGTGTCCTGAGATAATAGACGCGGCGAGCGTGCAACGTTCAACGTTGTTCATCCCCGGGCTCGAGGTGGAGGACTCGATGCTTGCAAGCTACTTTAGAAGGTCAATTCGAACCGTACCAAGGATGACTCTGGCCACGAGCGGCATTAGTAAGTTGGTTTGTTTTGACTGAATGGGGTATGGGAGGTATGGGTCGGATGATTAGTAGTAGTTGATTAGTAGTTTGTCTTGACTGAGCTCCGTCGACGTGACGCGTCGAAAACCTAGATTGCAAGCTGATATCGGGCTTCTCTTGGGGCCCTGAACATACTGTCCACAAAGCGGGTTACGTGAGGCACCGCAACCGTACGATAGGCAGCCTCAACATCTCATCTCCGAGCTGTCGTAATGATCCATCATCCCGGGCCTTGGAAGCAAGGGAACACGCACAATTCAATTGTCTCTGTCGCCCCCGGAACAGCGAGTATGTGGGACCTGGTGATAGGCACAGTACGGCCGAAGGGGCGCTCTGCTGGATGGATTGGTATGTCGCCTGCGAGGAAACAACCCGGCAGTGATGCAGGTTCCGCCCATCTCAAACTGCTTTTGTTCAATAGACGGTACGCGTCAACCCCGTATTGGTGGCGCACATTCTCGAGTCAGTGCAGAGTTCAGACGGATAACTCACCCGCGATTCCACACTGACGAATCACAACCATTCATACACATGTGGTGCAAGCAGCGCCGAAGATATCGTGTATTGGGGCATGCGCGAGATCCTTCAGAACAGGCTTGTCAACTCAATCAAATCGAGAACGACTATGGCTTACAAGACGGTCGCGCGTTGCTCAGGCCGCGCTGGCATGAACGAAGAGTTCGGCTACTCAGAAGACGCAGCATGAGGGACCCAAAGTTTTTCAAGAAAACAATGGAAATGATAGTTCCACCGAAGATTTGCATCCTCAACTCGGTAGCACTGTGGCCGTCAAGGACACTAAGAGTAAGTCTCCTAGCCTTGACCAGGGTGTGGCGCGTTTCGAGGACACTTCTTGCTGTTCTCTGCAGCATGGTGAGTACTTCCCAGGGCCGGACCACGACGAGAAGGCCTTACTGTTATGTCCAGGTTGCTTGCATGCACTACACTTGCGCGGCTGGACGACACGATTAGGAGTAGTCACGGCAGACGCGATTCCCGAACCAGACGCACCGCCTGAGTTACAACTGCTACCTAGTGTACGTGTCGCAAGCGGTGTCGTGGTCATTGGAGGTGCCAGTGGAAAGTGACTGATATCCTCGAGTCTGTCAGTGGGACATCAGACGCGAACTACTCACCGTAGAAGGATCTCTAACACCACACCCCCATACTTCTCAGCCTTGCTCGCCGGCCACTTCGTCTCTCGCTTGATGTCATCCAGAGACCCTATCTTCTTTACGCTCGCACACTCAACAAGCCGCGCAAGTACCGTGTCCGGCAAGACGAGATTGTAGGCACGAAGAGAATACGCAGCAGGGCCATACTCTGCTTCAGCCCGAGAGAGGCGGAAGGTGTCGAGCGCCGTCGTGAGGTCGTGTTTCGAGCTGACCATCGCGTCGTCTGCTGTATCTTGAGGCAGCATTGATGCGCGGCTCGGAGCCGCTCCACTGAGGTTGGGTACAGAAGGGCGTCTAATGTCCTTGCTCGATCTTATCTTATCTCAGCTAGAGAGATCTAGACAGAGATCTGGGAGAAGCCTTTCTTCGGACCGCCCGAGTCATTTTGCAGATCGAATTTGGCGGCAGGCTGCTCCTCTCGCATTCGCCACCATGTCTGCCTCGAAGGGACGCGTCTTGTTGGCCTACTCCGGCGGTCTTGGTAAGTCTGTATGCAACTTTGAATGATCACGCCCGCGACTGATGTGTCTGGACACCACCGCAAGACACCTCATGTATCCTTGCTTGGTTGATCGAGCAGGGCTACGATGTCTACGCGTTCATGGCGGATGTTGGCCAAGAGGAGGTCAGCTATATCTATTTTCGATCGGTCTGAACACCTGACCTGATGGGCTTTTGCAGGACTTTGAAGCCGCGCGCAAGAAGGCTCTGGCTGTTGGTGCGAAGAAGTTCTTCCTCGAGGTATGTCGTTGCAGATTCAGTTATCTGGCTGTTGCTCGTCGCGCCAACAGCGTGAGGCATCGGCCTTCTCAGAGCTATCGGACACGCCAAATCCGCGAAAACGCAAAGCTAACCTTTGCGTGACAAAATTTTGGGCTCTGGCGCCGGGATCGTATTGAAGCAAAGCATTTTCACGATTTTGCTTCAATGGCTGTCGTTTCACTCGTTTGGAATGCTCACTCCTGTTGCGCAGGACCTTAAGAGGGAGTTCGTGACGGAACTCATATATCCTGCCGTCCAGGCGAACTGTATCTATGAGGTATGTGAACCCGCACAAGTGACTCACCTGTGCAACGAACTCACTTGATTCTGCGAAGAACGTCTATTTGCTCGGTACATCGCTTGCGCGGCCTGTCATCGCTCGTGGCATGATGGCCATTGCTGACAGGGAAGGCTGCGAGTAAGTAGCTGCTTGGATACAGGGGAGCCGCATGTATTCATGCATGACACAGCTTTGTCTCCCATGGGTGCACGGGCAAGGGTAACGACCAGGTCCGTTTCGAGCTCGCGTTTTACGGCTTGAAGCCGGACATCAAGGTGATCGCGCCATGGCGGATTCCTGGTACGTAACAAGCAGGCGATGCCACATATCCGCACCAAAGCTCACCGCTGCCTCGCAGAGTTCTACCACCGCTTTGCAGGTCGTCAAGCCCTCCTCGCCTACGCAGCGGAGAAGCAGATCCCCGTCCAGCAGACCGCGGCCAAGCCCTGGTCGACAGACGAGAACCTCTTCCACATCTCCTACGAGGCGGGCATCCTCGAGGATCCAGACACAACACCCCCTGCCGACATGTGGAAGCTGACCACCGCGCCCGAACAGGCGCCCAACACGCCCGAGCGCATCTCCATCCAGTTCGAGCGCGGGTTGCCCGTCAAGGTGACGGTGCCTGAGCAGAACAAGGAATACACCGACCCCGTCGAGGTCTTCCTCACGCTCAACGCGCTCGCGCGCAAGCACGGCATCGGCCGCATCGACATCGTCGAGAACCGCTTCATCGGCGTCAAGTCTCGCGGCTGCTACGAGTCGCCCGCGGCGACGATCCTGCGCGTCGCGCACATGGACATCGAGGGCCTCACGCTCGACCGGAACGTCCGCGCGCTCCGTGACCAGTTCACGACGATCGAGCTCAGCCGGATCCTGTACAACGGGCACTGGTTTACGCCGGAGCGGGAGTTTGTCATCGCTTCGATCCCGGCTAGCCAGCGCACCGTCAACGGTGTCGTGCGCCTCAAACTGTACAAGGGCAACGTCTTCGTCGAGGGCCGTTCATCCGATGAGGTATGTTCTGTGGCTTCATGCAGCGGACCAGGCCTAATGTTGTCTTGTTTAGGGTCTTTACGACGAGAGGGAATCTTCTATGGACGAGCTCGGCGGGTTTGAGCCTACGGACACCACTGGGTTCATCCAAATTGAGTCGATCCGTATCAAAAAGTGGGTATCCTATCGTATCTAGTGCTTCAAGTAGAACTGACCGACCTTGCCTTGCAGGTGGGCGCAAGCCAACATCCGCAAAGGCCAGGGTGGTGTCGAGGCGAAGGATGTGTACGGCTCTCGTGTCTAAAATTGAAGCTAGATTGTATCCTGCCTTATAAATTGTAGCAACTTCTGTGCATTAGAAATCGACACTGTCATGTTGTTCTCCGGGGTTTCCCCAGTCTTTATGACTGAGGCTGCAAGAGGATCAGGGTAAAGCTGCTTCGAGATCGTGTCATCCTCGAGTCGTCTACGATGAGGTTACCGTTCATAGTAGATTGAGATCTCCCTTGCGGTTGCCAAGCACTACTGTGCCCATGGCTTCAGCGAACGCGCAATGCGTGATATCGTCTGAGTAGTCGCTTCAGCGGTGTGACAGACGCAGTCAACACTGAACGCACACCTCGGAGGTCGTAGGAATTCACTTCATAGATGACCCGTCCGTCGATCGTCCTCGCCTCGCCTTGTAACGTCCAGTCCTGCTGCTCCAGTTCGCTGTCTAAACGGCTCCCCTCCCCAGCGGGCGCAGCATGCACTTCATTATCAAGGAAGTCGTCCTCGTCTAGGGCATCCAACGCAGTACTGAACGCGATGACGCTTCTCCGCATGCTGCCGCGTCTGCGCTCGATCCAGACACCGCGTTTGCCCGTGCGTCCCATGAAGCACGCCGACACAAAACCACGCGACCCGGGCGTGAAGCCACTCCTGGACCGAGGCACGTTGGCGACACCGTCCCCGGAAGTCGTATATAGCTGTGCCAAGCGATGTACTGCGAGTAGGCGCACGGCCATGTGCGGTGGCGGGATGTCTGGCATGTCGCCGCTTGTGTCGGCGAGTGGAGGGAGAAGCACTGAGACACGGAAATGGAAGAGGCCTCGTAGGATGTCGTACGCAAGGAACGAGACCCGGACACGGGTCTCTGCGCGAATACCGCTTAACGAAACTTCTGGGTCCGACACGGAGACGCCTCTGAAGGTCAGCCCAGGGAAGAAGTGGGAGAAGGCTCTGATTGGAACAAGACCGTGAGACACGTTTGTTCCGGAGGTGGAGCCGCTGGATAGACCGGTGTTGGGCGAGAATGTGTTTGGCAAAGCGAGCAGTTCCACGTCATGTGTCTTGAAACAAAGTATGTGGCGTGGCGAAATGAACTTCGCGGCAATAACACCAGTCCACTGAAGAAAGGGCGAGTTAGATCTGCATCAGGAGCGTTGACAACGTATAGGCGTTATGAGAATGCAACTTACGAAGTCTTCGTCATTCACCGGATCAATTGTCTGCAGTTGCCACACCTTCCCGTAGTCCCACTGGAGTAGCACAAGAGTGTCCGAATAGGAGAAGAACGCGAAGTTGGAAGCCGGATGGATTGCGCGAACCGACAGGGCGGGGTTGGGCAGCTTCCACACTCGTATTGTATGGACTGTTAGCTCGACACTTCCAGTCACGTTCGAGTCCGAATGTGGGGGTAGTTGCATACTTGAGACCGTGATATCTTGTTGTCTGAGAGGTGCTTGTTAACCAGGTGCCCATGAATTCTGAGTGAACGATCGTACGAAACGGTTGCAATGAATAACATGGTATTATCTTCACTCAACGACGCGCACGCAGACGATAGTAGAGCATCTGTAGACAACTGCGTGCTGAAGCGGCAATTTGTTTCTGGCGCAAGACCCGCTCTTCGATAGGTCGAGATAGGCGTGTTCCCATTGACGAAGAGATCCCAGATATATAGCAGACCCTCATTGTATATAGCCAGAAGCCAACGATCGGCAAGAACCTCCATAAAAAGAGCAGTGTTTCCGCTTTGTTCGGAGAAACGGGCAGTGACCGACTGGTCTGGGAAGCCCAAAGCAATCGGGGGAGCGCGAGGAAGTAGCCAAGAGCGTTCAGTATAATATATCGAGAGCACCAGTCGTTCCAGGACGTCAGATCCCAGAGTAAGAGTAGCGTTGGTAGGATCGCCATCATATGGTGAGGGTATAGGGACTTGCGACCGTTGACTGAGAAGCATCCTGAGCCAAACGGATCGATCTTGGGACAGCCGGCATATATCCATACATGTCTGCCATTGTAATGAGCCACACTTGAAAGACACTTCTGGGGGGGATGCATGCGAGTACAGCGTGGTCAGCAACAACATGGTGTCGCGTACGTTTCCAAGTGGCCTACTCGGCCGCAGATGGACCGACACGGCTATTGAGGCTTCGACCAGACCGACTCGCTATGCATGCCCGTCCGAGAGTAGTGATCAACTCACCTTGCGAACTTCAAGCAGGTCCGAGACGTCGAGTAGAGACAAGATCTCGAATATAATCTCGGCGGGTAGCTTGAGGACACCAACCGACTGGGCAGGAGGCTGTGCGATGGAGACCAGCGGGTCTGCGCTGCCCATTGCGCTGCACGGAGTCGCCTCCGAGCTGCTAAGTATCAGCCTCTCGTTTAATGTGGCGGCAAGGTGGCGGTCCGAGACAACGCGCGAGTCGGCGATCGCGACGTCACAATCGCGGGCGTTACGTAACGCGACCCTGTGTGACTGACGCGACCTGTCACTTACTCCGAGTCGCGACGCCGCAGGCCCTCGCGAAGCAACCGTGACCGTGTTCTTCTCTCCTCCTACTCAGCTTCAAAGCATCCTCTTGCAGCTTGCTGAGACCCTTTCACGCTAAGCGAAGCATTATATACCCTGCTCTATCTCTGAACACAATTCGCCCAGTGTACGGACCCGGGTAGTATTCTTGCTAGGTGGGCGACCCCAGGCTAGGTGTGTAGCAAAATCGCACAATCGGTTTCGGCTTTCGTTAGTTGACGCCCTGCATATAGCGCCTGATATATGGTGTGGATCATTGCATGGAAAGATTCCAAGACGAACTACAAGGACGAGGTACCAGCTTGTACTCGGACACATCGGAGAGTATACGGATGCCGGAAAGACCTATGCGGTCAAGCGGCGTGGGGTTTAAGGACTTTGGGAGCGACTTCGCACATGCCTCGCAAGCGAAGGGCAGCTCCGGACCCAGCAAGTCTCGTGAAAACGGCAGACACTCTACCAAGGATTTCGCGCATCGTACCACCCTAGGATCTTTGAGCGACGACGAACTGGACTTTCTGAGTTCGCCTCCGCCCTCGCCTAGTCGCAGCGCTCGTGACCGAACGGCAGAGCCCGGTGCTCATACGAGCAAACGCGAAAGGGGTTCCGAACCTCGCGCTGACGATGGTGTCGTTGTACAAGGGCAGCACCACCAGTATCACCCAAACTTCCCGCCTAAGAGGATTCTACCAAACTTCAAGAAGAACAAGAGATCCACGAATGATACCCCGCTCCCTGCCTCTCAGTCCAGTCAAAGCTCTGTATCATCTACGAAGGCCACCGTCGGCCGCGTAGGCATACGGGCTTCTTCGCCACGGCCGAGGCGGGGTCTTTCTCCGGAAGGCTCAACGTCGCGTACCTCAAATTCTGCGTACTCAACGACCCTCAGGGCAAATAACACAGCCATTTCTGCTGTGGCGACTTCGTCGAAAGCAACCGCCGGTGCGCGGGGCAGACACCCGCCTTTCAACGAGGTGAATGCAGACCCGGAGCCGGAACAAAGAACTCCCCGCCCTCCTACGTCTCAACGACCCAAACCAAAGCCTGCATATAAGGGTGCCAACACACCTACGAAGCCCCGAGGAGTCCAGGACGTGGTTGACGTCGATTCAGATCACCAAGAGGCCCGTGGTAGAGCGACGCTGCGTCAGGCCAAGCGTCGGAAGGCCTCGCCCGCATCACCATCAGGCGAAGACGAGAACGTCTCAGGAAAGAAAAAAGGCGGGATGACAAGGGCGAAGGACAAGGGGAAAAAGAGGGTTGCGAACCCCATCGAGGCGCTCTCGCCTTTATCTTCTCAAAGGTCGGACGACTCGGATGACGACCGCCCGCGACGTGCATCCAAAGGCAAGGCAAAGCAGGAGCGTGGCGCGAAGTCAAGGCAGCTCGCGGACTTCCCTGCGTTGCCTCCTCTTTCATCTCAGACTTCTCCTCGGCGAGGCTCAAAGGGGAGAGTGTCTGAGGATTTTCCTATGCTTTCCCCCCTGTCCTCTCAGAAGTCAGGAATGTCCAGAACAGCAAGCCAGCGGGACAATTTCCCTCCGCTGTCACCGCTTTCGTCGCCTCCAGCCAAGGGAAGTTCGCAATCTCGAGGCAGTAAGGCCAAGTCATCCTCGCAAAGGAGCCACGTAGCAAAGGGCACAGTGATGTCATCCGCCGAAAGCAGCACTGAAGTCGAGATGGAGGACGACGAAGCGCTGCAACCGTTCCCATTGCAGACGCAGCTCCTCGAGAGTATTGGCTATTCCCCTCCGAAGCGCTTGGATGGACGGAGTAGCGACCTCGAAGAAGACGAAGCGTGGCGGGCACGCAAGAAGCGAAGAGCAGACCCCAGCGAAAGGTACGAAATCTTTATGGCTCGCGTTGCAGACTGGGCGCGGGATCTTACTGCCGTTCACTGCGCAGACTTGTTGACATCTTGCGCGATGACGACTCTGACTTCGACGATGAGGATATGGGTAAGAGCTAAAGGTTACTCATGATGTGCCATTCACTGACAAGTTCTTCCACACATAAGTTCTGCTAGGAAGGGACGTCGACCCGCATACACTCTGTCCGTGGTGCGACGAACGCCTCCCACTAGCGCCTTCACCCCATCTTGAATCTCTCATCGTCACGGCCCGCGGTGCATCCGTCCGCGATGTTCGTCCGACCAATCCGTTGGGCTTGCGTGCACCCCTAGGCATGTTCGTCAGCGTCTGTCAGCGACATCGGTTCGAAAGCCACCAGGTACCCAAGGCTCAAGCACGCGGCTGGCCCACGAACATTGACTGGAACCGTGTTGCCCCGCGCGTGAAGGCGCTCAAGCCCCGATTGCAGGAGATCATTGACGACGTCGACGAGGAGTTTCTGCCAGGTGCACACAGGGCAGATGGCGCTGAGGAAGATGATGACATCGAAATATGGGCCGATAAACCGAGAAAGGGCAGTATCTTCTGGCAAGACGTCGTGAAGAGCGTACGCAAGAGTGGGTCAAGGAAGACCGCCGGGGTTGCCGGCCAGCTCGCGAACTTCAGCAAGACACAGCCCGGCTAGTGAGTGTGTATACGTTCCGTCGTCGTATGCTACTCATCCAGGTGAACCAGCTATGGCGAACTCGGATACGTGATCATCCACCAGACCATGTACGACATGTTCCCGCCTGCGTCGTTTCCCCCCGACTCCACTCTTCCCCTGAATCCGACTGACTTCATTCAGCTCATTCTCATTCCCGAGGCCGCCGTCTCCTTGATCATGGAAGACATGGGCCAGACGCGGGACGAGGCGATCGTGACGCTGCGCGACAGCGCCGAATATGGCGTCGCAATGTTCCCGGATGACCAAGCCGAGGGTGCGAACGCGGTCGACCAGGGCGAACGGATCATCATGAAGCGTGCTCAAGCACGGCGACGGGAGCTCGAAGTAGAAGACCGAATAGAAAAGGAAATGCTCCAGGCGTTACCAAAGGGCGCGGAGTCGTCGAACGGTCGCCCGAAGCCGAGACGAAGGGCCAAACTCGATACTGTGGCCGCTCAACTCGATAGCGAGAAGAGTGATCTGGAATTGGCAATTTCCAAACCCTCCACGAGGAGCAAGGGCAAGGCGAGGAGCAAAGGTAGTCGTGACCACTCTGACTCCGAGGCCAGCGCGATGGTCGTCGCAGCAACGTCCAGCGACGAACCTCCAAGCCCTCGCAGCAGAGACGGACCTGGTCGAGTACTGCGTTCCCAGTCTCGGGCGCGTAGTATAACAGCGAGCTCTGACATCGAGATGGCCGTGTCGGATGTCGCACCGTCTACCAGTGGGTCAACCCCCAAACCCAGGCCCAAGCCCAGACGAAAGCGGGCCGAATGCTCTACTGCACAGAAGTTGACAGACCACTCGGACTTGGGAGAAACGGGAGCAGATGGGATCCACAGACCGCAGCAGCCACCGAGTCCGCGGCCAATCCCAGAGGTACGTTGGGACAGCACTGGTCAAGCACATGTCAGCAATAGCAGAGCTGGGTCCATTGTCGATGATGATCGTACGCCAAGGGCGACCAAGATATCGCGGACGTCATCCGAGGCGTCGAAGAAAAGCGACGTCTATCCACTGCGAAGGGCGCGGGAAAGGCGAGAGAAGAGGTAAGCCACACAATCGCGCAGACGTGTCATATGTCGTACTCACTGAAGCCTGAGTAGCTCGAGTGACAACTGGTCGCGTACCTTGCGGGATGACGGTCGTTCTGGGGTTACAACGGAGGATGACTCCGAAGGATCCGCATCTCGGTCTCGTAGGGCAAAGTCCTCTGCAAGCCAACCAGACAGGTCAACGACCGCTCAGGGCAACAAACCCCTTAAGTTTGGATGGCTACTTAACGACCAATCGTCAGATTAAAGTGGGGCGCGTTGGGAATGGTGCACCAAGAAGTCATTCTCTTGACTCTGACGGTCATCATCGAGAGCCCTCTTCTCTAGACTAATACCGTACTATGATACTGTTGGCATACTGACCTAAAATACACTTCGTGCTTAGCGTAAAGATAATTCCGCTCGATCTATTTCAACGAATGCCCTGAAGTTGCGCAACTGAGGGTGCCTTCTCTTACGAGGACATTGACGGCCTCAGGCATCGTATACGCTTTTGAACATGTCTTGCAAACATCTGTGCTAAGAATCGTAGTACGCGCTACTGAGGATTATCAACCTAGAAGGATAAGACACTGGTCACTTCTATCTATATATTACCCGTTACAAGACCAGCAGCTGTTGCATTTACGTCTGCCGTCGATGTGTCCTTTGCCGTAGCCTCCGCCTTTTTGACTTCCTGGATACGGGGTATAGCTTGCGTGGCTTCCCAGCCCGGCAAAGCTTGGCCCTTGACAGTCTCCACGCGCGCGAAGAACTGGGGACCCAGGAAGCCCTTCTCGTCTCCCTCGGTGAGGACAACGCCATTCGTAGACAGAAATAACTTGATACCGGCATCGAGGGCTTTCTGCACATCGACGTAGATCAGGATCTGCGAGGAGTTACGCATGCCTGTATCGGGTTGATGTTAGTAGTTGGCTAGTTTCAGAGGCAACATTGGACACTTGCCACTGATAACGCCAGAGCCTGGTACACCTTGGGCCAGGTGTATGTGGTTGCGCGACATCTTCGAGAGACCTTTTTCTCCTGCACGGGATCCAGAAAATCTGAGAGATCAGGTCAACATAAAGAAATCACTACTACGTACGGATGAGTTCCCAAGCTTTGCGGTTGGTGCCGTGTACAGCGATCCCTGTAGGGATATCGACTGCTGATACCACCGGCTGCAGATCCAGTTTGACCTCCTGCGTCAAATAAGATCTCCGTCCAATTGCGTGCCATGAGCGTCCCACCTTTAGTGAATGACCCTGGTTTGCCCGGATCCACCAGACTTCCTTAGGAGGCTCAACACCTTCGTCTGTCTCGCGTTTCAAATGATAGCGGCTTTTGCTATCGTTCTCGACGATTCCTTGTAAGTTGTCGAGAGTCATCTTTGGGATTTGCAACTACTTCGGGGTCATGCATATTGCTGTGCATCCGAGAGCGAAGACACTGAACGTACGAGGTCATCAACGCGTACATACCCATCCGGGCGCATGGCGAGCCCCTCGGCCTGCGAGCCGTGGCGCAACACCCAAGAGAGCGTCTTCGACATGCGCACTTCGGGGGAGTCTTTTGGGAGGCCTCGCAATTTGGCCGAACCCCCACCTCGCCCACGCTGACCTTGGTTCTTGCCTCCTCGTTTTGCCTCTGGTTTTGTGGCCTCGGACATCGTCGATGCTGGCCTGAAGCAGTAGTGTTCTCTCAAGTGCTGTGAACCGACTGTGGCTCGATAGTGCAGGAGGATGTAAAAGTGACTTTGCTTGGAGAAGGCACTCTTGCGGACGACAGCCTGAAGCATCGACCTCAGGCTTCAGCGCTTCGCCGTAGGAGGGAAACGCGTGACACGTGCGCGTAAATTGTGACTTCACGCGTCGTCGTGACTATTGTGCATGGTCACAGCGAACATGCACTGCAGTGGCTTGTCCTCAACCGCCACCATCCCCACCATCCCCACCGCTGCTATACGTACGTTCGACGGTTGGCTGAATTTACGCGACATTGACCAGGTAATGCCGCGAAGGGGACAAGGAATAAGCGTCGTACTGACTGATACCCATCCTGCCCAGCATGCCGCCATCATCTCACACAGCTACGCAATCCTCCCATCGCCGCTTAACGGCCAGTGCAAGACAACGAGAGAATAGGACACAGCATACGCAGACCAGCAACATGCGGAGGCGCAAGTCGCGTTCACCGGACGCGCGTATACTAGAGGAAATCCCAGCCGTCCTAATGGCTGCTGAGTCGGGCAACCAGCGGAGGAAGAGGAAAAGCATGTCTTCATCTGCTCCATCAATCAATGAACCCGTAACGCAGCCCTCCATCGAGGAGGTCCTGCCAGATCGAGGCCGTCGAGGCAAAGCGAAGGCTAGACCGCAGACATCGTTTGTGGAGGAAGGGGACACTCGTATTCTGAGAGAATTCGCTGCGCCGAGCGGTAATACCCGAAGCAAGAGGAAAGAGCGGTCAAAGTCTCGGGACAACCACCCTCGCGGTGTACGGACAACAACTCCGGATCCGGGGGAGGACGTAGACGTCGGGACACCTGTGGCGACGTTTGATAGCACAGAGTTCGCTCGTTTGAAGCGCGAGATTGAGAGCCTTCGGAAGGTGCGCCTTGCCTTACTGCTTGTTGTATCTAGCTCATTGTCTATGAAGCAAATGCACATGTCCAAGAAGACGATCCATAAGCAGAGCAAAGTGAGACACATCACTGAATTCCCTTGTCATTGCATGCGACCAACTTGATTTTTTTCAGGTCATTGATGAGCTGCGAATGGAAGTTGCCAACTCGACCAAAGTGAGTCCACCGTACATTTGTCGCATAGCCGCACTGACCGACTCTACGTCAGTCTCAGAAGGAGCAAACGAAAGAGATGGACAGACTCAAGGTTCAATCGAAGAAGTCTGAAGAAGTGGGTCGAGATTGTTCAGAATTCTCGAAGGACCTCTGACAAAGTTTGGTAGCTTGTTACAAACTTTGAGACGAATCTCTCTTGTCAAATTTGCATGGAACTTCTCGCGAGACCACATGGGTATGTTCAGTCGTTAATCGCATCACAGCACTCATTGATTGGGTGAAATTTAGTCTGTCGCCTTGTGGTCATGTACTGTGCCAGACTTGTTTACAGGAATGGTTCCGTTCTGCGCCTGTGGGCGAAGACGAGATGTACGATGAGGACGAACCCGACGCACTTATCTACCGCAAGAAGACGTGCCCGTGCTGTCGTACGGCAGTCACCAACCGGCCCATTCCTCTGTTCCTTGTGAAATCCCTAACTTCGGCTTTGGAGAAGGCCAAAGCACAACCAGGTGCACCTCGCCGCTCGACGCCCCCACCAGACGACGATCCCTGGGAGGGCATCTTCGCAGACCCTGAGTCGCAAGACGATTACTGGGCCATGGACGAAGACGACGACGATGAGGACGAGGACTTCGATGACGAAGAATACGATGAGGACGACGACAACTGGTCCTTTGACGGATACGGCACCGCCGATGACCTGGAGCATTACGATGGCCCTTACGAGCGGCCACGTTGGGCGCCGCCTGTGATGTACGCGTCAGCCGACGACTATCCATTCGACGGCATTGACGCGCATGACCTCCGCATGCTCCGTCGTGGCGCTACGCTCCAGATGATCGACACGTTCCGAATGTCGTACACGCACGAACACGGCCTGTGCGCGCGAGTCGATGACCATAGTACCGTCTACCTCGGTGGAACATCAGCCTCCACCCCGCAGATGATTCAGGGGAGGGCTACATCGATTATGTCACCTCGGACATGCATCAACGCCCTGAGCGGTGGGAGGTCAGAGAGGAGAGGAACGGCGGATGGACTGCGTGGATGCTGGTGCCTGAGGGCGAGAGCGACAACGACTACGAGACGACAGACTCGGAGATGTGGGCGGCAGACCTTGAAGAAGACGAGGACTTCTAATGCTGGCTACGTATCTGGAGTATGTCGGACGGAGGCCATTCGGACGCGTGCAACTTGCTGAGAAGTTGACGATTATTTTGTACAATTCCTACTTTATATCTACTACACCTGCTGTACAAACCAATGTAGATCATTGTATCTTAGAATGATACCCAATGCAGTCCGCTCATCTTTTCTCTCTCTGCGATGGGACATCGATAGCGGGGGGATCTGGGTGCGATGCTACATACAAGAACTAATACTATGATGAAATGCTATAATAAGTCAGTGCAGATCATAGGCTTCAGTCCTCTTCCTCTTCCTCTTCCTCTCTGACCCCGAGTGCAGCTTCGGCGTCATCTCTGTCATCGATCTGCATCTGTTCTTGTGCGACCAGTGTCTCTTTGTATGGCTTATCGGGCTGCTTTGCATCTGCGCCATTACTCGATTCTGACTCGAGGTTCTGCAGTCGCATCTCGACGAGGAACTCTTTGTCGCGGATGCCCTGAGACCATGACCCAAGGACGCGGGTCCCGACCAGCACTGTGTGCCCGAAGCCAGCCAGGGTGAAGATGCTCGGGTAGACGTGCAGGACTGGGGAACAGATTAGCGACAAATGAGAACATGACACGAGAGACTTACAGAGGAAATCGTCTCCGAGAGGCAGCCCGAACAGCTTTTGCACGACCCAAAGCGCTCCAGCGGGGAAGAGAAGCATGCCTAACAAGCCGAACGTCAGAGGAGCGATAACATCCCTCGTAGCTCGGAAAGGGTCTAGGTGTGTCCACCCTCCGCGCATGATCTGCCCGGTAAGTGAGTGACGAGGATCATCTGGATCGCTGCTTGTGACCTACCTGGTCAATGCCATGCATGAAGCCATTGCCGGGCTGCATGCTCAATACTCTGAGGAAGATTTTCGAGTACAGGAGACCCAAAGCCCACATGTCGACGATACGGATACGCTGCTCTGGGGTGGACGCGCGATCTGTCGTATTGGCTGGACAAGGTAGAACTCCATGACCAGGGCAAGCAGGGTGGGGATTACGATGCCGAGGAACAATACCATGTAGGACATTTGGGCCATCCAGAGGACGCCCCTTTTTAACACGTAGAGCGGCCATATGGCTCGACGCTCCAGTATGCTGCCCCTGCGCTGACGGCGCTTGTCCATACGATCGACAGAGTAGGCGATGAGGTAGCAAGCCCAAAGAAGATAAAAGCCGGCAATGAATGCATAGCCATCGTGGACGTCGTGTGGGACGAAGAGCTTGAAGACCATGCGACCCAGTAGGATGGGGGCACCCAATGCGAAGGCAAGTATCACGGAGCCAACGATCCATATCGTAAAGATGAAAGCAGCCACACGGTATTTGATGTGTGGGGGCAAGTACACAACCGTGTAGTCCTTCTTGATATTCCGCTTATGTTTCTCCGCTTCCGCATTCTGGGCCTTGATGATGCGTGCTTGTTCGTCATTAAGGGGGTTTTCGTGCCGGTCGACTTCAGCCACCGCTGGTAGATCCTTCACCAGCGCAACAGTGTCGTTGTTAGGGACCCGTTTGAACGTACCGTCGCGTAACTCCGCGATCACAAACCGTGAGACAGCCTTTGGGCTGAATATTTTCTGCCACCAATGTCTCGGCGTATATTCCTCTAGAGGATAGCGACCCCCGAACATGTACGAGCTCAGCCGCAGACGGGCGGCCAAGGACTTCCATAGGCCAATGCCGAACTGCCGCAGTGCTTTTTTGGGGCGGAAGTACTGCATCGTGTAGGGCAGGACGAAGTGCAGAAATAGGAGATCAAGGGGCACGGGTGACAGCGGTTCCCTGACAAGGCCTGGTCAGTTCGAACTTTGTTAAATTATTGACGAGCTTACCGGATCTTCCAGCGGAAGGGCAGGACTGTTCGACTGAACATCTGCATTATGCCTGATACAGTGCCGACTACGGCAGCGACGACAAAGCTATACATGATGCCACTGAGTAGCAACTTGCGGATTTGCACCAGGGCTGGGCGTTCGAGTATGTCACGGATAGGATGGAAATTCTGGTCCTGAGGGTCCTTGATAAACCACATCGCGCCGGGGCGCATGATATCACGGCAGCCTGCGAGAAGGACAGCAAACTGATACCTGTAGGCATCTCAGCGGATGTCAAGGAGACAGCACAGGGGAATAACCAACATGAACATGGTTCCAATGACCCAATGGTAGAAGGCAGAAGTCATGGGTGCGTATGTCAAGAACGCGGCTCTCGACCGGAAGTTGCCCTGTGGCACGAGCCAGACGGTGCATGCATCCAGCATCACACCGCACCCAAGAGGGAAGATGACAAGCTCTACAATGATGAAGGTAGCGACCTGTCGAGGTGTAAGCGAATGTGAGCATACACTGCCACGTGCTGCACACCTTCACCACTAGCAGTTGTTGTCGGACGGCACTCCGCACTGCTTTCCCTGCGTTCTTGACGTTGCCGATGGTGAGTACATTCAGATATAAGGCCAGTAAGAGTCCCATGACTGCGTAACCCAGCAGGATTGCGAAGATCTTCTCGTTGGGTCCACTCCCAACTGCGAGACGCATCCAAGTCGACTTCGCCTCTTCCGAAGATAATCGGATCTTGTTACCCAGTGGAGCGAAATACGGCTCGATATAGTGGAAGACGACGGAATCGCTCTCGGCGACGCGGTCCAGCAATGAGCTAGGAGTTTCTGTTGCAGTCTGCTCGGGTTTCGTTGATAATTGCTCTATGATCCTCCCACCGACGCTCCTCATCATCCTGTACACGGATTCAACCTATAACATATAATCAGCAAATGACGTTGTGGATGAAGGTGGAAGGCGCAAAACTGACCGGACCACTGTTTGCCTCCGCCCCAGTGCCGGCAATGTCTCGACCGTATTTGAGCACACCCAATAATGGCCGTAGCGGCAGACGCATTAGTCGAAGAATAGGCGGCACAACAAGTCTGGTGAAGAGGAGAGCTACGCCATCGACTATAGGGTCCGTCACTAGGCGGATCACCCGAAGAGGTAGATGCAAGATGTACAGGAGCCGGGGAGGATCCAACTTCAGATATGTCAGTGGTCATGCGACAGGATCCGACGCAATGTGATACATACCGAAAGGAGGGCGGTCGATTTACCTAAGGTGAACGGTACCCAGATGCCCAATCCGATCGTCACGTCAAGGATGAAGGTCATCAACGCAGCCTGCGTAACATATCTCAGTGGCTGCTTGCACCCTTGTTTGACCATCTGCTTACGTTTTGAATCACCCCGTGCAATGGCCCTCTCAAACCAATGGCTACAGTATAATCAGCAATCGGGAGTGCCGAAGCTAATCGGTAGTTACGCACCTTCCAAAGCGCCATCCATGTCATCCTCGATATTCTCATCCAGGTTCTCTTGAATGGCTTCTAGTTGCTGGTTCAACTCGTCAAGGCGAGCCCCTATCTCAGCGACCGCATCCACAGCGCGGCGTGCATCCTCGGGATTGAGCGCAGGTTGTGCAGGTGCTTCGTCCGGGCGGAGCTGCAAGGGCTGTCCATTGTCGTCTTCATGGGGATGCATGTCGACTTCGCCATTCTCCCGAACTTCCGACCAGTCATCATCCGCGTGCTCGGTGCCTTCTCCGTCTTCCTCGAGCTCCGCGCCGAAGCCCTCGTCTTCTTCCGTCACAAAGTATCTACTATGTTCCGTTCGCATCTCCTCATCGGAAGGACTCCTGCCGAAGTACTCCGCGGGATTGGAAGGGCCCGCTTCGAACTCTTCAGGTGCGCTGTAAGTCGCTAGACTAGGAGAGGCAAGTGGCGTGGCCCCGCGACTGATGGAGGCACTCGCAGAGGGCGGTACTCCAGAAGAAGGCGACGGCAATGTGACACTCGGCAATGGCGGACGCCGCAGGGATCCTGACATGTCTGAAACAGTGGAAGAGGTCGAGACCGCTGTGATGGGGCCTGCATTGGAGAGAACGTCGCTCTCGGTATCCGATAGAGTCACGTCGGAGGAGACAGAGGGTAGAATGGGCGAAGGCATGTCTTTGGGGACATAGATATCAACAGGCGTCGGAGGGTCGATGGGCGAGATCAAAGACGACACATCTTCAGGCACGTCAGGATTCGCAGATCGAGGTCTTGGAGGCGCCACGTCGTCACCGACATCTTGACTGAAAACGGGAGTCCACGATGAGATGTCGGTGCTAGCGGAACTAGGCGATGGGTCAAGGTCATTCGTTTCGTCTGTTTCTGTCTGTTCCACTCTCCCGGACAGTTGGTCTGGCGGACGAAATGTGAATCGTGCTTGCTCCTCGTGAAGATCCAGCGGCGGCCTACTACTGTCATCCGGTTCGTCTGTCGCATCATTATGAGCGATTTCATCCTCCGGGGACTCTGAGGAGTCTCTGAACGGATGCCGTCTACGCAGTCTGTCGTGCCCCGATACGCCAACCCGACGATCGATTCGCTTGCCCTTGTCCCGAGCCAAGCGAGGAGTCGGCCGGCGTACGTAAGGCTCGTCTTCTTCGGCACCCGCGTCACGACGTAACCTTTTCTTTGGCGCCTCGCCATCGTCATCATCTGGTGGGCGGTGTGGCTGCTCCTGCGCGACGTGACTGTTCTCACCTGGTATCACCGGGGCAGGGGCAGGCAGAGGAGCTGGCTGTTCTTGAGCAGGGGGCTGCGGAACAACACCCTGTGCCAGATCACCTATGTCGCCTTGTTCGAATACTCCTGGACGAGCATTTTGTGATATCCATTCACGCAGGAGGAAGATCGCTACAAAAGCGAGGACAATGAAGGACGCGATGATCTGCCCGGAGACAATGTCGGACGAGATGGAGCGGACAATCGGATGTGAAAGGAAGGACGTGGTGTTGCTAGCTGCCGTGCTTGTTGTATCATTCAGAGACGATGCGTTGGTAGCGGCTATGTCATCCAGTGGTCTCGGTCGATTGCTGATCCACCAGGCGCTGTCAATAAATGCGACCCGGTGAGACAGGCGGAGACGCTGGGGTAGAAATGCAACGTACGTAGTGTCACCCATAGCGAAATACATCCTCCACGTCCATATCGTGGCCCACGGAAGCAGTGCGAGCCACACGACAGCGACTATCACGGCCCGCATACAGAACACAACTGTAGTGAATGCTTGTCGGGAGAGCTGTCGGAGAAGAAGTAATACCGGAAGTCTCTCCGGCATATCCGGAGAATAAACTGGACCACATATCAATCCCCCGAAAGTAGACGACACGGAGGCAACGCACCCTTCGTGAAGGAATAAGGATACTTGCATATGTCGCATGTCTTCTTCTTGCTGTGCGCGAGCCAAGTCGTCAAGCTGTGGGCGGTCGAGCTCATCGTTACCAATGCCGAGCTTATAGGGATAGAGCTCACCAATCTTGATGGATGTACCGGATGCTACCGGAGCATTTGCATGGATGAAAGAGGGGTTGGTCCGGTTCCGCTGGTGCGCTGCATATTCGACATGTTACTGCAAGTGCGAGTCCTAAGCCACTGCAGTGCGATACGCGAATGGAAGTCTCTCACGTTGGTCTTCCTGGGACATAAGATGGAGCCCTGGTGTTGATTCCGAGGCAGTCCAATACTGCGAGTTGCGTTTGGATCGTCTGTAGGGAGCAGCTGGGCCGGTGAGAGGCTATTGAGGCTGAGTGAGGCACTTGCGAATGAAAGGTGGAAGGTTGGGGCCAGTACCATTTCGGAGGCGCGCACCACAATGCACATACGTTGTGTCACGTGGTGGCCTCTATGCCGAACTTCCGGGAAGTCTGTTCAAGTTCGTTCAGGTTCGAGTTGCACTAGCACTGTTACAAAGTTGCAAGCACTGTGCACTTGCTGTCTACCCGTACAGTCTGAGCCAGTGGCAATTACTGTACGTATACACCTGTTCCGAACCCATTTTCGGATGAGACCGCGCACACTGATCATAGGTACCTAGGTATTCAAGGAGGCTGGGATAGCGCTGCACCTCGACTTACTCTATCAAATGGACCCCAATGCATCTCAAGTATCGGCGCCGTCTGTCATTGGCAAGCGCGTCTTCCCGCCGCTCTATCAGTCCACAGGCGATGTAGCTGTCGATCGTCTCGCATTTTTTCATATATTGGAGAGACTGAAGGTTTGTACTTGGGGCCCATCAATTGTAACAGTCTTGCTAGATGCCCGCCTTCGCAGACACAGAAGCGGACGGGATGGGTAGATCATAATGTCTGAGTGCATTCGCATGCGCTATGTGCACGGAGTCTCTGACGCCCCCGGATTAGTAGGTCCCCGAACCTGAAAGGTACGATAGCAAATGCAGTTTTCATGTTGCTGTGTCTTATCCTTATACCGGTCAGCATTTCGGACCACATGTACAGGATGGCTATCCTCGCGATGTGCACGTCAGATGCAAGCTTAGACATCTCCAAGTCAGTCTCAGCACGACATGTCTCGATCGTCGCCTCCTGATGCCCCTCTCTTTCGTTGCGAAGATGCGTGATGATGTGTCTCGTACATGATCTCGCTGAAGCACAAGGTGAGCCGCTCACCAAGGCTATGGACTGACGCTTCATGCGAGGTATGTCTGCAGTGGGCGATATCGCCCCTCGAGAAGGCATACATAAGATCGAGAAACGGCGCCTCGAAGAGGTGAGCTATACTGAGTGTTGTACGTTCCGAATTACGGTGTGACCCGTGTCTCTGCAGGAAGCCATGCACAACTTTGTGCATGAGATGCTACACGATAGCCCTGCTGCGCGCCGTATCATGTCACTGTTCAAGGTACGTCGTTCTTCGTGTGCGTTGTTTTCGGAGGACCACATGCGGCCGTACATGCAGGAGTATGAAGATCAACAAACTGATGAAGCACGTTTCGTCAAAGGTTTGAAGATGTCTCGATTCTCTTACCATTGTAATGTCTCACAAAGTTTGATAGATCTAGACAGGTTTGAGATGGCTTCGCAAGGTTGGTACACGACTCATGCAAGGCCTGATGCATGTCGCTCATCAATGACTGCACTTGTGCTATTAGCCTCGGAATACGAGCGCAATCATGGTATGGCTACGCTGCAGCCATTCTTCGATAGCAGCGTCCCGTATATACGGCACCCGGAGGTCAAGCAATGGGGAGAAGGCCTAATCGCCGAACGGGGCAGAACTCAACCTGAAGAGCCCGCGATCGGGCCGTGAGGTTGTAGTGTATGTCAACGCTGTAATAGTGTATTCATGCAGTAGTTGACCTAGTACATTGCAGACATGCTCTCGTACACGCGGTGCAATCACAAAGTGCAAAGGAGACGGTCGCTGTAAGATAACCGGTCAGCCTGATACAATACGCGCTGCTTGTCCGCACCGCGACCAAGGCTCATGAGCATATGTTCATAATTTTCCTCGTTCTGAGCAACGTCGGCAGACGGCAGAGAGCGCCCAGTCACTCGCCCATCCGTCCTCTTGTTGCTCGACTGTGTCGAGATCTATTAGTAACACCCAGCTTGCGGGGTGCGGCTGAATTGTTGAAGCTTGAAGCTTGAAGTTTCAGACCGGCGACTCCTACCCAGCACGAGAGGAGGGGAACACCATGCAGGTACGGGTTCTGTGTTAACTCGACTCAAGCTGTTCAGCGTAACTTAGTGGAGCTCGATCCTATTCAGTGCATAGAGCAGCCCGCTGATCCTGTGCTGAACCTTAGACTCGTCGTCCCGGAACCCTCCACGGCGACCGCAAGTGACGATAGTCCTTCAAGCTTCAATGCACAGATACAGTGGATGAAGCGGATCGTCAGACGTTCGGAGCCATCTTTGCGTCCGACGTCTACAACGTATTGCGGTCATGGCCAGCCTTTGGCGGTTAATGCGGTCGTCGAAGGCGGCGATAGTCCCGCTATTCGAGTCGTGGCTCAGGTCCAGCGTTTTAACGATGTATTGCCTCGCCGACTACTTCGACGAGACCTCTTGGGCAGAGAAGCCCGACGGAACAGGATACTGCCGTCTCACACCGGTTAGATCTGGTGGTGTAAGGATAAACATCATTCCCATGCAATTCCCATGACACGAAAATACCTCATGCGCATGCTACATTGTGGTAACATACCGAGATAATGAACCATCCTGCGGAAAACACTTCGGCGCGTGTTGGTTTCCCCTCGCACAACTTGTGCGCGAGGGACTCATCCCGAGGACCACGTAAAGGTCCGCGCCCGGACAGGCACCGCGTCGCCGCGGGTACCCGCCCGCCCTCGGGTGGCCCAACTTGCTGCTCTTGCACTAGATGCTGCCATGTCCTTGCGGCGCTTGACTCTTTCGCTCGTTCGAGCACATTGAGGCTAGCCTCGGTTCTTTCTTGTGGCGCTTGACCCTTCGCTCATACCAGAGCCCTTGAAGCTAGCCTCGGGTTCCCCTTGCGGCGCTTGACCCTTCACTCGTATCCGAGCTCTTGAGGCGAGCCGATTGGGCGCTTGACCCTTGACGCAGCCTCCGTTGAATACCTTGCGGCGCTTGACCCTCGCTCGTTCGAGCTATCTTGATGCTAGCCTCCTTTACCTTGCGGCGTTTGACCCTTCGCCTGTTGGAGTACACTTGAAGCTAGCCTCCTTTACCTTGCGGCGCTTGACCCTTTGCTCATCCGAGCGACCTTGAGGCCAGCCTCCTTTACCTTGCGGCGCTTGACTCTTCGCCCGACGTCGAGCTCTTGACGCAGCTAGACTCGGACGCAACAGGTCCGACCAGAGGAGCAGGCACAAAGAGAGGCAAGCCACACAAGACTCGGGAACGCACGCAGCCTGAATCCAGAGAACAAGCACCTTAAGTAGCATGGCGGCTGACAGGGCGGCTGGTCGATCTCGCGACGCGTCGGTGGCGCAGGCTGACGGTCGTTGAACGCCACTCGGCTGACAGTGAGCGACGGGACAAACACCGCTGCGGCTGGAGAGTCTGTCTACGCGTCAGTCCAAGTGCGTCGAGATTGATAATAGACATACCCTTGTGCGCGACGACGCGCGCCCTTCGTCGACGAGTGGCGTCCTTACGGCGGTCGGGTATACAGAACCTGGAGCAGCTGACGAGGTTCACCACTTGAGAGCAGAGCCACATAACCAGCGACCAGGAAGCGAGGCAAAAGGCAGCCTGAAGGTGGGGGGAGACGAAGGGTCGTAGCGGTTGAGCGGCAAAAGCGCGAGCGTCGAGCTCCATTTATACGTTTGGCCCGAGTGGCACAAAGGCTGCGAACACGTGGGTTTCAGATTCGCAGGCCCAGTCCTGTCCGCAGCGTGGATCACGATTTGGGGGTGGTTGCCGAACTTGGGTACCTGTGGGTCCACCTCAAGGACAAAGCGACGGCTGAAAACGGCGAGGCTATGGTCAGCGCCATGCGGACGACGGGCACGATAATAGCTGATGCGTACGATATGCCTAATTGGTCCACTCCGCGACTCACACATGGTGATGGAACGGCAAGTGGGGCACCGTGACGGAGGTCAGCTTCATCAAAGTACGGTTTCCAGTGTTATGAACTTGCCTGTGGACCACGCATGCCTCCATGGGCACAGCGTGTCTACGACCCTGCATGAGGGTACTGTATGTAACAGCGCATAAGACCGACACTAGAGGGCGTAGATGCAGAAGCTCTGTGGTATATCGAGGCCAAAGGTTTCGTCGTCAGGAATCCAGAATTCAGAGCCTTACACTAGGCCGTATTCACGGCGCACGTGTATCGCATCATAAGAAAGATCCGCCATGACATCAACGAATGATTCTCTGCGTTGGATTCCCTGCTATTTTGGACAACCGAGTACGTTGAGGTCGAGGCCTGTTCTTGAGAGCCTTAGACACCGCTATCCAATCAATGAACTTCAAGGTGCATGTACCTGGGTATCTTGCGCGATGCAAACGTCGTATTGATTCAACAAGATCCGGCAGCTTGGCCTGTTGTTTAGGGAGCAGGGAACAGTCATGATTGAACTGTGTCGCAGTAAATGAGCCGCCGGCGTCAGTGCGAAGGCGACCTGAACTTGACTTTGGAAGCGGTGGCGGAGGAGTGGCAGAATCGGATCTCGATCATCGTTGACGCGCACCACCGTGGCGTCGACCGTCGTTCACTCGTTCAAGAATTAGGAATAAAAAGTTGCGTGGGGAGGTCTGGCATGCCTGCATACCATAGCCTTGTCTAAATTACAAGCAAACTCTTCACCACCTTCTGGCCGACCTCATAGCCAATCCAACTGAATGATTAACTCTGTACACCTCGCGTTCACCGCTGGGGACCGGGACAACCGTGAGCCATATGGCGCTTCAAGGTAGCCAACGAAGCGCACTGTTGGGCGCAGTTCGGACATTGATATGCTTTGGTGCTGCGGCGATCCAGGACGCGCGTCTCCGCATCTGCTCTCGCGGCGACATACCACTCTCGTGCGGCATGGATCTATGGTACATGCATCAACATTGATGCGATCTGATCGGGAACAGTGCGGGGTAAGTACTTACAGCGACTGCCTTCTTGCATTCAGTCGCAGATGTTGCGAGCCTCCCAGCGTGGTCGTTCTTCGAGGCACAACTTTGCGTGTCAAGGGAGAACCCACAACGACTCGCGTGAACTACAATGGCAGGGATCGTGAATGACAAACTTCGGGCAACATAAAGATTGACGAACCACAAGAGTCGCAATCTGTCAGGCTTGCGCAGGCTTCGGCATCGTTTCGGGAGGGCGTAAGCGGGACGGCCTGCGCGAAGTTGAAGAAGACAGTGCAAAGGAGAGCGAGGGTAGCGAGGAGAGCGGCGGTAAGTTGCATGGCGAATAAACGGGATTGATCGTTACGTTCGTGCGATAAGAGGGAGGACTGTGAGGTTAATAAGGATGGATGGGTGGTTGAATGTACGTTAGAGTAAGGCTGCACGCGTGAAAGAGGACCGGCCTGACGAACAGAGCTGCATCCTGCCTTTTATACGTCTGACAACCGTCAGCCTTGACACGCGAGCGTTGGTAGACAGCCCATGCGCGTTCAACCAAATGTGCTCGGTCAGCTCTCCAGGTGAGCGGCGGAACACTACAAAGCACCAGAACAGCGCCCCGGCTGATTTTGATGATACGCGATGCGCAGGGTCATCCAGTACTGCACATGCAGCATGTCAGTCGAAATAGCATCGCAGCAGACAAGGAGCAGTCACCTTGAGCGCCCGAGATTTTGGACTTTTAAGCCTTGCTTTGGGATAAGCCGTGGCCCCAAGTGCCCGAGTATAAGGATGAACAAGAAAAACGTATCCAGTTCTTGCCCGCCATGTCTACCCTGTCTGCCTGCGTTCTAGGGTTGATCAGCGCAATCCTGACATGCGACGTCCGAGTCGGCTGCTGTACAGCACCACTGTAGCTCACGGCCACTATGTTCGCCGCATCCAGACGTTTCAAAGATTCGACAACCGTCTTCTTGAAACCACGCCCACCGAGCAGTCCGTATTTTACCTAGGGGAACACGTCGGCTGCTGTAGTGCTGCACCATTGAAGCCGCGCTCGCCGCGTCCAAACGTCCAGGAGGCCCCTCTTGATCCAGCGCTCACCGAAGCATCATGTAACGTTATCCGAACACCCCGAAGAGCTTCAAGAAGGCCCATCTAACGGTGGCCATCATTGCAGAGGCACAGCTGCCTTTGTATAAGGCGATCCCGATGATGAGACCAGGAAAGGGGCTGTACGACGTGAATTATTATTGCATCCGTAGGATGTTCCGTCACACCTCCTGCTACGACCGCTGACTTCCACAGAGAGTGAGAGACTACATTGGATCGTGTATGGTCAGTATGCTGACGGGCTTTGTCCAGCCAGAAAGACCTACCATCCACCTCGATGAGTCTCCCCAGCCCTTGACTCTCGACGGCGACGTAGAGGCATTCCACGTCCATCAGTCGTATGTACTCACCTTCGGCAAGACCAGCGTCGATGTTTGGCGTGCGGGAGGCACACGCGGGGTTCTCGAGCACGTAGCGCACCTCGCACAGTTCGTACAACCTCCACCGTATCACCTTGACCCTGTTTTCAACACCGACCGTAACCTCATCGTCATCGCCGATCAGGCTCAGGAAAATGTCCCACCCTCGCTCCTCGTGTTCAGCCTCGTCGATGGTCAACTCATCCGTAGGCTCGAGCTGTACGGCACCTTGACCGAGGATTACCTGTGGTACGCTGACGGCAAGATCGTTGTCGCTATAGTAGACGACCTCACCACAGCCTTGCTCTGCGACGTCCTCGGGGACGGTGGAATCCTCGGCCGCGCCACCCTCCCCTCACGTCTTGGAGCGCGCGAGGAGAAGCGGCTGAACACCTGAGGCGGAGGCGTATTGCTGCCCGTCCACATCAGGCCGAACGGCGACATCATCGCGACGTCGTCCGAGGCATGGGGTGACAAGATGGCGGTCCTGCGCTGGCGCGGGGCCAACATTCCCAACTCACGGGAGCCAGACACGAGCGTCGAGCTCGAGGTCAAATTCGAGGACGGCGATGAGATCTACCCGACATGCAGCGCGCCCCTGGACGAGAGCACCTTCTTGCTGGCAGTCTACGAAGCAGACGGTGACGCGTCCTCCCGGTGAAGTCCACCTGTCAGACGTCAATTTACGCCATCGACACGGAGACCCTGACCTGGACCATCCGGTGGCACGCTGAACCCATTGGAGGCTGGGTGCACACCGTTCGATACTTCGCCGCGCTGGATGTTCTCGTCGCATTTGGACAGCACGACAACGGGGACGGCATCAAGTCCGACCGTTTCGGATATGTCGTCATCCTGGACCCCGCGACGGCAGCCAGCGGCAGACGGAGACGATCAACCACGGCGTGCAGGGCACTGCAGTTGAGTATTGCGGGCTCAGCCAGACCGGAGATAGCTTCGCGGTCGTCGTTGTCATCGTTGATGGGTCAATAGGCGCGGTTGATCTGAGGCGATTCCTGGAGCATGGCTTCCCGAGAGAAGGCGAGCGGTTGGTGGTTTCGAAGCCGCTGCGAGAGGGGTCCATAGTCAAGGAAGTAGCTGTAGTTGGGCAGACAGTGATCATTCCCGTCTACAACAGCAGCGATTCTCCGCGCAACCTGTATTTTAGCCTGGAGTAGAGTCCATGGGTAGAGGTTGGGTAGAGGGCCGAGGCGCATACGTAACATACTGCCTGTTGGCATCACCCAGCAAGAAAGCCTACTAGAACTTCTAGGGCCTGTCGAGTCGACTGACCAGTCCGAAATAGTAGTCGTGTGCGCAGTAATGCGCTTGTTATCATCGTGCGCGTCGAACCAAGTGGACGTGAGATCCCGGCCAAACTGTGCCTTGTCGAGGCGGCCATCCAGGACGTGTTCCTTGATCTCTGTCCAGTTCACGTCTGCTGTCGCAGCGACATACCACTCTCGTGTAGTATGTATCTATGGGTTCATGCATCAACATTGACGCGATCTCGCCAGGGACAGTGCTGGGTACTTACAACGGTCGCCTTCTTGCATTGAGTCGCAGAACCCGCATCCTCGGTCGCCAGCCGTCGAGTCGATGTTACGAACGATGGACATCGGAAATTCTTCTGCATATGTAGATGCCTGGGTCGACATCATCATCATGACGTCGTCACGATGCGGGCCAACTTTGTCGTCCCTCGCAGCGAGAGCAGTTAAAGCATAGACTGCGCAAGCTGCGGCATCAGAGTTATTGGTGTAATGAGTAGTCAGAATTCATTCTTCATTCGCTAACAAATCAGTCACTGCGCACTGTTCGTATCTGCACTCCAAGTCCTAGAGCCACATTATACGGTCCTGCGTAATGTAGCAGCGAACGTCTTCAACCGATCGTGAGCGCGTGAGTACGAGGGATTTGTGCCCTTCTCAACTAGGAGGCTGGTAGGATGCTTCCAAGATACTTCATGATCGTACAGAGGTTAGATGTGGCCGGGCGGCTTGTGCCAATATTGCCCGTTGCTATTGGCTGTCGATACTATCACGTGCTTGGTCCGTGCGCCCATCTTGCCCACTACAAAAGCTGGACGTCGACATTGTGCATCCTTACCACTCTGGCCTTTTGGCTTAGATCAAGTGTAGTATCTGTTCTTAATAGTTTAACCACTATTATGGAGGCACCGCCTCCATTATTGGTTATCTAATTTTTGCCGCCCTTGCTCTCGAGCTCTGCTTGCAACTCGAGGGCGCGATGACCTTGCCACTGCAGTATCGGCTTGTGTCGTCGGGGGATCTCATTTATCTTTTTGTTGGTTTTTCTTGAGCTCGTCATTTGGCGAGACCTGGGAACTGGCAAATGGATTTATGGGTTTTAGTATGACAGTGTCTTTCTGTATGGTCAGAAAGGAAGTGGGATTTTCGTAGGATATCTACTTCCCCGACTCCGACCGGAGGGAGAGAGGAGGGCTTTGTCGACCATAAGTCGTTCGCAGCCGGCGATGCCGCTCCCTCCGTGGGAAACACGTGACTTATAATTCCCATAAGCGGTATCGCAGCAATGCTCGAGTGTCTTACGAGGCAGCTCGAGGCAGTTGGATCCGACCGCGCATCTGGCTGCGTCTGGATCTTTGACCACCACATAACTCCTCCCAAAGGCAAGAGGGCCTCTATTATGTTGGGAGCCCTCGCATGCACTGTAGTACTTATGTATTACGGTAAGTAAGTTCGCCGTGTAGCTCAGACTCGTGGAAGCCCGAGACGCCCGGGCGGCGAAGCCGCCGCGGGCGTGAGGGCTTCCAATTGAGTCTCCATACCATTCCGATGGTACAATATTACAATACACACATAATATACTATGGTGCTGCTGTGGCAGGCTGAGTAGCTGTGTGCCATGCAGGAGTCGGGGATCGGCGCTTGCGCCGCTACGATGTACATAGGATCTGGAGGGGCTATAATAGTTTGCGTTCTGTGGACAACTGCAGGGCATGTGACACAGCCAGACTGTCACCTGCGCTAGGGTCTGCTAGGGTTTGTGCTTGTCTTCGTCCCGAAAGATTTACGGTCCCAAGGCGCCAATTTACGGTCCCCGGTGGCTGCCCACTTTCTCGCCACTGTGCCTCGGCATGCCCTCGGCCTGCCTCTCCCTGCCTCTGGTGCCTCTGGCAGTGCGATTTTTGCGCTCCCTCGCCTCCCGTTCCCATGTACTGTAGACAGAACCTTTTGTAACAACCCAAAATATATTTGTATGAATTCTTGTGGCCCTTTCCTGCATCACAGAAGCCCCGAGTGCATATTTTGTACTCTGCTCTACCGAGCTGTGGCTGGCCTCGGCGGCTGCCTTCCCAACGCGGCAGTTCACCACTTTCCCTATCGAGCGGTCCCGTCGGGACTGCAAATCTGACCATCCTCAGCGTTACTTCTTCGACTCCAAGCCATCCTCCACTTTGTATATCACACACGAGCGCGGCAGCGATGGGCAACGGGTCGTCAGGCGGTACTGTAGTTCGATTCAGAGAAGAGCCAGAATGCTGAGTAAATACCAATGCTTCGCCAGCTCGGCGATCACGCAATCTGGAGCGCTCGCCTTCTTACACACCTCATACCGTATGACGGCCAAGCTTCCGTTTGGCTTGACTTTTCACAGCAAGCGGTTGTACTTTCAACTAGACAGAAGGCAGCTTAGTGAGCCATATCCTCGCCGCAGATGACGCCATTCGGGATCGACGAGGGCGTTAGCCAGGGAATGACGATGCGTCTCCGTCGGAAGTGGAACTAACTCTCGCCAGGTATGCAGCGCTCTGTAGTATAAAAGCGTCCGCGTCGTGAATCTCTGCATCGCAGCAATTTACTGTCACTCATCGGCGGTATATACAATAGTCGGCATGACAGGCAAGACCAACATTCTGCTCTTCGGGGCCACAGGTACGTGCATCCGAGTCCCGTGGCAGACATGAGTGACATGATCGTCGCATCGTCCAGGCTATATTGGAGGCTCCGTCTTGAACCGCCTCCTGCAGCATCCGAACGCAGACAATTTAGACATCACCACGCCCGTGCGGTCTCCCGAGAAAGCAAAGCTCCTCGAGCAGTTGGGCGTGAAAGCCGAGATAGCCTCTCTCAGCGACCATGACAAGATCGAGTCGCTGGCCTCGCGCGCGCACGTCATCTTCAACGTGGTCAGTCCTCCATCCAAGGAGTTCATGATATTGAAACATACTAAAAGGACGGTTTCCTGACCAGGCAAACTCGGATGACTTGCCCGCCATAGTCGCGCTTTTGAAGGGCGTTCGCAAGGCGTACGAAACTACTGGGCAACCTCCTATCGTCATCCATACGGTTAGTGCGGGAAATATACGTTCAGCTAGTCCTCCGTACGACTTATGGCCGTCTGCAGTCAGGCACAGGTGAAATCGCGGAGTCAGCGGAAGGGAAATACGCGACGGAGACTGTCTACTCAGACCTGAACATTGACCAGCTGAAGTCGATCCCGCCGACAGCCTTTCATCGCAATGTTGACCTGGCCGTCATCGGTGCAGACGAGCAAGGTAGCTGTTGGCTATTCCATCAGGCTCTGGCGTTGCTGACGAAACAGCGCAGGCTACGCACGGTCGTATATCATTATCCCAGGCATCGTGGATGGTATCGCGTCCGGCCCCGTCTTTGAGGCGGGAATAGCGAAGAAGGTCTCTATCCAGATACCCGGACTTATCAAGGCGTCGCTGGACAGGAAACGGTCGGGCGTGGTCGGCCCCGGTAAAGCTATCTGGCCGCACATCCACATCGACGACAGTGCGTGTCCCAAGCCTCACTCGCGGAGCACGGACTGACACCTACTCACAGCGGCCGACATGTACATTGTGCTCTTCGACGCGATCACGTCAAACCCCCAGAGCGCGGGCCACGGCTGGGAGGGCTACTACTTCGGGGAGAACGGCCACATCTTTTGGTACGAGATCGGGAAGGCCATCGGCCAGGCGCTCGTAGATCTCGGGCTCGCGGATAACACTGAGCCTACGCCCTTCACCGAAGAAGAGTTGGCCAAGTACTGGGGTTCGGTGGTGCGTCGTCCGCGGAAGTTCTCGCGCCATACACACCATTGACCGAGCTTCGTGCAGCCTGCCGGCAGCTATAACGGGACGACCTGCCGCTGCCGCGCTGACCGCATACGTGCGCTTGGGTGGAAGCCCAAGCACAGCAGCGCGGACTTGCTTGCGGGTTTTAAGTCCGAGATCGAGTTACAGCAGAAGATTGCGCAGGAGAAGGGCGGATTCGACTTCTCGTACGAGCGGACTTACTCGGTGCTGCTGCAGAAGGCGGTTGAGTCGAGTTGAGGCTGTCGTATCGCGCATGTTAAGTGTATAACGGTCTAAATATAACTCGCATGGGTGTTGATCATTGTGTGCTATCGTCGCTGTGCAATGTTCACCGCGTCAATGCTTGCACTGGCACTGAGTCCATTGGGTCGGAGGTCGAGCCCTTCGTCGCAAGGGGTGCCAGATAGGATGGTACGTAGGATATAGCGACGTTGTGGACGCCACGCTTGCCTGACATGTCCGTTATGGTGAGACGAATAACATTGGCACTAAACTAATTCCGGGCTTGCCGATGGCTTGACTCGGAGGTAGTAGGTTATTGCCATGACTCGACGAAGTCCTGGACCTCCACTGAGTAAGTTCGTATACGTCGTGCCAGTGAGCGGTCATGATCACTAGACAGCCTGAGGATTTAAGGGGCCCGGGAGCTTCCGCTCTTATGACAATCGCATTTAGCGACTCGAGGTATGTACTAGCGCGTCTGCGTACTAGGTAGTAGCTGGGGTGACTAAATGGTATTCCCTCCTCCTCCTCTTCCTCCTCCTCATGACCTGTTAACTTTGACATATACTGTCAGACCCATTGCCCAGCCAGTGGCAGTAATCACTCCTTCACTAGGAACGTCTCTAGTAACAAAATGCTTACAGAGACGCCCCCTTGGCGCTGGGCGCTCGCCGCGTACGCGAGCGCGAGCAGCATAGTCGGACGTCCGCGGCCTCATTACAAATACACCTCCTTTCTCGTATACGAAGCAGCCGATGGTAGCTGAATCTCGTTGTTCATCCATTGTTTTGCCTCGGTCCAGGGGTTCTTCGCCTACCGGTGCTACTGCGCCGATTGATGGAAAGCAGCTTACTGAGCAATGTCTCTAACATGGCTTACACGATCCAAATCCAAACTCGCCTACGGATTCAAGACGAATCCGTGGAGATCCATGGACAGTAGTAGGATGACTGATCAGACTCTATATGTAGGCTGAAATTCGTACAGCGACGAATATAAAAGCGACGACGAGACACGGTCTTTCCAACACAATCCTCATCTTCGACCATAAACCCGCACTCACATCCAGCACATCCAGCAACAAGCAAATCGATAGACATGGCCAGTAAGACGAATATCCTGCTCTTCGGTGCCTCCGGTACGTTCACAAGTCTCTATACTGTGCTGGCGAACGCGAACTCAGACCGGTATTGCAGGCTACATTGGGGGAACTCTCCTGAATCGCCTTCTGAAGCACCCCAGGGCATCTACTTTCGAGATCGTTACACCAGTGCGCTCCGCCGAGAAGGCAGAGGTGCTCAAGAAGCTGGGCGCGAAGCCCGAGATCGCTGCTCTCAGCGAGTACGACAAGATCGAGGAACTTGCCTCTCATGCGGATGTCATATTCAACCTCGTGAGCTCCTGTTCATGGTACTCCATTGCTCTCATACGCTGACGCAGGTACTTTCGCCCAGGCAAACGCGGACAATGTGCCGCAGATGAACGCGGTTCTCAAGGGCATACGAAAGGCGCACGCGGCCACTGGCAAACCGCCAGTGCTTATCCACACTGTAAGCACAACCAGAGCGCGCGCATGATGCCTTGTACGACTCACGATGATGTAGACCGGCCTTGGCGAAGTCATTGAGTTCGCGCAGGGAGAGTATGCCGCCAAGACCGTATACTCGGACGTGGACATCGAGCAGATCAAGTCCATTCCGGCAGAAGCCCTCCACCGCAACGTCGACCTGGTCGTGATTGGTGCAGACGAGGAAGGTGCGAAAGATCCGAGCTACGGACTGGGCTTTGCTGACCCACCGTCACTGGCAGGCTATGCGAGGTCATACTTGATCTCGCCGGGCATCGTGTACGGTCTCGCATCTGCGCCAGTGCACGAGGCGGGAATCGCGAAGAAGTTCTCCATTCAGATCCCAGGGCTCGCCAAGGCAGCGCTGGCCAGGAAGCGCGCTGGCATTGTCGGTCCTGGTAAGGCTGTCTGGCCGCATGCCCACGTCGATGATGGTGCGTACCTACAGCCCCTCCGACTATCGTGCTCGCAGGGCTGACATGCGCACGCTCTGCAGTGGCCGACATCTACGTCAATCTCTTCGATGCGATCTCCAAGGACCCGCAGAGCGTCGGGCACGGCTGGGAGGGCTACTACTTTGTCGAGAACGGCGAGGTTGCCTGGTATGGTGTCGGCAAGGCCATCGGCCAGGCGCTCGTGGACCTCGGAATCACCAAGGAAGCTGAGCCTACCCCGTTCGCAAACGAGGAGCTCGAGAACTACTGGGGCTCACTGGTACGTCTCCCGGGTTGCCGCTCACGCGTGACTTGATATTGACTATGTCTGGTGCTCGCAGGCCGTGGGCAGCTTCGGCGGGACGACATGTCGTGCCAAGGCGGAGCGGGCGCGGACGATCGGGTGGAAGCCCAAGCACGCGGACATACTGGGAACGATCAAGGCGGAGGTGGAACTGCAGTGGTCGATCGCACAGAAGAATGGCGGCGAGGTTGACTTCACGTTTGAGAGGAACCTTGCCAAGCTGTTTGGGTTTGCGTAGGTGCGATCGAAGTCTTGCTCGATAGAACGTTGCAGTCGCAGATTTGAAGTGTCCAATCTGATTATAAATGATTTCTGCCCTTTCGAATGCCGCCGACGAATTAGCGAGCAGGTTCATGGCGGGTGGGGCGACGGCGGCGGCGCTATGTTGGTATGCGCGAGTGCGGCTTCAATACAGCTCCGTGACTTCGAGATGCATCAGATGGGATGATCTACACTGGTGGATGGAGGTTGCAAACAGATTAGTAGAACGACATTCATGATGGCGACTGTACTCACAGCGCTGTGCACGAAGGTACCGGTGATAATGCAAGGTCATAAGGACGACAATCCAACGTACGGCAGCGCAGCGTCGACAACTCTTAACATAGCAGAGGTGCCATACAGGCTCGACCACGCTCCGTGTTCTGACATAATTCTGTCAAAAATACTTGAATCCGTGTGAGATAGTGGCAGCCATGCAACTCACCCAACTTTGTGTGCCGGGCTGACGCGTCTTGCTGCTCTCTCCGCGATCCCACGCGCTCATGATTTATTAGGCCCCCCTCCAGTCTGCATCGGTGTTCAAACGTTCAAGCTCAAGCCTCCATGGGTCCGGTTGTCGGATGAAGGGCACAAGTATTGGCCAGAGGAACTTGAAGACTTCAGGAGCACGATCGCTTTTGAATCTACGCGCGTCGCCGAGTGGTCTGACGACTCGGAACCGCGAAGTCGTATTTCAGCCGTAACACCGCACTGAGATTTGAGTACACGAGCAAGCAAAATGCGACAGCGCCAGGCTATTGAAAAGCTGCCCTCCTGCGGTCGGTAAGTAAGTACTGTAGGTCGCTAGACGCCTATGCCAGTTAGGCGCTCAATAATATGGGCGCTAAAGCAATCCTGAGTGATCGAGAAAATATCGCGTCTGTGGCTGAAGACCGCTCCTCCAGCTATTCTGCCAACCATGTCTACGCCTATCGGTACGTAGTGAAGCAACCTAGGCGCACCCGACCACTGACTGTGACACAGCGCTGCTATCCGTCTACGATAAGACTGGCCTCCTCGACTTGGCTCAGGGCCTGCACACTGCGGGCGTCCGTCTGTTGGGATCTGGGGGGACAGCAAAGAAAATCAGGGATGCGGGCATTCCCATCGAGTACGTGCAACCCTATTCTAATCTGTTTCTTGACGACCATTCTCTTCAAGAGATGTTTCCGACATTACGAAGGCCCCGGAAATGCTCGGAGGCCGCGTGAAGACCTTGCATCCCGCGGTGCACGGTGGTCAGTTCTCCCTCAATTCTTACGTCCCATCGAGTCTTCATCGGCATCTTAGGCATTCTCGCACGATCCATCCCCTCTGACGAAGCCGATCTCAAGGCGCAGTCAATCTCTCCCATATCTATCGTCGTCTGCAACCTTTACCCCTTCACATCCACCATCGCACAGCCCAACTGCACACTTGCCGACGCTGTCGAGGAGATCGACATCGGCGGTGTGACCCTCCTCCGCGCTGCTGCAAAGAACCATGCACGTGTGTCAGTTCTGTCCGATCCCGCTGACTATGTGGAGTTCGTCGAGGCCTGGGGCGCCGGCAAGGGCGATATTGGCCAGGCAATGCGCAGCAAGCTCGCATTGAAGGCCTTCGAAATGACCGCAAAGTACGACGATGCCATTAGCGGCTACTTCAGGGAACAGTATGCTAGCTCGGAGCTGTCACCCGAGAAGTTAGTTGGGCCGGTGCAGCGCATGGCACTGAGGTATGGTGCGAACCCCCATCAAAAGCCTGCGCAAGCGTACGTAACAGAGCGAGAGCTGCCGTTCAAGGGTGTGTTCTGGTCAATCCAGAACCGCGTAATGACATTGATCCATGCATATCAGCACTCTGCGGCTCCCCTGGTTACATTAACCTCCTCGACGCACTTAACTCGTACGCGCTCGTGAAGGAACTCCAGGACGCGCTCAATCTACCCGCAGCGGCATCCTTCAAGCATGTGTCTCCTGCTGGCGCCGCAGTAGGCGTCGAGCTCAGCGAGACTGAGAAGAAGGTCTACGGCGTGGATGATCTCAAGGAGCCCCTAACGCCTTTGGCGTCCGCCTATGCGCGTGCTCGAGGTGAGTCGCGTCCTGCCGGTATTAATTATTATCACTGATTGCGCCGAAGGTGCTGACCGCATGTCCTCCTTCGGCGACTTCATCGCTCTTTCCGCACCATGCGACCTTGCCACTGCTCGTATCATTTCTCGTGAGGTATCTGACGGCATCGTCGCACCTGGCTACTCCCCCGAGGCGCTCGATGTCCTCTCCAAGAAAAAGGGCGGAAAGTACTGTGTTATCCAGGCACGCACGCGTTCATCTCCGTGTCGAATCATACTGACGCCGCGGTGGTTAGATTGACCCGTCCTACGTTCCAGCAGAAGTTGAGACGCGGCAGGTGTACGGGATCCACATGCAACAGAGGCGCAACGATGCCAAGGTTAGCCCCGAGCTCTTCTCTAACCTTGTCACTCAGAACAAGGAAGTAAGTCGATTCATTTCCATCTTCATATTCCTCGTGTTGATAGCAATTCGCATCGAATAGCTCCCGTCTGAAGCCCAAACGGATCTGATCGTTGCAACGCTAGCGCTGAAGTACACACAATCCAACAGCGTTTCCTATGCGTACCATGGCGCTATCATTGGCATCGGCGCCGGACAGCAATCCCGCATTCACTGCACGCGTCTCGCAGGCACGAAGGCTGACCTGTGGTGGCTCCGACACCACCCGCGTGTCCTCGCACTCCCATTCAAGAAGGGCGTGAAGCGCGCGGAGAAGGCTAACGCAATAGACCTGTTTGTCTCGGGCGAAGTGTTCGAGAGCGGTGGCAGGGAGAAGGAGCAGTGGGAGGCGCAGTTCGAGGAGGTGCCCGCGCCACTTACCGCTGAGGAGAAGAAAGAGTGGACGGGAAAGCTGGATGGCGTGGCGTGCAGCAGCGACGCGTTCTTCCCCTTCCCGGACAACGTATATCGCGCGAGGAGGAGCGGCGTGAAGTACTTGGCGGCGCCGAGTGGCAGTGTTATGGATGAGGAGTGCGTGAAGGCAGCGGATGAGCATGGAATGGTATTTGCGCACACGAACCTGCGGCTTTTCCATCACTGAGAGGTAAGGCACTGCGCATGAAAGGAAATAGCAGTATGATACAGTACATTACAATGTGAGGCAGTTGTATCTAGTCAATGTAACTGTAGTAGATATGGCGAGTACAATGTGTAGTCCTTGGCGATCATGTAAATCAAGTCGCGGATTAGTTCATGCTGCATGCGAGGTGTGCGGAGTGAGGACTGCATGCAATTCTGCGGCAAAGACGGGAAGGTTTGCTCGTCCCAAGACATCCGATACCCAGGCTTGATCCGCAGTACATGGTTTCTCTTTCAGAATGTTGCCCGCCTGTATGAGGCCTTCTCCAAAATCGCTAATCTGACGTCGCTGGGCTGTCAACTGTACCAAAGGTAGGTCAGCGGGCTGTATTCCGGAACTCACAGGCTCTGAATCACCGACTTCTTCTCTCGCCTCGGTTGTATGAGAGGAGGACGAAGCTCCAACTGAAGGGGACCATTTTGCCGTTCCCTTGCGCTTTCCTAGAACTTTAGGTGATTCGGTTTGAGAGTGACGACTCTTAGGCGGTCAGAAGTACGCGTAGCCGTGGACGATGAGTCTACCTCATTGGGAGGTGTCAAAGGGTCGTCGGGAGTATGAGAGTCTGCGACGGTCGATTCATTTTCGTCTGCAGACTCAGGCTTGCTGTCCTCGGTACGAGGAAGGTTGGTGACCGTAGCTGGCTGCGATATCTCTGCGAGCACCTGCTCACGATGGTGACCCAAGTCTGATATCCTTGTCTGCGCAGACTCGTATGTCTCGAGAAATGTAGGAGGCTGCTGTAGCGTACCACTGCCTGAGCTCAAAGCTGTCTGTAATGTCCCAGTAGCAGTCAGCACAAGGTGAGGAGGGCCCACGCCGACGACCACTGGTAGCACGCTGGTGACTAACCGGTACAGTCTCTGCTTGGCTTGCTTTCTTCCTCTTCACATATTTGCCCAAGTTTTGGATGGCTGCACGGTGCTTCCTCTTGCGCATGGGCATCCTGCGCGTAGTCACGGTATAGGGCCGTGATGGTCTGCGGCAAGAACAGCCACAGGCGCGTCTTTACTGCCGGAAGTCAGGACTCCTTTGTCGACCACCGTTACGAACATAAACCCAGTCCAGACTGCAACGGCAAGGAGCATTCCGCTGGAAGACTATACTTGCTCAGCGCTCAGCAGTGGAGGTTCGGCGTCGGAGGCTTGGACGACGTTCGTTACGGTGTGCGAAGCTATTGCTGTCTAAGAGCCAATGTCGCGATCTCTCTTCCGCACAGGCGGGTTCCGAAGGCTGGACAGTTTGCCCACAGAGATACTGGTAGAGATTCTCAGCCTCTTGGACGCGCCGGAGATCGCGACTTGTCGTCTTGTGAGTTTCTTTGGATCGCGCCCGAGGTGCACATCGGATCTCACGTTCATACATGCTCAGTTATGCAGGAGGTTTGATGACATCGTCTGTAGCAACGCACGGCTGCAGTATCCGATTCACCTCGAACTTGCCAACTGTGTCGATGACCACCCGGACCACCCATCACCAGTAGGAGTCCGGCTGAAGCGATTATTGGCACGACAAGAGGCGTGGAAGGCACAGGACTTCCGCAAGAAGCGACAATTATCCTCGTCCACGGTCTCCCATACACCGTCGGCCTCTGCATATCGTAGTGGGGTACTCGTGTTCGGAGTGTTAAACCATACCCTTCTCCATCCCGCAATTCAACCTCAGGTGGCCGATATCCTGGGCTTGATGTATATCAATGAACTGCATGTGCTCTTCCTGCACGGTGCTGGACATGACCTCGACCACCGTCGACATAGCATTGTCGACCCTGGTGGCTTCAGTGACTTCGAGCTCGAACCCTCGCAGGACCTCCTGGTACTCTGGGACAGCTATTCACCGGCGCCAGATGGTCTACGGTGCGATGACCTGCGTGCATGATCTTCTGGACCCGACACTAACTGTGCGTTAGTCTCCGCTTCCTCTCCCTTCACGAGGGGACTAGACATAAACGAGCGAAGACCTACGATATGGTCATACCAGCAACACACTTCTATCCTGTTGGAGGTCGTCCTGAGGATCTATGGATCTTCGACATGAACTCTATCCAATTAAATGGGGAGCTCGTGAGCATTTATGCGGTCGAAGGCCATCGCATTCTCGTACTCAACTGGGTGACTGGTTATAGCTGGGTTAGCACACCCGACTCTTCGTGACGGTACTTGCATCTGACTCATGTCCGCAATAAGTCGGTCCCAGGCTCTTCTTGCTGCACGCTTTCAAAGGACTGTCTGATCGTCGCCAATTGCCGTTGCAACCCTCCTCACTTCGACGTATACCGCATCACTTACTCTGTCGAGCCACCGACGATCAGCCATGTGCGCAGAACCAATCTCCCGCGGGTACAGGAAGGGGTCATGCGTAGCATTGACTGCAAACCCTCCCCGTCCTCCCATGCCTCAACGTCAGCGGTCTCCTCGGAGAAACGTGCCGTCCCGTTCTCGACAGCCCCTGACTCTGCGATGGTAGTCTTCAACTTCCGACTGCGCGTCCCAGACACGTCGCTGGCCGAACCGGACAAACAGCTCGCGCTGCTGTGTTATACTCCTGAGATCCTGTCCGCGGTCCGCAGCCATGTCCCGAAGACACCGGAACGACGACTGGGTATCAAGGTAGTCGAATGGGAGCGCTGGGGTCCGAACTCATCGTTTTTCCTCGGAGACGTGACCAACGACGACAATGTGTGGTCTTACGCGCTCTATGGCTACCGCTTGATGCTCAACGGGACCATATACGACTTCAACCCGCACACCGTCAAGTCCGCGACAACAATGGCGGAGGGACGGGAGGGTGACGGCCCGGGGAGTATGCACATATGTAAGGGCACTTCCTTCGAGGATGCGAGATGGTTCGTAGAGAAAATTCAAACAAATCGGCCGTATCTCTGGGCGCCCATCCAGGATTCGAAGGTGCCGGCGTCGACCAGTTGCTTCCTTGTGGACGAAGACATTCTTGCTCTCGAGGTGCGACTGCTCTGTCTCAATTTCGTCAGATTGTCCTCTGACGAACACTGGGTGCAGGACGCGACGGAATCAAACTCGGAGCAGGTCGTAATCACTCAGCTGACGGTTGGACCTGAGTGGGACGCTTGCTAATGGTCATGGTAGAGCTGCGGGTTTATTCTGGCGCGTAATGGGTCCCATCCGTTGTCAGCCTGTGTATGCTTTCCTCTAGGTGTTACATTGGATGGACCCGCACCTGGACGCATTTCTACCGTGCGTGTAGCGTCATGTATTGTTGAATCACTGTTTTAAACTCAACGGCATTGAAGGAATGACAAGCGCATTTGTTGCTTGTTGGCGGGTCGCTCCCTCAGAAGCCCTCCCCTACATGTGTCGACGCGTTCGTAATTTTTTGGCTGTCTATTCATATTGGCAGGTATGAACGTGGCAGTTGAAGGCGATACAGTATCCAGGCCTGGTCTATGCTTATACATGATACATAACGATAACGCCAAGGCGAGGCTGTTACAAGGGGAAGAGGGCGATAACTGGGGATGCAAGTATCAAGAGGCGAAAGCGGGCATGAAAATGGTGGCAGGAGCTCTATATAAGAATCTATGAGGGCGTGGTTAAGTGTTGCATTCATATTTCAGGGGGAAGTCGCAATGGTTGTTCAGACATTAGGAAGTCGACTTGAGAGGGGTGCGACAGTCATACTACTAGCGAGAGGAAATATTGTCAGTCGGTAAACGATAGCGTAAGGGGGCCTCATACCTCGTCCGGGGCAGCGGTGACGATCGAAGCTGTCCTTCCGGTTGAACGCTGCGCCGCATTTGCCGCACATGAAGTTTCCGCGGCCGTCACTGGACATGCAGGCAGGGGCCCGTGGGCGCTGCGCTAATGCCTGCTGGACGTCGCTACGCGGCAGAGCGTCGCCTCTCCGTCGATCATTGCTTCCGCCCGCAAGCGGTGCGAAGTCGATCAATACGCAGCTTTAGGTGCCATGAACGTGAGTTACTTCAAGGATGCCTCTAGACCTGGCTACGCACGCTTGTGATTCCTGCACCGCGCCGATCGGGTTGCTCCCGGGAAATGCGAAAGCAAACGCAGGGGAGGCGACGATATGGGACATCCTTGAATGACTTTCTTCGGCTGCTGAGGGTGTAGGTTGAGGGTGTAGATCTGATCGTTCCTTCGACATTGTTGCAGCGAGTTATATACTAGCTTCAAGCTGGTGTCGATCATCGTTGTCACCGAGCCTGGCGGACGCCACTCGATGTCCCAAACGTTTGTTGCGTACAGGGCGGCCACCTACATGCTACTGGGCAGCCGTGTCCATGGAGGTGGTCAGTGACCTGCTACAGTCATGTTTCTGGCATTTGCCTGTGGCGTCCATCGGGGACCAAGCAGTGTTAGGAACAAGAGCAATATCGCAGCGCTCTCACCTCAGCGGCCATCCCATGCTATGACGACTCGCGCTGTCTGTCGCACGGACGTTGTGCGGAATCTGCGGTTCAGTCAATAAGTGACTGGGGCCTTCCGGGAGACATTGAAAGAGATTGCTAAGGTCGGGGGCGCAGGCAACTGCGAATGCGAAGTCCAGTGTTCGTTCCGCTCACGGCATGGCCACCCCGCGATCCATAAACAGTCGCATGGTACCATCCGATGCTTGTGACCATGTGTGCGCTGCACCTACGTTCATTGGATGATTTGGCTGACCACAACGCCTCCGGAACGTGGAGTGGTGTCCCGCCGGTATGCTGTGAGCCATGCTGAAGGACATATCGGGGAGTAGCTTGAAGGGAGGCCTGTCCCAACGCCACGGACATCCAGCGTGCCTAACTGAATGATCCGACGCGATGGTTCATCGCGTCAAACTTGCCACGCACCTACCAGGCTACCTACGTTGTGGTGCAAGATGGCAGCAGGTTAGGCCATTGCCAGCCCACCCTGCGCCCGAGTGCCACGCGATGAAATATGAGCTGAGAGGAGTTTCACACCATGTAGGCGTCGAACTTCGGCCCAGCACAGACCGTTTCTCGTGGATAGTTTATAGCGAAGGACGCCAGATGATCCTACTCAGAGTGCTACTGTGACTCCTTGCTCCGAGTCGACGTAGCAACTTGAGATCTTGGCACTGGCAGTGGATCTTGCGAAGATCTTTGCCAGATCACTTTAGCGCTCGCTACCCACGTGATGATCGGCCTATCCCAGCCAATGGCGGCCAAGGGATGCCTTTGTCTGCGACACATACGCTCCCGGTCATTGACGTCGAGGCGTCGTTCAAACGATCATGCACGGTTCGTGTTTCGGGTTCAGATGCTGCATTTACACCCATATGAACCCCCAGTCCAACTGCGACCGTCTGCCAGTGCTCGTTATGAAGAGGCGGGGCATACTTACAGGGCCTACTAGCAGACACGTCACGGTCTATGACGCACGGTGGTAAGTTACTGCTAATTGACAGGACCTACGCGGTAATAATGCCCGCACATTATTGCATTGACTGTTGCCCAGACCTATTGGCATAGAGACTTCTGTTCGGTATGACGCCGTGTTGTCACTGCCTTGGGGCTCCGAGTCCGCCATGCTCCATGAGTCTGGACAGCAATGTACAGACCAAGTTGCTGCGCACGGCATATGCGTTGAATGAGCGGTGCTGCGCATACGCAGGCTCACACAGCCCCGCCCTGGGACATCCAGTATTCATCGATCATCACTTGTCCTGCTATTGGCTGTGATGCAACACATCATCATTGGAGTCAGCGAACCTCGGCATGGTGTGGCCCAGAGCAAGTGTGCGACAGTGTTACGCCGTACCGCACCGGGACATACCCGGCACATATAATGGTATATATCTAAAACCTGAAGGTGGCTGTCCGCTCACTAACAAAGGTCGCCTCACCACAACTGGTATTTGCAAGCTACGATCTTCCTCCAGCTACGCCCAGTCTCGGGACGACATACGCAGATGCCTCCAAGCCAACTCGTATGTTCCAGGCATGTCTTGTACGCAGACCAAGCTGATTGGGCCCGCCGGGTTTAGCAATTACAACAAGTCGCATTGCCTCAGATTGGAAGCCCCGCCGTATCCTTCCTTTCTGGCCCGCTGGCTAATCGGAGAATTCGGGTGCAACTTGACGAGCTACAGAAGGCTGACCTGGGGCGCAAGTAAGTGTATCAACGACTGTCAGACCACTGCCCGTGCATGTTAATACACCTCCCATCGAAGATGCGCCATCAAAGATAGACGACCGCTCGACCCCCCACCTGTTGTCCAGTTGAGGCTCTTCGAACTAGACAATGTGGACACAGTGCAGGAGACAGAGCATGAGCTGACGAATCTCAGGTGTGCCAATAGACCAATGCTTCTTCCGCCCATTGCTAATTCACCAATCCTGCAAGTGAACCCATAGCGCTGGGGTTCGTCTGTTTCGTCGATCTATACCCATTTCCAGGCGATAGCGATGCAGGTAGGACGCCTGCAGGAGGCTCTCCCGGTCCGGACCCCGAGCCGTCGGCATACTCCATGTCCAGCTTGGATTACAGCCTGTTTGGAGAGGGTGTTCTTCCGACTTCCTTCTTGGAGTCACCACCTTACCTCGCAAACGTCGCAAGTTCCAGCTCCTCACCCCCGTTAGCTATGTTCAACGATGGGGTTGACCCTATGCTAATAGGGTCGACCTCATTTATTCCACCATGTATGTCCAACTACGTACTGCCACTGCAGGGGCCTCGCAAACCTACTCACGCCCCGATTGCTCAACTGGACGAAATGGCAGAGCCTAGTCCGGACCAGATCGTAGCTTACGTCAACGGAGCCCCCCTCTTACATGGTACATGTTGTACGACGGCGTTCGTGGGTACAACATTCGTTTCCGTGTCGTGCTTTGACATTCATGGAAACCCCGTCCTCCTGGGCGTCTTCCCGGTCAGTGTTCTCCATTATGAACGTTTCTGGAACCTCCCCAGCTGACGCTCTAGTACTTCAGGATGTAGCTGTGAACGTCACAGGCACGTACTTGATCCGGTATCGGGTGGTCAACACACTCCATGCCACTTTCGAGCACAGTCGGCGCGCCGTGCTTGCGGAATGTTGGGGCGGACCCGTCGTCATCTATCCCGCGAACATGTTTCCTGGTTTGCAGGAGTCAACGGATCTGACCAAGGTATGCGAAACTGTGTCTATGTGTCCAGAACCGCTGATAGAGCCGCCATGATAGACGTTGTCGGAGCTGGGCGTGCCAGTGAACATGAGGCAAACCGAGCGGAAGAAGAGGAGAAACGGTGGCTAGTAGGTGTACACTGGAGCGGGAGCGTTGAGAAAGTGCTCCGAGTCTAGGTGTGCACTGGAGCGTTTAGCAAGTGCTCCGAATACCGGCCAGTCCACCGAGACCCAACGATATGCTGTGCGCGTTCGCTGTTTGCTTGGCTATCGTCTCCGACTTTGTATATTTATGTGCAGCTCTACCTCTTCCTATTGTCGCAAGGATGGTGAATGACTCTCGTCATCGTCGTCTACAGTGTACTAGTACTACTAAAAGCTGTATGTTGTAGGTTGTATCGATCATGTTGTCTCAGTCCGGTGGACATAAACTCGTGCAAAAAGTCACCTCAGGCCGCCTCTGCGGTGTTGTGGTCGGTCTAATACCACCACGCGTGCTAACAATTACCGGTGAGGCGTGCAGGCCACGGCCCACGGTCATCAGACCAGTGTATCAGATCCCCCTTGCACTCCGTTACCTCGTTGCGGACACATGCAGATGATCCGCCAGCCTTGGTAATGTCCCGGTCCGAGGTGTGGTACTGGGCCTCCCCGCGGCGATGTTAAACCCCGGAGGCGACAGTGGTAGAAGCCTGCGTGCCCCTGTGTGCCCCTGGATCAACGAGTCTAACGCGACGCGGGAGTAGCCGCCACCGAATCTGAGATCACAGTCCTACGCAGCCACCCCCAAGCGCCGCCTGACGGTGGCTAGTTCCTGCAGCCGTTCGACTATGCGATACGATTCGCTGCATTTCTATGCTGTAGGAGGTGCGAATATGTCGATCCTGCATTGCTGGACCTATTCATCATATCTTTTCTCCCGTGCCGAGTCATGGTCTCAAGTGACACAGCCCGTTGAACATCGCAGAGCCCTGCAGCGTTGAACGGACCCTCAACTCGGCTGCGAGGGCTGGCAAGTGGTCCGCGTTATCTCGGAGTCCGCGATAGGTGCGTCCTCCAGCTGACACCACTTGTCTCCGCGGAATCGCTCCTCAACGATGCCGGTCTTCTAGAATTACGCGTAGTGGTGAAGTATTCCACTCTTCGGCGGCATGTCCCAGAGCCACTTTATGAAGGCCGGTATCTGATGCACAGTGTATACTGACTAGATAGGGCCAGGCGATGCCTTCAAACTGCACCCAACCTTCCATGGGGATGTCTGGAAATGACCAGCAGAGCCTACCACATTTTGTCGGGCCTTTGTGCTGCGAAATACCGTCTCTCGCTCGCACGCTGCCGCGCTATGCAAATTTCGAAAGTGAGTGTACAAGGCCCACATCCGCAAAGAATGTACTCATTGTTCTTCCGTTGGCCCGCGGCCTCACAGCGTGGCGCGAATGTGTTCCATCAACGAATTCGCCACCTTTCGCGGCAACGGTAAGTCTTACTATCTGGTCCAAGGCACCGTAGGCGTTGTTTCTTTCTGGACAAACTGGTGGCCTGTGACGAAATGCCTGCGGCGGAGGCGAGGTAGGCATCATAGACGAGCCAGATCTCATGGACGAGCGGGTGAAAAGGAAGAGGCCGGCTTCTGCATTCCCAGTCACTAACGGTTTCAGCCATCGAGTGTCCTCTGGTATGCAGGCGAGCGGAGAGAGCATATATAAAATGCCTTCGTACTGCAATGGATCCTCAACAATCCGAACGAAGCCAGCATCCGACAGAAACCGCAGTCTCAAACAAACATGCCTTTCCCCGTCTCCAACGCACCTCTCGCATTGAACTTCACCGTAGAGCAAGATGCACTCGAGTCTCTCCAGGCTTTCCATGTGTAAGTCCATTCCACCTAGAGTGCATGTTGGCGTGAATAATCTGACGAACTGCCTTACCAGCCCTCACTATGCGGCGGTCGACATGTCCCCGCTGACCAGCGGAGAAGCCTCGCGCGAACGCACACACCCGCCATTCGGCACGAGTGTGGCGGCCCAGCAGTGGATGTGTCCTGCCTGTGGAACAGTATTTACACGAGAGGACGCCTTTAGGCGTCACATGAGTGAACACCATTAAAGGTTTGTCGGTTGCTCGACAGACATAGTCACTGCGCTCATGTCTTCTTCAAATCGATCTAGTACATTCATGCCACAACCTTCTCTGAACTCCCTGCAGATTCAACTCTGCTCTCGCATCTCGTCATATAGATTATTGTACCCTTGTTTTCCATCTTTTCGGTGTCATTCCTGCTTTCGTTTGATCCCTTGCTAGAACCTACTAGAGTTGTCGCTGTAACTGATTATCCCACCAATCCTATTTGCTGCTGATTCGTCGTTGACACTATGTATCTCGCTCTACTTGTGTAGCCTTACAATTTCATAGAACGCTGTGATCGCAATCATTGCATGAATCCGGTTGATGTTGGTTATCCGGGAGTTGTTACCCGCCAATTCGAGGTTATGATCAAACTACTGAGGAGCCTTACTGATGTCGGGGGTGCCGTACAAATTAAGCATGCATTAGAGCCGTGTAAGCATATCACAGCAACAAGTCCAGGTCACTGTCTATCATTTGGACATCTACGAGACCTCCACCAAGCGGATGACCGAGGTCATTGCGAGACACCATAACTGTCATGAGATGTTCGCTCATATACGTCACTTGCATGCTTCGTTTGTGCCTATCCTTTTCCTCGTCCAAGTGCACGATCGGTGGTCGGTGCTGAGAGTGCGAGCGCAACGTGAGTGCGCCTACAAAAGAGTCCGGAAGTCGGACGGTGGAACGAGCATGTGAGTTTGACGCAGATAGAGTGAGGTTGTGAGACTCGGGTGCGACAGGGTACGTGACGCTGAGCGGTGCATTGCTAGTATGGAACATTGTCTTGTACCTCGGCGGTTCCACGCCCTCAAGGAGTTCCGTCATGGAGCGGGCGAGCAGGTTTACGCTTGCTTCGACGGGCCTTTACGGAATAAATAAGCAAGCAACATGCGCAGACTTGTGACTTACCCGTAGACGGTGGTCACTAGCAACGTCGGTATCACGGACGATTCATTCGCGACAAGGTCAGCGTTGATGGTAACGGCGCCGTTGTGAGCATATAGGTCGATCTGATGCGCCGATTTGAAAGACCCGCTAATGCCCCCGTTCCAGTTTTGTACGCGCACGCTGTTTGCATGCAGTGACTGTGGTGATGTTAGCTAATAGATACAGTGAAGCCGCGTGTTCGAGCGACTTACATTGATGCGGATGTTCCTGTCCATGGATTTCAGGAAAACCGAGTCAAACCTGACGCGATCGTCCATGTCAACAAGGAAGTCGAAGCTGAACATGGTGGCGGAAATATTGGGCAGGAGTAGAGGCGGCGAAGTGGTCCAGCTTGGGGCGGGTTGATGAACTGTGATATCAAATGCTGTCCGGTTGCGGGCAGATCTGTCAGTGTTCTGCTAGAAGTCAGCGTTGTTGCTCGTACACGAGAGATGGTGATGGTATCCAGCAGACATACGGTGGAAATTACGACTCCTTCTGATACATAGCCTGCCTCCGTCAGATGAGGCGCGGTTTGGCAAATCGTTGCTGCTTGCTCGAATGCCAGCCAATCGTCCGAAAATGCCGTGACATCGACCGTAATGTGTCGTTCAGACGCCATGTCTGCGTGGTCTTGGAAACCGGTATCATTATCAAGGACGAAGCGGATAGACCCCTGGGTCCCGAGTGCATCGAACGTCAGTGTCCGAGAGCTTGATAGAAACTTGAAGGTCGTTCGGGCTGCCTGGGGATACAGCTTGTCGCCATGGCTATACGTCCTGTGCTCGGCCTGTAGCACAAAATTGGCAGAACCGACGCAGCGTGGTTTGGGATGATTGGTGCGAGGTGGGAAAGCTTCACGCATCTAGCAACACTATGAGCTGTGTTTGACCTCCATGACGAATGAGAATGCCCATACCAGGAATCCCAGAACGGTTCAATGCCCACAAAGAGGACAGCCACATCACAAGTATGAGTAGAGCGACGACCGTTGCCCACCGTCGCCGGTGGGGAGCCCTGTTCTCGTGATGAGTAGCATCACGCTCGACTTCGGCTGAGTCGCTGAAGGGTGCCTCTTTGTCGTCTACCGGCGCGCAGCCCTACGTCAGCTGCATGTATCGCCAGTCTGGAGAAGTATACCTTGGAGACGTTGAGGGGACCTAATCCTACTCCTTCTCCGGAACCGGAATGCATCGTCGGTGACATCCAAATCGCCTCTCCCAGAGATGCCGGCGAGGAGAGTTCCCATGTGCCTGTATGTCCTATTCCAACCTGAATTGCGTCGAGCATCAGCAAGTCATCCCCCGAGTCAGAAGCGTGAAGGTAGTTACGCGAGAGAGGAGCTTTAAGCATACGCACGGAATGGCTGGGCAGAGAGCAGCGGTTGCCCGACTATTAAGACTGCTTGAATCAACGATACTGCGTGAATGCTATGCACTCACATCGACATCTGTCTCTGTCTCTGTCGAATCCAGAGTCGGCGTTCTCATGGTACGCAATGGCGTCGAGAGCCGCATAAGCACCGATGCTTCTTCAAATCTTACCGGATCTCTCCATTGAGCATTGCATGGCGGCACATGGGCGAATATGTACGTTACACGGACTCGTCGACGCGCACATCCTATTCAATATAACGATGACCACAATGAGCCGAATATAAGTATATTGTGGAACACGCACCTCTGCACTTAGTAGGGACCTATTGGCTTACCGCCTGTGTGAAGTTGCGTACAGAATGGTGGACTTCGCTATCAAAGACGGATGATGAGCGGGAATACATCGCGCTTCGCAAATACATCTGGCAACTGTCAGCCCTATCGTATTCTCAAATGGCGCCTTATGAAAAGAACTCACCTGGCCCCGGCACCTATATGGTATGAAGGAACCTGCGGAAAGAGTTCGATATCGCAGTAAGTACTACTAAGCTCGGGCCTGTCGGTCAGGCGACAAAGTGTGGAGGCCATGTGCACTACATACTGTTCGTTTCAGAGACTTGGATCCGAGTCCGAATGAAGCCCAATCCGTCGGTCCGGCTCTGAATGCAAAGTTGAACGTCGTTTGAGGCTCAGGACAAGTCCATTTCTGAGATTGAATAGGGGGCATTAGCGTGAGCAGGCGTACCGACCAATCGCACAGGACAACCTAAGTGCCTCTGTTAGAATGTGTCTTTTGGCTGTTCTCTCAACAGCATTTTACTTAGATCGAGCAGCGGCCACTGGCCCCTCATTCGAAGGCCTTCGTGATTGGGGTGCTCCAAGGACCGACTCTGCTGACGCTCACAGGACGAGCTTTATGAGCACAACGTTGACAACATAGCTTTCGAACTCAATCTAGCAAGAGAAAATAACGTAGGTTGTTACAAGGCATGAGACTGGCAGGACGGTTACTCCGAATACTCAAGTACACCGTCATCGTTCACCACACCACGCCTGACCTTCTCTCCCTTCGCATGCATCAGGTCCTCGACGGTTTTCAGCTTCCCGTCCTCTGTGCTCTCCTTGAACCACCCAAGATGGTCTGCTATGAGGTGCCTGACATATTGCCTCTATGAGCATAAATTCGACGCAAACACAATGCGACGCACCGATTCTTGCACCCCGGACATTGGACAATGACTATACCCTTCTCATAGCTCCGTTTCGTGAACATATGCGATGACCGCATGCCGCACGCCGTCACCATACATGTGAAGGTCAAAGAGAGACGGGGGTCCTCTGTCTTGAACGTCACCTCATTACTAGACTCCGGGGGCTTAGAGCCCGAAGACGACGAGGCCGCATCGTCTGCTCTTGGTAGTGCGGATGAGAAGAACCGCTGAGAGCGGAGTGACGCTGCCTGGGGCGCAGCAAATCGCCAATGCGGAGGTACGTGGAAGCCGGGACGGATTGTCGACGTGAAAGATGAGCCCATAGAGCGCTGCACACAAGACCGTAGTGCGCTCATGTTGTCGTGCGTGTCGGAGAGGAGCTCAACCCAGTGTAAAAAGCGGCGAGGATGGTCAACGTTTCAAACGAGAGCTCTGTGCAATTAAGCGCCAATGCGACACCAGCTGACACATGCAGTCGGGCGCTTCAGGTGAACTGGCATGCTCATCATGCAGGGGAGCATCCGATAAATTACAAGAGTGAGTCGGGGTGAGTATATTACAGTAAATGCATTGTAAGTAAGGAGCACAATGGTTTATCCAGAAGACGACGTTGTAGCGGACTGTGCTTCCTCCAGGAGCGGCGGAATGACGCCCTTCTTCAGCAGCAAGTCCTCGAACTCCCCAGACTGGTGCACTGCACGATAACGGCAGCTCAATACAGAAACTGCAGAAGATGTGGAAGATGACATACTACTCAGGAGAATGTCGCATCCGCCGACAAATTCGCCGTCGACGTATAGCTGCGGGATTGTTGGCCAGTCCCTAGCCGGAAATTCACTCGGTCGTACGATCGCCAGGCAGGGTTGGGATGGGACTCACGAGAACTCCTTGATACCAGTTCGCAGCTCCTGATCCTCCAGGACGTTGAACGTCTTGATCTTCTCCGGGGCCACACCGTGCAGGCCGAGCACTTGGATGGCTGCCCGGGAGAAGCCGCACATGGGTGCGTCCGGCGTACCCTTCATGAACAGCACGACCGGAGTAGACTTCACGGCCGACTGGATTTTGGTCCTCGCATCGTCAGAGAGGAAACGCCTTGCGAGTGCAAGTCTAGGAGATGAGAATGCTGGTGAGGCAGCGGAAGTACGGAGACTCGACGAGAGCTACGGGCCCAGCTGTCAGTGCATTGCGCATGCGGTGGTCAGTGATACACCTACGCCTGAACGGAGTGAAGAGCGGAACATGTTGAGAGACATCGTGGAGGTTCCGGCCAGAGGACTCGGGGCTGCGAGGGTCGCTTTTGAAAGGCTGCTGCTGAGCAATCGGGAGCAAGTCGTTGGCGACTCCAGCGGCCTTGCATCGGGCAGGACGCGGTCTCGTGATTGCGGCCCGGGTTAGGGTCGGGCTGTCCAATCATGGCAGGAGCGTTATTCAACCGGTAATCCCGTGGATTCCCGGGAACCTCCGAATCGCTGCCACAAATGAGGAGACGCGCTTTCAGTCTCCGATTGAAGACGCGTCGCGTCTGAGGCGCGTCGTTTGCACTCACCTTCAACACCGCGTCTCCAAGTTACACCTTCTCTACATCACCTGCGCTCAGACTACGCGTGCGATACCGCTCATCAATGGCTGACAGGTCAAGGCGCGAGCGTAAATCGAAACTTGACAAGCTTGCCGAATACAAACGCGCGCGCGAGGGAGGGGGTCGCACATGGAAGGTACGTCCATACGCGTCATTCGGGATGAATCGCAGTTTAACGCGTTCTTTAGGAGGAGAAAGATGTTGAGCTATATGATGAGGTCTCTGAAGACCAATACAAGTCCATTGTACGAGGGCGACTGGCGAAGGATGATTTCGTAGTCGACGACGGCGTGCAGGGATACATGGATAACGGAGTGGACGACTTCGAGGAAGTGGAGGAGCAACAGGAAAGTGAGGATGAGCATCGGGCGAAAGGTGAGTGTGGCGTTCTCAATCTGGATATGTCTGTTGTTCCGGGCCAGGAGTGTTGGGGAGCACGTTTGGTGTCTGTATGATGCTCACACTATCACATAGGCAAGAATCGAAAAGCGGCACCCAAAGCGAAAGCAAAGGGGAAACCGAAAGCACCACCTCCTGCCGTCACACCTTCTCTGAGCTCATATCGGCCAAAAGCGTCAGAAGAACAGGAGGCTGATCTTATGACGTCCTTGTTTGATTTGATGGACAAAAGTGCCGACCAGATCATCCAACCTACAAAGTCTCGAAAGCGGAAGCCGGTGCCTGAGCCAGACTACAGGGAGGCTAGTTCCTCGCCTACACCCTATGCGCGTCCACGTCCCGCCGTTCACTCGTATCGCGGCAGCTTTGCGGATGTGGCTGGCTCATCCTCCGACGGAATACTTGACGATGGACCCAACTTCGATGATGCTTCGAGCGACGATCTCATGCTCAGTCCCAAGAAGAAGCTCAAAACCGACAACGAGGCCATCGCGCCGGCTATCGAGCGCATGAGCCAGATGGAGGTGTACAGCGCCAGCAGCGGGACAGAGGACTGTGATTCCTCCTTCGACGACATAAACATGAACGACTTCATGGACATTGACGACGCCGAGCTCAATGGCGAAGCCAGCAAGCCTATCCCTCAGGCCAAAGGATCTGCGAAGACGGAGATCGACGTGGAGTCCAAGCCCCTCCTTCCGATTCACGGCAAATTGAATGCACAGACGAAGAAGAAACAGGACGAGACGCCTTCCTGGCTCTCCGTCTACGAGTCATTACAGACGACCACTGATGATTCACTCGGTCAGGCGTCTGCTTCCCGCAGTTCAGCCAGCCATGGCGACGTTTCTGTCCTCGAGGAGGACGGATCGCTCCGTTTCTTCTGGATCGACTACCTGGAGCACGAGGGCAAGGTGTACTTCGTCGGTAAAACACAAGACAAGGTCTCGAAGGCCTGGTACTCGTGCTGTGTGACCGTCGAGAATTTGCAGCGGAATCTCTTTCTGTTGCCGCGGGAGCGCCGCATGGAGGAAGACGAGGAGACCGGAAAGCTGTACGAGACAGACGTCAAGCCCGAGATGAGCGACGTCTACGCTGACTTCGACCGAATCCGCAAAGCAATGAACATCAAGGCCTGGAAGGGCAAGGCCGTCAAACGGAACTATGCGTTTGGCGAGAATGACATTCCGAGGGGTGAGAACGACTGGTTGAAGGTCGTGTATGGCTTCGACGGTATGCAGCTCCCCAGTAGACGGGCCGACGAGACTGACTTCGACCTTTATCAGAGCCCCAAATTCATAGCTCGGTGTGCAGTCCGAATATTGCCAAGATCATGGGGACGAGCACGAGTGCATTTGAGCTGCTAGTGCTCAAGCGTAAAATTATGGGTCCGTGCTGGCTTCAGGTCAAGAAACCCCAGCTCGACCACAAAGGGGTTCGTGCTTCGGCCTATATTTGCACATGTTCTGTCTAATCGAGCAACGCAGGTTTCCTGGTGCAAAGTGGAGGCTACGGTATCGGACCCCAAGGATTTTCAACCCATTTCAGACAGAGACCCTACCGCGCCCAAAGCGAACCCGCCACTAACCGTCATGAGCCTGAGCATTCGGACGATTGTCAACCACAAGGAGAACAATCGGGAGATTGTCTGTGCGACAGTCAGGATATGGTCAAACAGTGAGTTATTCTGTTCGCCATATCACTCAGGACTGCTGAGCTCCATCGTCCTCCAGTCGATCTGGACGATCCAACACCACCCGAATCGCTTCCTTGTACTGTACGAACCTTCGTGCGACCCTTGGATCGCTTCCCACCGAATTTTGAAGTCCGTGCAGGCAAGAATGGCAAAGGCGTCATCTCCCCGATGAAGAACGAGCGGATGTTGCTCAACAGTCTCCTCGGTACGATGCATCCATTCTCAATGGCAAGATTAGTGATTAAGCACCTGAACATGCAGCCACCGTTTATAAGGCAGATCCCGATATCATTGTTGGGCACGAAGTCTTGGGTGTCTCGCTGGACGTTTTGCTCCATCGCATGCGTGACTTGAAGGCGGATCACTGGTCAAGAATCGGTCGCTTCCGCCGCTCGAAATGGCCCAGTATAGGACGACAGGGCACGAACCTCAAGTTCATGAACGGCCGACTGCTCTGCGACCTGGCGAGCGACAGCGCTAAGGGCATGATCTCATCGACGACTTGGTCACTTACGGAGATGTGCAAGACGCATCTCAAGAGTGACAGGCAGGATATCGATCCTGACGACACTGCTAGCTTCTTTGACAGCAGCGTCAGCTCACCCGAGCGGTTGCTGACCTTTGTCCGGCATTGTGAGCTCGACGCGCACTATCAGATGGCTCTCGCGGCGAAGGTTCAAATTCTGCCGCTGACGAGGCAGCTCACGAACCTGGCCGGAAACTCCTGGTACTTTTGGCGTATCCTTCACCGGAACCTGCGGAAGCTAAATTATGCCTGTAGGAACAAAACACTCAATGGTGGTCGTGCAGAGCGTAACGAGTACATCTTGCTCCACGAGTTCCATCAGCGGAAGTACATCTGCCCTGACAAGACATGGGGTAAGAAGGCCGCAGCGGCTGAGAAGGAGACTCGTGACGACGATGCGGAGGGCGGCAAGACTACGAAGAGCAAGCGAGACAAGTATAAGGGCGGTCTCGTCTTCGAGCCGAAGCGTGGGCTCTGGGACAAGTTCATCCTCGTCATGGACTTCAACTCGCTCTACCCGAGATCATCCAGGAGTACAACATGACTTACGACGGTCGACCGGGTGGATGATGGGCGGCGAGGAGAAGATCCCAGAGCCTCCGAGTTCCGACATCGCACAGGGTATCCTTCCTCGTCTTATTGCACTTTGGTTGCCCGACGGAGACAAGTGAAGAGCATGATGAAGGACCGGACGCCACGCAGGCCAGTTGCTCCAAGTAATATTCATTCACGTTGACCAACTTTTCTCTGACATTCTCTCGGCAGTGGGACATCAAGCAGATGGCGCTGAAGCTGACGGCCAACAGTATGTACGGGTGTCTCGGTTTCGAGTACTCGAGGTTCTACGCCGACCCTGGCTGCCTTGACGACCTTCAAGGGCCGTGAGATCCTTACCCATACTCGCGAACTCGCGAAAGCCTACAACTCGATGTGCGCCGCGCTTTTATTGCCCCCTCCGCTGTGATGCTGAACAGCTTCTAGGTCGTCTACGGAGACACTGATCGGTCTTTGTCAACTCCAACGTGACTGACCTGGCAGAAGCGCTGAAATCTCGGCTGCGTTCAAGAAGACGGTCAACGACAGGTACAAGCTCCTTGAGATGACCTGGATGGTGTCTTCCAGCGGCTGCTGCTTCTGCAAAAGAAGAAGTACGCTGCTATCAAAGTGGAGGACGGTACAAGGACGTCGACAGAAATCAAGGGTCTGGACATGAAGCGCAGAGAATACTCCGCACTGTCCAAGAACGTTTCTCAGTGAGCCTGCCTCGCGTGACGTCGAGTGCTTGATCACTGACAAAACCCTCACGCAGATACGTCCTGACCAGATCCTCTCCGGGGAAGCGACCGAGTCGTCGTCGAGAAGATCCACGAGTACCTCACCACCGTCGGGGAGGACGTGCGCGCGGGCAAGGTCAAGCTCGACGACTTCATCATCTTCAAGCGGCTCGGGAAGAACCCGGAGGACTACCCCGACGCGAAGAGCCAGCCGCACGTCCAGGTCGCGCTGCGCATGAAGGCGCGCGGCGGCACCGCGCGCTCGGGCGACGTCATCCCGTACGTGTTCTGCCTGGGCGAGAACGGCGAGTCGGCCAAGTCGGCGCAGGCGGATAAGGCGAAGCACCCCGATGAGGTCCGCAAGACGGGGTCCGGGCTTAAGACCGGTGAGGCGCGATGTGTGATGGGCTCGTTGGGCGGGCGTGGACTGACGACGCTGGACAGACTATGAATACTACCTCTCGCAGCAGATCCTCCCGCCCGTAGAACGTCTCTGCGAGCCGATCGAGGGCACGGACCGGGCGCGGCTAGCGGAATGTCTCGGTGAGTTGTCACCGTCAGTTGAGTGTTGGTTGTGCTCACTTGCGTCGGCAGGACTGGATGCGAGCCGGTACCGTACATCGACCACCGAGTCCGAAGAGAGGCAGTTCAGCACGCTCGACTCTTTGATGTCGGACGCGGAGCGGTACAAGGACGCAGAGCCGTTCGTGGTCCGGTGTCGCTCGTGCCAGGGGCACGTCGCGTTCGAGCCCATCTCCGACCGCGAGGTGAGCAGCCCCCATCCCCTGACGCCCCACTCATAGTCCATTCCATGCTGACATCGCTCCCAGAACTCGCTCCTCCTGTCGGCGGGCCCGACGTGCCCCGCCTGCAAGACGGCGCTGCGCACGGCGAGCCTGCAGACGCAGCTGGAGACGCAGATCCGCGCGCGGGTCGCGCGGTACTACGAGGGTGGACGGTGTGTGAGGACCCGACGTGCGGGCACCGGACGCGGATGATGGGCGTGTACGGGCGGCGGTGCCTCCGGCCGGGGTGCCAGGGGCACGTCGCGTTCGAGGTGCGTTTTGCTCTCTTCGCTCCGACGCTACGCGGAGCTGACGTGAATTTGTGGTGCCGCGAACCAGTACTCGGACGCGCAGCTGTACACGCAGCTCCGGTATTACGCGTCGCTGTTCAGCCCGGAGGGGGCGCTCAAGGCGTGTGGCGCTGCGAAGCAGAAGCAGGGTGCGCATCATCTTCCGCTGATTGTGCCGCGCGTGTATGGTGCTGACGTGCGTCTTTGTGTCGGTTCGGGTGCGGTCCGGCTGCTGCAGAGGAGGTGGGGACGCTGGTGATGATGCAGGCGGAGTTCTTGCGCGTCATGGGCGCGACGGTGGACAAGTATCTCGACCAGAGCGGCCGGCGGTGGGTGAACCTGACTGGGCTGTTTTCATTCATGAAGATCTAGGTTGCGTGCATAGGGGAGTGGTGTGCGTCCAGGCGTAAACTCATACTTAGATGGTCTCGCGCATACCCGCATCGCATCGGCATTGTATTAGGCTCGCACGTACTTAGCACTGACTCACTGCATTGTTGTAACTCTATCAAGATGACCATCCTAATGGTAGTAATCCTAGCGCGGTCACGAGCTTTTTGGAGAGTTGTGCCCGTCAAGCGGGCGCGTCGTAGCATACGCGCGTCGGTAATACAGCAACGGAACCGCGCCCAACCCGTCATCTCCATCCTCCCCCTCCCCAAGCCTCGGGACCTCCTCCACCCTCGTCACGAGCGCAATGAACAGCTCACTCGCGACGCCCTCGCCGTCCCACGTCCTCCCGCCGCCCTGCGGGCCCGAGTCGCGCGCCCGGAGCGAGTCGAGGTCGTGGAGGGGCCAGCTCCCGGCGACGAGGCGGCAGGAGAGCGCGCCGAGCGCGCCGGCGAGGACGGGGAGGCCCTCCGCGGAGAGCGCGTGGGGCGTGTGGGCGAACGGGTCCGGGTGGAGGTCCGGCCGCGCGAAGCGCGCGGCGACGGCGGGCTGGGCGGCGGAGAGGATGTTGATGACCAGTTGCGCGGGGAGGGGTGGGGCGGCAGGAGGGGCGGCGTGCGCGGCGCTGAGGGAGGTGGCCATCCGGGAGGGGATGCGGAGGGAGAAGGCGACGAGCGGGTGCGGGTCGAGCGCGATGGAGGTGAAGGAGGAGAGGGTCGCGCCGTGGAAGCGGGCGTGTGGGGGGAGGGTGCGTCTTCGGGCGCGCAGAGCGGGCGGGCATGAGGGAGGTCACAACGGCGACGGGTTGTGCGGTGTCGCGCAGGAGGGCGCGGAGGTCGCGTCGGATGGCATCGACGGACTGTGTGGGCGTGGCGAGTGTTCTCTTGCAAAGAGCCGTGCGCAGGCAGGCAATGTGGTTCCGGAGAAGCATGCTACTCGTAATGGATTGCGCTGCATTCGCCTGTCGCGGTCACGTCACTGGTTGGCGGGTTTACGACACTGAGCCTCCTGGGTGTTCAACACGGGGACATCAGCCTGCTTGCCTACTCTTTCATGTTGGGAAGTGACAGACAGCGACAGAACGGCTTAGTGAAAGGAGCTGGCACTCGCCTGTGCAGAGGTCGCAGTTGGCGCGAATCTGGGGCAGCTCAGCGCGTCTCATCATGTGACGTGGATGAGTAGCCCGGTTTGGCATTTCAAAATGCTTATGCGCCTCACTGCCCGATCGATCTTGGGCGCACAGAAGCGGAGGACGGACGACCGAACGCACCAGCAAACTCGGTGACAAAGGACATGCATGCGGTGCGGTGCATAGGGGGCGCGGTATGGAACGCATCTAATGCCGTACAGAATGCTCATCTCCTGCCAGATATACTCGGGCCGGTGCAGTGCCGTGCGGGAGTACGAGATCTTTTCATTTCGGACGGAATTAGAAATCAGGACGACCAACAGGCATGATCTCTCCACGGATGATCATGGCGTCCCGTCGCGGCTGACGAAGCGCAGATCCAGTGACTGAACGCGTTGGACGATGGCGTGCCCCGCAGGCCACTGCAGACGGCCGTTAGGGGTCGAGGGAGCGGCATGATGGAATGGGGCGAGACGCGCGCCCCGGACTCGGACAAGCTAAGACGATGCTAACAGCCCGAGGTGGGAGCAGAAAGCGATCGTCGAGCGGGATGGTGGGCGCTGAGAAGCAGCGGTCGGACAGGCTGCCAGCGAACGGGCGTGGGCGTGATCGCCGGCCCGGCGGGAGGAGGCTGAGGGAAGCACAGTCCGCCCGCCCCTTCGCGCGATCGAATCATACCTGCAGGCCATGTCATATATAACTGGCCCCCGCACGCGCCGCCGAAGGCCCCATCGGCTGCCATCCCCTCGCACCGTCCACCACACCTCCACCCACGCCTGCGACCGCCATGGCCCTCTCTGGCACGCCTGCAGACCGCGATCCCGCCTCTCGTGCCCCCGACGACGAGGTCACCCTGTCCGGCGAGCACCTCGTCGTCCGCAGCCTCGAGGATGTCCGCGAGCCCGTTGACCCCCGCCTCTCTCCCGACGACAGGCCCGACAACGAGCGCCTCGACGAGAGCTACGCCCACCAGGTCGACGACTACATCCACCACCGCGATCACCACCTCCACAAGACCGCGACGACGGAGAAGGAGAAGGGCAAGTCGGACGCGGCCCTCCAGGATGGTCGGGCGAAGAGCCGCTCTATGTCGAGTTTGAGAAGGGCGACAAGCGTGATCCGGCCAACTTTTCGCCCATGCGCAAGCGCGCCATCCTTCTGACAGGCTGTTTGTTTGCGGTACTGGTCGGTGCGTGTGCTCCATCCATCCCTATTCGCACGTGCGGTCTGACCTTCGTATCCTAGCCTCGTCTTCTTCTGCCTTTGCGCTCGGTTTCGCATCCATGGAGCGCGACCTGAATTGTACGCACTTCCAAGCAACCCTCGGCATCTCGCTATACGCCCTCGGTTTTGGCATCGTCCCCCTCGTCACGGCATCCTTCAGCGAAGAGTTCGGCCGGCAACCGCTGTATCTCTGGAGCGGTGTCGGCTTCCTACTCTTCACTATCGCCACTGCAGTGTGAGCGCTCCCACGTCCTCGCTGTGATTGCTGAGACGCTGACCAGTTCGCAGAGGGAAGAACATTCAGACGGTCCTCGTCGCACGATTCTTCGCAGGTGCCTTCGGCTCTACGGGTTCAACCATGGTTGGGGGCACCGTCGCGGATATCTTCGCACCTCATGAGTGCGTCTTCCCGTTTCGCCGCCATGCGCGCTTGCTAACCGGATGCCTGTAGACGAGGGTCAGCGATGGCCTCATTCGCCGCGGCCGCCATCGGCGCTACAGGCGTCGGCTCCTTGATGTCCGGCTGGATCGAGCAGAACAGGCACCTGGATGGCGCTGGATTCAGTGGATTCACGCTATGTATGGTAGTACCCTCCTTCCGTCCGTGGAGCGTGTGCTTAAGCTCTTCTCGTTGCAGCATCGCCGGCATATTCGTGCTCTGCGTGCAGGTGTTCATGACGGAGACGCGCACGTCGGTGCTGCTGGTGCGCCTGGCGAAGAAGATCCGGAAGGAGACGGGGAACCCGCGCTACCGCGCACGCGTCGAGGACGAGAGCGCGAGCCTGAGCACGCTCATCTACGTGTCGTGCACGCGGCCGGTCTGTGAGTGGTCTTCCGCGGGGTGTGTGTGCGAGGGACGCTGACGGGCGCGCTGCCTTATAGACCTGCTCCTGACGGAGCCCGTGATCATGAGCTTCACGGTGAGTGCCCGACGCGGCTTCGCGCATCTGGCTTCGCCGGCGGGTGACTGACTTGTCTGTGCAGCTGTGGGTGGGCTTTGCGTGGGGCATCCTCTACGTCATGATCGAGTACGTCCCTCCCTGCGTTCGATCGCAGCTTCGACGCTTCGAATGAGCGCCCGGCTGACGCGGTGTTGGCTTGCAGGTCGATTGGCCCGGTGTTCCAGACGCTGCATGGGTTCGGTCCTGGCCAGGTAGGATCCGCCTACATCAGCATAACGTGCGTCGTCCCGCCTCCACTGCGCTGTGTGCTGCGAGGCTGAACCGCTGTGTGCGATGTAGGATTGGCGCGCTGCTCGGACTGGCCACGAACACGATCCAGGAGAGGCTGTATGCGAAGAACGTGGCGACGCGGGGCCCGGAGGCGCGGCTGTACGCACCCATGGTCGCCGCGATCCTCTTCCCCGCGGGCATGTTCATCTACGCGTGGTGCACGTACGCGCGCGTGAACTGGATCGCGCTCGCGATCGGCATCGTCGTACGTCCCCCTCCTTCGCCCCCGCTTCCCAGTTAAGCTGACCTTAGACTCGTGCAGCTGATCATGTGGGCGCTGTTCATCATCTACCTCGCGGTGTTCACGTACCTCGCGGACTGCTACGGGCCCTGGGCGTCCTCCGCGCTCGCGGGCCAGAGCCTCTTCCGGAACCTGATGGGCATGGCGTTCCCCATGTTCACCACGCAGATGTTCAGCAGGCTCACGTACCACTGGGCGAACACGATCTTCGCCCTCATCGCCGTCGCCATGATCCCCATCCCGTTCGTGAGTCGTCCGTTCCGCGACTGTGCGTGCGGCTCTGTGCTGATGCGGCGGTTGGGTGGCGTAGATCTTGTTCTATAGGGGACCGGCGATCCGGCGGAGGGGACGGTTCTCGGGACAGGCGATGCGGCTGCAGCAGCGGAAGGAGGAGGAGACGAAGCTCGGGAACGAGGAGATAGGGAAGGAGCTGAGCGAGAAGGAGGAGGAGAGGGAGAAGGAGATGGAAAAGGCGAAGCAGGAAGTGTGAACGCCCGACGCTCGGCCGCGGCGTGTTATCGCGTCCGCCTTCCCTCCGGCCTGGAGATGACGCGCCCTCGTCGTCGTGTGCGCGTCCATGACGAGCCCATCCGCGGCCCCTCCGCAGAGACCGGTCCGGCTAACTTATTCGCCCTTTCCGTCTCTCCGTCTCCGCCCCGCAGTAGTACATCCTGGTTCAAGTTCCCCCCTCGCATCATATCGCACTGCACTCTGCCCCACCCCGCACGCTCGGTCCATTCGATAGACGGTTGCATTCAAATCTCTTACTTACTAGTACATGTAGCAGGACTCGAGAGACCTCACCATCCATCCCCATAGACGACACTGGGACTCGGCGTCGCTGGTTCCCATGGACACGCATCTAATCACAGTTGTATCCATACGGTCACGGTAGTCATGTCCGCCCACGCTTTTAATGCATCGTTTCTCAATTCGACTTGCGCCGAGGCTTTCGGCTGCACTTACATACTTACAGTACGTTTGTACGCGTGTGGAGTCGATCCGAGTCTGAAGTTGACTCATTTGAGTGCCATCTCGCTAGTACTCATCCATGAAGCTTTGAAGTTGTGCGGTGACGGGGTACGACATCCATGTACTACGAGACCATCCGAGCGGCCCGGGGTCGGATGGGTGACGTATGGCAGGAAAGTGACCCCAAGAATATTGCCATGCCTCATCAAATTGGACACGACCGGGACATGTAACTTGCCACTGGCAGCCGGTGGCCATGGATGCTACTTGGTCTCACCATGACCGTGACGGTGCACCAGCATCAAATTCGATATCCCACTCTGCTCGGAGATGCGCCTTCCGTTGCGGACACAGATCCGCGGGCGAGCGAGCGGGTAAACATGGGTGCTAATAGGAGGATCTGATCGATCATGGACCCCAAGGCGACTCGCGAGGAAAGGATTATCCCAGGCACAGTATTGCCAAAGGAGCAAGTAGCAGCAATGTTACCGGAGGCGTGGTGCGACGAGCCCACTGAACACGTGTAAGGTCCATCAGATTGAACGCATTGACTGGGATTGCACAGACAGGAAGACAACATGAGTAGTTCAATTGGTTCTCAATCTTAAGTTAAGTTACGGTGAGACGAACCTTAGAGGCATGGGTTGGAGCTGTCTCCTGTCTTCGTCTCTTGCGGCCGGACTCTCTGCATCCCAGGCTTCCGGGATTCGAACAACAGCGGGTCCATTGCGATCTCGCTTCGTGACTGAGAATAGAGCTTGCAAAGAACTTGAATGTCTTTCGACGTTAACTGTATGTCAAGTCCGTCGATGCGGGGTATGTACAAAGCAAGACAGCGATTAGCATGTTCCATATATCTATGCAGCAGTCACCTAAGCCATATACAAACGCCATACTTGTCCTCCGGTCTTCGTAGGCTGCCCTTCGGCCCACCTACGCCCTCAGAGGGCACTCGTCGCACACATTCCAGTGCGGCTCACTCCTCAGTCGACGCCTCGTGTGTAACCTCCGTATGTGCGGACGCCATCATCGCCATCATCTGGAAGTTGAAGCTCATGTGCTTCGTCTCCTCGCCGCCCCTCATCTCCTGAGCGTACCGCCCCCAATTGACCCACCACTCCTCCGCCTCGTCCGACGCGACGTAGCCGAAGACCCATGCCATCTCCTCGAAGTTCTCCTTCGTCATCCCCTCGTCCCACTCGTCTGCGCTGCTCTTGCGCATGTCGCATCCCGCGCGTCTCGCGCGGGCCTGGCGGCGTCGCGACCATGCGCGCGTTCTTGATGTCCGACGACTTCACGATCGCGCAGCGCTCCTCGCGGAGCTCTTGGTACGCGGAGAGGAAGGACGGCACCTGTTCCCAGGAGGCGAGCCGCGCGAAGAGCGTGCCGAAAAGCACGGCGTCCTCGAGCGCGATGCTCACGGAGTGCGTGCCTCCGGGCTGTGCCAGCAGAAGGGTCAGCGTATATCGAGGAGCATGCATTGGACACTGACCTGCCATGGATGTGCCGACTCGCCTATGAGCACGATCCTGCTCGTGTCGTCAAACCAGCGCTCGATACCCTCTGGCCGCTTGAGTGACGATGGACGACTCAACGGCGCTGACGAGACAGAGCCCGAGTCCGAAAAGTCGTCTTCGTATTCCGGCCTTCGCATCAACCGCGTACGTATGAGGTGTGGTGCGAAGCTCAGGAGCTTCTGCACTCTGTTCGGATGTGAGAGGTTAAGTGATACGTATGAGGCTTATCTCGCTCAGCCACTTACATTGGTGCGTGGCTCGAAAAGTCAAGGCTGTTGACAGGTACGAGGTCCTCCCATGTCTCTTCACCGGCGGGAGGATTCACATCACCTTCCCAAGAGTAAATGTGGAGACCGAAGTCCTTGTGGCCCCTCTAGGTCGGACGCATGAGACACATGCCCACATTTCAGCCATGGGGTACTCACCACAGGATGTCCTGGGATCGCTCTGATGGTCAGCGATGGTCCGCGATGTGCATGCTGAAGATGATTGGCGTACCACATATGCTACGATTATTGCCCATCCATATCGGCCAATCAGGCGACTCTAGCCACTGCCGCATCTCCGGATCTTCCCTCATCTTCTCGCCCGGTATCGTAGTGGTGTACACCGTCAGGTAGCTCGGCTCCACGATGTCTTCCCGCCCGAGGACGGTCTTGCGGACGATGCTCCGCGGGCCATCTGCGCCAATCAAGAAGTCCGCGGTGATGACCTCGCCTGTTGAGAGCGATACGCTCGGGTTGGGTACCTTGTCCGAGCCTTGATGGACGGCGACAACTTCGGTTTCGAAGTCGACGCGCACGCCGACGGACGTCGCGAGCTCGTAGAGCAGTCTATGGAGGTCTTCATGCTAATGAAAAATATGAGCGTCCGTATCATTTTGAGGGGGCGAACATACGTACGTGCATGACCAGGAAGTCGCCGCCAAGTTCCCTCATGACGTCGGCCTTCCAGTGGAGGAACCCGACATATTTGCCATCATCGTCCACTGCGCGGAAGACTCAAAGTCAGCATTTGGCCATGGCCGCCAACCCGGCAAGCGGGTTACGTGCAGGCGAACACACGTAATAGAACGGGAACTTGATTTCTGCCGGGAGCGTTCTGGGTTGGGGAAGCGGGTTCAGAGGAAGCCTCCCTCGCACGACGGCGTTGATGTCCCAGCAAGTCGCCAGCCCGACAGTCCCGCTGCACCTGAGCTGTGCTCCGAGACTGTCGGAACGCTCTCGACGACGCGAGACGTGTGCTGGAAACTGGTTGGGAACACCCCGCGGCTATTGCGGACCGTGTCTGCCGTCCCAAACGCCGTCACGCACCCGCGGGGGCGGGCCGTAGTGTCGGCAGGCACCGCGACGATCGGGCGAACAGGCGGAGGCAGATCGCGACGCAGATCGCGCGCACATGGTTCCTGGCGCCACCAGGGACTCGCCTCGCGTGCCACAGGATCCGCAAGGGTCCCCGCGTAACTGTGGGAGGACGACGAAAAGAACTCACAGTGACGGAGGGGCGTCCCAGCGCAGGGGATGCCGATGCGTAGCAGCTCTTCGCGGGGCACCCATTGCGCGAGCAGCTTGCTCACGTTGGGGGGCACCCGTATCCCGCCTGCGGGAACGCCAAGTCCACGCTTCTCGATGACGCGCACGCGGTGCCCAGCTTCTGCGAGCGCGAACGCGACTGTAAGACCAGCAAGCCCTGTGCAGGCAATGCTCAGCTACGGAGTCGAGGATTGAGGAGGGAGAGAAGACCATCCGAGTGCGTCTGGATGATCACTGATCGACGGAATAATCTGCCAATCATCACTCACCACCGCCGACGACAAGAAATTCTACGTCCAGCAGAGCACTACTGTCGGAGGAAGACATGGGTTGGAGGTAGCTCGCGACGCGCGGGGCGGACTGCAATATATATTTGTCCCCGTTTCAGTTTATGGCCACGAGTCGGCAAAACGCTACCGGCGATTGCCATTGCCTTTTGTTTCTGGCAACGTACAAGAACGTGGTGTGGATAAATATCACGGTTTCTCAAGTTTCTAGACCCGGCGGCAAAGAAGCTTGTGCATCCGGATAACGTCCCCGTAGAAGCTTCCCCTCCCGAACACAGTCGGCTAAAGTCGCCCAAATGGGCAGGTGTCGTGTTCAGGATTGGTTAGCCTTGAAGCTTGAGGCTTGAGGTCTCGCGGCAATAATGTGCGCACGTAGGCGCAATACTTGGTCGCCAAGGTGACATATGTAATGCCAATGGTACTATGGTCACCAATCGCGGTGTTCTCGCTGTTGGCAGCATTCGCGGCACAGATTCGAAGGATGGTATTGGGCGCCGACCCCTTTGACTCGTTTGGTCGTCAGCTCGCGGTCGTCTTGGGAGAATCGCGCTGGATGAATCTTGTGGTTAGAAGTACAGGATGAGGTGAAACCATACATGAGACGTAACAACTAATTTTTCGTGGCTAGACACCGAGAAAAGTGCGCATAGGCGGAGCGTGTCGGTCTTGGTGTGTCTGGGGCGTTCCCATAGGATTTTACCATATCGAGGAATGTCGAGGGCCAGCGAGACGGAGATTTACGGCAGAGGTCAGCTGGCAGAGGATGCCGATCGCTCGACGAGAAGGCAAGGGTCCGACGACCTCCGCCTGTGCCCGCTTTTTTCGGGTCCATAGCAATATGGAACTGACTGAAACATAGGAGTGTCATAAATCTCAAACGGTCCAACTGCATCTCGAGGATCGCACCAGATCGCACCCTTGAATGTCAGTGGAAGTCGCGGGGTCGCGAGGGGCATGAATGGGACGTACCGTCTCTTCGCCTGCTCCGTCTCAAACAATATGACCAAGCCGGGTTCTCTGCGGTTCTTGAGCCAGGGTCAGTGGGTACGCTGGAGATTGCCGTTGAACGCCGTGACGCCTTTTGGTATAGTCTGTCATCAACGCGTCAACGATGGTCCATTCAACGGGCCACTTCGTAATACGGACAAACGCGCTACACCACAATGCAGGTTAGTCTAAGTCAGTACGCATTCGTGAAGGTGCTCCGAGTCTGAGGGCAAGACTTGCGGGTGAGAACACGTACCTACACATGTTCTTGTACGCGGCACTGTCTGGATTGTCAGCGTACGCTTGGGTTCAACGTCAACGGGCAATAACTCACTGGCACTAGCCTTTCATGGCTGAGCGTTAGTACAAATCTCAAGAAGCCGGCTTCGTACCAACACGCTTTTGATGACACTAACCGAATCGTGTCTGTTGAGGGTGGTAAAGAGCATGCCGGACTTCGTGGTGAGCCAAGTAATACGGCAGCCTCGTCTGTACTTCCCTTTGACTTTCCTGTCTTGCCATCTGCTGCATCACGGAAATGCACTGTCTACAGAGATTGTACGCTCGGAGTGACAAGGGATGGATCAAAAACAAATACTGTGGTGGGATATTTGACCTCAACGAGCATTGCAGACGAAGAGCTGAAGACGATGAGATGATGCAAGGACATGTGAGTGGTACAGATTCAGAAGTGGCGTTGTGGCGACAGGCAGCTATCCACTTCGACTGGAGTCCAAACTCGCCAGATCCGTTGTCGTTGGCAGGCCGTGGGTGGGCCAGAGGCGGTCGCAAGCTGTGAAGCGGGGCCGACGACGGATATGTTCCTCCGGGTGGTGATGCTGCATGCAGCGGATCATCGAACGACGCCCGGATAGCGGTTGCGGCTGTCGTCACGTGAGGCGCCCGTTTTGTCGAGAGGGAGGGCGACTGGAAGCGTGCCGTTGTGTGCTGTCGACCTCCACCTCGTCCCCCTAATGCCCGTTATGCCTTTCTCATTTAGCTTTACGCTCGCAGTTCCTGGTCTCACCAACCCGTTTTCCAACCCTCCAGAGCCCGAACCTCTGCCGCCACAGCCAAGATTAGCCAGCCTTGACGCCGGAAGCAACAAGCAGGGATATAGAGATATAACTCCTGTCAATCGCCGTGCGCCTTCTCCATCTCTACAGCCTCCACTGTCCCGCAAGAGAGGATGGGTGCCATCGGCTCCTGAATACAGTTCCCCTATCGCGAGTCCGACGTCTACCAGTGGTTACCTTGACACGCCTGCGAAGTATAGGGAGATGGCGTCCGCCTACAGTGAAGACGGGGTGGAGGAGATGGTCGCAGGTGAGTGTGTGATCCGTCCTGTATGCGTGCGCATCCACGATTCCAGCGGGAATACATGCCGGGTCTGATATGCGGGCGCGTGCAGTCCTCGACGTCGGGCATGCGGCCTGCACGTGTCCGCGTGTAGGCATTCATGAGGGGCGGGCTCCTACCTCTCATCCATGAAATCCTGCCCGCATACACGCATCCCAACGTCTCTTAAAATGCTCGCCGTAGTCATTGTGCCATCTCCCATGTCCAACACACTTACTTTTCATGTATCGATAGACTTGCCTCCGCCCAAGCGCCGGCGCACGCTTGCTGGTTCCATCGTCTCAACTGCGTTGAGTGCAGCCCTCATAGGGACTGCCGTAGGCCTTACCGTGTATCGCCTGTGAGTCTTCTGAAGATATTGTTAGGTGTGAAAATGTCGGTCTGACGTCTTCGAACTCATAGTTGGAGAGATCGGGGCAAGGCACCCGAATCACTCCTTCCTCCTCCATACGAACAAGGTGAATGGCTACCACCAAAGGTACGTCAAAAAGTATGTGAGCCGAATCCATCGTTAGTGCTGACTGCACTCTCAGCCCAATCAGTTCCATGCTTCTCCTGTACCGGTCACTCAAGTCACCCCTCCTACACCCCGCTCCTCCCGAAAGAGTCGTCATGTTGCTGGCCGACGGACACATCGGCATCGCAAAGTCGGCCCTAGAGCAGGTCCCAGCTCTATCTCTTCTCACACTTCGACTGCTGCGCGTGCGCCCATTCCTCCGGAGTTCAACTTCGGCGCACCAGCACCTGTTGAGCCTGAAGAAGGCGAAGCGGACGACCAGGTACGGCTTTCCGTCGTTGAATGTATTGTGGCAAGACATTTAAACTCTCTATTTCAGATGTCTTGGATGGGAGGCCGACTTGCAGCCCTCATTGCGGAGGGTCAGCGTGCTCTTGGCAAGGAAGTCGTCGTCATGAGCGAGGCACAAGAAGACGAAGAAGATGACGGTGGCGACGGATGGATCGAAGAAGACGACGGTCACAGTGTCGCCTCTTCTACACGGACAAGCAGGCGCAGATGGAATGCCAGTCCCCCGCCCTACTCGACCTCTCGTCGCGGCTCCCCGTTCCCTAGCGCCTCACCCCGACGCACTACATTCGACCTCGCTCCCTCATACAACGGCTCTTCAAGCATGTCCATTCAAAGCTCGCCGCGCCGTCATGGTCGTGACGTGTCGGCGGAGCCAGACGCTTTTGCCAGCCGCAGTTTCATCGAGGACGAGTCGCAGTGGCAGACCCCCGAGCTTAGGGAAGCCATGGAGCGTGCGCGTCAGCTTCGCAGGCAAGACTATCCTTGACACACTCCGACTGCTTCAGAGTTGCAGCCCGCACGACTAGACATGACCGAAATGTTAACCTTTAACGCTCTGTATTATTATTGTACCTAACGCATTGCATTCTCGCAGCTTTACTTCGAACCTGAAACTGTTATCTATCATTGTAGCACCCCGCATAGCATTCCCCTTCTACTTCGCACATATTGGGCTCTCGTCGTTCCAATTGTCACTTGAACTTCATTGTGTACTGCCTGTTCTGCAAAGTTTGAATAGAAATATAGTCATTCGGAAGACAGCTGAGCGCGTGTGACACGAACTGTGAGTCTCGAGAGTGCGGGCCAGGTGCGGGCTTTCGCTGCTGACTGATCATCGCGTTTGAGAAACAGCTGGTCTGTACGGTGTACCGAAGGCCGTGACCGTGTCGAACGCCGCCGCGGCGCGCTCGTATAGCCCCAGATAGCCGCTGGACGTCCACTGCCTACCCCGTCCTCACCGATTTCGTCAACGCTATCAACCGTTCTCTGGGTCCTATCCACGTCAGTGTGATCCTTAAGACGAGCTGCAGAGGGGCAGACGTCTAGGTGCTGCCGGCTTGAGCCGCGGAGTCACCCACCATGTCGACCATATCTACTCAGCTGCGCAACTTCAAGGAGCCGACGAAGGACCAGCAGACGCAGCTGTTCTTCGCGCTTCCACCGGACAAGCCGCTGGGCGAGAAGGATGTAGAGTTGGAGAAGATGGAGTGCCAGGCGTCGCTCGTCCTGTCGGGCGAGGAGGTGTTCGTGAGTGGTACTCGCTTTGGCCGGCGCGCTCTCTCATCCCGATTCACTTTGGCGCGGCGTTGTGACACTAGGCGGGGAAACTGCATCTGCTGCCGCCATACTTGGCCTTCTGCTCGTCGGACCGCAAGAGCGCGCGGTTCACGATCCCGCTAGGTACCATTCGCAGGGTCGAGAGGCTTAATGCTCGTGCCGGGGTGTACGCCTTGAGCTTGTCATTGTATCATGGCATGAAATTCGTACGTATCTTCCATGTACAAAGCTGGGACCCATGTGCTGAAGGGGACGTGGTCTTCCAGGTGATCCACATTACATCATTACGACCTACCGCCGATCTCTTCTGCTCCTTGCTCCGTGACGCGCTCAAAGTCGAGTTGCAGCGGGGCCGCATGAAGACGGTGAAGCCGTTTGTGAAGGTATGCTACTCAGAGGTGCTCGTGGCATCCGCAGAGAGCGAGGAGAAGGAGGCAGAAGCGGCGAAGACGGACGACAACTCCTCTATTAACGATTCGGCGTATCTTGGAGGGTTAGGCTTGAAGTTCAAGTTCCCCGGTGACCCAAAGAAGTGAGTTTTCTGTTAAAGCTTGTCAAGACACTCGCTTAGCGCGATATAGACTGCGCGAGGCTTCCAAAACCAAGCTGTGGACAACCTACCTGAAGTGTGAGTGGACACAATTATGACAAGTCGCTCGTGCCAATACTCCACCTCCAGCCCATGGTCGGAATCTGACCCTCTTCCGTTATGCCCAATGTACACGCCTCGTACAGGTCGGCTTACCCAACAGGTTAAGAGGAGAGATGTGGGAGACACTCGTAGGCTCCTTGTACCTCCGATACGAGAATCCGGGGTATTACGAACAGATTCTCAAAGAGAACGAGGGGAGGACAAATACTGCGACGGAGGAGATCGAGAAAGACTTGCACCGAAGTCTTCCTGAGTACTCAGCGTACCAGTCCGAGGAGGGTATTTCGTCTCTACGAAGAGTGCTACAAGCCTACTCCTTCAGGAACCCAGAGACTGGATACTGCCAGGTAACTCAAATAGTCGCGTTTCGTCTTCTAGATACTCATTGTCAACAGGCCATGAACATCCTCGCTGCAGCGATCTTGATGTAAGTCCGCCAAAACGCGTGTATGAGAAACTCACAGCGAACACAGTGGGGCAGTTACATGTCGGAGGAGCAAGCGTTTTGGCTACTAGAGGTTATTTGCGACCGTCTTCTGCCGGGTTACTACAGGTCTGTCAGCGGATGGTCCCCACGCTCGACCTGCTGCTTATGCAATTCCCAGCCCATCCATGCATGGCACCTTGCTTGACCAACGGGTGTTTGAAGCGCTTGTCCACCGATGCCTTCCAATTCTGTACGACCACTTCCAACAAGTCGATGTACAGCTCTCGGTTGCGTCTTTGCCGTGGTTCCTCAGTTTGTAAGACAATGTCCATGCAGTAGAGAACTCATACATTTAACAACATCCAGGTTCATCAACAGCATGCCCATGGTCTTCGCCTTCCGGATCATTGACTGCTTCTTCTGCATGGGCCCGAAAGTGCTGTTCCAAGTGGGGTATGTACCATGTCCTTTCGTGAATTCTGTGAATCGCTGATCACGACTGCTAATTCAGACTTGGTCAGTTGCATCTCACAGTAGCTCCTGCAGCGTATTGATACTGCAGATCAGCGATATTGAAGATCAACGGAGAAGAGCTATTGCAGATCCAGGATGACGGTGGTTTCATCCAGTGAGTTACGACCGGATGGCAAGCATCGTCATTCGTGGCGAGATCTAATTTTTCGCGCAGACTGATGCGCGAATACTTTTCGAAGCTCGGCGAATCAGCGCATCCTGAGTCGTCTGACCCTCGTGCTCGCGCCATCACGAGGTTCCAGGAGCTCCTGCTCGTGTCATTCCGAGAGTTCGCGGTGATTACTGACGACACTATCGTCGCGGAACGACGAAGGTATCGATCAGAAATCGTGAACAGCATCGAGTCGTTCTCCAAACGCTCCGCGGTCCGGAACCTCAAGACGCTGGCTCGCTTCACGAAGGAGCAGGCGGGATTGATCTACGATGCTCTCTTCAAGGCCATCTGTGTGATCCCTCCACCGGCAACGGTTTTCCCTACTCCAGCGCTCTTGACAACAAAGGATGGCTCCGAAGAACGGCCTGAGACACGCATCGGTCTTCGGACATTCAAGGTGTTCCTCAGTGAGATCTGTACGTGGGCCAGAGATGAAAGGGTTGTCACGAATGGCGTGTCGGTACGTGATGGACAGTCGCGTTGTGTGTCCTAGACCTGACCCGTCCACAGTCAAGAATAGAGCGCGACGTCGCAGACCATGAGCTCATCGACCGCTTATTCTTCTTCTGGGACACATCCTACCGAGGCGCACTCTCCTTCCAGGTGAGCTCTCCGACATGGGTTTCGCCTGCATCGTTTTGATTGTCAGCGTAGGACCTCGTCAATGGCTTGGACGGTGTCATGTTCAACGATCTCATGGAAAACATCGAGTGGTTCTTCAATCTGCATGACAAGAACAAGGATGGGTACTTGACCAAAGACGAAGTGCTGACGCTGTCCGAGTCTCTCCTAGTAAGTATGACCTTCTCGTTGACTCTTGTCCGCTCATCGGCCTTTCGCAGTTCATCTTCCGGTTTGAAGTTGGCGATGCATACTTAGGAGCCGTCAGCCGCTTTATGTCGAATGCCTTCGAGTACGGCGACGCTCTCCTCCCCCGACAGGATGGTGCGGAACCCAACAATGACTCGCCTCCACCACAAATAGAGTCCAATCAGCCCTACATGAACCTGGCGACGTCAGTTTTGTTGTCTGCCCATCGTGACGATGTACTAACGCTTGGTGTAGATTCCGTATGGTGGTTCTCGCGGACGAGATTCTAGAGTCGTTCTTCGAGACCGACTTTGACTCCACCTTCAGGCTTGAGCCTGTTCCATTGGACTTGCCATCATCAAATCCTTCAGTGCTCGGGTCTCTCTGGTCCAACATCGCATCAGATGACAACCGCAAGTTCTTCAACATCGTCACCGACCAGATCGGTCGGACGATCGGCAAGCACCAGGTTGGTCGTGTCATGCTATCTCATGTCAGTCAAAGACTAATGGCCCACAGGTGTATCATCGCCCGGCCATCGGCAAGATCACCTCGCTGGAGGAGCCGAAGGCTCGTGAATCCCTCCTTACCCCGACGATGCGTCACTCAACATCTCAAACGAGTCTCAATAACGGGGCTTCGGATTCGGATCTTGCCACGCCCTCTGTCTCTACTTCGTCCTCCCTCCTTACCGTGGATACTCCTACGCCCAAATCGAAGCTGACGTCTGCTGAGTACTCACCCATGCCGAGTATGTTGCAGGCTGCCGCGAACGCAGCGGCGTACATGGAGCGTACGCCGTTCGCCATCGACGATGCGAAGGACGACGAAGAGGACACGGATGATGAAAGCGGAGTGGAGGATGACGGTGTCATGGATGAAGTGAGTCGCCTAGACTTATGTACAGTGATGGAGTGCTCAATTGTGCATTAGGTCGATGCTTTCCTTGAGGAGCATGATACAGGCCTTACCGATGCTGACAGAGAGCTAGCTAAAGGTCCGTATCACTTGGGCTGCCCATGAGTTCAGATCTAATACCCACCCTCTTGCTAGATCTCATCAACGCAGAACCAGTATGATAGGCTGTCCGCTGTCCCCGGACTCGTCTCGAACATCGTCTTGTCGCTTTTCCACATGCTATATAGCTTTACAGGTTGTAACAGTATCTACAGGCGTTCATAACAGACATCAATGCATATTACACTATTGTTATACAATCCACAAAGCACGGGGAGCGACTAACTTCACAGAGCGCAATATAGCTCGATCGAAATGGTGGACGTTTAGGTCCTGCGGTCAGTCCAGATCCGGACGGTGAGGTCGGATTCCATAGATGCTGATGCAATCATGTTCTGCTGAGGGTGAGTCTGCGGGACCGCACGTTAGTGATACATACGTGGTAAACAAGGTTGTCAAGGGCTCACAGCAACGGCGACCACGACATCTATGGGCAACTGGTCATCAGTAGCTGCTGTGCGTTTATTTCCACGAAACTAACCTGTATGCCCTTCGAGCACCTGGACGACCTCCCGGCTTTGTAGGTCCCAGAGATAGGCTTTGTTGTCTTCGCTGCCAGAGACGATCCACTTGCCGCCGGTTACGCTGAAGCACGCCGCAATGCAGTATTTTTCGTTTTTGTGTCCCATATACGTCTTAAGACAACGTGACGTCTGGTAGTCCCATAGGCGAATAGCGCTGTCATGCGCAGTCGATAGGATGTATTTTGAATTCGGTGAAAATTGTACGTGCTGACTGTAGAAGCGTTCAACAGGGATATTGTCAGTCAAGCATAAATGAAGACTTTACCATATTGCGTCATGTCCTTCGGCGAGGGTCTTGAGACATTGACCGGTATCGGCGTCCCAGATTCGGCTACGAAACTCTATGGTCAAACACTCATACAAGAACGATTGCCTGTTCAAGCTCACATCAAGCCGTCCAAAGCGCATGATACGATGTGACTTGCGTCTCTGCTGAAGTGTACAGCAGTCACATAGTCTAAGTGTGCATGTATAGTTTTGACGCATTTTCCTGTAGATAATGTTCGCCTTAGCGATACCTACAGAGGAGAGTGCCAGCATACCTTTCGGCATGGTCCAAATTCTCACGTCGCCTTCGCAGCCTCCGGAAACAAGCAACGTTGACGACGTGTTATAGTTCACACAGAAGACGAAACTAGAGTGCCCTCTCAAGGTCCTCGTTGTCAACCCCTGTGAGCATGACTTGAGTATGAGACGTTGACCAACGAATTACGTCCACGCACAGAATCAACGTCCCAAATGCGGATTGTTTGGTCGTCGGAAGCAGAGGCAAGGTATACGCTATCAGCGGACCATGATATGTCAGAAAGGCCTTTTGTATGGCCATTTAGATTCCGGATGAGTTCTCCAGTGAAGGGTGACCAGATCTTCACCGCTTTATCGTTGCCTGCAACATAAGTTTGACTCAGCACGGTCCCAGATGGTCTCAATCAGTTATAATTGGAGAAACCTACTGCAAGATGCTAGGAATGTCCCGTCAGGGCTAAACTTAACGGCAGAGATTGACGATGTATGTCCCCGCATAGTGTGGCGCAGCTCATAATGCGGACGTTCGCGAGCGCTGCCAGCTGCGGGCGCAGACGGAGGGGGGGCTGGTGGCGGGGCCGGGTCCTGCCTTTCAGGCACTTGGGGGTCATCTTCGGTAGTTTGCGATGCAGCATCGTCGTCCGTGGACGACTCATCCAGTCCTTTTAGGGGATCCATTGATGAGAGCACGTGGGAGGTGGTAGCACTCCGGAAAAGGCTACGCCTTCTGAACTTAACAGATACAAACAAACAGCAACCCGTTTGGGTAGTAGCGACCAGGTAAGTAGCGACCATTCGTTGACTACGGCTCTTGGCAGATGCGAGCACATGCTGTACCCGAATGTATTTGTATGAGGTCGTTGAATCCAGTGCCTTTCCGAGAGTGGCCAGTGAAGGCTTCGATGTCTGTCTGACTTATATGCCTGACGATGAGCTTGGTATGTGATTCTTCGCAACTCTAGTAGCGTACTACCCGTATTAATTTGAAGATCCGTGCCCTGCTCCCTTCTAATCAGGTATGAAATGATTCGGATGTCACGAAGATGTCTATGACGGATATATAAGTCACATAAATCAAGCAGGCCTGCGATAATGCGGACACTAAGGACGCGTAAGTATGAGCCTTCAAGTTGCCGTTGAGCCCAAAACGTCTCCCGTGCTTTTGCTGAGTATCAGTCTCAGTAGTTCAACTTTTGCATCGTTTTGCAGGGTAGATGAAGTACTATTGTCGCCGCCGTTGCGACTCAAGATGAACTGAGTCGCAGATCTCGCTAGATGAAAGCTTGTTGGACATTGCGCGCTTCTGCTTCGGGGCCCTGGAAGCCTGGTGGACTGACGTGAATGGCATAGTTTGACGGACGACTGCAACAGGCACCGTGAAGGTTGATCCGGGTTTCCGATGCAACTACTTACTAGGTCAATTTCGAAACGCCACAACTACTACGTACGTCGAATCCGGTATGTCGAGCCTGCTGAGTAGCCCCACATTCACCTACCTTCATTGCTATATAGCTGATTTTTGTCTAAGCCCGTAAAGGCAAATGCCCGTCGCGCGATCCCACCAACATGGGTTCCGCAGCAGGGCGTCAGTGCAGATGTGAGCACCTTCCAGTGTCCATGACTCCGCACGATGCATTCTTCCTCATGCACAGCAGGGTCGTCGACGGGCATGCACAGTCGTGAACTCGGCCTATAAAAGCACTAGCATTCGCCATGGCCCTCAGCAACTCGACCAGACTCGAAGCCCCAAACCTCATAACCCAAGGCTTATACAACTGACTCAAGATGCCTTTCCGCATGACGAAGGGCGAAGCCTGTGCAATACCTGGCGTGGTGCAAGACCTGCGAGAAAACTGGACAATTGAATCATTGCTCCTCAGGACCCATGGCAACGAAGATGTCGCTCAACAAACCTACTACATGTCGCCGTTCGCCGCCCTCAATGACGGTACAATCGGACCTCTTCCGAGTCAACCAATGGCAACTCCCGTACCGCTGGTGTCCCTCCCAGAGACTCAGTGGACTTGTCCCGTGTGTGGTATGTCGTTTTCTCGGGAAGACACGTACAGACGACACGTGAAGACCCATTGAGGCCTGCGTGGTTATAGGTGAGTTTACGGTCGAGCCATACAATTAGATTGATGTACTGAAAGTCTTTTTCAGGGGCATCATAGACTGTCTACCTTGTCCTTGACAAGTCTGTGATGCCGCCGTGGTGACAGCTCGCTTACTCGGTGCCTCCTTGAAGTGCCCGTCGCACTGGTCCTCTGTCTGCTGCTTTGTATTATAATCAGATTTGTCCTTGTAGCGATATTATTTCCCATTTTAATGTATTCGATGATATTCACACGTCTTAGTCCAATGCACCATGATTAAGGAGATATATGTAGTCTTCGCATCCCGTCCATGGAGTCACTGGCAGTGCCAGTGTATAATAGACTAGTTCGATGCTTGGGTATAATGTGCCTCGCCTCACTCGAACGCTTGGCCTGAGATTTCAATTCAAGAGCTTTGAGCGTGTTAGATGTTTGACGAGTCGAGAACGCATGCTCGTACCGCAGCAAGTTGAGCAGAGTGCTCTCGAGGGGCACTGAGAAGAACCCGGCCAGTCATGGTGGCCATTACCGGGCCGATGCGCCGGCGTGTGGCAAGTTGACCGTTATTTGCTGAGTACGCCTCGGCCGTCTACTCGAGTCTCGGGGAGCCATGCTCCAGGAATCGCCTCAACAGAGTCAGCTTTAGTAAGTCGACGGTGCATGATTGAAAGTCGGCCTCGCGCCAGCGCAAGACCTCCACATTGTCTTTCCACGCCTCGGACGACGTCGCGATGATATCGCCGTTGGGCTTGATGTGGACGGGAAGCAGCACGCCTCCGTTCGTGTTCATTGCAGTCGCTTCGCCTCGCGCCGCGAGTCGCGCGCCCTGAGACGCGAGTCGCGCGCCCTGGACTGAGACGTGAGGGGAGGGTGACCCGGCCGGGGACCCGGCCGTTCCAGAGGATGTCGCAGAGCAAGGCCATAGTGAGGTAGGCTTCTACTTACTATGGCGACAACGACCTTGCCGTCAGCGTACCACAGGTAATACTCGGCCAAGGTGCCGTACACTGGCAGCTCGAGCCTGCGGATGAGCTGACCGTCGACGAGGCTAAACACGAGGAGCGAGGGCGGGACATTCCTGATCTGAATCGGCATTGACGATGAGGTTACGGTCGGTGTCGAAAACAGGGTCAAGGTGATACGGTGGAGGTTGTACAAAATGGGCGAGGTGCGCTACGTGCTCGAGACCCCCGTGTGGGCCTCCCGCGCGCCAGATATCGACGCTGGTCTTGCCGAAGGTGAGTACATACGCCTGATGGACGTAGAATGCCTCTATGTCGCCGTCGAGGGAGACAGGGAGGCGGATGGTAGGTCTTTTTCGCTAGACAAAGCGGGCCGTCAACATACTGACCATACACGATCCAATGTAGCCTCTCACTCTGTGGAAGTCACGCAAAGCCGAATGGTCGTAGCAGAAGGTGCGATGGAACACTTCTGAGCCCCGAGTGGCGTCCTACAAATACAACAGTCATTCACATCGCACTCCCCGTCTGCTGATCGGGATCGCCCTATAGTAAGCAGTTGTGCCTTTGGAATGACTCGGATGCGGTGGCCCACCGTCCGATGCCTTCTTGAAGTTCTTCGGGGTGCTCGGACACTGTTACACGATGCTTCGGCGAGTGTTACATAGATCAAGGAGGGCCTCCTGAACGTTTGGGCGCGGTGAATGCGGCTTCAAAGGTGCAGCCCCACAGCAGCCGACGTGCTCGCCTGGGTAAAATACGGGATGCTGTGGTGGGCGCGGGTTCAAGAAGACGGCTGTTGACTTCTTGAAACGTCTGCATGCGGCGAACATGGTGGACGTGGGCTATAATGGTGCAGCGCAGCAGCCGAATCGGACGCATGCCACGATTACGCTGATCAACCCTAGAGCGCAGGCAGACAGGAGAGACATTGTAGACAAGATACGATCTGAACCGCCTGTTCACTCGATACGTCTTATGTTCATCCTTATTCCAAAGCAAGGCTGATTCAAACCTCTGGGCGGTCAAGGTGACTGCTCCTCGTCTGTGTGCCGTGCTATTTCGATTCACATGTTGCATGTGCAGCACTGGATGACCCTGCGCATCGCGTATCATCAAAATCAGCCGGGGCGCTGTTCTGGTGCTTTGTAGTGTTCCGCCGCTCACCTGGAGAGCTGACCGAGCACATTTGGTTGAACGCGCATGGGCTGTCTACCAACGCTCGCGTGTCAAGGCTGACGGTTGTCAGACGTATAAAAGGCAGGATGCAGGTCTGTTCAAAGTCAGGCCGGTCCTCTTTCACGCGTGCAGCCTTACTCTAACGTACATTCAACCACCCATCCATCCTTATTAACCTCACAGTCCTCCCTCTTATCGCACGAACGTAACGATCAATCCCGTTTATTCGCCATGCAACTTACCGCCGCTCTCCTCGCTACCCTCGCTCTCCTTTGCACTGTCTTCTTCAACTTCGCGCAGGCCGTCCCGCTTACGCCCTCCCGAAACGATGCCGACGCCTGCGCAAGCCTGGCGGATTGCGACTCTTGTGGTTCGTCACTCTTTTGGTTGCCCGAAGTCTGCCATTCACAATCCCTGCCATTGCAGTCCACGCGAGTCGATGTGGGTTCTCCCTTGACACGCAAAGCTGTGCCTCGAAGGACAGTCACGCTGGGAGGCTCGTGACATCTGCGACTCAATGCAAGAAGGCGGTCGCTGTAAGTACCCCGCACTGTTCCTGATCAGATCGCGTCAATGTTGATGCATGTACCATAGATCCATGCCGCACGAGAGTGGTATATCGCTGCGAGAGCAGAATCAGCAGATGCGGCATTGACAGAGACAAAGGCGCGCGCCCTGGATCGCCGGGTGTCTGACACCAAACCATATGAGTGTCCGAGATGCTTCGCTGCGTTCTCTACGAAGGCCGCCTTGGCGCGCCATAGAGCATCCGGTTGTCCCAATGCCCGCCACTGAACGCGAGCTGTGGGGAGTAAATCATCTGGCAGTTGGATTGGCTATGAGGTCGGCCAGAAGGTGGTGGAGAGTTTGCTTGTAATTTAGACAAGGCTATGGTATGCAGGCATGCCAGACCTCCCCACGCAACTTTTTATTCCCAATTCTGAACGAGTGATCGGAACGACGGTCGACGCCACGGCGGTGCGCGTCAACGATGATCGAGATCCGATTCTGCCACAACGCCGCCACCGCTTCCAAAGTCAAGTTGGTCGCCTTCGCACTGGCGCCGGCGGCTCATTTACTGCGACACAGTTCAATCATGACTGTTCCCTGCTCCCTAAACAACAGGCATAAGCTGCTGGATCTTGTTGATTCGATACGACGTTTGCATCGCGCAAGATACCCAGGTACATGCACCTTGAAGTTCATTGATTGGATAGCGGTGTCTGAGGCTCTCAAGAACTTCAGGCCTCGACCTCAACGTACTCGGTTGTCCAAAATAGCAGGGAATCCAACGCAGAGAATCATTCGTTGATGTAATGGCGGATCTTTCTTATGATGCGATACACGATGCGCCGCGAATACGGCCTAGTGTAAGGCTCTGGATTCTGGATTCCTGACGACGAAACCTTTGGCCTCGATATACCACAGAGCTTCTGCATCTATGCCCTCTATGTCGGTCTTATGCGCTGTTACATACAGTACCCTCATGCAGGGTCGTAGACACGCTGTGCCCATGGAGGCATGCGTGGTCCACAGGCAAGTTCATAACACTGGAAACCGTACTTTGATGAAGCTGACCTCCTCCGGTGCCCCACTTGCCGTTCCATCACCATGTGTGAGTCGCGGAGTGGACCAATTAGGCATATCGTACGCATCAGCTATTATCGTGCCCGTCGCCCGCATGGCGCTGACCATAGCCTCGCCTTTTTCAGCCGTCGCTTTGTCCTTGAGGTGGACCCACAAGTACCCGAGTTCGGCAACCACCCCCAAATCGTGATCCACGCTGCGGACAGGACTGGGCCTGCGAATCTGAAACCCACGTGTTCGCAGCCTTTGTGCCACTCGGGCCAAACGTATAAATGGAGCTCGACGCTCGCGCTTTTGCAGCTCAACCGCTACGACCCTTCGTCTCCCCCCACCTTCAGGCTGCCTTTTGCCTCGCTTCCTGGTCGCTGGTTATGTGGCTCTGCTCTCAAGTGGTGAACCTCGTCAGCTGCTCCAGGTTCTGTATGCCCGACCGCCGTAAGGACGCCACTCGTCGACCAAGGGCGCGCGCCGTCGCGCATAGGGGTATGTCTTTTATACCATCTCGACGCACTTGAACTAACCCTGACGCGTAGATCGACTCTCCAGCCGCAGCGATGTTTGTCCCGCCGCTCACTGTCAGCCAGACGCGACATCGAGTGGCATTCAACGACCGTCAGCCTGCGCCACCGACGCGACGTGAGATCGACCAGCCGCCCTGTCAGCCGCCATGCTTTTTAAGGTGCTTGTTTCTCTGGACTGCGTGCGTTCCCTCTTGTATGTCTTGCCTCTCTGTGTGCCTGCTCCTCTGGTCCGACCTGTTGCGTCCGAGTCTGGCTGTGTCAAGAGCTCGACGTCGGGCGAAGAGTCAAGCGCCGCAAGGTAAAGGAGGCTGGCCTCCAGGTCGCTCGGATGAGCGAAGGGTCAAGCGCCGCAAGGTATACAACGGAGGCTGCGTCAAGGGTCAAGCGCCCAATTGGCTCGCCTCAAGAGCTCGGTTACAAGTGAAGTGTCAAGCACCGCAAGAAGAATCCGAGGCTAGCTTCAAGGGCTCTGGTACGAGCGAAGGGTCAAGCGCCACAAGGAAAAGCCGAGGCTAGCCTCAAGGTGCTCCAACGAGCGAAGAGTCAAGCGCCGCAAGGACATGGCTGCGTCTAGTGCAAGAGCAGCAAGTTGGGCCACCCGAGGGCGGGCGGGTGCTCGCGGCGACGCGGTGCCTGTCCGGGCGCGGACCTTTACGTGGTCCTCGGGATAAGTACCCTCGCGCACTTGTGCGAGGGGAAACCAACACGCGCCGAAGTGTTTTCTGCAGGACGGTACATTATCTCGGTATGTCGCACCGATGTAGCATGCGGATGAGGTATTGTCGTGCTATGAGAGTGAGATTTATTCTTACACCACCACATCTAAGTCTCCTGGTCCGTGAGTCCCCTCTTCCCAAAAGCTATCATCATCGAGGCTAGTGTGACCTCATCGAACTCTCCGCAATCAATTCAAGAGCCCGTTGAGAGCGAGGTTGGATCGAACACTCAAACTTCTCCAGATGGCTATCGCAGACACGAACATCAGGGTCGGGTCATAATGGAAAGACCTATTACGAGACGCACCCAGTCAAGCCCGGCAATTTGACGGTCAAAGAAGGCATTATCTCTCTGCCCTCCGCGTCCAGAGCCTTCTTCACGTTGAACGTGGCGATGATACTCGCTGTCACCAGCCACAGGCTGTCGTCACTGAAGCGTTGGCCAGGGCACGCACTGGAGAGTACATGTTAGATGAAAGCCTTTTAGCCGTTCAATATCGCATACCGTCGTCCGAACGAGAAGATGTACTCTCGAGGGTCCAGCCCTGCGTGCTTTCCGGTGGCCGGATCTATAAATCTGTCTGGGTTGAAAGTATCGGGATCCGTGTAGTGATTGGCGTCGTGAGCCATTTGCCTAGCCAAGGCCATCAGGAGCGTCATGATTGAAATGTGTCTGAGTAAGGGAACGAACGCTACGAACCAGATATTAGGGAGCACTAATGTTCCCTTCGGGACGCGATATCCACAATATTCGTCCTCTTCCATCACACGTCGCGGAACGCCTTGATAGATTTAAGTTGAGGTCATATCCTCACAATATGGATTGAACATACTGAGGCGCAACGGCGGGTTGATACTGGGCACCAACAGAATCAGAGTGAGTGGCGTACGAAAACTAGACAATCACCGGCAGACTAACCGGTAGACTTCCCAGAGAATCGCGTCCACATATGGCAGCGAATCTCTGTCACTGAGATCAGGAAGACGCTCAGTGCCTACAACCTCGTCGATGTTTTGTTGTGCCTTCGCGAACACGTCCTCATGAAGGGCCATGGTGACGAGGAATGTGTTGACGGGGATTGTCAGCTGGTTCAAGATCCTCAGGAACAGAGACAAGAGGTCATGCCCATCACTACTCACAGCCCCGAAGCCAGCTGCCGATGATGTAGGGGGTCAGAAGTCAAAGGCTCTGGAAAGAGCAAGAAGTCGACTTACCGAGAAACACTATGAAGGCAATCTTTTTTACATCTTCATCATCGCCCAGTTGATGTAGCTTCGACGCACTCGCGTCCATTATATGTGTAATGAATGAGTCTGTTGCTGTTCCAGAATTCTGAGGCACGATTAAACGATGACAACTATGGCCAATAGACGATATCACCATCGCTGCTTTGGCGTCTTCAAAAGATGAATTCATCACGCGCTCCAGTACTGATCGTGTCTCCAAAAGCCCCGATCCGAAGAGAATACCGAGTATCCATGAGGGTACATACGTCGCTGTTAAGACATCGTCAGCTCACTCGTCGAGGCGGGACGTGCGAAGGCACATACAGAACGGAAGATTGTCCACCAAGGCTGCGGTGGGTGTGCCTGCTACATCAACAAGCATCTGCACGATAGCCTCGCCAGAGCTTAAAAAGTCCTCATCATAGGGTTTTCCGTAAGTGGAACCCATGATCAACGCAGCCGCGAAGCTGCAGAGGGCTCAGTACCCTCACACATGCAAAGGTGCAGACCCTACCGTTTGATATGGCATGCAAAGGCATCCGGTTCTTGCGCAAGACGTAGCAGCAGTGCTATTGTCTCCCTCTGCTGGACAGGACGAAGACGAGCCAACGCAGCTTGGTCGCCAAAGCTTGCCTGCATCAGTCTTCGATGCAGGCGCCACCGTTCTCCATAACCGAGAAAAGGAGTCATGATGTCAAGTCCCATCCTCATCAAAGGGAACAGCATATTGTGAGCGCAATTAAAAGGATCAGTAGCGAAGGTGGTTGCTTACATCGTCAACAAACGGGATGAAGACCTGTCCGAGTATTTCGCCCCCCGCGATGTCAACAGCTCATTTGCGGCGTGCAGGGAATTAATGACTAGAGTGGGTTGTTGCAGGACCTTCATGAATACGATATCGCCTGCAAGACATTCAGCTCGACGGCATAGTCACCTTTGGTGATGCCACCTCAATGTATGCTTCCTCACCGTATTTCTGACCCCACTTCGCAAATAAATGGTATTGGAGGTTCTTAGGAAACTGGTGGACATTGCGAAGCAGTGGAAGAGATCGTGGTCCAGGTGGGAGCCGAGCTAAGCGGGAACATTTACTAGCCTGAGAGATGTAGAGAAGACAGAGCATGAGCGCCGCTGCAAGAAAGCTTGCAACCGACGCAGGCGATGTGAGCAGCATGTCTGATGCAATGAAGCTGGAGATACACCTTGGAAGACGTGACTCGGCCGCATACTAGCCTCGCCCTTATACGTGGGGTTCGCATCGCTTTTGAGAACTTGACGGCTCCAGGCGATGGCCAGCTGGGGCCGAACCCGAAGGACACCTCGTGTACGATGACACTGGACGTGTCTAGGGTCCAACGAGACAAAATGGAAGTAAACACCATTGAAGGCATCTGAGGGCTGACAGGAAGAGCTGCGTATCGAGAGGACAACACCTGCGGTACCCAAGCGGTACCTGGTAGAACTTGTAGGTCGAGCCCGATATAGAATAGACCTAGCTTCACTCGACGCACATAAGCTCTCACTGAATTGATTAATTCCTGCACATGATCGGAGGAGCTATGTCAGTGACTGATCTGGCTGAGAACGCTTACTCACTAGCACTCACCAAAAGTAGCTGGTAGAGGGATAATTCTTCAATGGCAGTGACGACGTTATTCTGACCCTGAGCCAACTGCAGTCTCTGAGCGATGGCACGATCGGCTTATGTTTCATGATCAACGTCATAAACACATTGAGAGCAGTGGGAGACACCACGATAAGTCTCGAACGCGACGACGCAGACGTTATCTTCCAGCTTTAGAAGGGATTACCGTACTCCAGAACCGTGCCGATGGGATTGGCACCGTTGTCAAGAGCGCTATAAACGGCACCGTGGAGGATTTTGACGAGCGTTCGAAGGTGCGCTGGTTGGGGTTGTGAACAGTCGTGTCCACGATGTCCTACAAAGCAGGGACAATGAGTAAATGTGAGAAGGCTTGAAGGGTTCTTGGAGTGTAACGTACGCGGATAACATACTTCTGCACGAACTGGGTGCCGAGCTGGGGCGAGGGGATCCTGTTCGCTTCGAGACAACGCGGCATCAACGATGACCATCTCGGGATCGTCGGCTGTCAGGGGAGGTCTCAGTCTGTGCTCGATGTGCATAGGACGATGAAAGCGTACTCGGAACACCATCGGTGATGACGATGCATGTTGGTCGGCTTTGAGCCTTACTCCTTGAGCTTAGGGATGCACTTTCTGACCACCTCGTAGAGCTTCTGACCAGTTGGCGTCTGGCCTGGTGTTCCATTTTCATCAGAGGTCCACGTTACACGGGAAGAATGCTGACCTTCCAGTCGAACCTCTTGGAAAAGGCCACGGACAGCGATCTTGCTCTGCAGAACTATGAGCACTCATCAATGGCGGGCAAGTCAGGCATAGGCTTACCCCTACATCCAGGAGGGAACGGTCGTTGTTCAGGAAGTAGATATCAATGCCGCCCGCGACATCTGCAAGCGCTGCGCCCGCGTTGATCCCGGGCCAGTATTGGCCCTCTATCTAGGCAATTGAACAGGTCAAGATGCTGTCATACGACGTCGTACATGCAATGCAATGCCTTCGTGCCTCGCGCAAGGTGCGTTCCACCCGCGTACTTGAATGTTCAACGCTTTCGCCTGAACGGTAACCAGCAGCCTTCCGCAGTGGTTAGGTTTGGAGATGAGAGCAATAAGGCTGATCTTACCGCTCCATATGGGTGATCAAGAAGTGACTTCCGCGCGCTGGGCTATAGTCAATGGCAGGCTGCAGCTGGTCAGTGGAACGAAGGAACGAGGTGTATTCAGTGGCCACGGCCGGCAGTGGACGCGAGGCACGTGAACGCGTACCCCGATCATCATCTTAGACGCGTCGATGGATAGACTCGACGCGACGCGCGTCGCTCACCAGTGCTTCACGAGCCCACCATCATGCCAGAGCAACAGAAGCGGGGTGCCTTCATCGTCTTCGAGGGTCTCGACAGGTCCGGAAAAAGCACGCAGGCTGCGATGCTTGTCGATCGCCTCAAGCAGGAGCGCGCCGACGTCAAGCTCATCAAATTCCCTGGTGCGCACTCTCCCTGGACTTCTCCTGTGAACGTCGCTGCAACGCGTTGTCACGATAGACCGCACGACGCCAGTCGGGAAGATGATCGACTCTTACCTGCGCTCTCAGTCTGAACTCGACGACCGTGCGATCCACCTCCTCTTCTCCGCAAACCGCTGGGAGCTCGCGTACGCCTATCCTCTTTTCCGCATATGAAACCACCGGCTGCTAACCACACTCCTGTACTTAGATCTACTATAGAAGCCACTCTTCGTGCGGGCACGACCATCGTTGCGACCGCTACGCCTTCTCCGGGATCGCCTTTTCGTTCTGCAAGCCGTCCAACTTGTCATATGAATGGTGCCGCGCACCCGACATTGGCCTCCCCGCGCCGGACCTCACCCTCTTCCTGGACGTCGGGCCCGACACCGTCAAATCGCGCGGTGGCTTCGGCGAGGAGCGCTACGAGACGGAGGAGGTGCAGCAGAAGGTGAAGGATGTGTTTGAGCGGATCGGGGAGGAGATGGGCATGGGGCTGCTCACGGAGGGTGGTTGGGTCGTCGTTGAGGGCGACTTCGAGAAGGAGAAGGTTGCGGAGGTCATCTGGGATTGGGTCAAGCCTCTCAGCGGCGGCGTGTCAAGACCGCTCCGAACGCTCTGGGACGAGAAGGAAAACAAGGAGCGGAACGACCAGCTGTATATCTGAGGGGGCGTCAGCGAGGGACATCAGTGGCATGGGGATATAGGAAGTAATACACAAATGTACAACGAGCAATCACAGTATACATAGCATCGGAAGCGAGAGCATGCATTGCTATCGCCTGTACCCTCGTCTCCCATCCTTCGGTTTCATCGCTCGCTTCCTCTCCCTCTCCTCCTCCTTCGCCCTCGCGCCTCTCTGCCTCGGATCAATGACCTCGTAGTCTCGTTCCGCCTTGGCCACCTCCTCTTCATTCCCTTTCGGAAAAGACAGCTTATGCCCCAAGAACCCGAAATCATCATCCACTTCCATGCCCTCCTCTTCTCCCGTCCCAACAGCTGCGGCCCCCTCGCTCACACCAGCCTCACCATCCACATGAGAGGCACCAGGTTCGCCGGAATCTCCTTCCTCAGGCGTAGTGCGATTGATCTTGCTCCGAAAGCTGTTCAGCGCTGCGAGGACATCACCCTCATCCTTCCGCTTGCCCTTCTTGTGCACGCCGCGGCCCTTCGTGTACTTGGCCATCTCCTCTTCGAGATAGGAACGCTTCTGCTTCTTCCGCGCGCGCTCCTCATCGCTGTCCTCGCCCGCGGCCCGCTGTGTCAGCTTACGGATGTCAGCCTCCATCTTCTCAATCTCAGTCTGGCGTGCGGTTCTTCGCGGGACAATGAGTACGGGAGAGCCAAAGAGCGACGATTGCGCACTTCTCTGCTGCCTTTTCTTGGGCGTGTTTCTCGCGGATTTTGATGATCTCGATGTCCTCTTTCTTGGACGGTTTCGAGGAGGCCTCAGGCTGGACCACCGTGAGCAACCGTATCTTCAATGCTGATGTCACGGAGTACTAACCGTCTTCGACTCTTCGCTGTGGCCTTTTGTCTGTTTCGACTTCTTCTCCTTGACAGGTGGGCCATTCAAGTCGGGCATTCCGATGGCCTGTACAGGCTCAAGCACTGAACGTAGATCAATATCGTCATTTCTGCGGCAGTTGAGCAGACGTACGATCAGGGCGAACGATAGCTTTCTTCTTGAACAATACGGGTTCTTCCTCCTCACCGCCCTCGTCCGCACCGAAGCTGAGCAACTTGACGTCCCTACGCGCACGTAGTCAGTGCCACTGCCACCGAGAACTGCACGAAAACGGTCGACACACGCACTTCTTCGCTCCTCGTCGTCGTTGCTCCTCTTCTCGCGCCCTCTGGGCTTTCTCCCGTGCACGATGTTGTGCGCGTTTCTCCTCAGCGGTAATACGTGGGATAATATCCGGGAAGGGGTTGTCGACGATACGAACGGACTTGATCTTAGGCGGGCTATGGGGGAATGATTAGAGCGCGTGATTGACAGTGGAAGTGGTGGAACTAACTAGAGCGGTCGCTCGTTGTCGTCAACCTCTAGTGGAGGGTGCCTAAAGATCTCATGACAACCTTCAGCACTAGGGAGGTAAGGACGAACCCATTTCACCAATCTTCAACACGTCTAGACACATGCCTCTTCTCAGCGACTACAGATGGTAGAAGCAACGGCCGGACGTACTGTAGAGCGTATCACCGATCACACGGCCGAAGAGCGTATGTTTGCCGTGAAGTTCGTCGGCGCGGTCTATGTTCGAGTGAGTCAAGGCCACACTGACCAACACGCGGCGCACCCAGCGTAATGAAGAATTGTGAATCATTCGAGTTCTTCTCGCCGTTGTTGGCCATTGCAACAAGCCCTCGGTGTGCGAAACGCAATCGCGGATGTATCTCATCTTCGAATGGCTCTGTTCCAAGCTGTGAATACCTGTGACGCATTTCAAGAGCTGGGCTACGTACCTCCGTAGAAGGATTCTCCACCTGCACCCGTGCCCGTTCTATCTCCCGTCTGTACCAGGAAGTTGGGAACGATCCTAGCGAAGACATGAGCTTTTGCTGAGCTTACGATGAAGCAGCCTCATACCGGTGGAATATGACACCGTCGTAGTAGCCTGACCAGATATGAGAATGGATACATGTCTGAAGAACTGCATGGACTGCGCACCTTCCATGGCCAGAGCAATGAAATTCCTACATGTTTTCGGTGTTTCCTGCAGTCTCGTCAGGTGCGGTGGCCAGCCCCTGCGACATACAACACACCTTTGACCACAGCTCAATGTCAATCTCTCCCGCAGTTGTGTCGACAATCACTCGTCCTCGCGTCGGAAGGGCCATGGTGGATGGAGTCGGTGGCGGAGGCAAGGCCGCTCGAGTGCTCGACGAGCTGGACGCGCCGGGCGCTGAAGCGGTCGCCTCCCGAGATCACGCGACCGGGTGCACGCGAGGTCCACATGGCCGCTGAACAAGGCCTGGGCGGTCGTCCCCTCGCACACAGCTCCGCCCAATCCGCCCACTCTCCCCGTCGTCCTCATCGTCCATCACTCGCCCACCGTCCCCCGCCATGGCGTCCAAGGCAGCACACAAGCGTGTACGCAGCAGTCCCTCTCCTTCCCCGATCGTGCCACTGACGGGCCTGCTGGACAGCTCACAAAGGAGTACATGACCATGCAGAGGGATCCGCCGCCCTTCGTCTGGGCCGTGCCCGAGGAGAAGAACATCCTGACTTGTGAGTGCGCTGGCTGCTCGGGCGTACTTATAGCTCACCCGGGATATGCAGGGAATTATATAATTGTACGTCCGTGCTCGCTTTTGTGCCGTAGTCCAGCGCGCTCAAGTGGCTATCTCCTTGGGTGTCCAGCGCGGGCCTCCCGACTCCCCCTTTGCCGGCGGCGAGTATCACGGTGTCCTTCTCTTCCCCTCGAGTACCCGTTCAAGCCGCCAGGTATCAAAGTACGTGCCCCCTGTGTCGTGTGTATATCCGCTCATGCTGACCGATCGACCGCATTCCAGATGTTAACGCCCTCAGGCCGCTTTCAGCCAGACCGGAAGATTTGCTTCTCCATGTCCGACTTCCATCCAGGAACGGTACGTGTGGCTTCATTGTGCGCTGTTGGAATCCCACTTACGCCTCGCGTGCCGGATCAGTGGAACCCCGCATGGAGTGTATCAACAATGTGCGTACCTGACACTCGTCCGCTGAGTGGCTGTGCCATTAATCACTCACTCACGGCAGATTGACTGGCCTCCTGTCCTTTATGCTCTCGGATGAGATGACGACGGGCTCAGTGACGTCCACCGACCCAGACAAGCGCATATACGCCGTACGCAGTCACGCGTGGAATCTCACCCAGAAGCGCTTCAAGGAGGCGTTCCCGACTACTGCACGCCGGCCATGCAGGACCTCCCCAACATGGGTGAGAAGGAGCGCGGTTCCGCCTCTACGACCGATCCACCACCGATACTGCCTCCAGCCTTGTCTCGCCACAGACGTCAGCAACGACGGTCACACAACCAGCACTGCCCACCAGCTCGACTACCACGGATCCAAACGCGTTGTCACGACCTTCACGCCCCGGCGCGAATGGTGAGGCAGCCGCCAATGCGGGGGGCTGGGCTGACGCCTGGCGGCAGGTCTTCTGGGAGAAGTGGCGGTGGGGCGTCATCCTCGCGCTAGCGCTGGTGGTTTCGCGGATGTCCTCTAGGTGATCAGTCGTCTCCCGCCAGACGGCGCCTTTACGTTGTTGGAACGTCATCCGGATGGATGGGAGGTCGTGCTGGCTTACAGTTGGAGGGCTTGCAACGCGATAGATATCGGTTTTCGATCGAGCCCCTTCCCCTGCAGTTGTCTTTTGGATGTCATCGTTCACTCATGCGGCTCTTTGTGCCTGCCCACACTCCTTGACTTACCATTTCCTCACTCCCGTATATCCTGCCTAATAGCGGACAATCAGTACTACTACCCCCGTCAATTCTTGTTCAAATAGGCATTGTTGTATTCTAGATTGGAATTCTCAGTTCCTCGCACAGCTCCTCCAATGATGTATGTTTCAGAGGTACGTCCAAGACTCCAAGCATTTGCATTTGTAGCTACAGGTGAACGACGGTATGATGCGGGACATTGCGGGTAGTCAGGGGGATACAGCAAGACTGCGTAGATACAAATGCGATACAACCTGAAGATGCGAGATTCTGTGGTATCAGTTTTGGCATGAAGCACTGTCATAAGGCGATCGGTCGTGGCAGAGTCGGAACCGTCTCCCGTGTGGTCATCTGGTGAGAGACAGCGATCAAAGGCCAGAGGCCTCCTGTAGACCTGCGAATGTTCGTCGTTAGCAATGGCCGCGCTACCACTCGGGATACGATCATTTACCTGTCTACATCATCCCACTCTTTCTTTCTGAGGACGAACCGCTGGTCGCACGCCCAGTCCAGTCCATCCTCGTCCTTCGTCTCCCCGACGTAGCATATCAGCATCACGTCCATCTTGTTCTCGAGACATACGACTCGTAATTCACATCCCTCGGCCCCGAGGGCAGGAATTTGCGTCCGGCCGGGAGGGCCAGCAAGCCAGTCACGACGTCTGCTCTCCCCTGCCGGAGTCGCGAGCGCAGTCACGCAGCGACGGCGAGATGCTGGGCTCGAGGGATCGTGCGTCGTGACGGAGAACGTCGCGGCGTGCGAGTATGCCCCGCAAGGGCGGCGCGGTTGCGGTCGAAGAGGCGGATGTACTTTTGGAGGAAGGCGAGTGCCAGGCGCTGGAGTTCCTGTTCCTCCGCGCTGGGAGGTGACAGCGACGTGTCTGTGATGTCCTGTACAAGATCGATGACGGAGGGTAATGTTATCGTTAAGTCGTTAGATTGGACCACCGACGCGCTCGCGGTGGCGAGGGCTCATTGGGAGGTGGCGGGAGCTCATTTTGAGGTGGCAGGGGCTCATTGTGGGGTGGCGGGGGCTCATTATGAGGCGCTTGGGGCTCAAAGCTGTCGAGTTCGATGATCTCAGGGCTTCCTCCCTGATATTTTGTGCAGATGGATCGCTTTCTGTGACTGGTGGTAGCAGGGTATCCGACATCACTGGCACAGGACTCGACCTGCAGCGTGAGTACAGTGATGAGTTAACAGCCTCACATTTTGTGGCGGGATCCTCACCAGTCTATACCATCCCATCATCTCTACGGTCAGGTATTCAACTTCAGATGCACTGCAGTGGTGGGATGCGAGGGCACTCACCTGATGAACACTCGGACAACGTTGATGCTCAGCTTGTGTAAGCGTCTCTTCTCTTGCGCCGCCCATGCATGCCGGTTTGCCTGGAACCCCGGACGCCCCTTCCTGCACTGCTCCGGGATGGGAGCAAAGCGCAGTGCTCCTTCCGTCACTAATGCAGGCCCACCGGCTATCATAGGACTTGGACTCGCTCGCGCTTCACAGTCGTCTCACGAGCACCGGCGACAGGCGGCGTGCGATCGGTCGTGAAAGCGTCTGCAGCTGGTGCTTCTTCTTCGGGGTACATCGAGGGGGTTTCTAACATGTCGGGCTCGGGATATTGTAGATCAGGTACCTCCGGAGTGACCCTGCGCCTCTTCCGCGGGGCTCCCCCACAGGGTCTTCCTGCGCAAGATCGTCGTCTTGGTAGACTGCAGGCGATCGAGTAGCTTTCGCGGCCTTGCGCGCGTGGCAAGGGCTCTCCACTTCTTCCGGTTTTGCCGTTTCCCCTTGTTATGGCCATTGGCCGTGCCAGATGGCCCGTCGAGCTGCTCGGTGGCATCCACATCCCCAGTGGCGCCCGCCGCCATCGCACCGTATCCCTGGGCTGACTTTGGGCCACATGGCCACTCCGTGACCGCGATTCATGCATAGGTTACCACCAGTAGACGGACGCATCCCAACCTGAGCACGCAAAATGCTGATCAGACTTGCAGGAGGGGCCTGGTCGTGGCCATCGTCTATTGTCATTCCAAGGCTGCTCGCATTTGCAGGGGACTTACTACACAGTGCAGTGTGAAAGAAGCAGCCAGGTGAGGATGAGATCCACTAGATATTGTCAAAACGGGGCGTACTGAGCTATAGACCGCGAGGTGGACGGCCCGGCTCCCATCGCGCCGCGACCACTACCGCCTGCGAAGTTTGGCATCCCGTCGACTGGTATAGTCGTGGATGACCGCGTACTAGAGGGAGGTGAGGGTAAATAGGGCTTCTTGACTGATCCACCTCTGGGGGAATGGAGGCCGTGACCGCGTCCACGTCCAACCTGAACATCGAAGGAGGCACGACCTCTGGGCGCTGGCTGAGTGGTGCGAATAACAGGTGGGTTGTTGAGCGCGCGCTTGTTGATAGATTCATTGGGCTGTTTATCCTCTGTTATCTGGGTTGCCACAGAACTCGTGTGTTGTCGTCCGCTAGAAGTGTGCCTTCCGGTACCGCGTTGGACGCGACGCAAGTCGTTCAGGCGCGTATTGAACGACATACGGTTTGCCGAACGCGTTCGCCTTCGAGTGTAGTGATATAGGCGTATAGCTAAGCTGGAGCGCTTTGCATAGAGAACCGAAGTATTGTGTGAGAGAATTGAGGGAAGAAGATGAAGGGACCCTCCGAGGTGGGGAAGCCATGGCCAGTGCACGCTTAAGCGCCCGCTTCCTGACGCCCGCAGGCCACGAGCTCCAGCCGCGAGGATCCGCCACGGTCCTCGATCGTTTGCACACTGACATAACATTGACACAACAAACACATAGGTAGATAACATTGATATCAGTAGCCCGATGGACTGACGAGAGGCTGTTGAAGAAATGCATTGCAACAAGTTTGTGCTTGAACATCGCCCGAGTCATCGTCAACATACTTCCTTTTTTTCGTGAGCGCTGCGTCTCTCGACGCCGGGTCTGGCAAAACCTATGTATGAAAAGAACTTACTCTAGATGCTCATAGCTTACAGGATCCTACGCGATGCAGGTGCGTGAAGTCCCAAGACGCCTCATGTAGGCCATGGCACCGATGTTCCGGGAGATGTTGAGAGAGAAAGGGGGCCGGGGGGCGGGGCGTTGCCGGTGATGCGTCTGACGTGCCCACGATCTGGGTGAACGCTCGAGCGGGATGTTGCAGACATGGTTCATACACTGCTGCGTTAGCCCGCGAAACCGCGGTAGGGACACCAACGCGAAGATGTTGTGCAGGACGACGCCGACGAGAACATCGTTAGGATGTCAAAGCTCGCTGACGAATTTGGTTTGTGAGACGATCAGGGATAGACAGAACTTCATCCACAGACGCATGAAACGATAGTAACGTTTGCCCAAGTGGCCGATGGTAAATTGCATGCGTGAGGTGGTAGACCCCAACACAAGAAGCAGGTCTTAGAGAGGCTCACCGTGACGCGGCGCCCATCTCGGTCTCTTCTGGACGTATCAGCGACATATAAGTCGAATTGAGTATAGCAGATTGCGAGGAGGATGGCGGCGTACGTGATATGTGTAGCGCCCTGTCCCCGAGCGTGTACGAGATGGTATGCTTGTCAGACCACACCAACGCCGTAGCATCAGGGAAGCAGTAGAGAAACTGCCCCAAAATCTTGAGGCTAGGGAAACATTCCAGGTCCAGCAAGAGGTTGTCAGCGGAAGAATACGTCGTGTGTGGGCCAAGGAACAACCCCCGCGTTTTGTCGGAAGATAGCTGGTCGGCTTTCGACGACGTCCAACGACATCGACGGGCGTTGAATGGACACGCACGCGGTGTGTGGTCGTGAGAGGGTGGCTTTGGGGTGGGTGGCAAGGCACTCGATCCATATGGCCGTCAGGGCCACGCGCGAGCCGCAGGTGGCGCAATCAACAGAGTTCGTGGACGTTGTAGGAACGACAGCGTTACACGTTGAGTTGGGTGACGGACGCGAAACGCGAGGCACAGATGGGGAAGGTAGGGTGCATCCTATGTGCAACCCAGTCGGCGCCCGCTAATCGAAGTCGTTTCAGGTTCGGGAGATGAGATCCCGGTATGCGCATTGGCCCAGTGTGTGCGAAGGCCTTATGGGGTCGTCTTCGATGGCCAACGACGTGGTGGTATCTCGGTAGTATTGTCTCGTCTTCTTGAGGCAGAGGACCCGGTCTATGGCTTCGAAGCTTTCTTGATCGCAGATTGTCAGACTGTGCTCTCTTTGCAGATGCTTCTTCCTGGCAGGGTACCAATCGCGGCACGTCAACGAGCTGTTCACGAGACTGAAGCGATTGAGTCGGAGAAAACCAATCATATCGGCGATCGGCTCTTGAGGGAGACACTGTTCCATATCGCACCCTCCTGGCTTGTGCATCGACGTTAATCGGCAGGTGTGTATTCAATGACGATTCGACGTACGCGTACCGTTCAGACAGCGGCGTTGGATGCCTCGCGCATGCGGGAGACACGGAGTTCAGCCAATCTGAGTCCCAACGCGTTGCTGCGCGACATCTGGTGCTGTGCGTGACCCACTATCACACACACGTTGCTTCGATATACTATACGCAGGTCCACCGCGCAGGCAACGTAAGAACAGCATACTTTGCTGAGACGGTATCGGACCCGGGCGCCGTACGCAAGATTGTCAATGTTCGGCCTACACACATACAAGTTAGCGCCTTTCAGAACGTCACCGTGTACCGTATACGTCGCGTGAGCTAAACCCAGCGGGGCGAGGAGATCGTAAGGCAGTCAGACACCCCCTGAAGATGAATTGAGTGACAGTGAACTTCAGTGAAGGAGGAGCAGCGCGACTTCGAGTCTTCGACGTGAAACAATGTTGGGCGTCTAAGCTACCCACGTGGCTGCATTTCCCACAGCCTCGATAGGGAAGGGTGGCGACGAAAACCTCAACACCCACCGGCATCCTCAAAATCCTCAAGGCAACATGGTGAGTCTATGCGCATTTACCAAGGCAGATGGACGTTTGTCGGGCTAGGATGCGATTGTGCGGTCGAACGGAGTGAATCGGTGCAGGATAAGGGGTGGATGCGTCGAATGGGCTACGGATGACGGCAGACGGTCCCTCTGCCTTGCATACATCATCTCGTTTCTGTGATATGCTGACGTCTACTTTCATCACAGACGAAAGGTTTGTCTCCGAGAGGCAATGTTGGTTGAACAGAGAAGCTGATCTTTGTGACTTGATGGTGCGTAGGTACCACGTCCTTCGGGTGCGTACACGTCGTCCAGCTATTCAAGTACATTGTATTGACCATCTGAATCTCTTTACGACCACAGTAAGCGGCACACCAAGAGCCACACCCTCTGCCGCCGGTGCGGTAACCGTGCTTTCCACAAGCAGCACAAGGGTGCGTGCTGATCTTACCCTTCCCACTTGCCTGTCACATCTCACTTATGCTTATTTACACCGGGCTTCCTTTGCAGATTGCGCGCAGTGCGGCTATCCTCGTGCTAAGCTGCGGTCGTTCGAGTGGGGCCAGAAGGCCAAGCGCCGAAAGACGACTGGTACCGGCCGGATGCGCCACTCAAGCACATATCCAGGCGGTTCAAGAACGGCTTCAGGTGCGTTCATTGGTGTGGGGGTCGTATCATAGCTCATAGCATTGCAGGGAAAACACTGTAGCCACCAAGAAGACCAAGGCGACGGCTGAGGCATGAGCATCATATTCCGCTATCGTTGCAACGGTTCTTCAGTCCATTTTTGCTATGTCCTTGTCTGCCACACCCACGCTCGAGCATGTCCTCTTGCCACCACGCACGCGCAAAATACATGAGCTATGTACCATGCGATCTCTATGCTTCAATTCATTACCGCGCTAGGTCAGAAGTCTGCCGGAGATGACACCAAGGTTGCCCTAGTATCTAATGAAGAAGTGTAAGGCACGTGGCGACAACAGGCTGATAACGAGTAGCCCGATTATGTCCTAATGTCGTGAGGATGGTAGGCCTCTACTGATGGATTGCAACGAGCCACATGCAGAACCAATACAAACAGATGTGAACTGCATCACCATTCAAAGGCTTCGTCATCTAGGTCGTCTCCCGCCTCTCCAAGTAGGCTGTCTGGCGCTCCATTTACGTCGGTTGCCTTCAAGAGGATGTCCCGTAGAGTGATACTGTGACCCTCGTAGTAGTCTTCGTCCTCCGCCTCCGAATGCCCATCCTCATCAGGCAGGGAATCCTGGACCCCACGTTCCTGGGGGAGCTCTCCGCATGCAGGTCGTGAGTATCCAGGGTGCTCAGCCTGAGTTTGGGCAGGGGCACGTCTATCGCACGCTCATGCTGTTCGATGTCAAAGGAAGGTCGGGGGATTGTCCTCTTGACAGTCGACAGGAGCGTCCCAGCGGTGCCGGGCTTTGCCTTCGGCGTTTGAGCGCTGTCTGCGTACGTATTTGTTGAGTACGAAGGAGAACCGTCTTCCACGGCATCCAAAATCTGCAGAGACGCGGAGATGCATCGATCAGTAAGTCGTACGGCGGCGATATCTGACTGCCCGACTCACTTTATCTACCTCGTCATCATACAGATTATGTCGTATCAGCAATGTCGTACGGCGGACTCTGGCAGCTGACGCTCTTCGCGAAACCTTCGTTGGCACCTTATGGGCGTCAGTACCCACGTCCAGAGTCCGCGGCTTGCCCATTTTGTCAGAATGCTTAGGATCGCGCCCGTAGTGAGCGGTTTCACTGGCTCTCGCGGGTTGATGTCGATTAGCTTTGGCATCGTAGGCGCTGTCTTTGAGCTTGAACCTTGAGATCGCCATTGACCTTTCTCAGACGGCTGAGGTAGCCGGCTTGCGGACGCGGTCGTAGTGCTGACTGATGTTTCAGCGGTCGCGTCCAAATCCAAGTCACTGGGAGATGGTGCCTCAGGCCAAGCGGGGAGAAGGGCGTTTCGGATCCGAGCAATGCGTTCCTCAACTGCTGCTCTGCCGGCGGCTCAAGAGTGGAGCTTGAGGGGGGTTCGCTTAGCGTCTGGAAGGGGGACAGAAGCGTTGAGATCCCACAGGAGGGCTATTTCTGTCGGTCTGAGATGAACAGGATGCTTACTTTGAAGTCAATGTGCGTGCGTGACGGTGCTTCCCAGACGCCAAAGTCAAGGCTGGAGCTGGTCACGGGAGCGGGCGGTGTGTGCGGGTCGCGCCTTGTGTGGGCGCCGCTCCAGGTCTGAGCGGATGTTGTCAAGGCGTTGTGCGGCATCAAGGAGGGCTTGATGAGTGCGCTGGATGGAGGCTACTCGGTCTGAGAGACGATCTTTTGTGGGATCCTGGCCGGGACGTGTATTCGCTCCGGGAACAGGCGGATTAGTGGGGAGGGTTCTACTCGGCGGAGAGAAGAGGGGGGCGTTGAGAGAGGATAGATGCCCCGGGTGGTGAGCGGCGGCAATCGGTAGTGGAGGGGCAGGAACAGGGGTCGATGGTGTATACTGCAGTGGAGAGGATTGGCCGCTATTTTGGAGGACGTAACAACCTTTTGTGTGCAACCGGACATACCTGAACGTCCGCCTTATCTTGCGCGACATCGAGGGTCTGGAGAGGTCGGGACGCGTCATTGGGCGCGGAGGAAGTCTGCAGCCCTGCTAGGTCAATGAGGAAGTGCAGAGCACGGCGGCCGTCCTCATTCTTCCACGTCGCGCGGAGGAGATCATGCAAGCGTGAGTCCCGGAGTCCGACGAGGCGGTCTGTTGACAGACTGTCGAACTTCGAGGATGCTGTGACAGTCGGGTCCAGGAGACGCTCCTGATTGGACGGGAAGTCTCAGCGAGAGCGGGGGCCGCGCACGGGCAGATGAAAAAGCAACTCACGCGGAGGACTGACAAATCTTCTTGCTCCCGCACGAGACGCGACGCAGTCCGTTCCCATCCACGTCGCGCGGATAGCGATGATTCCAGAAGTGATGCATATGTTTGCGGCAGGGTCTGCAGTGCTTCCTAGCGAGAGGAGTGAGAAGTGTGGCGGGCCATACTGTCTCGGCTTCATACAGTACGCCTCGACACTTCTGTCTGAGAGACCGAGCCAGGTACCGGTGGTCTAGGTGTATTGATGAAGAGCGCGTGTATGGACAGAGCCAGGAGCAAACGTTCGAAACTATACCGATGCATCATCAGCTGGGTCTGTCTGGTCATTAAAAGAAGCTGCAAGAACCTACCGGTCGCCGCTGCATTCCTCCAGAAGGGACTTACGGACTACCACGTCTTGCCACCACCAGGCGTGCCTTTGTGGGGTCATAGTTTGCTTCGACTTCGTATCATCCGTGGCCTTCTGTCTATCATCCGCATGACTAGGGAACATACTACTGTGCCTCAAAGTTTCGAGATACTTGGCTAATGATATACGGAATGCCGTAGTATCCGCAGGTTGTAGACATGGATATGTGGATAAAATCTGTTGACGAGCTGATCAGCCACGATGCCCAAAGCCGGCAACGTCTACGCTTACTGATCTAGCACGTCCTCTCCCGCCCTCTATCTTGGCTACTAGGAAGTAGGAGATATCCTCCAAGGCCCTCGTGCGTTCCCGTATGCCGGTTCGCGTGGGATCAAAGAGACGTTCATCATATGCCGTAGAGTCCTTCAAGGATAGTCCAACAGGTGGAGATGTACCAAGATGAGCAATGTGTGTGGCAGGACGCTCATGATGGACCGGAGGAGGACCGGGCATGGAGGCCCAGGGTCCAAATATCCCGATCTACACACCCACACGACGCGACGCGTCTGCACGTGAGTCGTTCTTCGTCGCGGCCACCGTTGCCGCGTCGCGCAACTCGCCTCACGCGCTCTCAGCCACGGTCTCCACCCACCATACAATTCTCCTCTTAATGTTCTAGACCGCGGACGCCTTCCAAGTCTTCCTCAGACCTGCTTGAGTCGACTTCTCAGACAAATACTGGGCCGTTCCTGGATTGCGTGTCCTGCCTTGGGAATCTAGCTCGTGTCTATCCTCAAGACCCCGAGCAATATCATCGCGAGTGTACTCACGAGCCTCATTGGGGTACGTCCATCCATGCTTCGGATTCCGTACTCTACCAGATTTGCATTAGGACGACTCGCGTCGTGACGGCCGCCTTGGCCTGTCTTTCTCTGGCCTCAGTCACCTGTTCTTGCCAGGCCTTCTCCCGGAGACATCGGTCGTCTGTCATCCAACTTTCCGCCGCGCGCCAGCGTTATCTGATAAGGTGTGCATCGCATCTTCTCACTTTGTCTGCCGGATCCGACCGAGAATCAGAGTTCGGCCAGCGTCCAATGCCAGTTTTGCGCCTGGAGAACCACGGAACCTGCGTTGTGGCGCCTCGATGATATGCCAGAGCCTTCCCAAGGATGTGGGAGGATACGCGATGACAATGCCACTGGTGGGAGATTCCTGGCTGCCTTGTTCTTCGTAGTCCAATAAACGCTAATGTGTCTTCCACCCCTCCGCTTCCGCATGAAAGCTGGAACGTGTAAGATCTGAGGGCCTCCGTACGACGTCGGCTACGAAGGGGTACGGTCGCTCCTTCTACGACTCAATTACATCGATCATCAACGGGGCCGCCTCCTCGGGCCAGAATGAACCTGCGGAATACTGACGCGACTCTAGGCGACTCTACGTATGTTCTCAGTCTAAACATAAACCACAACTCAATTGCTAAACTGCGTCACGCTATACTGCGTCCAGCTTTGTTTTCTCGGGGCATCTTATCCGTCGTTGTGATCTCCGATCCCGGTCAGAAGCGATTCCTCCAATACACTTCGCTGGCTATACCGCGTCACAATTACGGTCCTCGGATCTGCTTTCCGTATGTCGTAATTGGCACAACCGGCGATGGGGTGACAGTTTAGTGAGCAGTCCGTACGATTTGACTTTTATCACGTATCCGGATCCTGTTCTCATGCAATAAGATGTGCTAGTTCGCCTCCTGAGTGTCCAATGATCCAGGGCGCCGGGATCACCACACCCTGCCAAGTGCCGTCTGGCTCGTTTGGCATCCCGCGTTACGCTCTTGGGGGTCGATATTTCCGCGTGCATGGCTTGTGACCACTTCTTACGATGCGTTCTCGCATATAGGGCGCGCGCGTATCTTATCAGACAAGCGGTCTCAACCTTATCCATTGCTGATACGTAAGTTACCTGCATTTCCAGGGTCGCTTCGGTTACGCAGGTTCGTGTCGACCGTCCCATGCAAATTACATGCAATGATGAGGCGAGTGGGAATCTAATCAGACTGGCGCTCCTCACGGAATGGAGGCACGGATCTAAAATTTTCATCAGCCCACGCCTGGCTTGCGACTGCCGCTGCCAGCAGTGGGAGGAAGTAGGATGGTGAGAGCTATATGGAGGAAATGCTGCTGCGTGCATGCCTTCGCTGAGCATGGACGTGTCAACAGACTTGATATCTCAGCCCAATCGGGCAGGTGAAGCAAACCATTTACCCAAAAGTCAGCTCTTGATCTCGGTGTCCATGGTGGCGAGCGCTCCAGACCCCAACGGAGCAAGCCTTAATAAGGGAAAGCGGAACACCAGCGGAAAGATAAGATCCAGTCACAAGCATTGTTTGAGACACGTAAGTTCCGAGAATCGGTTCGGCAGTCTGGGACCACTGTGTTTGTAGTCTCGCCGACTATTGCTCTGAATAGCCCTGGGGGAATGTAATGATTGCGCTCTCAAGAGACTGTGTCGATGCCGGAGGCAGCTCGGAGAAAGAGTGTGGCTACCATTCTCGGAAAAGATTAGATAAGCACCGAGAATGATCACCGGGCGTCTATGTAATGGGTCACGTCTGATTGGCTGGTGCGGGCTACCATCGCTATCTGTCGCTATATCTTTCTCGGACTCCTGGCGATTCTTTGTCCGCTCCCTTAACTCTTCCTCGACTCTAAACTCCTTTGTGGCCGTCGCGTCCCCGACTCCTCGTCGACCTGCCACCGCCCTAAGCTCGCCTCCGGGTTACTCGTTCAGGCTTGCCACCACCTCTCCGCGCATCGTGGGTTGCTCAGTCAGCAGATTGCCAGCACACCGTCCGAGCGGACTGCTTCGACCATGCCTGGTCCCGTTGCAGTCGAGTCTCCGCTCATGAACATGCATAGCCCTGCCATGTCGCCCATCTCACGAGTACAGTATGCGGTACACATGCATGCACAACCGCCGAATCACCCCGCTCAAGACATGGCCACACCGTCGTCCCCTTCACGCGTTGCGCTGCAGCCTCGGAACGGCAATGGGCCGTCATCTCCCTACCCTATGGGTTCCACGTTGCGCGAACGCAACGAGGGCAACATTGATCCTTCTCTTGCCCAGAACGGCCAGGCTGACGCATCCAGTCGCGTCAACTGTTGCGCAAATTGCGGCTCGAGCAATACGCCCCTGTGGCGCCGCGACGGAGATGGCAAGACAGTCTGCAATGCCTGCGGTGAGTCCCGCCTTCCTCGCAATTCCCCATCCGGCCCGTAGCGCCAGATATCGTCAGAGCACGACGGTCTATCGAGATCCTCCCAGAGGCACGTGTGAGAGGCATTCGAAGACTAGACGCTTCCTCGGTGGTAATCATATCGAGACCTCGCCTCTGACGCATGCCTACTGAAAGGGTAGCGCATAGATCGTCGAGCGCGCGGTATTCTATATGTTGGGGCATGCCAATCACCTCTCCCTTCTCCTATCATGTCTTTACACGTTTACTGATGCCCGTTCGCTCCCTGTCCGCCCCTTCATCCTCCACCCTCGCCGACCGCATCGCCTGCATGCAATCTCGTGTTGTTTCGCGCGACCATGATATTATCGCTTGGGTACGGTGCTAAAGGCCTTTATTACAAGGCCCACGGCTCACCTCGTCCCGTCGCACTCAGACGGACGTCTGTAGTTCCCTCAGCGACTCACCCGAACGCAGACACTGTCGACAGTCCTTCACCCTCACAGCCGCCGCAGCGACTTCTTACTCCAACGGCACAGGACCTCTCTCCCATTAGTATCGTACACTCCGTTTCGTCTATGCCGACCACAGCGGCGACACCCCTGCCTCCTGCGCAGGGCCCCCATCAACAGCGCCATTCACCGGCCTTACTTTCGCAAGCGAAGCCCAACGCCCAGGTGCAGAAACAAGCGCATGCGCCAGGCACTTGCCCTGGAGACGGACGTTGTGACGGTACCGGTGGCACATCCGCATGCTCTGGCTGTCCTGCTTACAACAACGCGCTTACCGCGCACTCTCAAGCTGTAGCTCCGAGCGGTGAGGGCAGTGTAGCGGCAGCCGGCGTGCCAATTGCAGCTGCAGACCTCTCTCAAGGCTCCGCCAACGGTCAACCTTCGATCCAGTCGACAGCTGGCGAGCAACAACTGCCTATGGATCAAACTAGCCCCTCTGTCAACGGACGTGCAAGAATGCGTGGTGCCGTAGGCGCACTCAGCTGCGCGAATTGTGGTACAAGTACGACCCCTCTATGGCGTCGCGACGATGCAGGCAACAACATATGTAACGCATGTGGTACGTGTCTCGTCGTTTGCTGTCTCGAATTTTTTGTTCCGGTCTTTCTCTATTTTGTCTTGCATCTTACGTGCGGTGCTTGTCGTTCGACCACCGGCGACGAGTTCAGCGAGTGGAGATGCGCTGTGATTGGTCAACGGTTTGCGCTCATTAGCCGCTATTTCATCCGTTATCTGTCTTGTGATACGGCCTTGCATCTTATCTGATATAGATGCTTGATCGTTGCTGCGGACCTTGCGCTTATGGCCAAAGATCATGCGCGAAATAATCATTGACGCAGGGGAGAGGCTGCTCGGCCTTCACCGAGAGGCGTACCATGGTGTTGGGACGCGACTTTCATGGTTAATCCCTTTTATATTGCATGCGCGGGAGGTCGAAGAGCGGCTTCAATTTTGGTCAAGCGGGGACGTGCAGCGCCAGAGGTCGTTCTGTTCCACCTTGCGCTCATCTTGACTCTGACGCGCCGTCGTTGGCTTTCCCCTTTGAAACTTCCCCGCTGTCCAAGAAAGCTATAGCTCCCTGGTTTCTGCCCTATCGTGATCTGGACAAGGTCGCTAATCACTTCATTTCCTTGTCTTCTCCCGTGTCGCTTAGGGCTCTACTACAAGCTTCACGGAACGCATCGGCCCAACTCGATGAGGAAAACTGTGATCAAGCGGAGAAAGCGTGTCCCGGCCGCCGCTGGCGCTCCTGGGTCCCCACTCAACAGGATCGCATGACCGATCAGGCGGCAGCAGAAGTACTTGCCAGTGTGCGAGGGGGTGCGAGCGGGGGTGCTGGGACGCAGGACGAGAGCGAGGAGATCAGCCAAAGCGTAAACGCGCGCGCAAGTCTCGCGCGTCGAAGGGTCAGAAGGAGGGGGACGATGGGATGGACGTGGATGAGGATGACGGGGACGATGAAGATGGCAAGCCGGTACGCAAAGCCAGACGCGGTCGTGGCAGCGCAGCTGCTGGCAGTCGTCGCGGTAGCTCGCGCGAGTCGGCCGCTCCTGTGGTTTGGGGAGAGATCATGCATCCTCAATCTATGGGCGAAGCTGGCCCGTCCTCCTCGCCACACGCGTCGCGCGCGGGGTCGATCCCTGCTGGCGGACCCCATGGGCATCCCTTCCCTCCCAATCCTCATGGCGGCTACAACCTCCCGCCTCTGACGGCTGCTATCAACGGGGAGATGCCCATGGCGATGGCGATGTCGATCATGAACATGCAAGGCGCGCCCGTTCCTGGAGCGACCCCGAGCTACGCACGGTCCGGCTCTCAAGGTGCCGGCGCCCCCAGCAGGACGCATTCGCCCCTCGCTGGGCCTGGCATGTCGGCCCCTCCTCCGGGCTACGTTCTCCCGCCTCTCGGACATGGAGTCCCGCCGCCGCCGCCGCACACGTTCGTACATCACCATGGACACCCGTACTACCCACCTCAGCAGGGCGGGCAGCCTCTGGTGCCAACCATGCAGGAGCTCGAGCGGCATTACAACGATTTGGGAGAGCAGAGGCGGAGGCTGGAGGAGATGATGGAGAAGACCGACCGGATGTTGGCTGGTGTCAGGCGTGGTCTCGACGACATCCGCGCGAGCCAGCAGCAAAACCAGGCTTCGCAGGGTCCGACATCGCAGAGCCAGTCGCAGTCTGGTTCGGCCACGTCCGTGCCTCTGAGCAGGAGCGAGCGGCCGCAGAGTAGGGTAAGTGTGTGGCCCGTTGCCCCGCCCGAGGCGTCGTCCCGCGAAACGAACAAATAGGATGTTGGACCTGGAGGTCTCAAGATGTCTGCGATTTTTTCCAACTAGGTTCAGTGACTGTTGCTTCCCCGTCGTCTCGTATACTATACATGCCTGGCGACTGTTGTTATTTCCATGCGTGTGGACGATATTATATGCTACCGTATAGTTCCCCTCCGTTTTTATGTCGATGACGGTTCGTATCAGGTTCGTATGTTATGTAGTATCTCAAAGATGGCAAACATATAGATAAGATAGTGTTCATGTTCGTCGAGATCGCGCTAACGCACACAAAAATCTAATCAACGAGCCAATTTCACGTGCGAAGGGTCAGGCGACTGGGCAATTGTACTCCGCGAGTCGTTGGCCTCGACCCTTGACCACTCTCATACCACACCCAAGCCATGGCGCTCGACGAAGACGAGTCTGTGCGCATCGCCGTGCGTGCTCTAGGCGATATGAAGAACGGCGGATTCGCCTCGACATCGACATGTGAGTCTACTGTGCTTGTGAAGGCATCGGTTAACCAGTGCATGTAGCGGTCCAGCCTACTCCAGCTCTTTCTGTAACATCAGGGACATCCTCGCCGTCCTTGCCTTCACCTGTCTTCGAGGGAGAAGATCGCATGTTGGGGTCCATGTCGGCAGGCAGTGAAGATCGCCTGGGGTTGCGGCCAGGAGATGATGTCGATTTCGTCTCGCGCATGTCTAGCCTGCCCATCGTGAACACGGCGTTGCGAGCGTACGAACAGGGCAAGGCTAGCTCCAGGGTGGTGAAGGTATGCCCTCCCTGGTGGCTCATGCACACCCCGCACTCACTGAACCTGTGCAGTATGGTGCGGAGATGATGGAATCCTCCGTGAAATCCATCTCGCGCCCTGTTATGGGTCGCCTCCCTGTGGAACAGCTGGACGATTTTGCATGCAGACAGCTTGATAGGGTGCGTGCCCCCCGTTGCCCGTCAATTCATCTCTGTCTGTACGTCTCCCGGCTGCTTGCTCTTGTGGGACGCTAGCGCTTGCAATGCATCCTTGATCCGTATGCGTGGCTACAAGGAGGACGGACTCAGTAAGAGTAAGAGTGCGGGCTTGCACTATAGCCATGTGGAACCGGTGTTGCTCATCGCGGGCAGCTTGTCGGTGTGAAGCTCAGCCTCTTGATCATGGTTTACTACAGCCCCGTGGGGTCTACAGGAGTCCAGCGCTGCAAGGCACGCGTTGATCGGAACAAGTGGCGCGTTCATTATTTTCGTGGATATCTGTTTCGTGGATATCTGTGTTGCATTGTTATCGGGTATCTGCTGACCTCCTCTCAGTTTGAAAGCTACAGACGACGAACACCTAGTCGGGATCGTGAAGGCGAACGCGGGCGTAGATCCAGCTTCTCGTACGATGATTCAAATCCAAGTCGATCCGTCGAGCGGTATGCAACGAGAGATGTATCAATGATTCGCGAATTGTCTCGTGAGAGGAGCGGAACGAACGAGAGACAAGCAGAAGGTTTGTATGTGTGTGCCAGATCGCCAACACTCAAAGAACTGACAACAACACAGCAGGCCCTTCGTTTTCCAGAGCGATTCCACGTCGCGGTCAAAGCCACACACCAACACCTCACTCTCCGTCATCCTCGAGGTCTTCTCACACAGATGCAGATGACGACACCTCTAGACACCAACATCAACGTCAACGTGGCTCAATATCTGCTACACCTTCACCAACCACCGAGAGTCAGCAAGTCGCACAGCGTAGCCGATGGCAAGCTATGCTGCTTGAGGCTGGAGGCATCAGCGCTGCGTTCAGCGAAGATAGCATGAGACGATTGCGATACTGTTTACAATGGCTACAGGTTTGTATACTATGGTCGTCTGCTCGAAACGTGCTCACCATCCCTCTCCAGTATGCCACAGGTCACATTGATGCTCAAATGCTCGTCCTTCGGGACTTCATTGCCTCGCTGCAGACAACATCTCCGTCGGCGGCGGCAGCCGCGATATCCGCCCAGCACCTTCGTACGTTGAACGCTGCCAAGCGCGACGTGGTCGAAACCATCCGACAAGTGGTTGACATTGTCAGCCGATACGCTGGCGGAGCATTACCTGAACCGGCCCGCACGCGTGTGCGGACGTTCATCCTCCGCTTGCCCCGCCGCTGGGCGGAGGCCTCAGGTGATACACACCACCATGGCCACGGAGTCGATGGTCGCCCAAACGGTGGTGCTGACAGAGTCGACATGCGCCGCAGTACAAACGTTGCTCCGTATAGCTATGGTCCGGGTGAAGCAGGACCGTCACCACGTTCTCGACCTCCTTCCCGTGCTACCTCGCCCGGCCATACTCGGGCACATTCGCGACAGGCGAGCGCAACGATGGGCGCCACACCGGGTGGTGCTCCCACAACTGTCGACTCCGCCAACCAAGCCGCTCAGCGCATCCTAACGCTCGCGACTGAAAGTTTGGACATGCTGCGCGGCGTGACCGCAGTGGTATCCGAAAGTCTCGAGAGGGCCGATGCGTATGTGTTCAAGCTGTTAGTCTGGACGAGTGCTCATCCCTTCATATGTTGTTGTAGTTGGGTGGAAAGGCTGCGCGTCGTAGGTTTGCAACGTCCGAACGGGGAAACAAGCCCCGGTGCGAATCTGGATGCCCCGCCTGATATCGACGCAGTTCTTGACCCACGGTTGCGAGGCGAGGCGTATCGAGACCAACGCTCGCATCGACAGCCTTATTCTCACTCCCCATCATCACCACTCTCACCCTACGCCCCGCTGTCTCCCCTCTCGGCGTCTGGGCGTTCTACGCCTGCATACGTGCCATCTCGCAACAACTCAAGCTCGGTACTCAGTATGGGGCCGCCAGGCTCGCTCTCGAGCAGTTACTACTCGACTACTTCTCTAGATGCTGGCGGTGCAGCCGTCTCATTGGATGCGTTGTCTCTGACATCTCACTCCGCTGCAAGCTCTCGTTATGCTACACCAAAGCATTCACATTCTGCACTGCCTTCGGAGGGCGATGGCGATAGTCCGGTGTACATGTCAAGAAAGAGGGCGGGGAAGCGGCCTGCAGACAGTAGTGGCGACGATCCGACAGTTGTGGCTGCCACAGCTCTCGCCGGACTAGCTGGCTCAGCGAAGAGGGCCAAACAGGAGCCGAACACGGACGAAAAGATGGACATGGAGCCTTGAGGTCACTGGTCTGATACAGATCCTATAACGAACGGTCCCCTTAGCTGGCCGCCCGAACATGAACACTGATGCGGATGGTTGCCGGTGCAGCTTGCAGCCCCGTAAGATACTCGATAAGTCCCATCCGTGCTATATGTATCTTTCTCCTGTTGCTACTATCTATCCTGCTGCACTGTGTCGTCTCGATATGAGATTACAGGACTATCGAACGTTTGTCCACTGCCCTTGTACTTACGCTAGCCGTTCACCTCGTCTCTCGTCGCCATCGATCGTGGATCTTGGTATCCACCACACCCTGAGAGTCCATGATGGGTGTGAACACCTTAACAAAATTCGATTCTGCAGCTGCAGCTACTCATGGTAATGTCTCTGCATTGTCCTGTGTATCTGAGGCTCAAGCAGCAGTCCGCGTTGATTGTAATCCGACTGCAAACCTGTATATTCTCTGTATGCAAACCGTACATCGCGGCACGGTCCATGGTAAGTTCGCCATGTATCGTGAAGTGCCGACGACAGTACATATACATATGTTGCAGAGCAATCAGATAGACTAACCGAGCGTAGGTTGCGCTACCCTCCATGTCTACCGTCCTCCACCATCGATGTGTGTCCAAACCATTCATGCATACCGACAGACCAGCAACCAGTTGTCGCGATGCCGGACCAGACGTTCACTCCACCCTACTCATGATGAAAGGGCCTTCCAGCGGCACCGCGCGGGTGTTGTCCGTCCGCACGCGCCAGGATCCTACGAAGTTCTTCCCTCCGACGATGTACCCGCGGAAGATGTACACACCGAATCGGCCGGGCGGCTGCAAGGGCACACGGACGAGGGCAACGAGACCGTCCCAAGGGCGGATACGACCGTAGCACTGGAAGTGATACCAGCATTACCGTGGTGGGGTCGAGTCTGCAGACGAGGGCGGAGTTAGCGGCCGTCATGATGAAGCTTGAGAGAAGCCCGTACCTCGCCGGTGATGATGATATCTGCACGCCCGTGCACGTAGTCTCCCTCCTGTACTCTTCGGCGCCGTCGTCGTCATCCGACGGAGACGAAGGCCTTCCGTCAGCACGTCGTCGATCAGCTCGTCAACGTCTTGGCCTAAGGCTGCGGTGACTGCTGCCCGTGTATCTTCGAGCGCTCGCTCACCGTGTGCATCTTGATGTTCGTCCGAATCGGGGGAGGATTGCGCTCACGAGGAGGGGAAGCACCCGCCGACGCCTTCCTCCTATGTCGCTCGACCTTCTCGGCCAGCAGAGCGTCAGCTGCCTTCTGTCGCGCGACGCACGTCCTGCAGGTTTCCGGATTGTGAGAGTTCCTCTGGCCCTCAACGAAGGTCTCATATACCGCTGCTGGCTCATTGATACGCTGAAGATTGCGTAGGCGTACGATACCGTTCGCTTCGCGGACGTCGAACGCGGACGGCAACCAGGCGTGGTTGATGCCGTCGTCGTTATCGTTGGGATTGCCGCCGCAAGGCGCAGGACGGGCGGGCGAGACGCAGTGGTGCTCGCGAAGTTGTAAGTAGACCGGATGCATGAAAAGGTGTGGATTCTCAGCCGAGAAGTCAGGCGGGAAGTTGACGGATTGGACGGCCGCAAAGTACTGCTCGGGGTGAGGGCTCTGATACGAAAGCACTCAGGTGAGTTAACCAAGATATAGGAAGCATGTACGCACGAGATGCAGACCCTTCCAGAGGCCGGTGAGGGTTCCGTATTCATAGGTGACGGCCATCGGTCTTAGACTGTATGGATCCACGCAACCAACCATGCGATTGAAGTCGCACTCCCACTGCGCGCTAGGGCTACGCATGCCCCTCGTCCATCGCGGTGCGTCCTCCCGTTCGCGCTCTTTGTCGCTCATGTTATGATACCAGTCCCAGTCCGCCTTCTCCAGCAATTTCACGGGAGATGACGCGTTGTATTCCTCAAGGTCAGCTCGCGTCTCGCCCACACCTGTGCGTCCCAGCGCGAGCGCGTGGGCACGATCCGCTGGCATACTCGGCGGGATGATCAACGGCTGCCAATAGAGCGTGAAGAAGAGTAGTTGGGCGCCCAGAGCGAGGAGCGGTTCCGTGATCTCGAGCAGACCGCCGTAATGGTCGATGTGGTGTATACTCTCCTCGGGAGTACGGTATAACGGCCAGAAACCATGCGGGGTGGGAATCTTTTGACGGTCCGTGAGCATCGCGCGGTCCGGCCGCATTGGCAAGGCGAAATGACAATCTGGGGCGTGGAAGGGTGGATACCGGGTACCTATCAGTGCGTATGGACGGACGAGTTCGAGGATGCTTGCACGTTGTTCGCTTGGCAGGGCGTCGAGTTTATCTGGCTAGGCATATGTCAACGAACGGCAGACATCCGTGAACAACTGACCTGAGTTCAACCTGTACCAGAAAAGCCACACGGCAAGCGCATTGACGGCGCTCTCGGACGGCCAGTCACCGCTCTGCTCGCGACCGTCCCAGAGCCTCTCTAGGATAAAGCGACGAAGGAGATCGTCAAGGCAGGCCCAGTCTAACTGTTCGCCGTTCTTGCCATCGTTCTCCAAGGCCATCAGCACAGCGGTCCAGAGATCATCCTGAAGAAACTCGGAATCCAGGTCACCGCTGCGTATACGCTTGAGCACGATGCAGCACTTCTTCAGCTGCGCGGCGTAGTTTTGGACGTGCAACTCGTCACTAGCAAATCGGCGACGGGGGGCACGGACGTCGAAGTTGCTGCGATAGATGCGTGCATAGAGTGGAGCGCAATGCTCGAATACGAGGGAGTCGTGGATCGTCTTGCAGGACAAGAGCAAGGGAACGATGTCCTTCGGGGGACCGTGGGGCGTGCGGAGGAGTGCAACCTGCAGAGCGATTTCGACACGGATCTCGAGAGGGAGGAGACACAACGGCGATGATTGGATTGCCATAGTAGATCGGATGGTGGACGGAGTGGGCATCATCCGGAGACGGGGTTCAAGACGGGCTATTAAGAACCGGCGGTAGGACGGCGGCTAAGTGGCCCGGCCCAGACATGGGGAGGGCAATACGCTGGGAAGACCGGAGGCAGGTCAAAATACTCTGGCATCGCCACCACCGCTCCCCGCTCGCTTGATCGGGGTCTTGCGCAGAGTCGCTGCAAAAGGAAGGTGCACCCCAGCACGTTTGATTCCCTGCATTGGATTGATCGGCTTCTGCTATAACTGGATCTCGTCCCGGCCTCTTCATAGCTCTCTGTCTGGCCTGGATCGCGGGAGAATTCGTCGCTCGTCATGTCCTGGAGGATGAATACGCTGTCAAATTCAAGTCGTCAGTCAGGATTGTAGTGGAAGCGACGCCCTCGTGTTTGAACCTTGGGGCGTCGGAGTGTGATGGGAATTCAGGACGCCCGCCGTGTCATTGGACTTCCGAATACAGGGTCGGTGTTGAGATTCTGTGGCACCTCAAAGTCAGCGAAACTTCGGAGATGCGACAGGTATACGTACACCCAATGCAGGGACAAGAAGATAGTCGTTGATTCTCCGCTCCAAGGTCATGCCGTCTATGTTCTCACTCTTCGGCCACGACATCGACTGGCCATTTCCCGTGCCTATTCCGTTTCAGACAAGGCACCTCTGAGAGTCTCGTTCTGCTCAGAGTGGCACACTATGTACGCGGCATTTGTCCAGTTGTCGAGTTACACATCCGAAGGCTCTCTCCAAACGACCACACGGGCATTTGTAGTGCGGACTTCAATGATCCCGAAGTCGACATCTGCCCGCTCTTTGCCGAAGAACATCTCGTCAGCATCATCATTCCTGCACGTCTCGACGGTCTCGTTACTCACTGTAGTTCGCAAATCGCGCTCTTCCGCTTACGCCAGACAGAACACGTTCGAGGACAATTTGTAGTGAGTCCACAAAACTCAGTCGGCAACCCAATCGCAGACGGAGTCCGGACGTGGGTGGAGAACTAGACCGAGGCTAACTGTCGTAATGGCGTTACCAATCATTATCATTCGAGGATCACACTAACGGGGCCGCATGCGCGTTTGTCCCTTGGTTGCGTTGCTCCGCTGTTCTGTATGACCGATCTGCTGCGAGTTTAAGTTGTCAGGCACCATTACACTCGTCTTCGTGAGATGCGCAACCTCACCGGACACCCGTTGCCTTCATATCACATCGGGTAGCCTGAGAGCATGGTGAATGTGGGAACTTTGCGTTCGAACGTGCCAGGTCTCGTGGATACACTACGCTTCGACGTGGACGTCATGTCATTGACTCGGCCGTATCCTCTGCGACGGGCGCACACGAGGATTCGTTTCTGAATGTCTCTTTACACATATCATTCATCGGCGCGCTTTAGCTGGAAAGCCCGTGTCATTCGTGAGAACACTTTTCGGCATTCCCAAGTAGACGGAGACGGCTTACCGGCGTGTTCACCCAAACCAGCTCGCATCTGTAGCAACTGCGCGCGGTCGATCCATCATCCGACGAGCTGCGAGTAGTATGAAAGAGATAGAGGGCTCAATAAGGGCATATGGCGATTCATCGCTCGTCCCGGAGCGCCATGGGCAACGCCTGATTTGGACGTACTCGCGACAACGCAAATTGTTGCGTCACAAACGCCTGCGGGGGCGCTGCGGCAGGGGCGGTGGGATGTGGTCATGTCGTCCGTGTCAGGGGGTCGGATAAGTGACAATCCCAGCCATGGAAGAGCAGCGCGGACTGAACACTGTTGTCAGTCGAGATGGGCGTGTCCAACAAAGAACACCGTCGCAATTGACGCCTACGTAACACGGGGATAGACTGGACACCAGCGCCTGTTGAGGACTCGGAGCGCGCGCGACTCACCTGGTTCCAGTCTGCTCCCCAGTCACTGAGGCCGCTCTCCGTCCAACTTTCAACGGGCACTCGCTATAGCAATGGTCTTGTTGCTGTAACTGTCTTCCCCCACACCCTGCCGAAGTGCTCGTTGACGACTCTGAGTAACAGCCTGAAGATGCAAATTTGCCAATGAGATCCATCTACAGTGTAATGCCCGTCTCTGATATAATGCAGCATAGAAAAGTCTCGATGATAGACAAACCAAAAACATCGTAGATGCACGGAGGCCTGAGCACAAGGCGGTTCGCCTGGTGCATCAGACTTCGTCGTTGAAGCCACCCATGGCTCGAATCGCTTCGGCTAGCCGCTTGTACTCACGAAGCAGCTCACCCACTTCGGACACCTTAATATCGTCCTCGGTACACGCCAAAAAGCGGGGATTAGGTGGCGATACTCGAATCGCTATGGGTGACGCAGCACGGGACGAGGCGGGCGTATCGAAGCGGTTCGTCGCCGTCGTTGCCGGAATAAGGAGAGAGGAACGGCGCGAGCCTGGTGGTGATGATGCCTGTATGGATGCATACTGTGTCCGATGTTAGCGCACGAGTCGGACTCTATGCCACAGAAATAGCCATACCTTCGCCGCTTCGCTCTGTGCAGCATGCGACAGGCGTGAAAGACCCGGCATGCTAGCCAACCGGTCCGTCAAACTCATACGGCCTCCACCGACGAACTTGCGCTTTCCTTTTCTACGTTTGTTCCGTTCGCTCATCATGCTCTCGAAACTGCGGATGCTACGAGCATCGTGGCCAGGTCTTCTTCTTCCTCTTCTCCTCTCGTCCCCTTCATCTCCCGTAGTCCCTTCTTCTGATGTGGTGGTATCGTCTTCGGGTGCCCTCACGGAACGACTCGACCCCGGCTCGAAGGACCTCTATCATCTGCTGACCGCTTTCCTCACTTTGGCCCGGTCGACTGGCACGGGCCCCGGGCAACGATGCAGCGAGGCTTGCAATGGAGAACCCAGTATCCCGCCGAAGATACCAAAACCGGACGCGAGGACTCTTCGGTCGTCTCAGCAGCGGGTGTGGTGGCCGCAATTGGACTCTGGCTTTGGCCAGGAAGAAGGGAACGCAAGACACCGAAGGACGAATCAACTACACCCGATAGCACCTTGTTCGCGGAGCCGGTGATGGCATCGACTTGCTGTTCCACGCGCCCGCGAAGGCTAGCTGATATAGCTTGAGGAGACGGCGGCTGCGCGCCGCGTACACTGCGTGCGAGGGGCATTGGACTGAGCTGTGCAGGACTGTGGATACAAATTAGCAAGCAGGTCCCTGCGAGGCGGAAGGTTGTCCACTAGGACAGAAGGCGGTAGAGGCGAGATGATAGGACATACCTCAATACCGTATTCTCACTGTCTCCTAGTCCAAGAGCTGCTAGATCCACATTCTCCAAGAACTCCGCGACAGCCATGAGATTGACGAGGCAGTAGCCTTCTTCGCCACCTGCAGTGCTCTCCCTGCGGAAACGTTGAATGTACAACAGGTTCGAAACGAGTCTCGGTGGGTTCGCCTTCACGACAGCAAAGATCATCAGCGGAAGAATGACATCGCCAGATACTGGCGTAGGAGAGGATGTCCGAGAAGACGCCGTGCGAATAGGAGACTGGCTTCGCAGAGACGCAGAACGAGGAGGGATCAAATCAGAGGAGACAGACGAGGCATCCTGGGTTGCCGGGGTAGGAAGATGCATTCCTTCAGAGGCAGAAGAGATGTCGACAGGAGATAGCACAATGGTTGGTGACACAACCGGCTGATCCGGCTCAGAATCGACGTTGCGTAAACCAGGGACGGGTTCCGTCGTGGTCGTCGGCTCTTGCTCGTCGACGTCGTTGTCGTCTTCGGCACTATGCCGCCCAAATGTCGTTTTCGCGCGAGGGGTCTTCGCGTCGTCGAGGATCTCATCTTCAGGCTTGAGCCCTATCGGAGGTAGCTTCGCAAGGCCATCTGTGCGATGCAGCTGCGGTGAGACCAAGTCGGTGAAAGACTCGAGTAACTTACCGACAATGATCTTGTGTACGGACACTAGCACAGCAGCCTTCTCCGCTGGCGAACGGGCCACTGTATCGAGTTGCACTAGCGCTGTTCGCCAATTGAAAATCAGCAATCCAATCGTGTGTTATTGCTCGTCATTGGGCCGCAAAGAGCCGCGCAGCTAACGCAAATGAATGGAAGACGCGAAGGCACTCACCCTTCCCACATCTGCCGACTACTGCCTCCACCTCCTTGCTGGAATTGCCGACGTCAACGCCGAGATGACCAAGACCTAAGTCCAGAAGGTTGACCGCCGCTATACGACTGGAAAGGGCTTCGTCGTGTTCAGCGTCATCCGCGCTTTCAGGGAGGAACAATCTAGGCGAGTTTCGGCGATTTGTCAGTACATCGTTCCAGGGACATCAAGAAGTAACCTTCAGGGTCACGGAGTCCAATGGGGCAGCCCACAGACCCTTAGCCACGGGGCGCCCCCCAGTAGGAAAGGTTTCCGAACGATAGATGGTGAAAGGTACGCACCTATCATAGAGAAGACAACACAAGACACGCTCGATAGCATCCATCGTGACCCGAATTTGTGTCGTTCTCTTCTCTTCCTCGCCCATTTCCGTCTCATCGGCGGCTTTTTCCTCCGTGACATCGTCTGTCTCGCTGCCTCCTCACTCACACTTGGGGGACCGACGTCTCCACCATCCTCCTTAGCATGCTGCGTCGCCTTGCCATGCCCTTTGCGTAACTTGTGTCCACTCTTCGGAAGGCGCGCCCAGAGCATGTCTTCGAGGTCATTGTAGAACTCCTGAAATTTGTTCGACACATCTTCGGCTCCTTGCGACGGGTTCGTGGCAATCACCCACTCGCCACTTCCCCTTCCACGGCCACGGCCACCTCCGCTGACAGCACGCGCTACTGCGCCAGGGTCTCCATTAGGGCTGAGTTTCCGTGTGGAGGATTCCGTGTCCCGATAGTGGTAGCACGAACGAAGGGAAACAAGGTTCGGCAAACTGTTTGACGCGCTCTATGGCCCATGATGGCACGCCCGCATCTCCGAGCACAGCACGCATTTCCCCTCGGATGACATCGGTCAGGGAGCGACCCAAGGTCGCACGATCAACGCGAGTGGATATGGTGAAGGCAGGCACGTCAAGTGAGTGCTCTGCGGGGCTCGTACGGTCCGGAGATGGCGTGACTTGTGAAGACAGAGACCCTGTAGGGTGGACCCTGGCGTCGTTAATGAGAGAGGGTTGGGTTCGGAGTGGAGAGGTGTCGGGGCGGTTGACGGGCTGGCCGGTGGCGTGGCGCGACCGAACAAAGAAGCAAATGGGTTCGAAAGGCGCGATGCGGGATTCGCCGGACCGCTGGGAACGCGTGCACCTGGTCGAGGGGGAAGCGGCGGTTTGGTAGTCACGGTCGGGCGCGGTGGGATGGGAAGGCTGGAGAATAGGAATGTGTCTTGAAGGTCGGGTATTGGAGTGAAGATTGTATCGACGAAGTAGACGAAGATGGAGACGGCGGGACCAGAGTGGCCGATGCAAGAAGTGAGTTTGGGAGAGGGGGCAGAGCTGACAGGGCGGAAGACCGCGCCGCCGGATTGAGGAGCGCTTGAAACGACGTGACGAGGGCGGTATGGTAGAACGGAAGGTTAGCGTAGTACTTCAACATTATTAGCGTTGGACCATCAATCAACGAGACTAGCTCACTCCGTTAGTGCGCCACGAAGTCCAGACAGGTCACAACCGGAGCATTATTTCGACCCGTTCCGTCACACAGCGCGATGTGGTCTTTGATAAATTCCGGAGTGATCAGATCGTTCGAACGATGATGATCCAGAGGCAGAAGTAGAGTAGCCTGACAGGTCGGTCCCCATGCGTAATCAGCACGGAACACAAGAAACGAGGAGTCGCAATATACCTTGCTGAATGACAGTGCATTCCATATGTCATTCCACTCCGGCCCATGATCAGTTTCAGTGCTTAGCCGCTCAAGGATTGCCCAGCCCGTGGTTGTTGTATCCAAGCCCATACGCTGGGTAGCAGCCTTCAGACTCATTATTTGTAGCTTGCTAGTTGCATCGCTATGCGATGCACTCTGCTGGCCAGAGGTACTTATGCTGGGCTGCATAGTCGTCCCGGATGTCGCAGATGTGGGGGTAACCCGATGACGAGGAGTATACGGCACATAACGAGGCGCTCCAGAGACCGACTCCGCAGAGGTGGTTGTGGTTGTGGTTGTAGGCGACCCAGGTGCCGCCGGCGAAAGGAGGGGATGCGTAGAGAGACTCTCATGAGATGCAGTGCGCGAGATGGACGGGTTGCGCCCGATCGAGCCCGTAAGAAACAGACTGTCTCGTTTCGAGGACATGTCGTGTCTGGTAGATGTAGGTGAGCCCGCCCACTCAATCTCACGACCCTTATAGTACAATCTGCCAGAAGACTTAGTCAGAACGTCGAAATACACTGCGTGCAAAAGCTTACAGTCAATCTGTGACCAAGCGAACCAGACAGAGGATGTGAGTAAGCCTGCAGCCTGTATTGCCAGCAGTGCGAGCGAGAACCAGGATGCTGCCTCGCAAAGGAGCTGAGTTTGTCGAAATCGTCTGAGGCTGATCGAGATGAGGAGAGGGACAGCCGTCACGACGACGGCGAGAGGTAAGGTCGAGGGCCAGCGCCCGGTTGTGCGCGGTCATACCACGCGAGAATCATAGCGCGTCGCGTTCAGCGCTCGTGACTTGGTGCGGATCGTCCCGCTCGAGTCGGACCCAATTCAGACAATCTCCCTGTTTAGACTTCGGTACTCCTTGCTCACTCTTTGCACACTAGCTTGTCCTCGGAATATCTCAGTATATCTCTGAGATGACAGAATATAAGCCTGATGTGACGCGTCGACCCAAACAATCCTACAGGAGTACCAACGGGTTCACAGACGATGTTCGTGCTCGTATGAAACACCACTCGATTCCAATCTGCACATCCCCGTGCCGACTTGGATGCTACGAAAGTAGCGGAACACCAAAAGAACATACGCGATGCGGTAGAGCGACGCCGGTTCGCGGAAGATCTACTCTTGCTGAAGGGGTCGTATTTCCCCGGGTATGTGTCGACTTGGGTGTGTGTACGGGAGTCGTAGCCTGACTGAGTGCCAGAAATTTCAGCGTCGCCGTGGCAAAGGAGCTAAACGAACAGCCTGAGACGGCTGCTGCTGTGAAGGAACGCATGGATGACCTGCGAAACGCCATATCGAAGAAACACAAAGGATCTACGAGTGGCAAGCAGAGGATCATCATGCGAAGCTATAGACAGGTATCTGTCCAAGAATGATGCGACTCTGACTCGCGTATAGATGTGAGCCCTTTGGTGATACTATTTTGGTCGCTGTGCTGAGGATATATTGCATGCAGGCCCTGTATCGATCCTGCATGTGCCCAATCCGCACGAGAAGTCCACCTTTGATGACGCAGTCTCGTCTCTGCGTTATGCACACTTGAAACCCTTACTGGGCTTCGACGCCAGTATGCAACCCTGCCGCTAAGGAGAAGAAGAGCGTCGCAGACGCGATGCCCAGTTTCCGTTGGACTTGGCGGCCTTTCATGCCATTCAGAGCAAGGATACCGGGTGAGTCAAATTCCTTTTCTCTATACTCGGACTCGGTCTAATGTCGTTATCGATAACAGCTGCGCATTGCTAAGTTCTTGACCTCGACGATCAAGGCAAAGAGCGCATGTTCTCTGAATACCGGTGGGTGTGGAGGCAGGTTAAGACCCTGTTGGATGAGTACAAGACCAACGTAGGTGATTGACCTGCTTCGCAACTATCAGTACTGACCACATCCAAACAGGAGACTTTCAAGGCAGAGATCACGGCGTTATTGCGAGAGACAGAGACACACGACCCTCGTCGCCGGCCAACAGGCTCTTGAGCGCGGCGGCCGTATGGAGATGGACTCCTCTGATGACGGCTTGCGCAATATCGACCATTCATGGCTGTTGGAAACCTTCCATACTTCTACGACGTGACGGACAGTGGTTCAGTTCACGGCTCGATAAGATTCATTGTACTCATCATACGTTTCGTCGACAGATGGTGCAATGCGCAATGTAAATATGATCAATAAACCTGGATAAATGGAGCTGATGGATACAAATCGTCGTGATTGACTTCGCCTTCATGTTATACGTACATGCTATCAAGCTTACATCTAGCTAAAGTCGATGCCTGGGTATGCTGCTGGAGACCATTGACCCTGAGTCAACATCAGTTACTCTCAAGCTCCACCGAGTAATTCAGAATTGAGACTGCGTAACGCCTCAACTGTCTCATCATGGAGACCTCGCGCAACGTCCTGACCAGGGAAACGTAAGTGATCTGACGGACAACAGCGACATAGGTTGCGGTGGGACTTACAAATGCAGGCTGGATGCTCTTCAGCTCGGCCACTCCCAGACCAGCATATATCAGAGGGTAGTCCTTGTCGCTGTCGATTTTCGTGCGTAGCTGAGCCTTGAGCGTCTCGAGCTCCTCCTTCGCCGACTCCGACTGCTTTGCCGTCAGCTCCGCCACGCGGGCTTCGTAGGTAACAATGCCGGTTTTCAAGCAGCGTGCTTGTATCCCATCAGGCCAGACGTTGTCAGGAAAAATGACGTCGAAGATCGGACTTCTGGCTGTAGAGTCCGCCCCAGCTTCGATGAGCAGCTGCTTCGCCTCACTCGGCAACACGCATTCGGGCGTGAAGAGGAAGCGCGTGCCCACGATAACCCCGCGGCACCGGTTTCCAACAGTTCCGCGATCTGAGAGCCCTTGGTGATGCCGCCGGCAGAGACGAGGAGCGGGTGATCTGGTATGGTCTCCGCGACAAGCTGGAGGAAATCCTTCGTTGAAGGGGAGTTGACGTTTGCCCGGCCGCCGGCTTCGTAGCCTACATAAAAGAGAATAAGATCAATACACCACCACGATGTGATCAGTACGCCTACATACCCTGCACGACGAGCACATCTGGCTTCCATTCCTTAGCTACACGCGATGCCTCCTCGACCGTGTTGACCGTCACGAACACAAGAGTCTTGTGCTCGTGCGCGGCGTCGAATTCTCGCACTTCCGCGACATACTTCCTGAGGTCACGCCCGTACGCAAACAAGACTGCGGCCACGTTCTTTGCGAGCACAGTCTTGACAGTAGTCGGGTCCGTTCTGTCGAGAGCCCATCCGACGAAACCGACGCCAACGAGGTGCTGCTTCTCTGGTGCCACCAACGCGCGGGCTTCGTCTATATCAGCCACGATCTTCGCCGCGCTGGAGCGTCCTGACGATGGGTGGAACGATCAGCAAAACCAACTTTGTCGTGCGAGGTTTGTGTATGTCGAACCTGAGCCCAAAAACCCGAATCCTCCGGCATTGATTACAGCTGCCACCAACGCCGGCGTCGTGGCGTCGGTCATTGGCGCTGAAATGATCGGGCTAGTGACGTCTAGAGGTAGAGATCATATAAGCAAACGCCTCCCAGAAGCAATTGGAACACCAACTGAGAAGGCTTGTGAGCTTGGTGGAGACGGCAACAGACATTTCGGCTAGCAAGTCAGCTGCAGAGTAGGACGCAATGGGCCTCCCATGGTTCACAGCGCAGCATATATATATGTGACGACTCCGCCATCTCACGCAACAGCGCGGACATACTTACAGATCGCTTGAAACATGCCATGGCGGGCATCACGGTGGGATGGGTGCCGCCGAGGATCTGCTGATCGTTCCGTGATCTGTGTGGTGGTTCAGACTGCTAGTCCGAGTAAGCCGCGGACGATGCAGCGATAGCAGACGAGAAGGGTTGGCGATGCTATTGATATGTAGAGCAGTAGCAACCGAGTTGTGTGGTGGATTCGCTTGGATTCGTCAGCCATCGTTCAGACCATCACTGGAACCGATGTCGGAGGCCAGGAGTCTGCAACCACGAAGAGTCAAGTTGCACAAATAACGACTACAGTCTACTGTGGGAGACTGTACTTTCACAGAGCCGCGGTGTCAGTGGCGAACAATCACCGCGGGGCGAGAAACGTAAGTCAGAGAGCGCGACACAGCAGCACGGACGCGCGAATAGGAGGCGCGTAGGGCATTGATGAGGGCGATGTCCATGTACTGCAGTCTTTCGAGCTTGAAGTGCTGTAGCAAGTCGCCTATAGCCCTGCAGTCATACATAGTCAGTAGTGAGTCTAGGAACGATGTGGCCATGAACCGTGTACCTTAGTTCATCAAGCGGTCGCCGACTGGGGTATCCGCAAGTCCTTGCTGGTTCCTGTACCTTCTGGGCGGTTGAACGGAAGGATGCGGCGAGCAGCAGCGACTCTCGCGTCAGGTTCAAACGTTCATGTATGTGGAGCAGACATGGCTGAAACTCAATGTATCAAAATCATGACACTGCATTCTGCCCAATGTCAAGCAGCACCAGCTACGCGGTGGAGTCGCGAAGAACTCAATACCAATCCTGTCATTTTCCTGATGCATGGGGATGAGTAATAAGGGATCTGACAGCGTCTTCAGGGTATTCTGTGAGTCCAGGGATGAATGCGATGCTAAGCACATACCAGTCCCTGTGGAAACATGGACGCAGTAGATCATATGCATGTGTCGATTCTACCTCCAGGGGCTTAGCGCAACGCCGCATCTCCGTATTGCATTGCGCGCTAGCATTACACAGCAGCAGAAGAGACCCCTAATCCAACCGGAGTCGGGAAAGGTTCGTAGTTGGGGACTGGTGATGCACCTGTCCAGGTATGATGATGCAGGATGATGCGACTGTGGGATCGCCCATGCCCATGAGTCTCCCGAACCAGGGCCAACATGATGGATACAGTGCCTACACAGCGAATCGACGGAGATTGCTTCCCTTCTAGTGGTTACGGGAGTTGTAATGGAGACCCGACGTCGACCTAGTGCCAGTGATTCGGAAGGCGGGACCGAATGCTGAGAAGACTTACCGGCGGCACGACCCGACTACACCGTCCGACCCCTATGCAAGCTTAAGCACGTCGTGAGGATCTGGTGCGGTATAATTCCAAATTGAGGGCCCAATCCAAGTAGCTGGAGCAATCGTGACACCGCCCGCTCGCAGATGTGCAGCAGGCTGCAGAGCGCAGCCCCGTCACTGTCGGAAACCTCCATAGCATTCCCAACAGCGGCCGATATCAGGAGGCCACTGACCTCGCGGTACCGGTGCTATTTGACTATGGTATTGAGGTGAGGCGACCAAGAGGCGACCCACGCTGTGAGGCTCGCACCGGCGGCACCGCGCATACCATACCGCAGATGGGAGTTTGCGGCTTGGCTGCCTACCAAGGCGTCCCGATTGCAGTCGGATGCGGTGTTCGTGCGAGTGGAGTTGCTAGGATGCCTATGTAACAGCGGTACCATGAGAAGAAGTGAGGAATACCAAGGTACCGCCCATCACGGGCTTGACGGATGGGTACAGCTGCAGCCACCGCTCTCACGTCGACGCGGACCTAACTGGATACCGAGGGTACCCTAGGGCGAGAGAATTTGTCCCAGGTAGGATGTTCGCATCGAGTCCACAGACACGCCGTAGCGAACAGGTGGAATGTGCATAGTTGGGAGGCATGGAGGTGGCAGGGCAGAAAGTCGGGAAAGAGACGGCGGAGCGCTGGGAGGTCAAGTTGCTAGATTACGTAAGCATGCGGTGTGCGGTAGTCGTGTTGTGCCACTGGGCAGCGCGCACGCCCGTCTGCACTGTGCAACTACACGCCCTGTGAATACTCGACCCCGCGATGCCCATCAAACACCTGGACGGTATGTCTCCATCATATCTAGCGCGTGCAAGGGTGCAGAGACGGCCGACAGAGCCCAAGTTGACGGCGACCCATTTGCCCAGGATATCTCGCAGAGAGGAAACACCTGCAGACACATTCGCTGTCCGCCCTCTCCGAGTCCCGCCTCGGCATCGACGCGTCCTACTACTTGTCGCTCCTCAATGACAACCCGCCCTCTCGTGAACCTCTCCTGGCCGCTACGGGTGGTCTGCCTCTCGCCCTGACGCAGCGCATCGAGTCTGACCTCAGAGCGCTCGAAAAACTACATATCAAACCTGTGTTCGTCTTCTCGGGACTCCAGCCGAACAAACGGTGGAAGCAGCAACAGCAGCAGCAGTACGAGCAGACTGAGGCGTGCAAGGACAGGCGGGAGGCATGGCAAAAGTACGAGAATGGGCAGGAGGACGCCGCGACGAAGCTCTTCGAAGGGAGAAGCGGTTTGCAGCACTGGGATCTCTGGAAAATGGTGCTGAGGATATTTAGGCATCGCAACGTGGAGTTCATGGTTGCGCCGTATGTTGCATGGGCGCAGGTACGTTTTCGCAGAGAATAGTCCGGCTGTACGTGTCTGACGCGCGTTTGCAGCTGATTTACTTGCAACGCCATCCGAAGTCGTACATTCATGCTATCTTCGGGCCGACGGATACACTGCTCTATCCCGGGGTCGACAAAGTCATCACGTCCATTGACCTCGTGTCCTCCTCGCCAACGTTCTCCTTCGTCTCCAAGCGCAACATTCTGAACGACCTCGGTCTTTCAGAAGACCAGTTCCTCGATGTCGGCATCCTCGTCGGATTCGAACATTCGCCTCCTTTTCCCCCAAGCCTCCACGAACAAGGGCTGAAAGCAACCGTGGATATGGTGAAGTACTATAAGTCAGGACACGCTGCAGTCTCCGCGTTCGCCAATGACCCACAGATCAAGCCCCTTCAGTATGGCGACCACTACGCACGGACACGCTCCATGATCAAATACTCGCTCATTCTCTCTTCGGACGGTGCCGTCACACCGCTTCCCTTAGCCGTCTCCAGTACTCCCCCACACGGACATCAAAACCACCACCCACACCACCCCACCGCCGCGGACATACCTTCCGACCTCCACGAAATCTTCACCCACCGCTTGCCGGACGAAATCTACTTCTACGTCTCTCGCGGGCTCTTGGGGCCGCAGGCCCTAATATGGCTCACGTCCGGACAGATCATCGAGAATCCGCCGCTGGACAACGGGGATACAACCGAATACCGGCGGTTCGTGAAGGAGGTCGTCACCGAGGGCCAGACGGGCCCTCGTGCGACCGCGCTGGCCCTCATTTCGAGCGTATGCAACCCGTTCTGGTCGGCGAGGAAGGTCGTCGGACATTTCTGGTTCGAGTCGGCGTCCGGGAAGTCGATCCTGCACAATTCGCAACAGACAATCCAGCTAGCCGATCGGGTGTCGGGCTGGAACGTGCCCTACGCGATCGTGGAGGAAGAGCTGAGGCGACAGAACGTAAGTGCCACTGCGATGTCGTGCGTGGGTATGCCGCACCTGTTGAACGTCGTTCCTGGCAGTCATCCACGATTGACTTCGCACTCTGCCTGGGCGCTACCGTTGCCGAGAAGCTTGCCTCCCGCACCAGGGTCAAGAGCGGCCAGACCGCGACTCTGGAGAAGAAGGATGAAATAGTGGCGAACGCCATCTGGCGTTTCCTGGAGTTGAGGGGGTGGGCATCTTGCTCTCACGTCGCACCCCTATGGCGCTAACGATGAACATTCAACTTTTAGGTTCCTACTGAATACGCACACGCATTCCCCGCTGGCTCGTGCGATGCACACGGCGGTTGGGAAGGCACGACTGAATGATAAGTTCCAGGACCCACTCTACCTGTTCCTGGAATTGGTCAGAGCGGGTGTGATGCACGGTCACCTCTGGTCTTCACGTGCGTTCAGTGGCGGCCCTAGTTTCGGAACCGGTGAGGCCCACTCTCCCATATCATGATCACAGAAGCTGTGGTGCTGACGAGTGGATTGAAACGCGCCACAGATGATGAGAAGTCATGCATGCTTTTGGTTATGCGGGTGCTGAGCATAGTGCCATTAACCTTCAAGGTGAGTGCATCCGTCTGCTGGGTGTACGGCACGGCTGCTGATCATTGAATGTAACCTTATTTCGGCTGCGCCCTGGCCGATCTCGCCTGATAATCGCCTCGCAGCCGCAACCATGGGCCGCGCCTCTGTCACGCGAACTGCTCGTGTTCAACTCGTTTGTGCGGTCGCTCACACGGGCCCTGCGGGCATTGTTGGAGGTGACTTCATTGAACATGCTCCTGCGTCACGATGCGAAGCGGGCCCGGGACGACTTCCTGGACATCAACCTATCGCTGCCCTTCCAATCGGAAGTGAACACGGGGTTTGGCGTGCTCGCGAAGGTCTACCTGGACGCGTTGACGCATCTGAACAACGGTCAGCGGGTGCGGGATCCGAACGCGGAGGGCGTGCGCGATGCGAAGCAGTTGGCGCTTGAAATCTGCGAAGAGACGTTCCCCGGGGTGAAGTCGCCCAAGCTGGAGGTGGAGAGGGGGTTCCGGTTCTGGGACGTGGTACGTCGCGCGCTTCTCTGGTGAATTGGGGGACGTCGACGTTGACCAAATCTGCCTGTGCCCGCTGTTCTGCAGGCGCTGACAGCCATGAGGCAGCTCCATTCTGAGAGCGCTGTGCTGCGTGAGCTGATCGACCAGTTTGAGGCAGCCGAGGCGTGGCTAGCGCCAATGAGGCCGTAAACTCCCACTGTACGCGCACCGTGGGACAGAGAGAGGGATGACGCGCGGGCGGAGCGCTGGGTGTTCTTGGTCGGCTTCCACACGATTGCGAGTGTCAGCGGGAAGAACGGAGGCGGGACACAGGGACGAGGCACTGCAGGCCAAGTGTTGATAGTGTGTTGATGATTGCTGTGCGATTATGCTTTGCGAAAACGATGTTGTGGATGCTGTCGCTGTTGGCCACCGGCGGATACAGTCTGTGGCATTTGCAGCCAGCTACAATGGCAGTGGGAACTCGCCACTGAGAACGGGTGGCGGGGGAAACACGTGAAGCGCGGCCCAAACGGGGGGGCCGAGGGACAGGCGCCGAAAAGGGAATCTGAGATGAATAGAATCTTGATCGCGGGTCGTCAGCGCGTCTCCGGAAAACAGAGGCAGCTGGCGGATCTGGGCGTCGGACTGTGCTCGCTTCTGGCCTCTCCTTTTCCGGCGGTCGCTCCTGAGAGAAATCCCTCCACACATTAAATATGCCCCTCCGCACCCCCTCTCTGCCACTGCCCTCCCGCCTCTCCGGCCCTCCCCGCCGTCCCCGCCATGCTGCACACCCTCTCCGGCTCCCTCGCCCTCGCCCACGATGACGCCCTGTGCATGTCCAAACACGCCGCGAGCGGCCCCCTCTACCTCCAGCAACCCTCTCTGGGCATCATCGAACTCATCGAGGTGCCTCCGCCCCCGCGGCCACAGCACTCCCTTCCCGCTAGCTCCTTTATGTCGTCTTCGTACGCATCCTCCTCCTCCTCATCCTCCAGCAGCGACGAGACGGCAGACGAGACGGCGTGCTCATCTTACTGCTCCTCCGATCCGGAGGAGGAAGTAAGCCGGGTGTCAGTGCCGGACGATACATACAAGACACGCCTGCATCGTGTCCTCGTCTGGAGAGAAAAGCTGGTGAAAGCTCTGGGCGCGCCATCCGCAGGTACGCCACCCGCCCGTCCGCACCGCTCGCCTGTGCTCAATCCGTCCACACAGCGCCCCCACCCACTCCTTCACCACAGCTCAAGCGGAAAGCTGATGACGAGGAGCCCGAGTCAGACGACGACACTGTGAGTGTCACCGCATGCGCCTATGTACCGAGAGAATCATTCTCACCTTACGTCGCACAGGCATCCCATTCGTCGAAGCGGTCGCGCTCGAGTGCCTCCCGGTCACATGCGCGATGGCCGCAGCGCACTGCGAGCGTCCACTCCTGCCCCGCATGCGACGCGTCCTTTACCACGCGGCAGAGCCTCCAGCAGCACGCGTCGGAACCTTCTCCCAACGACGCGTGTCGAGCCGCGGTAGAGTACGACTTCGAGGGATGACCCTTGCGCCGCCGCCCCACGCCCCTCCTTCTCGTCCACCTTCGAGTGCCCGTATACCCGCATCACGGCACGGATCCTCGCATCGCTTCCTGCATTGAAGCCGCCTCGGCGCCATATTGACTATGCGTAGATTCGCATAATAGTCTACCGTACACGTCATTAACCTGTCTATTCTTAGTCAGTCTCTGTATCTCTACCCTGTCCTGCTATAATCAGCTGAGAGCTTGTTACTGCGTTACCACACTTGTACATTCTGTAATAGTACCGAAGCGTATACGCCTTCTATTCAGGTTATTGTCGACCGCTAACTGGCCGGCGTGTGCTCCTGCCTCGCAAATTACCTGCTCGGCTCCCCTTCTGAACCGATATCGATGACGGTGCGTGTCGTCGATAGCTTCGCTGACCCACGAAGGGGGAAAAATTCCTGCGTAGACACCTGCTCGCTGCGCCGCCCGCAAGGCGAGCGCGACGGGGATCATTTTTCGAATTCGAAGGCAAGGGGGCCCTTCAGCGGCCTGTGAAGTCTCCCCCGAAAACAGAATAAAGCAATAGACTACATGCGCACCGACGCGGCGCGGCTGCTCAGTTGTGTTCTGAGGACTTCTGGCGGCTCCTGTCGCGCTAGACGTGCCCCCACGACCGCTTGTACGCCGTCTCCTTTCCACGCCGACAGCTCAAACCGGGAGCCGCACCTCGCCATATACGTCTAAGTATATACGTACGCGCGTGTCGTCGGTCGCAGGCGAGCGTGTGCGTCGCAATATTCATCACCGTCTGAGCTGAGAGCTCGGAGGGTTGCTATACGGTCCTTCTGCGCGTCAAGGGGCATTCTGCACCCGTCCTGAAATGCAGGCACCCCCACGAAGCCACGACCAGGAGACACCGTTTCATGTTGGCTGCCCACCTGGCCATCGATCCGACCGCCGGTGCGTGGCTATCAGCAAATTTCGCCCACAAAATGCGGGCTTTCCCATGGCTAGCACGACGCTGGCGGGCTAGCGCGAAAGGGGTGTGTTGGCGTGTCTGCCGTTGGGTGTGCACCAGGACCCGCCAGCGCACTCTCCCATGTACGGGCATTCAGTTGGGTATCCGGGCGCGTCCGGGGCGCGTCTGGCCCACCGTTTTCTCTCAGACGGGCCTCGCAGGACGCTGCAGAGGGCCTGCCGAGCCCACTGGATCGAGTGATCAGAGGGGCGATCCCTGTCGACGTTCTCACCGTTCATGATCGTCTCCGTTGCTGCATCCGGCGCGTTCTTCCCCAGAGCTGCCGTCCAATTGCAATGATCCATCGCTGCTCGCGGTCGTCACATCTGTCCCGCAATTGCGGCTGAACCTTGCTCGCCCTGACGCAGCGCCGCGTCACGATCGTCTGTACACGCTGCACAGGATATGGGGTGGGACGTGCGAGGGCGAGCGGGGTAAGTTAGATGCTGTTAGAGCGTACTTTCGATGGACTTCTCTGCGCCGCCGCTACGCTTCGCCTGGGCGTTTCCCTTACGGGGGCAGAGCAGACTGAGCGTGAGTGTGTTTCGATGCAGCGGGCTGCAGAGCCAACTTGCAAGGCATTCGATCAGTCCGATTGTGCACCTCCGAGCCTCCGATTCCGAGGTGCTGGCCGAGTTGGTTCTAGCAGCGGATAGCCTCCAGACTTGCCTTTTGGGGTAAAATTCAACAACCAGCTCCGTGTTGCTGATGATCTTGTGATCGCGTCAGGCGGGAGGCCTCTCCAACTCTCCCACCGCCCTGGCGAAAGCGTTCTTGCTTTTGTTCCTCACCGCGCGTCGCTGACGGCGCGTAGGCATAGACGACGGGAAAATCGATCCCAACGACGTAACGAGCGTACGTCCCAGACCGTCTGTCCAGGGGCGTTCGGAATCGGTCCGGGGCTCTTCTCAGGGCACTCATCTCCCTCTCCTACGACAACTGCACAGCGGTGCTCCGCAGGCGGATTCGTGCATCGATACTTGATCGTGCGTGTACGCGTGCACTAGATATAGGCACGTATTTCTGCACTCGTTCACAGACGGCGGCTCTACTGCCGCCGAATGCGTCCAATATTACAGGTCTTCACGCGCGAAGAGCGGTTTATGAACGCTGTGTACGCCGAGCACGACGTCAACGCGTCTACGCTCGAGATGTCTCGCACGGGAGGCCGGTGCGCTGGCAGGTCGCCTGGCGCGCTAGTGCGTCGTGCCACTCGCCCCCACGTCCCACTCATTTCCGTTGTGGAGCGTGGACGTCCTTCTTTCATTTTGACTGACGGCAGTCGAGGAGACTCAAGCGTCCGACGCGGGGAAGCCGCCACCCGCGATTGAACGCGCCTTCGCCCGCGCACCTCTGTGCTCTGGCGCCTTCTCTCGTACTAGTAGGCGGTGCAGTGCGGGAACGACAGACACGGTGTCGGTCTGCCCATCCGACCCGGAACATGCAGTCAGATCCTGGTGAGTGCCATCTTTCGGCCGTAACGGTGCGTAGAGTTTGTTCTGTGTGGCAGAAGCTGTCTTCCCAGATGTCGGATGTGCCCTCCGTGATTCCGCATTGCCATTTCACTATTCGGATCCTTTCCGCTGTCCAGCAGCTGTCAGTACTTCAGTGGTCACATAGACACGGAAGGGCATCTCAAAGGCGCGTTGCGCAAGTCACATCCAAAGATTGGCAGGCGAGGGGATGGTCGTTGTGGGAGAAGCCGCCGGCACGGAGGATGCAATTCAAATTGGAACAATGCACCCAACTGGCGGTCACCCGCAGACTGGACAAGGCACGTCGTGCAGCCTGGAACCGGTCGATTCTGGGACTCTTGACAGTGCGGGAGCTCCGCGCTCTCACCATCGCATCTGTGTCTGCATTGTGCGGAAATTGCTGTACGTGTTTTTATCGCTCCGTAGCAAGGGAAGACGACTGGCCGTACGTTCATCTGTTACAAGGAGGTATGAAGTGGTCCGTATCCAGCTCCAGTGTTGACTCGGGCCGGTGACGTTAACCGCCTCCCGTCAGTCTTACACCCTCAGGGTGCAGTGTCGTTTGCCTCACGCCGATCTTCACGCCGAATGCCTCGCCGTTGCGCCTTCGCCGCCGGGGACGAGCTCAGCGCATGGCATGACGAAAGGCCCCAGTAAAGCCAAAAGGACTTTGCACCGCGGAAGAAGGACCAGCGTCCGAGCAGTGTGGGAGCCATCGAAGACAGCGTTCCCTCGTCTGCCCGGACTCCCCGTCGCCCCGCCACCTTTTGCGGCGACGGAGGTCACGGATGGGGCAGAAGAGTCGCGCGGGTGGTGTTGAAATGATATTCCGTGGGACGGTACCGCGACTCAAAGTTAGATCGTGAGCGCCACTGCGTTATTCTTGACTGGGAGGCGTTCGTGGAGACACTACGCACGATGAAGCGTCGGAGCTGCCCTCATATGGTGCGTGGGCGTAAGGCGCTACTGTGCGGTGCGGCTGACGGTGCGAATAGTGTAGGCTTCGCGGGTGGGCATGGACAATCTATCGGTAGCGTACCCTTAGACACAGGGAGGCCCTGGACGTGAGCACTCGGAACCGCTTTACTCACGACGCCGTACGATAATCAGGCAGACCGGCCTCGAGAGCGCATCGAGAGCGGCCGTCGCCCGTCTCGATGTCCTCCTCTGCTTCATTATTCACACAAATATCTAGCTCTCTCATCAGCTGGTCGGATATTTGTCCACCACGACAGCGACGACGTACCCACGACGATCAAGGACAGGATGCCACCAGGCGATGTTCGCATCCTCCTGTCGCTTGGAAACCCTACCAGCAACCGTTTCCTGAGAGTATCAGACTCTCGGCTGGCCCTTCCGCGCGCGGTGGCTTCGCGCCTCCCAGACTACAGAGATCACAGGCACCACCAAGGCTGTCGGTACCGCGGGGACACCGGACATCGCAACCAGGGCATGGGAGCAAGGGTCACACCAACGACCCGTGGACGCTCTGCTCGTGCTGGGCTGTGAGAACGCGCCGTATTGTCGTCGTTAGCAAGCGCCCAACGCACGATTCGACCGAGCCCGAACGGAGTGGACTCGACGTAGTCATACGAGCGCCTTGCTGTATGCGTGTAAGCTTGCACCGAGGGAATTTGCATGTTGGCGGCAGTGCTGCGCGCTCGCTGTGAGTATGGGAGCGAGTGGACTGTATGGCGGTGCATCCAGCGCTGACTGGGGCCGGAGCTCGGGCTGCATGGCATGAGCTGTCAGGCAGTGGGAAGGTGAGGGCGTCAGAGCAGACGTACCGGCTTGGGCGTTCGTTCGAACTAAGGCGGAGTGGAGTTGGTTCCGTGTGCGAGGGTCCGCGGGCGGTGCTACCGATGTGCGCAAGTGAGACGCAGATGCTGAGTGGATGGGAGCAGGGGAGCGGGGATAGTCTAGCGCGCACTGACAAGGAGAAGAGAAGAAGTTCGATTCTGTCGGAGACCAGCTACACTGAGTCGCAAGAGCCAGCTGACTTGACGACGACATCATAGTCGACGACATAGCTAAGATCTTTCGCGAGCTCACCCAATGTTGGGCCAGAGACTCGTGTGTAGTTCTCGCCGGCACGGCTGCTCTCCAATGAACTTTCTTGGGTTGCGCAGCATTCGGACGGAACCTAGAAAAGAATCAAATGTGCCTAGATTGTCTGCAGCAAGGCGCTGTGAGCCTGTTCACCAGATGGTTCGGGCGACTAACCCTCTGTACACCGATTCCTCCCGCGCGGTCAGCAACTTCTTCGTCAACTTCATAGCAGACTGTTCAGTGTTCGCCTTCGGTTCCCATACTAGCGTTGCATTTGAGCAAGATTGCGTCCGTCGTGATGTCATGACATACAAGTTTCATGTTCCTGGAAAATCGAATGGCATGCACTGCCAGTGAGCGCCGAAGCATGAAATGTATTGCACACATTGTTCACCAGGAAGAGTTCGTGAAGTGTGACCAATCTCAAAATGGAGGGTCAGCGCACGCTGCGCCGTCTGAAGCTCCGGAAAGCACTGCAGTGTCCTCGGTCGTTTCTGAAACTGGCTCGCGACATGAGTTAGCTTCCAGGAATCTTCAAGTAGGAAGCTCACCGAGTTTATGGTGACTGAGCTGAGGAACAATATTTCATAGAGCTCAAATGGTGACTTGGGCCTCGAACTGAAGCTCGAGCCTCATCGACATCGTCCAACTCAGGCCGGCCAGCTACCCGAATTGAGAGTCTGAGACCCGGGATCTTGCAGAGCAAACATTATAATAATATGCCGAGTGACTGCGACCCAAGCCTTGAAGGTCGTCTGAGCCACTTATGGATGTTTGGTACAATGAATCGATGATGACTCTGAGTCACTGTGAGTATTTGCAGGATAAGTGGTCTGGGTCACGGTGAGCTTGCGGTGAGCAGAAAATCGACACGGGCGTATGGTGGTCGGGACGGTCGCGCTCACGTGTATTGTAACTCAGACATCGCCGAGCTTATGCCGAGTTCGGCTATTGAGGAGACCTCTGGAACCGTGAACCCCCGACATTGACTGCTGCGAGAATTTCCATAGCGAGTGCGAAGGGGCCGGCTCGATTGAACGTCGAAGGTACCTCCTTACTCATCGAACTTGCACCCTTCGTCGTGCGCCTGCGCTCAATCGGCTCGCCGAGCAAGATTGCACCGTCATTATCAATACTTATATCAATTGGCAGTTCAGTTGATACAATCATGTAATCTGGCTCTTCGGCGCGCTTCAAGCCTTTTTTCTTCCCGGGCCTCGGCTTCGTCGACGAAGCCTTCTTTGCGGTGCGCTCTTCCTCCTATCCCACAGTCTCAGTGGTACTTATCGTGCGTTCCGTTTTTATTCTCATACTCTTATTCTCGAGATGCGTTGTGAACGCTCGACTTACTCAGACAGTGAGTGCTTATGTTCAACCGTACATTCGTGTGTGCTACATGCCTGTCAACCCTTCTAGCATAAGAGAGTTTTGGAAACAACTGTTGAAGTTGAATTGAACGGTGGAGGTGGAGCTGAGGTCTGGTGGTGGTGGGGCTCCGTGGGGCTGGTCGAGAGTGTGACGCCAAGTGACGGGCCGTGACACTCCTACTATTCATGGCAATTCGCTCACGGACGACGCTCGGGAGGGCGGGCTGGCCGGTAACGCCCGTGTCACGCCCACCGCAGATCTGACAGAGATCGGTGGTGTCGGAGCTGTGGTCTGGTGGTGGCGTGAACTTTCACAGTTGCTGCCAAAACTCTCTATATTCTACATACTTCGCGGTGAGTCTACTAACTTTGACTACCCATTTCATAAGCAAGCTTATCCAACCGTCGTAGCTATGCAAGTGCGGAGCTCAGCATGCGCACCATTGCGCCAGCTCTCATGCGGGCTCCTGCATCAGCAACGTGTGGGGATTCTTGCTCGCCTTGGGCATCCTAGGCGGCATCTAGGGCAGGTTCGGGCATGCTGTCTGGTGGTGCGCATCTCCTATGTACCGTCTTTCGCACTGATGGGTTCACGATGGCAGGTGAGTCTTTTGTGGTCTTCGTCACGGCCTGCACACTCTTCCTCATCCCCAACTTCCTGTCCAGCCTGAGCACACAACACTGGTTCATCCTAGCCGAGGTGCAGCGCATAGCTAGTGCACTCTTCATGTCTTCGAGCCATCGGGTGATTGTCATGGTGGATGCAATGAGCTCACAGTATTCTGGCATGAAGTCGGCCTCAGGTAGGTAAGGAAAACAGCAAAAGTTCAACATGAGGAAATAGCCAGTGTGCAAGAAGTTACGCGTCGCAAAGGAGCACGAACGCGTCAAGTGCAGTGAGACGCGACTCCGACGCGCCTGACGCGTCTGGTCACACATGTAACACCATGTGACATGACTGGACGAGGGCTTGTAACTGCTGCCCACGCACGCCCACGCGCGTGAAGGTCATGAGAATTGGTACATAGACTCTTTGATGTCCAAATAACTTGTCTATCTACTCGCTCTCTTTTAGCAAAGTATCCCCCAGCAAGGGTGGGCCTGCGAACGATGCAGCGACCCGACTTTCGGCGGGCGCTTCCGTAGATACCCAAAGGGGCAATCCCTCCAGACGCGCGCGCGCGCGCTAGCTTACTTATGGGTCTCCGAGCGCATGAAGTACTTGCTACTACGCGCGGTGCTTATGTCACGTAACTGATTGCATCGGTTCGATGCCGAATACATACAGAAATATTGATCGAAGTACTACACGACCGGAAAGCATACAGTATAGATATGTATAGTGTCACAAACAGACTGTAGCACACTGTAGCACACCGCTCAGTCGGTCGACCCGTACGGTGTCAGAGGTCCCGAGCTCAGAATGTGGCGCGGAAGGCTGGCCGAGTGGCACTTATCGTCGGTGTCTGAAAATCCGAGCGCGACCGTCCCGACCACCATACGGGCGGCTATGGCCGACGATGGGGTACCGCACCAGTCGACAGTAACCCGTCCTGTCAGGTCACGGTCGCGTGCCATGCCGCGCTGCGTGGTCCCTATAAAGTCCTACGCGTCGAACGCGACTGAAGTACGGACGTTCTGGTTCAGACCCACTCGCTACGACGGCGCGCTGACTCGCAGATGGGTGCCATAACGGCGTTTACCACGCTTCATATCCGCCATGCGCGCACTGAAGCATGCATCTGGCTAGAAGACCTCGGAAGGCGAAGAAAACACGGAGAACAGGCTTCATTGCCAGTGGAGAGGGACGTCGTGGTGCTCGCGATGTACGCGACGTTGTCTGGCCAGGCTCGCTTGTTGGCAGGTCACGCGTGGCCGCCGTGCGGAGGCATTCGGATGCCTTATCCAGGTCCTAGACTACTAATGGCGTGCTAAGCTGGCAACCGTCCTCCCCTCTGCCTCGCTCTTGCAACCACCATGTCCGACGCCTGCTGCGACGCTGAGGGCCACTGCCACGGGCTCACGAGCACCATGGAGAATTCTGAAGACCACAGGCACGCTATAGAGGCCACAGGGCAGACCTCGCCGAGCCGCTCTCAAGAGGACGACTCGAAGTGTTGCGAAGACAATGAATGCAAATGCGACGGTCAGTCTGCTCCACCGCTCTCAAAAAAACATCCATATGCTCATCGCTTGGAATCAGATGGCTGTCTCGAAGAGCTGGCGCGAGCTATGTGCGCGGACGACGCTGCACACCTTCACGATCACAAGGAGAGAGACGTCGATAAGGACAGTCTTAGCGCTTGCAGTACATGCGTTGGCGACGAGTCCTGCGCCGATGTCGACGCAACTGCTGTCGCGCCCCCTACAAGGCCGTGCACGCATATCGGGCTCAGGAAGCGGAAGTCTCCCCGCGACGATGCCAATCCCGAGGCTGCCCCTTTCCCGCCCGAGGCCTGTGGTCAGCACAGGTCCTTCGCTCGCAACCGCTACCAACAGACCCTCGCCGCGTTCGGCTGTGTTTGCAAGGCGATGCTATCATTTGGCCTGCAGTCGTGCTGCACGACCATGAATGCCACGAAGGGACGTGCGACGGCTCGAAGCATCCGGGCCAGTACTAGCAGAAGGTCGCTCATTCCCTCGACGAAGAGTCAACTTTCCGTCGATTCCTGCTGCAAGGGCGGCGGGTGTTGTGATGGAGGGAGCGCAGCGACCAGTCACTGTCACGACCATGCTTCCGTTGTTAGATCAGTGCGTCGTTCCGTCGACTCTTGTCGCAGCGGTGCGAAGGACTCGTGCTGCGGTGGCTGCCAGGACTCGTGCTGCGGGGGCGGTAGTGATGCTCACTCCCACACCTCTGTCAAGGATGGGTGCTGCTCCGATGGCTGTAACGAGAAATCTGGCGCGTATGGAATTGGTGACGAGCTGGGCACGCTCGAGAAGGGAATCAGCGTATCTAACGAACGCGCCGTCCTCGCCGTTCGAGGTATGACTTGCTCGGGCTGCGAGAACAAACTCATCCGCGTCCTCAGGGCCCTTCCTACGGTGCGCAATGTCAAGACTAGCCTGGTGCTCTGTCGCGCCGAGTTCGACTTCGACGACGGAGCTACGAGCCTGCAGACCCTAGTCCAGACTATCGAACAACGCACTGGCTTTTCGGTCGAGACCATCAACGCTGGCAAGACGTGCACGCTTATGTTGCGGGTGGAACGAGGGAAGTGCGACGGCTTCCTTTCCATCCCTCCTCCAAAGGGCGTAGACAAAGTAGCCCGCCTCGATAAAGACACTATGGTTGTCTCCTACGATCCAAGAATCATTGGCGCCAGACAAGTTATCCTGGATTACGCTGCATTTTCGCCCTCCCTGGCACCGGAGCCACGCGATCCAGCGATGATGGCTGGCCTCAGGCACATCCGCACACTCACCCTCCGCACCGTCGCGTCCGCGGTTCTGACGATACCGGTACTCGTGATGGCCTGGGCGCCGCTCCCCTCGCATCCTCGCGCCTACAATGTCGCCTCCCTCGTACTTGCGACGCTCGTCCAGACGCTCATCACCGGCCCGATCTATGTCAGCGCGTTCAAGAGCCTGTTCTTCGCGCGCGTAGTCGAGACCGACCTGCTAGTCGTCCTGAGCACGTCAGCGGCGTACGTGTATTCAGTCGTGGCGTGCGCGTTCGAGTTCGCTGGCCGCCCGCTTGCATCTGGGGGCTTCTTCGAGACTAGCACCCTCCTCGTGACGCTCATTGTGCTCGGTCAGCTCGTGAGCGCGTACGCGCGCCAGCGTGCGATGGAAACGATCTCGATCCGGACGATGCAGCAAGGCCTTGCGAAGATCGTGCGCTCGGACGGGTCGGAGGAAGACGTGGATGCGCGGCTGCTTCAGTACGGCGACGTGTTCAAGGTCGACCCTGACTCGATGGTCATCACAGATGGCGTTGTATTCGCCGGCCAGAGCGAGATCGACGAGTCCATGATGACCGGGGAGTCAAAACCGGTTGCGAAAGCTGCTGGGAGTACCGTCATCGCCGGTACTGTCAATGGCCCGAGCACACTCCTTGTCACCGTCTCGCGGCTACCGGGCGAGAACACCATCAGCGAGATTGCGGAGATGGTTGACGACGCCAGGTTCTCCCGCGCGAAGGTGCAGGCTATCGTCGACCGCGTCGTCGGGTGGTTCGTCCCCGTCATCGTGGCCGCAGCAGTCGTCACATTCGTCGTCTGGCTTGCGGTCGGTCGCACAACACAGAAACGGACCGGTGGGGATGCGGCCGCCTCAGCATTGACGTACGCTATCGCCGTGCTTGCGGTGTCGTGCCCATGTGCCATCGGCCTGGCGGTGCCCATGGTCATCCTCATCGCGGGCGGGGTTGCTGCGAAACGGGGGGTGGTTTTTAAGGCGGCTACGACCATCGAGATAGCTCGCAAAGTCACTCACGCCGTCTTCGACAAGACCGGGACACTCACGCAGGGCAAGCTCAGCGTCGTCACAAGTGATGCCTGGCCTGTGGAGGAGTTCGATGTCAACGCGGCGATCCTTGTATTGACCAAAGACAGCCGTCACCCTGTGGCACGCGCTGTCTCCGAGTATCTGAAGGCACACACGGACATCTCGACGACTGTCAAATTGGACCATGTCGAGCTGATCACCGGCAAGGGTATACAGGGCACCTTTTCAGGCAGCTTCCTTCGAGGCGGCAACCCTCTGTGGTTGGATGTCGAGGAGCACCCCGCGGTCAAGCCAATGCTCCTCCAGGGTCTGACAGCTTTCTGCGTCACCTACAACAGTCGCCTCGTCGCTGTCTTTGGTCTGGAAGATGCACTCCGTCCCGAGTCGCTCTATGTTCTGGACTCCCTCCGCAAGCGCAATGTCCGTATCTCCATTCTCAGCGGAGATCATCGTGCCGCAGTCGAGAAGGTCGCCACTGCTCTGGCAATTCCCAGCGAGAACGTCGCAGCCGGATGCATGCCCGCGGACAAGCAAGCGTACATCGCTTCACTCGCATCCAAGGGCGATTGTGTCCTCTTCTGCGGGGACGGTACGAACGACGCCGTTGCTCTGGCGCGTGCTGACATCGGTGTCCACCTACACACCGGCGAGGGCGCTGGCTTCGCTGCATCCTCCGCCGCGGACGTCGTGTTACTTCACCCGTCCCTCACTGGCATCCTGACGCTTCTGCAACTGTCAGACGCGGTTGCGAGGAGGATTATGCTCAACTTCGGATGGTCGGCGGTGTACAACTTGGTCGCGATCCTGTTCGCCGCTGGTGCCTTCGTGAACGCGAGGCTCCCGCCGGCTTATGCTGGGCTGGGAGAGATCGTGAGCGTGTTACCGGTGGTCTTGGTGGCGCTGCAGCTCAGGTGGTTCAAACCCGACGCTCCGATATGACTGCCTTTTCGTTTTATGACCTAGACTTCGCGTATGTATGATGTACGAGATGTGACGCACTGGTGCACGAGTTCTGACATACTGATGTACGAGATTTGACGCGCTGATGTACGAGATGTGACGCACTTTTGCGATGAGTCGTTGACGACGTTTGTTATTTTCTTAGACACAGCGTGTCCTGTACTAGACGGATTTGTATTGAATCAATGACATGTTATGAGTGGTACTACTAACGCGGTCCAGGACGGAGGTCGACAGACACTGCAGAACGCTTCTGTCAACATTTCAACTTGGCGACAGTCAGAGGGTGTCGACACTCGTCCGAAATCGCCTCAACAGGCCAAGCCATTTCGCACGTTTCTCTGTGCGGGATGGATGAATAGGGCCACGCATAGAAGCCTTGCTTCGAGACTCCGTGTAGCGCGAGACAACTTCCTAGACTGCATGGAAACGAATGGCCGCAGGCCGGGTGGAGACCGTACGGTATAGCTGATTCGAGGAATGTCATGGTCCACACGAATCCAATGTTCTGTCAATTGCGAAGTCCAAAGCTGTTCAGTCCAAATGCAACACGGCGTGTGGGGTTCGTAGCGAAGGGTTTGCGACGTTTCGTGTAGCGAAATAAGGTCGTGCTCGGGGCGGTCCTGGAGCGAAATGCTTGCTCCATAGACATACCGCAGGCCTCCGCGATGCTAGTACGCATCTCTTGAATTCCCAGGTTGCTTCCAAGTCTTGAGCATGTTATGATGGGAGGAGAGGCTGAAGGTAAGGCTTTCTGAATGGCTTCCTGGATCTGCTGAGCCACCTCGTCTCGGTCCCCTGGCTTGACGAGATCCGCTTTGGTCAGGACCGGCTGGACGCTGAATTTTGGCTTCTCAAAGCTCGCGATGTATTGCAACATGGATTCGTCGGGGGCGCCTAGACCCTTGCTCGCGTCAATAATCAGAAACACCCGTCGCAGCCTGCGGACTTTATTAAGACTTTCATGTGTGACAAACTCAACAAATCGCGACGTACTGGGGACGCATAGCCATGAAGAACTTCACAACAGACCCTTGATGCTCGTCATAGCCAGTGGAGTCGACTACGATGAACCTTGCGGGATAGCTTCCGAGAGGTCTTCCTCTCCCCACGCCGTAGAGCATCAGTACTTCGCCGTTAACCTGACATGCAGTGAGTAGAGGAGGCGCAACAACGATGGCGGACAGCAGCACTTACATGCGCGGAGCATGTTGGTAAGCTGCTATGATGCACCACAGCCTTCAATAGGGCAGATTTTCCAACCCCGACGTGACCTTCCTCCCAAGGTCGCATGAGTGCACGGATACCACTGAAGCCTTTGGCACCGTACCGGTAAAAAGAACCTGCCGTATCGAAGTGAGCACCATTATCATACCCGATATGCGCGACATACCTCTTCCTGTTTGTACGTGCGAATGACCCTCGCCTTCTGCTTTGCCTTCATGCGACCGAAGGCAAGGCGTCCTGCGAGGGACTTGTTCGACTGATGCATGAGCACTGTGTAAAACTCTCCGCCAGTCATAGTTGACACGTTCCCGCAGCGCTTTGAGTAGGATGCTATGTTGTGGTGTAAATGAGAAACCAGTAAGTACAGGAGGTGGTCGTTGATAGTAGACCCGCGCCGAGGCCCGACCGGCGACGAGGAGGGAATTCGAGTCGGTCGACGCGTATTGTGCACGTGCCTTGCCAGTGTGCCACCGGCGCGTCGCGCATCGCGCGCTCAGCGCTCCTGACGGCGACCATTTCCTCCTCCTCCTCCTAGTCTCCTACAATGAGTCCATGATCCATGCCTGCTAGCTGCTGCGCCGGTCTTTCTCAATCACCACTCTGAGCTAACATCGCAGCTGTCATGTCGACGGAACCGTCCTGGCCGTCTCTGTACAACTGGGCCATCGAAATATTCCCTATCGAGGGCAAGGATCCTGTGCAGCCAGAAGGTTTCTACCTGTACGACCGTACTCGTACGTACCATGCTCCCTTCTACTTACCAGTGACCAGACCTGAACAGTCTTTAGATATATTCCGCTTCACGCTCTACTGGACGCTGGTGTTCTACACGCCAGCCTATATCCTCTGCGCTTCGTACGCCTTCCTGAACCTCACCTTCCCGCCGACGAGGATCCCGCGACGAAGTCCGCGCACTCGCTCTAGATCGTCCTTCGGATTCCCCTTTCCCTCTTCATACTTTGCTCCTGCACCCCCTGTGACCAGCAACGAGATCCCTCTTCTGGAGGCGGTGCCCAATAATGTCCCAAGGAATACTCAGGCACAGGCTGCACTTGCCTATCGATACCGCGCCCTGTTCAAACCGAACGAACGGCGCTCTCGGTTGGCCGTTGCCCTTCTGGTCTTCCTTGCCTTCACGGTCTTCTCCGTCGCGGGCGCGGTCATAGGTTCTGTGATTATTGGCTACTTGTTGGCGGCTCTTTTCAAGGCGGGAGGATACAACATGTCCACGTACGTCCGCGTGGCATTGCCACGAGTACAATTACGCTGACGCGACCACTAGTTGGATGCCTTTTCTCGCCGGCCTGTTACAAGCTTTAGTGGGCCTCCTAGGGTGAGTCGGCATTCATGCGCCATGTACCTCCAAACTCAGTGTATCCCGACCTCGTTGCAGGCTGTGGCCCTCGGTCATTGACTTCATTTGAGCCTGCGGGACTAGAACAACGACGCTCAGGTAATGCAGATGTTCACAACGTACAGTATAAAAGTCATATTAGCACAATTATGACACGAGCTTTACAGGGGAGACACGGATTACTCCACGTCAAACAACAGTATTTCCGCCACTGAACCGCCCACGTTCTCGACGACCATCTCCTTTCCCGGCTCCCCCATGATGTACGCTCCATCGCCTTCACGGAGCTCCAAGACAGACTCATCGCCGGAGACCTTGACGTGTGTACCACTCGCTTGCTTTGGGTTGTAGCCCGAAGTCTGCACGACATGGATATACGCCTTCCGTGCCAGGCCAGAACCAGCAGTGGGGAACGTATGCGGGAGCGACTTGGATGGTGAAAGGAGCGTCGCGTAGAGGGAGAGTGGCGCGTGGACGGGGGCCGGTCCAGAGGCGTCGCGCGCTTCTGATACATCTGCTGCATCGGCGGGAGCTACAACGAGTGCCCATTTGTCGTGCTTCTCGTCGTCGCTGAAGTGGCTGCGGTGCGAGGTCAGCAACTGCACGAGGCGTCCGTCCCCGGGCTACCTCACCGAGTATAATATGTTGGCGTGAGACCACGCGTCGAGGGCATGCTCCAAATCTGGAGGAAGTGCACTTGTTCAGGCCCGTAGCACTTCTCACTGTGTCGTATGCCGGTACCGGCAGATGTCATTTGCAGGTTGCCGCGCTTGAGGATTTCGCGGTTGCCCATCGAGTCTTGACTGATTTTGTCGTCAGCGTGACACTTCAAATACGACCAGCAAATGTAGATTCACTGCTCGAGCTGCCCCGAGACGATGTAGGAGAAGATCTCGAACTCGCGGTGCGGATGCGTGCCGAATCCGGTCTGGGGCTCGACCCGATCCTCGTTCAGCACGCGAAGGCAGCCAAAATGGTCGTGCTGCGGATCGCTGTACCTGGGAGAGCATCGCGCGTCCGCGTCAGTGGTGGTCATGCGTATTTATTATCAGCGGATAGTGTGCGCACATTGCGAAGGAGAACGTATGGAAGGTTTTGAGCCATCCATGGTCGGCGTTACCGCGCTCGTGGCTGCGTCGAGGGACGATCTTCATAACCGTGTCTTGCTGAACTTCTGGCGAACTAATTGAGTACGATGCGGCGAGGGCTAGCCGGTTGCTGTAAGCCTTTGAGGCGTTGAGCTTTGTGAGGCGGAGTAAGGCAGACAGCTTGGAGGAAAGGACTGAGGTTTTCCTCCCCTAACTGCTGCCAGTGGGCTTTTATGCGGCCCTGCTGAAGGCGCGATGAGAAGTCTGACGCCAATTGAGGATAGTTGGCTTGGTCATGGCAGGTCTGGACAGTCAGAACGCGTGCGCCCAACGCAAGACATCTTAGGCGGGTTTCCAGAAAAGGAAATCCCGCCCGCACGCATCGCCAGATGTCGCCGTCGGTGGCGCTTCCGGACGTACCTTTCTGACCTCGATGACCACGTTCCTCCGTTTACAGCCTGTGCTCTTGTTGATGTGACTGGACTCGAGTAAGTATCGTTCGAGACAATTCCGAACAGCACATTGTGTTTTCTTGACTGGTACGCGTACGCGAGAATACTTTGGCGTGCTACGGCTCCTCTGAGTTTCCGAGGTGGACATGCACGATGGCGTCGAGAAGCAGGTCGATCTACGAATGAGCCCCAGAATATGGAAGAACTCGCTCGGATGATGACAGGAACTTTGGATGTGCCAGTCGGTCCCAGGACAATTCGACGCTCGTCGGCGAGGTGTGTGGGAGGTGTAGCAGCAACTCCGCGACGTGTTGTTGCGGTCGAACCCGCCAAGTCCTGTCACGTCTGTCCTTCTCCTTTAATCTGTATACGATAATCAACACCTGTTCATCCGGAACTTCATAGGTGGCTCAAGCCACGAGTATTAGATGCTCCGCTATAGGCACGCTCGTCTCGACGTCCTTCTATCAGGTCATGTTGACTTTCGGAACCCTCACTGATAACGCATCTTGGTTTCTGTTCAGGCAAAGACGTTGAACATTGTATGCGGCACGCACCTTGCGCGAGGCGCGTCGCATTGCATACAACTTTATCTTATTCATCGTCAATGGAGTACTTGTCGATATGGACGGCGACGATCTTGGAAGCTACGCAGCTGCGGCGCGACGTGACACCGTCGCACTTGCACCTGTGTGCTATGTCGCATGCAGCATTCAATGCGAAGATCGCAATAATATCGGCAGCTTGTTCTCCCAGTCTCAGTTCCAACGATGGAGCACTATAAAAATGTCGTCTTACAGGGCTCAACGTCAACGTCAACAGCCACATTCCCCATACTCACCCGTCTTCACTCTCAGTAGTCATGGAGTTCCGTGGAAATGCTCAATATAGCCCCTCTTACCCCCAGGCTCACCCGGCATACTACGGAACGAAGACGGAAACAATCATCCAGACTGAGCGCAGCAGCTCTCCCTTTGCACGGATGCCGTCGTCGCCGCCTTTCATAAACGAGGCCCCGAGTCCGTCGCCGACGCTCGCCCGCACGAGCTCCTCCATCAAGGTTCCAAGGACGTTGGCGCAATGGACCGCCGAAGCACAGGCGTCCACAGCCGAGTTTCGCAAAAACGGATCCTCGACTCCGTTTGCTTGGGTATGTCTCGCACAACTCCTCTTCGATGTGTGGCTGAGTTGTTCGTTGTACGCCCTAGGTCTACGTGGAAGGTCATAACATTCCGCCGAGCGCTGTCATAGCTGGGGACGAACGCGGCAAGCCGCTCTACGTAGCGCGGACCTTCTTTGAGGGCACCTTGCGTATGTGTCGAAAGATTTTTCTTCTTCTTTACGCTCAACCTCAGTCTTGTACAGAGATTGGAAAGGCGGGACATCACCTGAGGCTTGGCGCTTCCATCCCTCTCAAAGCACGCGAAGTCGATGTGAATGGGGTCTAGTCGTTCATGCCCGAGATTTTGTCGCTGATCCTCTTTGTTCAGGTTGCTGCCTATGAAGTCCTGGTGGCAGCGATGACGCCGAGCCGCTGGGTCTACCAAAGCACAGATTCTATGACCATCATCGAGAAGCAAATGAGTGATATCGGCATCGGGGGTGCTAGCTCTATCCTGCAACGTCGCCTCAAGTACGCTTAATCCGATATCATCCACAGTTGTGCACCAGCTGATACGGGATGCTCAGGGAAATCAAAGTCGTCGTCATCGTCGACGATTCGATGTCGGTGAGTACATGCACCACGGCGTATGAAAGTATTCTGACCTAGTCGATCGCCTAGATGGAGGGCCAATACTGGATCAACGCAGGCGAAGCGCTTGCGGATGTTGCGGAGATGGCAAACGCGTACGAAGCGGACGGCATTGATATCTACTTCCTGAACGATAATCATTCCCTCCTGGACGTTAAGGTCAGTCCATACCGGCATCACCCGCCATCAATGGGTGCTCATGGTTCTCCAGAGCAAGGCGGCTGTCCGTGGCCTCTTCCAAGAAGTTCGGCCGGAAGGTCAGCGTTTATATATTATTCATTCTGCACATCTGGCATTGACGGCAATCCTTAACCAGGCCAGACGCCAACTGGCCAGAAGCTCTACGAGGTCCTCAGCAGATACATCCCTAAGCTCAAGGAGCCATGCGCGAAGCCGACCAGCATCATCGTCATCACCGACGGTGTCCCGAGTACGCTTCCATTCTCCTATGCGTTGCAAGCACCGATTGAGACCTCCTCCCCTGACAGCCGACGATCCCGAGATGGTCATCGTTGACGCCGCTCGTCGTCTCGAAGCGAACGGGATCCCCTCACGCCAGCTCGGCATCCAGTTTGTGCAGATCGGCGACGACCCGGATGCGACGGAGGCGTTGAAGGAGCTCGACGACGGTCTCGAGCAGAAGCACGGTATCCGCGTACGTTACACTCCACGAACCATTCAAACCTTCTCACCTTCACTCAACGTCTCTACTTTGCAGGACATCGTGGACACGACCGTCTACAACCCCAACCAGCCTACCTTCCGCACCGAAACGCTCGTCAAGATCCTCCACGGTGCCGTCCATAACGCTCTCGACAACGGTGCCAATCCCATCGGTGCGGTTCTGGAGTTCGGTAATCCCTTCTAAAGCTTGAGGATAACGTCCGCGTCGTCGCGTTCGAGTCTTGCCGTGGTGTCCCTCACTGCTCCAAATGTGTATATGTCTTTCATCATGAAACTTAAGCCAATCGTATCATCGCTCAGAGACTGCAGTCGGCTCAGGGTCAGCATGACGTCGTCACTGTCGTTGAAAGACTATCCATCCACCAGCGTTTGGTGAGTAAGCATTCTCAGCCAGATCAGTAACTGACGTAGCTCCTCCAATCATATGCAGAACGTTTTGATTCAGTGAGAGCTGATGCGCGTCGACCCACAAGTTCTGCCAGGTATCGCAGGTGTTATCTTAGTTGGTCCTCTCGAGCCGCGGTACCTCCGACTAATGCTCAGATGATTTCGATGGTCTACTTCCATTCTGTCCCGTCGAACCCTAGATACGTCCAGTGTCATCGTACACGAGGTGTTCTTCGGGTCCCCAGCTGGTCATCACCTGTTCCCAAGAGATGCGGACCCCACGTATAAGAGCGAGGCAAAAATGCCGAGTCAAGTTCCCAAGGTGTATCTCCCGCTTCATTGTGTCGGGCATGCTGCTCACATCGCCTGCGTTGGTTGCAAGCTTTCTGGCAGCGGTGCTCATGCTCTGTCTTTTCTACATCTCTAGGGCTGGTAAACGTCCCCGCTTACACCTGTTCCCCCCTGGACCGCGATCTCTTCCACTGCTGGGAAATGTCCACCAATTACCCAAGAACTTCCAGTACCGTCTATTTGCGAAGTGGGGTCAGACATACGGTGAGTAAGCATGCATTGAGGCGGCATCGCCAAAGGTGGCTATGCCGTCGAACTGAATACCATGCAGGCGATATCATCTTCATGAAGGTTCTGCAACAACCCACTCTAGTCATCAATTCTCTGCACGCCGCAAAGGAGCTACTGGCGGTGCGGGGGGCGAAATACTCGGACAGGTCTTCATCCCGTTTAATGGCGATGTAGGCAGTCACCTTCGCTAACCTTCTGATCGCGCTCACATTATGCTGTTCCTCTTAAAAGGATGGGACTTGACACTACGACTCCTTTCCTCGGTTATGGAGAACAGTGGCGCTTACAACGAAGACTGTTGCAGGCAGGCTTTGGCGACCAAGCTGCGTTGGCTCGTCTTCGTCCCGTCCAGCAGAGGGAGACAATGGCACTGCTGCTACGTCTGTCGCAAGAGCCGGATGCCTTTGCATACCATATCAAACGGTAGGGTCTGCACCTTTGCATGTGTGAGGGTACTGAGCCCTCTGCAGCTTCGCGGCTGCGTTGATCATGGGTTCCACTTACGGAAAACCCTATGATGAGGACCTCCTCAGCTCGGGCGAGGCTATCATACAGATGTTTGTTGATGTAGCAGGCACGCCCGCCGCAGCTTTGGTGGATACTGTTCCGTTCTGTATGTGCCTTCACACGTCCCGCCTCGACGAGTGAGCTGATGACTCATGCCTTATCAGCGAAGTATGTACCCTCATGGATATTTGGTATCCTCTTGGGATCGGGGCTCTTGGAGAAACGATCATTATTGCAGCGCGTGATGAATTCATCTTTTGAAGATGCCAAGGTAGTAACAGTGACATTATTTATTGGCCATGGTTGCAATCGTTTAAATATGTCTCAGGAATTGGAAACAGGAACGCATTCGTTCGTTACACATGTAATGGACGCGAGTGCGTCGAAGTTACAGCAGCGGGGCGATGACGAAGATACAAAAAATGCTGCCTTCGCAATGTTCCTTGGTAAGTCAACTTTTTGCTCTTCCCAGAGCCTTTGACTTCTGACCCCCTACATCATCGGCAGCTGGCTTCGAGGCTGTGAGTAACGATGGGCATGCCACTGGTCTCTGTTCCTGAGGATCCTGAACCAGCTATCAATCACCCTCAACACATTCCTCGTCACCATGGTCCTTCATGGGGACGTGTTCGCGAAGGCACAGCAAAGCATCGACGAGGTTGTAGGCACTGAGCGTCTTCCTGATCTCAGCGACAGAGATTCGCTGCCATATGTGGACGCAATTCTCTGGGAAGTCTACCGGTTAGTCTGTCGGTGAATGTCTAGTTGTTGTGCGCCACTCACTGGCACTCCCTGTTGGCACCCAGTATCAACCCGCCGTTGCCCATTAGTATGTTCCATATTGTGAGAATATGGCCTCAACTTAAACCTATCAAGGCATTCCACGACGTGTGATGGAAGAGGATGAATATCGTGGGTATCGCATCCCGAAGGGAACATTAGTGCTCCCTAATATCTGGTTCGTAGCGTTCGTTCCTTTACTCAGCACATTTCGATCATGACGCCCCTGATGGCCTTGGCTAGGCAAATGGCTCACGACGCCAATCACTACACGGATCCCGATACTTTCAACCCAGACAGATTTATAGATCCGGCGACCGGAAAACATACAGGGCTGGATCCTCGGGAGTACATCTTCTCATTCGGACGACGGTACTTATGCGATGTTCAACGGCTAAAGGGGTCATCTGACATGTACTCTCCAGTGTATGTCCTGGCCAACACTTCGGTGACGACAGCCTGTGGCTGGTGACAGCGAGTATCATCGCCACGTTCAACGTGAAGAAGGCGCTGGACGCGGAGGGCAGAGAGATAACGCCTTCTTTGACCAACTTGCCGGGCATGACCGGGTGCGTCTCCTAATAGGTCGATCAATTATGACCCGACACTGACGTGAGTGGGTGCGATAGTCATCTGCAGAAGTTTGAGTGTGCGATTCAACCTCGTTCACAACGGGCTCTTGAGTTGATCGCGGAGAGTTCAATGAGGTTGCATTAGCGTCGATGTTTGAAGATGTTCATCGCTCTCAGCCCAGACACAGCGATATCCGCGAAGATACGCTCCTTGGATGACTGCCGCATCAATAGACCGACTTCATGAATTGAACGTCGGCTGCGGTTGTTCCGGTGACGTCGATACTCAATATGATCGGTCTGTAATCCTCTATGTGCACCCATAATGCTGAACACGGTATCATTTGAACTACGCAAGACAACTTTACAATCACTCGACATCGAATAAGAGTACTTCTGCTGTCAACTCACTGACATTCTCCACAACAAGCTCCTTGCCTGGTTCACCAATGATGTATGCACCATCACCTTCCCATAACTCCTCACTCACATCGCCAACTGAGACCTTGATGTGTGCACCTCTCCTCTCCTTCGAAGGATTGTACCCGGAGGTCTGTGCGATCTGAAGGTAGACTTTACGTACGGGGTCGCGACCAGCGGCGGGGAATGTGTGTGGGAGAGACTTGCTGGGAGACATGACGGCCGCGTGGAGCGAGAGGGGTGAATGCACGGGCGCAGGCGTGCTCGACGCCTCGCGTGCTTCAGTTACACCCGGGGCATCGGCCGGTGCGACGACCAAACACCACTTGTCGCGCTTTTCCTCTTCCTCGAAATGACTGCAGAGTGGATCCGGCGTTGGGTCCAATCCGTGGACAAGATGCTCGAAAGGCTTACCGGGTGTAGTATTGCGGAGTGAGCCCGCTCTTTGACGGGATGCTCCAGATCTGGAAGATGTGACCTTGTTCGGATCCGTGGCTCTTCTCGCTATGCCGAATCCCAGTGCCCGCAGAGGTCAACTGAATGTCACCGCGTTTGAGAAACTCGCGATTGCTCATTGAATCCTCACTGTGCGCACACAGTTAGGCTTTATGAACCCAGATATGTCGAAGTCCAGTACTCACTGCAATATTTGTCCCGAGATGATGTATGTGAATATCTCGAACTCACGATGAGGATGCAAGCCAAAGCCCGTCCCAGCATCGAAACGGTCTTCGTTCATCACTCGAATGCACCCAAAACCGTCGTGCTTGCCATCCGTGAACCTAGATTTATGTGCCCACGTCATGAGTACATTAATGAGAGCACTGCGTGTTGATACGTACGCTCCAACGTTAAAGGTGTGGAATGCCTTGAGCCAGCCGTGGTCGCCGCCTCCACGCTCATAGCTACGACGAGGTACAATGCTCATGGTGTGGAGACCGATAGTATGAGGTTCGCCGTGCAGACGTAGACCAGTTATGGGTCGCCGGAGGAAGTTCAACAGCTTAGCGACTTGGCGGCGGATTGAGAACTATAGTGCTCTACTCATCCGCATAGTGTATCTGTATAAGTACTGATTCGCGGGCTGGCATAGCCTGGCATAACCTCGTGCTTGGTCATGGTGAAGGTGTACTGTCAGGATGCATTAGCATAGCGCGACGCGTATGACAGAACCTTCTATATCCGGATGCAGGCGCTGTTGATCGAGGCAGCGTGACTGGGCGTCTCTCGTGCTCCCGCGCTCGTCGCGACTCGCGAGGACCTAATCCGCACTTTGCAAGCCTCTATCTCACTAGCCATGGTACATTCTACACCTACATACGGCAGCGATAGAAAGGCTATCACGGCGTCCAAGACCTTGAATGTTTGGACCCAAACCTGCAAAACCCTCATCAAAAACGCGCAGCATACTATGGTGCAGAGGAGTTCGATCGCGCCCGGCGTGCGGTGGCGGTAGCGGGCTGTACATCTGCTCCTTAACGTTTCAAGCTCAAGACAGGGGCTAGAATTATCGATCAACAACTTTGTAACGAGCATAAAAGTCAGCTTGATTAGACTATGCGACTGACTACTTGTAATGAATAGGAAGACGACGTTGAACCTTTCGTCACGGCGTGTCTTCGAAATCTGCCTCAGGATACTACCAAGCCTGGAGCGGCCACCCAGTGAATCGTCTGCAACTCTGGTACCAACATGGGTACCCCATCCCACGCATTCACATAAATGATGACGTGTTGTCCAGTGCCCAGCTCAGGGTGGTCTCTCGCGACTCGGACCACTCGGTGTTTTGTCAACCTTGTACGGTATGCTGATCCATTGACGTAAACTGCATTATGTCTGCTTATGCCAACCTCGCTATATGTAGATCCTACATATCCATTTCTGCGCGTCCTCTAGGCTTCTCGCTGACAGGCAATTTCCAAGCTGCTACTGAATTCAGCGATTGCAGTGCATGGCTGTTGCATGGCTATGTGATCTTTCGCAAAGACGCCGACGCATGTCCAGGTTCTCCGGTTGCAAATGTTGGGTACTGCGCTCGAGAGCGTCGTTCTCGCGCGCCGTCTTTCCACTAATATCGACAGAAGTTACTGCTTACTCTTCGCAGGTCCATCCTGGTCCTCGCGAAGATTACTTGTTAACTTGTTAACGACTGCATTCAGTAGACTGACTCCGTCGATTGCACAGGATACGTCATGTAAGTTTCCTTTTTTCATGACCAGTTTCCAAGTGTCATTCAATGATTCATGCATGGGCACCAAGATATACACGATGTCATCTAATCTACGCAGGCCGAACCTCGCAATCACTCGACTTCGAACAAAAGCACTTCTGCTGTGAGGTCGCTGACGTTCTCCACGACCAGCTCCTTGTCTGGTTCACCGAATATGTATGCGCCGTCACCTTCCCACAGTTCCTGGCTCGCATCGCCAACGGAGACCTTGACATGCGCGCCTCTCGCCTCTTTCGCGGGATTATAGCCTGAGGTCTGGGCAATATGGATGTAGACTTTACTCTTTGCGTCACGCCCGGCAGTGGGGAATGTGCGTGGAAGAGACTTGTTGGGAGAGATGACTGCCGCGTAGAACGAGAGGGGCGAATGCACAGGTGCAGGTGAGCTCGACGCCTCGCGCGCTTCGGTGACCGTCGGAGAATTGATTGGTGCGACGATCAAGCACCACTTGTCTCGCTTCTCCTCTTCCTCAAAATGGCTGCAAGCGGATCCGGTATCAGGTCTATGTCGTGATCAAGATAGTCATGTCTCTCGCAGAGCTTACCGAGTGTAGTATCGCGGGGTGAGCTTGCTCTCGCTAGGTATGCTCCAGATTTGAAAAAAGTAACTTTGTTCGGGTCCGTAGCTCTTCTCGCTATGCCGGATTCCAGTGCCCGAGGATGTCAACTGTACATCGCCACTTTTGAGCAGCTCGCGGTTGCCCATCGAATCCTCGCTGCGTAGCCACAGTAAGGCATGTCAGATGCTAGGACGTCAAGGTCAAGTACTCACTGCATAATTTGCCCTGAAACGATATACGAGAATATCTCGAACTCGCGGTGGGGATGTAGGCCGGAGCCTGTCGACCCAGGCTCAACACGGTCCTCATTGATGACTCGGAGGCATCCAAAGTTGTCATGCTTTCCATCACTGAACCTAGAGTCATACCCATGTCCATGTTATGAGTACGTCAACGAGGCTGAAAATTTGATTGTACGTACCCTCCAACGTTGAATGAGTGGAACGTCTTCAGCCAGCCATAATCACCACCTGCGCGCTCGTAGCTACGACGAGGAACAATGCTCATAGTTGAGTCTGTCGTGTGCAGATTCGGTCTATCGTTACCAGTGATCGAGGGACAGCTGGGGGATACTTATTGCATTTACTGCCCTACGGACTAGCCTTGTATAAGTACTCCCATACATCAGTTGCTGTGAGGGGCGGGCATAGTTTGACAGAACTTTGTGCTTGGTCATGACAGAGGTGCACTGTCAGGATGCGCTGGCATAACGCGATGTGTATTACAGGACCTTCCATATACGGACGCAGGCGCCGCCAAACTTTTGATCGAGAGTAGCGTGACCGGGCGCTTCGATCGTCTCTCGCTCGTTTCGAGTCCCACCAAAGACCTAACAGACCTCTTTCTCGACCATCATGGCAACTCTTTTGCCCCCACCGAAACGTCAGAAAGTCTACCACGGAATCCCAGAACCAGAACCAGAGCCTATAAAACCTTCACCGAACGTCGTCGTACAATTTGTGTCCGAGGAGGACGGGCAACCGCTCGCGCCCACGGTAAATTTGCCCGCTAATGTTTCTAGGGAGGGATTAGAGGCACTGGTCAACAAGCTGACTACAAAGGTCAGCCCTGATATGACATTGCCGCCCGTGTCACAATCTGACTTTTTTCTTGAATGATCAGGACGATGACCCTGTGCCTTTCTCATTCCACATCGCTTTGCCTGCGGACGTTACCAAGCCTGGAGCGCCCACTCAGCTGGTAATCGCGAAGTCTATCGAAGAGGACGTGCTTGCACACCCTTCGAATGCATTCACACCTGAAGACGTGTTCGTTGTCCGTTGTTCACCTCAAGCGGTGTTCAAAGTCCGGCCAGCGACTCGATGCTCCTCAACCTTGTCTGGTATGCTAATCCGTTCACGTAACCCTCATTATGCATGCTTATGTACGCGTCGCCAATGCAGGCCACACATCTCCCATCCTGTGTGCCTCTTTCTCACCCACAGGCAATCTCCTTGCCACTGGATCTGGCGATTGCAATGCACGGCTGTGGGACCTTTTCACGGAGACTCCGTCACATGTTCTCTCCGGTCACAAAGGCTGGGTGCTCTGTGTCGAGTGGGAAGCAATGGAGCGTATACTCGCTACGGGCGGCCATGATGGGCACGTCCGTCTATGGGACCCCAAAGCGGGCAAGCCCATAGGCGACGCTCTTAGAGGACACACGAAATGGGTCACATCCTTAGCATGGGAGCCGATCCATCTGTGAGCCTCCAATTCTCTTATGTACTCCAGCTATCCGTCTGAAGCCCATTTAGGAACCCATCTGCGCCGCGTTTGGCGTCCTCATCAAAAGATGGCACGGTTCGTGTGTGGTCAACCTCGACACGACGGTGTGAATACACGCTTGGAGGACATACAGCCAGCGTGAACGTCGTCCGGTGGGGCGGGGGCGGCCTCGATGGCAAGGGCGTGCTGTACACTGCCTCCAGTGACCGCACGATCAGGGTATGGGACGCGAAAGAAGTAATTTTCATTTCCATAAGACCGCTGAACTTTGCTGATCATGATTCTAGGGACGACTCTTGCACACTTTGAAGGACCATGCGCACTGGGTTACCACGCTGGCACTGAACACAGATTTCATATTACGGACAGGCCCCTACGATCATACAGGCAAGAAACCTGTGTCCGAAAACGAGGGTATGTCGCTCGCTTTGTGCGTCTGCCGGGATGTGGCAGATGAACCCCCAATTGCCGCAGAAAATCCTCGCGGGGTTTGAAGGACTCTGGTCCGTTATATACGTGCTCCGGCGCAAGTTCGGAGCGCGTATGTAACGAGCTATGGCTTTCTTGATTTGACCTCATATTGCATACTGCTCGGGAATTACCTAGCACTAGCTGACAACTGCCGTAGCTCAAACCCTCGCGCTTGCGCGCTACAAGAACCTTGTGTCCAGCAACGGCGAAACGCTCATCTCAGGGTCAGATGACCACACACTTTTCTTCTGGTCGCTGTTCCCATCTCATGCTGGCTCCTCCGCCGCATCGGATGAAGCTGCCGCGCGCGGTGGAAAGCTCAAGCCCGTGGCGCGACTGACCGGGCACCAGCGCCAGGTGTCGCACGTCGCGTTTAGTCCCGATGGACGCTGGGCCGCGAGCGCAGCATGGGACAACAGCGTGCGTTTATGGGACGGCCGGACCGGTAAATTCGTTGCAACACTTCGCGGGCATATCGGTGCCGTCTACCGGCTGACGTGGAGTGCCGATTCGAGATTGCTTGTCAGCGCGAGCAAGGATAGCACGGTCAAGGTAAGCTTCTCGCGCAGCGTAGTTGCTCATACACAAACAGGCTTGCTGATGTTTGTGCGTAGATCTGGGATCTCAAGACGTATAAACTGAAGACAGACCTTCCTGGGCACACGGATGAGGTGTACTGTGTGGACTTCGTGGCAGACAAGATTGTTAGCGGAGGGCGCGATCGGACGGTGAAAATGTAGGCGAACTCCTCTCACCAAGACCGTCATTTTTGCATTGCTAACTTTGTCTGTCCATCAGCTGGAAGAATTGAGTGGTCTATGTCAACATTGGATATATGATGATTGACTGCGATGCGCGTCAGGTTTGGGATTACGAGATGTCCGGATCAGATTCCGAGTGCTTCATGATGGTATCCTCGCTGTATTACTTACGCTTCCAAACAGAGTCTGGGAAGAAGTAGCACCTTCAAGCATTACAGAAGGGCACGTTGACATACTCATAAGACTGCTTCCCATATGGAAAGATCATTCGAGCCTGGATAGCGTCGTTTCCTCCGGCTCTCCCGCGTTGTGGCTTACATCTGTTCCCGTTTACACCGTCCTGTCGAGTTGTTGGTACAACCCTGTTGAAAAGGCCTGTAACTAGAAATTGCTAACGCGGAGTTTGAGTGTCGGCCAACGCGCATTCGTCCGCGTCAATACGGATCGACCATACGTGATTTGTGCAGACGAAGGTAGCTGTCGCGCGGCCGACGACGGCGGCAACAGAAACTTCGCGATCCATTTTTAGGCCACCGGCGTCGCAAAAGAGGTTGTATTCCGGACGATGACTCGACAACATACAGGAATGCTGGCTATCGGCCATTCCTCCTACCACACTCATCGGCGAGTGCGTGAAATGTCCCATCGACACCGAATTGTATCTGAGTACTTCGTGGTTGTTTTCCGTACAACCAATGAGCTACGGTTGTTCTTGGAGAACATGGTGCAGTCTCGCGTGTGAGGCACCACCAATGGGTGAGTTGAGATTGCTAGTCTTGAGCGCAGACGCACGACTCGGCGACTCCCTGCTAGAGAAGGAAGCATTACATCAGACCACAGGCTTCCTCTATGCTTTTCCGCAGGTCATCGATGCCAAGGCGGGACTCTTCCAGTGCTGCAGTAACAATGGCTGGCAGACATGTCGGGGCCGTCTCGAAGATGTCCCTCTGGATGTCTTTGATCGCACCCCGACCATCGCTGGACCGTAAAAGGCCGTCGGCCTTCGTGATGACGGCTTGCAATGTGAACTTCGCACCGGAGGTGGCTTGACATTGCGCGTCGAGAGACTGCAACATCGCGCGGTCTGGGTCGTTGAGACCGTGGGTCGCGTTGACTAGCACGTATACTCTCCTCAGTCTGGATCCACATCAAGCATCAAGCATCAGCATTGACTCAATGTAGAGCTATGAACGTACTCTTCGCGCGTCTTGACGTAGTGATTGAATACCTCGCCCCATTGTGGACGACCTCGCGCGCCGTATCCCGGGGCGTCGACGAGAATAAGCTTCCCCGGCTCGCGACCAACACGATAGAAGTTGAGAGTCCGAGTGCGTCCCTAGATCACACAGCATACATATGTGAATAAAGTAACATCCCAGGAGAAGTATCAGGCCGCACAGGTTTCTGACTGGTGTGTGCAAGATTGCGACGGCCTAGAAGAGCATTGAGCAAGGTTGACTTGCCTACGTTCGCTCGGCCTGTTAACACCAATGAGCAGACAACATTGGTGCATAACAAGATGTGTGTACCAGTGACGATAACCTTAGGTCAATATGAGCACCTGTGTAGATATTCAGTCGATGAATATGACTGGGCTCACTTCAGGCAGACCTTGTAAGCGTGGGATCGACGTTGGACTCGCCGCTGAAATCAGGAGTTCAGCGGCAGAGGCATCAGAGAACACGTCGCTCGCAGAGTTAGAGAACAGGCGTCTCGAAAGTCCACGTATGAGAGGAGTTACTTCATGTCGGTGTAGTCCTGACATGGGAGCTGCTGGCAGCCAAAGCAAACACCGCCGCATACGAGTAATTTCCTAATCGGGAAGGAATGTGGGTCGGGCGCACTTGTCGCGTGACCGCGCTGAGGACGCACGGGATTTGGCCCGCGCCTTGTTTCGACGCGTCCGTGGCGCGACGCGCGACCATCTACCCTCCCTCCTCTTGTTCATAGCAACCTGCGAATGTCAGACTACGAAGCCTCGACATCCATTCCGTTTTCCTTGTGAGTACTGCCATGTGTATCAACACGGGCTGATTGACCCATTCCCTCGCCGCATGATGTGGTGGCCAGTTTCGTATCCCTCATCGAACACATATCGCGCATCAAGCCCCGAAAAGCCAGTAATCATGGAAATAAAGGCACCTCCCATTCAACCTCCAGTGTTGTGCAGACATTCCGCAACTGGGTAACGGAACTCCATCGTCGGTACGACCCTCTACCTCCTGGAACGACTGCTATCCTATTCCGGCTCCTCTTCCCTGAAGAGGATGCGAAGAGGAAGTACGACATGCAAGAGGCGAGGTTAGCACAAGTGCTCTCCGGTGCATTTGGCCTGCTGGGACGAGGTACAGAACGCGCAAGGGGTTTGGCCATTTGGAAAGCCGAGAACGCGATTGGCTGTTTAGGATTTGAAGTCCGGAAAGTGTTGGCCGAAAGTCGAGGAGTACGTTTGATGCCGTCTCAAATATGTACGCTCGAAGTACTTACTCCTCAGAAGAGCCTCGGAGACGAGCTCAGCGTCGCAGAAGTCGACGCCCTCCTCTCGACCCTAGCTTGCAAATCCGCGTTCTCTGCGGACAGCGTACGCCAAAATGCAGATATTTCAACCCCGCTGAAGGACAAATCACGGACTGAGATTGTCCGCTCCCTATACAGTCGCTTATCAGCTCCCGAGGCCTGCGTAGTGACCCAGATCATCCTGAAGGACATTCGGCCGTTGCTGTATCCTCTGCCAGAGGACGAGACGCACTACACGACGCTGTTGATACAGTACAAGAGCAATGCATTGGAGCAGCTCTCCAAGTTCGACGCTATGCGTGCTTGGGACTCCAGCGGTCGTATGCTATCCGCGTATCGAGTCCGTGCATGTCTTGACGAAGCTGCATCAGCCTATGAAAAGGCGATATGCGCAGGTAAAGCAGGTGATGTTCTCCTCGCACCACAGGTTGGGATACCGATTCAGGTCAGTGCGCGCCCACCCCTAGCATACGTATGTTAACCGGTCACGTTTAGATACCGAAGTGCTCGAAAGGGCAAGGCTGCGTACAGTCTCTCCGACTTCTTCGAGGCTCGAAGAAAGTCTGGGCGGAGACCAAGTATGATGGGGAGCGGACACAGATACATGTCGACCTCGAGGCAGGCTTCCCTCGTATCACGATTTACAGCAAGAGCGGGCGGGATTCAACCATGGACCGGGTCGCCATTCATCCGTAAGTAGACTTTCTCAGTTGGTCAAGTGTCAATATATGCTCAGATAGCCATTCGGAACTGGCAGTCTCATTCTGGACGCGATTGGGTTCAACGATTCGTCTTGTAAGGTGAAGAGAAACGTAGTGCTGGAAGCAGAGATGGTTGCCTACTCCGATACTCTTCATCGCATCGACGGTACGCACACATGGCTGGAGGCAGAAAGTCCTATCAGTAACTCAATACAATCGCAGAGTTCTGGCGTATCCGGAGCCTCATCAGCACTACTGCTATAGGGCCGCGTCACAGCAGACATCCCAAGCATACTGCTGCTGATACCTCACAGGATGCTGAAGATGGGTACGTACCTCTGCATCGTATCCCGTGGGATTCTCACCGTCAGCTTGTGTTGCATGTAGGTCGCAGTGCTCCTTGGCCTCCAACGCATCTGACGACGGTACGCGGCACCTCGCGCTCGTCTTCTTCGACATCCTTGTTCTCGACGACGCGTCTCTCCTCTCTAGTTCTTACTCTACCCGGCGCGCGACTCTCGAAAGCCTGCTCCACCCCAAACCGGGGTACGTCATGCTCGTCAAGCGCGTGGCCATCGATATGCAGCCCAGTGTCAGCACTCGAGGCGGAATGGACCCGGAAGCACGCCTTCGGGAGATCTTCGCGCAAAGGATTGCGGACCACCAAGAAGGATTGGTGTTGAAGGCCGACGAAGCGCGATACAACGACTGGAGGTTGCCGTGGGTCAAGGTGGGTTCTTCTTATCTCTTGCGTGAGCAGAACAGCTGAGTGGTAGTGGACTTCATAGTTGAAGAAGGATTATATCGAAGGATACGGAGACACCCTAGACCTCGTGCTGGTGGGCGCTACGTGGGAGAAGGAGCGCGCTCGGGAGCTTCGAGGTGGGTCACTTGACGGATCGAGCAATATGTGGACACTAAATTAGTGGTCGTTACCACCGTACACCAGTCGCGCCCACGGCTTATACCACTTTCTACATCGGAGTGCTGGCGAACTCTGCCGCTCTCAAGACGAATGTCAGTATCTACCTACGGTGTTGAAGTTATCACTGTCTGACCACGCGTTTTGTGCAGCCTAGATGCATGCCGCATTTTGAAGTGTTCTTCACGGCATCTTACGGGCTGAGCAGGCAGGAGTTGGAGCAACTGAACTTCCGCATCAAGAGCTCCGACCCTGTGCGCTGTGAGCCTGGGAAGGTGCGTCGACCCTACTCTGCGTCGCTGCGATGGCTCACATGTACATACTCTTGCCACCCATCATGGTCTCCGTAGGCAATGCATGGACTTCCGTACACCCATCATTTGTTTCATGGACTTCCCTCCCCTACTGTGCTCCTCCCCGAGCCGATCCTTGTAGAAGTCGTTGGTGGTAGCTTCACCAAGGCAGCTCACAGCAAGGTACGAGTCGATCGATTCATCGCATCTCTCATCTCTCATCAGCCCGACGCAGTTCTACGAGCTCCGCTTCCCGCGCATCGTAAAGGTCTTCCGGTCGAGCGAACGCTCATGGACCGATGGTGCCACCCTCGAGGAGTTCCAGCGGATTGCACGAGAGTCAGTCGGCCACGAGAGCTCGCACAAGGACGTTGAGGACTGGTGCAACGAGCTCTGGGGCAAGCCGAGCTCGCCGGGAGCCAAATGCCCTGTCAAGCGGAGGCGAACGGAGGCCGAGTGGGCAGAAAAGCTGGAAAAGGCGGATCACAAGTCTGGGAAGAGGGCTAGGAAGGCTGAGACAGAACACGGTGTTCGTCCGGAGGCTAGTACTGCGGGTGGACGAGAGAATCGCACCGGCGCGTTGCCGGGGTCACCGAAGTCACCTAGGTTATTGAGAACTCTAGGCTCAATGACGAATGTGATGAGGTGGTCTCCCGAAGTCGACATGCCGCTGCAACATCTCGCCCCGGGAGCGACGTTGACTTCTGCAAATGCCATACCGTCTCCGTCGCCCACGAGGATACACTTGCGCAATGCGGAAGACCAAAGAGCTAGCACTCTTACGGATGCTGGTTCTGCCGAATCCTCCGACGATTTCACGACAAATTGCATTCCAGTTCGCCGTGTAGGCGCGGAACAAGTCACCGCCGGCGATCATCGTGTTGAGGACAATGTCGTTGTGGACGCTCCGGCCTCGCCTCCACCGGAATTTACTTCGACATCGCTGGGACATTTTCTCCAACATGCAGTCATATGGCTCGCTCAGCCTCGCAGCACACCTCGACCAGCATGGCGTGTACCTTCCAAACTCATATTTCCGCCTGGTCAGCAGGTACACAGCCTCGAATCGCTCCTACAAGCTTGCCGCTGGGGCACAGCGGAGAGCATGAGCGTGTGCGACTGGGCGGAGAAGGGCGTCATCTTCGTCGACGATACAGCGCCGGAGTCCAACGACCGACCGTGGACCGAGTACCCGCTCAAGTCGTTGATGGAGCGCAGGTCGACCCTGGTTCGCGAAGTAGGGCCTGTGGCTTGCAAGCCGGTCTGGATATTCAGCATGACTATGCTCAGCTACGAGGCATTGAGTAACGCCTGCTCAGACGTGGAGGACCGGGCCTTGTGTAAATTCGGTTGAAGTCGGGGGCACACTTCGGCTTAACTTATCGTTATATTATCGGTTTCCGCGAGAAGGATCGTCCGCATACGTAGAAAGACAAAATGTAAATGGAAGAGGTCTGAGGTATACGACATTGATCTCTAGATTTTCACGTAGAGTGATCTCGCGGCAATGCACTGCTTTGGCAGATCACAACATGGGTTGAGCAGCATGAATCTTCTACGGCACCTGCCTGATACGGACATGACCACTTTGATCGAGGACGGTAATCTCACTAGCGATCTCGCCTTTTCGTTCTGACTCTCACTGTCCTCACCAGTCCGCACTGTTACGAGCAATGGCCGACACTGCTCTGATCAACACAGAGCTCACTGCCCTAACGCTCGTCTCGAAGGGCAAGGTCCGCGATGTCTACGCGACCTCTTCTCCCGAACACCTGTTGTTCGTAGCCACGGACCGCATTTCAGCGTACGATGTCATCCTGCGCAACGTCCGTCCACTTTGTCCCGTCTCATTCGGCGAACCCGACCTTCCTCGCAGGGCGTCCCCGACAAGGGCAAAGTGCTTACCAAGATCTCGCTGTTCTGGTTTGAGAAGCTGAAGGACATCATCCCAACGCATTTTATAACCGCAAACGTTGATGAGATGCCCGAAGAAGTAAAACAGTACGGCAGCCAGATAGAAGGCAGGGCGATGCTCGTCAAGAAGGCGAAGGTCGTACCCCTCGAGGCCATCGTCCGGGGTTATCTAACTGGTAGGTCCATCGTTGCTCACGCGTCCATGCGGTCTCATCTGGTGACTTGCTAGGATCCGGATGGGCGGAGTACAAGAAGTCCGGGACAGTACATGGTATCCCCCTACCTGCAGGGCTCGTCGAGTCGCAGAAGCTCCCTCAGCCGTTGTTCACGCCCTCTACGAAGGCCGAGCAAGGACAGCACGACGAGAACATATCACCACAACGCGGTATGTCCTGCATGGCTCCCTTGCGATTATCCTCGTACTCACCGTCGCTCCTACATAGCCGCCTCAATAGTCGGGCAGGATCTGTATGACAAAATCTCAGTCGCGGCCATCAAGCTGTATCAAGCCGCCGCGGACTACGCCCTAACGCGCGGTCTCATCCTTGCAGACACGAAGTTCGAGTTCGGGCTCATTCCGTCGCCTTCCGGCGGGGAGGAACTGATCCTGGTCGACGAGCTGCTCACGCCAGACTCATCTCGGTACTGGCCTGCTGAAGGCTACAAACCCGGAGGAACGCAGCCAAGTTTCGACAAGCAGTACTTGCGGGACTGGTTGACCAGCACGGGCTTCAGGAAAGGGTTTGAAAGCGGCCCGGAAGGAAAGGAGGGAGAGGGGTGGGTCATGGAGACGAGTGTGGTGGAGGGGACGAGGGAAAGGTATTTTGAAGCCTTGAAGATGCTGGTGGGCGAAGACGTTACGTTGTAAGTGTTCGCAGCAATCGTGCCGTAAAATGTAGCTATATGTTTTCTATATTCATAACAAAGCCGGCGAATATCTTTCATCGCCTCAGCGTAGTGTAGCCTGCCGAATGTGAATCATGACCTAAATTGTACTGTTGTGTCCCGGCAAGTTTCGATCAGTGTTTTGTATACCTTGTTGTAGGACTAACAGCGCGATTGATTGTGTGTTATCTAGACCAAGGCTGTAAAACCACTCATTGCTCATGACATCGAAGATTACATTTGTTTAGGTGTACATGAAGGAACGGTCAAGGTCGAGACGTGCCTTGAGTCGAAGAGAACGGAGAGAGAAAGAGAGAGGAGGCCTATACCGGATACAACCGTCAGCGGCAGCGGATGTTTTTTGGGCGTTGTTTTATCGTCATGCCTGCATCGAGCAGGGGATACGAGGCTTCTTGCAAGCCACGGATAATGTGGTCGCCAACCTGATACCAAGCTCAGTACCAGATATACAACCACGGATTGAGCACGCCTTACCATCAGGACGCCGGCACGAAGCCGGGACAATTGCCCCCTCCTACATGCCGCAGGAAGCTGTCCTTCTTGGCGAACGTGGCCCCACACCTTTGGCATGTATACGGCCCTTGATCAGAGCTGAAAGATGTCGCACAGCTCGGCCAGGATTGCGGAATACTCTCTCCATAACATTCGGACGCTGCCACAGAACGAGCCCGCATCCTCGGTAGCAGTGAGTCATGGAGGCCATCCGTCGACGCCATGTCGCGGACGAATATCAGGCTTTGCTCTTCGCAAATTCCGGCGCCGACAATCTTGGAAATGAGGGCCATCGCGGGGGTCGATGTGAGGTTGGGCTAGAGTCGCTGGTGAGTGGTTGATAACCACTCTGCAGCGCGGATCTCTTATACGTTAGGTCTGGTGGGTGAACAGACACCACGCAGCGCGGTTGCCTTGACGTTGAGACGATAGAATTCGAGACTACGCATGGTGGTACTCACACCCAGCGCTGCGGAAGGGGAGAGAACGATCAGTCGTCAGCAGTAACGAGATTCATACGGCGAGCCAAAGAAAAATGTGAAACTTACCACTCCCCACCAAGTGCTGTTTCATGACAACCCATTGAATTACGTGTGGGCGACCGGTGGATTGGACTAGCTAGGCAGATGACTTCAGTCTTCATGCTGCGGCATAAAGACCGGGTGACGGAGAGAACATCAACTGGTGCATAGGTGCACACCGTCGCTTCAGCATTTGCGATATTAAAATCTGTTGAAGAGGGGAAGCAACGAGGCAGTAGAAAGGCGAGCCAGAACCTCAATGCTTACCACGGCGCGAAGGCTGGCAATGACACCCGCCTTTCAACGGCGTTTTAACCCGACCTTGCTTGTTTGAACGAGGTTCATGAGGCTCTCAGGGCCAAGCTTCAAGCAGACCTAGGAGTTGGTCAACATCACATAACACATATGCATGCGCATACGAGTTCACAGTAAGTACATAAGTCGAGCAAGATCAGGACCGATCGGACGTACATCGTTTTCCGCTGCCACGTTTCGAGCAGAAATGGGTAGGTGTACAGATGGAAAGATGGCGGATCCCACAATGTTTTGTCGCATGCCGCTCCGACAAGGGCGGCCAACTTGAATAGGCCGCCGCATCGCATCAATTTCTGTCGACACCGGTGTGTCACTTTGCCACAACGGCAATCGGCCCGGTCTGGAGGTACTTAGGATGCGCCACCGGACTCCTTCTCCGCAGCGTACTTGGGTAGACTTGGGTCGATTGCACTTCGGATGTATCCTATATATTCTGCCATCAAATGGTGTCTCGAGAACGGTTGAAACGCAGACTTTGAGAAATTCACAGTAGGGATGTTCACGTTGGCCCGTACTTGGAATCGGGAGGCGCCGGCGTGTCTGTTCAAGTGGGCGACACGAACTTGTTCCGTCGACCAAGCCATTTCCGCTGTTGCGCCTTGCTTCCCCGCCTAGTGCGGATGGGTGTACAAACTGAAGAAACGCAGCACACCGAAATCATTGGCAACGAGAACGACCCCTGTGCCAGTGCACTCACCTTTGATAATTCCTCATCGCACTTGAATATGGAAATGAAAACATCACGTTCAATTGTGAGGGAGTTGGCGCCAGCCCGTTCGAAATGCCTGATCATTGAGGTCGGATGCATTGCAATGCGTCAATCATTCTTGACACTGCGGTGCGTTCGGTGCTTCATCGTAAGAGACCAGTGGGACTGAAGAGCAGCTACCTTTGAAGTAGTCGATAGGGTTATGTTTTGCGGCCAAGAGGTCAATACGCGAAAATGATTTGTTGTGGGCTACGATCTCAGCCTATGAACGCGGACATACCATGACCAGTATGAACATCGGCGCATGACTTCCTTGAAGAGGCCCTTGCGGAATCGAGACGAACCACTGAGCGCAGATCATTGTCAGCAAGAGCGAGCACACCGCGTCGTCGACGATAATGGAGGCAGAGTTACGGAATAACAGCCATACCTTCGTTCCGAAAACTTGACTTCGTGAGAGGCGGGGATAAGACAGCGTGGTTGAAGCTTGAAGACGCAAGTAGAATATACCTCAGCAGTCCAGACGCAGGAAGCACTGCCACAGACGCGGGAAGCACTTCCACAGGGAGGTCAACGGATGGTGGAAACCGAGCATGCAGTGCATGAACGTTCAGAAATTACTAGATGCCCGCAACGTTGAGAGTCCAGACGCATACTGCGGCCACCGTGAAGCCAAGCCGGTGGCCCGAGTCGCCCGACTGGCCGCGGGAGCAAATCTCAATCTCGATCACTGACGCCACTACGTCACGAGATCACGAGACGCCACACTGTACCGTGACGGTACACAGTACTTGCACTACGCTGAAGAGCGCGACGTGATACCTTGAGTGAGCAACAGTAACAGACAGCGGCGTGACCGCTGCCGGGAACAATGAACCAAATTGTGCCGTACATCAACAAATTCATTGTCTTCCTACACGACGACCGTACATGACAAAATACGGAAGGCTCGAGAACCCGAAAGAAAATACTCATCATCGACTTCGGCGCGAGTTAGTTTCCCCCCGCACGAGTGCGAGGGTACTTATCCCGAGGACCACGTAAAGGTCCGCGCCCGGACAGACACCGCGTCCCGCGATGCCCGCCCGCCCTCGGGGCCTAACTTGCGCCGCTTGACCCTTCGCTCTTGCCATAGCCCTTGAAGCTAGCTCCCATGACTTTCTTGCGGTGCTTGACCCTTCGCTCATGCCAGAGCTCTGGATGCTAGCTCCCATGACTTTCTTGCGGCGCTTGACCCTTCACTCAAACCCGAGCTCTTGATGCTAGCCAATCGGCGCTTGACCCTTCGCTCGTTCGAGCCCCTTGAGGCCAGCCTCCTTTACCTTGCGGCGCTTGACTCTTCGCCCGACTTCGGGCTCTTGACGCAGCCCCCGCTTCCGGCGTTTGACGCGTCACACACATGTTCATGCAACTCTGTTGCTGTGTGTGACCATATTTTCCCTTACGATCCATTGGGCACTTGACGTACGAGTAGGGGACGTGCGAGACGACGAGCGAGCAGACGTACCAATCTCCCAATGGATATTGCCGCCGAGTTTACTTTACTCGGACGCAGCAGGTCGGACAGGCGGAGCAGGCGCAGACGGGGACAAGACAGACAAAAGAAACGTACACAGTCCAGAGGGCAGGCGCCTTAAGTATCACGGCGGCTGACAGGGCGGCTGGTCGAACTCGCGACGCGTCGGTGGCGCAGGCTGACAGTCGATGAACGCCACTCGAGGTCGCGTGTGGCTGGCAGGGACCGACGGCGAAGCTCCAGCGCGACACGGGCGTCGGTCTACGCGTCGGGTCAGATCGAGGGCGTCCGTTGGGGACGCATGGTCGACATACCTTTGTGCGCGATGACGCGCGCCCTTTGTCGACGAGTGGCGTCCATACGGTGGTCGGGTACACAGGGCTTGGCGCGGCTGACAAGGTGGACCACTTGAGGAAAGAGCCATATAGCGAGTGGGCAAGAGACGTGGGCGGGAGGTAGCCTAGAGGTGGGGAGAGAGGAGGAGGGGGAGTCGCGGTTGGGCGAAAGAGGGCCGCATATCGAAGTCCATTTATACGTTTGGCACAAAGGCCGCTGACACGTGGGTGTCACATCCACGAGCCCAGTCCGGTCCGCAGCGTGGACCGCGATACGAGGACAGTTTCCGGATTTGGGTGCTTGTGGGTCCACATCGAAGACAAAGCAATCGCTGGAAAGGGCGAGGCTGTGGTCAGCGCCATGCGGACGACGGGTATGATAATAGCTGATGCGCACGATATGCCTGATTGGTATACTCCGCGACGGGCACGGAGGGATAGAAGAGTGCGGAGGTCAGAGCGTTTCCACCGTGATGGTGGACAAAGCATCCCCGGACGGATATTTGGATGACACGTCGAGTCAAGGATCGCGCATTAGGGTGTTTTATCCAGCGACGGTCCGGTGGAGTGTGCGAAGTAGAGCTGTGCGACTGTCTCTGACCACTTGTGGAATATCAGCATGATCCTCAGACGCGACGACGTTCACGTCGAAGGGAATCGAAATGCCTTCAAGCTCACGGCTTTCATATTCTGGTCCACTCTCTGGCGGTTGGCCTGGGTCGCAATAGAAGCCTAGTAGCAGCAGGCCTATCATGAAATAGCTTGTTCTTCGAACAGAAAGGCTTCAGTTCGCGACCAGCATTCGAGAGTTCAAGTTGCTCACAGCCACAGCAAAGCCACAGTGGCGGTGACCAAATCGGGATCTCGATCATTGATGCCACCGCGTCATCAGCCCGCTCCCGCCGGGCCGCCGCATGCTGGTCTCGGTCAGTCTCTGACTCTCTCGTCTCTCACCCACTGGCGACTTTCACCTTCTCCGACCCTCTCATTGTCAGCGGTCTTCCACTTCCGAGGCCCCTCTAGATAACACTATTGTTGATAGTTCTGCTGCCTGGCCTGAGCTTCGAAGCTGATAATAGATTCCCCTTACCTGCGCCGGCGGGGCTCGTCGAATCGCAGAAACTCCCTCAGCCATTGTTTACGCCCTCCACGAAAGCCGAACAATGACAGCACAACGAGAACATCTCTATATAACGCGGTATGTCCTGTATATTTCCCTCATGACGATCCCCGTACTCACCGTCACTCCTACGCAGCCGCCTCAATGATCGGGCAGGATCTGCACGATAAAATCTCGGTTACGGCCATCAAGCTGTATCAACTTGACGCTGCCGCGGACTATGCCCTAAAGCGTGGCCTCATCCTCGTAGACACGAAGTTTGAGTTCGGGCTCGTTCCGTCGCCTTCCAGTGGGGAGGAGCTGATCCTGGTCGACGACCTACTCACGCCAGACTCATCTCGCTACTGGCCTGCGGAAGGATACAAGCCCGGAGGAACGTAGCCAAGTTTCGACAAGCAGTACTTGCGGGACTGGTTGACAAGCACGGGCTTCAGGAACGGGTTTGAAAGCGGCCCGGAAGGAAAGGAGGGAGAAGGGTGGGTCATGGAGACGAGTGTGGTGGAGGGCACAAGGGAGAGGTATCTTGAAGCCTTGAGAATGCTGGTGGGCGAAGACGTTACGTTGTAAGCGTCCCATGAAATTGTAGCCGTATGTTCTCTCTTTATATAATAAAGCCAGCGAATAACGTTCATCGCTCAGCGTGGTCTAGGCTACAGAATGTTGTATCTTTCAGGCTTCGATCTTGCAGGCGTTCTTGTGGGACTAACAGTAAAATCTAGTAAGTTTTGTCTAGGACTACTTGCAACGGCCGTAAAGACACTCATAATTCGCAACATCAATGATGGCATTTGTTTAGGCTACAATAATGATTAATACCCCGTCAAGCTTCAAGGTCAAGACGCGCATTGAATCTAAGGGAGCGGCGAGAGAGAAGGCCCGACGCCGGATACAACTCCCAGAGATTGGGATAAAATGATTTTTGGATGTTGGCCTACCATCATGCCTGCATCGAGCACGGGAGACAGCTTCTTGTAAGCCACACTTAGTATGGCCGCCAACTTATCACTAAGCTCAGTACTAAATATACAAAAATGAATTGAGCACGCTTTACCATCAGGTCGGGTAGGGACAGTTGCCTCCCATATGGCGCTGGAGGGCAGCATTCGTACTGAAAGCGGCCAAGCACCTCTGGCACACATATGGCCTGGTACTGTGCGTCGTAGGGCCAAAAGGCATCGCACAGTCTGGGGGGAGCTGCGGAGTATTTCTGTCATAGCACTCGGGTGCTATCGCAGGATGAGCCCGCACTGGCGGTAGCGGCGAGTAGCCTTGGTAGACAACCATCGACAACTTGTCGCGGACGAATGTCGAGCCTTGCTCTTCGCGGTTGTCTGCGTCAAGGATCTTGGACATGAGAGCCATAGCGGGAGTCGTTGTGAGACTAGCTGGAGTCGGTGAGTGGTTGATGAATACCGTACAGCTTGGAGCTCTTTTGATTCATTGTCTGGTGGGTAAACAGATACCATGCGGCGCGTTTCCTTCGAAATCAGCACGTTCAAGTAAAACTTTCAACACTACGCATGGTGGAACTCACACCCAGCGCTGCGGAAGGGGAGAGAACGATCAGTCGTCAGCAGTAACGAGATGCATACGGCGAGCCAAAGGAAGATGTGAAACTTACCGCACCCCACCAAGTGCCGTTTCATGACAACCCATTGAATTGCGTGTGGGCGAGCGGTGAATTGGACTAGCTAGGCAGATGACTTCAGTCTTCATGCTGCGGCATAGAGCCCAGGTGACGGATCAAATGGGACATACTACCTACGCACCGTCGTTTCTGCACTTGCGATATCAACGACTGTTGGAGAGGGAAGGCAGCGAGGCAGCGGAAAGGCGATCAAGAATCTCAATGCTTACCACGGCGCGACTGGCAATGACTCCCCCCGCTAAACTGCGTCCTGAAGACCGATCTTGCCTGTCTGGACGGGATTCATGAGAACTGTAAAGCTAAGCTCTGTACGAGCCCAGAAGCTGGTGAGCATCATGCCATATATACGCACACGACCTCACAGTACATAACCTGGAAAAGATCAAGACTGATCGGACGCACATTGATCATGGCCACCGGCGAGTTATTGCTGGCCTCAATTCAAGCGGAAATGAGTAGGTGTACAGATGGAAAGATGAAGCATGTGGCTCCGACAAGGACGGTAGATAGGCCGCCGCATCGCATCTGTTTCTGTCGACAGCTCATGTTGAATTCATGCAAGTTGAAAGTGAGACCTGCCACAGCGTCACTTGCCACACGGCAGTCGGCCCGGTCTGGATGGTAAGCGCCACCATGACTGGCCGGGTCCCTGCTCAGTACTAGTACTCAGTGCTCTGCAGCGTACTTGGTCGGTTGCACTTTGGATCCTGCCGTCAAACGGTGTCTTGAGTGGTTGTAGCGCAGACTCTGTGAAACCTCAGGTGTGAATATTCACGCTGGCCCGTACTTGAATAACTTGCCATTTCCATCATCGGGAGGCGCCGGCGTGTCTGTTCAAGTGAGACGCGAACATCATATTCCGTCGATCCCGCCGTTGCGCCTTGCTTCGGAGTCCCCACCTAATGCGGATGGTTGTACAGACTGAGAAATGCAGCACACCAAAATCATTCGCGACGACAACGACCCCTGTGCCAGCGCACTCACCTTTAATTACCGTGACACCACTTGAATATCGTATTGAAAACATTGCGCTCGGTTGCGAGGAAGTTGGCACCAGCCCATTCGGAACGCCTGGGCCTTGAGCTTGAGGCCTGAGGCCTGAGGTCAGATGCGTTGAATTGTGCTTAGCATTCTTGACGCACGTAATGGGGCGTGCGGTGCTGCGTCGTAAGTGACCGATGGGACTGCAAAGCAGCCGTAGTTCCTGTAGTCGATAGAGATTTCTTTTGCGACCAAGAGGTTAGTATGCAAAACTGATTGATGTCAGCTACGATCTATGAACGCGGGAGGGGGACGTACCATGACCAATGTGAACATTGCAGCCATACCTTCGTTCCGCAAACTCGACTTCGTGAGAGGCTGGGATGAAACAGCGTGCTTGAAGCTCGAAGACGCAAGTAGTAGATATCTCAGTAGCCCAGACCCGGAAGCACTGCCACAGACGCGGGAAGCACTGCCACAGACGCGGGAAGCACTGCCACAGACGCGGGAAGCACTGCCACAGGGAGGTCGACGGATGGTGGAAACCGAACATGCAGTGCATGTACGTTCAGAAATTACTGGATGCCCGTCGAGAGTCCAGACGCACAGCGGTACTTACTGGCAGTGGAAACAGGCCTGTATGCAGTGCCAAGCAGTACGCGACCTTATGCGGTTGATGGGGGCAAGTGCCAGTGGACTGGTAGGTGCTTGAGCGGCACTACCTGTAAGGGCCTCCCAGTACTGGCAGTGGTACTGTTTAATGGTAGACGGATGACACAGTCAGACCAAGAGATAAATCGGTAACGAGACGACCAGTGAAATGCTAACGATGAGAAAGGCTAGGATACACAAGTCTGAGGAGATCCATTCGAGCGTCCGTGGAGTCAGAGCGTAAAGTACGAGAAGAGGAGTGAGGTTGGTATGCTACAGAGGTCCTGAACGCAAGGAAACGGTTGAGAGAAGGGACTACGAAGCGCGGAATGTCAGTAAATGGAAAGAGGTGTGTGAACGTCTCCGGAGCGATGATGCGACGTTCAGCTAGTGGAGCCCTCGGAATCGACGGAGCTGCTGCGTTGTCTCCTGCCGAAGGCGCGAATGCGGGGGAGAGAAAGCCGGAGCTCCATGAGCTCGAGCATGTCCCTGTGACGTGGTGAGACTCGACTCAACGCGCTACGTCCAACTACACTCACCTGTAATTGAGTCTGTTGGTGACCTTCATAGGTGTCCGGTCGTACTCCTCGACGTAAAACACCTCTTCCTTCACCACCTCCGCATTCCCATCCTCACTGAACGTCACGGATTTCCGCCGCGCCTCGCGCAGGGGCTTTGGCTGTTCAATGTCTGAGGGTAGGAGGGGGCCCTCGTAACTTGGGGGCTCCGGGTCCGTGGCGGACGGGGGTGCGACGTTCTGCTTGAGACAGCTCTTGACGACCATAGTGTTTAGATGTCTGCGGCTGCCGCAAAAGCAAGTGGGGCGATGTGAGCGGCAAAAGGACACGAAGCTTCTCACAGACGACGGGTGTGTCTATGGGGTTGCGGGACCGGGCTGCGCGTCCTCGAGTTTATGTACGCGCGAGCGCAGTGCTTTTCGAAAGGCGGATGCGCTTGGATAGGGATCCGTCCGGCCGTTGAGTATGAGTGCCAGCCTGGAGCCGTCTGGAGTAGAACGTTCCGCGCCGCGGATGAGCCGGATGCGAATGCCAACAGACGGATGCAGACACGCCGCACGCGGGAAGCGTGCGTGGGAGCAGGTGTTGAGTCTCGCTATTCTCAGCTCAGCTCGCAGCGCTGCTACCTAGACAAGTTTCACTGGCTGTGGGCAACAGCACTAGGGTGGTATTCACGGAGGCGAACGCTAGGGGCGGGACTTGGGCGGGACAACTGCAGACAGCGCAGTGACTGAGCGAGCTGGTCGCGAGCGGCGTCAGAGCGGGACGGTGGCGCGGACTGATCGAGCTCACGTCGGGATCTGACCCAGTCCAGATTCGGTTTGTCGGTGTTCCAAGTTTGGCCAGCTGTGCCTGAATCCACTAAGCGGAACGTTCAGCGGGCCCCGAAATGCGCTCCCGTCGTCGAGCTGCTACGATGACGCTCCCGTCCGACAACGCTCTGCCCTGCGACTGCACAGAACTAGCGCGTCGACCCTTGGAAACTCTGGATTGCGACCCTACAGCATGAGAAGATGGACAGGTGCATCTTCCTCTTCCACGCAACAGGCTCATCTCATCCCTGGCAACCCTGTACCGCGACGCAGGCTCACGACCCGTTCATCATAGCCCCGTGTATCTCGATAACGATGGATAGCACGAGCGCGGCACTGCGATCGTCTCCGCACAAGTACGGCGAACCGAACGAACCGCGATGTCTCTAGGATGTTCTCTGCGCGCAGTCGTCGTCGGTCGAGCCCGCGACGCAGGCGGCGTCCGCGCCCCTACGTGCTATACACGACTCTGGTGGCTGACGGCAGCTTCATCTCCTCCTGGGTGAATTGATCACTTGATAAGCAAGGGCCTGTCGAGAACAATCTCTTTCATTTCGAGCTGCCGCGAGGTGCGCCCCTCCCCACGCTGTCCTCCGCTTCCCGCTCACTGCCTCTTCATTCAAGATTGTCTGGAGCCTTTCATGCCCAGTTGCCTGCATGGCTGTGGAGGGCTTGTGCTTCGGCGGAAGGGAGAGCCCTTGGTGTCCGTGTTGCGTTGCGCTCGGTCGCTTCGCGCGGGTGTCGCTATGGATGCGTTTGGGCAAGCTCTCTTCAGTGCTAATGGCAACACCGCACAGCAGGCTGCTGCAACAGCGCGCAGTGCGCACATCAACACGGGTCCCGAGTCATCTTGCCTGATCTCGTCATTCTGTGGCCCACCCAGGCGTCTCCTCGGTCGAAACTACCCGCGATGCGACCCTACGTTCCATCCGCTTGTCCGCAAGGCCTCTCGCGTGCCCATATGCAACTCGACCCCCATAGCAGGCAATCCCAGAACTCATTACACACGCACAAATGACGGGTATGATGACCCCGCGCAACTAAGGAAGCCAGGGGACAGCACGAAGCGGTCGGAAGCGCGAGCCACGACCGCGCCACGGATCGTCGCTCTCGCATCTGTCACCCGTGCCCCCCAACCGTCGCCCCGCACGTCAACGTCAATCCTGCGTCCGCCACGACCCGTTTCATCTCGACCGGCCATGCCATCCGTGCCGCCGGGATCCTCGGTCGACATCGCCGCGACCAGCCGTGGGGTCGTATGTCTCTCGCGTTATTGTAGGGGAAGTTGACAGAAGAGTACTCCGTTTCTGTGGCGGTTGTAGCCTCGCGGCTTGCGCAGCTATCATTGTGTGTCGCAACTCTACATAGTCGTCTCCTGCAATGTGCCCCTGCACTCAGAACCACTTTCCACCCTTACTAGTGCGGAATTTGATATCGATTTCCCCGCTCTGTGCGGAACGCCGTCGGTCCACCTTCAAATTACGCTCCCGTCTGCCACCGACCCCGCAGTGGTCGTGCATGAATGCACTCCTGATAAATGGCACCTGTCCTGATGCATACGTAGCAAGTGCGTGGTTCTCGGAGAGCTCGTGGTGGTTTATCGCGAGCAGACTCACCAAAGGCGCCGCTCTTCTTTTCTGCGGTGGTCCGAGTGGTCGTCGGTGGAACGCTGGAAGGGTGGGCTGGTGGAACACTCCGTGTGCATTCGTGGAAGGGTGGCCACCGAGGTGGGCCGGTGGCAGACTTCCCTCCAAATGCATGTGGTGGGCGAGCGTCCGAGATAGGCAAGGCCGACTGCCCGGGACGATCGGATGGGGTGAGAGCGCCGAGGAAGGTCGGAGGAGTGTGTTTTAATTTCAGCGTGTCTGGGAGAGAGAAGCCCGGCTGGCAGGCCAATATAGCCAAGTCGCCGCAGGCCTGACCCACCGTCCGACTCGGGCAGAGGCGCAGGCCGAGGTGGAACTGCACACCCCGGCCAGAGATACGCCCATGTCGCGCTGCACATGGATCGTCGTACCGCAATGCAGCGCCCACCAGTGCCCGCGAGCTGCCCGATCTGTCCTCCCCTATGTCGTCCGAGCCCACAAGGCTACGGAGCCCGCCCAGTATCGACGTTCAGAGCCCCACATGTCTGAAACGTCGAGGCTTTATTGTGCGCACGGCCGCCCTGCCGGGTCGATCATTGCATTATCAGTGTTAGCGTCGCGCACGCGTCCCTTCAAGTTCCTCGGTCCTCTTCCCTTATTGGGGCGCAGGCCCATCTGTGGCCTCCGATGCGCCGGGCGGCCTCCCCCGGTACGCTCGGGGTTCGTACACCATCCTCCCGTGCTTCCCGGGCTGGTGGACGTCCCGGAGAAGCCTTCTAGTGGGCCCTACAGACCGGGCGATGAGTCCTGCATTTGGATCCGGGTGACCGGGCGGCCTCCTCCGTCAGTACAATTGTGCATGCGGCCGCGCATGTTGTCCAGCGTTGTTGGCTGTTCCCAGGGCCGCCAAGCACTGCGAACTGGTCAAACGCGCGAGCCGGGGGGGACGACGCGTCGTCGATATCGCGGCTCGGCGCCCCTCCCGACGCGGGCGGTGGCTGCTGCACGCTGGCCCCTGGGCGGTCATCGAGGCAGCGACCGCGATCTCGATCCGCGTCCGGGCACGATGAGCCCGCCAGGCGCCGACGCCCCTTTCTGGCGCCCGTGACCTGAGATGCCGATCTCAGCTCGCACTCAGTGCTAGATGCCGGCGGGGGTTCCAGAAACGCGCCGCAGAAAATGGCAGAATGGAACTGGGGAACTGCGCCCTATCTACGCGACCAACGTGCTTGACGACGCGCCCTGGGCCTGCGGTGCGCGCGCGAGGCGAACGTCGACCGTACTATGCGCGCGCGGTGCAAGCATCGCTCGAGCGTACATGGTTGCAGACTGGTCTGTGACGCGCGCCCGGGTTACCGAATACACCGCCGAGGTAGGGGCGGCGGGGGACAGGCGCCCGGCGGTCGCGTTTACAGAGGCGCCGAGGCCGCCGTTCTACCGCCAGTAGTGCGCAGGCACGGTGCATGCCCTTTTTCCATGGCGAGCTTCTACACGGTGGATGCGCTCCATTCCGCGCAGGCTGCGGTATTTTTCCCACCACGACGGGAGGGCGGGAGTTGCGAGGCCCGTCTCTGCGGTGGCTTGAGGAGGCTGGCCGCGGAGGCCGGCGAGGCGGACGAGATGAGACCCGTCGAGGACGGGATGAGGCCGGGCGACCGGGGCGAACGGAGGGAGGTGCGGGGGGCTAGCCGTATCGGGGGGATCTGGGCGGAGAGAAAGGGAGCAGCCGACGAGCCACGCGATCGTGTCCGATCGGGCACGGAGCTTGGCCCGCGGATGGGGAAGGCGCGAAGGCGGGCGTGGGCTCGTGGCGACAAGTGACTTATCGCGACTCGGACACGCACCCGCTGCGCGCAACCGCACATGCTATATAGCTACCCCCGCCCCGCCTCCCTTCATAGCGACCCCGTCGCCGTACCCTCCTCCTGCCCTCCCTCCTCTGCACAGCCCGCTGCTCATCTGCACCCCCGCCAGTGCCCACTCCTGCTGATTGCATGCTCCCTTTCCGCCCCCGTCCCATATCGACCATGCAGCCCTACGTCCAGGAAAAGCGTCAGCACTCCCCCTCCATCTTCGTCCGCACCGCGTCCGGCGAAGGCTGGCAGCGCATGCCCAGTCCCTCCCCGGAATCGGTAAGTCTGCAGGTCGGCATCGTGTGGCCGTCTCACTGATCGTGTGTTCGCAGCCCTCGTCCCCCCTGCAGTCGCCCTCTTCCTCGCGACCCGGCTCGCGCGACCGTCCCTCGAGCCCATCGGACGTTCACACCGCGGTCTCGAAGCTTATCGCACTCGTGAAGCAGCTGCAGGACGTCCTCCACTCGTGGGGCCTGCGCCACGCCAGGGAGGAGCAAGTCAGCGACGCGTTCGTGCTCGTCGGGCAGCAGTTCAACACGACCGTGAATGTGCTGTGGCGGCACAAGGTCGACATGAGGTGGGTGGTACCCCGCTGTCTATTCCCGTCTCGGCTCGCTGCACCCTCGTGCCACGGCGTCGTGTGCGCGGGGGAGGCGGACGCGATTCGCTGCGCGCGTTACGTCAGGCGAAGGATGCTCGGTGGCTGTCGTGGGTGGCTGCGGCGAACGGCCCACTACCGACAGCGATGTTCATTAAGCCTGCCACCGCGCTGCGTATCTTCCCTGCGCGTCCGCACAGTCGTCCCAATCCGGGCACCTGCTCCCGCGCCGCGTCCGCGAAGCAGCTCTGTTGGGCAGACGCTGTCATGCCTGCCAGCCCACCCCGGGGCCGATACGCCCTGACGACGCCTGACTGGGTGCCTGCCTGTCATCGGCAATTTATTCCCTGTGCGGGTTGTGGCTTCTGCTTCGCCGTCGTGGGCGCAGCCTGTTCGGCCTCCGTCTCCCGTGTCGTACCCATGTAGACCACGTGAGCTGACACGGCTTCTTCCCCGTCTTAGTGACATGATCCACATCATCGTCGACCTCCGCGAGGTGCTCGAGAACTGCCTCGGCGAGGAGCCCTCCCCCCACGCGCTCGACCGGTACATGCCCCAGGTCCGCCGCGTCGTGTACGAGCTGCTCGTCGGGCTCCGCAGCAAGCAGGGCCCGTACTGGAACTCCGTGTACGCCGGGGGCCAGCGACGGCAGACCCCCGGGCTGGAGCGGCAGTCGGTGTGAACCGCCGCGGCCCCGGTGCCATTCCTCTTGGACGACCGCGGCGCATCCCGACGCGCCGCCTCGCGCGCCGGGCACGCCCGGCGGCGCATTCTTGCCCCGCCTTCTCGAACGTCGCGCGTGGCTCCCCGGACGTCACGGGAGCCCCGCTGCTCGCGTCCGCCGCGGGCCCTCGCTCATCCGCACCTCGCGTGCCACCGGCCCCCGCTGAGTCGCCGGCTGGCGTCGCCACACCCTGCTCAGCTCTGCATCGAAGAAGCTGCCTCCGTTTTTGGCATCTTGGTGTACATACTCTACTCCCGGCGCATGCGCGCCGACGCGGACGGACGCTCTCCCGGGCGCGCCGGCGCCGACGCCGCCTCGTTTCCATATCATCGCCATCGGTTCCTCGAGGAAATCCGCTAGGGCGACTTAGTGCTCGCTTTTGATTCTCCTGTAGCAACAGCCCTCGCCTGGTCGCTCCCATCACTGCCATCTGATATACCTCTGTCGCTATCTGTGTCCGCCATCTTTCCTTGCCTTTTAGCTGCCCGATATCCCCGTGCATGTAGCTCCTCCTACCCTACGACGCTCGTTCTTAGTCTCTCTTCGATCTCCCGTTCTGTCGCCTCGGCATTTAGGTCCCCGTGCATTACCATCATCTTTTACAATACAGTTACAGTTACAGCATTGATGCGTCGCTTTACATTCTACGATCTGATATACTTTACCAGTCTTGTGCAAGTGCGTAAGTAGTAGCAGGGATAATCAATCAATTTCGTGCTGGACGGAGCCACCTGTGCGCGATCATGGTATCTATCAGTGGAAATCCGTACGAGGGCACATTGCGGTCTAAGAGCTGTCCGCTGCAGTCGCGGGGGGATGCTACTATGTTCGGATTGGGTCGACTCGGACGGCAACTCGACGGGCTGTGGGATCAGACACATATGCGCGTTCGCCGAGATGACCATAAATTAACACAGGCGCGAGCAAGGCCTTACTCATCAGTACGCTAAGTTGCAGTCCATCATATCATAGCACAGTTCTCCGGGCGACGTCGGTCTCTAGGCGGAGCAGCCCCTGCAGGCTAGTTTGCACTGGCGTTGTGCCGCACTCCAGACCAGGGAATTGCCATACGTGCTACGGGATGAGCAGGACTAGTAACTCCCATCAGTAAGCGTTCGAACAGATCACACCATCCGACCGGTCTTGCAGCTTCAGACTGCGATCAAGACCAGTCTGGGACGCCCCCTCGAATTGGTTCCGTGATACTTCAAAAGTACAAGGGGGCTGAGCAGGGGCTGAGTCAGAAGTGCGACGGGGAGCGTACTTAGCGAGTGAGTTAGGTAGCTCAGGCTCCTAACGGAAAGAGAGGAAGTCACGCAACATCCTGGTTCCACCTCGCCCATGTGCATGTTGTAGGCATGTATCCCAGTTCAGAACATTGTCCTCGCATACGACGCTCGCAGCGTTGATGATCGGCGCGAGCGCGACGACGGACGGCCGCATCCGCCGTCCGTCCGTCCGTCCGTCCGTCGGTGGCCTCTATCCGGACTAGGACTGTCCACGTTCATCTCCTCCGAGTCTGAGGACGCGCGGTTGAGCTGGACAGACCGGGCGTACGCGTAAGCCCCGTGCTTGCCGCTTGCCGCTTGAATAATGCATGACGCTTGATCCAGAGCAAGCAAGTAGTGCGGATCCGCCCAAGATCCGCCATGCCGCGACCTGTCAGTGCATACGTGTTCAATGCATGCTACTGTAGCGTCAGCGGCAGTGTCAGTGTCGCTCGGACGTGATCTCCGCGCGGACTCGGACTCGGACATTGGGTGGGTGAGCGTGCCCGTAGCCCTACTGTGGATCAGCGGTAGGAGTGGCGTGCAGTACGGATGGTTGCTGGGATCGTCTGCGCGGTCGGAGGGCTACGAGGGAAGATACATAGGGCCAGGATGGGTGACATTCATTGGGGATTTGAAAGCGGATCGCTGACTCGGACTTGGAGAGGGCAATTCGAACGTTCGACGCGCGCCTGTTGCAGCGCGACGCGACGCGTCACGGGCACGTGAGTATGTAGTCACACCAGCTGGCGGTGACCGAGAGTCGCTACAGACCAGACAGGTGCGCGTTACCGACGCACCATCACTCGCTCGCATTCTGCGTCCCCACTTCAGGCATACCCACCGCTCGCCCGTTGGCAGCGCGAGAGTGCTCCGAGAGACCCGTCCCAGACGGACAGAGAGCAACGCAGCCCGACAGCGTGCTAGACGATGGGACATTGACTCAGATGAACTCACTGGCACCTTCAGATCGTTCAACCGCTGTTACCTGCCGCGGAAGACGCACCACAATCCCGCCCGAATGAAGACGACGGGCCCCAGCGACGAGGCTTCCGTCTCCGCGAGACGCAGTCTGACGGGGAGGGAGGGACCCCGGACGCGCAGTGAGCGACACTAGCTTCAGTTTGTTGATGAGACTGTCTGTCTACGGACTGATCCTCACCTCTAGGTGTCGGAATGCAGCTAGGCTGCCGCGTAGGCGCGAACTCTGGGTGAACGACGGCGTTCGGGTTTCGATGCGCGCCCCGATGCTCGGGCGGCTCGGGATGCACCCGTCGGCCCACCTATTGATTCATGAATCATGAAGTGCGATGTGAAACGAGGGCATGTATCAGTGAGTAAATTTCCACCAGAGTTATGGCGAAGCATTGACCTACAACTTCGGAACCGACAGCGTCTAGCGATGGCGTCGCGAGTTGCTACTCCGCGAGCTTGAACGAGTGAACCGTCAAGGCTAAACATGGCTCTGGAGCTAATCAAAGTGAAAACCCCCGTTACTCAAGAAGAATCCAAATTCAGGTCTATATCAGCCTCCAGTGCTCTCCTAGCTGCCAGTGGTACTTTGCTGTCGACCTGTCGACGATCAGACTCAGCGCCCCGCTCTGCCACCAATCAATTCAAGAGGCGCACGCGTGCGACTCTGTGCAAGAGTACGTCGTGCGGTTGCGGCACGAAGTTCGACTGTGTGACACATTGCTTGTCAGCCTCCGCCGCCACACTGGCGGTTGCGCCACATTTCGTCGTTAATGTGACCAACCGCTCTGTCAGCCGTCGTGCGGCTCGAGGTATTCGCTTCCCGGACTATCATTATGTGCGTTCTGCCCAATTTTCTCTGTGTTCGCCCATTTGAAGTCGAATTCCTTAGCAGTGATCCTCAGTCCGCGTACGGTCGGTCACCACCCCGAATCATGGCGTCCACAGTAGTTCGGCTTACACAACGTCTACTCAAGTTGTAAGACACGGTCCGCAGAACTTGAGGGACCACAGCGATAGTCGCTTCAACTGACTTAGTCTGCTGGAACCAAGCATCATAGCCAGCAGCCGATCTTGTATTGAAGTTGCTAATGCCATGGATGCGGTGGCATTAAATACTTTTAGTCAAACTTGTTTGATTTTCTTAGTATGCATATGATATATTGTCACGAACGATCGTGAGTACATGTCGTAAGGTGTCGTCATGATCGCTCGATGTTCAAGGCGCCGGGCCGCCGATCAGCGATAACATCACCTCCGCCCCGGAAGACCACTGGCAGTGGCACGTATATACATACGTGTGTACACAATGATGGGGCTTCAAGTTCTGTCAGCAAGAGGACGCTGCCGATCCGGTTCGCCGTGATTCGTTCCGAGGTGCTCGTGAACTATCTCCAACAGTTGGGACTGAAAGCAATCGCTGCCAAGATGCTACCTCGTGTGGTCCTATGTGGTGAGAGTGCATATAGCAAGTATCGGATGGCCAAGGAAGGCTCACCAGATTGGTTCTAGATCCTGTTGTGTACGAGGATGAGGGTAAAATGGTGCTTGAAGGCGTCGCGGAAGTCTTAGTCAGTACAGTCTCGTCTACTTCTGGGCATCGTCACGGAACGACCGTTAATCTCCTCGTGATAGCAACTAGATCCGTCTACAGACCGTGACGGTTTCATTCGCGCCCTTTCACCCGGAGGGAAACTGGAAGGCGCGATCGGGCTTTACGAGCGCAACCAGTCCAAAGGACGCCTAGGCAACTTCGACAGCGAACTCATCAGCAAGCTCCCTTCCACAGTGAAGTGGATTGCGCATACGGGTGTCGGCTACGACAAAGTCGACGTCCTCGCTTGCAAGGAGCGCGGCATTGGCGTCTCGAATACTCCTGGCGTGCTCGACGACACGACAGCGACCACCGCCCTCTACCTGCTGATATCTGCGCTTCGAGGATTCTCCGCGGCCGAGCAGAGCTTGCGAGCAGGGATTGGAAGAGATCCCACTCCGCCGCGACTGCACACGACCTCACGGGACGCACCGTCGCCATCCTGGGTTGGGCGGTATCGGGCTACGGCTCGCCGAACTGGTCCATGCGTTCCCTATGCGCGTCGTGTATCACAACCGACGAAAAGTTGCGACCGCACCTGAGTGGTGCGAGTACTATGACGTGGATCATCTCGACGATATGCTCGCGCAGGCAGACGTACTCAGCGTCCATGTGCCGTTCACGGAGGGCACCCGGAATATCGTGGACGAGCGGATGATCCGAAAGCTGAAGAAGGGCGCTGTGATTATTAACACGGCGCGTGGGCAAGTTATTGACGAGGAAGCCATGATGCAGGCTCTCAAGAACAATCACGTAGGTGCCGTGCTGTTCTGATCTTGTTGATGATTCATCGTTCGCGTGTCAGCTGTCCGCCGTGGGTCTCGACGTCTTCCACAACGAGCCAAATATAGACCCACGCTGGTATGATATTCCCAACGCCGTTCTGCTTCCCCATGTAGGCGGATCCACAGCCGACGCTGTCAAAGAGATGGAGCTGCGTGCTCTCGGGAATATACGCGACTTCATTCTTTCTGGCAAAGGAACTGATCTTGTGCCGGAGCTACAGTAGATTACATCGAGAGGTGCCATTGTCATGCATTCGCAGCCACAGATCTTTGTACATACCACATAGTCTCAGTAAGTATATTATTCCGAATTCGAGTTGACTAGGTTTGCGCAACCGCTGCCGGGCGACAGTACTGTATGTGAGGTAAGCGTACACTTCGTCTAATGACAGACGCCTAGCGCGATGTTACTTACTTGATCTCCCATAACCATAGCCTATAAGTTAGGCAGACTCTAAACACGATCTTGCTTAGTGGAGGAGGGCGGTCGTGTATCGTGCGGATGCGCGCAGGGAATCCTAGGTGAGTGTGCTGCTGCGCTCTCCCACGTATGATCAGGCTGAGTGGCAAATCGCGACAGGTAGAACAACGTACCGCAATGGTGCCTTCTGAGTTCCGACAAGCAGAAGCATGCCTCATAGTGGAGTCATGACTATGGCACCAGTCGCGACACAATCTGGCAGTTGGTCAATAGGTGCTAGGACAGCATTCAACTATAGATGGCCGAATTCGAAGGTGTGGTGATTATCTGACTCGTCCTGTCAATGTTGCTAGTATCATTCAAATTTAGCGCAAATACGAGACGGAACGCGGAAAACACAAGCCGATCATTGATGAGCACACACAGCTAAGTTTGCCCGCAATGCGCATAGTGAGTGAGTGATAGATTCTTGATCACTACACCTCAGATGGCCAACAGATCACGTCAGCGCCTTTCAGTTGACCTGCTTCATCCGACTCAGGAGTCTCCATCTGAACTTGAAGTCCGCAGGTCTTTGGTGAGTCTGGTGCCCCTCCGATGTTGGTCCAATCACCTCTACTACCGAGCGCTCTTCATGATATCACTCAGCATGCACAATCACTGCGCTATGATGCTCGTGGTATCAACGTGAAACCAGTGTTTTTTAGCCATGCAAGGCTCTGTATGACACCCCAGAGTGATGGCGCAGGCCACCTTGAAATTGATACCCGTGCCGCGACCTCTACTATATATACTGAGAGAGGAACCAGACCCACCAACCTTGAAGTCGACTTAGACGACAACAATGCCCAATCGCCTGAATAATTGGTGAGCTAAGCGGTCGCTACCGTGTATCAGTCGGCCGGTGCTCACATTACTATTATTCGCAGGGCGTACTGGCAAGTCTGCGATACCTTGCAACCCGCTCATACTAGCAGCCCATCCCAGATGGCTCAAGGTAGTCTTGCGGGCGAAGACACCTTTGTAGCGCAATACGTGACCGCGGTGGACGCGGCGGACGTTGGCAAAACGGACAGCTTCTGGATGCTGCTGTCACTGAGACCGTGCCCCTTACTAGCGAGACGGGTTCGACGAACTGGGAGTACGACCTCGTCGTGGAAATTTTCCGCTCGCATGTCACCTCCTGCGCAGTCCTGCCCCGGGCAGCCTCGGAGATCATCACACTGATACGCAACTACATCCTCGGTCCTCACGTAATGCTTGAGGCATCGCCCGACACCCCGCCTATCCTTCCTGCGACTAGCTCGATCCACCCGCAGCTGTATAGGTTGCTGACACCGGACACGGTAAGCCTGATCATCAAGTTGCTGAGCTCGCGATGGTACTGATTTCTTTTCAGCCCCAGCCCGCAGTCGTCACGGCTGAGCGACCCCACGGAGGGGACTTTGAAATCCGATGCCAGTGGGACGGCTGCCACGGCTACCTCCCTGGTACTAGCATAGCCATACTCAATCGACACCTGCTCCAATACCACTTCGCAGACACAGAGGCCGAATGGAAGCTGTCCACTGACAGGATCCGATGTCAGTGGGAGGGGTGTGGCCGACCATTGTTCAAGCGCATGATCGCGAAACACGTCCGCATCACGCACCTGCAGTGCGGCAAGGTTCGGTGCCAGCATCCCGGATGTAACTTCGCGACGTTCAGCCGCAAGGATGCACTGACAAGGCATGTGCAGGCTATGCATGGCGCTGGCATTCGTGCGGATAATGGGACCGCCGGTGGTGTTCACTACACTATGGGGGAGTACCCACTAGCACGGTATGAATCGTCTGTGGGTATGTGGGGAATCCAAGGATAACTTATGACAGTCTTACGTTCGGCCCTATCAATTGTACTTCGAAATGGCAGACATGATATGTAACTTAAGGTGGGACACGCTACTGCCTCTATGTATCCATAGCACGAGAAGTTTGTTATGTCAATGTATTTAATACGACAAAGTTGTCGATGCACTTGCTTTAGTAGTCGACTTGAACGATTCAAACCGGGTTCTGCCCATCTGGCAACCTACACTGTTGATGGGCCATTCAGTCCGACACTGTCCTCCCGGGGTCACTGCCAAAGCAATTGCATCAATTCCGGAAAATGCAATGCTGATATATCATGTACATTGACCACAGCTGACATTAGAATTCATCGTGGAGTCTCCCCTCTGTCAGCAGACCCCGATCGGGCCCACCATGCGCATCTCCTTGTTTACCAATGCCGCACTCCGCCACAAGCAAGCTCCGGAACTCCTCTGCCACCGCCTTCCACCGCTCCCTCTCAATCTCACACTGCTTCAAAGCATCGCGCCAATGCTGTTCGCCCCCGAGAGACGCCGACGCGCCGACGGGTCGAAAACGCTCGCTGAGCACCTTCTCGCGTTCGGCTTGGATGAGGAGCACGATGATTCCGAAGAAGAATCCCATAGAGGTGAAGAATATGACCCAGAAGCCCCAGTCGACGGGTCTCGCGTCGATATGTTTGCGAGATCCTACAGACGGGCCCGATGCTTTCTTATCGGAGCATGCTTGTCTGGTGCACGAAAGACGGGATCAGACAGCTGGGTGACTCGGACATTTTTGAACAGAGACTCACTGTGACACTCCGCCGTCTTCGTGAATCTCGCTGCATGAGGGATGTCAAAATATAAGTCACGTCAAGTCAAAGCTTGTTCTGTCGCGCATCGAAGGGGCAACACGCACGATGTCTTCCCATCTGTCGATTGCATAGCAGAACTTGGATGCGTGTCCGACATCGCAGCAATCCTTACTCGAAACACCGATTACTCTGAAGCGATTCGTGCGTATGATATCGGTCGAATATACGGTACCGGTAGCCCTGTGACGACGTCTGGGATGGAGACTCTGTAAGGCGAGAGGTTGCTTAAAGTTATCGATAGGTTCGATCAAATATACATGCGGTAAACGATGCTGTGTTGTTCAGACGCCGGCACGAACAACTAGACAATCGAAGATTGGACGTGGTCTCCTGGTCCCCATGACTCGACGGAACAATGCGGCGATGGTGAGATCAGGCACCAGGCAGTACATTGTGACTCTTGGCTGTATTCGGTCAGCCCACCTGTACACCAAGTACACTCAGTGCTGAGAAGCTAATCTCGCGGCTTTGCCTGCGCCGAGCCTTCAGAACGATGCTTGAACGACGTTATCGGGTTGGCTCAGGTTTGTTTACCATTTGATGGCACACGTAGGCTACAGATGGACATATGCGATGATACCTCTGTTTGACTTGCGTTCGATGGTTAACGTTGCAGTGTTGAACGTTAACCAGTGGCTCCTCGTGTACGGTCTTCCCCGGACCCCCGTCCAGGGGTGTCTCTTGCCCTACACGCAGTGCTGATCTGTCTAAGTGCCGCCGGACCCGGTATCTAGATCCGAACACGGTAAGTAGGTGCACGAGTAGAGCTCCAGAGGAATGACAAGCCTGAAAGCATCAGCTCGGACCGTGACGGCCAAAGATGCGCTGTAAGTTGAAATGCAGTGGTGTTATCAACCTTGCTCATCTATTCTTTTCCTCGCGCACAAGCCTGGAATACCCGCGCCGTGACCGCTCTACCAAGCATCAAAGTCTGCACGTCCAACGTATGCTCAAAGATCGCTCACCGACGAGAAACGCCGTTGATTCCATGGAGCGTATGATACCTGCATTTCACTGCCCAATCCATACTCTGCATCGGGACATGGTACAGGTGGGCGAAAGGAAGGTAGCGAAGATCGCACCGGAGGCGACCTTGTACAGCTACCCAGAGGCTTGCACGATGCGTTCGCTGATTCCCTCTCGACGGGGCGCACGGGTATGGAATGCGTGGTGGACCCTCGCGCACTGAGCTGGACATGTCGGGTGGACTCAGGCTGACGGCGGCTGACAGCGTGTAACTTACCAGCCTCAGGCTAGGGAGCACCTCAAGCTCGGTCCATGCCCTGGGCACAGGCAAGCAGCACTAGCAACAACAGTGTTTTCTGGAATATCGTTGACAAATATGAGAGGGTCGGAGGAGCTGAAGCTGGGTGACAGACGAGAGCCTGACACCGAGACCAGCATACGGCGGCCCGGCGGGAGCGGACTGGTGACGCGGTGGCATCAATGATCGAGATCCCGATTTGGTCACCGCCACTGTGGCTTTGCTGTGGCTGTGAGCACTCAGCAACTTCAACTCCGAGTCCCGAATGCTGGTCGCGAACTGAAGCCTTCTGTTCGAAGAGCAAGCCATTTCATGATAGGCCTGCTGCTACTATGCTTATATCGCGACCCCAATTGCCCGAGATTGGACCAGAATATGAAAGCCGTGAGCTTGAAGGCATTTCGATTCCTTTGAAGTGAACGTCGTCGCGTCTGAAGATCATGGTGATATTCCACAAGTGGTCAGAGACAGTCGCAGAGCTCTACTTCGCACATTCCACCAGACCGTCGCCGAATGACACGCCCTAATGCGCAATCCCCTTGACTCGACGTGTCATCCAAATATCCGTCTAGGGATGCTTTGTCCACCATCACGGTGGAAACGCTCTGACCTGCGCACTCTTCTTTACTCTTCTATCACTCCGTGCCCGTCGCGGAGTATACCAATCAGGCATATCGTGCGCATCAGCCATTATCATGCCCGTCATCCGCATGGCGCTGACCACAGCCTCGCCCTTTCCAGCGATTGCTTTGTCTTCGATGTGGACCCACAAACACCCAAATTCGGAAACCGCCCTCGTATCGCGGTCCACGCTGCGGACCGGACTGGGCTCGTGGATGTGATACCACGTGTTCGCGGCCTTTGTGCCAAACATATAAATGGACCTCGATATGCGGCCCTCTTCCGCCCAACCGCGACTCCCCCTCCTCCTCTCTCCCCACCTCTAGGCTACCTCCCGTCCACGTCTCTTGCTCACTCGCTATGTGGCTCTCCTCTCAAGTGGTATACCTCGTCGGCTGCGCCAAGCTCTGTGTACCCGACCACCGTATGGACGCCACTCGTCGACAAATGGCGCGCGTCGTCGCGCACAAAGGTACGTCTACCATGCGTCCCCAACGGGCGCCCTCGATCTGACCCGACGCGTAGAACTACGCTCACATCGCGTTGAAGCTTCGCCGTCGGTCGCTGCCAGCCACACGCGACCTCGAGTGGCGTTCATCGACTGTCAGCCTGCGCCACCGACGCGTCGCGAGTTCGACCAGCCGCCCTGTCAGCCGCCGTGATACTTAAGGCGCCTGCCCTCTGGACTGTGTACGTTTCTTTTGTCTGTCTTGTCCCCGTCTGCGCCTGCTCCGCCTGTCCGACCTGCTGCGTCCGAGTAAAGTAAACTCGGCGGCAATATCCATTGGGAGATTGGTACGTCTGCTCGTCGTCTCGCACGTCCCCTACTGACCACCATTCGTACGTCAAGTGCCCAATGGATCGTAAGGGAACATGTGGTCACACACAGCAACAGAGTTGCGTCAACATGTGTGTGATTCGTCAAGCGCCGGAAGCTGTGGCTGCCTCAAGAGCCCGAGGTCGGGCGAAGGGTCAAGCGCCGCAAGGTAAAGGAGGCTGGCGTCAAGGGTGCTCGAACGAGCGAAGGGTCAAGCGCCGCAAGAAAGTCATGGGAGCTAGCCTCCAGAGCTCGGTTTTGAGTGAAGGGTCAAGCGCCGCAAGAAAGTCACAGGAGCTAGCATCCAGGGCTCTGACACGAGCGAAGGGTCAAGCGCCGCAAGAAAGTCATTGGAGCTAGCTTCCAGGGCTCTGACACGAGCGAAGGGTCAAGCGCCGCAAGAAAGTCATTGGAGCTAGCTTCCAGAGCTCTGGCATGAGCGAAGGGTCAAGCGCCGCAAGGACATGGCTGCGTCAAGTCCTCCCGAGGGCGGGCGGGCATCGCGGGACGCGGTGTCTGTCCGGGCGCGGACCTTTACGTGGTCCTCGGGATAAGTACCCTCGCACTCGTGCGGGGGGAAACTAACTCGCGCCGAAGTCGATGATGAGTATTTTCTTTCGAGCTCTCGGCGTTTCGTGTTTTGTCATGTACGGTCGTCGTGTAGGAGGAGAATACACTTGCTGATGTACAACACAGTTTGATTGATCGTTCCCGGCAGCGGTAACTCCGCTGTCCGTTACTGTTGCTCACTCAAGGTATAACGTCGCGCCCTCCAGCGTGGCGATCGAACATTGGGTGAGATTCATCGCGACTAATGATTCATGGGCCACATATCTCATTGTGCTGCCTCCCTTCCTTCAGAGTCGATTCGGCGAGCGGATCGCATAACGCTACACGCTCAACAACGTCACACCGCGCTGCCAGCAGGCCTTGATAATCCTCTGTTCCCGCTGTTCATCGTCCCGCCTTCGCAGCGCAGCGCCCCATCGCCGCACTCCAGTTATGCTCGCGCTCGACAGACAGCCTAGACGACGGTGATGTGTACGAGCCTAGGTCGCCTTGGACGAGCACGGTGCGTCGCTCTTGGGAGTCGGGCGCAACCCCCCTCGGGAGAGATGGATTAGAAGAGGGTCGAGAGGCAAGTTAGAGCTCACGATTTATGTAGCTCAGCGTCGGATCGCGAACCCCGACTTCAGTATGCGGACGATGCATTCGATTGGCGCTGAAGGGGTTTCGGCTTCGCGAAACAGTAGCCCATCGAGTACACGAGCTCAAACCTGCGCATTCCCATTCCCATACGGACATGCGCGACCAAGAAGCAGTACACTTCGGCGGCCCAGTCATCGATCCGTACGCCTAGTCCAGCATAAATTAACATTGCATTGTCGGCAGGGAGTCCAGCCATGCAAACCTCAGCCATCGAACCACCCGCTATCCCCAGTAGTCACCAACGCACGGCTGATCACCTCCATCGTATGCGCCCATACGCGCTCACGGACCTCCACTCCACCATAATAACCCACCATCCCGATGTCGTCGCCGCGCGGGCCCTTTCGCCTCACCCCTCCTCCGCCGTCGAGCACCGCGTAGAGCATGTACTCGCCGCAGTCGTCGATCGACGTGCACAACACGTCCGCGAGGGGCCGTGCCCAGCCCGGGAGCAGTGGCGTGCTCACGAGCCCAGGGAAGATGTGCGTGAAGGTCACGCCGGGAGCGAGGGCTGCTAGGCTCTGCGAGAGATTCAGCACGCCGCCAACTGCTGGGCCAAAGCTACCAAGCGGTACGCACCTCGACCATCACGTCCGTGTATGTGATCACTGTCGGCCGCAGTGTCCTCACACTCCACGGCTTCTGGAAGCCCAAGTCGTCCAAATCGACAGGCCCGCCGCGCCCAGCTGCGAGCACGTTCAGCAAAGACGCGTCCTCCCCCGCCTCGCGCGCTGCTCGGAGAAGTGGCAGGAGGTCGAGCGCGAACTTCGCGCGCGCGTAGTACGCTACCGCGAGCAGCGCGTCTGGGATCCCCTCCGCCGTTGGCGCCCGCGCGCCCCGCAGGACCTGCCACGCGTTCGGGAGCGCGCCGCACGTCAGCACGACGTAATTCACTTTCGTGAGCCGTGAGCGGAGGCTGGACGTCGTCGCGGCGACGTTCCGCATCAGGCTCGCGTCGCATTCCACGAACTCGTACTTCGCTGCGGGCGAGGCGGGCGGGGGAAGGAGGCGAAGATCGCGTCGGCGGCGGCGCGGTTCCGCCCGACGAGAATGATGTGCGCGTTGCCGTTGGTATGTCTGGCGAAGGCTTGTGCGGTGCCGCGTCCGATGCCGGACGTCCCGCCGAGGAAGATCGCAACTGGAGGCGAGGCTGGCGAGAAGTTCGCGTTCGACGCACGGACGGAGGCGAGCGGGGGCATGTCGGGGGAAGTTGTTCGCGTAAGTAGAGATCCACCAAATCGTGGTGGAGTTATACAGAGGGGCATGTCGTAAGGATAAACGCTGTGCAGGCGGTCAGTGTCAGGCCAACGTACTATCGCGCGTACCACGGCGCGCCCGTACAGTTTTTGTACAGCATGGTCCCTTGGACTCAGCAGTCAGCAGCGAAGCCGCTTGAGCTTTCCGCCATCAAGCGTATCGTATCAGGAGCATACTCCGCTCAAGGAATGCGTGCAGTGAGCAGACGAAACAGACGAACCAGGCATAGCCATCAGCTCGACCTGTGCGTCTGAGCGGGCCCGAGGCTCGGACGACGGAGCGGCATCTCGTGATCTCGTGACGTAGTGGCGTCAGTGATCGAGATTGCGATTTGCTCCCGCGGCCAGTCGGGCGACTCGGGCGACCGGTATGGCTTTACGGTGGCTGTCGACCTCATGCTGTCTGTTCGCGTCGCACGACCCATATCGCTCAGGGCTATGTAATTCAAAGGGACCCAACGCTTGCTGTAAGTGTTTTTTATGCATTGGAAACTGTTGTCCTAACTTTTAGTTTGTGGCAATTGACGATGGCACATTGCGACTGGCACTTCCGAGTCGCCGCCGGCTCGGACTCGGATGCGCACTGGTACTTGCGTTGACCGAATACTGAAGTCTTCTACTCCACTAACAGATGTATCAGTGACAAATTGTATAAAACACTACTGGGTGCTGCTGGTGGAACTCTAGTTTCCCCCAGGTCAAACATGAACCAGGAGTCGAACATATTCTAGTAAAGGGACGCCTCTGAGTCATTCCATCGCCACAAGCCAAGAGCGGCGGTATTGATGCATCTCTACCTTCCCACATCCCTCGAAGTGGTCACTGGCCTATACGCCCTATCGCGGAATCCCTGACTCGACGTGTCACCCAAGTATCCGTCTAGGGATGCTTTGTCCTCCATCACGGTGGAAACGCTCTGACCTCCGCACTCTTCTATCACTCCGTGCCCGTCGCGGAGTACATCAATCAGGCATATCGTGCGCATCAGCTATTATCATGCCCGTCGTCCGCATGGCGCTGACCATAGCCTTGCCGTTCTCAGCGATCTTTTGTCTTCGATTGTGGACCCACAAACCTGAATGCCCAAATCCGGGAACCGCTCCAGAGTCCACGGCCTTGGCGGGCCTACGCTATGGACTAGGCGGGGTCTGTGATTGTGACACCCACGTGTTCGCGGCCTTTGTGCCACTCGGGCCAAACATATAAAGGGACCTCGACGGCCGCGCTTTTGCCGCCCAACGACTCTTCCTCTCCCCCCACCTCCAAGATGCCTCTCGTCCACGGCACTTGGTCGCTCGCTATCTGGCTCTGCTCTCACTGGCAAGTGGTTCTCCTCGTCAGCCGCCCCGGATTCTGGATGCCGACGCCACATGGACGCCACTCGTGGACAAAGGGCGCGCATCGTCGCGCACAAAGGTACGTCTACCACCCCTTCTCAATGGGCGCCCTCGATCTGATTCGACACGTAGACCGACGCTCATGTCGCGTTGAAGCTTCGCCGTCGGTCTCTGCCAGCCACACGCGGCGTTCCTCGACTGTCAGCCTGCGCCACCGACGCGTCGCGTGTTCGACTAGCCACCCTGTCAGCCGCTACGCTACTTGAGGAGTCTGCTCTCTGAATCTGGACTGCGTGCGTATCGTCTTGTCTGTCTAGTCTCTGTCTGGGCCTGTTCCGCTTGTCCGACCTCCTGCGTTCGAGTCAAATGTCCTCGGTGGTGATCATATTCAGTGACATTGGCCAAGTGGTACGTCCTCACGACAGTCATCGTCCCCTTCTCCGACTCACTGTGAGTCGCATCTCAGGCCTCCGATGGATCGTAAGGCAAGATACGCGCCGCAACAGAGCGCGTCGACTGAGTGTGTGATGGTCAAACGCCAGATGCTGTGGCTGCCCCAAGAGCTCGACATCGGGCGAAGGGTCAAGCGCCGCAAGGTAAAGGAGGCTGGCCTCAAGGGTGCTCGAACGAGCGAAGGGTCAAGCGCCACAAGAGAAAACGGGGCTAGCTTCAAGGGCTCTGGCAAGAGCGAAGGGTCAAGCGCCACAAGGACATGGCTGCGTCTAGTGCAAGAGCAGCAAGTTGGGCCACCCGAGGGCGGGCGGGCATCGCGGGGACGCGGTGTCTGTCCGGGCGCGGACCTTTACGTGGTCCTCGGGATAAGTACTCTCGCACTCGTGCGAGGGGAAACTAACTCGCGCCGAATCCGAATCCGAGGTTGGAGGTATGTCGTTTGCGCAACCCGATGTATCTTAGTACCAGAATCTGCTCCTATCTGCCAATACAATTTCTTTCGTTGCGGACTGTCGATGCATATGTGATCGTGAGGAAGCCCGCAAAACAGTGAGGCAAGAGTTCACCTTGGCAAACCGACTGATCCACGACTACCTTCGGCGTTCCCCTGCACAATACGCCGCTCGGTGCCGTCAACTGCGTATCAGACTTCACGTCTACTAAACCCTGACGGCTTGACCGAGTGCATGTAGATGTGATTACGCATGTACAAGGTTTTGGGGGATACACGAAGCGTTGGGGTGGAGTTGAGAAGCCGAGTACCAGCTAAGCACGGGAAGACTACGACTATGAATGGTACCATATGAGCGTTACGACAGTAGTCGCTGTGCCGGGGCCCTTGGACCATTCCCTAGTGAACACATACCGTATGAGCTGAATGAAAGGCACCGGGTCCCACTCGGCATTCACACTAGGAGCGTGAAGGCCCGAGAACATATACTGTTGGGTCAAGCCGTTAACAGAGCCATGGTAACTGGATACGAAACATCGTACCTACCCTGAGATCGCACGAGAAACAAGAGTCGGTACTCAAATACACGCGCAATATATCTCTATCCTCACGTTCCCTATATGTACCATTCCCCCACCACCCTCCATTGTGGTAGTACAAACGGATAGTTCGTCGCCGGGTGGGAGGCTATTCAACCACTCCTGTAGTTCTGCATCCGCGCAATCGTCATCTGTACGGAAACCGTCCCATTGCACCAGATAGATTGAACGCAGGCGAGCCGTTGCCGTATCATCGCATACGATCAGACGGCGCTGGTCCGGCTTGCTTTTGGCCTGAACCTCGAACCATATCTGTGACGGGGAGTCACTATTCAAGATAGACTCCGGTGACAACGGGACTAAGGAAATACGTGAACTCTCACATGATTGCCTCGCAGTAATTGAGACACTCACCGATGTCGTGTGATTCGATGGTGAATACGATTCTGCGTACAGATCTGTGCACTTTCGCAGACTCCGGAATCCGTGCACTGGCCCAGTAGGACATCGTTTTTGGCGAGTAGGCATTTGGCGCTGTAGCAGTTCCTCCGTTCCCTCCTTTGCCGACCGCCCGGACCCAATACTCCGCATAATCCAAGATATCGCATACAGTGGTATGCGGCAATCTCAAATGGAGGGTGAGTAGCTTCTCGGTTTCAAGGACATCATTTGCATGTCTTGGAATATATCCATATCTTTTTCCATCGAAGTCAGAATTCCGTGAAGACAAGACTTATTGGGAAAGACGTACGGTGATTGTGCCCGTAGTTCATTTACAATCTTTTGAAGCGGCTGATCCAAGATTTCCTCCTGGTCTCCCGAAAGCCTGCTTGCTCTCCCCTGACTTCGTCCGGCTCCAAACAGCCGTAAGAACCGCTTGCGTAAGCCTATCGGGGCAGACGGCCAGGTGAGACTAGCCATCGTATCGCGGAGATTAAAGAGTGGATGTACGATTGCTGCGGTATGCGAGTTGAAGTCTAGGAGTGGATCGGTGACCGGGAGATCTCGTGCAAGCTCTATGATCTCGTAGAGGCGTTCACCGTGCACTGAGGCATCGATCTTGTGACGGGGTGCGACTTGGAACAGAGTCATCAGCAGTGAATATGCCGCGGCCTGAACCTCCATTCCATCTACCCCAGGAGCGTGGAACGAGTACGACTCGCCATGGACACATAGTCGCCCACTACGCCAAATCGTTCCCCAACACACCTCGTGGCCGTGCTGCGTCTCGACAGTATGAAAACGCATGGCTAGGTTGCGATTAGTAGACATCGCTGTCGGCCCATCGCACCTGGTATTTACCTCGGTAGTTCCAGAGTCGCACGTTTTGAGTTTGATGTCAATGCTCGTACCATATCTGAGCAGACGCGCGAGCCTGAGGTCACTCTCGTACCAGGTCACCGTTATTCATCTGCTGGCCAGTCTCCTTTACGCCACGGTACCATAACCCAAGGGATTCTGAAGGTTATGCCAGCCCGAACAGCATTCCACGTTACCCTATTGGGCGTCGCGGCGTATATGACCCATCGCTCGAGCATGGCGCCGACACCGCCGCCGAAGGACGACAAAGTGAGGAAGAATGTCAAGCCTACGGAGCGGATATTTGGCAGGGTTGCGAGGAGGATGGGGGACGCAGTCAAGGTGAGTGTAGCGACGCTCGGGCTCAACGTACATATCCGTGATGACGCCAACGTTGTGGTGAACGTTGCCAGTACATGACGTGGGCGAGTGCCGGGTGCACCACCGCCGTGCTCATCGCGCGCGAGTATCCAGGCGAGTTCAGCAAGTCTCTCCTCCGAAAGCTCGTCGGAAGCGGTGCAGCTGTACTAACACATCCCACGTCCGTCTTCCTCGCATTGATCATCTTCGGTGCGGCGGTCCGTGTCGCATGCTTCCGTACACTGGACAGGTTCTTCACGTGCGAGGTGACGGTGAAAGAAGGCCACCAGTTGTGCACGCGCGGGCTGGACTCTGTTGTGCGTCACCCGAGCTACACCGGGTGGTGCGTGCAGACCGTGGGCGTCGCGCTTTGGAACTGGTGTGCAGGCTCGTGGGCGAGGGACTCGGAAGCGGGGTGGTTGGACAAGCGGGCAGGTATGGTCGCAGCGCGCGTCTTCGTGGGAGGTCAGACGCCAGGCTGAGTATGATCATGCGATGCGGTCAGGAGGATACCTTGCCAGGGAGATGCGACTGCGCATGCACAAGGCCTTTGGGGACACACGAGGCGTTGGGATGTAATTTATTATCTGAGTACACTGAGCGTTACGACGGCAGGCGCTGCGCTGGGACTATTCCCCAGTAAGGACATACCGCATGAGCCAAATGAAAGGTCCGGGGTTCCCACTCGATATCCACGCTATCAACGTGAAGGCCCGAGAACATATCCTGTTGGGTCAAGCCGTCAACAGAGCCACAATAGCTGAATACGCAGCATCGTACCTACCCTTGGATCGCACGAGAAACATGAGTCGGTGATTAAACGCATGCGCAATATATCTCTATCCTCACATTCCCCATACTAGAAAAGATTCCCCCGCTAGCCTCCCTTGTAGTACAAATGGCTAGCTCGTCGCCGGGTCGGAGGCTATTCAACCACTCCTGTAGTTCCGCATCCGCGCAGTCGTCATCTGTACGGAAACCGTCCCATTGTACCAGATGAATGGCGGGCCGGCGAGGCGTTTCCGTGAAATCGCGTACGATCAAACGGCGCTGGGTCGGCTTGCTTCTGGCCTGAACCTCGAGCCATATATGTGACGGGATGTCACTATTCGAGATGGACTCGGGCAACAACCATGAGTCTGTGAGTACGTACGTCAACTCTCACACGAATGTCTCGCAGTAACTGAGACACTCACCGATGTCGGATAATTCGATGGTGAATATGATTCTACGTACCGATCTGTGCACTTTCGCAGACTCCGGAATCCGTACACGGGCCCAGTAGAAGACCGCTTGTGGCGCGTAGGAGGGATCTGGCTCTGTAGCAGTGTCTACGTTCCCTGCTTTGTCGACCGCCCGGACCCAATACTCCGCATAATCCAAGATTTCGCATACAATGGTATGCGGCAATTCCAAATGGAGGAGTAACTTCTCGGTTTCAAAGACATCATTTGCATGTCTTGGAACATACCCATATCTTGTGTTTTGCACCGAAGTCAGAATGCCGTGAAGACAAGACTATTGGGAGAGACGCACGGTGATTGCGCCCGCAATTCGTCTATAATATTCTTAAGTGGCTTATCCAATATTCTTTCCTGCTCTCCCGACAGCCCGACTCCCTTTAGCCGTCGGAACCGCAAGCCCATGCTTACCGGGGTATACTGGACCATCAAATCGTGGAGATGAGAGATTAGGTGTACGATTGCTGCGGTATGCGAGTTGAACTGCAGGAGTGGGTCGGTGACGGGGAGATTGCGCGCAAGCTCTATGATTGTGTGGAGGCGTTTACCGGGCGCTGAGGCATTGACCATGTGGCGGGGTGCGATTGTGAACAGAGTCATCAACAAAGAGTTTGCCGTGGCCTCAACCTCCATTCCGTCTATCCCAGGTGAGTGGAATGAGTACGACTCGCCATGGACGCGCAGTCGCCCGGTGCGCCATATCGTCCCCCAATGCACTCCGGATTCGTAGTCGCGCTGCATTGTTTGCATGGAAACACAACCTGAAGGCGAGTTTCAAGTTACGGTTACTATCCATTGTCATCGGCCCATCGCACCTTAGACTGGTGTCGACCTCGGTTCCAAAGTCAATCCCAAGTGGCGCACCTTGAGTTTGATCACAATGCTCGTGCCATATGTGGGCAGACGCGCGAGAGCTTCTCTATAACGCCGGCACCTCGGAGATCCTAAGTCTGGGTGTTCGACGAACGACTGGCCCTCCGAAGAGAGCGCGACAACTTGAACTTGAACTGAGTGGCCGCTGCAGAACCGTGACGACCGACGCGGCGGCACGGTGGCACCACAGCCACCAGCGATCGAGATCTACGCCACCACCGCCATCAAGTCACTCAGCTGCGACAGGCGCCGACAGCCTCAGCCTGGCCTGAGCTCAAATTGCTAGACTCCAGGCCTATACGACGTCTACCATCATGATATAAAGCGTTTTTCTGCTTCCAGTTTGGTTTCGGGCAACCTAGAATTCATGGCACCAAGTTGCCAATGGGCCGAGCCTCGTGAGGTTGTGAATTTCGAGTCTCAGGCTGACTCGGAGTCGACTGCCAGTCACGTATGTACAGTATGTCGTTCTCCCCGACGTTCACTGTCAACCCTATAGCTTACAGTGAAAAAAAGGATACTCGCTGGAACTTGCGCTGATGCAGACAAAGCGGGTCGAAGTCTCTACTTAAACACATCATGTACTCACTTCACCAGACTAGCTTAATTCCCTGAGTCGACCCCGAGCGTAGCTGTCTGTCTGATCTTCTGTCGATGTTCCTATTTGCAGGTCTTGCGGTACGTCGCGGAATATTATCTACGTCACGCTACCGTCTCGCTCGCCCTGATGCGGAGTCCTCGACTCACCGTGTTACTAGGCTATCCACCCAGGGATGTTTTGTCCTGTGCCGCATTAGAATCACTCCCGCCTTCGCGCCCCGTTTCCTACTCGTGCCGGCCGCGGAGTACACCAATCAGGCATATCGTGCGCATCAGGCATTATCATACCCGTCGTCCGCATGGCGCTGACCATAGCCTCGCCGTTTGAAGCCATCGTTGTCTTCGAGGTGGACCCACAAACACCCAAATGCAGAAAACTCCCTTCGTCGATGTGACACCCACGTGTTCGTGCCCTTTGTGCCAAACGTATAAAGGGACCTCGAGATGCGGCCCTCTTCCGCCCAACCGCGACTCCTCCTCCTCCTCCTCTCTTCCCACCTCCAGGCTACCTCCCGCCCGTGCTTTTTAGTCGCTCACTCTCTGGCTCTGCTCTCAAGTGATTCTCCTCGTCAGCCGCTCCCGGTTATGGATGCCGACGCCATAACGACGCCACTCGTCGACAAAGGGCACGCGTCGTCGCGCACAGTACGTCTACCATGCCCTCCCAAAGGACGCACTGAGTCTGATTCTGGCGCGTAGACCGACGCTCACACCGCGTTCGAAGCTTCGCCATCGGTCCCTGCCAGCCACACGCGACCTCGAGTGGCGATCATCGACTGACAGCCTGCGCCACCGACGCGTCGCGAGTTCGACCAGCCGCCCTGTCAGCCGCCGTGATACTTAAGGCGCCTGCCCTCTGGACTGCGTGCGTTTCTCTTGTCTGTCTTGTCTCTGTCCGCGCCTGCTCCGCCTGTCCGACCTGTTGCGTCCGAGTAAAGTAAACTCGGCGGCGATATCCATTGGGGGCATGGTACGTCTGCACGCTAGTCGTCTCGTACGTCCCCTACTCACTACCATTCGTACTTCAAGTGCCCAATGGATCGTAAGAGAAGATATGATCACACAGAGCAACATGTGTGTGACACGTCAAACGCCGGAAGCAGGGGCTGCCTCAAGAGCCCGACGTCGGGCGAAGGAGGCTGGCCCCAAGGTGCTCGAATGAGCGAAGGATCAAGCGCCGATTGGCTAGCCTCAAGTGCTCGGGTTTGAGTGAAGGGTCAAGCGCCGCAAGAAAGTCATGGGAGCTAGCATCTAGGGCTCTGGCATGAGCGAAGGGTCAAGCGCCGTAAGAAACTCACTGGGCTGGCTTCAAGGGGTCTGGCAAGAGCGAAGGGTCAAGCGCCACAAGGACATGGCTGCGTCTAGTGCAAGAGCAGCAAGTTGGGCCACCCGAGGGCGGGCGGGCACCGCGGGGACGCGGTGCTCGTCCGGGCGCGGACCTTTACGTGGTCCTCGGGATAAGTACCCTCGCATTCGTGCGGGGGGAAACCAACTCGCGCCAAAGTCGATGATGAGTGTCGTCTGTTCCGTCGCTGCTCCCGAGTATCTCGTAGTTCGTCGTGTATGGCCGTTTCGTGGCAGAATGAATGTCTTTGTTCGCGCCGTTCGTTCATGGCTGGATCCCTGACTGTCCGATCCCACCCTGAGTCTATTGCACGATGTTCACTCGGACTGAGATCATTCCTGGCGGTCGTGTGTCGCCTCCTGCCTACGAGGTTCACAGAAGATGTAATGAGTATCGCCTTATCCAGCAACGTACACATCGGATCATACATCGAATGTCAATGAGTGAGATTCCTCGTGTCTAACGAATCATGACGTCGCTATCTCATCTTGCCGTATCCCTCCTTTGTGGATGTCCAGACTCGACTCGGCGTGGCGGATACACCCGCTGCTCAGAGCCACCCCGCGCGTCTCCCAGCAAGCCCTGCGCGGCAAGCCGTTCAGCGTATGACGCGTAGGTCACGGAAGGATGAAAGCTTACCTGGTATTTGCGGCCCTTCACTTGCGCCTGCACGTCTTTCTCGAGCGTCCCACGCTCCTGACCTATGTGGCGGAGGAGAATGGGACCGTCGACTGTTCAATTTTCAAATGTTCAAGAGCGCTGGAGGCGCGGACTGGAACATCCTGAGTCCGGACAAAGACCTCGAACGCACTACGGAGTGAAAAGTAGCGATGTCAATACTTACAAGCTGTCTAACGGCAGAGGGATGGCCCACGCGACGGCGGGCCTACAGCTCGAACGAACAGCAACGCGATGTGACACACCTTACACGCAGCGCGCGACGTCTGCGCCGGTGGCCAGCAGCGTCAACTCCGCGAAATGGAAAAGAGCTACATAGATAGCATCATATACCGCACGCACTGGTACACGAAACGCTTAGATCCGCCCCGCCTGACCGTCCAGCGCCCCCTCGTGCCTATCGCGCGTCGGCTTTTTACGTCCTTGGGGAGCACGAGGGACGGCACTCATGAGCGCGGTTCGACGCGTTTTGGCAGCGCAAGTGAGCTTCCGGAAGCAGGAGGGCGGAAGCAAATATGGCGCACGGAGCCGACATTCGTGTACGTGCCTGGAGGACGACTGTGCAGAGGGAGAGCTAGAGGGAGGCAACAGGAGAGGAAGGTGAGGGAGGCAGCGGGGGACGAAGGTGAGGGAGAAGACATGGCCGGCGACGTCAAGGGGACTGGGCGACGACGGGCGCGAGGAGGCGGGGCGGGCTCCGTCAAGGCTCCGTCGCGACAAACGCGGGCGTTCCGGGATCGCCCTCTTTGGCGCTCACGTGGCGGGCAGAGGAGCGACCTTTTCCCTCCCGCTCACCCGGCCGCCGCCCTATATCTCCCTCGCCCACCCCGCACCGCTCACTCGACGCCCCAGCACACCCGCTAGCATTCTAGACGGCCATCGCTACCACCCGCGACGCGCACACGACACACTCCTAGACCCGCAGTGCTCCGAGCTCAATTTTGCACTCTAGACGATCCGCACTCCCGCTAGCGCATCTAGACCCTGCATCCCTACCTAACCTCCACACGCGGACGATCCACGCGATGAAGAGCTGCCTGAAGAGCCCGAGTCCGCCGTACTCGCCGTACCCGTCCGCGCCACCCTCGCCGGGCGAGCGGCCACAGCTGCAGAAGACAGTGTCGTTCTGCGCAGACGACGACCTGGAGGAGGTCTTCGAGGTGGACGAGTGGGACCGTTCGCCGGCGCCGGTGACCCCGAAGCTATCCTACGAGTGAGTGTTTGCTCCCTTGCTCGATCCGAGTCATGCACGCCCGGTCTCCGTGCCTGCCTAATCCGGCGGCCAGCGTGCAGAGCGACGTCATGGCCCGCATCATGCAGCTGGCCGGGCTCGCAGCCGGACAGGCACCTCTGCGCCTCTGCACCCTCAAAGCAGCTGCTCACGCCCCGCCCGCAGAGACGTCCTCGAACTCAAGCAGCTCCGCCTCTCCCTCCCCCGCCCCGCCCCGCCTCCCACTTACCGCCAGCCGTTCACGACTTCCCTCCCCACCGCCTACACCGCTGCAGCGTCCTCGTCCAGACCCTTCCCCGTCTCCCGCTTCGCAGCCCAGCCCAGCCACACGCCCTCAAAGTGGAAGAACCGCGGCACCACCCGGCTGCCGTGCGCGAACCTCGACGCAGACATCCTCCCCTACCTCGACGCCGTCCCCATCCGGCTGCTACCGCTGCTCGACACCCCACCCGAGCCCGAACCTCCGAGTCCAGAGCTGCTCGCAGAGTCCGAGCCCATCTCCAGGCTCGACTCCCCATCACCGCAACCAACTCTATCACCTCCGCCACAACCTTCACCCGTGCAGACGCCGCCTGCACCTCCTTCGGCTCCTCCTCCCTCACTACCCTCCCCCTTGTCGCCGTCAAACTCCCTATCGCCTTCTCCCGTATCCTCCCCGTCGACACCAACCGCCACATCCCCGCCACCTGTCCGCCGCCTACCTTCCTTCTCGTTCATCCCGCTTCTACCCGTCCAGCCCGCCTCCCCGCCGCCACCTCCTCCAGAACCGGTACGGCTGACAGTATCTCAAAAGCGAATGAACATGACCTTCCTCCCGCTCGTCGCCCCGCCCTCACCACCATCCGCACTCCCGCCATCGCTTCCAGAGCCACATCCGGAACCTGCGTCCGAGACAGACGGCGCTATGGAGCCCGAGTCTGAGCTCGCACCAACACCGACCCTCGCTCCCATCCCAGAGCCGTCACCGTCCCCGCCAGCCCTCGCATCAGCCCTGTCAACGACATCCGCCGCTTCAGGCTCAGACAGCCCGTTGGACGTCTCGCCAGACGGAGAGACAGACGAGTCGGAGGATTATAACGACCTTCCGGCGCGCGCACTATCGCCGACGGACCTTTCCACACCCGCGCTGAGTTCCGCGTCCGAGAGCGACACAGACGAGCACGACGGGGACACGGATGCGGACCAGGACGGCGACGAAGCCCGTGCACACGGACGCAGCCATGGATTCGGGGGACACGCGCACCCGGCGTTGGCGGAGTACGAGTACTTCGCGGCGCGGCTGACGTCGTCGTCTGCGGGGCAGA